GATGAGCTCGGCTGGTCCCGGGCAAAATCGCTTGACAGAGTGAGTAGACAAGTCTGCCGAGATCTGGCTAGCCAAACAGAAAGAAGCTGCGATTGCGAGAGTGCAAACCCTCTTCCCGAAACGTGTTCAAGATAAGAAGGCCGTGGAAAGGGTCGAGACCCAGGTCGTGTCCAAGGGTGACGCACTGCATGCTGGCAATGACGAGCAGGAAGACGACTGGGGTGCCGATTGGGACGAGGAGGAGCCTACCGGAGAGAAGGAAGACGTCACAGCAGAAGTACCAGAAGAGGAAGATATGAGTGCATGGGGAGAGGAACTCGACGATACAACTGAAGACTCGCAACCTCCAGCTGCAGAAGAAGCGGCGAAACCATCAGTCGACGAAGACACAGATGATTGGGGCGCTGACTGGGACGATGGCGAGGATGGGAAACAAACAGGTCCAAGTCAAACGCCAGTCAAAACGACCCAGACGCCGAAGGTGAACGGAAAGTCAGCAGCCCAGAAGCCTGCGACGGAGCAGGAGGTGACTTTGAGAGAAACATACACCGTCACGGCGATGCCAGACTCGATTATGGAGATCATTTTGCAAGTCATCACCGACGTTGAGACCCTCAACTCCCCGGATCTGGTCAAGTCCGCTATCGCGCCTGCCAGTGGCGGGCTGTACATGATCCCAAGTCTGCTCTTAGCGATGTATCGAGCAACAGCTGCTATGTATTACTCGAAAGATATTGCAGGTAACATGCTCATCTACAATGACTGTCAAAGACTGTCGGATCGCCTACGAATTCTGCTCCGTGAGCAGGCGGAGAAGGACGAAACATCGACTTTACCGCAGCATCTGCGACCCTCTGTCCGCTTAAAACCCAAGCTTGAGGCCGATATTAAGACAATCGACGGCTTTGGTAAACGCGCTTATGGACGCGAGATGGAAGCACAAAGACAAATCATAAGAGACCACTTGGAAGACGCACAGGGCTTCCAAGGATGCACAAACGTCCCCTTCGCTACAGTTTGCGATGACGCCATTGCGACGACTATCGATCGCATCAGCGATGTGAAGCGCCAATGGCAGAACGTTCTCTCACATAGCGCCATGCTGCAATCTCTCGGCTCGCTAGTATCGACAGCGCTTACAAAGTTCATCAACGACGTGGAAGACATGGCTGACATCGCTGAAGACGAGTCGAAGAAGCTACACAGCTACTGCGTTTCTCTAGCTACTCTAGCGCAGCATTTCCAAAGTACGGACGATAATGGAGATGTGAGAGACATGGCAGGCATATATACCCCGAACTGGTTCAAGTTCCAGTATCTGGGCGAGATTTTGGACAGCAGTCTTGCGGATATCAGGTACTTCTGGACGGATGGCGAGTTGAAACTTGAGATGGAAGGTGAGGAGGTTGTGGGTTTGATTGAGGCGCTTTTTGCGCCCAGCGATCATCGAAGGAGGGCTATTGCGGAGATTAGGAGGACGAGCATGCAGTAGGCTTGAAGTCAATGTATATGAATAGCACATGGTTCATGAAGAGCAGTTGCACACAGTATACCACCTAGGTGTGTTGTACACGTCACCCTTCCATATTCCTCAAATTCTTCACCACATTGCTACATGCTCGGAAAAGGCATAAAACACTCAACGACATCTAGCACAAACCAGGAACGAGCGATCTGCCCAGGTGGTTCACGTCGGGTTGGTCACGTGTCACGGAGACATCTGAACGCCGATTCGATGAACATCCAAGCACGCTAACCATGTTCGAAAAAAAGTTCGAGATCGCAGCTTGAGAATCTGCCATGGCTTGTGCAAATCTCCAGTAAGCCTTCGCAACGTCAGACTACATACTGCTATCATGGAGCCTGAAATCTCAGACACGAAGGTGACGGCGCGCTTTACGACCAGAGACGAGAACCTTCACCTTCCTGACCAAGACCGAACACTCTTAATTTCGACCAGTAAGCCTAGCAGTATAAAATACGCCCAGTCCAGAATGCTTACAAAAAACTACAGACCTCAAACGAGTCAATTTATCGAAGATCCTGAACGAATTACTCGGTCGCGAAGATGATCGCATCCCATTCGACATACTGATCAACGGTCAATTTCTGCGCACCACCGTCGACGAGTACCTCACGAAGAACGGCATAAATGCGGAAACGAGGCTGGAAGTCGAGTACACCCGAGCGCTCGTACCGCCGCTGAATGTCACAAGCTTCGAGCACGACGACTGGGTTTCTGCAGTAGATGTATTGTCGCAAACTTCGCGCGCAGGAGCATGGTCTGGTGGCAGCGTACAAAGTGGGCAAGAAAGAATATTGAGTGCGAGTTATGATGGCCTTGTTAGGGTGTGGAATACTTCTGGCGACGTTCTGGCGACTTCAGAGGCACCGAATAATGGCGGGCGCATCACGAGTTTGAAGTCGGCAAAGTGGTTATCAGACAAGAAGATTGTCGCTGCGGGCATGGACAACACTGTACGTGTGTTCAAGTACGACGAAGATACGCGGACCATAACTACGAGCCTGGAGCTCTTCAGCCACCGATGGGGTGTGGAGGATGTTGCAGTCCATGGTCCCTCAAGTCGCATCCTCAGCGCATCCTCGGACAACACCATCTCGCTCTTCTCTAGCAACGCAAAAGAGAATCCAGTCGCCCCTTCAAGCCTCCTGCCAAACTCCACAGCCGCCTCAAACAAGCGCCAAAAGCTCTCGAAACCCGACCGCACCGTGCCAGCGAGAGGCGCATTGACTACATTCACAGGCCACAGCTCTCCAGTATCAAGCGTCATCTTCAAGCCAGATGATGCGACCGTCGCATACTCCGCATCGCACGACCACACTCTCAAGACCTGGGATCTCCCAACGGCACAATGCGTCGACACACGCACAACAGGACACTCGCTGCTCTCCCTCTGCGCCATTCCTTCCCGCAACCTTATTGCAACAGGAACCTCAGCGCGCCACATCACACTCATCGACCCCCGTGTATCCGCCACACAAATCAGCGTCATGACTCTCCGCGGCCACAAGAACGGTGTCGTGTCCCTCGACACAGACCCGAGCTCGGATCACGGCCTCGTGTCTGGTTCGCACGACGGTACCGTGCAGATCTGGGATCTGAGGAACGTTACCACGGGCGGACAGGTCGGCGAAGGTCAGCAGGGCGAGAGCGTGCACACGATACATAGGCAAGGACAGTCTGGGCCTGGAAAGGGTCATGGCGAGGGCGTCAAGGTGTTTGGAGTCAGGTGGGATAAGGACGTGGGTATCGTGAGTGGTGGAGAGGACAAGAAGATACAGATCAATCGCGCGCTAGGATCATAGTCTGATCACGAGCTATAAAATGTTGCGTACGCATTCACGGCGTTACTGGCGCAAGATACCATGTAGACCCTAGGGCAAAAAGTGTAGTTCCTAATGCGCATTTGAATTGCACAAACGCCGTATCCATGCTTTCCTTTCCTTTCCTTTCCTTTCCTTTCCTTTCCTTTCCTTTCCTTTCCTTTCCTTTCCTTTCATCTCTTCAATCACAGGGTATCATAACTTTTCCGTCCGCTATCCCCAAATTCCCGCATTGTCTACACCAAATGCCCCGGCAGCAAGAAATTCGCAACACCCTCTTTAACCGCGTATTCGTGTCCGCAGCTCCCGCACACCAGCTTGCCCTCCTGTATACACGTCTCCAGCAGCACGCGATGCAAATCCAGCGCCGTCTGCGTCGGCGTCTCCTCGCCGTCTGACTTCTCGTCCGCCGTATCTGTATCCAGCGCTCCTTCTGCCGAAACGAGATCCGCGGGCGTCGGCGGTGTCGCAGGGAGTTCTGGGAGTCCCAACTATATCGTGATATTAGCATTTGTCCTCAGAACCTAACAACTACCCGTGAAACCCGAGCAGATAGTGTGTGCTAACTCACCTCCGCGGCAATAACCCTAATCTCCTCCCACATCAGGCGCGGCAGTATGTTCTTCAAAAACGCCAGGTTCACGTCTGCCTCTTGGATTTCGAGCTCGGCGTCGCGCGGGTGCAGGGGAAAGGAGAGGGGGTTTGTCTTGCAGGTTTTTATCGCGCAGGTGAGGAAGTTTAGCGTGAGGAGTTTCATGGTGGGCGGTGGGGGGGCGAGGGGGATCGAGGAGGGGGGGGGGGGGGGAAGCTGTGTGACGAATGCGCGGGCGCGGCGCGAGATATCAAAATTTTGGGATGGCGAGGGCGGGATGGGTGGGGTAGGCTAGGGGTTGAGGCTTAAATTTAAGCTTAAAATCTGGGGTGCGTGGGGCTTTGATCGCTGCTACTTCATTTCATCTGCCATTAAATCATGTTTTCAACTGGGAGGATTGGGAATTATTACAGTTCTGTTCGATCTTCTGTGCTTTCGGTCTACGGCTCAGGATTAAAGCTGTGGCGAGTTGCTCAATGGTCAGCCTCAATACTTCACGTGCAGCACTCATTCTTATAACAATATCGAATTGTTTACGATTCAGAGTTTCAAAGTCATGTGAATGTCTTCGGGCGCTTCTATCAAGACATTTGCAGTTTCAGTCACGTTCAGTTTGTCAAAAGCATGCGCCAGCGTACCTATGGTATCGTTCTGTATGTCTCGACTCAAGAGCACTGGGTTCCTACGTCTGGAAGAGCGCGGGAAATCTTGACGATGCTTCAGAATAGCTCTTTCGTGGTCCATTTGACTCTTACACAATGCCTACCGCGACGATTGGCCTGGTATGTAATGGTTACGAAGTTAGATTGGCCATTGGAGATTAGGCCTGCTAGGCCGTCTTTCGACAGTCAGGATGGAATGAGCAAGGTGCAGGATGTTGGGGGGTGCTTTGTTGACGATGATGACGAAACGCGGGATTTGAGTAGGAGGATATGAAGATTGTTTGCACTTCGGGTAGGACAAGCAAATACCAGAGAGGTCTTCAACTGTTACCATTCTCACAGTGATGTCGATGTAATCATGGGCTTATAATTGATATGAAGGGGTTTCGATCACGATCAGTGAGGTAAGTGCTACATTCCTCATTGTCTACATCAATACCACCGCTACCACATCGTCAGCACATATATCTAAAACTTGTTCGCATCCTCCAACACAAGCTCCGTCGCCTTCTCCGACAGCATATACGTCGCGACCGCCGGGAACGCCCCCGGAACCCGGGGAAACGCCGAAGCATCCACCACTCTCAAGCGCTGCACACCACGCACCCTAAGCCTCGTGTCCAGCACAGCCAGCGGGTTCGAATCCGGTCCCACGGAGTTCGTGCTCGTGGGGTGATGTCCAAACGCCTGGTCTTGAATCCACTGCTTGTCAACCTCAACGTCCCTGCAGTACCCCGAGTCCAGCACATCCGCCGCAGGACACGGCGGCGAAACCGCCTCGAGCGGTCCAGCCGGCGCAGCGGTACCCCGATACGCCCTCCTGACAAACGCAATCGTGTCTAGGATCGAGCTGAGGTCCGTCTCCGCGCCCTCGGCGAAGTAATTCAGGTTGACATCGGGCGGGTCCAGCGCATCGGCGGACTGGATCTGGATCACACCTGCGCGGTTTTGTGGGTGCATTTTGACGGTCGACCAGGAGAAGGTGTTGGGGCTGCCGGCGGATGTGTTTTGCTTGGTGTCCGGGGCGAAGCCGTCGAAGGCGAAGTTGCCGGTCGAGAAGAGGAACATGTCGCGTTCGTCCTCGACGGCGTGGGCGGTCTTGAGGAGGAAGGCGTTGGCGTTGGAGCCGCCGCGCGCGTAGGGGCCGGAGCCGTTGCGCCAGAGGTCGACACAGGGATCGCCTGGGGCGCCGAAGGTGCAGGCTGGGGCATTGGGATCAACTTTGTCGCTGATGTCTACTTGGCTGTGACCGATGATGGGGAGTTCGTAGTTGTCTTGGAGGTTTCGGCCGACGCCTGGGAGGTCGGAGACTACGGAGATGTTGAATTTTTGGAGCAGGGCTTTGGGGCCGATGCCGGATAGTTGGAGGAGTTGGGGAGAGCTGAATGTTCCACCAGAGACGATGACTTCTTTTCGGGCGAAGGCTTGCTTCTTGATGCCAGTGGTGGTGGAGTTGTGACGAGGGTCTGCACGGAAGATGGAGCGACCCTGGAGATATTCGACGCCAACTGCCTGGGGCTTCGTCCCGTTACCACCGCACTCGTCGAAGAGGACTTTGGTGGTTAAGGAGTTGAGGTGGAGATGTAGAGGATATTTTGGACTGCCATTGTCAGACGTGACGTTCAGTGTCTCCAAGATGTAGTCACGCGGGCTGAAGCGCTTCCAATTCTTCGTTACGTGGAAAGGTAGGCCCCAAAGTCCCTGGTCCTGGTCGCGTGTAGGACCGAGATAGTTTCCGTCGCTGATCAAGTAGTCGAGTACTAAGTCAGGGTTCCATCCAATCATCTTCAACGCTGCCTGGAAAACACCGTTACGAATAGTACTTGCTGCATATGCCTTTGCGTCTGCTACGTTGGTTTGAAGCCAGCCATTGAAGCCGTGGCCGCTGGTATTGGCCGGCAAGTAGTTGTTGTGCTCGATCCTCTCGAAGATGCGGCGCATTTTCTTTCCACTATTCAAAGTCAGCATGTCTAGTTTCACTATCGACAACGAGGAACTCGTACTTCCAAATGCCATCTCCAACGCCCTTGTCGAAGTAGTCCCAATCGCTATCACTAGGCAAAAACGTCGCCGCCGCATTTACAATAGCACTTCCACCCAGAGTTGCGCCACGGGGATAGAAAATACCCAATCTTGTCGCATTTTTGTGTCCATCGACAGTGGGATCGCGGCCTACCCAGTACTCACCACTCGTCAGTCTCCATACCAACAAGTTGTAGCGCTTCGTGCGCTCCTCATCATCCGTGTGGCGCACGAAAAAGTGCCACGTCACGCCCTCATTGCTGAAGCTGTTGAGAGACAGGATCTGGGTGCGGATGTCCGAGGTTGCGTCGCTCCCAGCTTCGATCAGGAGCACAGAGTGTCCTGCGCGAGCGAGATTGGTCGCAATTGTGCCTGGATGGACGGTCAGAGTAATCCAATTAATGAAAAAAATACCGTGAGAATTGCTGACCTCCACCAGGACCAGAGCCTGTCACGACATAGTCGTAAGTATTATCCTCATTCGCAAGGTCCTGCGGGGATGTGCATTGCGAGTTCAAGCGCGATGCCAGGGCCAGTGACGGAAGCAGGAGACTGTAAAGTTTCATTGCGGTGATTTGACGGCTGCAACACTTCCTGAGAACTCAAGCCACGGCAGAATTAAAAGGCCCGGAAGCTCATTTATAGGTCTCTGAGCCTACGGTATGAGGTGCTCGTACTGTCCCCCATGCACGTCAACGCCACTTTGGAAGGTAATGTCATCCCGCGCGTCCACCCGGCCCGCACTATATTGCATCATTAGGGAAGTGCATGCCAAGTCCCTTCTAGAGAAAAACACAAGGTTCGCGACGATAATCCCGTTGGACAATGAAGTCTTGGAGAATGCAGGTACCTAGCTTCCCCGCTCCGGATGGCACCGAAACCCCTGCATCAGAGCAAGGGTGAGCGACGGACCATGCAGATCGGAGTTCATCCTGTTTAACCTCCGTGCTCCGGAGCATGGCATACATGGATGTCATGGTAGAGCCTGTAGAATTGCAGCGTCTTATCGTATTTTGTTCGCGTCTAGAAGATACTCTGAGGGCTTCCCGCTAGACCCATGCTATATACTCATCCACCTCGCCTTCCTCCATCTCACCTTCAACCCGAGCTTTCTTGGCCACCGACATATCCATCTCAGCCCCCTTGCACTTCCTGCTCACCACCGGCGGCTCAGACTCAGACTCAGACTCAGAATCCTCTTCCTCTGAGTCCTGCTCCGCCAGCGGCTTCTCCAAATCATAAACCTTGCCGTTCTGCATGTGAAGCAGAAATGGCGTCTTCCTGTCTTCCTCCTTTCTCACCTCCTTCACCACCACCACCTCCCTAGCCTTTGGCGCATTCCTCCTCACCGTATTCTTCTTCACGTGTCTCTCCGCATCCATGACCGCCCGGTAAGCCTCGCTCAAATCCTCCGGCACATCAACATTCCGCGCCTTCAGTAGTCCAAAAGCGCGCACCAGAATCCTTCGCATCTCTGGATATTCCTCCCGCATCTCACTCAGCGCATCGTCTTTCACTGCCATCTGCTTCTTCGCCTCGCGAAGTTCGGCTTGCACGCGGTCCTTGTCCTTCTTCGCGTGCGCGTTGAGGCGGCACATGCGATACGCCTCCTCGGCCATCTCCCTGGGCGTGGGATTATCGTCGAGACGGGCCTTGATGCGCGCAGCCTCGTTGTCGGTCGTGAAAGGCACGGCTTTTGCGGCGGCGAGCTCGCGGCGTAGGGAGGCGTTGATGCGGCAGAGACGGTAGGCTTCTTCAGCGAGGGAGGCGGCGGTGCCACCAGATGCGAGGCGGGCTTGGATGCGTGTGGTGTCGGGGTCGTTGCTCAAGGGGTCTGCGGAACGAAGCTTTGGACCGGATTTGGTGGCGGGCTTGTTCTTCTTGGTCTTTTTGCGGCCTTGGTTGGGGCGGTTGGACTGGGTAGGGGCGGCAGGTGGAGCATTCTGCTGGGCTGTACCGGTTGAAGCGATGGGGGCGGACATGTTGGATATGGAAGAAATGGTTGGTGGCGTTGATTGAGTATGTGAATGATTGTGATCGTACAGTTGTTCAGGGATGTGTGACTGAGATAATCGAGAGTATGTGTCTGTGGCAGACGAGGGTGCAAAAGACTTCTGGAGTGATACCTGAACAACTGAACTTGCTATTGTCACTACTCACTCGTGACACTCCAATCACGACTGCTGCTGCTCAGTCGCATTACAAATTCACCGCCGATTCTAGGGTCTGTGCGCGCGGTGAAAGTGAAGAAGTGAAGAGGTGAAGACCGTGCCAACCGCTCACCACGGGATATGTCAGTCGTTATGATCGGCCTTACCGTGATGTGTAAAGTTGATACAAACAACTAGCACCCAGCGTGTACGTGAGCAAACGACATTGCAGTCCGTCTATCCCATCATGACAATCGCAATATGCAACCACCCATCCAAATACGCCACACTCCGAATCAGCTCCTCGACACTTGCCCCAAGCGGCACCACAGCGCCATGCAGCACCGCCTGCGCCAGCAACGCACTCCTGCGACTCGGAAACAGCGTCGGCAGAATCTGATTCAGCGCCGTGCCAATCGTCTGCGGCTGTCCTAAACACTCCATCAGCATCAACTCACACACACATACACATCCCAGAACAGGAAGTCACTTACTCGACCCCACTTCCACCTTGACCAAACTCTGCACAACCCTCACACTCCCCATCCCCCTGTCCTCCTCGTCCACGCCCGCATGCGGCAAATACAGCCGCACAGGCAAGTGGCGCAGATTGACGCCCTGGGGGTTCAGCAGCTTTTGGTTGATAGGATTGAACAGAGCAAAGTCGTGTTTGACCACGGCGTCCCATAACTGCGTGCTATCCGCCTGGCTGAGGAACATGACCGTCTTGCCCGTGCCTGTGCGCAAATAGTCCGCCTCCTTGACGCTGTGGATGAAGAGGTCGTGAATCTGGAGATTATTGTTGTCGAGGGGGATGAGTTGGGTGGTGGGGTAGGCGGATGTGTGCAGGGTCAGACGCCATGGGAGAGGTTGTTTGCTGTCTTGTTTGGAAGGTGTTGTTGGGGATGGAGGGGGGGAGTCAGAGGGGTGATATGGTTCGGCGCCGGAATACAGGTCGTATAGCAGACCCAGCGGGTAGTGCCATTTCAGCGGGACGCCTTCGTAGGAGAACCAGAGGTCGGAGGGGTGGATGTCCGGGTAGATTAACGAGGGGGCGAAGAAGGCGTGTAGTTTGTGGATGAGCAGGGCGAGGTAGGACAGGCGGGGGAATTGTATCTATATCCCATTCTGATGTTAGATTTCTATGCTGACGACTTGGACGTTTGGTGGATGTGGTGGGAGGCGGCGTACGAGATAAGCATCCGAATCATCGTACGTCCTACAATCCCCCTTGTGCAGTCTTATTTCCAGCGGCACGCTCCCATTCCACACTTTCTCGCGCAGGCGGCTCGTGACTTCGCGGCTCGACATGGTTGCAGTTGGAGTAGTTGGACTGTGCTAACTCCAGATCCAGACCATGCCTCCCCGAGCGATGGGTCCAAAGTGGGGCCTTTGCGCGGGGAGAGCGCACCCTGGTCCACGCTGCCGTCTCTCTGACAACAGCTGCGTCCCCATTCGCCATGTAGCTCCCGCGTGCATTCACGCTTAGCGTGCAATTAGCAATTACGACTTTCCCCAAACGATGCAGGTCGATGTGGCCGATGTTCTTCCCCCGCCGCGCTGGACGATGAGCGTGGCACTCAGTCGCAAACGCTCGCGTCTCGGGGTGGATGACGACGAGGAAGAGGAACAGCAGCGCAGAGAGCCGTCGCCTGCTTTCAGCGACACGTTGAAGCGCTCGAAGACGCAGTGTGAATTGGAAGAGCTGGATGTTATTGGCGCAAGTGAGGCGTGGGGCGTGGACGTCGATTCAATTCTTGCCAGTCGACGCATCATGAAGCCGGGTTTTGAGGCGCATGATAATTGGGCGAGGTACAGGCGAGAAGAGTCGATTGTGGTGCTTTGTGTGCAGGGGAATGTGTTGGTACATTATGAGTTGTTGTGGTATGCTGCATATGTGGTTTGGGAAATCCATGGCTCACGAAAGACAGCGCGATGTTACCGGATCTTTACAACGTCTCGCCGTTACTGCAAGCTTTCGTCCTCTGCCACGATCCGGCTACGCACGAGCTTCCTCCAAAGGCGCCGTTTTCGCTGCCCTTGATACAAGCAGTCGAGCCGTCGAACAACCACTTCGTACGTCTGGGTCTTCTGCATCCACTGGGCGGAGGAAAGTTCCCGTTGGATGCGCTGGTTGTGCTGGACCAACACGGACGACGGAGACTAGTTTTGCCGTTTGGCTGGGGCGCTGGCAAACACGCTGGCACGCCAGCTGGTCGGGGCATACAGACGCGGTTGATGGAGCTGTTGAGACACTGCGTGGAGACATTGGAGCGCGAGCGATGACGATGATCAGAATCAAGATGATACCCCGTTGTGTACGAAACAGATCACGCAACAGCAACGTGGTCAGGAGTTCAGAAGGTCAATTGTGTCATTACAAGACTATCATAACCGTAATATCATAGCCAGCGGATCTCGTGTCCTGCTGGTCTCGTACCATGCCTGAAGCATCCACCTGTTATGCCTGAAGCTTAACCGAAGCGGGTCTCCTTGTCCTTGATGGGGACATCGGAACCGGTAGCAGACTTGTAGGAGCTGCGAATGTAGTCGCTGATCTGCTCATCCTTGGCTTGCTCAACAGCAGACTATCACACAGCATTAGCTCCCGTAACCCCACACACAATGACGTCGCCACATACCTCGTTGTCCTGGGGTCCAGCGCCCATGAACTTCTCCTGGACGTAGTCGACACCTACAGTAGTGTTAGTCACGCGAGCAGGAATGAATGAATGAACACATACCCTTGTCCAAGTAATCCTCGTTCTTCTCAGACTCCTTGCCGCCGCCCGCAGCAGAGTTCAGCTTATCGCCAATGCCACCGAGGAAGCCTCCAGACTTCTGTTCGCCAGACGACGAGCCCTGGGTGTTCTGCTCGTTGCTGCCCTGCTGGTTGTTGTTGTTGTTGTTGTTGTTGCCGGAGCCGGCGATCTTGTTGACAAAGTCCATGATGAGTGATGTAGAGTTTGAAAGTTAGGTTTGGAAGTAAAGGTGGTTGATGTAGATTCAATGCAGGAAGGAGACCGGTATTTAAGGTTAATTGCTCAAGCCTTGGGAGTGGGAAAGAAGCAGGGTCAGCAGCAGGATTGTAGAGGGCTTGGATGCTGGTAGCGACATGTGGGTCGCTTGATGATGTACCTGGACCAGAGTGGGTAGATGCTCCGTTGGCAGGCGTTTCACGGTCCGATCGTCCATACGTCATTTGGACCCCGCGATGTGCAGGGGTGGGGCTGGAGTGGGAAGCATTGCGATCGCGTTGCTTATCGATAGCTAGCTGTTAGAACTGAAGAGAGTTTTTTTCTATGGCAGCTTTGACTGACGGGAATTTAAGACGTGTTGCTTTCATCCAGTCCCTCAAATTCACAATGATACCCATCACCATCATAACCGGCTTCCTGGGCTCCGGGAAAACCAGTTCGTCTTCTCCCTTCCCCCTCCATCCCACCTCCTTCTAACACTCCAAAGCGCTCATCCTAAACCTCATCCCCCAACTCCCGCCCACGTACAAACTCGCCCTCCTCAAAAACGAATACGGCGACGTAGCCGTCGATTCCCAACTCGCAACGTCCTCGGCCATCTCCGGCGTCCAAGAGCTGCTCAACGGCTGCATATGCTGCAATCTCGTAGGACAGCTATCCGATGCCCTGGCCACGCTCTCCACCGACATAAACCCCGACCGCATCGTCATCGAGACATCCGGCTCCGCCTTCCCCGCCACGCTGGCCATGGAGGTAAACCGCTTGGCGCGCGAGACGGGCCAATACGTGCTCGACGGCGTGCTGAGCGTCATCGACGTGGAGAACTGGAAAGGGTACGAAGACACGAGTTTCACGGCGAAAGATGCAGGCCAAGTACACGGACATGATTGTGCTGAATAAAGTGGGAGTTGGTGAGTGAGCGGCGGCTGGAGGATGTGGAAGATGCGATTCTCGCGCTCGAGGTCGAGCCGCAGATTCCGCGCACGAAGAGTAAAAAGGGCTGGGTGGGCAAGGAGATTGTGTTTGGGCTGGATGCGAGGGGGGTGGGCGAGCTGGATGGGCAGCAACATGAGCATGATCATGGGCATTCGAGTGAGATTGAGGTGCTGAGCGTTACGCTGAAGAGTGGGAATGGGGGAGGGAGTTTGGACATTGCGAAATTTGCGGAGTTTCTGGCTGGTCCGACGAAGGATGAGGTGTACAGGATTAAAGGCTGTGCTGTACGCTTCCACGCCGCCAAAGTCCTCAGATGCGGAACAGGATGCGCATCGGAAGAATCCCGAGGGCAGAGCGCGGTATATCCTCAATTGGGCATTTGGACGCTGGACGTTCACCCCTGTGGCTGCTACGGACAGCGTCAATGAGCCCGAGTTGAGATTGACAGTCATGACGGCGCGATACGAGTCGAACAAGTGGAAGAAGGAAATCGAATCGCGCGGGCTGTTGAGGTTGGAAGGCGAAGACGCAGGTGCTTTGACAGTGGAGAAGATTCAATGAGTGGTTGCTTGAGGTGTTGTGCATTTGCATGGACTTGGTGTGTTTGGATACCCTATAGACGCGTTGTTGATTAGAGCCGAGGCATATGAGGGGAGTTGCTTGAGCGAAGTGTGTTGTTAGCATGGCATCATCGCATGAGAACATTAAGAATGAACGTGGACTCCAACATGTCGATTTTTCTACCAATCCTCCTGAGACCCAACCCGCTCCTGAATCCCTGCGTATCCCGTCCCGACCAATATTTCGTGTCTAATGCATGTCAGCGTCTCGTCTTCCATCTCAATGCATACATGCAAGTCTCAAAGTACTTACTCCATCGCATCGTACCTCCAGTCCTCCTTTCTCGATCCGTCCGTCCTTTCCGTCGTTATCCCACCCCCCTCCTCCTCCTCCTTCAGAAAAATGTCCGGGCCGAAGCGCAGCAAAACCTACCCACTTATCCTTCTACCAACAGAAAACGGAATTTGCAGAGCTCAGAGCATTTGAGCACAGAACAAGTTGAAAAGGGACGTACAGATGGTTGCGCTACCGATGTTGTCGATGTCCGCGTCGACGTTGTGGAAGTGGTGGTTGTGCGGACGGTGGTTGTTGTTGGGGTCGTCGAGGTGGATGTGGTGGAGCGCGAGGTGCCGGTGGAGGAGGTAGATGTAGATGTAGATGTACTGGTGCTGGATGTGCCTGTGGTGGAGCGCGAGGTACTGGTGGATGTGGATGGACCCGGTGTTGGGAGGTGCTTGGTGGTGGACGTGCCTGTGGTGGAGCGTGAGGATGCCGGTAAGATGTGGAATGTACCTGTGTTGGACGTGCCGGTATTGCTTGTACCGGGTGTTGCTTGTAGCGGTGTTAGATGTGCCGGTATTGGGAAGAGGATGCTCCCTGCTTCCCGTTGCTGTGGTTGAAGTGGAAGTGGTCGACCTTGACGTCGTTGTGGCTGTTGACGACGTTCCTGTTCCTGTGCCGGTGGCTGAGGTTGAGGTTGAGGTCGTGGTCGTCAACGTTCCCGTCCCGGTTCCGGTGGTTGAGGTTGATGTTGACGTCGTTGTCTTCGACGTTCCTGTTCCTGTTCCAGTTGCTGTGGTAGAGGTTGAAGTCGTTGACCTTGATGTCGTCGTAGCAGAAGTCGACGTCGTTGTTGCAGTAGTCGACGTAGTTGTTGCAATGGTCGACGTTGTTGTATCAGTGGTCGACGTTGTCGTGTCAGTGGTCGATGTCGTTGTGTCAGGCGAGTCGCCTGGCTCCTCTGAAGGGTCCTCATAGCCCTCGACACGGAAGAGCGTGATCCTGTTATCACCGCCACCAGCTTCATCCGTCGTACCCAGAGCAACGACGTTGCACTCACTGTCATCTCGCTTGATAGCGTTGACATTGGGATTAGTTTGATTTGCACAGAGGCAGTTGATACCATTCTCAAGAGCAATGAAGTTGTAAGGCGCATCGGGCGCATCGAATATGCACCAGTAGAAGCAATCTCTTTGGCCGTTGGGGTCGAGCTGGGTGCGTGCTCCATTGTAGTCGCCGATCAGTTCAGGGCTGCCTGCTGTGCCGCCGTTCGCAACGTAGCAGCCGATGTAGTCTGCGTCGGGGTAGAGTTCATTTGTTCGTAGGTTCTTTAGAGATGTCAGCAAAATGCCCTAGGCATTCGGTTAGAGTTTGCTCTGTGTGCTCAAATGCTCTGCGCTCTGCAAACATAGGAAAGACAAGATGGAAAGAAACTGTTGCATGTTAGTTCGGAGTGCCTGACCACAGCGCATAAGCACAGTAGCAGGCACGAAAGTTAGGGCTGGACAATGTCCACACTCCCAGTCGACAAAGAGCGACTGAGAAATGGCATTGAGCCTTGGGACTTGGCTTCCAATACTTTTATATACTCAGGAAAATCTATGCTTGTGAAGTGGTTGGAATGCATTCGCAGAGACGTGTAAGGTAAAGGCCTAGTTGGTATGGCGAAGTATCGCATTCTTCTGCTGATGTATGTCTCGAAAAGGATACTGCTGTTTGCCTTTCCATCTAAGGCGGCACACTCTGCAGCATTCTCATTCGTCTAGATTCATTCCTTCGGTCTGTCGTCGATCACAGAAGGGCGAGATTCGGGAGTATTTTTCTGATCGAGACCTGTCATTCATCCACTTCGCAGAAGGTGGCAGGGTCGTGTGACCTTGAACGCGTCGACACTTGCAGCCCTGGATGTTTTGCACCAATGAGATCTGTATATGCTGCGCTCAGAAGTAAGAAGACATAGCCGATAGGGATGCTGAGAGCATAGACTTGTAGGTTGACATGGCCACCGTATGTGCGGGAAGGTGCTCCGGTCAAACCCGCGATAGCGATCGAGGTGGATGAACACCGTCTAGACAATACTTTTCCTGTCATCACTATTCATACGGACCAGCGACAATGCAGAAATGCACTCTACCGCCTCTCGCGTCTTGTAAGACCTTAGATGATTCATGTGAAGTAAATCAAAAGTCCAGTACATGCTGCCAACTACGACGGAAAGCGGCCAGGGTACGACAGGTGGCGGCTTGTTCAACAGCTCAAAGCTATACGCAAGGTGCTACCGACGCTTCGAATCTCTAGCAGTACCGTGTATAGCTTCAGGATATTAGTTCATTCGCAAGGCGCACTATACTTTCTTTCGTACTGGAGAACTTGCACTACTTCGGACTTCATGTGAGATTGGCTTCGTGCTCAACGAGAGCAGGAGATTAGCTTACATTGCATATCGATTGATGAAAAGCGCGTGGTTCTAAGCAATTTCAGCAGGATGCTGCGACCGGCGTAATTAGCGAGGCCCATGCAGAGTCGCCGTTTTTAGCATCACCCCAGCTCAGAGTAGATCTCCAGATGATGCTCCAGCGCCATCTTTCCATCACAAACACAACCCAGAGCTCACTTATGTATTAAAACAAATGTCACTCTGATCTATGTCTTCTGTGTCGATAACATCAGATTTTAAATGTTGCGCGCACGTAGGATCTGACAATCATGCAACAGGCGCGTTTCCGCCACAAAACCGCCAACACCACCGGGCGTAATATATCCCTGTTGAGGCTGGAAATTCGCCAGACGCTCCACCATAGCACCGCGCCTGTCTCAGAGGCTGGCTTCGCTTCTTGGCCTTTTCTTTCGCATGCTGTACTTGTTGCAATGTCTTCCTCTCTTTTGGCATCGTAGGGTGGACATGTCTTCAATCAAAACAGGATTTTGGATTAACTGGGGTATGATCTTGTTACCGTACCTTACTTGTAACACTACTGAACATAGCCAGAGCACGGCGCGATCGTAGGATCAACATTGACACTTCCGACTGTCTATGGATTGATACTTGTCTCCTTCCTTACCTTGTTTGTACAATTCTCCGGTGGTTGCTTTTGGCGAGCACTATGCTTCATACTACACCAAAGTCGATCAACGACAGCTGCGCGCGACGGCCTCTTCCATCAACAACAGATTATCCTTCGCAACGCAATCACAGCACCGAACGCATTATGGGGTCTTGGCAGATCTGCAGTGCTATGGAAGAGCAGAGCTGCAGCACCTTTCAGTCGATCCCTTCCCTTGCTCTTTGTTGCGGTCCTCCACATTGCTTGTTTTGCTGCCGCTGGTCTCTTGTCCTCGCAAATTGCGTCTACAGAAGCTGGCCAAGCACTCGTTGATAGCAAGGCTTGTGGATACCCGAGGAAGCTGGCAACACTCCGCACTGCATCTTCTAAGGATCTAAGCGACGTGGATTTGAATATCTTCAATGCACAAGTCTTGCAAGGACGATTTACAGTGTCCAAAAGCACCGCATACGTCAGCTCCTGTTATAACAACAATAATAGCGCGTCGGGAGACTGCAATCACTTCGTCAAACGAAATCTCATGGGGGAGAAGTCAAGTGCGGACATGCAGGCGTCATGTCCGTTTGGCGCCGATACGTGCTTGACGAAGGCTGTACGCTACGACTCGGGCCTCCTGAGCTCCAATAACGATGTTGGGATCAATTTACCCCCAACGAGTAGTGTCATGTTTCGCCGGGTTACAACTTGCGCACCGATCCAAGTAAACAAATACGCCACTGGTTGGGTGGACAACCTGCCAGAATCTTACGGCAGTAAGGCGAACACAAGTGTAAAGTTCTTTGAGTTTGGTAAGGGCGACACGGGTTGCACAGCTACAAGGCAGAATCAGACAACGGCGAAGACAACATTCTGCATCAGCCAATGGATGAAGGATTACCTGCCTGGAGCATATCATGTCACGTAAGTCGACTTCCTTGCGATTGCATCTTTACACAGCATAACGAGGTCATAGAGCCAACACTGCTTACGCGGAGAACGCCGATGCGAGCGATTTTGAGCCAATACCGGACTTCCAAGTGGCAGACGCAGATGTTATCTTAATCTCCATCTTCAACAAAGCTGTATACAAGGGCAAGGTCAGCGATCCGTTATTCGAAGCGCATGTACCTGTTGAGGGCAACAGCCAGTTCTACGCGCCTACAAACGAACTTGCAGTGCTTGGGTGCACCGAGCAATATCAATTCTGCCAGCCCATGACACAAAAGTGTACAAATCTCAGCGGACTCTATGCGGTCCTGAATGCTGTCAACCGAGGTGATATCGGACTTACAGGGCGCCAGCGATCCACGTTCTCCGTCGTATGGGAGGCAGCATGGGGCATGTCCATGCAATGGACAATCAGACTGATCAACGAGCGTGTGCTTCTAGCCCAGAACTGGGCTTTTACCGTAATCGCCTCAGGCTCGTCCGCACTCCCTCCAAACCAGTGGCAACAGGAATCGTCCAACTTGCACAACCTTAGTCTCGCCGTGTTCCAACATCGAATCAACCAATACGCCTCGCCTGAAAACTTCGAGTTATCGCCAGGAGTACGCGCAGACGCCAATCTCGATAGCCCAACGGACCCGAATCTTCTACAACTTTGCAAGAGCCAACGAGTATTGAGCCCGCGACACTACAGTGTCAGTGTGCTGGGAATGGCTATCATACTCTCTGTTGGTACGCTCCTCATCATTCTCGACCAGTCGGTGGAGTCGATCTGGTTCCGCTACTTCAATCCGCGCTGTGGGCTTGCAAAGATGGCCGAGTGGACGCAGACTGGCACAATGCAGCTACATAGGCAGACAGTCGAGGCTCGGGGCATTGGGCCATGGGATCGGAAGAACCATGACTTTCCGGTGATTGGATCGAAAGGAATGACCTTCATTGGACTAGGCGCTAGGGAAGAGATGATCGGGCAAACGAAAGACGACAACAAGACGCAATATGAGCTGATGGAGGAGGAGATATCGCTGGATGAGAGGAGTGCCCAGAGTAAGAAGTTCTAGAACACTATCCATGTAACTAGAAGAAAGGACGATCGCACTTTATAGTAATCCTCACGTCATTCGTGTGAGTAGTACATGAAGCAGCCAATGGTATTGAATGTCTACAATGATGACATCAACCTCATGTCTAACCAACCATTTTCTTGTTCCTTGTGTACAAAAACTTTATGATGTGGGCTTACTTGAGCTTGACCTTGAGCACGCCGCCCCAGGCTTCCAATGCGCTGTCCACGTATTCCTTCGCATAGTACTCGACGTCGTCATCGCTGAGTATAAGCTTCAACGCTTCTCCACTTGTGCCCCACCGGACCTGCGCCTTGATAGCCTTGATACCCCTGCTCTTAAGCAGAGCGATGTAGCTTGTCGCTATATCGCGGATGGCTGCGAACAGTATAGCGCCTTCCTCAGCAAGCTCATCGACGAACTTTGCAGGAATGATTTGCTTGAGTGGATGCGGTTTGCCTTTGCTCTTCACGACCTTATCCTTGAGTAGCTCCGTAAGCTTGTGGTTGGCACGACAGACCTCGAGGAAGCTGTAGCATAACATGAGCATATTCTCATGACACAGTCCCGGTTCGTCGACCGGATCCAGTGTGGTATCGCCCGGCATCCGAATCTTTTCGCAGCCTTTCCTTGCGCTCTTCAAGCGAGCCGACAGCGACAAGCAAAACGGAACGTCTTTTGCATGTAACTCCGGAAGGTGAACCGCGAACGCGAGCTTAGTGATGAACGCCCATATTTCCTGCGTGAATGTCTCTGCAAACACGCCATCCCGAATGCCACCACCCACATCGCCTTCGTTCCGTATGGTGTCGATGGGATCGAAATCGTCCACAGTAGCTTCTTGGTGAAGAAGCTGGCAGGCCTTCTCACGATTGAAATTGCAGTCATATATCCATTGTAAAGTGGGTATATGGTTGGGCACGATGAGGTCTACTAGTCTGTCGGGCTGAGAAGGATCCTCGAAATCAGGAAATACTTCAAAGTCTATGTTATCCGAAATCTCGGTGTACGCTATAGTTGTCAGCATGGATCTAATGAAGTGCGACAGCGTGTAAACATGTTCGTAGCAGCAAGCGGCTTACCTTTAAAGGGGAGTCGCGGAAGGTCTTCAACTGAATCCCCCCTGAGACGAGCCATCTTGCGACGCTCCGCCACACACAAGTGTTTTGTCAAGCTGGAGTTGAGTTTTCTCCTTAAGCCGATTGTATCGATCACTTGATCCCATCTGAAAGAAGATATGTCTGTCACCAGATAACTGTTCGTCTTCTTCTCCATCCTCTCTATTGTTGCAATAACTTTTGCCAATTCTGCATCGGCAGAGAAGCCCCCATACCCTTTGACTTCGAAAGGATGCGTGTGCGATATTCGTGAAAGCATAAACGGCGAAAGTGTATCCAGAAGCATCTCCTTGCATGTAGCATGGGTGTAGAGCTTGAAGGCGACCGTACCGAAACCGAGATTCAGATGCAATCTTGCCGCAAGGAGAGAGAATGTTCTGTTCTGTTTGTCTTTGTCCATCTCGACTTGGTGTCGTGCAAAAATGGTTGCTTGTAGCAAAATACGCGGGTTCACATGATCCTCGAGCTCGGAAGTCTTGTCTTCTGCACGCACATGTATTTGATGCATGTTGAGGAGTGTGTAGGTGACCAAGCAAGAGAATTCCGGGTCTTCGGGCCACATTTTTGAAGCTCTGATTGCCAGCTGTAAGACGTAATAGAGATATGTCCCGGCGTACTCTCGTAGCATTACGGCAAATAGATATTCAAACTTCAGCCACACGAGGTGTCGCCGTCGCCAGATGTCTAGAGTAGCCTGAGCTGAAGTTAGAAAAGGCGTAGTAGCAGTAAGGATATGATACAAACATACCTCGTGGCCTTCTCCACAGGACTCCGCTTCTGCAAGGTTCTTATCCACTTGTTCGCCCATGAAGCGCTGGAACTCCTTCAGCTCTTCGCGTGGAAGACGACATATCTTGGGTCTTAGGTCGTTGAAGCAGCTAGGTGTGCTCGAGAAGTCTTGGTAATATCTCTTGCAATCATCCAGCATGGACGTTCCGATCTGATCCCGCAACATAAGGTAAGTGAGTCGTAAAGGGCGATCTTTCGATTCAACTCCATCAGGAAAACATTCAGTAATCTTGTTGGCAATGAACTTTTGGGCGCTGAATCGTTAGTTAGACATGCTTTGCATATGAGACCCAATAGAGAAACTGACTCTTCTTCAGACCGTGTTGCATACACAGCATTCACCATTGCTCCCCACAAATCCCATCTCCAAGCACACAATTCCCAGAACTTGGACTTGGACGCGTGTAAGTTTAAGCGAATCTCGTCGATGGCTTCTACGCAGTGTTTCTCGAGTTGCTTCCATTCTTTGTGTTCCTGCAAGAGTTTGGTCATCAAAGCTGTGATGTCAGATCGATGACGATCGAAAAGGACTTTCTGTGCGGGAGAAGGATTGCTCCAAGCCTCTTGCAATTCCTTCAAGAACCCTTGCCCACCGAGAGTTTCGCCCATAAACCGAAGTTCGCGAATGGTGTTGACAGCAATGGCATCTTCCTGGATTGCATTAGCTCATACCTTACGCTGGCTTAAGTTCAATAAAACACAATACCGAAGGTGCTTGGTACGCTTCCAACATCAATTTCTTTGCGACCTGTTTCTTAATTTCACCATGCATGTCTTTTGCGCCACCTGAAAGAAACCTTTGCTTCGCTGCGAGCTGCCCCGCAATGATTTGCGAATAATGACACTGTTTCTTGTCCGATGGGTTCTCCCTGCTGTACTTGACGATGGCCTGGCATATCAGCACACTGTAAAACTCAAAGCGGCGTTAAACAACTCACAAGGCGCACATCTTCCCAGCAATCCTCTTGAATTGCCGTAGAAAACAGCAGATCCCAGAGTGATGCACGCTCTGATTTGTGTTTCATACGACTTGCTGTGGCTTGCCACGTTGCGAAGGCTTCGGTGCCCATCGTCGCTATGTGGTGGTCTTCGGTTTCTAGTCGACTAGCTGCAATAAACGTCTCGTACATATAGGCAAGTAGTTCAGTGTCCATGATAGGTTGTTGGTGAGCACGTTGAACGAAGGCCAATGTTTCTTTTGGACGGTCATGATTTAGTTGAAGCAATATATCCGCTTTCCATGTCTGTTCAAGCTTTAGTAAATCAACCCAATCTTCGCATACGAACTCACCAGAAGGTAGGGATTATTCGACTGCTTCTTGAGCGCCTTGTCCACGACCTGATTGGCGAACTTCGGTTTCGGATAGTCGCGTTGAGCTTTCGCAAGCTTGTCCCAGCTATTGTACGCCATGATGAGGTGTGTATCAAAAGCGAAGGTGCGCTGAGTACCACAAGGACTGCGAAATAAAAATTTGATGAGGCTGCGAATGAATAGTCGAGCGCGCAGCTCGGTTGCGATAGTGGGGATACCTGGGTAAGGTTGAGAAAACACGGAATGGGGTTTGGGCGGAAATTGTTAGCGAGGGGCGCGGCTGCACTTGCCCACAGTGCTTCGGGGAGAGCACTTGCACATAGCTTTCAGTGTGGTAAGCAAGTGAAGGCCTTTGGAAGATGCAAACATGCTACTCGAACTGTGATTGCGAATGTGAGGCTTGACCTTACAAACATTCGTCTTGACCATTATGGGCAAACTGCGGCAAAGGCATTGCAAGGGTGCACAACTTAACGACTGATCCGACCATTCGAATTATAACTTCCAAGGTTAGGACTACATATATGTACATGTGGTGTTACACGTCGTAGGGTCTTCTATGCCTCGCTTGGTAAAGGCGGGAACAAGACGCGCGCGTACCCTACGCCTAATTCTATCTCTGGCTCTCCATACTCTAAATCTGCACCGGGCTTGCACCATTCGAATGTTCTCCGATCAGGTCGCACACCCAGCTGATCCAGGAGCAAATTCGCTTTGTTTGGCATCCACGGCTGGAGCAGAATGCCAACCATGCGAAGTGCTTCAGCGGCCTCAAAGATGATTTTGTCTACGTCCTCGCCTGGCTCGCCCGGGCCAAATGGCAATATCTTAGCCCAAGGACTAGACGTCTGGAAAAAGAGGTTTGACTAGAATCTTTCAGTTAGAGAGGCGCCGCGCGGAGTAGCAATGTACTTACTCCTCGAACGAAATCTGCAAGAATCCGCACTGCCTTACGAGGATCGTTTAGTTGAAACGCCTGATCAACGTTGGAAGCAATAGTGGTGAGGCTATTCTTCCAGAACCTTGAGCCAGGGCCTTCTTGCCATTCCTCGGCAGGTCTGTTACCAACCCGTTCGACAGCGCCCTTCACACTCCACTTCTTGTTTCGCAACACACGGGAGGCCATGTTGCCCAATTGATTGAGCAAGAATTTGTTGTACAGCTGGATGATACGGATGTTGTCGTAGCTGGCATCGTCCTGGATACCACCCTCGTGGCCCATATAAAATCGCATGACGTCTGGACCAAATCTGTCGATGGCGTGGAAAGGATCAACCACCCTGCCCGTAGACTTGGACATCTTTGAACCTCCAAGGGTCCAGTGGGCATGGGTCAAAATGTGCTTAGGGAGCGGGAGACTAAGAGCCATCAAAAAGGCAGGCCAGTAGATGCAATGGAATCGAACGATGTCCTTTCCAATGACCTGGCAGTCTGCTGGCCAACCTCCCACAGTCTCGCGACCGGGAGCCCAAGGATACCCTGCTGCAGTGATGTAGTTTACCAGAGCATCCAGCCAAACGTATATGGTCTGAGTGTCGTCGCTGGGGACCCGGATGCCCCAGCTCAACCGCTCATAAGGTCGAGATATCGACAGATCCTCTAAGCCTGCTTCCACTGCCTGCACGACCTCCTTCATTCGGTGCTCGGGAGCTATCCACGTGGGGTTTGCCTTGTAGAAGTCAAGCAGCTTGTCGCGGAAAAATGACAGCCGAAAGTGGTAGTTCGTTTCTGAGGACCACTCGACCTCGCTTCCGGTTTCAATCGAGGTCTGCACATTGATCAGCCGGTGTCCTCAGGGATTTTGTTCTAACATAGCATACCATCATCTTGCGCCCAGTCGGTGGGTCGATATATGGCTGCACAGCTGACTGTGGGTAGAAAGCCTCATCCGTAACCGAGTACCAGCCCTCGTGCTTCTGCTCATAGATGAGGCCTTTCTCTTGCAGCAAGAACTACACGCTCATCAGCGGTTTGTTCAAGAGCTACGCTATGGGCCATACCCATGCATATTCCACTGCATCCTTGTGATTCGCGTCTGTCGTTCGTATGAAGTGATCGTTTGTGATCTCGGCCTTCTTCGCGAGTTCCTGTGAGGTATCAGTGGTCTGCTATGATTTAAGATGCGGTCAAAGGGCGTACTTTGAATATCCCGGCTCCTTTGTCGCAAAACGTTTTGGGGTCTGTGCCTGCTTTCTCTGATGCTCGTTGCACCTAATCATCCATCAGCGAAAGCCATGCAATTGCATCTCGAAGATAATAACCTTCAATCCATGCTCGTCCGTCCCAGTCAAGAGTATAGCTTTCTTCCCTTTCAGAACATGCCATCTTTTCATAATGTCCGAGAGGACCATGGTATACAGGTGGCCGACATGAGGGGCAGCGTTGACATAAAATATCGGCGTAGTGATATAGTAGGGCTTCTCGGAAGCTGGCTGGGTCGATATATATCGGTTACGATGGGTGCGAGCTTGACATGACGTGCAAACCCAGGGCGTTATCCTCGGTAAGCCGGACAGCGCGCGTCGAACTGTCGAAACAGCTGGATTGTGTAGCCGCGGGAACATACTTTCGTCGCGATCTCGCGGCGCAATGTCCAGCGCGAGAGCTTCAATTCCGAATGTACGCTAGTCCGAGGGCGGGCAAGCGGGTGGTGACTAAGCCCCAATCTCACTTCACGACCCGTCTATCTCTGTATGCCATGCCTCTCAATTGCCCTTGAGCCTGTTTCCTTATCCCCGCAGACTTCTCCTACCGTGCGCTGCCGTGCGTGCTGTTCCTTACATGAACCACTTGCGATAGTTTCTTTTCCTGCACCTATCTGTTCCCATGCTGTCCTGAACAAGGCATCGCAACGGGGAACAGCCTCGAATCGTAAGTAGAAGTCACTGGCTATTAGATCAGAACTTTATTGCAATCCAATGCCATCAGCCGTCCATGGTGCTATACGCAGTTGTGGGGATCGTCAGTGTATTCACGTGCGCCAGGCCTGGCCCCGCATACACCACATACTTCAAACCAACTGCAGTACATATGTCTCGAGCTATGTGTATGCCCTCCTTGCATAAGTCATGTACTCTCCAGTCATAATGCGCGCTCTCGATTGTGGCGGACAGAAGTGCTTAGGTTGGACCGGCGCCAAGGCTCACCTCGCTATTGATCCTATTCAGACCCAAATCGGGGAACTTCAACAACACGCCTTCACTTCACTTACCCGGCGAACAAACAGCGATCCCTTGTCGAATCCTCAAAGCGTATACAATATCTTTGTGTCTATCGCGAATTCCCGCTCCAAATGGAGGTCGGAAACGATCTGGATCAGTGCAGATTGTCGCCGCGTCGTCGTTTAAGAGTCTAGATGATCTTACAAGCCTGAATAGACCCCTGCTATTGGAACGATATCTTTGAGTGCTTCACCTTCACCTGACCGGGAAACTGCTTTATTGACCAAATCGTCCGGTGACCTCGCCATCTGCATCCCTATTGACACTCGGTACCCTTTATTGAGCCCATTGAGCACCCACGGGATGGAAGGTAGCTTATATAGATTTTCTTTATATTCTACCAAGGTCTTTTGAACATAAATACCTCCCATCATACCGCACTCTATCATATCATCGACTCAACACATCGACCACTCAGTCAATCATTTCAACAGTTTACAACTGTAATTCCCTTTCCAACTCATACCATTCGTTTGACGATACACCTCGATCCTTCATCATGAGGTTCAACGCAGTTATCGCCGCCTGCATTCTTGCGGTCACCGTCAGCGGTGCCGCTCTCCCTACCGAGGACGCTGCCATCACCGACGCGGCCACCATCACCACCACCGAAGCCGAGATCACCGAAGCCGAGATCATCAAAGCCGCTCCTGAGGAGGACGACTTCTTCGACGACGACGAGCAGTTTGAGAAGCGTGATGCCGCAAGTTGGAAGTACAACGGATGGCGCTACCGCCCCTACGGTCTCCCCGTTGGCAAGCGTGATGCCGATGCTGAGGCCGGCTGGCGCTACCGCCCCTACGGCCTCCCCGTGGGCAAGCGTGAGGCTGCTCCTGAGGCAGATGCTGAGGCAAAGTACAACGGCTGGAGATACCGCCCATACGGTCTCCCGGTTGGCAAGCGTGAGGCCGAGGCAAAGTACAACGGCTGGCGCTACAGGCCTTACGGCCTTCCCGTTGGCAAGCGTGAGGCTGAAGCTGATGCTTCCGCTGAGGCGAGGTACAACGGCTGGCGCTACAGGCCTTACGGCCTCCCCGTCGGCCGTTAAGTTCTCGACTTGAACGCAATGTGCTCTTGAGCTGATCGACTGCCGCCTCTTCTACTTGCCCGTCGGTGGGAACCTTTACTTCTCTTCTTCCATCCGCCTTCAACGATCAACGCCAGAACTTTGACAACATCTTCGTCTCGAACCTGGTGCTGGCGGACCTGTACATTTGTTACATCGCTCTCGTGCTCAGTCTTTGCATATGTGTTGGAACTCGAGCTGAGCTTGGCTGGTTGTCTCGTCCTGTGAGGGATGACTTGTCTCTTTTCTGTATATTTACCTCTCAATGAATGAGTCTTTCAACTATCGCCCCATGCTATCTCACCGTGACATCTTTTGCAACCACGAAAGCGAAATCAAAATCTACACGTGAAGTCAAAACCCCACCATTGCATATTGCATCAGCGGTCTTACCTCCAACACCTCCTTTCCTAGCTCCAGGTACCGTACGACATTCACCCTCCATCACCGTCTCTCCCGCTGTTACTTGCACGTTTTCCCTCGTCACATGCCACACGCCCCATCACGCGTCACCTAGACTATCGAACCCAATTTCCGAAAAAAACCACATCACACCGCAACCCATCACCAAGGACAATCTCCGATTTTGACAGCGGGTGTCTGCATTGTCGTGTCATGTGTGATGTGTTCTGGTACTAGACAGCTGTCAAGTCCGCGCCGGGTCACCTACCCCATACGGGCGGGCCAGCGTGTTCGTGGCATCAAACAATTTTGCGCATCACGATAATGCAGCGTCCGAGTCACTAAGTCGAGATATGTCCTGGGTCACTTGGCGATATACATTGCGACCTGCGATCGGAATCATGCGCTAAATCAGTGGCAGTAATTATCTACCCAAGCAGCTGGATGTCGCCCCAAACCCACCTCTCCCAAGAGTTTCGAATAAACTAACTGCACTGCCTAATCAACACCCAAACCTGTAAATTGGGGTTGCATATCGGTTACCGACGTGTTGGATCCCTTGGGTTTCGCAAGCGACAGCCTGACAAATAGTGCTGGCGTAAGCGACATTGGGGCTGTTTCTCAACGGTTTATGCAGGAACCTTAACTGCGCAGACGAGCAGGAAGGATGGGAAGTGAGCGGGATCGTTTCATGCGGAGGCGGAAATGCGGGATTAATATCGTGTGGTGTGTTACGGGGAGGGATGGGATGAGTTGGGAGGGTAAATTTGCGGGCTTTGGGTTGTGGAACGATTATGCTGGGAAGGGAAGTTTGTGTTGCGAGGATTTGTGGGTTCGTGTAACTATTAGCTGTGTAATACGTGACTGGTTGTATGCATGTGAGGCTGAGAAGAGACATCGCTTGCACATGCGAGATGGCACGTTTAACAGTGGAGAGAGGAGAGAAGTATTTTTGTAATGATCTCATTTCATTCATATGTGTACCTATATGTGTCCCAACCGACTCCCGAAACCTATTCCCAACCCAACCTAGACTACAGCTTTTCTTTGGTGTGGACAAAGAAGGTTCTCTGCTGCACCAAAGCGCAATGAGCGTGAGAATTAATTGCTAGCACCACGCATCCCCAACTTGATCCATTACCATGCCAAAAAATCTTCGTGTATTCCGTGTCGTCCCGAACCTTGCGGTTCTTCTTAGTGTCCAAGTCTTTAGATGTAGTGAAGGTTAAAAGATGCTGTGCTAGAGTAAAAATGAGAGATGCGAAGGCAGATATACAAAACTGATTAAGGGATACTGTAAAGGGTATAATGGCGATCATGAGCACTCCGGAGAGTGCAGTGCAAAAGAGAGGAGAATGGCAGTTGCAGGAAAGTCAAAAACGCCCGCTCGCTTGCTGAAAAAAAAAAACACAATGACCGAAAGGAAATAGAGGTTGGTACACGTGATCAAACGTCCATGCCGTTGACGTTGACCTCGTAGCCGTCGGCTTTTGGCTTTGAGGGCCTTGGCCAACATAAGCTCACGCATCCAGTCGATGCGCTCGTCACGGCCCTTGACAGCAAAGTGGTGAACCTTGCCATTGGGCATGACTTTCCTGATTGTCGCCCTTGCCTGGGCGCAGTAGGAACGAGCTGAGAACTCAAAGTTGGGCTGCGCAATCTGTTCTTTCTCCTTGTGGTGGCCAGCTGACAGCTTGAGGGCCTTGAACCTGGCAGAGAGCTTGTTGGACGCAAGTGACGAGCAGGCGACCGCGTAATCGTCCACGTCAATGGTCTGCAGAGCAGACGAGGAAGGGAGTTCGTTGGGATGCATGGCAAGCATTGTGCCCTGGAGGCGGAAGTGGTGGTCCTGCCACTCATGTCGCAACATCTTGGTGCGACGCTTCTTCATCCAGCCGTGATGGTTGACGCCCTTGTATGCGAAACCTCCCTTGGGCAGCGGAGGTACAGAGTCTGCAGCTTCGCCGTCAAATGACCTCGACGCTCCCTTGGTTGGGGATGACTTGGCACTGTCGTCAGAGAACTGTGTTCCGTGCAGGGTCTCGTCGTCCGAGTGGGCGACCTGTGGGCTGAACACCTGGTTCTCATTAAGCGCTGGCATGGGCAACGAGGGACGTCGTCGGTCGTGTCGCGAGCCACCCCTCTGGATTTGGATCTTGTACTGCATGTTGGGCGGCACGGACTGGCTTGTGTCACGAGACACAGGCTCGGTAGGAACGACCGTTACTGGAACATCCATCTCGGAGAATGGTGTACCGAATCGGTAGACACCGCCGGGAGAAGTCGTGCGACATGGAGAAAAGGCGGTGTCGGGTGCCACGTGCGAAGCTTGTGGGGCAAGATGGCGTGGGTTGCCATACGGTTGGGCAGATGCAGAGCGAGGTCCTGGGATTGTGAGCTTGGGCAAGGCTCTTGAGATTAGCATGCGGTGCTGGTACGAATTCTGGTGCGTGCATAGCATGGATTTGGTGAACTGAAGTGGTCGAAAGACCTTGTCGTATGCGCCGATGTCGATGCGGAGAACGCTGAAACCTCTGGGTTGTGCTGTTGCTGCCGGTATCACCAGGAATGGACGAGGTGGGAAAAGTTCCATCGGGGGGGTTGGGGGTGCTTCGATTGGTGTAGCACTGCTGTACGGTTGTTCCAGCCCTTGCAGCGAGAGGAACTGTCGTACATTGTCCTGCGGATCGCGCTTCTCTACTTCCTGGAGATCTTGCAAAGTAAAGTCAGGGAGCTGACTAGGACCCAGGAGATCGGACGATGCTACCACAGATGGAACGATCAGAGAAGGAGCGGACTCCGATGTAAGACGATGAACGTTCTCGACAGCCCGACCAGCTGTTTGCGCGTTACCAGGGTCTCCAGCAATGAAGATGTGGCCACCCTTTTCAGGTGAGATGGGAAATCCATGCTCTTGTTGAAGCCTAGCCAGTTGACGCTGCTGCTTCCTCCACTTTGCGCATCGTTCTCCTTTTGCGCACGTGTGCGGCTTGGGTAGCAATTGTTCGATGGCCACAATGGAGACCGAATGGGCAGGGGTGATGCCATCGTCCATTACGTGTCGCATCGGACGGCCTTGGGACTTGTCACGGTTTACTTGTTTCCTGTTCTTGCTCTTTGACCTACTTCTTGCCTCTGTGCAAGGACGATCTATATCTTCAAAGGGCGTAGGAATTGGGGCGGGTGCTACTGGAGATAACAGGCCATCAGCGTTGCGCAGAGAATCGATCTGATGCCACAGTTGGTGTCGCTTGCCCAAATGACTGGGATTTCTAGCTCTTTAAGATCATCGAAATTGCAGATCTAGTAGGACCGCGCCAGTGATGGTCGTGGGTGACGAACTTTGGTCGATAACATCATCCTCGAAGCCATTTTGATACATCCAAGTGGCTACATCGCGAGAGGGTCCCAACCACGCACTTCCGCGTTGTCCAGATGTGCTACAGCAAGGGCGATGTTGTTGTATTCGCGCTGAGGTACTACGGTCTCTGGGGTGGCCTCTCTGAAAGACGTCGGGAAACGCGATGGTGGCTCTTTCGGGAGGAGTGGCGACATTTGTAACGCATAGTCGAAGTCGTTCGAAGAAACCGACGCACGAAACAGATGTGGTCCCTTGGGACCTTCCACAGATTTTCGAGCATGCCAGTACGCAAACTGCGGCCGTATCTCATCAGCTGGTGTCTGGACTTCTTCGAAGGTTGAGATGGTTGTTTGACTTCGTCGGTTGTCGCTCTGTCCCACTGGTCAGCTCACAAAGTTTCGGTATAGTAATGGTCCAACGCACTGAAGATCCACTATACTCCTCGAATTCACTGTCGTCATCTTCGATATCGGTGTATGCAACGCTAATGTGGGAGACCGGGCGTTCGAGGGACGAGCGAGCTGTCAAAGCAGAGGAAAAGAACGATTGTGTCTTTGCCCTCTGAAACATCTCTACACCCGGCTCCAAAGGAGTAATTGGTGTCATGGCCTGCTACATGGAAGTGAGTACCAAGCTTACAGCTAATTCACAAAGTCAAAACTCACCATGATCACGGTACTGGTGCGCGCAAGCGCTCAAGGTCCGGGAATACCTGTCGTTCAGATGTTTGACGACGATTCTAAGAGGATATCCGTAGCATGGCAAATGTGTGTATAGTTGTCAAACGTTTCCAAAGAAAGGATCGGACGCAGCGGTGCTTTTACCAGAGCGCTTGTAAGTTGATAGCGGGGCTTTCCTGCTGCAATGTGATCTGGCGTCCACCATACATGTGGCGGGCTCACGCTGGAAGCGCTGGACTCGTAGGCGGGCGGGACGAAGTGCATGTGAAGGATCCCATTGGCTGCCGATAAGCACACTAAGAGTCTGAATCAAGCAATTTAGCTATCATTAGCATCTCCACGTTAGGGTCTGCAAGGGTCTATGCATGGGTACGTAGTGCACGGCTTTCACACCGTTTTGACCGCGCTGCATATGATCTAAGAAGCTACTTCGGGAGGCGATCATCGTGTGCCTTGAAAGGAGCCTCGAAGCTGCGCAGATCCAACCAGTCCACCTTATGCACGGCGCAGCTTTCGATTCGCTGGGATCCCCTGAGGCGCAATGAAATTCGCAATGGTACACATTGGAGTCTTTCGAGTCGCATGAAGAAGACTACTGGTTAAGCGTGACTGTCCAGGTTCTTCCCTGCCCGTGGTGGTTGGGCTTCAATGATAGTTTGGTTGATGAGTGGACGGGTATACCGTGTCCGTGCGAACTTAGACTCGGGCGGGAGCATCGAGGCTGGACTCCACTCCAGGGCTCAGGCCGAGAAAGCAGCATTGCACGCCCCTACCACAGTACATAGCACATAGGCACAATTATCGTTGGGACCCACGGCGCACGTTGGTCAAGGGTATCTACAGCGCTCGTCACATCTCGTGCTCCTGGAGAATGCTAAGACCCGTCGCGCGATGCTCCCGGCCATCGTCATATGGTAAAAGCTTCCAGCTCGACGGTCCAGCTGCGCAGAACAGACCATGTCGCACCGAGCTTCAACTACAACCACGAGGCTTCTCGTGCTTCTGCGGACCCGAAACCCGTGACCGAATGCAAATGCGACCCTATCCGGTTCCTGGGTTCGAAGACCACCGACCTTGTGACTCCTAGGTGGATCGGTCGCTCTAGGCGTAAAACCTGGAGGCGAATCAGGTGGTCAGGATGCCTTGTTACACGATTAACGACTCTTACACCGCAACTCATTCCTCGTACTGCCCCGGGATGCAAAAATGCTTCCTTGTAGGAAGCTCGTTGCTCCGCTTCAACGCTCGCATGTCACAATCCGTCGCGAGCCGCATCAACAGCGTGCCCAGGTGACGTGGTCATGCCGACATGCCGGTGGAGCACGAGAACTGCTTCTTCTCTTGGATGCCGAAGAGAAATTGCGCCGGCAAAACGACATGGCTATCAAAAGGATGTCAAGAATCGCAATATCAAATTTCGCATCTAGTGCGCTCGTCAAGCTCAACAGCTCCAGAGCATCGGACACGGCTCCCGCGGGTACATAGTAGCAGCATAAACTTCACGTTGTCAGGTGAGATGGATCCTAGCCGAGAAGATGCCGTGTAAGGTCAAGGACATGTCCCATTTGTGGACTACGAAGTATTGGTCTCTGGCTGCCGGTACCCAATGACCGTTGCGCATCGAGCTCCACGACTGCGAGGTTAATTATGGACCATTTTCTCGAGGACCGAAGGTAAATTTGCGAGCTATAAAAGGACCAACCAACACTTTCTAGATACCCATGTCGAGATGGCCAAGGCGCCCCGCAGTGTACACTAGCACTTTGACCACGTTCATTGGATCGCGCACAAAGCTTATCACGCAAGGGCTCACCACTCAGCGTGTGATGCCACGCTTCAAGCTCGCTTCTGCATGTGCACGCCAGCCCGCCCAGTCGAAAAGCGTGTGCAGCTCGGAAGTCCTGGTCAACCGACCTGCCCCGTTCGGTCCATCATGCGGTTCTTCCTCGCCCGCCTCGTTAGCTCTTTCCACCAGTGGAAATGTGCACGACAGTTCTCGACTGTGAATTGGGCCTTCTCTAGCTTGCCCCGTTGTCCACGGTACTTGGCTAAAGTACCTGTAGTACAAGCGAATGGACCGAAGCTGCGCACACAGCCCGTCCTACGACTCACCGTGTGACCCTCGTGTCGAAGCTGTTGAAGAGACGAGATTCGTGTGGTCAAACGCCCACATATCTGGATGCAGAATCACCTCTCCATACCTTACCTTGGCATACGCCTCAGCGATCTGCATGTGCACACGGACAGACCACCAACAACGTTCGGGACGGCCAGTTATCGAGCCGCTGCAAGTGTTTCCTAGGCTGTTCTTGGATACATCGGATGGTGACGAGGTTGGGGCGGAAGCAGATCAAGGCACGTCCAATGTCACCATCCAGCATGGGCCCTGCTGTGTCTAGCACTAAAAGAGTCGATTAACCTGCTAAAGGTGTTGCGGGGCGCACAGATCGATAGCCGTACAGATATGTATGCGTTGTGGAGCCATGCCCACGATTGGCTCTGGTCTGGCGGTTAAGTGAGCAGCAGCCCCCAAAATAGCCATAATCAAAAATGACCCCAAAAGTCACCTCTCGGCTGCAGGGTAATCCCGCTACGGCCAATCACGCAGTGTAGCCATGCACCATGGCGTTCATTCTCGTTGGACTACCACCCGGTCTAGCAGTACGTACTCCAAGAATAGCTCGAGCGAAGTGTGCTAAGTCTGTACCGTTTTGGCAGATATAAGGTACTTTGCTCGCCCACCTTGGGCTCTATCATTACGACAAGGCAAATTTGGCTCTCTTCTCTCATTCACATTAATCTCGCTGGTCGAGCTAACCTTTAATCGAGCCCGCCATCCTTGTCCTTCCCGTCTTTTGCATTGGTCGTTATTGCCGTGTTTACTAGCTTCTTTCATCTACCACATCTCTGGATCCGAGTACTTCAAGTGTCCATGTCCTCCTCAACCGCACCCACATCAACTGGCAAACAGTCCACATCCATGGTGGGAACAACAAACGCTGCCAACTCAGCTAAGCAAGCTGCCGCGAAAATGCATCGTCGCTCAAGAACAGGTACCCTTTAGTCCTAAATCTCTCATGCAGGGATCCCGCGCTTTGACATGTAGCTAACGGGAAGCGCAGGGTGCTTTACATGCCGCCTACGACGGAAGAAGTGCGATGAAGGAAAGTCTTCCTGCCGCGCCTGCAAACATCTCGGTCTCAAGTGCGAATACAAGCGACCAATGTGGTGGAGCAACAATGAGCAGAGGCGAAACCAAAAGGAGGTGATTAAGAACATCATCAAGCGCACCAAGCTCAACGAGAAGAGCGCACAAGGCGTCACAATAGGCACAAACACCCCACCAAGCCTGTGCCACTCAATGCAAACAGCCGATACCTTCTCAGACGGCATCACATGCACTCGTGCGCCTTCAGTGGATTCGCAAAACTCGCTGGACTACAACTTCAACACTTCGACGCCAGACTTCTACAACGCTGCGATGCCTCCCCCAATGTTCGCGCCTTCCTTCCCACACCCTGGGCAGTTTGCGCCATTCGAGATCGACATCAAGACCGAGAGCCAGATGTTCATCAACGACATCCCAACTCGCCGAGACTCAACCATCTCGACCTTCAGTCATTACCAGACCCCACCAGCTGTCGGAGGATACGCAACAGACAACTGGGTCCAACAAGACTACTTCGAGAGCCACCGTGAGTCCTTCGCAGAGGAGCCACTCGAGATTCCATTCTTTGACTACACCAACCACGGATCGTTCAGTCCATCGCACAATCCTGTTGTGCAAGTTGACGCTTGCGATCAACATCTCCTTTCTCACTTTGTCGACAACGTCTTGCCCTTGATATACCCCGTCCTCGAGGCCAACCAGCCTGGTTCAGCACGCGCGGATGTCATCATGCCTGCGCTGGAAATTAACAAAGCCTATCAGCATTGCTGCCTGAGCGTCGCCGCTCTGCACATGAAGACGACACTCGGACTACAAGGACAGATCGACCAAGATGTCCTGCGCAACCGATACGCCGGTGTCGAACAGCTCACCATGTCTCTTTACAGCGACAGCTTGCACGCACAGACTCTCGAGGCTACTCTCGGTATGATCTTCATGCCCTGCTCAGTTGGGCGCATCGACGATGGCCTTCAAGATATTCCGTGGCACCAGCATTTCCTGGCAGTTCAGAGTTTGATCCACAAGCTTGACCTTCCAAACCAGATGGTGTCAATGAACGGAACTGCGCACTCGCAGCCTCCCTTCAACATGACCTTGGCTGCCTGGATCGACATCCTCGGTGCAACGATGCTGGGCAAGACTCCATCCTTTGCCGATACCTACCGTGAGCAGCTTATTGCAGACGCTCCCTCTGGCCTGGCAGAGCTCATGGGCTGTGAAGACCGGATCATGTACTTGATTTCAGAGATTGCCTGCCTTGAGGCACTGAAGCTCGAGAACATGGACCAGTCACAACTGTGCCAACACATCCAGCTCCTTGGTGAGCAAATCAGCCTGACGGAGCCGCCCCATGGTTCGCTCAACTCGGCCATTTCCTCAACTGGCGACCTTCTCCCAAGGCAGCTTCGCAAGAACATGACTGCGGTTTTCCGCCTTGCGGCCCGCATCTACTTGTGCAGTCTCGTTCCTGGCTTCGACCGCACACAGCAAAGCAGCATCAACTTGGTGAACGCCTTCTGCAAGGCCATGGAGTACATTCCTGTTGGACCCAACGGCTTCGACCGCTCCCTCGTCTGGCCACTTCTTGTGGCCGGATCAGTTGCACTCCCAGACTCGCCTTTCCGCACCATGTTCTCTCAGCGCGCCAACCAAATGGGCGAGACCGCAGAGTTTGGTTCTTTCGGAAGAGTCAAGGAACTCCTCAGCGAAGTCTGGAGTGTCAACGACAACAACCTCGCAAAGGGTATCATTCAGAGTGTCCACTGGCGGGACACGATGCTCCAGAAGGGCTGGGACTTCTTGTTGATATGAAGTGTCAGCTCAGCTGCTGGAAAAGCATCCTGGTCTGTTTGGCCATCTTTGCGGCCACCTTCTTTCAAACGCGCCAACAGCGCTTTCCTTTTTCTTGCACATATTATCATCGCGATCGCATTATACCCATTTTGTAATTTCGGCATCATCATCAGCATCTGCACGGCGCAGTAGCATGGCGTAGGAGGAACATCATGATCACGGCTGGACTCGGTGCTTGCTCTCCCCTGGCAGCGCCTGGAACTGAAAAGGGGGCAATGGGAACGCTAGTGCAGCACCCATTCTACATTGTATAGTAATTAGGGGGCCAAGTATGAGCTTGATAGCTCCAGAAGAATTCAAGATGAAACGGGCGAGACGCTCGCAACCAACAACGCCTTCTTTGTGCATCATGCAGATGTGATTGGCTAACACGGGGTGAGGCTACCACGACTGGCGCTGACAAACTCTCTCCGGCCAGCGATGAGCCTGGCACTAATTTTAGCAGCAACATCAAATGCAGGCGAAGCAGACAGAGTCTCGACTGTGCCGCAAACAACGTCGACTCGGCAAGGCATTCCATCAGAGTTGGGGTTGACAGCGGGATGTGAGGGGAACACAGCCACAAATGACTGGTCTCGCCGCACTGGACAATTCGAAGACAGTACGCATAGCTTCAGGCTATTGGGTTCTTACCCTTCCGAGCTTCGGTTGCACACGGTATGTATGTTCATTCACACGTGCTAAAGTGCTGTAGTTCGAAATTGAGTTCTGCCATAGCGGAAGCCGTCGCTCACGGGCCGCATACGACTGCCAATTTGCGTGTTCCTGATTAACCTTGCGCCTAGACATCATACCCGCCCCCACCCTTTTGTACACGCGGCGACGCCAGTAACGCGCTTTCGACATCATTTCACACCGCAATGGCCAACATTCCGTTCACAGCTGTAGACACGGCCACGAGGGTTCCAGTGAAGGACGAGGTCGAATCTCCTAGCATTTCCAGCACAAATGCGCTCGCCCGCTACGAGTACGAAGCCGGCCATGCCAACGCTACAGAGGGTACCAAGATCCTGATGGTGGAATGGGAAGACGACGACACAACGCGCGGGGTTCGCGGGGACTGGCATATATCATGGGAAGGCAGCACCAGAGTCTTGCCTGCCAACGATCAACCCGCCAACGATGTGAATCGCATGTACTTCCTGCTACCACCTGGCGTGGCTGTACCCACAATAGTGTCACTTTCCCTCCGGCCTGAGGACAAGACCAAGCCACCTGTTGTCTGGCAGACGAACCCATTGCCTGCCCTGTTCCCTCCTGAATTAGGAGCGTCAGCACGGGCAGCAGGAAAGAAGGGCGTACTCCACACCATCTGGGCGAAGAAGCGATTACAAGTCCTGCAGAAAGAAATCGACGCAGAGTCACGCAACAATATCGAAGGCATCGGATTACAAATGGCAGTGGACGAGAAAGAGTGGATCGAACAGACCTTTGGTGTCAACGCACGCCCGGCCGGCCTCAGTCTCTCGCTAACAGAGCCGTCAATAGCTGGTCCAACAAGTCCAAGGTCGCCCGGCGGAGGCCGACTGATGGAGAAGCTCGCTGGCTTGAAGCTGAGCACAAATGAGAAGGACTTGACGCCCGGCGGTAGCATGCCACAGTCGAATCCCCTCTCACCCGAATCGTCGGACATTGCGGTCTCATCCTTCGCTGTGTTCAAAGGCGCGAACCCGTCTGCACTCGCAGCGAAAGCACCACAGCAACCGGTGGCGCCGAGGAGAGTAGCTGCTGCGATTCCACCGCCTTCGATCATTGCGCAACAGAGTTCTGGCATGGGTTCGCTCAACGCATTGTCTGGGCCAGCGCCCGTGTTTCAGTCTCGTGGCCCAGTATCGACGGAGGAGGATGACGATAACGACGATGGATTGTTTGCTCTTCCGATCAGCCCGCGCAGTCCGGAGGTTGGCAAGAGCCCCTTCTCGTTCGGCGGGAATGATACAGTGAAGTTCTTGAAGGAAGAGAGCGCTGCTTGAGGTATGCCGGGGAGGACGTTTAATGACTACTGGAGTTTCAAGGGCGGTTGGTTGTTCAAGTGTGGGTTTTTAGCAATAAGTAGACGCCTGTTGATGAGTGATACCTGGGCTGCTTGCAGCCCGATAGAAAGTGTAAAGCCACAGCCGTATGCAAGAATGAAGATGATTTATCATGATGTCAAAGTTTGCTATGTATTGGTGGACAGAACCGCAAAAGCGTGACGAAACCGTCTTAGCACGTGCAAACCAGTTGCGGGTGCTTGCTCTGGCTGCCGGTAGATGTCCACAGAGCCTGTACTTGAGCACTGATCGAACAGCAAGGCACGATACAGTGCGACATGGCTGTCAAGTACGGCAGTAGCCTATCATCTTACCCCTTAAGCTATGTAGAAGAACGATTTGAAGCTGATCATGAAGAGGGTCTTCGCCTTCCGCTGTGAACGAGCTTCGCTGAGCGGCAGTCACGTGGGATTGTGGTGGTGGCCTAAGCGGACTAGAGCGGAAAGTGGACCGCAACACGCCCGGTCTCCGTTCGCAGCTTCCATAGTTCGCGCCGCAGCTCTCACCAACCTCCAACCACTCAACTTCTGCACCCTCTATTGTGCAATTTCTGCTCGACAACATCATCAGGCCAAGCTCGCGACACGCTTCTGCGTTCTCACGAAAAAATGCTTGCCATCGGTCGAGGCAGTATTGCCCATGTGCAATACACTGGCGACGAAGCTGCTGGTGAGATCAAGAAGCTCCTCGACGCTGTTGTAAGTTTCGCCCAACCACGCCGCTTTGCGCATGCTGATATCTTCGCAGATCGCAGACGAGGATGACTTTGAGAAGTGGGAGACTCTGATCAATCGCGCTTCTGACCTCGAGGGCGGCGTCACCCGGAACTCAAACCCGTCGGCTATCGAGCTCGTTCGCAACGTATATGACTGCTTCCTCGCAAAGTTCCCGCTCTTCTTCGGATACTGGAAGAAGTATGCTGATCTCGAGTTCTCTATTGGCGGCACCGAGACTGCTGAAATGGTGCGCTTCACACTGTAGCTCCTTTGCGACAGCGAGGCTAATGGTTGACACAGGTCTACGAGCGCGGTGTTTCTTGCGTCACAACTTCTGTCGATCTGTGGGCAAACTACTGTACCTTCAAGATGGATACGTCCCATGATCCCGACATCATCCGAGAGTAAGTCTGGCCTTTCTTCCTGAATACAGGAACTCAGATCGCACCTTAGCGAACAGCCTGCGCTTGGTGGCATCACGGTGCATCCCTGACCAACTGTTACTGGAACCGTGCTGCGCGAAGCTTTGGTTACTCTTTCTTTGCCCCACTACCACATACCGCACTTGTTTAAGTTCCGATAACTGTCCGCGGTCCGGATCGCATCTTGCGACAAGGTTCTTCTTCAGGAAGCTTCACACCCCCTCTCCCCACCCCGCTCCTGCACTCTTATGGAATTACCATACTGACAATACAGTCTCTTCGAGCGTGGCGCCCAGTCTGTCGGTCTTGACTTCCAGAACCATCCGTTCTGGGACAAGTACATCGAGTTCGAAGAACGCAACCAGGAGTACGCGAACGCCACCAAGCTGTACAGCCGCGCCTTCCGCATCCCTAGCTACTATTTCACCAAGTACTACGAGAAGCTCTCTGTCGCACTCGGCTCACGCCCTGTCGAAGAGCTGGCCGAGCCGGAGCTGCTTGAGACCCTGAACAAGCAAATCCAGGTCGAGAACCAAGGCCAGCCAGAGAAGGCTCCTTTGGAGCTCGAGCGTCAGATCCGACATGCGATCAGCCAGCACTATTACAACATCTATGCGAGCGTTCAGGCAGACGTTTCGAGCCGCTGGAGCTTCGAGCAAGAAATTAAGAGGGCTTACTTCCACGTTACGGAGCTCGAGCAGTCTGAACTTGACAACTGGCACAAGTACCTTGACTTCGAGGAGAAGCAAGGCGACTTCGAGCGCGCATCATTCTTGTACGAGCGCTGTCTGTCCATATGCGCTCTGTACGAGGAGTTCTGGCTGCGCTATGCGCGCTGGATGTACTCGCAAGGCAAGGAGGAGAACACTCGGATCATCTATGCGAAGGCCAGCTGTATCTTCGTTCCCATCGGCTGCCCGACTGTGCGACTCAACTGGGCTCGTTTCGAGGAGAAGCTTGGCCGTACGTCAATAGCCCGCGACATCTATGTGGCCATTCTTGACCAGGCTCCCGGACACCAGGAGACGCTCATCTCCTTGGCCAACATCGAGCGTCGCCACGAAGGCAACGATGCTGCTGTCCGCCTCCTCGACGACTACATTGAGCGTTCTGACAACCACATTGGTGGTATTCTTGCCGCTGAACAAGTCCGAATCCTGTGGCAGTGCAAGGGCTCCGTAGATGAGGCCCGCAAAGTCTTCCAGGAAAAGCACGAGCGCTTTGGCGATTCGCCCGACTTCTGGCTTAAGTACTTGGCTTTCGAAATCGCACAGCCGTTCACCGATGAAGAGGAGGCCCACTCGCGTGTCAAAGCCGTCTACGAGTCGGCACACCGCCTATCTCCAGAGGGCTCCAAGGGGCTTGCACAGCACTACATGGAGTTCCTGATGAACCGCGGAGGCAAGGATGCTGCGGAGGAGTATATGCAGCTAGACCGCGATCTCAACGGGTATGTATCATCTGCTAAGAGCGCGGCCCCTTCCCAATCCCAAAAACGCAAAGGACAGCCTCACAACACAGCAAACAAGCGTCAACGCAAGTAGCCTGGCGTCGACGTTGATACCCAGCGCATTGCAGAGGGTCGGTAGAGCCAGGAGCCGACCTTCCCTCCCCTTCCCAATTGCTTATTACTGCTTGACTCATTTTTTTCTGCTTCCGCGTTACCGCTAGCGAAATGTAATCACCACCGCTCTACATCTGTTGACACTCGCTAACTTTGGGACTTCAAAGTTACCACACGCAGATGAAAGGCTGGTCATCGGACTCGCACCAGGAATCGCTTCAAGGCCACAATTGATTGTGGACCACATGGTATGTTTGAAATACCATCATCGCATGACCATGCTTTTGCTAACCAGCCTACAGTTGAGGTTCGTCTGCCGCCACCCACCAACCCCCTCCACCCCATGGACCCCTACTGCGTATTAGCTCTGATCCGTTGCATTGCATGACCGCCTCGGACCATTGACACGACTTGGGCGGCATTATACCCCTGCCCGACGTTACGCCCCCCTTTGCGAAAATTCCCCACCCGAGTAATAGCATCTGCCCATAAGGTAACAAACCTTTCCCATCCCATTCCCCCGCACGTGTTATGCATTTCTGAGCTGGATATGGGCGGCACGATTGAATGCACACAGCATAGGCTTTGTGCCTGCTTAGTGGCGCATGGAGTTTGGGTTGACTCTACTCAGCTAGTACTAGGAACAGGAATGTCTCCGTAAATTTTCAATGAATCAAAAGAATCTCAAATGCTACTGCTCTTGTCGAGATAGATCATGTGATGCAATAATTATCCTATCTTGTCGCAGCCCTTGACTCAATTGAGTATCTGGGTCAACCCATCTCCATTCCATTTCCCTCACAGCACAAACCCACCACTATTCTTCTGCCTCGGCTCCCCAGCCGCCTCGAACGTCCCGTTCCTCAATCTCCTCAGCCCCTGCGCCGTACTCTGCCCCGGCGCAACCCACGTGACATTCGCGCCCAGTCCCTTCAAAAACGCCGTCGTTCCATTATCAAACCCATACTCAAAGCTCACCTGCGCCGGCACCAGCTGATCGTGAATCCTCGGCTGCGCCAGGGCCTGCGGCGCACTCATATTGCCGTCCAGTATATGGATCAGGTTCTGGATCGTGGCGGTGATGATGCGGCTCCCGCCGGCGGCACCGACGGCGACGTAGAATGCGTCTACTAAGCTAGAGGAGTTGGCGTGCTCGACGATGACGGGGGCGATGGAGGATAAGGGGCGTTTTCCCGCGCGCACGTAGTTTGCGGGGGAGGGGATGAAGCCGAACGCGTTGCTAGTCCCAGGGATGCTGAAGTCGTTCATTTCGTTGTTCATGATGATGCCCGTCTCTGGGACGACGAGTTTGGAGCCGAAGAGTAAATTGACGGTAGTGGTGAGGGTGATGGACATACCGCTCGCATCAGCGGTGACGACGTGGCTTGTACCTGGGGTTTCGAGTGATTCAAAACCCTCGGGGTCGTAGTAGGACGTGTTGAATGTGCGCGTGTCGTCGATTTTTGACCGGACTTCTGCGGCGGTTTTGGCGCTGATCATGGCGTTTTGGTAGGCGTCAATGCCATTGAGGAACAAGGGGTCGCCGAGGTTTGCGCGCATGCCGTAGGCGAATTTCATCGATTCGTCAAGGCGGTGGGTGGTGAGGTTTATGTTTGAGGGAGATCCGACGCAGGTGTAGCCTTCCATGATTTTGAGGACGGCGAGGGCGACTTCGCCGCCTGAGGGGGCGGAGCAGGCGGTGAGTTTGTAGTCGCGGTAGGTTATGGTGGAGGGTTGACGGATGGCGACTGTGTAGTTTGCAAGGTCGTCGAGGGTCATGGTGCCGTTTTTCGCGCGCAGGGCGTTGATGGTAGCTTCTGCGATGGGGCCGGAGTAGAATGCATCGGGGCCTTCTTTGGCGATGGTCTCGAGGGTGTTGGCATAGCGTTTTCTGGTAATGGTCTCGTTGAGCTTGAGGAGACGGCCTTTGGGCGCGAAGTCCAGGGCAAATTCCAGGTCGTTGACGAGGAAGTTTGAAGAGGAGTTTGCGCCGGCTGAGCTGATTGCTGAGGCCATGTAGTTCACGAGATCTTGGTTGACTGTCCATCCATCTCTAGCGACTTTGACGGCGGGAGTAAGAACAGTCTCCCAGGGTAGCTTTCCATAGTTCTCGTGCAGACGCTGGAGGCCGCGGACTTCACCTGGTACGCCGGAAGCAAGGCCTCCTGTTAGACTAGCCTGTTCGTTGTTCTTGTACATGTCTTCGAAAGCTGCAGCGGGTGCTGTCTCTCTGAAGTCGATGAACTCGTAGGTTCCATTGGGTGCGCGGATTAGCATGAAGCCTCCTCCACCAAGGCCTACATTTCATCAGTAAACATACACTTCATATTCGAGTGTCTTGATGTCATACCACTGTGATACATGCCCACCACTCCAATGCACGCTACGGTGCCGACCATGGCATCGGCAGCATTACCACCAAGTCTCAGCAATTCAATGCCGATATGACTGCAAATATCGCTTTCCGAAGCCACAGCTCCACGTTGGCCATCATGCAGTATCGGGGCTGAAGGTGCTCCCAGCACCGTCTGTAGAGTCAAGAGACTCGCGAACGCCCTCATTACAGAACCAGCACCGTAAGCCATCGTACCAGCTTCGTTTTGACTATCAAGTAAAGTGGTAGAGGAAAGAAGCTCAGCTAGCCAGCGGAAGAGCATTACTTAAGGCAAACTACTGCAGCCTCGCAACCCGATGGCGTGCCCGAAGCCCGCTTTGACGCTTTCGGAAGGTTAATGCACGTCTGGCGGGATGGAACCAGGATCTGGAGAAAAGAACGACGCGGGTACTTGTAAACTCCGTCATCACGGCTCGTGTGCCTGTTGGAAGTTTATAGGCGGAGTTGGCTTGCTGCGCTTCCTAGAGATAGCGGTAGCAATTGGCCGAGAGAGATAAGCCGTCCTGCGGGGCTGGAGATAGCCAGCGATTGGGTTGTTGGAGCTTGAGGCTCATCGCTGCGATTACATTACACAGACTTTGATGTTCTGTGAAGCACAGGAGGCTCGCAAATGCTCATCAGTCCCTACATAAGCTTTCTTCGGCACCGGGCTATTGGCTAGTGAAGCTTGCCTGTGTCTTTGGTCAATCGCTCGAATTAGTTTGCGCAAATAACGAATCTACGGGGACAGGGCTATGCAGCGTGAACATGATTACACCGATGAAAACTGTGTTGAGACATGATGAACACGGCGTGAAGTTTGTGTTGTGCAGGAGACGCACAGTGGGTACCTGGCTCCCTGTGTACGTCCTGTGTCGGAAGTGACGACGAGCAACGTGACTACGCGAGCGCGTCGATTCGTCTAACGCGTCACCATCCGCGCCAACGCCAACGACCAACCTTCACAACCCACCCCACGAAAAGTCACAATGGCTCCCAAAAGTAGCCAATCGTCGCAGGGCTTGTCTCAGAGGAGCAAGCAACAGACAATCTCCAGCTTCTTCACGCCAAAACCCTCACAAACACCAAAAGCGCCCCCGAAGCCTGCTGCACTTGCTGTCCCGAATGGCGCAGACCAAGACGACGACGACGACGAAGACGAAGATATTGCTCCCCCGCGGCAATTGACCCCTGCTCGTAAGCGCTCGATTGATGAGCAGCACGAGGATGAAGAAGCTGGCCGTTCATCGCCTCCCAAGCGTGTTCGCGTAGCAAACGACGAACCGCGACCTTCGCTCGGAAACGCATCTGCAACGACATTGAACGCCGCGAAGCCCCCCAAGATCACAGAGAGGACGTCCAAGTTCCTCTTTTCGTCGTCACCTGTCGTACGAGACGAGACCGACGCGAAGGATGACGCTGCCGCTACACAGAAACTGCGCGAGAAGCTGCACGAGAAGTTCGTGAAGAAACTAGGCCGGCCTGACAGTTTTGCCGAGCTGCGGAGAAGAAATAAGGTCATCTCTGAAGACAATGGCAACGGCGAGGAAGGAGAGGGCGAAGAGGACGAGGAAGAAGAAGAGCCAGCACCCAAACCTACAAAGGGCCGGAAGGGGGCCGCAACGAAGAAGACCTCGAAGCTGACTCCCATGGAGCTGCAGTACTTGGACATCAAGCGGAAGCATATGGACACAGTCATTGTCATGGAAGTCGGGTACAAATTCAAGTTCTTTGGCGAAGACGCGCGGACGGCCTCCAAAGAGCTGGGGATCGTCTGCATACCGGGCAAGTTCAGATACGACGAACATCCGTCTGAAGCGCATTACGACCGATTCGCCTCCGCAAGCTTCCCCGTGCACCGACTGCAAGTCCACGTGAAGCGTCTAGTAAAGGCGAACCACAAAGTCGGTGTTGTACGCCAGCTCGAAACCGCGGCGCTGAAAGCAGCTGGAAACAACAGGAACACTCCCTTTGTGCGCAAGCTCACGAATCTCTACACCAAAGGCACATATGTCGACGACATAGAAGGCCTCGAGACCCCAACTGCAGGTGCGCAAGCGACTGGATACCTGCTCTGCGTCACAGAGACGAATGCAAAGGGCTGGGGCACAGATGAGAAGGTACAGGTCGGTCTTGTGGCTGTTCAGCCAGCGACAGGCGACATCATCTACGATGACTTCGAAGACGGCTTCATGCGCAGCGAGATCGAGACGCGGCTGCTCCACATTGCACCAGCTGAGTTCTTGATTGTTGGTGATCTTTCCAAAGCACACGGACAAGCTTATCCACCATCTGTCAGCTAGCAAGACCAATGTCTTTGGAGACAGGTCACGCGTGGAGAGGGTCGAGAAGCCAAAGACCATGGCCGCACAAGCGTACAGTCACATCTCAAACTTCTACGCCGACAAGATGAAGTCAAGTCAAGAAGGCGGATCTGAACAGGGTGCTATTCTGGACAAGGTACATCAGCTTTCCGAGCACGTTACGATATGTCTGTCAGCTATGATCACGTACTTGAGCGACTACGCACTGGAGCATGTCTTCGACTTGACAAAGTACTTCCAGCCCTTTAGTGCTCGTTCATACATGCTTTTGAACGGCAACACCTTGTCAAGTTTGGAGATCTACCAGAATCAGACCGACTACACCTCAAAGGGCAGCCTGTTCTGGACCATGGACAGAACGAAGACCCGCTTCGGGCAGCGACTACTGAGGAAGTGGGTCGGCCGACCATTGATCGATAAAGAGAGACTCGAAGAGCGCATCGCAGCTGTTGAAGAGCTCAAAGAGGGCGAGCATACCATTGCAGTCGATAAAGTGAAGTTCCTACTCGGGAAGATCAAGACAGATTTAGAAAAGGTCTTGATCAGGATATACTACAAGAAATGCTCCCGACCCGAGTTGCTAGCTGCGCTTCAGATCCTCCAGGACATCGCAAGCCAATACCTGTCGGCCAAGACACCGGAGCAGAGTGGCTTCTCCTCGATACTACTCAGCGAGGCTGTCTCAAACGTGCCGAAGATTTATGAAGATGTCAATAGCTTCCTCGAAAAGATCAACGCGAAGGCTGCGAAAGACGACGACAAGTACGGCTTCTTTCGCGAAGAGTTTGAAGCAGAAGACATCAACGACCTGAAGCTCAGCATCGCGTCTGTCGAAGATGACCTCAACACCCACCGAAAAGATGCTGCTGCGAAGCTGGGAAAGACCAAAGTCGACTATGTTACCGTCGCTGGTATAGAATACCTCATCGAAGTCAAGCGCAAGTCCGTTGAAGAGAAGAAGGTACCTGCGTCATGGCAGCAGATCTCTGCCACCAAAACCACCCTACGCTTCCACACCCCAGAAGTCAAACGCATGCTGCAAGAACGCGACCAGTACAAGGAGTCCTTAGCAGCAGCCTGTGACACGGCATTCAAGCGTCTTCTAGACGATATTGCAGCAAAATACCAATCCCTCCGTGATTGCGTTTCCAGCCTCGCAACTCTCGACGCCCTTCTCTCCCTCGCGACGCTCGCCAATCAGCCCGGCTACGTCAAGCCAACCTTCGTCGAAACAACCGAACTTGACATCGTTGGCGGCCGCCACCCCATGGTCGAACAGCTCCTACTCGACGCCTACGTCCCCAACGATGTCCATCTCTCCGGAGATGCAACGCGTGCCTTACTCGTCACCGGCCCAAACATGGGCGGCAAATCCAGCTACGTGCGTTCTGCCGCCTTGATCGCTATCATGGGCCAGATCGGGTCCTATGTGCCCGCCGAATCAGCGAAACTGGGCATGTTGGACGCAGTCTTTACGCGCATGGGCGCCCTAGACAACATGCTCAAGGGCGAATCGACGTTCATGGTCGAACTGAACGAAACGGCTGACATCCTACGCTCCGCGACGTCGCGGTCATTAATCATCCTTGATGAACTAGGTCGCGGCACGAGTACGTTTGACGGCGTGGCTATCGCTGAAGCAGTCCTTGACTACGTGATTCGCGACGTCGGCGCATTGACGCTGTTCATCACGCATTACCAGCACCTGGCGCGCTTGCAGGATCGCTTCAACGGCGAGTTAAAGAACGTGCACATGTCATTCGAAGAACGTGATGGAGGAAAAGAAGTCGTGTTCTTGTATGAAGTCGCAGAGGGCACGAGTCATAGGAGTTATGGATTGAACGTCGCGAGGTTGGCGAAGGTGCCGGAGAAGGTTATTGAGACTGCGGAGGTTAAGTCGAGCGAGTTGGAGGAGAGTATGGGGATTAGTCGCGTGGCGAATATGTAAGTTGCAGAATCTAAGAGCATGTGGGGAGTGAAACTAATGATGACAGGGCGCGCATGGTTAAGGGATTGCTGGAGGATGGGGGTGAAGAAGGGCTTGAGAGGTTGATTGAGGGCATCGAACAGCTGTGAGACTGAGGGATGCATATTCTCGTGTTCTACACACCTCTAGCAGGCGTCTATACGCTCTGTGGTCGGGACTTGTGTCAGAGTGGCAGCAAACGCATGCTGCAGGCATCCCGTATGAAATACAGGACTGGCGAGGAGGTGAAGAGCACATAGGAACGCCAATACAATCATGACATGTACCCGTCTCCTTCTACCAGAACTATGGACGATTCATTGTTTTCAAGATACTTCGTATTGACAAAGTTGTGCATTGTCCTCGAGTTCGTCCGGACAAGGCATCCACTCGATTCATCGGCGAATCGGAGACGTCTGAGTGCCGAAGGATGAGAAATCGATGATGTACGTAGGTACGGACGAATCTTGTACAACTTTATACATGCCACTCTAGTATATAAATACGTTTTCTGAAGCTCTACAAAGCTATATCGACGTACAAATACAGTAAGTACGACTTACAGGGCTGATGGAGGAGCCGTCCAATGACAGATCAGCAGTAGTAGTCACGCAATACGTACCACGATGAGCGCCATGCGCCAGCAACTGCCCGAACACGCACCGGCTGGGACGAATGAGGCTATTCCGTTCTACAAGAAGATAGCTGCTCGGCTTCAGTCTTTGCGACGCAGCAATGGCCGACATCAGCGCATCTTCGAACCTCTCCCCCAGGCTTCACAAGCTCGCCTCGACGCCTCCCTGAACGATGCGCCCATCGACACCGAGAAGCTCGTCGCTTCACAAACCCCAACCCCACAAGACAAGCAGAAAACTGTCCTCTACCTCGCCTACGGCTCCAACCTATGCAACGAAACCTTCCGCGGCGTGCGCGGCATCCGCCCCCTCTCGCAAACCAACGTCCTCGTCCCCTCCCTCCGCCTAACCTTCGACCTCCCCGGTGTCCCCTACAAAGAACCATGTTTCGCCAACTCCGCGCTCCGCTCCCCTCCACGTGAAAGCCGACTACCACCAAAGACCGCTGGGCACAAGGGTCCTCGTCCGGCGTCGTGTATGAAGGTCACGCTGGCCGACTACGCGCACATCATCGCGACCGAGGGCGGGGGCAGCGCGTACAAGGACATTCTAGTAGACTGCTATGTCCTTCCACACGCAGACACGGTGCCGGAAGTACCTTCTTCAAAGCCGTTCAAAGCGCACACGCTGTTTGCGCCAGCCACGGCCGAGCGCACGCATCGCCCGGATCCCAGCTACGCGCAGCCCTCGGGCGCGCTATCTCAAGCTCATCACCCGACGGCGCTGCCGAGTGCGATTTGCCCGGCCGAGTATCGCGCATATCTGCATGATATCAGGGCGTACACGATCACGGGGAAGACGCAGGCGGGTCGGCGCCCGCGCTGTTTTTGAGCATCTTGGGCTGCCGATTATCATGCTGGTGTTCGCCGCTGGTCCGGGCAGTTGCAGGGATGGACAAGGGCCAGGGCGCCCCGAAGTGGGTTTTGCGGACTTTTTCGGCGGCGGTATTTGGGGGCATGTGGATGTGTTATGATGTCGTGTTCAAGCGCGTGTTTGGGGAGGGGGAGAGGACGGTGGGGGATGAGGAAGTGGCGAGGGAGAGGGGAAGGGGTGTGAGGGACGGGGAAAAGGACGCGTTGCTTGAGAATGTTGTTGATACGCTGGATGGGGGAGGACAGGGTGGGAGGGATGAAGCGTGGTCGAGCCGTGTTTAGGTAAGAAGGCGGTATTTCGTGTCTTCAATGATAGTGCATGGAATAGAAGTTCCATAGTTTGTGACGACGCATATTCCCAAACTGCCTTTAGTGTTGGGTACATGGTGAAGTGATTGCACGTGAGCATGCAAGTCTCTATACAACTTCCAGCCCCTTCAAACAACAAATCAATCGCAAAGTGTAGCGATATATGCTGACTGCTTGTGTAGCTTTCACAGCTTTTGATCTGACTATGAGACGGCACGTTCATGTACGAGTAGGAGAACCGCAATCGTGTAATCAAACCATACAGTCCAACAAAAAAAGCGCCAAACACATCTGGGTCCTGAGATCAACCCATATCTCTCTCTCACTTGCTATCAATCAAACAGCTTTGGCAAACTCAACCCGCATGACCGTCTTATCAATCGGCTTCGACGTAATCGCCATCGTCTACCACAAATTAGCCCATGTGCAAACCCTTCAACAGTCACAAAACTTACGCTGATCAACTCCGACTTGGTCCTATACTTCCCCTTCTCATCCACAATCGGCCTATCCTTCTCGTCCCTCTCAATCTCTCCTCTCCCCACCTTGACAAAATCATACCGCCGCAGCGTACACGCCAGAATAACCCTAACCTCGATATTCGCCAGTTCCTGACCAATGCAGTTTCGTGGCCCGCGTTCGAAAGGCCTCCACGCACTGATCGGGATCTTGCTTGATCCCGTTGCCGAGCCGTCTGCATCGACACTCGCGCTGCTAGTATCAATGTCATCGACCCAGCGCTCAGGCACGAAGTCGTCCGCCGTGTCGCCGTAGACCTTGCGATCACGCTGGATCAAGTGCTGGCACATGTACAGCACGCAGTCGTCCAGACACACTTCCTCGCCATCCGAGGTGCGCAGCTTGAGTCCGTTGTGCGACATGCGCGCCGACCCGGCGGGCGGCCAGAGGCGCAGGGCTTCCTTGATGCAAGCGGACGTGTAGACGAGGGCTTTCATCGTGTCGTCCGGGCGGGCTTGGAAGACATCGCGCGGGTCAGAGTCGCCGAAGATGGAGTCGTGTTCGGCGCGGATTTTGGCGAGGCAGGAGGGGTGGATGGAGAGGGTGTAGAAGAGGCGTTGGAGGAGGATGGAGGTTGTGTCGTGACCTGCGAAGAGGAAGGTTTTTACTTGGTCGGCGATGTTTTGCATGATGAAGGGCGTTAGTGTTTCGGTGTCTTTGAGCGAGAGCGCGAGCACGGAGCGGTCTTTGGAATGGCTCTTGTCGGCTTGCATGGCGTCGAATTTCGCTTGGATGCATTTCTTGATGGCGACGTCTAGGCGCGTGCTGTAGAGATATCTCTTGAAGTGCTTGCTGGCGTTGAGCCACTTGAACATGGCTAAGCCGGTGTCTTCTGACCAGGTCGCGCCCAAAAGGCGAAAGTTCTTGACGATTTCGTCGCCCTGGATTGATTCATCCTGAGCCTTGCAGTCGATATCCGTGACGATCTGCCCGATGATGTCAAAGGTCACGTTCGTGCAGTACGGCTCCAACTCGGTGGGCTTTCCGGATTTAGCCAGGGCGTCTAGCTTCTCCATGAAAGTGTACGTCTTGTCGAGAACGACGGGAAGCAGTGTCATGAGATGCTGAGGTGCGAAAGCTGGGTTGAATCGTCTGCGAAGGCTCTTCCATGACTCTGCTTCTTCGCTGAGCATTGAATACCGACCTACTAGACGCCCGAGGCCCGCTTGGATGGTTGGAGATTTGGTCGTGCTGTATGGTTGATCTTTTGTAGCTTTCGAAATCTGCTCGGCAAATGCATGAGATGTAATCAAAACCAATGGCCATTGTGCTGGTCGAGTGTCGAAGAACATGTAGTCTGGCGATCCATGGGCCTTCCAGATGTTCTCGAGAATATAATCTGTGGGTTGGATTAGACCAATGCTCAGACCCTGACGCTAGATGTACTTACCTGGATGTACAGCAGAGCTTCCGGCTTTCTTGTATTCGTCTGCAATGTAACCCAAATGTCCAAGGAACAAGTTGCGTTTCAATGGGCTGGGTATGTTTGTAAATTTGCCATAACGGTATTGGTATAGCAGGAAGTACAACCCGGCTAATACAGTAGGGACGAGAGCCAGTATTGCATACTGTATGTCGGCCATTGTAGGATGAGTTAGTAGAACAGTTGAAGCAGCCACCTAGCCAATGTATATTGCGAGTTATCACACCAAAATTCTGCTTCTGCTTCTGCGAAGGTCCCCGATCAGGGCCTCGTCAAATATGAACACCGCAAAAAGTAACCCTTAAAGCTGAGGCACAGTTGCACGACTCAGGACCATGGAGAAGGCAAAGTAAACAATTCCACGAATCGTGTGTAAACTGCAAGGAACACGATGGAGAAGTTCGAGCGTCCGGGAAACAGAGTACCGGACCCATCTAGAATCGAACGACCAAGCTCGAGCCGTAGGAAGCACACTACCGGCAGCCGTCAAAGTGACATAACGCCTTTGACATTGGCACTTGGCCTCACCCGGATCCAAATAGGCGAACAAGACATCATTGGCGCCGTCGTTGTGGTCAATGACCATTGTGACATCGCTCATTGGTACATACAGAGAGCCAGGGAGAGCTTGTTCAGCACCTAGTCCGACGGATCGTATGCTATATGGCGCTCTCGGCTATTCATCCATATATGGCTTTGTCCCCTGATCGTGCAGGTTGGCACGGAGGGGCGTCACCCGGCGGGATGGCAGCAGCGGTGCCAATGAGCTGTCGCATGTGGAGCCTGATCGGAACCACCGTGATAGGCATGGTGTAGAAATCACATCTTCTGGGGCTGCGGGTAAGTGTTTTGTTTTCGTATGTTGTGTTACAATGCTCTGTTTGCGATGAAGTTAAGTGAGCATGGGTAATTCTTTCCCCTCTTCTTTCAGCACGGGGTCGGAAACTCACCCGCTTCAAAGCGCAAAACAAGAACAGTGCGATTTCAGGCGGCGGAACGTATCATGGTTTACACAACCACGCGCAATGCTCCTAGTATAGAGATAGCTATGGCTGCATACCTTGAAGGCTCTATGAGAATCTTGTAACATTCTAGTAAGCATTCTAGTATATCGAATCGGGTGCATAATGCAAGAAGATGTCCCTCGAAGGGCCGATGCACAGCGCGGGCAAGAATTCCATGGCGCCTTACCACATAACAACCATCAACGACCTGCGATGGCATGAATAAACTATTAAACAGCCACGCTCGCACGTGTACGGTTATCCTGGCCCATTGAGTGCGCAACTAGTCTTTCCATCCCTCTTTCGCAAACCGGCGTTCACCGACACCACTAAAATTGAGATTTGCTGCAACGTGGAGACCTAGTATCCACCATCAGCAATGTAAGAATTATCAAAAAGCCTCCAAACCTCCAAATCAAATCAGAAAATAATCTCCATCTTGCCATCTCTCAAGTCTTTCCAAATCCAATCATGTGCAAATCTCCCCTCCACACTTTCCTGCATTCCCTCCCAAAATGCGAGCACCACGTACATCTCGAGGGCTGTCTCTCACCCTCCCTAACCTTCACTCTCGCCGCGAAGAACAAAATCGCCCTGCCCTCCCCCACCACTGACCCAGCATACACATCCGTTGAAACGCTGACCGCGCGCTACAACAACTTCGCCAACCTCAACGACTTCCTGGGCTACTACTACCGCGCGCTGGATGCGGTCATCACGGCCGAAGACTTTGAGATGCTGGCGTGGGAGTACTTTACGATTGCGGCACGCGATGGCGTCAGGCATGCTGAGGTGTTCTTTGATCCGCAGAGTCATACGGCGAGGAGGATCAGTTTGAAGACGGTTGTGGAGGGGTTCAATGCGGCGTGCAAGCGTGCGGAGAAAGAGCTAGGGATTACGAGTAAACTCATCATGTGCTTTTTGCGACACTTGCCTGTGGATGAGTCGCGCAAGACGATGGCGGAAGCGGTTGAGGGCGGGTATTTCGATGGCGAGAAGAGTGTGATTTCGGCACTGGGGCTGGACTCGAGTGAGGTCGGATTCAGGCCGGAGCAGTTTCAGGAGATGTATTCGGAGGCTGAGAAGAGGGGGATTCGCAGGACGGCGCATGCAGGTGAAGAGGGGGATCCGAGTTATATTGCTGGAGCACTGGATGGGCTGCATGCCGAGAGGATTGATCATGGCATTCGGCTTATCGAGGATCCACAACTGATGGAAAGAGTGATCAAAGAAGGCATTATGCTCACGGTTTGTCCGTTGAGTAATGTTTGCTTGCAGGTCGTGCAGCATGTCAGCGAGCTGCCGATTCGAAAGTTCCTCGAGGCTGGTGTCAAGTTCAGCTTGAACTGCGATGATCCGGCGTACTTTGGTGGATATATTCTCAACAACTATTGCGCAGTTCAGGACGCTTTCGATTTGAGCGTGGGAGAGTGGAAGATTATCGTCCAGAACTCGATACAAGGGAGCTGGTGTGATCAGGCGAGGAAGGATGAGTTGCTCAACACGCTCGAGGAGTGTCTGAGCAAACATGCTAGTCAATGAAGAGAGAGGTCAGTTGGCTGCAGGACAAAGCTATGATAGAATATAAAATGCTTCGGGGCAACACCTAAGTGCTGGATGGCTGGGCCATCAGCAATCCTACTCATTGTCCGTTCTCTTCTGCATCCTTGTAATTCATATGACTGGTTTCCCTACAAAAGCATGGCGCGAAGATTAAATACGCACTTTCTTATTAATAGCACAAGAAATCGAGTGTAAATCTGGTTGCCTCCAGCCCTTGGCATATGCGCTTCCCTTCACTCCCTCCACTATAAAAACGAAAAAAATTATATCTCTAGTCATTGTGTCCCACCGATCAACCACTACCGCTTTTCCGCCTTAATTGCTTTTTCACTCGAAGTGCTCATCACGACGGCGTTACAGCCAATCCCTAGCATACCCCGACATCATAGCTATAGACAAGCCTAACAGCACATCCATCTTCTTCAACAACTTGCTCGAATTACCCAGCTAGAAGCGAGATCTAGCGTACGACTTCATTAACATGGCTACGTGTTCCACATCCAACATAAATTTCGTCGGATCACCTCGCGAGCTTCGGAATGCCGTGTACGATCACGTCTGGCGTTCACTCAACTTAATTGTCTTATGCTCACGGTAACAAGCCTACCGTGCAACTCGATATGGTGGACCAGGGGCATCAAAGCCTGTATTCTCCAGCGAATCAAAGCCGGATGTGGGTCGATGACCACGTCACAAGACGTGGTTGAGGTCTTCGAAGAATATGTCTAAGCCACTGCAAGTATTCTTCCGTTGGACCTTTATGTAGAGAAGACTCAACCAGGAGAATAACGAGTTCCTATCTTCAAGTAGACAGCGACAAAGAAGTATGTCTAAGCACGGGAAGAAAAAGTTGGGTACGATCACGGCCAGTATGAACATGGTTCATAATGTCATGTTCCTAGTCACATGGTGATAGTCAACGTACAAAGAACCTCAAGTACGGCTTACGAGTACATCTTGAATCTCAACAGAATATGAAAAACAATAGGAACTATGTGAATCTTCGTTTGACACTCAGTTATTCTACTTCCACTTGAAGGTAGGCATGACGAGTAAATACTCATTTCACTACAACTAAGTCGATATAGCTTACAATCCCTGGCCTTTACGTCAAGAATAACACATTCTGTATCTTTAAGTATCTACTTCAAATTCCCAAGTTCCAAATCTCCCCCACATATCAAATTCTCTCTTCCCGTCCGCTCCTTCCAATGATCGTGACTAACTCTATACTCCCCGCCCCACTAGGCTTTTTCTTCGACTCCACTTCGCCCGCAAACTCATTCAACACCATTGAAATGTGCTGGTACTGTCAAAACAATAGTATATATTGTAGCCAATTGCGAAATTTCCTAAATCAGTAAAGCGCAATCCGGTGCTATAGTCTAGGGGTAGGACGTGACATTGTGGAGATCACAAAATCAGCTGTCAAAACCCGTGTTCGAATCACGGTGGCGCCAAAGCAAGCTTTTCTTTTTTGCACTTTTTGTGTGCTGGTTGGTAAAGGTCGTGCATGTAGGCGAATGATTTCTGGAGAGCCGATATTTTTGGATGGCTACCAATCACCTCGCAACACATCTCACAGGATATTATTATAGCTCTTTTAATATTTAGTCTTGGTCTTAGCTAATGGTGCTGAAGTAAGCCTACCACATTTCATGTCCGTTCATCACGTACTCGCTGAGTGGGGAACAGTGTATGTCGCTCTTGTTATGTCATTTTGTATCTTCAAGCTGGTGAATTGGCCTTTTGAGCTATGTCGTGGCATTTGCATTCTGCGTGCAGTCAGCGCCGATTCCGCTTTCCACTTGTGCGCCTTGGCATACATCTGGCTGTATTTTCCCAAACCAGTTCGCATGATCTGACGCGGCGATCGTGGAGCGCTTCGCGTGTCGTCTTCGTGGGTATCATTTTCCCTCCCATTCTCCTCTGATGTGAATTCACAGCCTCAGTCTGAGTCGCTGACATCCATCTCCATCTCTGCGTCATCCTCCTCCTCTTCCTCCTCGTCGCGTGCCCTCTTCTGACCCTTTGCGGAATCTTGGGCATTGACGGGTACTGCCTTCTCAGGAGCGGCGCCGAAGCCTTTTGCTTGTGCCGTAGTCTGTTCTGGCTCGGCCTCTCGCTCGGGCTCAGGCATCTTGTACGTTCCGTCGAGCTTGGCGATGGTGTCTGACTTTGTTTTGGCGTAGGCGATTTGCTGTGACATATCAGTACTTGGCCCAATTTTAGAATTGGTGCGAAAAGGACTTACCATATCCTTGCCAAAGAAAGTGAAGCCTTGCAGTGCGCGCATAGCCTGTGTTGAGGCATCGAGATCTCGGAATACGACGTGCGCCTGGCCACGCATCTTTGCAGTCTTCAATGCCACCACGTCGAGCACAACGCCATAGGTCGCGAAAAGCATATAGAGGCTCCGCTTCAAGTCTTCCTTGGGCAGCTTGTCGTTGAGGTTCCGTACATAGAGACTAGGTGCCATTAGCGAACCTGTTGATATTGTTGGCTTTGCAAGCGTATAGATCAAAGTGTGACAACTTACGTGCGGTTCGGAATGCCTTCCTTGTTGGCGGCAACAGTGCCCGGGGGTCCTCGGTTGGAAGTAGCCATGGTTGTGGAGGGTTTGGTGGAGGATTCGAAGCGTCGGTGGTGAGTTGAGCTCCCCGCAAAAGTTCACGAAGTTCACGCTAAAGTTGCTGGGACCGTGCGGCCATTGCCGCATTGTGAAGGCAGCATGAACATCACTCTTCCACCATTCGAACAGCTACAAGAGGAGGATCCATGGGAGGGAAATCACGAGAGCCATGCGATCATGAATAAGAGCTTGTTACCCAGAGCCCACCAATAACCCCTGACGCAAATCACTTGCGCCTCACCTTGAGCTCCCAAAGCTCCACGCCTCGCGCCACGACCCGTTCACTCTCCCTTCACACTGCGAAGACCAGCCTTGCACGAGCTAGCCCGCCATGGCTGCCTCTCCAATGGCTCTCAGCCCGAGGCCAAACCCTCCAGGCTCGAAAGTTGCGCCAACTGCTGTCAAAAATAAAGCACTCGCGATCCTCAACTCCAACAACAAAACTGCGCGATCACCTGCGGCATCGGCATCGAATACTGGCATTTCAGCGACTACAGCCAGTGACGGAAACCTGGACCTTGCAGAACAGATGAACGAGAATATACGCGAACAATTCGTCAGCGGAGCCAGGCTTGGAGAAGGAACATACGCCATAGTATACGCCGGTCACTACAGAAACGACCCAAGCGCGCTCGTCGCCATAAAGAAGATCAAATTCAACGCCGAATTCAAAGACGGCATAGCAATGGACGCAATCCGCGAACTCAAATTCCTCAACGAACTCTCCCACCCCAACATCATCAAGCTGCATGCCGTCTACTCGACCAAAGACCAGAACATCTCCCTCGTCCTCGAACACCTGCCCCTCGGTGACATCGAAGGCCTCTGGCGCAATCCTGAAATCACATATACGGGCGCAGACATCAAGGCGTGGGCAAACATGCTCTGTCAAGCCGTCTGGTTCTGCCACGAAAACTACATCCTACACCGTGATATCAAGGGCAACAATTTACTCATCGCCGCCGACGGCACCGTCAAACTCGCCGATTTTGGTCTCGCGCGCTCCTTCGCCGAGCCGGGTCGCCACATGTCGTCCAACGTAATCACGCGCTTCTACCGGCCGCCCGAACTCTTCTACGGCGCGCAGCACTACGGCGGCGCCGTCGACATGTGGAGTGTAGGCTGCGTGATCGCAGAGCTCACAATTCGCAACTTCTTCCTCGCGGGCGACACGGACATCGGGCAGCTCGCGACTATATGCGACCACTTCGGCACGCCCACGGAAGATACATGGCCGGGCGTTACGTCGCTACGCTACTACCTGCCGCCTGGCGAACAAGACGGCATGGTCAAGAACTCCAAGGCGGGGAAGATGGGCAAGCCGACGAGTTGGTGGCGCGGCACGTTCCCGTTGCTTGGGGAAGACGGCGTCGAGTTCTTGCGCGCGCTGCTTACGATGGATCCGAATAAACGACTCACAGCGAGACAGGCGCTCGAGCATCGGTATTGGAGCACGACGCCCGCGCCCCACGAAGAAGGAGAATTTGCCGAGGCAAGGGGGTGGGGAGAAGAAGGTGGCCGAGGATTTGAAGAGGAAGGGGGGTGAGACGCCGGCGAATGGGCGCGCGGATAAGGTGGCGAGGAAGCTGGATTTTGCGTCCATGGGCTGAGCGTGAGGTGACTTTTGAGACGATGATCCGGTCGCGCCTGAGCTTCGGCCGGAGAAAAGGAGGATTTGAATATGAGCGTGGTGTCAGGCGTTTTGGTGGGTGACAGGGCTGTATTGAGCCTGGAATAACCGTCTTGCATTTCCGGGTGTTCGGGGCAGGATTTTGCCTGCGATAGAGCTGCGTGCATTGTAAACGCAACGGTACGAATAATCTAATTGATGCTGGTTGAACTTACATCTGAATTGTCCTGATACAGGCAAAACGAAAGCCGAAGCTAAGGCTGTGTAGATTCATTAACCCTTTCTTGACTGACAGTATCCCAATAAGTTCACAACTGTATACAGGCTGCTGTATAAAACAAGAGATTAATGGCAGTTGCATAGGTCACCTCACATTCAGAAACACAGTACTTCAAGATATGGCGTATGAGACAGCGGTTGCAGTTTGTAGATTTTGAGTTCATGTCATTTCGCGTTATAGGTGTAGAAGTCGTGACCATAGTCTCCAACGTAACTAGGCTTATCCGAAATAGCCATCCGCCCTTTCCATATAGCATTTTTAACTCTATTCGACCTGCCTCTTGGCGTCGATTAAATGCGCAAACCAATCGCAAGCTTTTGTGTTGAACGAACATTGCTGTACGTTTTACACTCACTTGACAAGCTTGCAGACAAGGTCGCCAGAATCGACCGAGTCGCCCTCGCGGACAGACAGGTTGCTGACCTTTCCGGAGTGAGGAGCTGAAATGACCATTTCCTGAGATATCTGTTAGTATATTGAACATTTTGCATATTTGGATCAGGAAACTTACCATCTTCATGGCGCTAAGGATAGCAACTGGGTCACCCTTCTTGACGTCGCTGCCATCGTGGACACGGACCTCAACCAAAACACCAGACATGGGCGAACCAACCTGGCTGCTGTCGGTGGGGTCGGCCTTTGGTCGTGAGACGTTGTCGATGGCCGCGTGCTGATCCTCAACGGTCACAGTACGGGTCTCGCCGTTCATCTCGTAGAAGACCTCACGAAGACCGGTCTGCTCGGACAGCGGACCGATAGCAAGGAGCTTGAGGATGAGCACCTTACCCTTCTCGAGCTCAACGTGGAACTCCTCGCCGATTTCTGGGCGAGACAAGAAGTAGCGGGTGGGGAGCACGGAGAGATCACCGTACTTGGAGGTCCACTTCTTGTAGTCCTCGAAGACCTTGGGGTACATAATGGAGGATGCTACGTCGCACTCGGTGGCATCACCCCATTTGGCCTTCAAGTCGGCCTTGACCTTGGTAATGTCAACGGGGTCAAGGTACAGACCAGGTCGTTTATCCATCTTCCTTCGCTCACGGAGAGCTTGTGATCGGAGAGGCTCAGGGAAGCCGCCGTATGGCTGACCCATCAGACCCTCGAAAAATTCCAGGACTGAGGATGGGAAGTCAAGCTGCTCGGCCTTGGCCAGAACATCATCGTATGAAAGCTTGTTGGACACCATAAACTGGGCCAAGTCACCAACAACCTTGGAGGTAGGTGTGACCTTGACAATGTCGCCGAGCAAGTCGTTGGCCTGCTCGTAGGCCTTCTTGGTCTGCGCCCATTGCTCACCGAGACCTTGCTGAGAAGCCTGGAAGATGAGGTTGGTGAGTTGACCACCAGGGATCTCGTGCTCGTAGACCTCTGGGTCGGGGCCAGTGAGACCAGCCTCGAAGGGAGAGTAGAGCAGACGCAGCTGGGCCCAGTATGCGTCCAGGTTGCGGATCATGTGGACATCGAGACCAGAGTCGAAGTCGGTTCCCTCAAGAGACGCCAGGATGGCACCAATGCTGGGCTGGGAAGTCATACCAGACATGCTGTCGATGGCAGCATCGACGGCATCGGCACCAGCTTCAGCACAAGCCACCATGGAGGCGACACCAGTACCGGCAGAGTCGTGAGTGTGCACATGGATGGGGAGGTCGGGGTACTTCTCACGGATGGTACCAATGAGAAGACGGGCCGCACGAGGCTTAAGAACACCAGCCATGTCCTTAATACCTACCGTGTATGTTAGTTACAAATACAAACATGGAATATCATCAAGCGTACCTAGTACATGAGCGCCCATGGCCACGATCTTGTCGACCACACTGACGTAGTACTCGAGGTTGTACTTCTTCTTGGGGTTCAGCACTGTTGATTTATTAGTGTCTGTTCGCATATCCTGGATATCTTCAACTCACTATCTCCGGAGTAACACACGGTACCCTCGGCAACACCGCCAGCCTTGAGAACAGCTTTGATACCGACCTCAAGCTGCTCAACATCGTTCAAAGCGTCAAAAACGCGGAAGATGTCGACACCGTTCTTCTTTGCCTGCTCACAGAAGTGGAAAATGGCGTTGTCGGGAAGCGATGAGTATGCGACACCGTTGGCACCACGGAGAAGCATTTGGAAGGGAATGTTGGGTACAAGCTTCCTCATCTTCCTCAGACGCTCCCATGGGTCCTCGTAGAGGAAGCGCATGGCCACGTCGAACGTGGCACCTCCCCAGCACTCGAGAGCCCAGGCGTTGGCATACGCGTGGCTGGTCTCCTTGGCGATGTTGAGCAGGTCAACTGTTCGTACACGGGTAGCTAGCAGCGACTGATGGGCGTCACGCCATGTGGTGTCCATGATCAAGCAGCCCTTGTTGGCACGGACAGCCTTTGCGAATGCTGCAGGGCCCTCCTTGACAAGGATGTTCCTCCATCCTGTAGCGCATGGTGCAGAGGTATCGACCTGCTTACCAGCGCTGTCGAAGATCTTGGGAATGGGGATTTCGCCCTTGAACTTGGGCTCGCCGATTTGTCCCTTGATCTGACTGCCGTTGACTGCAAGATCTCCAAGGTATGCGAGGAGCTTCTGTGCACGGTTCTGGGAGCCGATGAGATCGAAGAGCGCAGGAGTGTCGTCGATGAAGGTCGTCCAACATTGTCCGTCAACGAATGTGGGGTGTGTGAGGAGCTTGATCAAGAAGGGGATGTTGGTCTTGACGCCACGAATACGGAACTCAACGAGCGCACGCAACATCTTTCGGCGGACAATCTCGTATGTGGAACCACGGCACGAGCACTTTACAAGCATACTGTCGTAGTGAGGAGTGATAATGGCTCCAGCGAAACCATTTCCTGGAGGTTGTCAGTACATTGAAATCACACACATGGAGCACCATAGCATACCTCCGTCCAATCTTACACCATTACCACCAGCAGATCGGTAGACCTCAATCTTTCCGGTATCTGGTGCAAAGCTCTGTGCCGGGTCTTCTGTGGTGATACGGCATTGGAAGGCAAAACCGCGTGTGGAGATGTGGTCCTGGGTCAGACCGAGCTGCTCAAGTGATGCACCAGCAGCAATCTGAATCTGTGCAGCCACGATATCGATTCCAGTGACCTCTTCTGTGATGGTGTGCTCGACCTGGATACGTGGGTTGATCTCAATAAAGTAGTACCTATTCTGCTGGTCGACCAAGAACTCAGCAGTACCCGCATTGCGGTACTTGACAGACTGAGCGAGTCTAACGGCATCAGCCAGAATGTTGTCACGGGTCTCAACCGGGAGATCCTTAGCCGGAGCAATCTCAACGACCTTCTGATGACGACGCTGGACGGAGCAGTCACGCTCGTACAAGTGTACGACATTGCCAAGGTTGTCACCGAGCAGCTGGACTTCAATGTGCTTGGGCTTGTCGAGGAAGCGCTCGACGAAAACAGTGCCGTTGCCAAAGGCGGACTTGGCCTCTGAAGTTGCGCGCTCAAACGAGTCCTTGAGCGTCGACTGCTCGCGGACTACACGCATTCCACGGCCGCCACCTCCGAATGCGGCCTTGATGATGATGGGGAAACCGAATTCATCTGTGAAGGCCTTGACGTCTTCGAACTTCTCGACTGGGCCAGGCGTACCAGGCACAACTGGGACATTGCACTTGATGGCGAGTTTTCGGGCGGAGACTTTGTCGCCAAGTGCGTCGATGGTGTCAGGAGACGGTCCTACAAACTATTGCCCAGCGTCAGCCCATGCTACTTTCGACTCGGCTGCATCAAAAAGCAGGGCGTTTCTGATCGTGTAATGCGATCGGCGCGCCGCGGTTTAGTGCGAGATAGAGTGAGCCGGAAGCCCCGCCAATGCATCTCCGAGCACAGAGCACAGATATGCTCAACAGCTGCGATTGGCAAGGGCAGCCCCTCCATCCGTGCTGCGTCATAGGGTAAACAACGAGAAAAGATACTCACAATAAGACCGGCCTTCTCGACGTTCCGCGCGAATTCGGCGTTCTCTGACAGGAAACCGTAGCCGGGGTGAATCATGTTCACATTGTGCTCGACTGCGATCTTGATGATCTCGTCGCCGGCCAGGTAAGCTCCGACAGGAGTGTATTGGCCGCGAGCGCCGATTTCATATGCCTCATCAGCCTTCTGCCGATGCATGCTGAGGCGGTCCTCATGACTGTAGACTGCGACTGTGTGCAGAGACAGCTCGTGGGCTGTCCTGAAAATGCGGATGGGGATTTCTCCTCGGTTGGCGACTGGTAGAGCTGTCAGCAAGCTCCCCGCGAGCCATTGCGTGCGGACAGGGACATACCCAACAGCTTCTTCAGCTGCATAATGGAGCTGCTCGCTCGCAGCTGGTGGTGCACCGAGTTGCGGTGGGGGTGGTGCTCGCCATGCTCCTCGTCGAAATCATTCTCGTCAATGGCCGACGAGGCATTCTTATCAGTTACAAGCGAAGCCATGCTGGATGACCGCTGCGTATAAGGATAAGGTCTGGGGGAGGGAAAAGGGAGGAGGGGGGGAATGGAAGAGGGGAAAGACTTGGAGCAGCAAAGTCTGGGAGCGTTGACGAGCTATATAGCGGCGGTATCGGCAGGTTCCCACGGATTGCTCTTGCGAGTCACAACCAAGGCAAGTTTAATCCCAAAACAGCCAGCTCCAAAGATGCACCAAGCCCAAGCCGAGATCGAAACACTGGGAGGCCCTGCAGATGCTCGACGTTACCCCGTCGGCCGCCTTGGTGCAGCAAAAGAAACGGAGCTTGTCAAGCTATCGGAGCCACAATCTGGCTAGAGCTCCCTGTGCCCCTCCATGTCATGGTTGCTATCCACCGCCCGCCCCCCACATGCTTCACATTATACAATTGCCAACCTTGACTGAGGGTCCCGCCGCGCATTCCACACCGGACCCTCTCACATGTATAAAACCATCCCGTCGAATCCCACGCCCACTGTCAGACGCGTGGCACCCGGCCAAGTCGTATCAATTAGTGTTTGAATCAAGCATTGCGTTTCCCGCCCAACTGTGCCCTCACCGCCCGGCCTGCAGCGTTATCCTCCCCCAGGCATTGCTCATCCCAGTGCCTGCTCTTTTCCGTAGATCGCCAGCAACGTGGTGGTTTTAAGCTCGGTACCACGGAGGAAAGGCTGCATCTACGCGCTTTGCTTCGGCGCACACTCTGGCTTAGCCGAGTTGAACCTATTGCGCTTCCGCAATCACATCTCCTTCATAGTAATCTGTTCCGGTGAAGACCCCGCCTACCCTGTCGCGTACCTGCATGGCAACGAGGGGAACGTCAGGGCGCCTGGTAAACTGTACCACTTTTATCTCCCTGTTGACGTTGGCCTGCGTCTCGATAGCCTGCCTGTTTTCTTAAAGCAAACATCTTGGCCTGCGTCAAGATTCTAGATGCTTAAGGTTTTGATGCATTCGCCCATTGTGCCAGCCTTGTGGAGATCTCACATAGGCTGAGTCGTTCGGAGGCTCAGAATGGCCAGAAGTGGAAACAACTCGCTGTCGGAGACGACTTGGCAGGCGATCGCAACCGGTGGCTGGCACAACTTAATCCACTTGCATCTTGGCATATTGACCCTTGACCATCACGGTGTGAATACATTGTGTAGCGGATGCACCAGCATTAATTCCGCAACGGTAATCAATCATCCAAGAGGGTTTCGCAGAGCCTGAACGCATTGAATGAATGCTTGTGAAGTATTGAAGGTGATCGCGCTATCGTATTTTGCTTCTGATGAACTTCTCACAACATATTGAAGAACTTCGCGATGTTGCATCAATGCATGAAAATATTAGGTCGTCACAAAATTATGCCAGGACTGAATGAAGCGCAACAAATGACATAATTAACTAGAATACACAAGCCCGAGGATATTCTATGCTAGAACATCCAGACTCAAGAACCTAAACGCCAGTAAAGTACATCCGCTGCCTGATGAAATGCATTCGCTTTTGCATGTTCCCCCACCAAATGATCAATATGTAGATCGAATGCAAGTCCTGTATCCTTCCTCAATGCACAATTACTTCGCCCCAACTGCATCTTTCAGGATGCTCTAGAAGCCACGGTAGCCCGTGGGCTGGGGAGCAATGCCGTTGGCCTGGCCGTAAGGGCCAGGAGAAGGCGCCGAAGCAATGGGACCTTGAGTGAGCATGAGACGCGATCCCAGGATGGGCGTGTCTTCCTCCTTCTTCTGCTGCGAGGCTTCGCGAGCCTTGCGCTCCTCATTGTCCTTCTGCAGACCCGTAAGTGCTGCGGTCTGTTGAGAGAGCAGGTTGATCATGTATGGCATCGTGAAGTCGTGAAGACCGTGGCGCCATGACATCTCGAGAATGACATCTGGGCGGATCAAGTCGTAGCAAGCGTAGAGCATGCCGACATAGCACTCGCGGCTGCCGATGTCGACGAAGTATCGCAGCAGGTCTTCGACAATCTCCGACTTGGTGGACATGGCGGAGGTCTCGATAGCATCCTTGAAGAGCTTGTCCTGCTTGGACAGAGCAATTGACTTCTCCCATCGCTTGTTCTTGCGGTAGATATCTGCGGCAATCTGGCGGAAGAAGACGAGGTCGTGCTTCTCAAGGCGCTGGGCAAGATCGACAGGGTCATAGTTGTCGTAGTTGTTGACCGAGTCGCGCAGTGTCTTGTAGTCCTCCTCTTCGATCAGAAGGTCGTTGAGGGCATTGTTGACCTCACGCTTGTTCTGTGATTGGACATTCAGGAGGAAGGGCTTGATCAGGGGAATGTTGTCCGACTTGACGAACATGCGGACAACACGGTTGACATCGATCCTCGGTGTAAGGGCTTGCAGAAGATCGGTCAACAGCGTAGGTTGTTCCTCAAGATAGAAGCCCAGGGCGCGGTAGTAGATCTCGACATTCGTGGCCTTGACGATAGTATCTTTGAAAGCTTGGTGCTCCCATGCATCTGCGGCACGCTCCATCATGGCCTGGAGGTTGTCAGTTCATGTCGTTGGACACTGGAGTGGGGAAATGGGTATACCAATGCTGCATTATCCCATTCATCGTAGTGAACGTAGAGGAAGATCAGCTCTGGCCAAAGGTGCGCGGCCTCGCAAGCTTGGATGGCTTTAGGAATATTAATTCTCGCTAAGGGATATCGTTAGTATGCGGCCGATCGTAGTGTGAATACATCCAGGATCCAAGATCAAACTTACACCAGAAAAGACGGAGGTGCTCCATCACACGCTCAGGATGGTATTTGGCGAGAGCGCTAGCCAGTGACGTAAAGAGGCCCATATGAGCTGGACGATAGTCAGCATAAAGTCATCAGTATAGTGCAAGGGGGGAAATGAACATACCTCGCTCCAGACCAAGACCAGCCTCGAGAAGGCTGATGAGCTCATCAAAGTAGCCGTTGCGCTCATACTGCTTCACAAGCTCGGCAAGCTCCTCGGCATGAACAATGAGGTTGAGACCACAGATTTGTGCAAGACGGAACTCCTTCTTATCAATACAGTGCTGGTTCACCTGCCTCCAAACCTTGACGCTGTTGGCCTTGCGAGCACACTCGACAGCAGCTTGGTAATCATCAAGGTGGACGAGCGTAGTCGCAAGCTTGGCCCAGTTGGAGATGCTGGTGTAGAAGATCTTGGCAGCCTCATGGTAGCCCTCCTCGTATGCCTTGTCACCGGATGCCTCTACATCTGCGACGTTCGTTCCACGGAGGAACTCGTCGAGCTCCGGAAGCTGGTTAGTACGAGCAAAGCAGAAAGCAAGGGCAGTGTCGACAGGGACCTCGCGCAGTGTCTTGCGTGCCATCCTCAAAAACTTGATCAGGTCCTCATCCTTTCCGGCGTGGGTAGCGATCTCGATGACCTCCAGGAAGTTGGATGGGTCACCGGCGCGGATGTAGGATTCAATAGAATCAGTCACACGCAGGCCGTCCAATTGTGCTTTGGCAACTCTGCTCCACACTTCGGGCGTCTCGACGCGCTCGGCATACTCTTGTGCGCGATCGATGGAGACGACGTGCTCGATGAGAACGTTGGCAGCATCAAAGTGCTGCCCGTGTTTCTTGTAGATCTCGAAAGCCTCTTCATACATGCCGACCTCGATACACTGCTGAGCAATGTCCTCGGGTGTGTAGTGCTCGAGCTGGTGGATGTAATCCATCATACGGCCACGGTCAGACTTGGCAGCGGTAAGCATGAGCAGATTCTGCAGAGACGGGTTGTCGCTGAAGCTAGAGGGCTCCAAGATGATCTTCTCGAGCAGGTCGATGAGCTCCGCAGGCATGTCGCCAGTGATGAAGGCCTTGACAGCCACAGACACCTTGTCGGGGTCGGTAGAAGCTAGAAGTAGAGTCAGCAGGTACTTATAATAACGAATGTGCGATGTTTGTCAACAAGACCAGCAGCATGATAGTACGGCGTATGACTTCAGGCTACTTTTTTGCTGACGGAAGTTTTACAGGAAACAGAATTATACTCACAAGGTACAGCGGTCGAAGTGACCTGGTCGACCAACGATCGTCTGTGCATGTTGTTGGGAGACAGTACGTAGTCCCAGATCTCCGAATCAGCGCGCTCGAGCAGGGTAACGAGCTTGAGCCTTGAACATGGCGTTTTCGTTGGTGATGTGGGATGAGCTCGAGATCATTTCTGTCCCCTTCTCATACGCAATGAAAGCAAAGACTGGGGGTCGCGCTTCTCGCAGTACTTTCCGACACTCAAGGTATCGTACTGGTCATTCTCCTTCAAGAACTTCTCGGGGTTGTTGTTGGAGTCAATGTAGATCTTAGCGAGGGCGTTGTACACAGCTTGTTGCTGGTTACCGCTGGCCAAGGTCTGCTCCAAGAAGGGAAGGAGGAGCTTCAAGCGGTTGCGTGACTCGACTTCACTGACCAACTCGTCGATGGGAATCGATGAGGGGGTCACGGAGGCCAATAGGCCCTTGATGATGCTTTCATCGCAGTCGACGTCGAGCAATCCACCGATGACTGCAGGTGTCCTGGCTGGGTTGACACGCTGTACGTAAACCTCGATAGACTTGAACTGTTGCTTCTTGTAGAGGTAGAGAACCAAGTCGTGGATGAAGTTGAATCGATCACAAACGATGATCAAAGGAAGCTGCTCTGTAAGGTTGGCCTCTTTGAGGAAGTTCTTGACCTTTTCTGGGTCGTAGGCGTTGCTCTCTCGGCAAACACGCTCAACCTCGTTCAGCTGACCCATGGTCGTGGCAGCTTCAATGTATTTGAAGGTGACATCCTTGTCCTCGGCCACATTGACAATACTGCCAAGAAAGAAATATAATCCCTCGGCAGTCCTGTGCTTTTCTAGGAGATCGATGATCTTGGTGGCACCGAGCAGGTCTGAGTACTTCTGCGCGATGCGAATGACAGCCTGCAGGTTTTGTCGGATGTTCGTCGTGAGCATTGCGTCGAGGCAATCGAGGGAAAGCTCAACGGTAAGCTGACCAAAGTAGTTGATCAACCATTCCTCAGGCAGCTTGTCAGTCTGGACGATAATGCGCTTGACAGCGGCAGGGTCCTCGTTATGCTCCAGAGCACGGGTGAGCAAGCCGGCGTTCTCGCAGAGGGAGGCAATGCGAGCCTTGTCATAGTGGTGGAACATCTCGTTTCCAAGGATAGCATCCGCGACTTGGGGTGCGTTGAGCAAGTTCATCTCCAAAAGCTTCGTTTGCATATGGCCTTCCTCTGGCAGGTCGTTGGACAGCACATCAAGAAGGAATGCAGTAGCTTGTTGGATCATGCCCTGAGACTGGAAGATGTCGACAACACGATCGATGCTAATGAGTGGTCCACCCTCGTTCTTCACAAGTTGTGAAGCAAACTCTGTTCCCTTCTCTCCGTTGCTCCTGACTACGTGTTGAAGCAGAACGTTGTAGTCCGGCGTGTAGCCAACGCCGTTGCAGTATTGGAGGATGAGGTCGTAGTGGCCGAGCTCAGCTAGAGCAGCAACGACCTTCTGTGGTACGTTTCCGCGTCCTTGTAGATGGCCAGAGCAAGGTTCAGGTCGTGGGGTTTCGCAAGGTCTCCAAGCTCTTCTGAGCAGAAAAGCTTGCCCTCCTTCTGCCACTTCTCTATCAAGTGCTTGCGGCCTTGCACGAAAACTGGTCGTGCCAGCTCCAGAGTCTCTTCCCGGTTCAATCCACCTTTGTCCAATAACTGGCCGAAGTACTGCAGCAAAGTTGTGATCTGACCTGGCTGGGACGGCACTTGTCGCAGCCTGTTGATGGTGTTCATTGTGCGCAGGAAGCCTCGTGGGGAGTTGGCCGCGACCTTTGCCGCTTCGGCGAAGTTGCCCTGTGTCATCAGATTCTCGAATCGTTGTGAGTATAGCTGATCAGCTCCCGGAAGTCCACCCTTGGAAGCGAGCTTGTACGCGATCTCTGCACATGCTGGGTTCTCCATAATGTACGGGATCAAAGCATCCTCGCGAATGGTAGTGTGGAGAACCTGTCCGCGCTTGTTGATCACAACTACACCAGTGCCATCATCGTCGCGGGCAGTTGTGAAGACTGTTTCCTCCGAGATCCTGTTCAGGAACAGGGCTGTACCAGTCTCGAGATCATGAAGATGGATGAAACCGAACTTTGTGATTACGATTAGGATGCCGTACTTGTGCGCAATGTGGATGCCGAGCGGGAAATCGCCAGTACCCTCAGCAGGCCAGTGGATTGGGATCAATCGCTTTGGGAAGGCCGGGTTCGAGGCATTGTGGTCGCACTCTACAACTATGTTGATCTTGGCTTCTCCGGACGTTGATTTGACGGCGAACGCAAAGAGTTTGGTATAGGTGGCAGCGCCGTCGAGACGAATGGTGCCAAATGTGGCTGCGTGGCCCTCGAGAGGCTGGCTGACGTTCCTGGCCTTGGAAAACAACTGCATGTTGCCGCGAATGCCACCCGCCGGGTTTGAGGTAATACCAACTAAGCAGGACCAGCTCTCATCGTCGTTGGTGACATAGTTGATGATTTGGTTGTTCTGCGCAATAGGTCAGGTATACTCAATACTCTCAATTCCATCTTTGCATACCTCGAGCTGCTCTCCGCGGTCGAAGATTTTGCGTGGTGCCGCAGAGTTCTTCGAATCGAGTACATCCCAATGGTACACGGCCTTTGTGCTGACAAGCGCAAGGGTCGTCTGGCTGACCCATCTCCAGAACTGGATGTCCTCTTGATGGCTGTATGTCTGTAGGCGCTCCTTGGTCTCGAGGTTGAACAACTGCAGCGTCCGGCCCTGCGCCTTGAGAGCTATGATGGGCTCAGTCAAGTGCATGATGGCGCTGTCGGCGCGTATCGGTCTTCGGATAATGTTGTTTGTGTTCTTCAGATCGATGATAACCGTCTCGGCGGGTGCGTTGGCTTCGCTGTTGACCTGGCGCACGCAAACGTACTTGTCGGACTCGAGCGTCTATTACAGCTGTCAGCGCATCTGCCAATGCCGGATTATCTGGAAAAGGTCTACATACACAATTTTGCCATGATATCGATGCCGGCTGTGTCTCTTGTTAGCTTCCATACTCTTGCTGCCTTAGTAGCTCGGCTTTGTCTGGCCAACGTACGGTGATGTTCAGGTTCGTGAGCTGTACACCCAATCGTTAGCCTCTGTATTTCTAATCTTATGCTATTGATGGACGTACCAGCGTCGGCTGCGCGACGTGCAATGGAATCGGTTTTGAAGCCATGTTTGCGACAGACCAGCTCCTAGGACCCAGCGAGAGGGCGCGCGAATAGAGGTATCGGAAGAAAAGTAAGAATCAAGCCCAGATGCACAACTCCAGAGGCGCGCAATAGGAAATGAGAGACGGGTGGGAGAGGTGGGGTGAGGTGAAGTTGCAAGGTGTTGATGGCTGTCCAGAAAGGAGCTCGTGTACACATACGCTCGCTGACGGCAGTGCCTTGGCCCCCGGCACTAGCGTCTAGCCACAGTCCGCTAGTCGTCGAAGCCGTCAACCCCTGCACCATGCAGGCGAGCTCTGGAAGTATACAGTCGGTGTCGAAGGTGACGTTCAAGTTGGGCAGGAGATGAGTGCTGTGACGAATTATGCATCAATCGATTTCGAATCTACCCGCAAAGACAAGTATTCAATCGCAAGTGAGAACGATTAAGCCGCTACGTCACCTATTTACCACATGTCAAATGCGATAAAAAGTGACCACAGTGGAACAGCTCCTGAAGCTGTACACAGGCCCTTTCCGTTGTCGAAGCCTAGCTATGCTTTGTTTAACTTCGGGCTGTTGAATGATTCTGTTTACTTCTTGTCGTAGTTGACAACTTACAGTGCCTGTACACAACAGGGCGAGGCTATCCAGGCGCACACGTTCATGTGAAGTTTGCAGGTTCCCATTGCTAGGAACTGTACACTATTTCTTCATTCAATTGCTATAATTATTATTACTACCTCAAGCAATCATGCTTAATTGTTACTATATACTCAGACGCAACAGAAGCGCGAACAAACTCAGCAAGCAAATCGGTATCAAAACATAAAACATCATGCACAATCGTGACGACACCAAGCTTAGATTCCAACCTCATGGAACTTGGAGTCACGGTTCGGGCTACCCTTACCCCTCTCCGCATTTGTGGTAAATGTGGGAGGAGGAGCGAGTCCTTCATCGAAGTGATCTTGAGCCTCCTCGAAGTCAGTAGCGCCAGACTTCTTGGTGTCAGTGCTGGTGATGCGCTCGGCGGAACGTCCTCGGGTTACCATGGGCTCCTCGTAGTCCGATAGGGAGGATACTTCCGAGTAAGAGTCGTTCAGCTCATCAACGTGTGGAACGGAAGCTGGCTCAACGTCGCCCAAGTTGTGTGGACGCTCATCATCAGACGTAGCGCTGGTGCTCGCGACAGGCTGTGACTGTGGTTGGGATGTCGAAGAGTGAAGGGAAGCGCCGCCAACGAAACCAGGCTGCTCTTTGTCTTTGCCCATGTCTGCCGTATTGATCGTGCCGGCAGATGTGTGCTTGGAGCGACGCTTCAGCTTGCTGAAGATTGACTTGATGCCCTTTGAATTCGGGGACGTGGGAGAGGCAGGTTCGGCCTCGTTGGCAGTCGAATCACGATAAAGGTCCTCGTTGTCGGCTGAGGTTACTGTAGTAGTGTTTCCTGTGGACACTGGGGCAATGGCTGGCACTTCCTTAGACTTTCTCTTGTCTTGTTTAGCCTGCTCTTTTTCTTGTTTTGCTGCTGCCTTCTCCTCAGCACTTCGAAGCTTTGCAGCTCTCTTCTCCTCATCTATTGTAGGTTAGTCTCACTGAGGAATAGATTTAGTGAGAATGACATACCTCTTGTTTGCTTCTCTTCAGCCTTGATCTCTGCAGCGCGCTCCTTCTCGCCCCTTTCATGACGCTTCGTCTCCTCCAATTCGAGCCTCCGCTCTTCTTCCTCAGCTCTGCGCTTTTCGTCTTCTGCACGGCGCTTCTCCGTCTTCTCGGTGATCTCATCCAAAGTGGGCTGGATCCGGGCTTGAGCAATTGCATCGATGTCGCCTTGGTCCATGTACTTTCCGTTGCCAAGGTGCACTCTGCCGTGGTTTTCCATGCGCACTTCAGAGTTTGCCAACGCCCTCTGTCGTGCTTTCTCATCCCATTGGTCAATCATGGCAGGCGACATCTTACCTGTCTTGTCGTAGATCTTTTGATCCATACCTTGTAGCTGAGCATGCACCTTACGCTCGGCTGCAGCAAGAAGGGACTTGCGGTCGTTCTCACGCTTCTGGGCGTCAACATCTGCCAATTGCTTGTTGAATTGGTCCATCTGTGAGCGTATGCGCCTCGATCTAAAGTCGTCCTACGTCGGAGTCAGAATCATCGGCCGGAGCAGCCTTTGTGTCGCTATTCGCACGACCACGACCGCGGATTGAGAACCTGGAGCGGGGCTTTTCGTAACCGTAGTGGCTGCGGTAAGCCGCATTCTCGTCGTAGCCAATCTTGGCCAGTCTTTCCTGGGCAAGCTTCTGTGCAGCTTCCTGAATGCCTATGTAGCGCATGGCCTGTGATTTGATATCTTGCTCGCCAAGAGACGGTTGCTGGCCATGTGCAATGGTGGCACCCGAGCGTGCAGCTGATGCACCGTCGGCGCGTTGCTGCTGTGGGTCATACATTTTCTTTGCCATGGAAATAGCGGAGCTCGAGGCATCGTTATGCTCTTCTCCTCGTCTCCAGCGCACTGGAGGGCACTAGTGTACATGTCCCTGGATATGCTTTGGCATGTTGAATGCGTGCTGCTTCCATTGCACCATGGCCGAGTCTGTTCGAATCTGATGTATGTGCCTGCGACTTCGCCTTCATGGAAGGACTATGAGCGAGGGTGGCAGCACTCAGCGCATTTTTGGCTGAGTTCCTTGAGTCAGGGTATATCTCCGCTGGCGCTGGAACTGATTGAGCACGCTGGCGGTTCGAAGAGGCATGCGCGCCGGTGGCTGCAGTGAAGGCGTTCTTCCTTCCCTCATCAGTATATCCGTAGTCAACGGCACCTGGCCCCAAGCTCTTCTGGCGCATTGCTATGGTCGCAGCGGAATGACCGTCTGCGCTGGCTTGTGGCTGCCACAGATTCAATTTTGGACCGTCCTTGTGAGCGAGAAGAGCTGCTTTCGAGCCTGCAGCGCTTGCTTCTGGCTGCCACAAGGGGGCCATCTTGTATCCGTGTGCCAACAAAGCAGCCTTGCCAGCAGCAGATGATTGTTCAGGTTTCCAATACTCTGGGCTCTTCTTGTTCTGATTGGCAAGCAGTGCCGCGGTTCCAGCAGAAGATTGGGTGTCAATTCCTACAACGGGAAAGCTAGGCAGGTCGGATGCTTTCGCATACTTGAGGCTGGTAGCAGCACCTGTATGCGTTAGACTTGAGCCAACTGGCGAATCGAACGTTTGCTACTTACTTGCTGAGGAGAGCTTGCCGTCAGGTCCCAGCGGGTTTATCCTCTGTGTTTGCTGCTGGTGTCCTCTGCTGGGGTTGGTCGAATACAAAGCAGCGGCGGATGCCTGGTTTTGCAATGCGCTGTTCTTTGTGTGATGATGCGCCGATGGATCAGGGCAGCGCATGTCTGTCTCGGCAGCTTTTGGCGAAGCCGTATTATCCGCTGTGCTATGGGTATGGGATCCACTGTCAGCGCCCTGAGGGACGCTCGCAGTCAGAGCTGTTGTCGACATGGTGACGGCAAACCGATTTCGCACGACCGATCTATTTTGATTTTGTTCCGGTATATCTATTCAGAAGTGAAAGCGCTGGGAGATACAGCTGATTGCAAACTGGGCAGCGTCTGTTGCGGCCAGGGCTAATATGATGAAGGCGCTGTATTTGATCCGTTGGATGCGGTGATGTCATTGATGATCGCCCTAGCGTACCTTCCTCCTTATGGGGTGGTCGCACTTGCCCTGTAGATCGAGACACCTGTCTTAACCCCGTTAGGCATGCTGCGAATCAAATGCGGCTTAGATGTCGTGATTTAGCTTGAACTCTTCACTTTTACGGCTCATAATCCCTGCTCACATCTCACGCTTCAGTCTTCTCCAGATGGCAACAACCTTGCATCTTGCCATGCTCTGACCCGAGCGCTTGTCACGCGAACTATAACAGCTCGTTCATGGTGATGGGGTAAGTGAGTACCTGCTTGCGGTGACAAATAAACGTTGAATAAGCATATGCACCTGTTTTTTGGCACATGATTCCGCAGGTGTCCGACCGACCACTCTCGGCCCTCCCCTCATGCGATCGGCGAATCTTCTGTGGCTGTGTCAAGTCCCCAACATTCGCTCAGAGTGAGTTTCGCGCGCGAGATACAGAAGAATTCGCGATAGTCCAAAATCCTGAAGTGCTACCAGGATTCATCCATCCATGCATTCATGGATAGTAGTCCTTCCGAATTCAGCTAGTCTTACCTACGTCACCTTGGCAGCAGGTAAATATGCTGCTCGACACTCGTACATTGCAGGTGCGCCAGCGAACATCACAGTCCAAACGTTACTGTTGAAACTTAGTTCTTGATGGAAGATTCAATCCAAGCACCACTGAAAAGCATACTGAATTTTCGAGATGCTGCCGACTTCGCCAACAGAGCTACCAATACGAAGTATTTTTTCCCTTCACGTTACGAAAATATTTTCTAACACATTATAGGCGGTTGAAGACAGGCTTACTCTTCCGTAGTGCTCGACCAGGTCAGTGAGAAGCATGAACAATCTGGCACGGGCTAACAACTGTTAGACGAAGCGTCTACGCGGGACAGAGAAAGGCTTCTGAAAGAGTACGGGCTAAAGAGCATCATTGACCTGCGAACGAAGTAGGTCTGCACTATGTTCTGGAGGGTATATATTGACGGTCGCAGAACAGAGCACATTGAACAGGCGCAAAAAAGAGACGCCAACATCAAAGCCTCTGCAGCAATCCCACAGACTAATGACGAAGTGTCGCAGCCTCTGAAAATGCCTGGCATCACGTATCATGAGATCAACTTCAACGGCTCGTCGTTTTCCCGCATGTTGATGTCGAAACTCTCATGGGCCGAATTCTTCAGGCTGGCTGGCCTGATGCTCTTCGGCTACCGTCTGGACGCAATCAAGATCATCGCTCCACATATGGAGGAGATGGGTCTTGTCGGCCTCGCCACAAGCTCCATGGACGTGTGCAAACGAGAGGTCAAGCAAGTTTTCGACGTCCTGGCGGACGAGAAGAGCTGGCCCGTCCTAGTACATTGCACACAAGGCAAAGACCGGACAGGACTGATTGTGATGCTTGTGCTTTTCCTGCTCGGTGTCGACGAAGCAGCAATCGACAAGGATTACAGACTTTCCGAGTCAGAACTCGCACCCGAGAAGGAACAGCGCATGAAGGAAATCAGCTCGATTGGCCTCACTGAGCAATTCGCGGTGTGTCCTCCTGACGTGGTGAGCAGCGTGCATTCGCATATTCAGAAGAAGTACGGTACAACAGAGCAGTATCTAGAGTATACTGGTGTCAGCAAGGAGGCAATCAATCGAGTCAAGGAGATTTTGCTTGTGACAGGCTCGCAATCGGACCGCTAGATAACAGGAGAGGTGCACAAGTGGGCCTGTACCTGGACCCTGGGGGAAAGCGACGTGAGGCACGCGGATGAGGACTATTAGAGAGCCAATCACCGCGTCCACCACCTCTCACAGAGACACGTCTCTGAGCGACCTCATTTATGAAGTCTCAATCATAACAATTGTACGTGAATAGTACGCGCGTTGAGCTTCCAATCCGACGAAGCGGAGAATACCACAATCTGGAGCTAAGCTCCCTGCCCCAGTTCTCGCTTAACTCACCGCCCGCCCGCTCTCCCAAGTCCTCAACACCTCTTGTCTTGCAAAATTCCTCGAGAAGTCCCTCAAGAAGGTGCGAAAATGAGCAGCAACACTTCTGAGGAGAATTTCGAGTGGGTAGAGACGCCACCGGCGCCCTCGCCCATGGAGCCCAAGTTCGATTGTGGTGTGAAGACAACTTCGGTACGTATTGCTGGTGAATAAGTTGACGAGAACCGCGTCGGCCATTGAGAGACGAGATGGAACGACAGCAAGCTAACGTTTCGTCAACAACAGTACCCTACCATTGCCAATGCTCCTCTACCTGCAGAAGGCTCTGGCCGCGACTCTTTCAACAACACCTTCCTCATCTCCCTCCTCGTTGGTGTCCCCGCATACATCACATACAGCTGGGGTATGGGCTTCAAGACCTGGGTGTTCCTCGCTCTTGTTTTGTTCCTCCCCATACTGGGCCCCTTTTGGTGGCTCACCTCCGAGTTCGCTCCCCGCAAGAACGAGAAGGCCAAGCTGCCCGGCAAGCCCATCGAGCATTACCTCAAGTTCAACAAGGCCGAGGACCGCGATGCATACTACGGCAAGAAGCAGATTCCCCTTGAGACTTTCCAAGAGAAGTATTTCGACGGCGAGCTGGAGCTCAATGGCGACATGCTGGAGATTCTCGAGTGGCGCCACGACTGGTCCAAGCCGCGCTTCACTCTTGGTTTGATCAAGCACTTCCTTTTTGGCTTCCTCCCTGAGATGATCATGCACTCCAGGTCCCAGGGTATGTTAAAAGAGAGACGATGATGTATTAAGGTAGAGACTAATACCTGTACAGACGAGGAACAGGTCCGAGACCACTACGACCGCGGCGACGACTTCTACGGCTGGTTTCTCGGTCCACGCATGATCTACACTTCCGGTGTCATCTCCGATATCAACAAGGAGGAGAGCCTCGAGCAGCTCCAGGACAACAAAATGGCCATCGTCTGCGAGAAGATCGACCTGCAGAAGGATGAGAGGATGCTCGATATTGGCTGCGGTTGGGGCACTCTTGCTCGCTTCGCCTCTGTCAACTATGGTGCAAACGTTACTGGTGTCACTCTTGGTCGCAACCAGACTGCTTGGGGCAACAACGGCCTCAGGAAGTCTGGCATCGAGGAAGACCAGTCCAGGATTCTCTGCATGGACTACCGCGACATTCCCGTCCCTGAGGGCGGCTTCAACAAGATCACTTGTCTCGAGATGGCTGAGCACGTCGGTGTTCGTCGCCTTGGTGGCTTCTTCCGCCAGGTTTATGACATGCTCGATGATGACGGTACTTTTTTCCTCCAGATTGCCGGTCTCCGTAAGCCTTGGCAATTCGAGGACTTCACCTGGGGTCTCTTCATGAACAAGTATGTTTTCCCAGGTGCCGACGCTTCTACTCCTCTCGGATTTGTTGTCGACACTCTCGAGGCCGCTGGCTTTGAGGTCAAGATGGTCGACACAATTGGTGTTCACTACTCTGCTACCCTCTGGAGGTGGTACCGTAACTGGCTCGCAAACAAGGACAAGGTCACTGCCAAGTACGGAAAGCGATGGTACCGCGTAAGTATCATACAATGAACGCTGAGCTTCATATGCTGATAACGTGCTAGATCTGGGAGTACTTCCTTGCCTACTCCACGATTGCGTCCCGCCAGGGTACCGCTACCTGCTTCCAGATTACCCTTGTCAAGAACCTCAACGCTGTCCACCGTATCGATGGTGTCAAGACCCAGTACAGCTTGTCTGCCGCTCTTGCTGCCAGCAAGGCCAAGCTCACCGGAAGCGCTTAGATGTAGCTGGAGCTGTGCAAGACGATGTCTTTGCCGAGTTGCTCACAATTATCGTGTCGTGCTCAATATATGAATGATGTTTATGCTGCATCAAGTCAAGGACAAGGCAGCAAATCGGTTTGGGCTGTTAAAGTAGATCCTTCTGGTAAGGAGAGTTGCGTGGTGTCACGAAGTACGGAAGGAAAGCATGGAGACGATGGTGTTGGAGAGAATAGTAACGATGGGGGTCGTGTTAGACTCTCAAGTACAGTTCATAGAATAAGAACACGGGTACTGCATACTGTGATTCCTATACCATAAGATGATGTATATGTTCATCATACATGTCTTCTGCATTTCCTTTGACAGCATCAATCACACAGCCGGACTTCATAAGCAACGATGCCGGGTTCATAGCACTGCTGGTACCCTCTGTCGAAACTGGTCCCACATCTCGAATGCCAGCTACTGTCAGCGATGTTTGCTAGTCTTATCCGTCCATGGCCTCTTGCGAAATAGTGTGTAATGTCGAGACTACTCTCAAGTTACGACAGCAATGTATAAGGCAGTAAGTAAATCTAAGGCTTTGTATCAATCGAGTAAGTTGAGTAATGGAAAGCACATTCGTAGGCAAGCTAAGAGATGAGCATCGCGTTATGACAATGGTGGGCTGCCGTCCTAAACATCTGCTGCTAGGTGAGGCTGATGCATCGGATTTCAGAACGGGACATGATGTAGTGAGACGGACAGCGAATTCCACGTCCTCAAGTACCTGAGGTATATTCGAGGGCGGAAATAAACGGCGGGGTTAAAAAGATCCACGTTGCAACCGGAGCCTCTCGTGGAAGCAGTGTCTTGCTAGAGACCGCCGAGCCGTATGGGGCCATTGTGTTCTGCAGGGCGTTGGAAATCGGGTGCTCCAAAACTTTCCTTATGCGTAAAATAATCATCTCCAAGCCAGGTTGAGATCCAGCACGATGAGGATTGAGCATACTGCGTGTTCCACTGAACAGTGTCTGTCGTGGGCGTATCCTTCACATCATACCATTCTGTGGGCAAGCCGACCAATCTATGGAAAGACCTGGGTGGACAGGTACTTCCAAATGGATCACATTCCTGTACCTCAGGAGGCATAAGAAGCGGCGTGACGTGTGAGAAATTATATATGAGTTGGTGGAGCATCGACCTGCTTGGATCTTTACAGCTCCGAAGGAGAATCCGTATTACAAGCTTTTTACTTGATCCAAGCTTAAGTCGAAGCTGTTTCGCTTCATTCTGCCCAGTTTCGACTCTTTCATCGTCCCATACGGCATGGCATACTGCGGTACAATTCTCGGTATCGAAACTGAGATCAATCACAGCACGCTCCCCGATTCGTATGTATGACGGCATCTTCTCGGGTACATACACTCGATTCAGCGGTTGGTTTGCTTCCGATTTGTACAGTCGATCAGGGTCCACGCGCATGAATTGGTTCGAATCGGAACCTACACGTCGCAAGCGAACAGATATGCCAACCCTCTTCGGATCATTCAAATGCGCGCCTTGATAACAGTGCAGAAAGGCGAGGTACTCCATTGGATTATCTTTAACCGGTTGGAGTGGAAGCGATATTTGAAGTCCTCTGTTTGTGAACAAGAATGGAACACCCGTCTGCCCTGGAACAAAGTATATCCTACGGCCAGTATTGAACTCAGCTGGTGATCGTGCGAGCAGGGAACGGAAAGAATTCCTCGACGCATTTTGATCTTGCCAGCAGAAGATGGTGTGATCGAAAGATGTCTTGATGATTTCTTTTTGTAGTCGTACGAAAGCCTTCTTCCCTTCGCCATACAATAATGGCATGTTAACGTCGAAAATTCCTAGTAATGAGTATGCAATATCTTCGACGCGCGAAGTCTTTCGCCCAGCAGCCCATCGCATTCGTTGCGCGATACTCTTGTCACCCAGTGGACCTCCGCCTAGGACATTTTTGCTGATCCCGCAATGTTTGGAAATTTCTGATGCAAACTGAGTCTTTCCTCCTATGTTCGACCAATTGACAGAGTAGAAGGTTACGTCCTTTGGGGCAATCAATTCTTGCAGGGTCCATCCTCGTGTGAACCATTGACTTTTCAATATATTCGTGTCCGGCCCTGAAGTTGCAATGTCCTGAAGATACGCATAACATTTGACAGAATTCTCATACCATCGATACATAGAGTTAATAGCTTCTGAGAGCTCGCTGCTACTGCGTTTGTCGATACAACACGTATCTACCCAGCACCAGTCTAGCCCGTCTGACCGAGCTTGGTCTGCACAATAGCGTATCTTGACAAAACCAGCTAGCTCTTTAGCTCCTGTGAGTGAAGTTGTAAGCTGGTCGAAGCTTACTTCCTCGTGTCCCCATCGGTGCGAAAGGATAGCGTAGCGCGGGATATCGTCTTCAAAGAACTCGCGAAGTTGAAATGTGTGAACGTCGACTAAACGCATTGTAATGCTCAGAAGGCTGAAAAGATAAGAGTGGGTAATGACGACGCAAGGCAGCACTTGAGGTCGTCATGATATGAATGAGGGGCATGCGGCTGAATGCATGTGCTCTTGCTTACGATGTAACAGCGCCACACCAAAGCTATCATACCTAGCAAGTCTAGCTAGATGAGGCCCCATGCATTGGGTTTTAGAATAGACATGATGTGCTTAGGTAGCGCAACAAGCAACGAGGTCGAAGTATCGTTGGGTACGCTCAGCTGCCTGTTCAGGCGTCGCACTGGCCGCGTTCACGGCGGCTTTGTGCTTTCAAGTAAAGCCAGGCCGCACAGTCGAAGAAGCGACCAACATTTCTTGTGTATCTCATCGCATATCTCATCCAGAATGCAGGTTGTAGTAGTATGTACGGCCAATCATTGCGCTCTCTTCCATTGCTCAAGAGCCGAAGAAACCGCACCCAAGATCAGCCACTGGTGTCTCGTCTCCACTTCACATGACGGTTTTCTTTCTCATGGAAACCTCACACCGCCACATGGGCGACGGGTCTCTCCATAGAAAATGCTTTATAGTGAGTGTTGAAAATTTGCGTTGTTCAATAATGAAGAAGAAGAGGACGACGCGCCAGAACAAACTTTTATGGCCATCGGAGCGCGGCGAATCTCCAACGCCGATTGGCCGTGCGCCTGCCCCGCGAACAATATCCTTGAGTCAACGCCGCCAATTTGCTGAGTGTGGGATCCTCGAAGTCGCCCACGCCAGACATCCTGCATCAACCTTCGTGCAAATTCCACACGCGTCCCGTGACTCCACCCATTCACACTACATCCCGCGAAACTCACCAACAACCACCCAGCATGGATTCTGAGTCGGAGCACGAGCACCGCGATGACGAGAGCGTGTCTGAACAAGAGGAAATTGAGGAGACGAAGCCAAAGCCCGCGCTGAAGAAGGCGAAGGAAGTGGCCGCCCCAGTCGAGCGCCCATATCTCCCGTAAGAGCTGCCCAATTCAGCATGCGACAGCTTCTACAGAGCTAATAAGGACAAGAGAACAACCGGAGCCTGGCACAATAGACTTCTCCACACTGAACCCGCTCTCGCCTGAGATCATCTCCCGTCAAGCCACCATCAACATCGGTACGATTGGCCACGTTGCCCACGGAAAGAGTACGGTGGTAAAGGCCATTTCTGGTGTCCAGACTGTCCGTTTCAAGAACGAACTCGAGCGAAACATCACCATCAAGCTCGGCTATGCCAACGCAAAGATCTACCAGTGTGACAACCCCGAGTGTCCGCGCCCAACATGCTACCGGTCGTACAAGAGTGAGAAGGAGGTCGACCCGCCTTGCGAGCGCGAAGGCTGCGCAGGCAAATACAGGCTGAAGCGCCACGTCTCGTTTGTCGACTGCCCTGGTCACGACATTCTCATGAGCACGATGTTGTCAGGTGCCGCCGTCATGGACGCCGCGCTGCTCCTCATCGCCGGAAATGAAACCTGCCCGCAACCGCAGACTAGCGAGCATCTCGCAGCCATCGAGATCATGAAGCTGAACCACATCATCATTCTTCAGAACAAGGTCGATCTGATGCGGGAAGACAGCGCTGCCGCGCACTACGAATCGATCCTCAAGTTCATCCGTGGAACTGTCGCTGACGGATCACCGATCATCCCCATCTCTGCCCAGCTGAAGTTCAACATCGACTCCATCAACGAGCACCTCATCAGCAAGATCCCAGTCCCAGTCCGAGACTTCTCTGCGAAACCCCACATGATCGTCATTCGATCATTCGACGTTAACAAGCCCGGTGCTGAGATCGACGAGCTGAAGGGTGGTGTTGCTGGTGGCAGTATTTTGACTGGTGTGCTCAAGTTGGGTGACGAGATTGAGATCAGGCCCGGTATCGTGTCAAAAGACAGCGCTGGTAAGATCCAGTGCAAGCCCATTTTCTCAAGGGTCGTGTCCTTGTTCGCAGAGCACAACGATCTGAAGTTCGCGGTACCTGGTGGTTTGATTGGTGTTGGAACCCGTGTCGACCCAACTCTGTGCCGTGCCGATCGTCTTGTAGGCTTTGTTCTTGGTCTCCGTGGACATCTGCCAAACATCTACACTGAGCTTGAGGTCAACTACTTCCTTCTCCGAAGATTGCTCGGTGTAAAGACTGCGGACGGAAAACAAGCCAAGGTTGCCAAACTCGCAAAGAACGAAGTTTTGGTATGTGGAAGTTTTGTTTCATTGAAACCAAGCTAACTTGAAACCAGATGGTCAACATTGGCTCGACTGCAACGGGAGCCAAGGTCATCGCTGTCAAGGCCGACGCCGCTCGTCTTTCCCTAACATCACCTGCATGCACAGAGATTGGCGAGAAGGTTGCACTTTCAAGACGTATTGAGAAGCATTGGCGACTGATTGGTTGGGCCAACATCGTGGCGTAAGTTTCGCAGCAGCTGCTTATGCATGTCTGTACTAACAATGTCTAGTGGAAACATCCTAGAGCCGATTGTCGACTGAAGACAGCCCCAACAAGCGTCCTGCTTGGAATCTGCAGGGTCACCCTAACGATTATACGACTTCGTGAAAGCCGGATTTTGTGCATTATGTTCTTGAGCATTTCCAGCAGGAGTCGGTGGCATGTGAGGATAGGCACAAAAAGGATTTCCTGCGGCCGCGATTTAGAGATGTCTTCACAGGGCTGCAGCAAAGTGAGGCGAGCTTCATTTGGAGATGATGAACTTTGTGTAAAAGCACGATCTCTGAGCAAGCAATCAGAATAGCGAAATACAATAAGAAACACGTTACAAGCATCTGAAATGTTGAGAAGCGGGTGTCTGTGGAGTGATCGACGTGGGTGGAGCGCGATTGTCACATGAAAGAAAGCTATGCATATGCATGCTCATACAACGTCAGACCAAGATCGCTAGCCTACATGTACCCTGTAGTCCCCTCTTCATTCTCGCGAGGGTTCAGCGTGCAATCTATAACCTCTTTCCCGTACAAGGTAGGCTTGCGAAGAGTCCAATGCATCCATGGGTGGCTCGTATCCATAAAAGGCCAAGCGACCCTTCTTCTGTGCACGTGCACTAACCTTACCATAGAGTTTCCTCGACCTACCTTCCACTGCAACACTTTACGAGCAGCAAACATCGTGCTCGACATTGCTTTGCCTTTTGCTTTCCTTCTTCTTACGCTCGCTCACCACACATTCTTTATGATATTGTAATCGACAGCAATACTGCGACGCACGACTTGTCGCACTACAGGGCCCTTGTTTGGACCGGGAGCTAGACGCGAAGATGGCGGATGACCGTTTTGAACCTTCCAACGCGGGACAAGCACCACCACCACTCCTTCGTCCCGTTCCGCGGCGAACCTTCGACACTACACACAACGACTCGGCCGACTCGCCAACCCACGCTTTTTCGCAGGCGGCGCCCCCGAGTCCAATCGAGACTCGACGGTCGTCAGACTTCCTGTCGCAGCTCAATGCGCGCCTACTGCGGACGTACAACTCCCGTAGCGACGATGATGGAGATGAGGGGGAAAGGGAGCAAGGGCTTCCTTCGCGCAACAAGAGCTTCTTGAACATGACGAGCACGCTATCCGGCATATACGATGAAGTGGACTCGAATGCGGCGAGCATGGTAGAAACGCCATACGGAACTGGCGCAGAATCTCCGTCGCACACAGGCTTGGGCTTCCAAGTAAGGGAGAGCGGCGTTGGTAGCCTGGACGCTGGCATGAGCATGAAGACACGGGCACGGAAGGGAACACAGGCGCGCATGACCGAGGGCAAGAGGAAGGCTCAGTCTCCGAAGCGGCCTAGGAATGGAGCAGTAAAGCTCGCAGTCTTTGGGGGCAAACTGGCAGCGCTCTTCTTATTTGGCGTCATCTACGGGCTCATCGTCTCGCACTTGCACGACACCCGGCAGCTCACGGCGGTACATATCGAGGGCATAAATCACGAGAACTGGATATACCTTATCAGCTGGGGGTTCTTCGGCGTCGCGCTCGGCAGCTTGTTGCCATATGTCGATGTCGCATGGGGCGGGCACGACATCGAGGAACACACTGAGGAGGAAGAGTCGGACAAGGACGGGCAATCGCCCATGAGCGAGCAGATCAACGACGTGGTCCGTAGTGTGGCTGCCTTTGTTGGAATCGCATTCGCCATTGTAAGTTTATGAACGATGTAGAAATTACAGCTATACTAACACATCTCCAGCGTCGACTTCCCTGGCAGTCCACCCTACAGCTGACCCTGACCCTTGCTCTGGTCAACCCCGCGCTCTGGTACATACTCGACCGCTCGAAACCAGGTCTCTCGTGCTCGCTCATCGTCACCTCGATCCTCACGTCTTGCATATTCCTATCCAATCCCGAGGTCCTACCCTCACCATCATTGCCAGTGATGAACAATGCGACACAATTACCCACAAGCAAAGCCACCACTGGTCAGATGAAGAACGACTTCTTTGCCGGCGTGGTCAGCTACGACAACTTGGCTGTCGTAACGTGGGTGGGGAGCGTACTGTTTTGTAGCTGCGTGTGTTTTGGTAGCATTGGACGCCGGTTGGCAGTGCTGGAAGAGTCGGGGTCGAAGCGGTCGGGGTAGGACACGAAAAAGTGATACCCATGGAGATTTAGTTGGATACACGCTGAAATAGAGCCTCAAAATAGTATTCCATGTTCGACCGTCGCATGTAATCCTATTTGCTTGGAAGTGCCGTGCGTAGAGGTGTCTCGAGTCTATGTGCAATGCTGATGTCAGAGAGAGAGCAGGACATGCACGTCCAAAGCGGCCAGAGTAAGACGCAAAGATCAGCTGGTATCTTGAATGTCGCCATCTCACCAATGACGACTCTGGGAACATTAAGTGTTTTTAATGTCCCTCCAGGTTAACAAGGATTTCTCTGCTCTCTTTTCGGGCTCCAAAAGCGTAGTAAGACAGCTACAAAAGCCCGTGTAACAGAGATAGAATAGAGAATAAAGCAGTAAGTGCCTCCAGGAACTTCTGACAATTTGCCAAGATACACGAGAACATAGACTGATGTGAGGCTGATATATCTGACCTTTTGATCATCGACTGCCTTATCGGTTACTACTGAGACCTTAGTTTAACCATCGGCGACACCTCAAAGACCATTGAGTATGCCCTACCGATCCAATACTAATCGAAACAACCGTAGCATTCTCAGAAACTATCCACTCACCTTGATCAATTCCACACATCGAGTCTCAACCACAAAACAACGTCAATCACTCAAAGCAACCGTTCGGCTACCTACACTGCTCGCCCAATCAACTGCAGCCCTTGTACGACCATCCAGGAAGAGCACATTCATATCTCGAGTTTATTCTAGTCACGATGTCTGGTATCCTCAAGCGCAAGGCTGAAGCCAACGATACCAATCACGAGTCCAAATCCGCCAAGGCTGAGGCTCTGACAACGACTCCGCGCCGTACTGAACGGCTTCGCCGACAAGTTCTCCGTTTCATGAATCTTCCACAAGAGCTTAGGGACATGGTATTCGACGAGCTTTGGCTCATGTCAAAAGTCATTGTTTTTGGGCTTCCGCACCCAGACAATTCGGAATATGGCTACCAAGTCCAGCTCCACTGCAAAGGAAGTTTGAATGGGGAAACCGGAGTACGAGGCCTGCCATTATGGCTCCTCGTCAACAAGGCTGTCTACGCTCAGGCTCTGAAGCAACTACGCCGCCATGCAACGTTCGCCTGTTACGCCGACGTTCGCACATACGGCTGTATCAAAGTCTCACCTATACTCGGCACAATCCTCTTCACAGAAGCGGAGTTTCACTGTCGATACCGAGGCGGTCGTGTATTGGTAATGAGAGAGCGAGAAAAACCGATTATCCCAGCGTTCATGTCCCGATTCGGGTCGACGCTGGCGACGCTGAACATAACCACGAGATTTCCTATCACATGCGTACATGGGTCACGATTTCGTCTTCTTGTGGCCGCGCCTGGGTGACAAGATCTTCGAAAGTCTCCAGAGGTTTAACTTTCGCCTTGTCACCATGGATGTTCCACTGTCATATGTTCCGCTTGCTCTGGTCTCAGTCTTTCGAGATGAATATGAGAGGCGAGTCCTTGTGCGTGTGAAGGGTGTTCTGGGGATTAAAATATGCAGATTTTGGAACATGGGAGTTTAGGGGAGGGCGACTTTGTTAGGGTATTCGACTTCAGGTTCATCAAAGCCTGATGGACATCGGCTTAGCAAGAGGCAGTCTATATTGCAGTCAAGTGGATGCTATACACTTCGGGATGTACAGACCTGCGTCTGAAAATAAGTGATGTTTGAAATTGAACGGCTAATTTACCCACAAGACCACTGGTGCGGAATTTCCTACACATACGTAAAGACGGGATGACACTGCGCATGCAAAACTTGGAATTATTCTCGCAGTCGCTTTGGCACGCACTTCTGACAGTATGTCAACCGTGCTTGCACTGTTGCTGTTGACAATATCATATGCAGGCCTGGTGAGCTTCACCACTTTGTGGATTATGTTTTTTTTTGAGAATTTGAGTGAAAATTTGTAACCAGGGTGAAGTGATTATGAATCCCTTATCCCTTCAACGAAGACCGTGGAGGAGTACATTGTCCCATTGCTACCCCCAAAGAAACGGACCCCATGAGCACATTAACATATGCTGATCTCATAGTCGACCTCGTTGGGATCCTGACCGACATAGGCTTCTCCAAACATCAAGCCGTCCACATAGATGTCGCCAATGAGTTTGAACATATCTCCGCATGGGCGCATGACGTGAAGTTGGTCTGCCCCTTGAAGTGCCATAATAACATCGCCGTCCTCGATGCCTTGCATGGCATTGTATAGGCGACCGGCGCGAGTACGTCCAAGCACACGGCCCTTTTCGAGCCTGAGTACCTGGACATTCGCCGCCTAGCCTGTTTGTATTCGTTACTGGATTCAAACAATTTATCCCATGTGCCTCTGAGTTGCGAACAGTAACGTTCCACAATAGATATAGCATGCTGGAGACGATCGAGGCCCCTATTTTTCGACCTCAAACGTTGCAAACAAACCAAGAAGTGGAAGGCTGTTGTTTCACCTGGACTCATTTGATCAACTATGGGTAGGGACCATGGGAGTCGTGCAAATACAATATAGAACAAGTGTATCAAGTCTTCAGAGCTTGGATCGTCCGGAAGAAGATCGCACAGACTGGAAGAAAAGACTAATGTTCCGCCTTTATCCGCAGAATTGGTGACCTCCAAGCGCTGATCGGGTTCTCCGATCTTGGTCACTTCTTGTGTCAATAAACTGGCTTGACTAGATGAAGCGAGTCGATGTTGGGAGACGCACACAACGTCCACAATCCGACCTTTCACGACCAGCACTGAGTCCTCTGACACAAATCGCGCTGGTCGAACCATCGAACTTATCGGATGTGGCTCATACTCATCAAACGAGGTAGTCGACGGAATTTCCCTGAGATCACTCGGTCCGCCAAACATAAAACACCAGGAAGGAAGCGTCAAGCCTGTTCGTCTCCATTTCGATGCAATACCCAAGACCTGCAAATTGGACGCAAGATTGAACGTGCGGACGGAGACTTCCTTCGTCAGCTCTTCGAACGTACGGCTGTAGTCAGGGGCGAGTGCGAGGTCATGAGTATCGCTGGAAATAGCCAAAATGGCATATACTCGATCAAGAGGGTTTCCACAAAGTAATCCCGCATAGTGACGAATATTAAAGACCAGGGTCTGTCCGTAGGGCGGTTGGTCCATGAATCTGGCACGCCTCTCCCACCACATACTATATAGGCACTCTTCAGTATCAATTCGAGAGAATTCATCTTCGCTCATGATACGCTTTATAATACGAAGATACACTCGAGGGATGAATCCAATAGCAAATAGGATAGGAATGGTAGCAATGGCGTCCCATTCTATCAACTGATGCCCGCGGAGGATTATGATTTCGGGGTTTAGAATTTGTTCCTGCACGATCCATAAACGCTGGGTCCACTCGCCATAGGCTACACGAACTAGCCAGATCCAGCCGAGCTCGAAGAGTTGCCTTTCAGTCGGGGTCTCTTTATTCGAATCAACACAGACATCTAGCGGAATCGACTTTAGGCCTATGCGTCCATCCAGTAAGCCACTCTTACACGCTGGAACACTACCAGCTGTGAAGATGTGGTTCCAAGCGTTGTCCAGTATATTTTTGTATATCCTTTCGAGCAGCTGGAGTCCTTTGCGCTCTTGGTCTGGCGATTCTTCCGGTCCAAGATAGGTGACGACGCGTTGTGCTTGCGAGTATACCTGGCTCATCATGGAAACCTGTAGACCTTTTTCATGGTCATCCTGCTGGTTGATGCTGATCTGATCGATCCAGAAGGTACGGTTCTTCATGTCTTTTGTGTTTCGCAGGTCGCACAAGGCGTTGTGAAGATTCTTTGTCAACGGAATCGAGCTGATCGCCGAACTGTGCTGGTCCAGTACAAAAGCTCGATAAGACTGATCAGGCTCTCCCCAGACGTACGAGAGCGCTTGATAACATCTGCTCGACACAGCGACATGAACAATATGAATCTCGATGCGTAATTTGTTCGGCCTGAGTTCCAGCACGCGGATATGTTCCTTATCTTCCAACGGCTGGTAGTTGTAACGGGGAGGAGACATGCGTTTTGTCTTGCCTGTCTCGTGTCGAACGAAAGACCTGAGCTTATTCTGGCTTGTGCATTAACGTGCGCTCAGGTAAAAAGTGGAGGATACCGAGGTAGCCTTGGGGGTCTAGCTCTTATGCTGTCAGCGTATGCTCGCCAAGACTCAGCCTGCATGCCCTGGCAATAAATCCAAGGTCAGCTAACACTCAGCCTGAAGAGGCTTACGGTATTTCGAAGCAGCGCGGATATAGTTCCTGAGAACTAAATACTACCTTGCAGTAAATGTAGTTCACTATGCAGTGTTGTAGGATACCTCGGAAGACTCCAGGCTGTCGCAAAATCAGAGGGCGTTGTACACCGATCTCGCAAAGAAGCAGTCCACCTTCCTCATCCGTCTTCCTCATAATACACAGCCCCATCTCATCTCAATCCATTCCTCAGGCCATCGTCCGTCCCAAATCTTCTCCACCTTTCAAACAATTACATAATCGTATACCCCCCGTCGCCACCACTGCCCTTCTTGACCCACCCATTCTCCCCCTCCTTCCCCATCGCCCTCTCCTTCAACCAATCCTCATCATGTCCGACCATTCTCGCTGCTTCTTCATGCGTGACGTGTTTCTTCTTAGCTTTGCGGTCCTGATTGTCTTGCTTTAGGCGCTGCCAGCGGGATTGCTTCTTCGATTCACTAAATGCGGATAGAGTGGTGTGGGGCATGGACTTTGATGATGGCTGTGTGTGTTGGACACAAGACGTATTGCTGGTGAGCTGCTGTGTCTGCAATTGAGAAGATGTTGATTGTGTTGTTGTATACGGGGGTGGCACGTCGTCATGGAGGGCGGTTTGCGTAGACATGTTGAAGTCGGGGCATGGATGCGGTAGATCGCTAGGATCGCGGACGTTATAAAGATCCTATGATCTTCAATGGCGCGCCTGAGGTTGTCGTGGTCGGAATGACAGAGGCCAAGGCATAATCGGAAAGTCGGATTGGTAGTTTGCTTGGCTGAGGAAGTGAGTTCATGACGATGTAGCACGACTGGATTGAGAAGAAAAGAAAGAGATGGATGCTTGATGGATACTGAATAGACATGGATGTATGGCACTCGAACCTCAACCTCAGATCCTGATTTGAGCGTCGTGAAAGAAGCAGACGGGACCCACAGCCGCAAGTTCAACGCTAGGCTAACCATTATCCTTAATTTCTCATAGAGACACCTCAATTTGGGTATACTTCGTGTATGTTCCCACCACCCTCAATGCATTTGTGAGGCACTCTATCGCGACAAATTTGAGCGGCCCTGGATACTGTAGAAAGCCGCGGAATTCATGTCATGAGACTGAGAATCACAATGATGTTGAAGAAAGTCAAACTACGTTGCATCATCCGTTATGGTGTTTCGTGGTTAAATGGTGTTTGGTGAAGGTGTGTGGCTGGCGGGGCAGCCTATCGATAGCGACTTCCGTTTTGGAAATTTGGTAAATCTTGGCATCCCACCACAGGACAAGCGCACTCTGTGACAAACACGCACAACAACGCCCGCGACCCAGCGCACCCGCCCCCTCGAACCTACAGGCATACTCCCACGCGCCAATCACTATGCCGGGCCCCAAGAACACGATCCTCATCGAGGGCAGCTTTGAGGAGCTTACCGACGAGTTCGCACAATACATCGACACCCTCAAAAAATCCCAGGGCGAGGAGGCGTCCAACCTGCAGGGCGAAACCGCAGAGCTGCTGAAGGAGAACAAGAAGGATGACGTGCTCAAGAAGCTGGTCGTCGGAGCACAGGCGCTCAACCAGGCGCCGGAGAAGGGTATGGGCGCAATGCTGCACTGAAGGAGAGACATGGAGGGGCTAACAGTGTGCGCGATAGAGTTCATTGCAGCGTACAACCTGCTGATCCACCTCGTAAACCAGTCGCCGAGCGTCAACATGTACCTGCCCAAGATCTGCCAGAACCTCAGTGCCCCGATCTCGTCATCGCCCCAGAACGGCGGTGGCCTTGCTCTTTCGATTCTCAGCACAATCTTCAACACCACGTCGGCTGGCAGTGAAGTGCGGTACCACGTGCTTCTTGCTATCCTACGTGTCATTCGCGCGACTTCCAACTTCGAGACTCTGCGACCACAATTAAAGCAGCTGGACAAGTGGTTAGAGGCCTGGGAGACAGAGGAGGAAGACTCCCGCAAACTCTACCTTGCAGTAAGCGATGTTGCGTCGGACGCTGGCGAGAGCGAGCAGGCATACACATACCTTCTCCGCGCACTGCGGACATACCCCTCAGAGGAGGCTTCATCGCCAGAAGCCCGCGAGCTCTCCCTCCGCGCCCTCAAGTCCGCCCTCACCCACCCCACCCACTTCGACTTCCAGGACTTGACCGACCTCGACTCGATCCAGGCCCTCCGCAACTCTGACCCTATTTTCTTCCAGCTCCTCGAGATCTTCAACTCGGATTTGCTTGACGACTACAACGACTTCAAGGACGAGCACGATGGCTGGGTCGAGGAGTCTGGTCTCGACGGTGCGGCGCTGAACCGCAAGATGCGTCTCCTCACACTCGCCTCCATGGCTGCATCAGCAGGCCAGACCCGATCCCTGCCGTACGACAAGATTGCAAAGGCCCTGCAAATTTCCTCCGAGGAGGTCGAGATGTGGGTCATCGACGTGATCCGCGCCGGACTCGTTGAGGGCAAGCTTAGCCAGCTCAACCAGACCTTCCTTATCCACCGCTCAACATACCGTGTCTTTGGTGACAACCAGTGGAGAGAGGTCTCTTCAAGGCTCGACATGTGGCGGAACAGCTTGACTGGTGTGTTGCAGGTCATCCAGGCGGAGAAGCAGAGGTTCTTGCAGGAAAAAGAGGAGGAGGCGAACAAGGCGGATAACAAGTATGATTCGGCGAGGGGTTTCCAGAGGGGCGGGCAGAGGAAGCAGCCAAGGGCACTGGACGATGACATGGGTTTGGAATAGACGAGGCTCGCGATAGAAGGATGCATGCCTGACGACACCTGCACGACACGGGTAGGAAAGGGCGGTTGCATTCAAGGCTTTTCTGGGATAACGAGCAGCAGTCTTCATGCTGCAAGTAGAGAAAATTCGATATGTACTGTGCAATTATTCTACGGAAGCCGTCTATCGTGATGTCTCAAGGTCTATGCATTCTACGTCTGCACGAACTTGAGCTAGATGGGCTTAACACCCCTCTCGGCAAAGAACTTTTGAACATCGGCGTACACCTCGTTCGGGTCCCGCTCGGCGTTGACCTTGACTACCCGGCCCTGCTTCTCAAACTCGTCGACCACGGGCATGCTCGTCTCGACGAAGACGCGGAAGCGCTTCTTGATCGACTCGAGGTTGTCGTCAGCACGGCCAGAAGTCTCACCACGGTGTAGCAGGCGCTTCTCCATGACGGCCTCGGAGCACTCGAAGAAGAGGGTGAACTTGGAGGGCACGACGGTGCGCTCGAAGGCGTGGGCTTGGTCGAGTTTGCGAGGGAAGCCTGGGTTCAACAGATTAGCCCGATCCTTCATAAACCTATTGATAAGACATACCATCAATCAAGAACAGCCCCTTCTTGTTCTCGCCTGCCATGCTTGCCTTCATAGCATTCTCCAGCAACTGGACGGTAACCTCCATGGGCACAATCGTGCCCTCCTTGATGTACGCCTTGATCATCTCGCCGAACTCGCTACCAGGACGGTCCTGCTCCTCGCGCAGCAAGTCTCCAGCAGAGAGGTGCTTGAAGCCATAATCCGACACGAGTTTCTGGCACTGCGTCCCCTTGCCCGCACCAGGGCCGCCGAGGACGAAGATCACAGTGACCTCATCCGCCGACCAAAGAGGGCTGGTGCGCGTCGTAGCGCCGAGGTTGTCGATAGCAGGCATCTTGAGATGTTCGTCGAAGATGTATACGTCTTAATGGGGATGCGATGGCTTAATGTTGCGGCCGCTCGGTGCAGGATTGGTGCTCGAATACCCAACTACAGGACCCTGGAGGCTTGTATGCGGCTTCTTCCTTGCGCTGGTCGACAATCTTCTTGAAGAGAAAGCTGCCGAGGGCGAAAATACCGACAATGGGCCAGACCTTGAGAGGCGACTTGGAGGGTGGGGCAGAGATGTGCGATGGGGGTTCGTTGGGGCCCGTGGGTTCGCCGGGTTGACGCAGGCGGGAGGCGTGGGGATGCGAGGTGGTGAAGCTGCGAGACAGCAATTGGGGGGTGCGGAAGGTGGCTCTGAGGATGGTGGTGGTGGGAGACATGGTAGTTGGGTGGAAGCGGTATGACGGGGTTGGCTGGGGGTGTTTGTGCAGCTCTCTTTTCGTTAGCGTGCGTGCATTAGCGTCATCGAGCATGCATGGATAACGCGCTCACCTTCACCTCTTGAATGGAGAGAGTGAGGTCGTTGCTGCCTATATTGAAGCTTCCATTTGATCAATCTTGCCATCACTGCTAACGTCACAGCGACTGACAAAACACTACTGCAACAGCACTTCGGCTTGACGTTTGATATCTACGAAAGCATTACCTCGAATGATATATTACCCACACTACAAGCCAGAACTGGCAAATATTGAGTAGTCATTCTCACACTGACACGTCTCGGGATATCCCAAGATCCAACAACAGCAATGGGTCCATCAACCTCCCTCTTCTCCCGCACCCGACCCAGCAGATCCACCCCCAAGAAAATCCGCGGCTTCCTCTCTCTCCCCGGCGAAGTCCGCAACCAAATCTACGCTTACTACTTCGAATCCCAATTCCGCTGCGAAATCGCCTCCAAAGGCGCCAACTTCCACCCACCCAAGCCCAAAACTGTCAAGCTCTGGGCCGGCTCGTACTCCACTAAGTCCCCAACCCTCCAGCACACCTCTTCAACCAAAGAAGACACTCCACTAACCATCCGTGTATCACGCCCGCTGGGTAAGTACACCATTGTGGGTGGCGTCCAGACAAACTGGCTCGCCTCGCTGTTTGCAGTCAATTTGGTGTGTAAGCAACTCCACACCGAGACTTTGCCCTTCCTCTACCAAAAAACCGTCTTCGTATTCGACGCGCCAAAGCGCATCCTGTCGTTCCTCAGTGTCGTTTCAAACTCGAAGCTGGCATACATCAGCAAGCTACAACTGTACTACACAACCTATGGCTCGCCCCGCAAGGCTGCAGATGGCGTGTGGCAGTCCAAGCACAGACAGAGCTGGCTGCGCGCGTGCACTGCGGCGTCGAAGAAACTCGTCAGCCTTCAGAGTCTCAGGATCTGGATATGCGTGCTTGATTCTCCGTTGCGGTTTAATCTAAGAGAAGCGTGGGTGCTGCCGTTATTACAGTTTCGGCGACTTACGCGCGACACCGAGACTCTCAAGGCCGTCGATATAGACTTTCGCACTGGCTTGTCGGGCTTCAGTTTCACGAATCCGTCGCTCAGATATGCGAGTGAGGACTTGCACCGCTTGTTTGGTCAGGCGATCAGGCTTGCTATACTGGGTGCGAAGGAGGAAGTGGCTATGAAGGGATTTAATGAGGCGTGGGAGGGCGAGCATGAGATGTGGCAGTATCATCTGGGATATGGGAAGACGGGGTGGTGAGGCAATATCGGGAGAGGCAGTAGCGACGGTTATCATGCATGGCTGGGAGTTTATGGTGTTTGTTTTACGGATATTGACGAGCTGTACATAGTCTTCCCGATATCATTCTACCAAGCACGTGGGTGCGAATACAAATTTAGGAAGTCATTCGTGCTACCCTAACGAGCGAGACCCCATCATCTTTCTACGAGCTGCATGCTCCGAGTTGCTCAGTCGCTGAATTCAGGCTTCACCGCATTTTCCCGACTCGAACACCTTGCATTCCTCCCTTCACGCTGTGCAGCGTAGATCCTTCCCAACGACACCCAAGACCGGAGGTGATCTACGCTCCTGAAACGTGTTTGTGCAAGGCGAAGTTGCAAATATAGATAAGCAAATCACATCAAGATCGATTCTAGATTTGTAAAGAAAGACACATTGTTATAATATGAACAGCGAAACTGTTTAATATACCGTGTCAGAAGTGCTATTTCAAACATTTGCTTCGTAAGTCGTGCAGCCGCCCGCCAATTGTCCGATAAAAAACGAATCGTACAAGTTGCAATCTGAGTGTCCACTTCCATGTGTGACACTGTCCTGAACGCCGTCCGCTTATTGCACTGACGAAGCCTCATCATAGTGCGTGACAATTTGTTACCATACCCAAGCGCCGAGAAAAAGTTTGTCCGTAACGAACCATATTTGTTGTGACAGATAAAGTTCAGATGTCATACTGCGGCCAAGTGGCGCCGAAGAAAACGCCGTAATACTTCTTTGCAACATGCCAGTTGCGTAAAGTGTACCGTGTGTAGCCCGAAAGATTGTCCCAATAGCGCTTGTGACGTGATGGGTGTCGCACTGTCCCGTCCGAATACCGCAAGAAAGTGGCCATTTTGGTCCACATATGTCAGGTAATTGAGATTTATAAAATAGCTTAGACAGGAGGGATGTCGTTCCTTGTCCAATTGTAGCGATGATAAGTTCGGCTGGTGTCGAAAAGCGGTGGGCGACATTTGTGCCAGGATGGCTGATAACACCGTGCTGCAGAAAATTGACGGCACTTCGTAATGATAGTCAAACATGAATGTAACGGATCTGCGGGACCTTTATCCTGTATATGGTCCTGTTGCGGGGCGTTAGAAACCGGAACTGGACGTAAAGCATAAGAGCTGAGAAGAGGACGTACCGGAGATCGTAGGTGGATACAAGTCCTCCCTCATCTAATCCATGTAGAAGTCGCCCTTGAGGATTCGCTCCTGCATGGCGTCGGGGACCTTTGGTTGCTTCGGCATCTCGCGGGCCGGCGGCTCCATGATAGCGACGCTCTTAGCCCGTTGGTGGCCATGGGGCCCCAAGGACGGAGGAGGGCCGGACATGGAGCCTCGCTCAGCTCGAGAACGGAGGTTCTCCGCGAAGTTGTAGCCTTCGCCTGTAAGTGGTGATGTCAGCAAGCTGTTTACAAGGTCATTCTCAGAATGCTCGGTAACATGCTCTGCTATGGAGGGTGGTCTGATATGGGAGATAGACTTGGATCTAAAAGAACCAGGGGACAAGGGGCCCAGAATAAATGAGGATGGGGAAGGCAGGGAACGCGATAATGAAGACAGACCTCGACCTCGACCAGTCGGGGGAGAGGAGGCTTTATGGACGGAGGGTCTACCATTTGGGTTCCCAACGCTCCCATTGCTCTGCCTAACGTCCCGCAGGGCGCGTGCACCGAAGCTTAACCGTCGAGCAAAGGGGGTCGCTGGGTTGCTGCTAGCAGCTGAATTGGAGGGGGCATAGTCGTCCTCGAAAGGACTCTCGTCGACGGAGCCCGAGTTGGCACTGGAGATGCTCTCCGTACGTGTGCGAGGGGTCTGGAGGAAAGGCGAAGTCTGGCCAGGCGAGGCCCCGAGGCCAATGGTGGTGAGGGAGAGCCGCCGTCGTTGGGCGTTGGCGGCAGCTGTGGTGATGGGGCCTGAAGCCCCCGTGCCCTGTTGGCCAACATAGCTGCCGGAGCGGCCGAAGAGGTCATGGAAGGTCTGAGAGGTGACAGAGGCACGTCGTCGGTCGGTTGCAGCTGGCGAGGGTAGCGGGGGTGAGTTGTTGTCGTTCGACATGGTGTGCGATGGAATGGTGGAGGTTTGGTGTGAAACGAGGTCGAATTGGAGCGTTCAAAAAGAGGGCGAATGTAGCAAGTTCAGGTCGCGTGAGTACTTGTTGGCAAGTCGAGTGATGTGTCTGGAATGAGAGCAAGGAGGGCGTTGCGGGTTGATATGTAGATGTGCGCACAGACAGGGTCCCACGCTACCGGGCTGGAGTGCTCAGCGTGTACGTCAGCGGGGCAATGGCGTGATAAGCGAGCCTGATGCACAGGGGAACTGCGACACTGAGAAGGAAGTGTTACGACGACTGGCAGGACAATTTGAGGGTCTGCACTGCAGAAGAGAGGGGGATGGTGGCAGGGCTGCAATATGGGCAGCGCGGTGGTGAATCAAAAGGATGGCTCGGCCGCACCCCAGCGGCATGGATCAACTTCTTGTTTGGAGCGCTAGCGACGATGTAGGTTTAGCCACGCTTCCCCGCAATGCACTCCTTCAAGGAACAAAGCGTCTCATGTGGATAGGGCGACATGGCTAGCATCCCGCGCATCCAACCACATTCTGTGCAACTCGAGTCTACTTGCTTCCCCCCGCCGTCGCGCCAGCATCAGCAGGCATCGGCCCACCATCCTGCCATCTACAACCCACAACGATCATCATCGTGTCCGTCCAAGCGCGGATAAGCCTGAGACGAGCGTCTTGGTCACATGTCCACCACTAGAATCGTCTCGTTTCTTCGGCCCACTTGCACTTATCGTTATGCTTTGGTGCACAAACCCCAGAGCCGTTGTGCAGCCCTTGGTTTTCGTATCACAACTTCAGCCGGGTTGGCAGGCAGGCATGCAGCCACTATCTATCGACTAAGCAGCCTCCAGAATGGCTCCCCTCGGGCACTGCGGAAGCAGCTCGCTGAATCAATGCGCGTGAGATGTCGCTTACGACTCAAAGAAGCGGGGGCTTTCAAGTGGAGAACGAACAAGCTCACACCTCCTTTGAAAATCAATGTTTGGCAGAATCATTTGAAAGCAATGATTAGGAATACAGAACTCCTAGGCTACATGGAGCTTTGGAGACGGTCAGCAGTACGAGAGAAGTGTGCTGGCACCAGTGGCTCTTACACATTTCCTGCCCATCTGCGAAGGCATCTACATTGTGGGTTGGTGGCTGTTTGATCCGGCCCGTTACACAACCTAATGACCGCGTTTTTGTACGAGTCGTACTGAGTTCTTCCCCTATTGGCTCAGTAAGAGCTGCGCTGTGAACGTGAATGGAGTTGATCCTATCAGACCTGGACCCCGGCATTCGTGCCAGACGCTCGGTTAGGGAGCTGCACTATCATCGAATAGATGATGTAAGTCTGAAGCAACGCTGTTTAGCATGTGTAAGGGCGATAGCTCACGCTTCGATCTGCTGAGCGCGAAGCTCCGTGCTTGTGATGCGACTATTGTTGCCTGTTCGAAACAGCAGGCGGGTCGTTCCGCTGCTCTGGATCTATGCGCTGAAGACTTGGCGTGTGCCTACTGTATGGTTGCGGAGACATCAGCTGAGGCTTGCAGTCGTCTACGAGGTCCCCTACTCTCATCACATGTAAGTATCTGTCCCAAGTCCCAGTACAATCACGCATGAAGCTGTGCTGACACAAGATGGCAAGAATGTAATCTGCTTGCAAATTCCGAGATCAAATTTGTTGAGAAGCTAAGTGAACGAATGTAAGAAGTGATGAAGCCGTGACTTGAGAAAGAGAAGATAGGGAATTCCGTCACTTGCTACAAGCATTAGGACGTGAAGCCGCGCGATAAAGGAACGTGTCGCAGGTGGTAGCAGATGAGAGACACACCAAGAAAGGAAAGACATGACATCGCTCAAGCATAACAAGGGATATCAAAGACGATGAAGAAGAACAAAAGTTGCGCAAGGAGCACAGAGGAAGTGAAACGCTCAAAGAGATGGACGATAGGAATAAGGAGTGGAACAAATGCAGAAGACCGCCAACGCCATACAAGTAAAGACAAGCAAATGAAAGATAACGGATAGCTCCACTGTGATCGGCAAATGCCAGGACGCCGTGCTACTCCTGCATGGTGCGCTTTGGTTCGCCTTCACGGACCTCAGAAGACGCTCTCTTGCGGGTATCGTGCACAAATCGTCGGAAAGTATTCTCGTAGGACGAAGGAGTTTGCGCATCAGCTAGCTTCTGCTCAATGCGTTGCAGCACTTCCCAGTGGCTTTGGAGAACATCCTCTTGAGGCAACGATCGTAAAGAGTCAAGAACGAACATGGGGCTGCCATCCTTATGAGAGCCGATAAGCGCAACGAAAAGGTTGTTGTCGACAGGGTCTGATGGAGCTTCTAGACCCAGAGGGTTCTGTTCGTACGAGTTGACGTTGCGCTTTACCACTTCGTCCAAGATAGTGATCAGGGCAGCAGCGGCTCGGACTGCTATATTGCGGGTGTCGGAATCATCCGCGTCTTGTTCACAACAGAACTTGTCAATCGCATTAACCAGGTATTTGAGCTGCCCAGCACAGTTTGGAATGTCGAGCCGCAGCGCATCCGGGGAGGCATCGACCGAGCCATGCGTAATGTATTCGTCCAAGGCATGGAAGGTACGGGCTATGCGGCTATTTATTTTCTGGAAGAAGACACGCCGCTGGAAGTCTGGGTCGATGACATGGCGGACTTGTAGGAACAGACCAGGGTCGCGGATAGCATACTCGGAAAATAGCGCCGCGAACTCTTGGTACCTCCTGGACCGCTCGGATATCAAGGGCGATTCTGGTGTCTTGAACTCCCCAGGCAAGGCTTCCTGAGGCTCAAATACGGAGAGCATGTTTGTGATCTCGTCTCTCATGTCGTCTTCATCCTCAGGCAAGTCCTCCTTCTGCAACACCCATTTCAGGTCACCTGCTACGCCCTCCAGGCCTTTGTTGTTGAGGATATCCACAGGTGTCGTACTCTGCACGGTCGATCCGTCCGGTGAGAACTGAACAGGCTTTTCGTCAAGATACTCTGGAGCAGTTGAGAGGATCTGGTCGACCAACCAGTAGATATGCTTTGACGTGATCAGCAAACGCCACGACGACAACAATATTTGCTCATACTTTACAAGCAAGACCTTTCTCGTTCGCTCCACAGGTACATGTCGGCCTTCGAAGCTCTCCCCCAATCGAAACGGTAATGTCGTCGTCAATGTAGAACTGTTTCTTTCCGTTGGTCTCTTGACCGGTTGAAAGTGCGCAGTACTTCATCTTGATCTCGTTCTCCTCCAACCCGTTCTTGACTCGCTGCCGCAAGTCGCTATCAAAGTTCGAGACATTGTACTGCAGATTGTTTGTCGATATGACAAGTGCGGGTACCGAAGAATTTTGTGCAGGCGATTCGATAGATGGTAGCGGCTTATCATGACTTGTGTCCGATGACGATCCGGATCCTGGTCGGGCTGCTTTTGCGGCCCCAGCACGAGTCGTCACCATTTCCTCTCTGAGAGAGAGCTTTGAGAACTGCTCTGCTGACATGAAGGCCGTCTAGATGAATGGTTTTGGTGGTGGTAGTTCAGGTAGGATACTATATATCAGCCAACATTGCAAGCATACGCCACGGTCTTAGTTGATGCCTCAAGGAATTGATGAAGGTCCGCCATATTCGAACGGCGCTTAACGAGTAGGCCTTCCGTGCCGTGCTAACGTTGGGGCGTGAACCCGGTTGTGGCTGTCCGGAGAGTAACCGAAGGATCGTGGTGTGGTCCTCGCCGCTGCTGTTCTGCCTGGCTAACCGTAGGCAGCATAGGGCCGGTATTGAGAAACCAATAATTGCAAGGCTCCAATACCCTCACCCTAACCTCTTGCATCATGCCCAGACCTATGCTGTCAGCGAGCACAACTATCCAGATGGCATTGCCATGATGTTGAGGTTGTCCAGAAATTCCGATTTGTGCACCAATAGAAGCATTATAGCTCTCGGACACGCTTACCGCAAGCGAGACCATTTAACCGCAACTGGTTAAATTTGGGGCTGCGCTTGACCCAGCTCTTTCCTGATCAAGGAGGTTTTGGTGTTTTTGCCGCCGAGCATGGACGCCCAAGGCCGCTAAATGGCTCAGACGGGCTGTGATGCTGCAGTGCGCGCTTTCATGTCACCGCAGCCGCGGCGAGGCTCGTGATCGCTACTGCAGATAAAATGGTGGGCCGCGAGGCTCCGATGCTCTGGTACATGACCACAGGCGAGAGGCCATGTATCGGTATGCGTGAAAAATGGGTGAGAGCGGATCCCAGAAGCCGGTAGACGGTGAAATATTGTGAGTAGTGCATTTTAGCAGTATGCTCAGCCCTGCGCGGCGTTGGTGTCGAGCACAAGAACCCTGCAGCCGCCAGTCAATATTCGAGATGTCAAACACACGAGGCTGACTGCCTGAAGGATTATTAACCTCTTTGTGAAGCTTCTGACCGCATGAACGACCGTCATGCGTGGCAGCTTTTCGATGGCACAACTTGGAACACCTGGCAGCCATGATCGTGGCCTCGATCGGCCCCTACGTATACTGCGCCTCCACATCTGCTGGATTAGATTTTTATGAAATTTTCAGCTGCTATCCGCAGTGTCATCTTAGTGTACAAGGTAGCTTGCTGACCTGCAAGATCATGAGCAGACTGCCAACGATAGTCCGAATCACACAGCTGGACATGGACTATGGGATGTCAGGCTAAATCAAAATCGAAATTAAGGGTATTTGAATCCTTCGTGCCCACGAAATGCAAGTAAACAATCGCGACTCGGGCTCAGACTGCAAGGGCGGGCCTGATGAGGAAATTTCGCGACCCGTGGCAGACTCACATAGTCATGTAAGCCAACCAGATTGTCTCTGTAACCGCCGCATGAAAGAAAGCAAAGTTGATAAGGCACATCGCCCCAAGTTGTTGACTAACAAGCTCGATCGACGAGCAGATAAGTCGCATAAATGACCCGATCATACGGCCGTCCTGCGGCGTAGTGACCAAACACACAATCGCGGCATACGGCACAGCAGTCTAGTGTGGTACGGACATATGAGGTATTGACGGACCGCGCCTTGTATATACCAAAAGGAGAACCCTCATCCATGCGGCGTGCATGCTGTCATCGGCACTGCGATGTTGGGTGGCGGTACAGGAAAGTATCTGAAAACCCCCAACGGTGGAGGCCCTCTTGCAAATTGATCAGTGAGGCGAAGTCCAAGCCTAAGGTGCGTCAGTGAGAATTTGGCCGCACGGGAGGCGAACTCACATCTTACCTGCCACTTCCCCCCGTTGTGCGTGTTGCACTGCCATGCACCGAATTTTCTCGAGAGCTTTGTCCAGAGCTCTGCTCTTTGTTCTTCCCCTTTTCGACGACATGCCTCATGGATATGCCTCCCCATGGAAGGCCCGACAGTGTGTGACTGTTCTCAATGTCTTCAGGTTCAGGAGAGGCATATGCGCTGCTAGCTCTGCGTTGGTTTTCCGCTTCTCGATCCGACTCTTCTCTTTGCTCTTTGGCCTTGTCACCTGCAAATTGTTATTCCTGTCTCATACATGTAGAGCCCTTTTGGATGTAGACTTACGAAATCTTCTCTGTGCTAATTTGTTCTGAATTTTCCGCCTCTCATTTGGGTCTTTCACTTCGGACCACTCATCGGACTTGGTTCTCGACATGTCTTTGTCCATGACGTACTGGCTATCTTCAGGAGACATCGATTGCTGTGCGCTAGACTGGCCATCTTGAGACATAACGAATGGGCGACAGGTGTCGGAGAAGAGCGGCCGGATCTGGAGGGGAGAATAGGAGCGGCAACAGGATAGTATAGTCCTCCACAATGTGTAGGCTCAGACAAGTTATGATCTAGCGAGACTGACTCAGAGGAAACCTTCAAGAACGTAGTGGCTCGTGACAGGTCTACACCCAACCGTAATAGATGGTGATTTGACAAGGAGTCACCCTGGACAGTTTCAAGATTGATGCCTAGTGGATGCCTGCTGCAAAAACGAAACAACAGAAGAGAGCTTATAGCTGGACGTATACACACGTCCCTGGAGAAGGTAACAAGATTCTTAATGTTGAAACGGGATTGATGAATACGTCTTGTGGGACAGAGACCCCACAACCAAACCATCAGCCGCAGGAAGAACGAAAGGAATTCCCCGCATCGGCCATATACGACGTAGGGATAGGCACCCTTGATGGATATGTCAATGTACCGGACTCCTCCACAAATAGACTGGGTCACAAAGGTATGGGGATAGAAAGTAGCGTAGGAAGTGGAGAGGATAATTGCAATGAAGACGATGCAAAACAACCGAGACCGGAGACCACGACATACTGACCGAAGGCGGACAAAAAGATCTGATATGGCCTAAGGAAAGACGTTCGCTCTCTCCGTAGCTGAATACACTACCGCCCTGTGATAATCCGTAGGACGATAGGATTGACCGGCCAGGACTCTCTAGCATGGCCTACAGTGCCGTGGTTCGTCCAACGGCCCGAAGCGGATCAATGGTACTAATAGTAGGACCGAAACGATTGGTAGGCAGATACCTCGAGTAACGCCATTGTGTCTCCCGGTCAGAAAGCTGGGCGTCCTCACAGAGTATCTGCATCGCTTGCTACCACTAGGTCGGCACCAAGGGTCGGCGATGCCGTTCGCTGTCATCCCATATTTGGGCTGAGGCAGCAACTTTCCAACGTTGGCTCAAGTTGATCAGGGCAGTATATGACGATGTACGTGCCGGATGTGGTGGAATCGTGGCTGTGCTTCAGCCACCGGCGATTGATGGATCGCGGAACGGACATTCGACGTGTTGAATGATTTCCCAGTAAGCTGCGAACGAACTGACAAATGGAAAATCACCCCTGGGCTATACAAGATGAAAAGATCGTGTGGGATTGCATAGCCGTGCTGTAGGCGGTCGTCGAAGAAGCCTGGAACCCATGCACCACTCCCACAGCACGGTACGAAAATACCAATGACATGCAAGTGCGCGGACGATATAAGGCGACTCGGTGAGATGTCCCTGTACAAAGTCTTGGAATCATGGATCGAGTGTGGAAAGGGCGGGTGAAAGGAGCATGAAGTTGACTTCAGCGGTGTCTCGAGATAACCTTGTCCTTGCTAGGCATAGTGTAGCCTCCAGCCGCAATCGTGATTGGCCAAATAGCGTGGCGCAGCTCAAAACCCTCATATGCTGACCGCTGGACAATGCTAGTACAATTGACCATACTTGACATCATGACCGGACGGCACCGATATTAAGCATGGCTGATCTCATTCCCGTGTAGCTTTGTGGTACTCTCGGTGTCAAGATCATCGCTTTGACCGGGAAAGCAAGCTACCTGTGTATGCCTTGAGGCATCGTTATGTGTCGTGAGAGTGGGTATGTGGAGATGCCATGCCTCCGTACGGATGGGTTCTCAGCCGCTGTATGGACTTCTAGAAGCTGACGACGTCGGTGAAAGGAACGGTAGTGTCTTTGGCGCTAGCATGGCCGTCGATGTCTCCCCGCGTGTTCATGATGTTTGAGGTGCACAGCCTCTCTTGGCCGCCGGAGCGAGCGAGGTCGGAGATGTATCTCACGTTGGCAAGCCTGGATTTGTACATTGCAGTTGAGTGCACTTGGAGAGCCTGCGTGAAGCGATCGTGCATATCCAGCACAGAAACTGTTCCGTCCTGCAAAGGGTCGGCGTACGCCGCAACAAAGTCAAGAGCAGTCACAAGGTATGTTTGTCTGTGATTAAGTCCTACTCATCTAAAGGATGGCAATGAGTAGGGTGGAGTAGACACGGTCCTGCTAAAAACCTATTTCAATCTTCCACTAGAAGGAATGTTGCTCCGAGGCCATGGAGAGCTGATCGGGGAGCAGGCAATCGTGGGATAGCACTAATGACGACGCGGACGCTCCCTAGAACGACGAGATACTGATCGTTCTGCATCAAGGAGGGTAACTGCGCGTGTCTCAACAACGAGATGGTTGAAGATGGTGGAAGGGAAGTCGTGGCAGTGGGAGGAAAAACTCGGACTAAGTGCGCCCGGCCGCGGGCCCAAGCTCAGGGCTTGGCGAGCGGCGCAACAAAATTCTGCCCGCAGGAGCATCCCTTCTGCTCTTTACACACAATCATACAAATCGAGCGATTAATCAACGGCCACACGTAGACCCTACCATGTGGTTGTCATATTTGCGCTCTAGAAGAATAGACTGGCACTTTTAGGCTTTTTGCATCCACTTCAATGATGCTTGAAGCCACCTGCGTGACCACACATACCTGATAATTGTTGCGTCGTGTTTGACGAACCCATCGGTGCTTGATGCCTGAGGCCGCCTGATTGAAGCCCGTTGGTATAATGTCCGAACCGGAAGCCTACGTTGCGTACTCTCGAGGAAAAGCACCGAACACGCACACGTGTGGGCTTGAGGAAGGCGGATGGCGTAGAACATCAGGGTGTCCTCGGGGACGCATGCCTTGACGTAGCCTATGCTGCAATTGTGCTTATGATGTGTCTATCCACGCCTTGGGATCTTGAATGTTCTCCAGGATTCCCATAAAATGATGAGATCCGCATATCGTGCTTGGGCTGACGGGACGGGGCTGCGACGCTAAACCCTGGCTCTGGAGCTGCCATGTGGTGGACGGGTACGCATTACTCGTCATCGCGTCTAAACTAAGAACGAACTCTTCGGTCCCCTATTGCCCTACGTCTTTGCTTGGACATGGAGCTGCTCTACCTACAATAACCGGTCCTACAATTCAGGCACAACTACGCCTGCGCCGAACCCCACGTGTATACCTCTTATTAGGTTGCGCACGTTCAGCCGCCCGCTCCCTATTCCTATCACCCGTTTCGCGACCGGCGCGTTCGCTCGAGCAAGATGGCATCGGCCCTGAACAAGCGCCAGCAGGCGCGCAATGAGAGGACGCTGCAGGAGCTGATCAAGACGGTTCCGGGAAACAGCACGTGTGCCGATTGTGGTGCGAAGAACCCAGGTCAGTAGTATGCGCGTACTTGTAGCTGGACACATGCTTACAGTGCGACACAGGATGGGCCAGCTGGAGCGTAAGTGACCAATTCCGCGAGCCTTTTTGCACATGATGCTATACCGGGCGCACATTCTGGAGTACAGACAGGGGACTAACCGCCGTTGCAGCTGGGCATCTTTCTCTGCATGCGATGCGCCGCCCTCCACCGCAAGCTGGGGACGCACATCTCCAAGGTCAAATCGCTGAGCATGGACAAGTGGGACAATGCGCAAGTAGACGTAAGACGGTTCCGGCGAGCATCACAACCAGCTACTGACCTGTACCCAGAACATGAAGCGCATTGGCAACTCCGAGTCCAACAAGACGTACAACCCGCGCAACACGAAGCCGCAGATTCCCATCGACATCGACGAGGTGGACAGCGCCATGGAGAGATACATACGGCAGAAATACGAGCAAAGAGTGTATATGAACGACCCACGGCTGGGCACGCAGCAGAACACGGGCAGCACCAGCTCAGAGGACCGCCCACCACCATTACCGCCGAAGCCCACGGGTCGCTTTGGATTCGGACTGCGAAAGGCGGCGACGTCACCGCGCGATCTGACGCCGCCTCTGTCTCCCGGCCTGGGTAATTATGGACAGGATGCTTCTCCCCCGCACATCAACAAACCTTCTCGCGTCTTTGGATCGAACATACAAACATCGGGAGACGGGCTGGACTCAAAGCTGGCGACTTTACGAGACATGGGCTTTCCTGATGACAAACGCAATTCGACCGTGTTGAAGGGTCTCAATGGCAACTTGGACCGAACTGTGGAAGCCTTGATCAGGCTGGGCGAGCAGAACCCGGTGAGGTCAAGAGGAAGCACGCCAACTCCACCAGCAAAGGCGAACATGAACGGCCTGAGCTTCGACAGAATCAACTCGGCGCCGGCTGCAAGCGCATCTACCAACCCGTTCGATGCTCTGGACGCGGTCCCAGCACCCCAGCCATCGCAACCACAACCCTTGCAGCAGTCGTATGACGGTTCTTTTGCACAGGCAACCTCGCCGCCTAATTCCTACAACCCATTTTTGAACCAGGCACAGCAGGGACAATACCCGCAACAGCCAAACGCTCTCCATCAACCGCAGCCAACGCAGAACTATCAGCAGAATCCGTATGCGCAGCAGCAGCAGCAGCAGCAGCAGCAACAACGGCAGCAGAGTCTTGACCAATCTATGCAAAACATGCAGATATCTAATCAGCCTCAACAGCCGCTCTTCCCCAACCGCACAGGAGGTTACGGACCGACCTCGCCACCATTTGCTCAGACAAACCCGTTCCAGCAGTCGTTCACGCCCCCGCCAATGCCCCAGATACCCGAGCAGTACAGCTCCTTTTTCGCACCACAACCTCAGTACCAGTCCATGTCTTCTCCAACGAGTCCTGGAAATCCGTTTCTCAAATCATCTCGGAGCCAGATATTCACACCTACAAATTCGAACCCATTTGGCCAACAACCAGGTCAACAACAGATTCAACATCAAGTTCAACCACAGCAAATGTCGAATCCCTACATGATGGCACAGCAAACCCAGACGCCTACTACCCAAGCGTCTAACCCTTGGCAAAGTCAGCAGCAGGGCTCGTTCCAGCAGCAGCAAAACCCACAGCAACCCAGCTATCAACAGCAACAACAAATACCCCAACAGCAGCAGCAAAACTACCAGCAGTCTGGGTTTCAGCAGCAAAACTTCCCACAGCCCAACTATTCGGCGTTCCATCAAAATGGCAACCAACAGAACGGCAACCAGCAGAATGGCAACCCCTTCGACAAGAACTCTATTCTTTCGCTGTACAACTACCCCCAGCTCGCTCCTCAGCAGTCGGAGCAATCCCAGGTCCCCTCGGCTGCTCCGTCAGCTCCGACGCCGGCAGCTCCCCCAGCTGGCAACATGAATCCCTTCGCCAGCGGTCCAGCTGCCCAGCAAGGGCAACCGCTCTCTGCTGCCCAGACACCTGGAGCTCGACACGTCAGTAACGACAGCGTTGATTTCTCCGGTCTCATGGGTGGACGACACTCTCCAGATGCCTTCTCTGGCCTGAGTGCGAGCTTCAGGCGCTAAACGTTTTTCCTTGGGAGATTGCTGGGATCAGTGGGCGTTCGTTGGGTGGGATAACTGTATAAAGACTGGATAAGAGTCACAGTTATGTATGTTTGGTATCATGGGCGGAGCAACTGTAGTGTGCTGGCCTGCCACGTATCGTAATGGACCTAATTATTCTTCCCCAGTTGCCTCGTTCGAAACGCTGACTCTGCTTGTTCTGTGGGCGTGCGTCTCAACGGCCCACATTTCAATATTGTTCTGGACGGTTGGCCATTGCGCTTGCATGTTTACATGTATTGCTACGCAATGCTTTCGACTTTTGTGTAAGGATCTTTTTTGTGCTCTTGTGCTCACGGGCGCCGTGTGAATTCCACGGTGATTTTTGTTTTGTTTTTTTGTGTGAAGAGATACGTTTGTGCATGTGGATGTGTTCATTTGTCGCACTGACGAGCCAATCACGAAAATCACCGCATGGTTCACGCAAAGCATACGCACAGGATGCGCAAGCTCGTGCGGAATCGCAGGCGAAGGGAGACATCGGCGTAGCGTCTTGTCGCTGCAGGGACAGTGCATAAAATCGCCCCAACCACGAAAAAGCGGTCAATTAGTCTCAAGTCTCGCCGGCGACGATCACAGCATCTCATGCAAGCTCCACAAGTTCGTAGCTCCCTTATTCAACATACCCGTCCTTCTGAAAGCTCCATCTTCTTAATTTTGTTCACTTCGTTTTACCCCAACCGTGCGACCTTGTACGATTTACAAATCGTGCTGCGGTAGTCCTTGTACGGTAGCTTCGGATATATATCGATAAGGGGTGGCTGGGAGCTCAAAGCTACTACCTTACTTCACAAGCCTTGTTTTGTATACACACCCCCATTGAAGCCCAAGATCGACCCACCCACACCGGATCACATCCAGACTCTTGCACCCTCAGCTGCGCTGGCACTTTTGGGAGTCATCTCATCTTATCGACTTGTTGCGATTCGCATCACAGCCCTACCACAACCCGATCCATAGCGCTGGGCTGCCTTACACTACCCTTATTTACCTCCCTTTGCGCTGAATGCGCTGGGCTACACACTACACACACGTCCACCGCATCCCTCCATCAGCAGTGCGCACCCCATCCTCAACCACACCCTACACTACCGCCCTCACCCCCAAACCCACCCTCACCCACACCAACATGGGCTGGCTCCCGAACCCCTTCGGCTCGCCCCGCCGCGCATCCTCACGCCCGGGCTACGCCCGCTCCTACGCTGGCTCAACCTACTCCTCCTCGCACCGGGCCTCAACATCACGCTACAAGCGCTCCCCCCCGCGACGGCTACATATCCTACCTGTACGCCAAACTACGACCACTTCCTTGCGCGAAATCTGGCGCTATGCCCAGCGCCACCCGTACAAGGTGTTTTTCATGGTCATCATGCCGCTCGTGAGCGGCGGCGTGCTGCACAAGCTCGCCCGCCAGTTCGGCGTCAACTTAACCGGAGATGGGGAACCATGGCGCGGGGACCGCGAGGGGGCGGGTATAGTGGCAGCGGGCATGCGGGGAGGATATTATGGCAGCCGAGGGGATAACTCGGGATAGTAGAGGGAGGAGGACAAAGGAGGGATTCGGGTGGAATCGACATGCAGACGCTTGCGGGCGGAATTGGCACGGCGCAGAGTCTGGCGGGCGGAATAAGTTCGCTGGCGAGTTTGGCGGGCATGGCGAGTAAATTTATGTAAACGAGGAACAGAGGGAGAGGCGGGGGGAGTGGGAGTTTCGGTGTGTTTTGCATGAAAGGGCCATGCACGAACATGAGTAAGAGGAGGATCAGGTGGGCTGGCTGGTGGAGCTCGTGGACATACATACCCCCTCATTTTTTTCGTTTATGCTGCGACGATCGACGACATTAATCCCCATGATGCCCTTTGGGGCCAGGAGGCTCCGGCGTTCAGGATACACGCAAAATATCTCTTTGGTCGCCTGGGATACCTTTGCAGCGGGGCGGACCCTTTTTAGTTATTTGTTCCTTGTCTCGGTACATAGTTTTAGCTTATAAAATGTACCAATCTTCCCTTATGTATAGATCAAAGACGAGATGATATGCATGGGAACTAATATGGTGCAGCTTCATGCTGTTGCTCATTTCATATCATGTCTACATAACCTCACAGCGCTTCCCAAGAAAACATAATCCAGGATATCTCTATCTATACCAAAGAAAGTCGTGCCCACGCCCATCACTCGTAAGTCCACACCAACCACCTACCCACTAACAACATTCGCAAAAACCTTCGCCGCCATCTCACTCAACAACTTCGCCTTATCCCCCTGCGGCAACTCCCTAAAAACCTCATACACGCTCTTCCCCTTCGCATCCCTCACACTGCCCAACCGATTCCCCGCCACCGCCCCCGCCAACATACCCGGGAAATTCGCCACTATGAAGCCCATCGCGCCTCCACTCAGTCCACCAACGATACTCCAGAACTTGCCCGTCGGCGACGCGTCTTGATTCGCCATGCCCTCTTCGCGCAGCATCTCCTCGAAGATCCCGCCGAACTGCTCTTCGCTGAAGCGATTGTGTGATTCTTCCGTGTTACCGGCGGGTGCGCTGCCGAATCCAAAGGCGGACCAGGGGAAGGAGCCAAAGCCGCCTCCTCCACCACCTCCACTAGGAACATCTTCCTCCTCGGGAGTGGCCGTCGTGCCCGTCCAGCTGTTGTATGTCCTGGCGGCGTCGTAGTCGCGCCTGCGCGTGGGGTCCGAGAGGGTGTAGTATGCGTCGTTGATTTGCTGGAAGCGTTTTGTGCGGGCGGTGCGCTCTGGGGAGTCGGAGGGGACGCGGTCCGGGTGGTGCTTTAGGGCGGCTTTTTTGTAGGCATCGCGGACTTGTTGCTGGGTTGCTTTGGAGTCGACTTCCAGCACTTTGTAGTAGTCTGCACCTGCTGTGAGGTTGTTAGTTGACGCCTACGAACGAGGCGATTCTGAAACTTACCCATGGTCGAGACGTAGATGTGTGGTTGATGTGGTGTATGTTAGGGTTCCAGAGGGTTTGAGGAGGGTGGGTAAATGTCAGGTGTATTTGGGTAAAAGTGCAGAGCAAACTTGCAACATAAACGCGGCTCAAAGGGCAAGGTGGTTTCGCGGTTTACCCATGACGTAGGGTGATGGATTGGAGCTTGGACCATGTGCGCCCTCCATATGTGAAGGTTCATGTAATGTTAAGCTCCACTGCATATGTTCTGACCAGACGTAGCTTTAAAGCGATCTGAGACAAGCGAGGTGCAAAGAACTAGAATTCGACGAAATTGGTACATCATTAAGACTAGACTAATGTAAAGCTGGCAGAAACAAACATGGAGTAGTCATCAGTGATACTACTTGAACAGTGACACGGGTAGAGCATGAATGCACATGATATTACGTCCTCTTCTTGCTCTTACCACCTTTACGGCGCCTTTCCCCATCTTTACCGCTTCCGCTAGCTTTAGCAGGCTGTACTGACACCGGCTCGGGAACAACCTCAACCGCTGGGCTCGGATAAGATGCTTGGGTAGGAGAGGCATCGAAATGACTGTTGCCGACGGCTATTGCGGGCTGTCCTGGCACAGGGACACGGCGCGGCATTGAGGTGTAACTAGCCTCGGAAGCCGGAGCACTTGGTCTGCGCGTGTATTGAAGCTGCGGCGAAGGCTGAGAGGACGAGGACGTCGGACTGAAGCTTTGGTATTGGTATGGCTCGATTGGAAATGGGACGAGATTGGCAGTCTGTATCGAGGGCGAGCGAACACGAGATCCGTTGGATTCTTGAGCCGATTGCTGAAGCGTTGTGGAACGCCCCTGTCGTGAAGGAGAAGTCGAACGATACGAGTGCGCAGGAGTTGCAAATCCGGAAAATGCCCCAGGGATGTCCCTTGCGATCTCACTTGGAGCGATGCTGTGAGGGTAACCGCCATGCGCCTGACTGCTACCAGATACCGAACGAGAGCCTGGTTGGGATCGATGATCGGGATCCCGTGCCAGACTGCCCTGGTATGCATTGATGGGAGTATATATCCGCTGCCCGTCTGGTCCAGGTATGACAAAGCCAGGTGCAATTTGACTCGAGCCGCTCGATACATTGGAGACAGTCCTATGGCGTTCAGAGCGCTTTTCCTTTTTTGGCTTGGAGCTGAACAATGAGCTTCGCGGCTCGCCCTTCTTTGACTTTGATTTGCTTGAACTCGAGTGGCCAGGGCGACTGGTGTTGACGCTGTGTACGCTGGCTGTATCGTCCATTCGAGGAGACTTTGGTTGTGACCGCGTTGTGGGTGATCTGGCGCCATACAGTCTCGATTGGTATGCTTCAAGCTCCTCCGGACTGAGCTGCACGTCAGGGTTGCCCACTGCACGCGCTACTCGGATCTTGTCAAGGACTCTGCTGAAAAGCAGCTCCTCATATTCAGCACGAGAGACAGGTTCCCCCGCATCGTCATAATAGCCCTCGTCCTCTTCTTGCATATCGTACCCAACATCATATGGGGACCCCTCCAACGCGGAAGAACGCCGCTCCCATGCTCTGATGTCCATGTCGTTGAAATAAAGGTCATCCGGATTGTGCAATTGCTTCCCATTCGAAACCTGGTTGGAACCATGATCTAATGAAACACCATTCTTTTCGTCGTCGCTGTTGAGCTCTTGAAATCTATAAACATCGTCCTTCGCCCCCTCTAAATATCTCCCCGCATCTTGCGCCCCTGATGGTCTTCCCCATGAGGGCATAGAGTAAGGAGTTCGCGGCCGACCACTTAGACCGCCTCCTCTGAAAAAGCTGTCTCGATTGGTTTGTCGAGAAACGCAGCGTGACCCAGTATGGTGACACCAGAGGCTCCGATGAGCCAGAGCACAGTGGTGAAGGGAGATGAGAACAGACCCAGAGGAACTGCGATGATGAACAATGCTGTGTACAACTGGGACGTGGTTGCGCGGTAGCCGGCAATTTCAAGGTCGTTGCCCTGGAGCTTGCCGATTCCGTACATGCCGCCAATGACCAGGCAGATGACGAACAGCATCAGCAAATTGTTCAAGAGACTGTATATGCTGAGCATGGCAAAGACGGCGGCATAGTTGCTCGAGAAGTAGCCCAGGTTGTAGTTGACCCTGCTCTGGACCTCGCCAAAGTTGGCGGGTTTAGAGATGCGCTTGACATCGAGGAATTCGGAGATGGGCCGCAGGTTGGCGAAGCGCGAAGATATCGACGTGTTGCGCAGGCCGTCGAAACGTCCGGAGAGGTTCACGCGCGACGTCAGGGCGTCGATGGGGATGCTGAAGCGGGACATGATGCTCGTGGATTTGTTGAGGTTCTGCGAGATTTTCGAGGAGCGTGAAGATTCGGATTGTGCTTTGGGGTCTGCGTTGGACGTGGTGTTAGCTGCTGGTATGATTTGAGGCGGTGATGGCTGAGATATGTGGCCTCTCAACAGTCAAGAGAGATTGTATGTGGGATATGGCTGTCTTACGGTAACTGCGAGAGTCGCAAGTGGGTGGCGCAGCTGATGCGGGCTATCCGAGATCAAAGAGAGTGAAGGACGGTTGGCCAGGAGAAGGCGTACGTGTCGCTGTCCAACGTACGTTAAACTCTCGATAGCCCCTGCCTTGCGTTGCGCGAATCTCAGGGACCAGCGTGCACGGGCCGAGCCTCACATGCTGAAGCCACCTTTCATGTCTGCAACTTTTTTCTTGGGGAAAGCGAATTGGCGAAGAAGAGACCGTCACAACCACGGATGAAGGCTGCTTTTATCCCTCAATTCCTGTGCTTTCTCCGGACCGCTCCAGCTTGATTGGGCCACGTCTAGTATCTCCAGCGGTTCACCGCACTACTCGACTCCCGGCTGCACAAGCCCATCACCCGCATTTCTCCCAGCTCCCCGTGGTCTTCTCGCAACACCACCGCCATGAAGTCGAACGCGCTTCTCGTATTGGTCGTGTGCCTCTTCGCGGCCTTCGCAGCTGCCTGGACCAAAGAGGGTACGTACATTTCTTATAGTTCCACTACATGCAGCCCATGTCGAGCTCTCTCAAGACGACATGTGGCCTTGCAGCTCCCCACATAAATGCATCCAGTCGAGGCCGCGCATGCTGACCTTTCACAATAGACCACGAGATCTTCCGTGTCCGCGATGAAGTTGCCAAAGCAGAGGGCAACAATGTCACCTTCTACGACCTCCTCGGCGTCAAGCCCAGCGCATCGCAGGACGAATTGAACAAGGCGTACCGCAAGAAGTCTGCACGACTCCACCCCGACAAGGCCCGCCAGAACTTCATCAACGAATGGCAGAAGGCCCAGAAGAAGGCGGGCAAGACGGGCGCCAAGGGGCCATCTAAGAAGGAAATCGATGCGCACGTCAAGAAGGTCACTCAAAGCTACCAGAGGCTCTCAGTCATTGCCAACCTCCTCAAGGGTCCCGAGCGCCAGCGATACGACCACTTCGTGAGGAATGGCTTCCCAGCTTGGAGAGGCAGTGGCTACTACTACAACCGATTCCGACCTGGCCTTATGTCCGTGCTGTTCGGCTGTTTCGCCGTCTTTGGTGGAGGCATGCACTACTTTGCCCTGCTCGTGGGCTGGAGGCGTCGCAGGGAGTTCGTTCAGCGCTACATCCGCCATGCGCGGAAGACTGCCTGGGGTGACGAGAGCGCTATTCAAGGCATCCCCGGCGTCGAACCTGTGAACACTCAGGAATGGGAAGACAAGCCTGAGGAGAAGGATCCCGCCGAGGAGCAGTTTGTCCCCAGGAACCGTCGCGAGAAACGCGCCATGGACAAGGAGGCCACTAAGAAGGGCAAGAAGGTTCAGGCTGTACGAACTGCCCGCGCCACTGGCATCAGCACTCCTGTCGAGGCTGAGCTTACTTCGGGACCTCAAGGAGCGAAGAAGCGCATCGTCGCTGAGAACGGCAAGGTACTCATTGTGGACTCTGTTGGCAACGTCTTCTTGGAAGAGCAGACTGAGGATGGTGTGAAGGGAGAGTTCCTGCTTGACGTAAGTACTCATTCGGGTCCTCGATATGACTTGAGCTAAATCAAAAATAGCCTGATTCCGAATCCCAGCCCACCATCTTCGACACCGTTCTCTTCAAGCTCCCCAAATTCGCCTACAACCAGTCCGTTGGCCGCGTCCTCGGAAAGAAGGAGCTTGTCGATGAGCCCTTCCTTGAGTCATCCGATCTTCCTGAAGACGAAGAAGCTATCCAGAGCGCTACTGCACAAAACCTCAACGGTGAGGCGAGGAGGCGCAAGATTACGAGGGCGAGGAGCACCAGGTAGTGCTCTCTGGCGTCACTGTGTCACTATCTAGACATTTTGGTCTGGATATGAGCTTCCTTGACCGTAGCTGGTAGATTAAAAGTGATTGCATTTTAGCATGTGTAAGATAACGAGCATGAGTTCAAAGCAAACAATACATATTGGGCACAGCCTCACTGTACAGAGATGTCCTCACATCAATGGGCTCGCTCCCTGAGGTCATGACTTCGACCTGTGAATAGCGATTCAAAACGTTTGCACATTTGTAATCTGTCAACCACACAAGAAATTCTTCTTGCTTGATTGGTGTAATAATCTGCTCTTGCTGTTGATGCCTCACCCATCCTGCATCCTTCGTCATACGCCTCCACCGCCCTGCCCTCCACGTGCAATCATCTCTCACCTCCTCATCACGCAATACGCCATAGTGGATTCCCCCTCCCTCAAACCAGCAAAATCTCGCGCAGATCACTGCATCTCACCAACGTTCCTGCCCTGCTTCCAGGCGGCCCTTGCATCGTGGCTGAGCGCGTCGATCTCGGTACCAGCGCAGCCAGCTCTTGCAAGCTACCCCACCAAGAAACCGCTACAAACACCCCGCCTCCGCTCCAATGCTTCCTAGCTTTACAAACTTCTCCCGCCCACTCCGACAAGCCGCACCTACAGTCATCAGATCATTCAGCGGAACTGCAGCCATCATGGGTGTACAGAAGACGGTTATTAGCGAGGGAAGCGGCGCGAGCCCGCAGAAGGGGGACACGGTTACCATGGAGTATGTATTTCTAAGCACTGGGTGGTGAGAGGGAATGGATTTGGGCTAATGTGTTTGGTCTGATAGGTACACCGGATGGTTGCGCACTCCAGGCCAGCCCGAGGAGAAGGGCAAGCAGTTCGACTCTACGACCGGTCGCGGATCTTTCCAGACACCTATTGGCGTTGGACGTGTCATCAAGGGTATGTACCTCCCTCTCTTCATACCCCGACTTCAACTTTGATTTCGCATCTAACACATCGTAATAGGCTGGGACGAGGGCGTCGTCACCATGAAGCTCGGCGAGAAGGCGCGCCTCGACATCACCAGCGACTTTGCCTACGGCAGCCAGGCGTTCCCTGGTCTGATTCCCCCGAACTCGGACCTCATCTTGTAAGTTGGAGATTACTGTTGGTGCAGAGAGGATAGATGCTAATAAGTGTGATAGCGAGGTTGAGCTCAAGAAGATCAACTAGATTTCTACCTCGGCGGATCGAAGGGGAACGGGGATGTGATGGAACAAGAAATACTAGGATCACATTCAGAAGACAATAGTGGCTGCTAGAGCATATCAATGCCATGTGTGCCCCATGTCCAATTCCTGCCTCCTTCAAAAAAGCGAATCATCTGGACCGTCGTGTCGTGACATGTCCCGTACAAGGCTCAAGGAACATCACACCATACAAGTGACACTCACATCGCCTGCTAACATTCATCACACCACTCGTCCCTCCCTACACCTTACATATCACTACCTACTACTCAATCCTCACTCCACCATCTCACTTAACAAATAATGTACCTCCACATTTAGTCCGCCCAGAGAAAAGTCTCGCTCACAGGCAGTTCTGAAAGTGCTTGCCTCGGCCGCTCCTCACCAAGCCTCCTTGGAAACTGGGTAGACAGCAGCCGAATTCTTCTTGCGCGTGGAATTCCCCGGGAGGAATGCAGACTGTCGCAGCCATGGGGAGGGCTGGACGTCTGGCGTTCTGTTCGAATGCGCTGGTTTGGTGTGTTTGGGACTAAGGGAAGGGGGAAGAGGAGGGAGATGTGGAGGGGGGGCGCTATGACCGGGTGGAAAGGGGGGGAATGATTTTCCGGCCGTGACGAGGGGGTGGGAGAAAAAGTGAGGGTGAGGGTGAAGGGGAAAGGGCGATAGGTAGATGCATTGCTCCGCTTACCAAATGCTTGCAAGACGCCGCCAATGCTAGAGTAGAGTTATGTTACATGTGAATATACACGTCGCTTCTTCGTCATCATAGTCGTCGGAATCAAGCATCCTGCATCTGCGCAACCTCTTCGATCTTCTCCGCCGCCATGCCCAAGTCCCTAAACTCCCAGCCATTCGCCTCGTTAGCCCAATCCTTCTTCTCACCAAGGATAGCCACACTAGCTTCACCCGCGCGCTTGACGAGGAACTCGTCCGCCACGGATTTCACTTGCTCGGCGGTGACGTCGAGCAGTCTCTCCCGACGCTCGCTGCAACATGTCGTCCGTAACGCCGCTAAGGAACAGGCGCATGCCCTCTCTCGAAACGCTCTGAGGCGCGTCGTAGCCCTGGAAAGCGCTGAGTTTGGCTTCTTCGAGATCCTGGGCAGTCCAGGCGCGCTCTCGTGCCCATGCACCCGCTTCGCTCATGATTTTCATTGAGTTCTGTGGGTTCGGGTCGCGGTACGAGTACATGCCGAAGAGGCCGCCGAGACCGCGTGCGTATGCGCCGCCGCCGTATGCGCCGCCCTTCTCGCGGATCTCAGGGTGGAGTTGCTTGAAGGTGAGGAGTTTGGCGAGGATTTCGAGGGGTGCGGAGGACGGGTCGGTGTAAGGTACCGTGGGGACGGCGCGGGCGGAATAGTAGACCTGGTATGGAAGGGGGAAGAAAGACTTCGCGTTGCGGGGATATTGGGCCTGCTGTTTTGTGCTCGGGACGTCGACCGACCTGGGGAGACTGGTTAAGAAATGGCGTAAGGCGTCTTGGTTCGGCGTTGCGCTTTCGGGTCCGCAGTTTAGTGCTACTCGCATTTGGCTGCTGTTGGCAATGGTGAATGACTGAATGGCCTTGAGCTTCTGGATCACCTCGCTGAGCGAATCCAATGATGATAGAGTGCTGGTGAGCTTGACTTGTGTCAGACCGCCAGTCTCCTCTGTAAGTCGTCCCACAGGACTTATACCAGCTTCAGCATACCGCATAGCGAACGAGTGGCCGGACTCTGCTATCGAGTTGATCGCGCCACTGGCTGAACTCTGGAGCAGCTCCCGGATTTTCTTCTCCGCTTCCGGTCCGTCGAAATCCGTCTCTTGTATTATGGTCCGGAGTAGCTCATACATGTCTGGGATGTTGCGGTCAAAAGCATAACCCGAAAAGGCCATGCCTTCCTCGTACGACTCAAGCGATAGTGGCGATTGTGAGGAGTGATATCCGACAGAGATGCCACCAGTCTTCAGTTTAATGAGCTCCTCGAGCTGCTCCATCGTCTTCTCCTTCGTGCCTAGGCGCATGATGGCACTAGTGTACAAGGGAATCAGTTCCCTCAGCTCGTCTGGTAAATCCTGCAGCTTGTGCACCGCGCGGAAATATGTCAAGCCATTAGTGGGCGCTTCACGCCATTGCACCTTGACTCCATCGAGATTGGTCTGGCGCAACGGTTTCCTTTCCTTTTCACGTGGGATGTCCTTGACGTGGACTGTTGGCAAACAGCTCAAGTCTTCATTCCTTGCGTTCTCCTGCACTTCCAGCAACTGGAGCTCTCTTTGCTCTAAGTATTTTTGCGCTTCCTCCTCGCTGGGAAATTGTTTCGTTGTCTCGAGAATCTTAGATGCTAGTCTCTGGTTCTCTTCTTCCACTAGCTCCTGGCTGAATGTTTCTGACGGTTGCATTGTGAAAGTCAAAGTGTTCTCCGTGAACAGGTACTTTTCAATCAAGCTTTCGAGATAGTCCCCCTCGGCATGCTTGGCTTGGAATGCGTCGACAGTCTCTTGCCACGCCAGCGCTTCCATAGGATCGATGCCATTGAACCAGCTGGGCTTCAATCTCTGTATCATACCCATGCCAAAGTTGGCTGTCTTGTGCTTCAAGGACAGTTCAAGCTGATGCAGAATTCCGTCCACCTTAATTTTGTCAAAGCCATTCTTGCGCACCTCGTGGAAGGTCTTTGCAATAGCTTCCCGAACTTTGGGCACGTCGTCAGCCTTGACAGCGTCGAGTCCTATCGAGAACACGCCACGTCTGCCTGCACTGTCGTAACCGGTATTCGCGCTGAAGTCAGCGCCCAGCCCTGACTCAATTAGGTTGCGATACAAAGGAGACCCGTAGCCACTCATGAGTAGACTACTCAGGACTCCCAGGGCAAAGTTCTCTGTAGCGTCGGCCGTGTCGCCCATCAACCAGGTGACCGATGTCTTGTACTGCTTATCTTTGGGTACTAAGGGATCCAGTGGGCCAGACACGACGATATCCTTGGGCGCATCTAGGGTGATGGGTGCCTTAACATCTTGGTCGACCTTTATCCTGTCAAACCCGTTCAACCGCAGGTCGACCTCTTTCAAGTGATCTGTGAGTGGCATGTCTCCGTATGTCAGGATTTTCGCGTTGCTGGGGTGGTAATGGTCCGCATGGAACTTGCGTAGCTGCTCCCATGTAAGGTCAGTGATCTTCTGGGGATCACCTCCCGAGTTATTGATGGCAGGAAAGAGGACATCCTGGAACCTGGTGTAGAATAGATAGCTCGCATCCGACATCTGGCCCTTCATCTCGTTGTATACGACACCCTTGAAGACCAGACGCTTTGCGCTGGGGTCGTCTGTTTCTGCTGCCAGTGGGTTCTCGGGTCCAATGCGCCACCCCTCCTGCGTGAAATCGTTCTCTTTCAGCAATGGATGTAGCGTCGCATCGAGGTACACGGACATGAGGTTCTTGAAGTCCTGGGCGTTTGTGGTGGCGAAGGGGTAGCCAGTGTGGTCGGGGAATGTCCAGGCGTTCATGAAGTTCGAGAGAGAACGTGGAAGCATCTTGAAGAAGGGGTCGCGAATGGGATACCTGGGACGGTGAGCTTTCTTGCAGATGAATTCATCCGAATGCATCATACCTCTCGCTGCCACATAACGTGGTGTGCTCCAAGATGTGTGGCACGCCCGTCGCATCTGGCGGGTTGGTCTTGAAGCCGATGGAGAAGACATTGTTGGCGTCGTCGCGGGCAATGTGCAGATACTCGGCACCGGTCTTGTCGTGTTGCAGATGCAGAGCCGTCAACTCCAGCTCCGGCACCTGCTTGACGCGCTGGAGGGTGAAGCCATGGAGCTTCTCGCCCGGCTTGGGAAAGTTGGAGACGTCTGTTATTGCTGCATATCCTCGTCGAAGGGTCTGTGCTGGGCGCAGCACATTTGTCCTTGCAGCTCGCGAGTTCCGGAACTGGCTGCGGGTGGAGCGGAGCATGGTCGAGATTATGGGTGTCTTGTCATGAGTCTCGTCCAAAAATTGTCACATCATCGCCGCCGCCGTGAATGACGCGCCCTCTGACGCCGATTGGCCGTGCACCCATCGAGTTTAGCCCGCAAAATTACTAAGACGAGTGAGCGTGGAACGGCCTGTAGGGCTCATGCAGCGCAGTAGACGTCGAGTATCGCGCGGGACCATTGTTGCAGTGCCGTCTTCGCAGACTGTGGATATTCGTCTCGAGGCCGTGGTGGAGCTGTGAAGCTGGCGTACCGTGACCGTGACTTGCGAAACCATCAAGTAGTCTCTGCGTCCCCTCCTTCCTCGACACCCATCCCGCCACGAGACAGTGCCCCATTACCGTGCATGTTCCCTGCAGGCCCGCGCCCTCGACGACTAACACCATCCATCGCAACTGGCCTACTTCCGCTGCACCACGCCGCTGCATCGGACGCCCTACCAAAGCACTTCCGAAACGTCAGCGGACGAAACACCCACCTCGCGCATCGTGCATCTGGGCTCTGCAAGGACGAATGCGCATCCCGTGCCCGTAGCAACACCTGGACCGACTGCTAGCTTTTGGGTGCGCCGTGCACAGCATCGCAGAGACGTCACCAGCGTGTGGGAGTAGCTGAGGCGCCGAATCGACGAGTCACGGTCTTATGGCGACCGTTGCTCAACAGCGCCAGCCGACGTCTGCTCACGCCCGCCCGCATCACGAAGCAAGCCGAAGCGTGTCTTCGTCGTCCTCTGCAACCATGGCTCCCGCACAGCAGGCCCCCGCCCCCGCGCCTGCGCCTGCGCCAGCGCCAGCAAAGAAGGGCAAGGGGAAGAAGGCTGCCGATCCCTCGGAGCAGCAGAAGCAGATCCAGGCCAAGATTGCTCAGCTCGAGCTGGACCAGGCCGGTGACAAAGAGCAAGAACTCGAGATTGGTGGGTACCTTTTTACTACGTGACAGGGACTGTGGACGAGGTGGAAGTGGCGGCTTGTTTTGCGCACATTGAAAAGGGCTTGGGCATCCTTGCTGTATGGACCGCTGGCTGACATGCCGTGATAGAGCGCGAAGTCAAGAAAGCGAACCGCGAGCTATCCTCCCTCTTGTCGAATATGGACCAACCGCTTCTACGCCTCGAGACCGTCCAGAAGCGATATACCGAACTGCTGTCCGACATGAAGCGCACCGAACGCGAGCACCAGAAAGCGAAGAAGCGCGGAGATCAGCTCCAGAAAGAGAAGGATGCGCAGCGTTCCGAGCTGAACAAGGTTACCACCATGAAAGACAAGCTGGACAAACTGTCGCGTGACTTCGCAAAAGAGAATAAGAAGCTCAAGGACGAACTGCACAAGCTTGAGACAAGCGAGTCTACTGCCCGTCAAGAACTACATGACCGCCTCGAGTATCTGTTGAAGGACGTGGATGATTGTATCGCGGCGCAAAGTCAACCTGAACCGCAAAACCAAGCCGACGTGGAACTGGACGAACTGTATGCAGCACCATCCGCACACATCTATCCTGCTAATGCTTGTCAGATTTCGGCAAAAGTTCAAGTCCTTCATCGATCAATACGAGCTGCGCGAGCTGCAGTTTCATTCATTACTACGGACGAAAGAACTTGAAATACAGTACCAAATGGCCCGTCTAGAACAGCAGCGCAAACAACAGGAGGCAGAGTCCTCAAAGTCCCACCAGCTCACTCGACAGGTTTCGACCTTTTCGCAGACGGAAACTGAGCTTCGCACGCAACTGAACATCTACGTGGAGAAGTTCAAGCAGGTATGTCCACCGATTGCCCCCTTGTTGGTCACATGGCATCATGGTTAATACTGACTAGATGCAGGTTGAGGAGACACTCAACAATTCAAACGACCTGTTTCTTACCTTCCGCAAGGAAATGGAAGAAATGTCAAAGAAGACCAAGCGCCTAGAGAAAGAAAACCAGCAGTTGCAACGGCACAAGGAAATCACAAATCGCAATATAGGCGAAATGGTGGAAGAGCGACAGAAATGGCAAGAGGACCTTGCGAGAAAAACAAAGGAAATCGAAGACCAACGGAAGAAGATTGCTCGTCTCGAAACACTGTGTCGCGGCATGCAAGCTCAAGGACGAGGTCAGGTGCCAATGGCGGAGTTGGAGGAGGACGAGGAAGTGACGGAGAGCGACTACGAGGAGGAGGATGACTACGAGGAAGAGGAAGGCAGTGGGGATTATGACGACGATACAGAAGAGGATGCCGTCGAGGCAGTACCGGAGCGGCGTCCATTCGGCCCAGTGCCACCGCCTCCGCCTCCGCCACCACCTCAGAGTACTGCGAATGGCAAGCTGAACGGCCATAGACAACCCAATGGGCAGATCAATGGAGTCAAGCGCTAATTGCTGTGTCTTTTAGATTCTTCGAACTTCGATGAATCGTCTCCTTGTCGCAAACCTCTTCGTAAGCCAGTGCTCGGCAAGTTCTTCGAACACATCGATTGACGCTCGTTTCAAAGACGCAGGCGTGTCGATAGTCGTTGATTCTCTACTGGCTGATGCGTAGCGGTTTGTGATTGCCCAGAAGTGCGACTTGGAGTTCACCTTACTTCGTGTACGCATCGTTCATCAAGCAATGATAACTCTTATGGCTACTCACTGTTACTTTTCTCGCGTTCGAATGTTTTGCATGCACCGTTGCAGGAGGAGACGTCTTCTGTAGATTACCAACTACGACGGAAAGGTAAATAGGCCTGCAGGTCTACACAGAATTGCTAGGCTTTGATTGTAACAGCAAGAGCCTGTGTATAGCTTCAGGCTGCTGGTTGAGCTGCCACCGTTGCACCCTTGTTACTTTCTGTCGTTGTTGACGACATATAGTACTATTCATAGCTATGACAGGGCTACCAGTCTTGTCACGATCTGCGTCTACTCGAACAGGAGCAGGCAATTTTCGGCATCCTCTTAACTAGTGAAGTCGGTGTCATATGAGGAACGAGTCGAGTTAACTGGTTGCTGCTAGTTTCCCAGCCTCGGCTCGGTTGTATGCTCCCTCCCCGCAGCTTGTCCCAGACCCTTGCTGGAGAGAGGGCTGACAGCTTCCGCTAGGTATTTAGCATCAGCAACCCCAGACTCGCCATGTGGTCAATACCGAGCTCAAGTATCACTTTACTGTGCCTCTTGTTGCTATCATCAATCAATCCGCCCTGAGCTTTATCATCATCATCGCATTCAGCAACGCCATCCACCATGTCGACGCCATCCCTCCAGACGCCGCTCTCGAAGCTGCTGGGTATCCAGTACCCTATTATCCTTGCCGGTATGGCGCGCACATCTGGTGGACCCCTCGCGGCTGCCGTGTCAAATGCAGGCGGTATGGGTGTCATTGGCGGTTTAGGTTACACACCCGAGCAGCTGCAATCCATCATCGACGACCTCAAATCAAACCTCCGCGACAAGTCACTTCCCTTTGGCGTCGATCTCGCACTCCCACAAGTCGGCGGCAGCGCGCGCAAGACCAACCACGACTACACTCACGGCCAGCTAGACGATCTCATTGAGGTCACGATCAAGAATGGCGCAAAGCTGTTTGTCAGCGCTGTCGGAGTGCCACCTGCAAGGACTATCAAGAGGCTTCATGAGGCTGGCATCCTGATCATGAACATGGTCGGCCACCCGAAACACGCGAAGAAGGCGCTCGACGCCGGCGTAGACATCGTCTGCGCACAGGGAGGCGAAGGTGGAGGCCATACCGGTGACATTGCAAACAGCATCTTGATCCCCTCCGTCGTCGATGTCGCACGCCAATACAAGAGTCCGCTCACCGGCCAGCCCGCAATGGTCGTCGCCGCAGGAGGAATATACAACGGTCGCAGTCTGGCGAGCAGTCTGATGCAGGGCGCACAAGGAGTGTGGGTTGGCACGCGGTTCGTCGCGTCGACGGAAGCCGGCTGCTCGCAAATGCACAAGGAGAACGTCGTCACGGCGGATTTCACGGACACCGGGCGGACCCTGGTCGTCAGTGGGCGACCGCTGCGGGTCAGGTATAATGATTATATCAAGGAGTGGCATGAGCGGGAGGGTGAGATTAAGAAGCTCACGGATGCTGGTATCGTGCCGCTGGCAAAGGACATGGACGATGGAAAGGACGTGGACATTCCATTCTTGATGGGCCAGGTTGCTGGGGTTATTGACGAGATCAAGCCTGCGAAGGAGATTGTGGATGAGATGGTCCGGGAAGCGGTGGATATGCTGCGGTTAGGGCAGACGTATATTGGCGGTCCGAGCAGCAAGTTGTGATAGCCAGGAAATGAAGCCTATCAAGACTCCACTTTGCGTCGCACATGTAGCCTGCATTTTCTTATTGGAGATCCCGAGGCCCAGTGCTCGTGTGACTTGTAGTAGTCGCGCCCGGGGCTTGAGCAACGATGACCTCAACAACCCATGATAGAGTCGTCGCACCAGAGTTATTGTTTCCAAAAAGCATGGCCTCCGCAATGTGACGATGCTTTGCATAAGCGGCGCCATGCCAAATCATCAATAAATGATCATCACTTCCCAGACCAGCGGGATGTGGGTGATCGACGACCGGGATCACAGGCCTTCCAACCAAACGACGGCTCAGGAGACAGCGGATGTCGTGTTGCAATCTCACGAACAACCCCAGACATCTCGTCAATTATATGTCCCGTCGCACGTGTTTGTATACACTTGTATTTTTATCAGCAACGTCCCGTCTCCCACGAACCGTTGTCTGGCGCGTGCAGGCCCGCTACCGTTTAGCTGTTTGACACTCCCGCGGCGCTCCTGCTCGCGAGACTCTTCCGGCGCTCATAGATGACGCTGTATTGGCGGTCTTTTCTACGACGGAGCGGCGCAATCCATGCAGTCTAACCTCAGAGCCCAGGCTGAGATCCAGGCCCAGAGGAAGAAGGTGAGTTTGTTTGTGTTGGGGGGTATTTGGCAGGGTATGCGCCGCGCGCATGTGCGATGCTTTGTTTTGTCCAGGAGAGCGATGCGAAACTTTTGGCGCATGGAGACTCATTTGCTGACATTTGGGGGAACAGCAACTCGCCAACTCGTACAAGCAACTACTCGAGTAAGTTGCGGTGTTTGCGCCGTGCTGCGCGCAGTATGTGCGCCGGATGCTGATGGCGCAACAGTGAATTCGCCGCGACCGACCTCAAGACGGTGGGAAACTACACGCTCGGAAAACTCATAGGCAAAGGCAGTTTTGGAAAGGTCTATCTGGCATCACACAAGCTGAGCAATGGCTCCAGGGTACGGACGATTTTGGGGGTTTGGCACGGAAAGGAGAGATTGCTGATCGCATGCAGGTCGTGCTCAAGTCGGCGAAGAAGGACGACGCCAACCTCGCCCGCGAAATCCACCACCACCGCCAGTTCATACATCCGCACATTGCGCGCCTATACGAGGTCATCGTGACGGAGGAGCTGGTCTGGTTGGTGCTCGAGTACTGCCCGGGTACGGCACATGACATACTGTGATAAGAAAGGAGACATCTCTGACTTGTGAACAGGCGACGAACTATACAACTACCTCCTACAGCATGGCGCACTCGAGCCCTCGAAAGTCCAGCGCATCTTCACGCAACTCGTCGGCGCCGTTTCTTACGTCCACAACAAATCGTGCGTCCACCGCGACCTGAAGCTCGAGAACATACTGCTAGACAAGCACGGAGATGTGAAGCTCGTCGATTTTGGCTTCACGCGCGAATACGAGGGCAAGTCGAACTACTTGCAAACATGGTGCGGAACAATATGCTACAGCGCGCCCGAAATGTTGAAGGGCGAGAAGTACGCCGGAGAAAAGGTCGACGTCTGGAGTTTGGGAATCATACTATACGCACTGCTGGTAGGCGAACTGCCATTTGACGAGGACGACGAAAATGTCACGAAGATGAAGATACTGAAAGAGGAACCCAAATACCCCGAGAACTTCCCCGCGCAGGCGAAGGAGTTGTGCTCGGCTTTGCTTTCGAAACGGCCGATCTTGAGACCGACTTTGGCAGATATACTGCAGAATCCGTGGTTGTCGGAACATGCGCCGCGGCAGCAAGAGACGTTGAAGCTACAACAGCCGGCGCCGTTTTCGACGGAGCTGGAGAAGGAAGTACTTCATCGTATGCGCGGCGCTGGGGTTGATATCGACATGGTCATTGAGAACGTACTCGCGCAGCGTTGTGACGCACTAGCTGGCTGGTGGGCACTGCTGCTCGAGAAGGAGGAGCGGAAAGCCAAGAGAAAGGAGCGCAAGCGGAAAGAGAAGGAAGCAGAGGCAAAGAGCTTAAGACGGTTAAGTGCCGCAAGTAGTCGTCTTGACAAGTTGGCTCCTACTATCAGAGAGACAGATGAGGAGGGTCTACACTCACCGACTGCTGTTGATACGCCTAAAAGTAGAGGGAGATCTACGAACCGCAGAAGTTTACATGGTAAGCTTCACATCACAAGCACGAGAATCCAGCTAACCTCTACAGGCGCACCGGAACTTCCACGTCTGCCGGAAGGCATTGGTAACCTTGTTCTTCCATCGAACGAAAAGCCACTTCCACCTATTGAACATACTCAGGGTCGCAATTCGTCGACCTCACGCCCTCCTCCACCCGCGAAAGACCTCGACAGACGGCGCTCCCGCAGTAGTATGCTCCAGGTCGTTAACAACCCCGACCTGCTATCTCCGAACGGCTTTGTACCCAAGCAACGACACCGAAAGCAACCCTTCATCAACCACCTTCTGAGCCTGCGAAACTGGATCAAAGAGACCAGCAAAAGAGCTCGAAGCCCAAATTCAAAAGCAAGCAGCAGTATTGGAAAGAAAAGTCCCAAACTGCCCGAAAGCAAAAGCCCAGATTCCACGAAGACGAGCAAGCGCCGAACGCTTTCAGTCCACTACCCACACCTCCAACCCCCCATCAACACACGTCCCGCCCCGTCCCCGCGTCAACACAAACGGCTCAGGCAGCGCCCGCCGCCTCTCCGCCAGCCCCGCCCCTCTGACCCCACGCTCCTCCTACCGTCGTTCCAGCGGCGGCCTGCGCGGCCGTAAATCCACATCCTCCTCCGTGTCCTCGATCCGCTCGATGCCGCACCACCACCACTCGCACTCCAAAGCCTCGTCTACATCCTCCATCTCCATCGGCTCGCCTGCCGTTTCGGTGTCTGGCCACAAACTCACGAAATCGCCCCATAATAGTATAAAGGTCCTGCCCGCCACGCCCACATCCAGCTCCTTCCCCAGTAACATCCGCGTCGTCCGGACGGGTGGCTTATCCGTCACGACAGAAGGAAACAGCGCATTCGGTGCCGTCCCGCCTCCCTCGCCCGGGTTTCCCTCCGGCCTCGTCTTCGCGAAGCGCAAGCGCTCGCCCTTCAAGGGCCCCATGCTCAACGTCAACAGCTCGAATTCTCCAAGCGCGCCTGTGAATAACTGGCGCCGCACAAGCGATGGCAATGCGAGTCGCAGCCACAGCGTGCAAGGGCGAAGGAGCGGCGAGATCATGGGCATCACAGAGGAAGAAGAAGAGGAGGACGAGGAGGATGTCGAAGAGGTTGAGGATTTTTCGGCCGCGGCTTTGAGGGAGGGCGAGTTCGTCGAGGAGAGTCCCAAGGAGCCGGTTACGCCGCCGCCCAAGGGGTGAGTGGTATACCTGTGTATATTTGAATGTGCGAGGGGGGATGTATATTGGCATTTCGCTTCGCGGTGTGCCGTGGTTTTGGAGGCGAGATATGTGTTTTTTTGTTTTTTTTCTCTTTCACTTGAGCGAGCGCTTCTTTCACGTTCTTTCGCATCAGCACATTTTGTTCTCCGCGGCCTTGAAATTGGCTTCTTGAAGCACCCCGCTTCCTTGTTCTCTTTTACTTTACATTTTCGTCTGGGCAGTTCGCGCTGAATACCTTGGTTTTTTGTTTCATGGTAAACATGTATACGATATAGCTTGCGGGATTTGGGATTTCCTTTGTATATAAGCATTCTGGATTTTTTTTTCCCTCTTCTATATCTTGCTCAACAGAGATGACGGGTTCATTGTCTTCGTCTCTCACTGGAAAGAGTGATCATAAGTGAGGTGTGGGATTTGATGTTACATCCGACTCTTTCAAGTTGGAGATATTAACCAACGCAGCGAGACTACTGCGACAGTGTAAGAACGTAACAGAGCCTGATACATGTAGCTGTGGATTTAGGGGTTTCAAGATACATGCGCAGTAGAGTGGTTCAGCATTCAGCATTTTTATGTGAGAATGCGAGGCTGCTACCTCTGAGTTTTCTTGCAACGCGAGAGCCAGCAGGTCTTGCCAGCCTTCGTGGAACGTCGGCGTAGAAACATTATCGGTGGCGGCGCCTCCAAGACTTCATCGATGTGATTTCAAGTGTCATCGCCGTCAAAAAGAATGTACCTTTTCCTCCAACGCTCCTCATGCCAGGCAAATGAAACAAGCTGATCGCTTTCAGCAGACCTTACACCTTGACCCCAATCCCTCTCTCTTGTCTACCATATACACAATCCGTACCACACCAAAAGCTACATCGCCATCACCATGCCACCGCGAGCGCCCGAATCGATAACGCAGCGTAACAGTGCCTATCGAACACGTGTACACTCACCTCGACACCAGCGAACACGAAGCCTGCGGCAGCTGAATCAAAAGGAGATGTACGCGCTCAAGCGCCGTTCCACCAGAGCGGCGAGTCTTCCTACCAAGCGAACAAGTGCGACGAAGCACGACATGAAGACTCTTCCGACGAGCTTGATCGTCATGATATGTAACGAAACATTGAAAGCCCCGCCAACTGGGGTCGACAAAAGTGACGGCCTAGATTCTAGAAACGTCGCCGCGACGTGTATGGAAGGACTGCGTGTCGTGTGATCTGCTTCGAAGAAGCGTGCAGTGACATTCCATCCGCCTGAGTAGGCCGGGAAGGGAAATGCACGCCGTGTTGAGATGATCATAGCGCGGACGAGCGTCAACCAAGCATTTCGCGCAGGCGGTAGCCGAATCACCCTACCATGCGATTCACACGTGAACAAGTCCGAGTGCCAGAGTGGTGGCGTTTCATGTCTGGAGACGAGAGGGCTTGTGCGAATGTAGTGCAAAGTAAGGGCGTATATCAGACATCTTAACGGCAAGGGTGCCGGACCAGACTGGCAACGACACGGCAGTGGGGATTGAATCACAAACTGCAATGTTTCGCATGCCTTGAACGTCTTTGAAATGGAATGTCGAGGTTTCAAGATGGTCTTCTTACGCTGATTGTCAGATGTGGTCCAATGATGGCGGTAAGCCCCGATGCCGGCAGTGACAGGTGCTGTGAGACGGGACGATCCACTCGGACAGATATGCAGATCTTTGTTTTGTTCCGGCGGAGATGTCGAGTCGAAGACAAAAGCAATGTCTTACCGTTTGTCGTGGAAGAACGACAGGTCACTGCCGCGTTGTTCGGCTCATAGACGATGAAAATGCCTCACCGTTACAGGCGACATGGGAGGCGTCGGAGTCGGCGAATGAGAGATTGACATGGATGATGAAAGTGGAAGCCCTCGGTGGTGGCTTACACCAGGGCGTTTCCCAAGCCATTAGAGGAAGGCGCACGGGTGGGTCCTTTAGCATCACGTTCACCCGCGTATTTGGCCGCAGTCGCTGGCGCGTCATGTGCGCGATTGATATGTTCAAGATTGGTGGTGTATCGAGACTAGAATCGTGACGAGAATGGAGAAATGGAGAATGGCGGTATGCCCAAGTAGCACAGGCCAGAGCTTCCGGCGACTCGGGGCTGTAAATGACTGATTGGGGAAACGGTATTGGTGGTACAGACGCGGCCGGTACCGTAACGGGCGAACCTGTTTTCATGCGGTAAGAGAAGAAGGCAAGGAAGCCTAGAGATAAATGGTGATCCATACGAGCCGGCTGGACGGCGGTCAATGAGCTGTATTGCGGCGCCAAAGGCAAATCGTACCAATCATCCCGATGTGGGCACTCTGTGCGCAATCTCGACGACATCGGCGCATCGAGATGGCAGAAATGTCGCCTGTACCTGCATCACCAGACTTTGGGAGAAGGTTGTAGATTGAGAAAAGGCTGGCCGGCCCCTGCAGCGCACAGCTTCAAATGGCGACGGTAAATTAAAACCACGCGAGATTGCTGGATCAGACGCGATGCAGTTATTCCGTCTTGCCGACACGGTCCAGCTGTTCGGTAGATCACTGGAGACGCGCACAAGTCTTGATGGGGAATTTGTCTTGCGGCACGGTGAGCGCAGAGGGTGGTCGGCAAGCCATGGTACAGCGATTCAATACGGGCCTACATGCATGCTGGAATGAACGCTTTGGTGTTGTATATAGCCAAGGTGGGAGTATTGGGCGATGCCGGAGTAATACAGCGGCTGTTTACCAGCCACGCCCCTGTACGACTCATACGACTCACTGAACGGCGACCGAAGAATGGAGAAGCGGAGTCCAAGCATTTGAAGAGGCAAGTCGCAAAGGATGATGCGCTGTAGGGCAGACGCATTGAAGATGCAGACAGGGGCCGGGCTGGTGTCTTGCGAGCACATGCCTAGAGAGTCTTGGTGTTGGCTATCGCATTGACGGTAGTGTTATCAACGCCCGGCCGTGCGCCCAAAGCCGGGGTGGCAGTAGCGAGTTTCTGGAAGGAAGGCGCCACGGACTCGACGCCGAGGTCGAAATGGTAGCGCCGCAAGACGGCACAAAGGCCGGGCAGGACGTGGGCGAACGTGTATACGATGCGAACACGAGTAATAATAAGGCTTCAGCGGCGCCGCCACAATATCCCAGGAGCCTGCAAACGTCGGAGCGCTCCGTCCGACTCCAGGCGTCAAAGAGAAGCGAAGGAATGGCGTCCCAGACACTGAGCATTGACTGAGCATTGGCGTGAGGTTGGGGCGGCCCACTGTCGCCATCTTCCCTACCCTGGCCTCTTCCCCAATCATCAATGGCCCGTACGCTGGCCTTGCGGACACAAACCCAAGCTCAAGCTCAAGCCCCTACGGCCGAGGGCGCTGCTGGCCGCCGTCGTCCGCCGTCGTGGGCGCGTCACAGCGTAACAGCGACCTTCACGCGCTTCACACTCTGCACTACCTACACGCCGCCGTCCCCTGAAGTGTTCGAGCAGCGCATTAGCCCAATAGTCCCTCCCGCGCCCGCGCCGCCGACAAGACACTGTCGCTAGCTCAGATAGGCGCCCTTCCCTAGGCTTACTCCCACCCGCCTGGCTGGGCCCTGTATCTGACCCTTGGGCCTGACCCTCACCGCACGGCTCCTGGGGAGGACCTCTCGCGCTCGTGTGTGTAAAATAAGCCTGGGCCCACCACCCCGGACGTCAGCACACCACCGACACTTATCTCTACCTGGTTCCTGTGTTGGACGACGAGGACCTCCCGCCACACTACTGACACTGACACCACCATCGAGTCTGCAGCATCTGCTGTAGTTCTGTGTCTCTCGCCTTCCCTTGGTAGTGTCATCGCCCCGCCGTACTACACTCCAAACATGACTTTCGACGACGACATGTACGGGACCGAGAAGAGTTTTGGGAGGGGCTCGCAGGCCTCGGATTATTATGGCGAATCTTCGGTCCATCGAGACGGCATTGGGAGGAGAGTCATCGAGAGCTTCAAGCGGGATCCCAACTTCATGATGACGCCCAAGGGAGCTCTGGGTGCCGATGGAAAGGTCTTTGATGTCGAAACTGCAGCCCAAAATACGGCCAACTCACCACTTGCCCGCAAACTCAAAGGCCGACATCTGCAGATGATAGCCATCGGTGGTTCCATAGGTACGCTTCTCGCGCGTGCTGCTGCTGCCGATCTGTTGTACTAACGGCCGTAGGGACTGGTCTGTTCGTTGGTTCCGGACAAGCGCTAGCCAACGGTGGTCCAGCAGCGCTGGTCATCGCGTACTGCATGGTCGGTCTCATGCTGTACTGCACCGTCCACGCCTTGGGTGAGATGGCTGTACTGTTTCCTGTTGCTGGTTCCTTCTCGGCCTATTCTACTCGGTTCCTCGACCCGGCATGGGGCTTCGCTATGGGCTGGAACTATGCTCTGCAGTGGCTTGTAGTGTTGCCGCTGGAAATCGTTGCTGCTACCTTTACTATCGAATACTGGAATACCAAGACGGTGAACAACAACGCCTGGGTGGCCATATTCCTGGTCTTCATCGTGGCGATCAATCTCTTCGGGTATGTAGCGGTTACCTTGAACATGTTCTGATATACTGACTTTCGATAGTGTCAAAGGATATGGTGAAGCAGAGTTCATATTCGCCATTATCAAGATTGCCGCCGTCATTGGATTCATCATCCTAGGTATTATCATCAACATTGGAGGCGGCCCAGAAGGCAGCTACATTGGTGGAAAGTTCTGGCGTGATCCTGGCCCTTTCAATCACGGCTTCAAAGGACTGTGTAGTGTCTTCGTTAACGCAGCCTTTGCTTTCTCCGGAACCGAGCTCGTTGGACTTGCAGCAGCTGAAACCGCTAATCCCCGAAAGTCACTACCTACTGCTGTCAAGCAGGTCTTCTGGCGCATCACCCTCTTTTACATCGTTTCACTCACCATCGTCGGCCTCATCGTTCCGTACAACGATCCACGCCTCCTCCAGGACAGCAACAGCGCTGATATCGTCGCATCCCCTTTTGTTATTGCAATCCAAAATGCTGGAATCGATGGACTCCCCTCCGTTTTTAACGCCGTTATTATGATAGCCGTGCTTTCCGTCGGCAACTCTTCTATCTATGGCTCGTCACGTACTCTTGCTGCCCTCGCAGAGCAACACCAAGCTCCCAGGATTTTCGCCTACATCGATCGCCAGGGTCGCCCTCTCGTTTCTATCGCCTTTGCCTCATCCCTTGGTCTCTTGGCCTTCCTTGCTGGTGCAGACCGCAAACTTCAAGAGAACGCCTTCAACTGGCTTCTTGCGCTCTCTGCTCTTTCTGCCGTCTTCACGTGGCTCTCGATCTGCGTGGCCCACATCCGCTTCCGCCAGGGCTGGAAAGTACAAGGGCATCAGCTCTCCGAACTTGCCTTCAGGTCGCAGCCCGGTGTCATCGGCTCCTGGATCGGCGCCATCCTCAACATGCTCGTCCTAATCGCACAATTCTACGTCTCCACCGCGCCGTTCGACTATCAAAAGATGAACACTTCCGGCCGCCTACAGCATTTCTTCAGCGTGTACCTCGCACTCCCCGTCACAATAGCGTTCTACATCCCCTACAAACTCTACTACCGCACCTCCATCGTGCGATCACACAACATGGATCTGCACACGGGCATCCGGGAGCTCAATATCGCGGAGCTAATAGAAGAAGAGCGCGAAGAACGCAAGCGGTGGCCGCGGTGGAAGAAGGTGTACAAATTCCTTTGTTAGAACAGCATTGTTTCTTCGTTCTTGTAGCGTTCGCGCAAAGTTTCTTGCGTTGTAGTTTCTTCTTTTGGTTTGGGTGTCAGCGTTTATGATACCAGGCGGCATGCCTACGAGCATCGCGCAGCCTTTCGGCCTTTTTTTTTCTGTCCTCTTCTTCATGGGCAAGTGTGTGTGTTGGACATGATCGAGAGCTCGTCAAGAGCATGAGTAGATAGGTAGTAGAATAAATTCACTCCAACAACCTTCACAGCTTCTCCGCTAATTACTTCCAAAAAGAATCGACGAGCATCAGACCAGCGCAATCATTATGCGGCCGGAACGCATGCACACCTATGTAACAGGCAGGCGGCAGCCAAAAAAAACTTTGCTTGCAATCCGTCTATCGTAGGCGCAAAAAAAGGGCAAAAAAGTAATGAAGGTCTTGCCCGGAATCGAACCGGGGTTGCCGGAAGACACTGATTAGAATCAGAATCCGGAGTGATAACCGCTACCTGTAAGGCAATTAGCGGGGGCAAGAGAGAAGTGTTGGATCAGGAGAAACATACACTACAAAACCGTCTGTTGGATGGCAACATTGGAATTTAGATACAATATATCCTAATGCTGATGGCGGGTCACAAGAATGAGACGGTATGAAAAGTTGGATTGTGAGTGCGGGGCTCGAAACACTACTAAGAAGGATGAAGTGGGGCGATGCATCAAGACATCTTTTTCAACATCACGAGCTAAATCCTTGTCCTGGCTAGTATCGCAACACATGAACAGCAGCGGCGAAACACTATGCTTCATGCGCAGCAATCTCTGCTACTCGCTGTCACATCTGCCTTCTTTACATAGACAACATGACTCATAACGATATCTAAATGCGCGAGACGGTGCAGTGCCGTGCTGCATGTCATGTTGGCTTCAGCATTGGGTTACAACACAAACTCTTCTACTAGTTGTCAACGGCCTGCACAATAGCGCCAGCCCTGCCCTGATCCAGCGCATCCAGCTTCTTCATGTCCTCCTCATCAAGCTCGAAGCTATACACGTCCGCGTTGCTGACAATGCGAGAGGGCGTATCGCTCTTGGGCAACGGCACGAAGCCTTTCTGCAGACTCCAGCGGACGAGGACTTGATTGGGCCCGACATTGTGCTTCTTCGCTATGCTAGCGAGAGTCTTGTCGTCTGCTTTTTCGTTGCGAACGAGCGGGCAGTAAGCTTCAACGACGATGTTGTTTTCCTGGCAGTACTCGACGCATTCGCGCTGTTGGCACCAGGGGTGGAGCTGTATCGTATTAGTCGAATTCACGCTTCTCGAATTAGTGAGACATACCTCGATCTGGTTGATAGCCGGAGGGAAAACCTTGCCAATCGACTTGATCTCTTCAATATGCTGGATGCCGTAATTGCTAACGCCAATGTCGCGCACTATCCCCTCGTTCTTCGCTTTCTCCAGCGCTTGCCACATGAGCTTCCGTGCCTCTGGTCCGCCATTGGGGGTATGGATCAAGAACAGATCCACATAGCCCCCCTTGCCTGCGAGCTTCTCTACGCTCTCAGCGACCTTCTTGTATGTCGAGTCGGCGTCGTTGCCGGCGCTGAGGATCTTGGTCGTAATGTAGACTTCCTCGCGCGGGACTTTGCCCTGCTTGATTGCATTGCCGACGTCAGATTCATTGGCGTAGTATTGCGCTGTATCGATATGGCGGTATCCAGCTTCGAGCGCCTTGGTACACGAATTGACGCATTTCTCGGGTGGGGAGAGGTAGACGCCGAAACCGATTTGGGGTATTTGGTACTTCGATCCGGGGACAGGGAGGGTCGAGTTTATGCTGAGCTTATTTGCAGACATCTTGGGCGGTTGGGGAGACGTGCTGGTAGTATAGCTAGAGGACGCCGTGAGCAATGGTCGGAATGCAGCAAATAAACGTGTTTGGCGGAAATGGCAACAAGCTCGGAGAGACGTCAACATACCAGGTACGATAATTTTTTGGAAGGCAGGAGTGCTCACGAAAGTAGCTTCTTCGAGCCGCCCGGAAGCTGCAAACAGTAGCTTCGGATGGCAGTCGTGATGTCACGTCCTGCAGCTTCTAGGAGCAATTGTGGGTCTACTGTACATGATGGAGGTTTACTCCGTACAATACAGTAGACTCATAGTTTTAAGTATAACACAACGCGTGACATCTTGGGCTTGATTTGTCTGAGGGCTTCGTACACATGTGAGCAAGAACGACATGATGCTGATCGCTTTGACGGGTTCGCGCTAAGTTAAGTTGGACCCCACCTATACCTCACTCCATGAGGCTGATACCCATCACATAGCCTAAGCTATCCACGAAATCGCTACCAAGTTCTCCTCTTAGCTGTTGACCTATTCTATGTATGGTCTTCGGTACATTGGGTCGTGGACTCTTCCGTGGAGTCAGCGGTCATCCTAAGTCACTTCTGAGAAGATGTAGTAGTCCCTGCAAGATGCACTTGAATTTGTGCTCGCAAGCTTTGCATTCTGAATGCGGTTTGACACTATCGCATGCTGAGGTTTCAGCACACGTCAAGTTCTACGTTCAAATCCATGTACATCCAACTCCTAGACGCCATTTGGCAACACGACAACGACCGAACTACTCCTTCCCCATGAAGTCAGTCGCATGCTGACGCTGATGGTCATTACATCTTGTCTTAACCCAGACGTTGAAAGTCATTGCTGAGCTTGTCGAACTGCATATGAGCTTTTTTAAACGTAGTCCTACCTCCACGGCTGCGATTTCTTGCTAGTTGATATACCACGATATAAGGACTTTACTATCCTCCAATCCCATTAACCCTAACATACATACTCTTATGCTCAAGATAATGCTCCATGCTCTCCAACACACTCTCCCTCCCCGTCCCACTCCCCTTCCACCCTCCAAACGGCAAATCCCAGCATCCCGTCGGACTCGTGCAATTAATTCCCACCATGCCGCTCTCCAGCTTCTTGCCCACGCGCATGGCCCGCTCAAGGTCCTTGGTGTACAACGCCGCGTACAGCCCGAACTCGGTGTCGTTGGCTTTGGCAATGGCTTCCTCCTCGGTCTTGAAGGAATTGATCATTACGACTGGGCCGAAGATTTCTTCCTTGGCTATGCGTGATTGCTCGGATACATCGGTGAAGATGACAGGGTGCACGAGAAGAGATTTCGAGTCTGGAGTTGAGTACGAAGAATTGGTATCTATGGTTGTCTTCGCTTCTTCTTTGCCGACAGCGATGTACTTTTGTACAGTTTCGTGCTGTGTCTTATCGGCCTGGGGCCCATGGTTTGTGTCTGTGCTGGTAGGGTCGCCCAGTTTCCTGTTTTTGGCGTGTTGAGTAAAGACTTCGACAAACTTGTCTCTGATGCTGTCTTGGACGTATATTCTGCTGTTCGCCATGCATGTTTGGCCAGAGTTCCAATTGATACTGTTCTCAGTCTCTTTCGCTGCTAGCTCAATATCCGCGTCGTCAAAGATGATGGCCGGCGACTTTCCTCCGAGTTCAAAAACGACCTTCTTCAAGTTCGACTTGGCGGATGCGATCTGAATAGCACGTCCGGTCCGTGTTGAGCCAGTGAACGATAGTGCCCGAACTTTCATGTGCTCTGCTAACGCCTGACCAGACACAGGTCCGTGACCAGAGAGGACATTGATAACACCTGGTGGGAAGCCGCACTTTTCTATCCACTGCGAGACTTTCCACGGTGTCAAAGGCGCCTTTTCGCTGGTCTTTACCACAACGCAGTTACCCGCGGCTACAGCTGGCGCAACCTTTTTCGAGAAGAATATCAATGGTGCGTTCCAAGGAATGACGATAGCTACAACGCCGAACGGCTGCCTTAAGCTCATATTAATGAATCCTGGAGTGTTCAAGCTAGTGTGGCCTTGAGGGTATGCAGCTTCAGCAAAATAATTGAAGTGTGTTGCTGCATAGTTCGAATCGATGTATGTGCTGACTGGTCGGCCCATTGCAATTGCGTCGAGTTGGGCCAGTTCATCTCTTTCTGAAATGACAAGTTCGCCCATTTTCTTTAGCGGCACACCGCGTTGTTGTGGCGAGAGAGCACTCCATGCTGGAAAGGCGGCCTGAGCAGCGTCCACTGCAGCATCTACGTCTGAGACGGTTGCCTCCGCGACTGTTGGTCGAAGTCAGGTCCAAATCTTCCTTGCAAATGCAGGTAAGTGTCGATAATACCTTTTGCTACAAGCTCTCCAGTATGTGGCGAAAACAAATCAAATGTTGCGTTGTCGCTTGCCGGCACAAGCTTGTTGTTTATGAGAAGCTGCGTTTCGATGAGTCCTGCCATTCTGCCGAATGTCTTCTTCGAAGATGGTAGATCTCTGGACTTCCCAGGCACACGAATTGTCAGGTCGTGATGCGCGGTGAGGTATTATCGGACATTAGTCTAGGTCCGCGCCTCCGTCTGTGGAGGGGCAACTCGAGCCATGGTGGGGTAATATTTAGATCTCGCCTCGCCCTGCAACATGATATGCACTCATGGAGATATCGTTACACAACGGCTCCTTGCTGCCGTCGAGGTACTTGTATCATATGGAGAACGGATGTGACGGCTGCCAGCATCCCGGTACGGATGCGTGATGCGATGCACGCTGGCTGTAACCTTCCGCAAGGATACTTGCAGCCTACCACCAGCATGCGTGTGTGTGGCTGTCGTTGCAGGATAGGACATATACAGTTACTGTACGGCCTCGATCCCGTAGACGTCAAAGCTTCGTAATGGCCGCGATATGTGGGTCACCTTCGGTATTCTTTGCGGACCTTCGGAGATCCATACTAGGCCAGGGTCGTGGATCTGGGGGCCTTGAAGCCACCGTGGGGTTTGAAGTCGCTGGAAGTGGGTCATAGGGGGTTGCGGTGCTGAAGACTGACTCGCGCCAACCGTGAAGAAGGATAGAGCTCGGAGGACATGACCGGCTGATCCAGACCAATCAGACCTCATACCACTCTCTTACGTACCCACATATCCGTTGTCTATAGCCCCTAGCGTAAGACGGTGGGACATTAGAGCAAGACAGCAATATGAGTAAGTAAGTGATCGTGGCCAAGCAATGTCTTCAGAACCATCTGCTTGCCGACGATAAGTCCTCACCACCACATGTACTCTCTCATGTTTGTCTCACAACCTCCTCTTTCTTCTCTCCCTCTCCTCTCCAACCCACACCTCTCCCAGCCCCCACTCCTCCGCCAAAACCTCCGCCCCAATCTCCCCCACCACATACGCCACACTCTGCGTATGCGCATTCATCACAAACGGACACACACTCAAATCTACTACCCTTAGTCCCTCCGTCCCAAACACTCTGAACTCACTATTCACCACCGCATCCCCCTCTTCCTTCCCCATCGCACACGTACAACTCATGTGCCACGAGCTCATCACATTGTTCTTGATGTGCGACCAAATAGCCTCGTCAGAATCGTCAGCAGGGCCTAGGGTTTTGAGTGTGCGCGAGGCGAAGATGGGGGCGCGTTGGAGGCGCATGACTTCTCGCAGGCCGTCAACGAGCACTCGCCGGTCGAAGGGGTGGGTGAGGAAATTTGGGTTTATTAGCGGTGGGGTGGTGGGGTTGGAGGATTGCAGGGTGACTGTGCCTTTGGATTGGGGGTTCATGGTTAGGCAGATGGCGCCAAAGTAGTTTTCAGAGGGGGAGGGCGTGTAGGCTAGGAAGGATGGTGGGGAGTGCTGTCATGTGGTAAGCTGGTGCTTAGTCTGGATAATGAGGTTTGGCTTACGGTTGCTACTTCCATCGCTGGTACGGTTGGCTTGATCATGTGCTGTTTTACTCGTTGAGGAAGTTGGCGGAATTCTGGTGATACTTCGACGCTGGGGAGTTTGAACCATCCCATTGGTGTTGGGCTTTGGCTCTCGGGGCTGGGAGAGAGTGTTGTGTCTTTCTCTAGGACAATTCCAACAGTGGAAAAGCAGTGATCTTGTAGATTCTCTCCAACCCTGGGCAGTTCGTGAACTAGTGTGATGTTGTGCTTCTTCAACTCATCTGCGGGACCGATGCCAGAGAGCTTGAGGATCTGTGGCGTACTCAATGCGCCTCCAGAGAGTAGGACTTCTTTTCGTGCAAGCAGTCGTCGTCCATCAATTGTTTCTACTCCGATTGCTCGTTTCTGGTCGAAAAGTACTCGGGCAACTGGAGCATCTACTAAGACCTTGAGGTTAGGTGGGGGTTGAGATAGATATGCACTTGTAGATGTTGCTCGAACACCATTCGCAATACACACACTACCCATCCCCATCCCAATCGGATCGCCGTCGTTAACATCCTGATTGATTCGATGGCCAACTTGCTCTGCGGCAGTAAAGACGTCTCCAATATCTGACATCCACTCCTCGCCATAGGTGAGAGTCACGTTTCCTTTCGTACTATGATCCTCGACATTGGCTTTGACGACATTCTTCAATCGTTCATCCGGTATCCTAGGGTCGAGATTCGATATCCTCTTCAAGACCCTCTTCACATTTTTCCACGCAAAGCGCTCATTGCCCACAACATTCGCCCACTCATCATAGTCTTCTCGCGACCCCACCGTCCACCCACAAAAGTTAATCGCCGTACTTCCACCCAACCCCTTCCCTCTCGAGTAATCAATCTCTTGCCCAGCCAACTGCGTTTGCGGAGTAGTTTTGTAGAACCAATTCATCGGCGACCCCTCCGCGAACGCCGCTTCGAAGCGCTCCGCTCCGCTCTGATATGCAGCGTCAGCATTCTTACCTCCTGCCTCAACCATCAAGACTGAGGGGGCTGCTGGGGTACGTGCAAGCCGCGAAGCCAGCACCGCGCCCGAAGCCCCAGCTGACAGGGCTTGTCAGCAAGACTCCCAACTCAACACACGATGCCATACATACCGCCCACGACTACAAAATCATACGCGTCGTCCATGGCGACTCGAAATCATGCAGAACAGCGATTTGTACCATTCCACCCGTCGTTATCTCATGCAACGCCTCGCCCACTCCTACACCCGCCCCCACATCTGCCGTCCGTGCGGCTGCACGCACCCAGACACCCAGCAGCCTATCACGCTCGCAGCGGAAGCGCGGAAGACGATGCGCAGGTCCAACCCTGCGTGGGATGACAGCCGTCTGCACAACCGAACGATGCGTTGAACGCCACATCCTTGTACATGCTTTCTCCTATCGTCGCTGCGCAGCTAGGATGGGACGGACAAGTGTCCAGAGCCCAAGATTCGCTGAAGAAGAGGACGACAATATAAGCACCGGTTTTGCGTCTTTGCACGCTGTCGTGTTCGTTACACTTGCCGATGCAACAAGGACACTATCTTCAACATTGTGGAGCCTGTTGAGCCACATTGGGACACTTTCCCCACTGAACGCCCATTTTGCTGCTATGGGTCGCGTCTCGGGCCTACTCCGCAAGCTCGAAGTCGCGCCCAACGACGATGAGTATGAATCCATCGCCACGAGTCGCTGGGGGAATCGCGATGTGTATCCTGTCGCGCACGATAAGCGCACTTATGGGATATATGCGTACGTGAGTTATTGGGGTGCGTATACGCCATTTCTACCTGGACTATGGTATCATGGTTTTAACCGATGGGACAGGCACGTGTGGAATATGTCTCTCCTCATGGACGATTGGCAGTTCGCTGATTGGCATTGGACTCACGGCTGCTCAGGCCATGACTGCGGTTACTATTGGCATGTTGATTGCGTCTGTGACGGCGTTTCTGAATGGCACGCCGGGTGCTAAACACCACCTGGGGTATGGCATGTTGGCCCAGATCAGCGTTTGGGCTGTGGGGGAGTTACTTCTGTATCATGCTGAATGTGTTCCAATCGTTTGTGTTTTACGTATGCAACCCTTCGAAGCTATGGAGGATAAGAACTAACGTGTTGTACAGGGCACGCAAATGTACTTCGGCGGCCAGACTTTCGTACTGATACTAAACGCCCTATCGCCTTCGTTTCTACACATGAAGAACACACTTCCAGCATCCGCTGGCATTACCACTCCCGGACTCATCGGCTTCGTACTCTTCATCATCCTCTACTTCCCCATCATATACTTTGTCCCAGCATGGAAAGTGCAAAAGCTGCTCGAAGTCCAAGTCGTCGTCGCAACCGTCACTCTCCTCGGAATCATGGGCTGGGCCGTCCACGCCAACGGCGGCTCACCCGGCGACCTTGTTTCTCCAGCAATCAAACTGACAAAAGCCGAAGCCGGATTCCGCGTCGTCCAGGGCATAACAAGCGTCGCAGGGACGTACACAGGCGGCACAGATCGCGTGAGCGACTGGACACGCTACGGACGCAACCGCCACACATCCACGCCCGCCATCATATCGCTCGCCGTGACCGTGACCTTGACAGCGCTGGTTGGCATCATCTCGACATCCGCGCTGGCGCAGCGATACGGCATGCTCGAATGGAACCCGCTCATCATGCTCCAGTGGATCCAACTGCACTACTACACGCCCGCGTGCCGCGCCGGCACGTTCTTCGCAGGTCTCGGCCTCCTGAGCGTCACCGTCTTCGTCAACTACACGCAAAACTGCGTCTCCAGCGGCATGGACGTCGCGATGCTCGTTCCACGATATATAACGCAGCGCCGCGGAGCAATCATATTCAGCATTCTCGGCGTGCTGGCAAATCCCTGGCGTTTCCTGACACAGGCGTCGACATTCATCACCGTGCTGAGTAGTTTCGGTGTATTCATGGCGCCCGCCGCAGCCGTCCTGGTCGTAGATTTCTGGATCGTGAGGAAGACGAAGTGGAATATTCCCGAACTGTACACGCCGCATGGAATATACTGGTTTACAGGTGGTGTGAACTGGCGTGCCATGGTGGCTTATATGATGGGCATGTGGCCTGCGCTTCCGGGCTTCATTGCGGAGGTCTCTGGGCCAGACGGTATCCATGTTGATATTGTGTGGAGGCGGTTCTATCAGATTAGTTTCTTCTTTGGATTCGCGACGAGCGCGGTGTTGTTCTACATCTTCAACAAGATCGCGCCGCCGCCGGGGCTGGGTGTGCAGGTTGACTTTGATATCGATGGAATGCATATCGTTCATGGTGCAGCAGCGGACAGTACTGGGAGTTTGGAAAAGGGTGCCGACGTTGATGTACAGAAGGTTGGACAGGCGAGCTTTTGAGATCGTGGTAGTTATAGTTACTTGTACAGACTCTGCGAATACACATTCTTACTCAGTTCGAATTCCTTCACAGAGGGGAGTGAGTTGGGCAGTGATTTGCGTAATGATTATGATATGTGTTGGTGACCTGCTATCTATGTTCTGCCAAAGAATAGTTCCAAAACCAAAGGGTATCAACATGAGGAAAGTACTCCTTCCATTCTAATATGGTGAACGCATCCTTCTTACAATTTCAGATAGTCGCACCAAGTATATCGCGATATACATCTTCGACATACTGTGCGAAGTGAACTGGCCACTTTGCCACCTGGACTATGCGGGCCCACTGTAATGGGCCGCGTTGCACTCAGGTTACTCGATTAGGCGTTCTCAACAAGCACCGATTCCTATTGCAGGCGATGCTACCAATTGCGTATACCTTGTCTAATGTAAGACTGACTGTAAACTTGTGGGAGTGTATCGCATCGTGATTGGTGTCTGTCGAAAAAGCCAATGTGGTGCTATACCATTCAACGCGGACTGCGGGCCGGCCCGCTGCAGTGCAATGAATAGCCGACCAATTTTGGAAAAAGAAAGAACGTAGTTAAGGCGTAAAAGACAAAAGCCTGAAAGAAAGATCGCTGAATGAAACCCGGTTTCAACCCGGAGGCGGGCCTTGAGGCGGGTGCAAATGTGGATGGATGCCAGGCACTGATTGAGGATCTATGAGGTTGCCCATGTCGCCCCAATTCCAGTCGTTTATGTTGCTAATCGTAAAGTCCATGAAGTTCATCTGCGTGCCCCGTTCGTAGCGCGTGTTTGCATATGGGCCGTGTCCTTGATTTGGCTCGGCATAGAATTGAGCGGGAACATTGTCGGCGAACATGTATGCGCCGCTATTTGTGGTAGATTGATGGTAAGGGAAAGGAACAACATCTTGTTGTTGCTGTTGGCTAGTCGGCCGTGCTGATTCCTGCTCGCTATTGGGGTTATCTTCTGGTTTGCCTTCCATGACAGCCGTTTGAGAGCCCAGTGATTCTGCCATGGAATGTAGCTCGGGGATGATCGAGGCAAATTTTGAAATTGTGCCGGGCATGTAGGGGTTTCGCATATGACGTTGCGCCAGATCTGCCAGCTGCGAGAGCAGTACTTTGGACTCTGACAGATCGGTGCCCGCCGTCTTGTTCAGACAAACGAGGTCGAGCACAAGCACAGAGCTGGCTGCAAGGGTGTACCAGACGTCCCACCATGTGGTGTCATTGAATCTTCCAATGGCCTCGAGCCGCAACAGAATCCGAGCCAATGCCTTGCCAGAATCGGAGCATGAGTCAGCCATGGCAGTGAGGGCTGCATTCGAAGAGTCCTTGCCATTTCGCGAGAAAATGGAAGCGCGCGCAAGCAACGCTGCTCGACACAGTACTATGACTGTGTAGTGGTACTTGCCGTGCAGCAGGAGTAAAGGTCGCTGGAAAGCTGGTGGTGCGGTACTGAGCGCGTCCATGCGCAAGTGCTGAGGGAGAGTGTCCTGCCACCGCTCCATGTCGCGCAAGACTGCCGCAGCAGGCGATAGTGGTCCGACGTATGACTCTTCAGTCGATTTTGCGCGGATGGTCTTGGGGGCGCGGCATGCAGACCCAAGATGCACGACCAAGCGGTTGAACCACTTGCAGTAGTCTGGTGGGCAGTAGCTCGCCATGCCGATGATGCGCTCGTTCGGGCAACTGACTTTGGAGCCCGGGTGCTCGATGGCGCTCGGGCGGTCGTACGAAGAGACCTGGATCTGCTCGAATGCGTACAGCGTCCACCACAGGCGCTTGCGCAACTCTCTTGCAAGCGGCGTCTGCAGCGTGCTAACCTTGTCCTGGTGCAGGCCAATCGCGAAGGCTACGCGCACCGCGGTGCCGGTCAAGTTCCAGCAGGCATCGCGGTGGTTGGTGTTGTGGAGGTGCATGGCCGCGAGCATCATAGCCTCGACAGCCATGACGCTCGAGGTGAATATGACAACGGGGAGGAGGCTCTGTACGCGCCGCCACCACAGACGCTCCTGCTCTTCGGGAAACGTGACACGCGCCACGCGCCGGGCAAGCAGCAACACACACAGAAAGCTACACAACCACGCGGGATCGGTGCCGCTGGGATTTGCGACCCATCCCTCGTACGCCTCGCGGAACGAGGCTTCGTGCAGTACGGGAAAGTCGGGGTTGATGTGGTCAAAGTATGCACCAATGAGCGAATCGAGGCTGGGGGCGGTCTCGGGCACGGAGGTGCGGCGGTCGGCGGGCGAGTTGTGGTCGATGTTGGACGTCGCGCTCGGGGTGGAGAGGGTGTGCGGGTCGCTGTCGCCTTCAATGGGCTCTGAATCGGCTGCATTCCTCCCAAACAAGACGAATTCGCGGACGGGACCCCCGCCCACCAGCGTGCGCAGCTTCAGGTGGAAGGAAAAGGAGCTCGCAGGGCCAATGTACTGCACCTGCCCTTGCTGGTCGGGCAGGAGCGACAGTGAATCCTCGCCCTCGCGGTCGCTGCTGCTCTTGTGGCCGTCGCTGCTCTCCACAATGGCCGAGTCTGGCAGTGGAATGCCGAGTGAATTGCCCAGCTCGCGCATCTCGTCCATGTTGGACACATCGGCTTCCGGCAAGAGGCCCTTCACCAGCGACTCGAGCAGCGCCAGCCGGTTGCCCAGGCCCTCGACGCTGCCATAGAGGCGCTTCTTGCGGGGCTGCGTCTGTTGCGTGTACCACGTCAGTGTTTGTATCCAAAGAAGCGGACATGTACGCCCTACGCACCGTCAGACACTCGATATTGTGCACGATGCAGTAGCGACAGGCATCTTGGCCTGGCTGCTTGTTGCACTTCTGCTTGCGCGACTTGCACTTGTCACATGACGTTTCGGTGCGTTTCCGCTTGTCGAGCGGGACTCTGCGCGAGGCACTCGAACTCGTGCCCGTGGGCGTCGTCGCCGTGGTCATCATGGCTCAGATGGCTATGTCGGACAGACGTTTAGCGAGGCGGCATAGGTGATAGGTGGGCGTGGCAAGGCGTGGGTCAGTGGAGGGGCATTGAAAGCATGGCGACGGCCGCGCAGAAGCATCAGAGACCAGAGTAAGAGTACCGAGCAGAGGCGCACACTTGGAATTGGCTATTCACACTGGACGGCGCAGATGGCAGAGCTTACTTGCAGCACTGAGCACTGTGACTTGTAAGTGCAAGCACATACCTACTCGAGAGAGCCATATGGCGCGCCCTCCAGACGGGCCCGGCCTAGTCCCGCCACAAAATCATCGTCTCCTGTCCCTTGGAGCAGTCGGCCAAGCGCCCGCGTCGCCATGTGGTCCAGGCTCTTCGTGTGCCGGCGTGCGTGCTTCCAACGGTCCCCATGCCAATATTAATATTCTTCCAACAGACGCCCAAATCCTGCCACTTGGTCCTCTATACCGTGGCTCCTATATGCCCACCAGACTGTCGCCGTATTAATAGCAATCACCGGTTTCTTCACTTCCTTCTCCATCTCGGCCGCTACTTTAGCACAGAACAGATTTGTCCCCACCTGAATCAGCGCGTCGACGTCTGGCCCGTCGACTTTGCGGAATGCCTCCTTGAGCACTTTGGGCTGCACGTCTGCAATCGCCTTTGCTGTGCTGCATTTCAGCCCGTGGATTGCTGTAACTTCGAAGCCGCATTCGGTCATGTACGCCTTGACCTGCTCGTCACCCAAGGACTGGTACGGCGTGATTATCCCTATCCGCCGGGCCCCCAGCTTCCCCAGCGCAGCATTGACCGCCTGGGCGCCCGTTGTAATGTCCAGCCCGCCCGAGAGGTCTTTCATCAGAGCTTCAAATTTCGCTGCTCCTTCCTTTCCACCCCAAAAGGTCTCGGACGACATACCCATGACTGCATCATGACTCGTGAGCATCTTTTGCTGCCATCGGGCCTGCTTAGTCACTCACCCATGAAGTCAGGCTGTGCCGTCATCACATTTTCAACTGCATTGCCAATCTCTTTGCGCAGATCGACCATGAATTGATCAAATTTCGCATCACTGTCCAGCACGGGGTCTCTGATGAGGATGCGTCCGCTGTGCCATGAAATGCCCGGCACCAGCATTTGCCCGTATTCCGCTTCCACGGCGACATTAGTCGAAGGCAGAATGACTGCAAACGAGCCGCGCGGCGCGAAGTGATAGTTTGGCATCTACGCACATTAGTTCTGGTTCATCGTTCATTGCTCGCATGCTCACAATTCAAGTGTGCGGTACAAGGGACCCTTTTAACTTTCGCCAGGACCATATCGCAGCCACTGCTAGGTACTACGAGACAAATGCCGTGGTCAAAAGTCTACATGCCATGCCTACGCAACCACATGCAAGTCTCGTACGTGTCGGGTTCGCATAGCTGTCGCGCTCGCGTCAATGTGGCTAGCGGTCGGATCACTGTACCGCATTTGCGGATGCTGGCTTCCGATAGCCTGCGATCTCTGAGGTCGGACTCCGCGGAGTGAGACATGATCGTTTGATGCACTGATTGACACGCGTGTAGAAGTGCAGAAATGGCAACAAATCACATCGGTTCGAGCAAACAATATCGTGTTATATGGTCCGATCACGTGTTTGTCACGGCTGCACTACTTGCAGCGGCCTCGAACCGATACGGACGACATACCACAAAGATCCGCCTGTCCATGAATCTCTCACTGTCGACACGCGATCAAATACATAACTAAATCCAGAGCGTGCTACTGCTACTTTCGGAAATAGTACAACTTCATAGGAACAGAGCATCAGATGTGAATTGACATTACGATCAGACCGTGGACATGGACGAAGACCGCACTTCTTCGCTCCACTTCACCATTCCCCCACCTCATCCCGGCATGTATCAACTGACGTAGTGTCACCACATGCCTACGGCATAGGTTCAATGCTGGAACACGAAGGCCGTGGCAGTGGTGATCCATCCCCGTGTTTAAAGCAATCCAAATTTGTCCATTGTTTCCCAGCCCTGAGATAGGATCCCATGGTATCCGATAACCTATTCGGACCTTATTGTGCTTCGCAAGAGTAGAACTGCTTGTCTCCGCAGTCATCACAGACGAATTGATCGTCGTTTTTCCCACCTATGTGCTGGCAGATGACTTGAAAACGTTTACGCGGCCATGGTCACATTACGAATGTGGGGAGGTACACGACTGTCGGTCAATAACCGCTCAGTGATGCCGACGGTGAGGCCATTCAGTGTCGGCTGTCTGCATACTCACCTCAAGCGAACGTTTTGTGACATCTTGAAGCCCAATGGACCTTGGCAGTCTCAACTGCGGCAGTAGAGAGCAGCGAGATACGACCGACGCTGCTTGCATCAACCAACCCATATTCGGTACTTGTCGAGCAATTTTCTCAAGGCCTGGTAGAAGACGACATGCACAATGCCGTAGTCAGGGACAGGGAAGCTGCGGAGGATAGGGCTGTACAGGAAATGCATCGTATTTTGGAGCAGATGCCGTCCACGCCCAATCTAAAATGCCAGCGTCACGGGTATCTCCAAGACATTCTGATTATTTGCATCTGACTAAGACGCCGAAGTCACTGCTATGTTGCTGGTCCGGCCAATGTCGGGCAAGTAGGCTTGAGCAATCAGAATATCGCGCTTTGCCTCCGGTTGAAATAAGGTTTTGCATCAACGTCGTTCCTCAAGCTCGCGACATCATCGGCCGACCCACCGGCCGACCCATCCTTGGCTCCATGTTCCTTTTCTCAAGCCGCATCATGATATCTGTCGGCAACAGATGCACATGTCGGCGATAGAAACAAAGCCAAGAATCCCGAAGATGCCGTGCGTACCGCAGCTCCTCTGCCTCCCATTCGCCAGCGCAGCGTTCCTTCTATTCACCCTCCGCTTCTCCAAACGACGACGTACATACTAGCCTTAGCATGTCGGTTGCGTCTTTCCAGAGCGGAATTTCACCTGCACGGTGTAAGCAGTGCACGTCGGCATCATGCATACACCTACTTGCAAGCGAAGCTACACTACAACGTATTTTGGCGGATGCATTCTTCCGCCGTACAAGCTCGGCTTCTGATAGGATGTATCGCTCAGGAGCACCTCCACAAAAGCCGCTACGAGCTCCCTCACGCTCAACATACATCCGCCATTGCAGCGTACTACCGGCGCCCCGGGTACACGTGGTAGACCCAAAATTACCTTCTGAACAGTTTGTGGTAGAGCGATGCATATCCTGACTTACCCACACTTAACCCCCTTGCGGCATCGAAGCGCAAGCGCATGCTGTACTGCCGACTTCACTACCCTGCTGCAAGGCGGAGTGTGAAAGACGCTACGAAGGGTTGATCATTTCAGACACGGCAGGCAATGAAAACAACTTGTACCTAGGGTACTTCTTGGCTGCCCGCTGCATACTTCACCGCTGCGTCAGAACCGCATGTAGATGTACTGACGATTGCGTACCAAACTTTGACGCCTTCCATTCGCAACTTTGATACTCACCTTCAAAATACACTACTTCCCTGAAAGAGTTGGGACAGATGGCCGCGTCAGATTTCAACATTGCCATTGTCGGTGCGGGTATCGGCGGTCTGGCCCTTGCAATTGGTCTCAACCACCTGAATGTTCCTTACACGCTGTACGAGGCGGCACCCGGTTTCTCAGCTGTCGGTGCTGGTGTGGGCCTAGGACCTAATGCTCTCAGTGCCATGGACATGATCGATAGCCGCTTTCGCGAAATGTACATGAAGATAGCGACTGGAAATCTGAGCCCAGAAAAGAGGCACCTGATGATGGAGGCTATGCGGTTGGAGGTCGGTCTTGGAGAGAGTGAGAGCTGGTGGGGTCAAGGCGGATGGGGAGCTGAGTATTTCGAGCGGACCGGTGCGCACAGGAAGGATCTACTGGACATCATGACGAGCTTCATCAAGAAAGAAGCCATACGATTCAACAAGAGGGTGAAGTCGCTGGCACAGGAGAACAACGCCGTAAGAATAGTCTTCGAGGACGGCGAGATCGCTCACCATGTGGCAGTCATTGGCAGCGACGGTGTCAAAGGATTCACTCGACGACTCGTACTCCAGGAGCGGTATCCGGAGTGCGTTCCAGCACAATATACAGGGAAGTACGTCTACCGTGCGATAATACCCATGGACGAGTCAAAGGAGATATTAGGAGACCTCGCCACAGACGCGAAGATGTACATGAGTAAAGACTGCAACCTATCCACATATCCCATCAGCTACGGCAACCAGCTGAATGTTGTCGCATTCGTGCGCGATACTTTGCCGTGGACCCACCCCGACACAACCCAACAAGTCTCACGAGAAGAAATGCTCAACGACTTCGCCAGCGCAAATACCGACCCGCGATTGATGAAGCTCCTGGACTGGGCGAAGCCAGTGCGTTGGGGTATCTTCCATCACTCCGTCACACCCACATACTACAACTCGCTCATCTGCATGCTCGGCGACGTGGCACACGCAGGCGGACCGCACCAAGGCGCAGGCGCCGGCCAGTGTCTCGAAGACGCACTCATCCTTTCTCGTGTCCTAGGCAAACTGCATTCTAGCGTTCCTTCCTCGATACTTTCGACACCGTCCCCTCTACGAACCCGGATCATGGAAGCAGCGTTCCAAGCCTACGACGAGATCCGCCGGCCCCGCGCCCAAAAACAAGTCGTCACATCAGAAGAGTGCGGCGACATATACAATCTCAGGGACCCTGTGGCTGGCGACGATATCGTCAAGTCTTTGGAGAATCTGAACAGTCGCTTCGCATGGATCTGGCAGCATGATCTCGGCGCGGACGTCCGAGCAGTGGAGCAACGGTTCGAAGAGCTAGTAGGACTGTGGACGGGGTTTGAGGGTGGCAAGGAAAGCGCAAGGTTGTGAGCCCCTCGACGTCCCAACTTTGTGTTTGAGAGAGAACGAAGGACTAATTTCATGCAGGATTGACTCGCTGAATACGTCACCAGTTAGAGGTGCAGTTGCAGTTTGAGTGCGTGCTGGTGATTGGGACGAGGTAGTGAGCGTATACATGGGGCTTCGAGCGTACAGGAACGTAATATTTCGGATCTAATAGTCGCGTGGCAAGAGGACTTGCGTGCATGAATGACATGGCATCGACGTTTACGTACACTTCCAATGATCATTGTTCGTTCCTCAAGTGTGCTTCAATTCTGACCTACTCACACGTGAATACAATGTACCTAATGATGGCTATGTACCCAGAAACCAAGACCAGGACGCCAAAAAAAACTCTGCTCCAGAACCGAGTGCCAGGAGGGCATGAGATATGTGATCAAGTTGCCCTAAACTCCACGGCCGGCCCGTATGCAGTGAGCATCCTTCCTCCAAAAAACCCGCACTCAACAACCTCTCCTACACCTCACCAGACCAACATCTCCTCTCCCAACTCACCCACAATACCCCGCATCCCACCACCTGCCACGCCAAAGACAAACATCACGTGACACTCCCCACTCCCACACCTCACACACGCAGACCCCACCAGACATCCATCGCAACCCCTCCAGCCTCACCACGTCATATCGCCCTCATGCGGCCCTGTTTTCTCCCCGCCAGCGTCCCGGTATTCGGGTCCAGCGCGGTTCCGCAGCTCGGCACCTGCAGTGTGTTTTTTGGCCTCAGATCTGAGGTCAACGGCGGCGGCGGCGGGCGTGCCGCAAACGGATGATGCAGGAAGCTTGTTTTGACGGTTGCGGGGGCTAAAGGTGTGATTGGAATGTGCAAGACGACGAGTTGGGGTGGGGTGTGCAAGGGAGGGTTGGGGTGTGCGCAGAGCTGGAGGTACAGGTTTGGGTAAGAGGGCTGGGGCGAGACGCGACCGTGTTTTTGGGTCGGTGATGAGGGATGATGGGCGGGGTTTCAACGTAGGGTAAGATTTGGGTATTGTGAGTGGGTGGGCTTAGGACAATATGTTATAAAGGTGATTACGCCGTTTGTTGAAAATACCAGTCAAGTCATTGTTGAAACTAGAGGCTGTTGCTATGAACGTGCACAGGCACTCACCAGACGCGTCAATAGCAATATGGTCATTGTACTCTTATGGACAGAATGTGAGGACACACTTTTAAGCGAACGGTATAATTAACTAGTTATAGCCATGTATATAGCTATTCAAAATCTTTGGACATGCACGACGGGTATATTCGAAGCGCAACGCTGCAGTCGCACGAAACACAAGCTCAAGATGTACAACGAACAAGAAAGGTCGTAGCGCACATCTAGAACATGCGGTTCAGGGTGCGTTTCCAGGCGGGCCAGGACTTGATCTCCTCGCGCTCCTTGTTGATGAGGTCCCAGTCGAGCTCACGGCGACCAGTGTCGACGTCCATCTGGGCAGTTCGGAGCCATCCCTCGCGCTTCCAGAAGTAGCCAGCAACCCAGAAGGCAGCGACGACGAAGACGGCAAGGTAGGCGGAGAAGAAGTCAGAGGCGGTACCGACCCTGGTGCCAATGGGGGAGATGGCAGTGTAGAACTAATGGTATGTTAGAATCAGGTGTCAAATGGTTGGGCACACAAGGGCAAGCTTACCTGAGCGATGAGGACAATGATGATGATGAAAAGACCAACCCAAGATCCGTAGACACCACCGGCGGCCCTGAATGGGATCTCGTCGAGGGTGTGGCCGTGGTAAGCCCAAGCCTTGCGGAAACGGATATGGGCAAGGCAGATGGAGCCCCAAGTGAAGAGAGCAGCAAGACCCGATAGAGCGACGAACCAGTTGAAGATGGTGACACCGGTAGCAGCCAAGTTCATGTAGCAGAGAGCACCCCATGCGAGAACGAAGATGACAGACCAGAGAGGACGACCGGATCGATCAATGTAGGTGAAGATCTTGGGCGCGTAGCCCTGGTCAGCGAGCGCAGTGAGGGTACGCGAACCACCGTAGATACCGGAGACACCAATGGAGACGACGGAGACGAGAATGACCACGTTCATGAAGCTGTCGAAACCGATGAGGCCAGCATCCTTAGCGGCAATGACGAAGGGCGAGGTGTTGGAACCGCCTCCAGTGGCTCCGAGCAGACGCTCATCGTCGGACCTGACGAGCAGACCAACGAAAGTAAGACCAAGGATGTAGAAAAGGGTAACACGCCAGAAGACCTGACGAATGGCACCGGGGAGAGACTTCAGGGGGTTGGCAGTCTCGGCAGCAGCCAGACCGACCAACTCAGTTCCAGAGAAGGAGAAAGCGGCGGTGACGAAGACAGTACAGAAACCCTTGAAACCGTTCCTGAACGCACCGGGGTCGTACCAGGTGCGGGGCACCCCAGTATTCATCGTACAAACCGTTGCTGGGGCCTCCACCGCAGACTAGGATGAGGGCGATGATCATGAAGATGACGGTAGCAGCAAGCTTGAGGCACGATGACCAGAATTCTTCCTCTGGCGTAACCCAGAGTTCCGAACAAGTTGATGACAATGATGAAAACCCAGAAGACGGTCATGAACACGGCAACGCTCGTCCCTTGGGCGCCGGGCCAATAATGCACTGTGATGGCGGCGACGTTGAGTTCAAGCGGTAAGACAATGGCCCATTGAAAGACGTAGTTCCAGCCCATGGCGAAACCCCAGGATGGATCGATGAAGCGAGTAGAGTAAGTGTAGAAACCACCAGAGACCGGGTACATGACAGCGAGTTCACCAAGAGCGTAGACGACGTTGAAGATCATGATTCCCATGAGCGAGAAATCAATGAGGACAGAAGCGGGGCCCTAGAAAGTGTGAGCGCAGAACTGGTGAGATTGCAACTGAGAAGCAAACTTACACCCTTGTTGAAGGCGCCTCCAGAACCGACGAAGAAACCAGCACCAATGGAGCCACCAATGGCAATCATGTGCAAGTGACGTGTCTTCATGGACTTGTCGAGCACGACCATGGGACCGCTCTGGGGACGGCGCTGGAAAGACTTGAGGTTCAGACCGTTGCGGGTCATGAAGTCCTCCTGTTCGCGCCATTCGGCGGGCTGCTCACCAACCGACATGGCTGGGGCGTGGACGGCCTTCTCATCGAGAGGGACGGCCTTTTCGTGGTCCATGGTGGGCGGGATGGACGGCGTTGTCTGCTGTGGTCTTGAAAGAGAGAGTGAGTGAACAGACTACCGAAAAGAAACGGCTCGCACCCTGGGGGGAAGCAGCGGGCTTTAATGGAGGTTGGGATCAGCGCGGAGGGGTCAAAGCAATTTATCCCGCGATACCGTGTAGAGCTGGTGTCGCGGCAAGACCGACAAGGTAGCATGTCGCAACGATTCCTGACGCACGGGGCGTCTGCAACAAACGACTTGGCGGGGTGGCCGGCATCCTTCGTGATGGGAGGCCGAATGAACAGACGCCTGTACTGATAGCCTAGTGATAGGGCAGGGCGGGCGGTGATTGGACAGCGCGTCAGCACTACCGACAGCACGCGAGTGAATTGTCAAAGAAGCGTTGTATTGGAGCACGCGCTACGAGGGTGGCGGCCGCGGCATACCTTGGACCTCCCCATCAGAGCTTCCCCGCCGGTGGCGTAGAGCCCTTGGCGACGACCAACGCAAGGCCCGTTGGTCAGACCCGGGTGCTGGATCGGAGATGACGCCCAAACGGGCCTGATAACGACGCCGCCATGGTGCCGTTAGCCAGTGATCCTGTCCTGCGATTCCAGCGAGCCAGCAAGTGCGTGGTCCGCCGGCTTCTAGCACGCTTTCTAGAACGCTGATACAGCACTCGGTCGCGTCCTCTGGTGTTGGTTGGGCCGGGTGAGCCTTGAGTCCTGCAGGGCCGCGAACGCCTTCAATTTCTTGACCTCTCTTAACTTTCCTTGACACTTGCCTGTCCGGGCCTCTGCACATTGCGCACTGCGCCTGCAGATAAGATGAGCCGCCGGCGCTACTCTGCATCGAATCTCGAGTAAAGCGACGGCCAGTGCGAGCCAAGTCCCTGGGAGCGAATGGCTGGCCTTTAGTCTGAAGCTCCTCACGTGTGCCCTAGTCCGCCTTCCCCATTATTCGGCTATGTTCGCACCTTCCTGGCCCGGCCTAGTGCATTCTGCTGGTTCCTTCACACAATAACGCCTGTCTGCATCTTCTTTGTCATAGATGAAAGCAGGTGGCTGTTCACAGCGTCGCAGCATCCGGCCTGTCGCGGTAACGGCCGACCCCTTGACGCTGCTGCATTGTTGGCCAAGCGGTGACAATTGCGGCGCGAGTAGTCTACTATGTTGACCGAAGGAGTATTGGGCGCACGCGTCGCAGCATGGCCGTGTCACATGTGCGGCCTTCGTCTCCCCTCTCAGCCTGATGTCCACTACGGAGTTCGTTTCAGTTGCCCTCTCCCAAGTGTCCAATATCAGGACCCCGTAGGACCCTCTTTTCTCGGCCGTTCTCCATGGTCTTATCTGCGCGTGGGGTACAACACGACCGCAACCCGTCAAAGTTGAAACCACATTAACGAGGAGCGGACTTTGCGCGCTCGTCGCATCTCGTTGTTGATGCATCCCTTCAGATCCACTCCGCTGACGTTGAAGGCGACATTCACTGAGCGCTGTCGCGCCGAAGAAGCAACGCAGATGTCACTTTCGTCCACAGGTCCGGAATGCGGAGCCAATCGCCTGCACCCCATTTCCTACGCGCCAAGCGTGCTAGCCCCCTCACGGCTAGCCACAACACCAATGCCAACCACGACTTCCGTATCGAATATCAACCACCATACACCCCTCGCGTTCCCGCGCCGGTCGGTCATCGAGCTGTCGCGTGAGCATCCGCCCATCCCAGCGACCAGTCCAACAAACAAACTCTCGCCACATCATGATCTGCAGTCCCTGGTGTGCGCTCGTCGTCGAGAGTCGCTGCTCTGGACCTTCTGCCTATTTAGTGCTGCTCCACTGATAACCGCCGGCACAGTCGCTGGTCTGATCGCCATGCGATGTCGCCAATGCCCCCAGCCGGAGGACCCGCAAAGGCCCATGTTTATTCTGGGCCAGCCCTGCGTTCAGACGCGCACCGTATCTGTGGATCTAGACGCACCTCTCAAGCGCGCTCTCGTTATCTATTCCAATTTCCTTGTCATTTCATCGCGTTTCTGTGCATTGCGTGCATATTCCGAAGATTCCGCCTATCGCGCGCTGACGATTTTTTGCTTGTTGAGCCGCACTTACTGATTTGCGCCATGGTGATGCACGGCGTCTCTGAGCTTGATCGCGCTCCCGGCACGGACTAGTGTCGACACCGTTCCTTACGCTAGCGTGCTGCATACCAGCCATGTGCTACTAACAACAACACTTCACCGCTTCGCTCTCCCTAGTTATGTGCGACTCCAGAGTGCCTCACCAAGTCTCACCGGCCGGGTGAGTAGTTCGCCGTGGATATCAATATCATCATCTTGTCAGCCTCGTAGGCAGCAGCAATCACGAAAGAGGGTGTCAGACTGGCATGAGATATCATGACAGAGTCGGGAGATTCGATCAACCGCAAATTGACTCCACCTGCCCTAAGTAACAGGACTCGAAAATATGTACACAAACATGCGGTACGACAAGTACTAGAATAAAGGAGATCTATCTAACACAAACGCCGGGGCCCAGGAGTACAAAGAAAACAACCATCGTCTTTCCAAACGCTGCGTAACCAACACGAGTTCGTCTCACGAATCAGTTCATCTGATCTCGGTCTGCTGTCAAGCTCGTCAGAGACATGCCTCCGCATCCCGTAACACCTTGATGCGACTGCGCTCCGGGGTCTGCTTTTCCTCATGCTCTCTCTTTTGTCCAACCATCCTCTTCCAGAAACCCTGCACCTTCTTTGCCCTCCATCTTCCCCATCGACTCTTCTCGTCCTTCTCCATACCCTCCCATCTTCTCACAGCAAGCCACTGATAAAAGTTGATCTTCATCGTCATACGCTGCTGGCCCATGCTTAGCACACTGGCGATGGATGCCTTTCGATCCATCAATTCCTCCAGCGCATGCTGAACCGACTCCTTTCGCCCTGGGCTAGTACTGATTGCCTCCTGAATCGATGATTTTTGTCGCGTCTTGACATCCATCTGTCGCGGAGCAGGTGGCGTGCGTGGATACATGAACCGCGGCGACAACGGAGACATTGGCAAGAGAAAGCTTCTTGCCGTAGGTGAAGATAACTTTGCGAATGTCACTGTAGGTGGGCGTTGGTGTGCGACTGAACAAGAACGTTGGCGACACTGGCGACATCGCGCCTATCCCAAATGTTGAACTCATCGGCGACACCGTGAAACCTGGCGACATGGAGTAATCAAACATCGATAATGGCGATGCAGGGAGCAGCGGCGATGCGATGCTGAACAGCGGCTCCGATGGCAGAGGCAGAAGAAACTGGTTGACGGGTGATGATGGAGCCGTAGACGAGAGGGGCGAAGGAGTCTCTGGGAGCCAGTATGATAGTGCTGGAACAGGAGGTGTCCCTGCGATGTCCGGAAGCGATGATGTTGATGTCGTGCCTGGAAGTGGGAATCCCTGCGCGACGAGGAGTGGCCGGGGCGAGGAGCGCGCCATGCTGGTGTAGAGATGGCAAGGGCACCACTGCAAGCAGGTCGGGGCTTCATGTTGCACACGAATTTGAGTTTGGTAGATGGATATATGTGTGTATATTGAAGTTGTATGATGCTGATATTGAATGCAGACGCTGAAGCGGCTTATTATAATACCCAATTATCGAATCTTCAAATTGACCTTTTGGGTCTCACACACAGCCTCCACTACATCCCGAAGCTCTCAGACTGATGCATGCGGCAAGCAAGAGATTACATCGGAACCTCAGCCGTACTTCTCTATCGCGGACTGCATGCATGTGTGTGCTCAGTGTCTGGGCGAGGACGCGTACACACCTGGTCAAGTCAGCACAAAGAAAGTATAGCACGGCGACTACAAGGCTATATTTCACGAAATCAATATTTTCCCCCTGCCCCACGTGGCGGCCATGTGTCTGTGAGCCGTCGGTGCGTGGAACTGTTGCACGTGGATGTGAGACAGGAGGAAGACCAAGCTCACCCAAGACTCAAAATGCTCGCCGTACGTCTGAGACATGCAAGATCGGGAAACTTGTTGGAAGGATATGCTTTGTAAGTCGACGATGGGTACATGGCTCAAAAGCTTGCAGCTGAATTGCACAAGCTTGGTGGATACACGCTCAAGCATCCTGCATTCAGTGAAGCACTTGTGTCAACAACAACAATTCCTCAACCTATCCTCCCAAATGCTTCAATCCCACCATCCCCCTCTTTCCTCTAAGAATTATCCCCACTCCTAACCTGCAGATAATTCCCCGCCACTGGCCCCTTCAGCCCCGCATCCTTCCCAAACGCCACCCAATCGATCCCAAACCGGCTCGACACCGCCTGCTTATGCGCCGCCGGCACCGCAAACCCCGCCGGCTGCTCGTGCAGCACAAGCACATAGCGATGCGTCGCCGGCGTGCCCGCGGGCGGCGCGGGCCCGAAGTAGCTCGATGGCCCTGTGGCGCTGGTTTTGAGCACCGTTGTGCCGTTTAGGAGGCTAGTGGTGGGCGAGAAGTCGGTGAGTAGTGGCGTGCAGGACAGTTGTCGGGCGCGAATTGGAGGAGCCGTCGATGTCTGGGGGATGTGTTAGGTGATATAAGGGGGGTAAGGGGGGGTAAGGGGACACACCGATCATGGCGGAGGAGGTATTTTCCAGTTCACGGGTGGTGTTTGTCAGGCCGATTGTTGGGGCTTTTTGTGTGACTGGGTCGGGGTGTTAGATTGAGGTTTGGTATGTGAGGAGGGAGAGAGGGAATGTACGGGATTTCTTGACGATGAGACCAGGGCTGATGTATTGTGTGCCATAGTATACGTCGAGCGTGATGTTGGTGCTGGGTGTGAAGCCAGTAGGTGTTTGCGCGAGGGCAGGGGTTGCGAGGATGGAGGAGATGAGGGTGGTGAACTTCATGTTTGTGGACTTGAATATGCTTAGAGATGTTATTCACAAAAGTTAGGTTGCAGCACGAACTACGTATAAGATCAGTTGAATCTGTCAGAGTGCTGGCCTGGGTCCCACATGATCATGAGGTCGATTCTTTTTTCAGCATGCGAGTATGCTCTAAAAGGTAGTGACGCCAAGAATCGCAACGACGCTTAGATATTGCTTCTATTAAGGTGATGCAGGCTGAAAGAGAGAGCACTTTGACACCCTGGTCTCCCCACAATGCAGGGGTGTATCATCTTCGGCATCTCTGGACGAATTGTGCCAAGAGCAAATCACTACAGAATGAATTGAATGCGACCTACATTCGGTAGTTGGCATATTGCACGAAAGGGCACTGGGCACTGTTCAAGTGTTGGTGTCAAGTGGAGTGAAAGAGGAGTATATTACGACATTGTGTCTTCTGGAGCATTTGCCTTGAGCGTATTTTGTAGTAGTCGCACTATAAATTGTAGTGCGCTCGCTACACATTTTGCAAGTGGCTTAAGCAGTATCTACATTCAGCACCTGACCGTTCTCGGTCATCTGAACCTTCGCGCGCTTAGTCGATTCCTTGCGTGGGTTGGGGGCTTCGAAAATCTCCTTCAAGTCCTCAAGAGTCTTGCCAGCTGTCTCGACGAAGAAACTGTGATACGAGTTAGTAAGAAGGTCAAATCACCGGCATCGTATCCAGATCAACTTACAAGTAGATGGTGACAAGCTCGACGCAAATCCAACCGATGTAGACAATGTATAGTTTCCAGCCAATTGCCTCCATACCGACAGAGATTCCGTAGGTATTGACGACCATGGCCACGTTCAGGAAGAGGAAGTTCAGACCAGAACCCTTTGCACGTGTGCGGTTCTCCAAGCACTCCACCGAGTAAAGCGTCTGTAGTGGCGTCCAGCCCCAGGCGAAGAAAATACCGAAGAGGTAGATCGACACGATAACACCGTACGAGAGGTTGTTCGAGGGCGTTGCGGTGGCAGTGAAAGCGGTGAGAAAGATGTAGGCGATGAGTCCTCCAAGGAGACCTCCCATCAACATCTTGCGACGACCAAGCTTGTCGAGGAGTGTGGCTCCGTAGACGGCTGCAATCATGGAGAAGATGGGGTTGATCGCGTTGATGAGAAGCTGCTTATTCGGGTCGAGAATACCGGCTTGTTTGACCATGATTGGCATGAAGTAAGACACCACATTGTTGCCACTCCATTGTCCGAAGAACGCCATCGCGATGACCATGGCCAATCGATATCTGGCAGCCCTGGTGTTGACAAGCTCGCTGAAGTCCCACCATGGGTTCTCGTCGCGTGATTGAGCAAAGTCGTCAGTAATTTGTTGCAATTGAAGCTGGACAAGAGGCGAGTTGGCATCTCCCTCGCCGTGATACTTGGCCATGATAGCAATGGCTTCTTCGCGACGGTCATGCGCAAGCACTGTGTTGATTTAGACAAATCTCACATGAAGACAATCAGTTATTACTTACACCAACGAGGGGTTTCTGGGAAGAACATTACGCATGCCATGACAATGCCTGGAAGAATGCATTGAACAAGAGTGGGAAGGCGCCATGCCCAGGATGATTCGGACATGTGAAGGTTGGTGCCATACGTAGTCCAGCCAGCAAGAATGTTGCCTGTCGACACAAGTAAGCCAAATTGTCGGTGAATGCCGATACTGGAATCTCTCACCTAGCCACCAGAAGTTGTTGTACATGCCGGCCATGGTTCCACGGTATGCTGGATGTGCAAGCTCAACAGTGTAGGCTGGACCTGCTGCAGAAGCGATCGAAGCACCGAAACCCAAGATGAAGCGGCCTCCGATGAACTGACCCATGCCATGTGCCGATGTTTGGATAGCGGTTCCAACAAGAACCAGCGCACAACCAACGAAAATACAGATACGACGACCGTAACCATCGGCGAGAAGTCCACAGACTGAGATTATTGTTAGATGAGACCGAAATAGTGGGAGACGTGACGGAGCTTACATGGGAAAGCAGCAATTTGACCAAGATTGTAAATGATGAAGATGATACCGGCAGACGAGCCTTCGCCAGTCAGGCCAAATGTGTTCTGGTAGGACTTCATAGCGTTGATGGCGCCCATGAGGGAGGAATCGAATCCGTTCAGGGTTGAGACGAGATAACCAATTCCCATGATCCCGTAAAGTTGAATCATGCTTCGCGAAAACAGCCTGGGCTTCTGTGCTTCAAGAGCAGCAGCTGAACGGCATCAGTATATCATTCCAGGTCAGCAGTATGCTCGAGAAAACTCACCAAGAGCGACAGATGCAACATTGGCCTCAACGACATGTGCGGACTTGTGGACCTCATCGTCGTGGTTGCTGACCTGATGCGTAACAGCACCCATGTTCTCCTTGTTTTCTGCCATCCTGTCTCAACAGACGAAGTAACGAAAAGATGAAGAAATATTCAGACCCAAGGAAATGGGTCAACGAAGTAGTCAGTGACGATCCCACGATTTCCGGGGTAGTGGATTCGCTTTATACTAGCAGACATTTTACAGGCTTCTCCGCAACACACACGGCCGTAGACAGGTCTGGTCTCGCTCCGAGGTAGATTACCTGATGCTGCCGCCCAGTTGCCCGTTTCTGCTTCCTCAGGAACACCCTCGCCTAGCCACCCCGCGTGCCAAGCGCCCAGAGTGTGCTTGATGCAGGGTAGCCAGCGCATCGTGTCGAGGGTCAGAAGAACGTCTATGGGGCAACATAAAAGCTTGGGAACGCCTTGCACGGGAAATGAGCGGATGTAATTCTGGAATAAGCGCGGCAGCGGATGCAAGTCCAAGAACACACAAGTTTCTGCAAACCCTTTCCAAGCACGCGGCGAAGAACTGAATCGAATAGCACGATGCTCGGTCCTACTCCGAGTCGTGGTGAAGTCTGGAGTAGGCTACGGAGGTACTTCCCTGTTGGTTCATGGGTGTGGAGATGAAAGCCTGGAGAAGTCCGGAGCAAAACGTGCTTCTAGGGTGCGGTCTCTGCCGGTCTTCACCGATATAGGTAAGAACGAAACCTCTTGCAGTAGTAGAACCGCTGATCGGATGACCCTCCACATCGCGGCGTAATTAGCCCGATGCGAGCCTGCAACACCCAAGAAACTCCGGGATTCCCGTGTTTTTGCCAGCCGACAACGTGATCGAGCATCACGCCGTTGTCTTGGCCTGCACATTCGGGTGGCTTCCCCATTTGGGTCATGCCACCACATGCATTGCCATGCAACACAAATGTATCGAAGTGGAGATGTAGGTACTTTATCAACGGCTAACAAACGTCGCGATGCCACCACTCTCTACACACCATCAAAATGGCTTCAGGTACCTACCCCGCTGCAAAGCCAGACTGGAACAATCTCGACATCCTCCACGAGAATACCTTAGCACCCCGCGCATACTTCCATAACTACACATCGGAAGCGGATGCCTTGACATACGATGTAACCAAATCGAAGATTCATAACCTGTCCGGAACATGGAAGTTTGAGCATGCATACTCGCCCTTTGAGGCTCCCGAAGGCTTTGAAGCGCCATCCTTTGACACTTCGAAATGGAGCGATATTGCCGTACCAGGCATGTGGCAGTTGCAAGGATTTGGTAAAGGACCCCAATATACGAATGTCCAGTACCAAATCCCAGTGGACCCGCCCAATGTCTCATTCACTGAGAACGAGACTGGTTCATACGTGAAGAAGTTCAAGATCCCACAAGAGTTGCAGTCAGGCCAGATTCGCTTGCGATTCGAAGGTGTCGACGCAGCGTTCCATGTCTGGGTGAATGGTAAAGAGGTGGGTTACTCTCAGGGGTCCAGGAACCCAGACGAATTCGACATCACTAGTCTGGTTGATCTCAATGGTGAGAACGTACTCGCTGTAAGGGTCTACCAGCTGTGTGATGGTACATACATTGAAGACCAGGATCAATGGTGGCTCAGCGGAATGTGAGTATGCATGTTGTGGCATTCAACAATTACTGATGTGATCAGCTTCCGAGACGTGCTCTTGATTGGCTTCCCAAAGGAGAGCCGCATTGACAATGTCTTTGCCCAGACACTGCTCGACAGCTCCTACACAGATGCTGATCTCAAGGTTAAAGTCAGTGCCATCGGATCCGGCAAGGTCACCGTCAAAGTTCTAGATGCACAAAAGAAGATTGTTGCAACTGCTGATGCAGAGGTCAACAACGGCGGTTCAACCGACTTTAGCATCCCAGTCAAGAACCCCTTGAAGTGGACTGCAGAATCACCCAATCTCTACCATCTTGTTGTATCACTTGGCTCTGAGCAGTTCGTCACTCAGCGTATCGGCTTCCGCCAGGTCGAGATGAAAGATGGTCTGATCAAAGTCAACGGAAAGAGAATCGTCTTCCGCGGCGTCAACCGTCACGAACATCACCCCAAGCATGGCCGGACCGTTCCACTTGAGTTCTTGAAGCAGGACCTTCTGACCATGAAGCGCCACAACATCAATGCTATCCGCACATCTCACCAGCTCAATGATCCTCGACTCTACGATCTGGCCGACGAGATGGGTTTCTGGGTCATGGACGAGGCGGACTTGGAATGTCACGGCTTCGAGACTATTGCTGATCTGGCGCTTACGCCTGCTGAGCAAAAGTTGCCCTTCCGCGAACGCCAGCTCCTGACAAGAGAAAAGGCGGCAGAGTGGACTACCGACAACCCCGACTGGACCAAGGCTTATGTAGACCGCGCCGAGCATCTGGTCAAGCGTGATCAGCTCCATCCTTCCATTATATCGTGGAGCTTGGGTAATGAAGCCTTCTATGGACGGAACTTCAAGGCGATGTACGATCATATCAAAGCGTACGACAACAGCAGACCCATACACTATGAAGCAGACATCTACGCCGAGACCATGGACATGTACTCCAGGATGTATCCACCAATCAATGAGATCATTGAGTTTGGAAAAGACAAGACCAAGACTAAGCCTCTCGTGCTTTGCGAGTTTGTTCACGCCATGGGTAACGGCCCAGGAAACATCAAAGAGTATGTCGATGCTTTCTACGAGTACCCTACTCTACAGGGTGGTTTCGCCTGGGAATGGGCGAACCACGGCCTTGTAACCAAGGATAAGCAGACAGGCGAGGAATTTATGGCATATGGCGGTGACTTCGGCGAGGAGGTTCATGACTCCACTTTCGTTATGGACGGTCTTGTCAACTCAGACCACACTCCCAATGCTGGATTGGTGGAGTACAAGAAGGCTATTGAGCCCGTGCAGCTTCTGGAATCTAGCAAGACAAAGGCAAAGTTTATCAACAGATATGACATCATCACTCTGGATCACCTGGTCTGCCAGTACACGGTTGCGTCTGAGGCTGGTGGCGAGGGTAAGTCTGGTGTGCTTGATATCCCGTCTGGTATCGCACCAGGACAGACTTTCGAAGTTGAACTTCCCCAGATCTCCGACTTGGTCGGAGAAGCGCTTCTCAGCATTACGTTCGGCCTGAAAGAGGCTACCCCATACCTGGAGAAGGGATTCGAAGTTGGCACGGCTCAGATCCCCATTACTGCGACCGCACCCGTACAGCTTCCTGCAAAATCAGATGGAAAGCTTGAGGTCGCTACGAGCCGGAATTTGTTGGAGATTACAAGCCAAAAGTCGACCTGGAAATTCAACACTCTCCACGGCACCCTCACGTCCTGGCGTCAAGCCTCCACCGAGCTCATCACCAAGGCGCCAGAATTCGACATCTTCCGCGCAGAAACCGACAACGACGCCCCGCAAGACGGCTGGGAATGGAAGGAGAAGTGCCTCCATCTCGCCAAACCATCGACCCGCAAGGTCGAGTGGTCGCAACCAGACGCCAACACCTTGAAGGTCGTCGTGAACCAGCGCCTCGCTCCACCGACACTATCATGGTCTATCGACACCATTCTGACATACACATTCCGCTCGAACGGCAGCGTTTCCATCGCCGTCAATGGCACACCCCGAGGCGCGAACCTGCCCCGCACACTCCCGCGCATCGGCCTCGTCATGTCGCTCCCCCAGCAATTCCAACGCGTCGACTGGTTCGGCCGCGGCCCCGGCGAATCCTATCGTGACTCCAAGTTCTCCCAGCCCGTGGGCAAGTACACCGCCCAAACCATTGACGAGCTCTGGGTCGACTACGAAGTCCCGCAGGAAAGCGCCAACCGCACAGACACGCGCTGGGTCTCCGTATCCAACGGCAAGGACGCATTGCTGCTTGCGCAGTTTGTCAAGGGTGAGGAGAGGAAGTTGTTTGATTTCCAGGTGAGCCATTATAGGATGCGGGATGTTGCTGAAGCGGGACATCCGCATGAGTTGAGGCGCAAGAAGAGGGAGGAGGTATTGCTAAGATTGGATGCGGAACATCATGGTTTGGGCAGTGGGAGTTGTGGACCGAGGACGCTGGATGAGTATGCGTTGTTGACAGGGCCGTTTGATTTTGAAGTGTTGTTGCAGACGAAGTAGAGAGTGCAGTTCGGCGCTGAAGCGTTAGACCAAACTTCGAATTGGGAGTAGAGAATGCTAACAGACATTGAGTCTTTGCGTTGTTCGGCTTCACGCATGTTTCCCATGTCCCGTCAGCTGCGAGTAACGAGTGATTGGCCTACTGCGCATTCAGCCAGATTGAAAGTGCGAGTTACCCCTGGTGCCTGCATGTACACTTTCGTTCACAGTTCCTTAATACTTCCAAAGAGCTACGCATTGCATTCTTTGATGAGTAGACACGCGTCGTGAGGAGTCTGCTTCCAAGCAGGCGGATCCACTCGTGTCGATATCACTACCATGGTGTACAATGTCGAGGATGGAGATGAACAGGCAAATGCCGAATGTGCCGTCTGCGTGCCATAGGAGATTGATCGTCCAAGAAGTTGCCGAAGTGGCGGACGGTACCCGAGGACCTGCATCAATACAGATACTACAGTTGATTATTGCATGTTGAGCTGATTGCATTCCCGCTCGCTCGGATTTTCCAGCCCGGAGACGTACCAGGACGGCACATGAGAGCTGCGGTATTAATCGAAAGTTGGCATACTTCACGTATATGCAACGCTGAATGGCATATGAGTTCGCCTTTGACGTCGAGGTGTATAAATGGGCAGCCTCCACTAGACAGAACATCGCACCAACATCGCGCAGCCTGTTTCAACAGTACCACACACATTGAAATCAAGCATGAAGTCCCTGATCACCATCGTTGCTGCACTGTGCAGCGTAGCCTCAGCATGGCCACTCATGCCCTGGAGCATACTAGCTCCGCCAGCAACCGGCACCCAATTCTACCAGCTTCAAGCTAAATCGTTCGAATCCCCGTATCCCCTTATCTCAGCCCAATCCTGACATGGCCCGACAGAGCAACCACCGCCCTCAATAACCAATGGGTCACTCTCCCCGCCGGCTCAACCAGCTACGGCCTCGCAACAGCCCAGACTGCAGCGACCAAGTTCTTCGTGCAAAAATTCAACGCGACGAATACTTGGGCGTTTCACAACGCTGATGACACGCGCCAACTCGCGCTGCGCGGCGCGGATGGCGTGTTGCTGTACTTGGTTGACGTGACGAACCCTAATTCAGGCAATATCCCGGGCGGGCAGTTGATGGAGTGGGCGACGTTTACCATGGACAGCAATGTCCTGAGTGTTAGTGATGGAAGTACGTTGAAGAGTAGGACGTTTGTGGGGGTCAGGGGAACGGGGACCACGTATACTCTTGCGCTGTATGATGGTGAGTTTTGATGACTGTGAGTGGGGGAGGTGGTGCTGACGATAGACAGGAGTTAGTAATACGACGCAGACAATTAGTCCGCTGACGCTGAATATAGTGAGGAGTGGGAGTGGATGAGTGGTGGCGGACGAGGATGCGGACTATCAAAGGGTTGTTAGGGGCATACATGCAGGCATGATAAAGGGAACAGAATCCAAACTGTGTTGGTGTATCGCTCATGCTATAGCTAATCATCTTGCGTCGTAAAGCCGCCCATTGACAAAGTTCATCCAAGGCTGCAACACCCCCAAGCGCCGAGAACGCCGTAACTACTTCGTCGCAGAGCCTAAAAGTCGTTGTCTGCATCCATATCCTCATCTCCCGCTTCGATGAACACCAGTCGTGACCCCTCGCCTGTCGTTTGCCAGACCTGGTCAAAGTTAGCATCGTGGTTTGCTGGAATATCCTTGTATGAAAACTTACATCAAGCATGGCATACTCATCAATGGCCTGCTCAAACTGATCCGCAGTGAAGCCCTTGGCCAACACTCGCTCCCTGACCCTTCGGAGATCCATCTCGCCACGCGTGCCGTCGCCGACAGCAGCAGCTCCGCTAGCCTCCATCGACTTGATGAGGTGATAAATCTTACTACTGGGCGTGTAATCATCCCGGCGGTTGTCGTCGGCGTACAGACTGGCTTTGCTTACTTCCGTGAGGCGTAGAGCCTCGTCAACGTCTTCTGAAATGACCTCGTCTGCGAATCGTAGACGAGCCAGAGCTTGCGCCAGACGAAGGACACCGAGCAGGGTACGAGGTGATGTGTGGGTGAAGGCCTTCTTGGAACCCTCATCGCGCTTCTGCTGTTGGCGCATGCGTACGTATGCGCCCACCATGTAGTCAGACACTTCCTTCGGAACATTTGGTCGGTATGATCGCGCACGAGCAACCCATTGTCGAACTTCAGCGGGACTGAACACGATGCCTCCCTGGACTTCAGGATGCTTGTTGTGCATATGGACGTGCGTAACGTGGCGTGCCAATTCTTCGTCAGAGTCTCGCGCAGGGGTATCAAGAATAAGGAAAAGTACGTCGAAACGCGACAAGAGCGCAGCAGGAAGGTTGATATTCTCCACGGGGGAGATGCGGGGGTTGTAGCGACCATACAACGGATTGGCAGCGGCAAGGATCGATGTGCGGGCGTTGAGAGTGGTAGTGATACCGGCTTTGCTGATCGAGATAGTCTGCTGCTCCATGACTTCGTGGATGGCGGTTCGGTCGCTGTCGTCCATCTTGTCGAACTCATCAATACAGCACATACCATTGTCGGCCAGGACGAGAGCGCCGCCTTCGAGGACCATCTCATCTGTGACGGGATCGCGCATCACAGCCGCGGTGAGACCGACACCACTGCTACCACGACCGGTGGTATAGACACCACGAGGAGCAACCTTGGTGATGTACTTGAGCAATTGGGATTTGGCCACACCAGGGTCTCCCATCAAGCATACATTGATGTCACCACGGATACGCATACCGTCCTTGACTTCTTTTGTGACGCCACCAATAAGCTGGAGAAGCAACGCCTTCTTTACATCAACGTGACCGAAGATCTCGGGCGCGATGGATCGCGACAAGTATTCATACAGTTGGCCAGTCCTTTCGAGCTCGTTCATCCTCTTCAGGGTTGGTTGAGCGAGGACGATATCATCATATGCCTTCTTGTGTTGCATGACATGTTGCGCCTCGAGGTAGGTATCTGTGAGTAGACCGGCACGGATGGCCTTGAAGCCAGTGTATGGGGTTGGGAGGAAGATACCCGCCACATCTACGACATCTCCGGGGTTGATCTGGCGTACAAGTGCACCGTGGCAATGGATGGTAAGCTGTCTAGGAATGTGTCCAACGGGTACCTGATCAGCCATCTCTTGAATCTTGACCTCCTGGAAAGGAAGGAACTTGGATGCACGGGTGGATAAGAACATCTGACCCTTGGTCTTGTTGTTCTTGCATTCTTCTGATGGGCACTCCTGAAGTGGTGTAAATGCTTTCGTTGTCACGGGCTGGAAGACTTCGCTTCCGCAGCGGTCGCAGGAGTAGGCATTGACCTGTACAGCAGGCTTGACGTCTGACACCCGCGTTGCGATACCGCGGACTGTGATTAGGTGGCCGAGATGCTCTCCTCGCACATTCCGAACGGCAAGCGCCTTCATGGCTGCTTGGCTGCTAGCGCCAGACGGTATTCTGGGCTTGAAGTTGAGCGTGTATCGTCGTGTCAGTGCCGCGGGGAAGAGCGATTCTGGGGCAGCATCTGCGGTGTCGTCAACACCCTGGAGCTCCTGCATCCTCTCATTGCGCTTGGAACGCTGGGTCATGATGACATCCAGGACATCGTCTTTGAAGCTATTGCAGGTTAGCACGGTGGTGGCATCATTCAGGCCGGCTGGCGTACTTCAGCTCCTTGGTTGGTGGCGGTAAGCACTTGTCGACTGCTCGGGAGAAGACTTCGAGGTAGTGGTGGGCGTTGCGCTCGATCGATTCAATCAGCTTGTAGTTGTGCTCGCCGTCTGAGGCAGTCCTCTCGTACTGCTTCCCATCAGCCCCTCCCACTCAGTATGCGCAGCTCCTACTCACGGCTTCCACGTCGTTCAGGTCTATGACAATCTCGTCGCGCTCGCGGTTTGACACTTCCTGTAACTGGTTCATGTACTTTGTTTTCGACTGGCCGTTGCGCGCCCTGTTTGGCGCAGGATCGTCTTCGTCGTCCATCATGTCGTACTCTTCGTCGGCGCCATTGCCGTTAAGATTGAGCCCCTGTAATTGATCGGCGGCTTCGGTGGACGAGGACTTGAAATTCTTGAGGAAGTCGACGAAGGCAGCTGTGCGCTGTTAGCTGGGCCCTGGCATGTGCATGCGACGCTGTATACACACCCTCCTGCTCCTCGTAGTTGACGGGTGCCGTCGTGGTAAGGAGCGCCATTGTCGCTCGCTATGCAATTTCTAGAAGGCGATTCGTATACGTAGAGATCGCCTGGTGGTGATGCAGCGGGGAGGGGGGTTGCGGTAGCGAATTTGAGATGGGGCTGGCTGGTTCGCGTTGCAGCGCGTCGAGCGCGTTTCCCTGCCAATTGACGATTGGCTGCCGGCGACGGCTGTTCTGCCACCGCCTTCAATGCGACGGGCGCCGACGACCTCGGCTGCGTAGGGGAGCTTCAGCATCTCGACCAAAAGTATGCCGTGATTGTGACCTTCAATTCACTCCTCTCACATCGCCATGCCGCCGAAGAAGCCTGCGGGCAATCTTGTCCAGGCCGAGGTCGCATTGAAGCAGACACTCAAGAATTGTCTTGTCAATCTTCCCTCCACGCTCGTGTCGGTGCTCGTGAATGCCAATGCTGTAGGTGTTTTTGATGAAGCAATGTGATGAGATGCTAACGCCATCGACAGGTCGCCCAGAATGTCGTCGTCGAGCTCTCCTATCGCCAGCCTCCCCCACCTGGCGCCTCGGAATCCAGAAACGCCTCCCCGTCCAAGTCAGTGTTCGTGGGATGGACAGGCATGCAGAGCCAGCGTAGACTTGCGTCTGTAGTCGGTCCGGGTGGGCTGAGAGGCAACGTAGCTACGAACCAGCAGGATATTCCCGCTGTAGAGGTTGATGCTACTTTTGCGCGCCTCATTGGGCTCACTGAAGGTCAGAAGGTGGGCATCTTGCTGCACCTCGACCCTCCACAGGCGCATACCATCAACATCGAGCCTCTGACCCCGGTGGACTGGGAGATGATAGAGCTGCATGCACAGTTTCTAGAATTGAACTTCTTGTCCCAGATACGCGCGCTTCCCAACCCTCAAGCTCAGGCACCACATCCGTTGACACTCCACCTCTCCCCTACCACCACCGCGAACATCACAGTAACATCCATCGCACCCGCACCGCCAACGACATCGCCCTTTGTGAAGATATCTCCGGATGCTGAGGTCATTGTTGCACCCAAGACACGTCAGAAGGAGCGCAGTTCGACTAGAGAAAGTAGAAGCGTGGGAGCTGCTTCGAGAAAGAGCGGAAAGAGTGTCGCTAGTACAGTCAGACGACGTAGCGGCCGCGACGACAATGCTAGCAAGGGTGCCGTCTTCCTGCGAGGCGTGGACCGCAGTGTTGCTCAAGAGTGGTTCGATGAGGAGGAAGATGCGGATGCCCAAGGCCTCAAGGTCTGGGTAGACAAGGACGTCCTGCTCACCAAAGCGCTCCGTGGAGTGACATGGGTATCGGTAGCCGTCATCAAGCCTGCAGGACTCCAAGAGCCGGTGGATATGTCACAAGAACAAGAGCAAGAAAAGCCGGCCGGTCGAGTAATCGCGCGCATCGCAAATTGGGAAGACGCACCCGACAGCCGCCATGTCGCCCTCTCAACAGACCTTTGCCAAGTGTTGGGCTTCGAGGGCTTTGTAGGTGGACTTGTCCGAATTGAGGGTGCGCCAGCCCAGACCGCAAAGCCATCAGCCATCAAGCCAACAGGGTCGAAAGAGTCAAGGGAGCCGGTCGTGAAGACAATCAAGATTGTTCCCTTTTCTACCAATGCGTCGCAAGGCAATGCTTCGTTGAGATTTGGTGGATGAATCCAAGCAAGAGCAGGAGGACGCTATTCAAAAGATTAAAGTCACATACGGCAAGAAGAATGGCCTTCTCGATGGACCAGTCACAGATGGCATGGTTCTTCCGCCCGTCGAAGATTCTGAATTAGGATGGCAAGGAGGCCTTGTACGGTTCGATCCTCCACAGTCGGCAGTCGGCGCATCGTGGGTATTGTTCCCAGAAAGGAAACCACCCATCGAGCTCGCTCAAGAGATACCGACTCCCTCTACGTGGGCTAGGGGTTGGAAGCAAGGTGAACCTTTACAGGCCATCTCACCGAATCTTGTTGGTATCGACCCTCTCATCCAGCAGCTCCGATCGCACCTCACACACAACTCTTCTGTCCTTCTGACCGGTGGTCTCGGCGCAGGCAAGTCGCAATGCGCGCAGCTCCTTGCCCACCAACTGCGGACCGAGTACCTCTTCAACGTCATATATTTCCCATGCAGCAAGCTTGTCACCGACGAGACAAGAGTAGCAACGATCAAGGAGACACTAAACCGCTTGTTCGCGTCCGCATCCTGGGGAGCCCGATCGGGCGGTAATGCTGTTGTAGTTCTGGACGACTTGGACAAGCTGTGTCCTGTTGAGACTGAGCTGCAAGTTGGTAATGAGAATGGACGAAGTCGTCATGTCAGCGAATGCCTTATCTCTATTGTCCGACAATACTGCTCGATAGACTCGGGTGTAGTACTGTTGGCAACGGCACAAGGCAAAGAATCACTTAACAACGTGATTGTCGGTGGCCACATCGTGCGAGAGATTGTAAGCTTAAAGGCGCCTAACAAGGATGGACGACGAAAAGTACTTGAAATGCTGGCACACAAGGACGCCAAACCTCAATCAGCACTACCCGAAGAACCGAACGGACACGCATTTCCATCCTCGCCCACAAACAGTCGACCGAGTACTTCACATCGCAGCATCCCAGATAATGGCAGCATACAAGAAGACGAGCCAGAAGGATTTGGTTTCGTCGTAGAGTCCACAATTGATTTCTTGGACCTTGCTGGACAGACAGACGGCTACATGCCAGGCGATCTTGTCCTCCTGACATCTCGGGCTCGCAACGAAGCACTCATTCGCTCAATCACATCCTCTTCAAACACAGTATCACTCACTCGCGACGACTACACTTCGGCGCTGAAAGGCTTCACACCAGCGTCCTTACGGAACGTCACATTGCAGTCCTCAACAACAAAGTGGGACTCCATTGGCGGTTTACACTCCACCCGTCAAACCCTCTTAGAGACGTTGCAATACCCCACAACATACGCGCCCATCTTTGCTCAATGCCCACTTCGTCTTCGATCCGGTCTCCTGCTATATGGGTACCCGGGTTGTGGTAAGACACTCCTCGCCTCTGCTGTTGCCGGCGAATGCGGTCTCAACTTCATTTCCGTCAAAGGCCCCGAGATCCTCAACAAGTACATCGGTGCCTCAGAAAAGAGTGTCCGAGACCTCTTCGAGCGCGCAGAAGCTGCTCGACCATGTGTCCTTTTCTTCGACGAGTTCGACTCGATTGCACCAAAGCGAGGGCACGATAGTACTGGTGTCACAGATCGTGTGGTCAACCAGCTCTTGACACAAATGGACGGTGCAGAAGGACTCAGCGGCGTCTACGTCCTCGCCGCCACCTCGCGACCCGATCTCATCGACCCTGCCTTGCTCCGCCCAGGTCGTCTAGACAAGAGTCTCCTCTGCGACATGCCCGGCCTCGAAGAACGCATCGACATCCTGCGCGCCGTCACCCTCAAACTCAACCTCGCCCCCTCCCTCCTCACGTCCGACACCTCCGGCTCGAACCTCCGCGAAATCGCCCGCCGCACAGAAGGCTACTCCGGCGCCGACCTGCAAGCCGTCGTATACAACGCACAACTCGAAGCAATCCACGACGTCCTGGGCGACGCAGATCTGACCGCCGATTCCAGCGCGAAGAAATCCGACTCCAAAGATAAAGACAAAACCATCCCTGAATTCATGCACTTCCGCTACGGCGACGATCCCTCATCCCTCGACCCCGCCACACCCATCCCCTCCGCCCAACTCACCGAGCGCGCCATGATCGCGCAGAAAATCGCCGCTCTGCAAACACTCCGCCGTAAGCAGAAGGCCCTGCAGCGCCCGTCGTCCAGCCACAATGACAAAGACGAAGTTGACAAGGACGACGATGGCGAGCGCAAGGACCCGCAGATCCAGTGGAAGCACATTGATAGTTCGCTGGGTACGACGCGCAGCAGTATTAGTGCGCAGGAGCGGGTGCGGTTGATGAGGATTTATCGCGAGTTTGTGGATGGGCGGGATGGGGATTTGCCGAGTGGGCAGGGGGGGAGTGAGATTGGGGGGAGGAGTAGTTTGATGTAGGGCGGTTAGAAGATGGGGAAGGGGTTGTGCTGGGTATATTTTATTATGGGGAAGATGGGTGTACACGAAAGTGAGGTGGAGGAAGATGGATGTTTGTGGTATCATAGCATTTATACATTCTCATCCCAAGACATGTCTCCACAAGACATTGGCCCTCATAGCTACCTCTCATATCCTCGCTGTAGGATCCTACTCTTCTTGTCCCCCCCTCTCTTTCTCCCTCATCCCCGTCTTTATTTCGATACCGCACCCTTAACCTCCTCTGCCACACCCTTGACCTTATCTCCAGCCTCCTTCAACTTCTCCCCCGCCTCCTTGCCCCCGAAATTCCAGTAGTTCAAGATACCTGTACCCTTGCACCAGCTGCGAGCTGAAATTAATCGCATGGCACCCGAAGAGCAGGTAGTTGGCGGGTGTGACGGCGAGCGCGTATCGCATGAAGGTGCCGGAGTACAGCGTCAGGGCGCCAGTCATGCGGCCTGAGATACTGCGAATTTGTCAGTACGAGGAAGGAGAGAGAGGGGGGGGGGGGGGGGGCGGGGAAAGGGTGGGAGAAGTTACATTTCCGGGTCTTTAGACATGTCTGCGATAGCGGCGATGGGGATGCCGAAGTTTGAAGCTGGGCCCCAGAAATCTTTTACACAAGTCAGCGACTACATCTCCTCTCTATCTCTCTCTCTCTCTCTTGTCCCAATCCTTCGCAATCCAATTGTGTCCGCCTCTTCCTCTTCCTCTTCCCCCATCCGACGCTGACAAACATCCCCGGGTAAAAACGTACGAGTCGAGCAGAAGTAGTCCGAGTACTTGTTTGAGCGGATCTTCGCGTTGAGGGCTTTGATCGCGGCGGCCATGGTGGGCGCGGGAATTGGCGTGTTTCGTGGAAGAAGCGCAGTGACGAGGCCGTGGGAAGAGAGTAAGCTGTGGTCGTGCTTTCGTGGTGTTGGAGCTGGTTCGGTGCCAAGGAAAATCGGGGTCGGAACGGTTTGCGACAACGGCGGGAGGGTCACGTGGGTTTTGTAAGATGCGATTACGGGGTGGCTATTGGTTGGATTGTGTGGATGCATTGAGCTTGTATGCTGCCTTTACTTGATGAGCCTGTTTGTATCGCAGGCAACAAAGTAAAGGCTGCAGGTCTTCTAAGAAGTTCAAATTCTTCAACGGCCTTGGTCTTCACGGCGTATAGCTTCAAGAAGGCCGATACATATACGAGTGCAAAACAGCAGTGAGCATTTATCTCATGGCATTGCAAGGTTGGTAAAGCATTTTTCCAGTTCCTCCTTATCGATCTCAAGGGTATTGCGCAATTCAAGTTGCCGTAAATCTCCTTCGAACCAAAGACTTGAGCCGTGTAACCATCATTCCTCAAAGCTCCAGCCCTCCGACCCGTGTGAAACTGATGAGACTGTACTTATCTAATGTCTACGTCTCAAAAGACGTGGCCATTTTCTCACACAATCGCGTTCCGGGCTGGCACAATTGGCTCTGCTGGTGTAGTACCGACTGACGTTCCTGGTATGCTTTTGATGTTGCGAGCTCTCTCCAGACGACCTTCCCGCTCTTATCGCCCACCAAAGCCAGGAGGAGGTCCACCGCGGCCAGGGAAACCAGGAGGTCCACCGAAGCCTGGAGGTCCTGCGAAACCTGGAGGGCCACCGGCAGGAGGGAAACCGGCTGCATAGTGTTAGCGTGCTTCATCTGGAACCCAGAGACTTTTGAACATACGAGGTCCGCCTCCAGGTGGTCCGCCACGACCTGGGAAACCAGGTGGGCCACCAAAGCCAGGTGGGCCACCGGGAAATCCTCCACCGAATCCAGGACCAGGACCTGCGACGCCAGGCGCGGGTCCAGTCAGGCCAACTGGTAGACCACGTCCGGCCGGTCGCGCGACACCAGGACCAGCGGCTAGAGTCGCAGCAGTTGCGGTGCCACTAGGCTGCGCTCCAAGCCTCGCGGCAGGGTCTGCGGGCGGCGGCCCATCGACAGATAGTGAGATGACATGCGCACCGCGGATGATGGTGAGGCCGATCGCGCGTCGCTCCTCAGTCTCGGTGACGCTCTGGGTTGCGCCAGGCGCGGCCTTTCCTCGTCGTCGAGTGCGGCGGAACTCCTCTGTGTCGGCAAGGACCAGGTTCATGTGCTTCTAGACATTAGCATCTTCTCAGTAGTGATTTCATGCGACACTGACCTTGTCGAACGCGAGCATCTGTCCAACCATCTGCCTACCATCTTGAAGTGTTACCTTCATGCGGTAGTTGATCTGCAATTGTGAGTGCGGTGCGACTGTGAGCAGAAGATGGGGCGCTTACGAGATTTTGCTACACCATCGGGCGTCAGTCAGTTCTACACGCGTCTTTTCTCAGGTCAAGGACTTGAGCTGCTGGGCAGATTTACTTACCATCTTGCCCTGTCTGTTTGCAGCTCCAGACATCGTGATAGTGGCGCGTCCGAAGACGACTTAGGATTCAAAAATTGGTGTGTTGAAGGTACAGGAAGACAAAGTCCCGTGTTCAGCAAGTGGTGGGGTGTATTGCGGAGCTATCGGTGGTCTTGACGATGTTCGAAAGCTTTCGCAGGCCGCGAGCTAGGGTCGCTGCACGTGACGCGCTCGCTAAACTGGCGGGCCCGCCCACGGCTTCTCGACTAGCCAAAATTATTCGCGACCTCCATCTTCAGCGGTCGACACACCACCTGCCTACTAACATCAGCAGCAATCACAATGGTACGCAGCAATACCGCCAATTCACTCGCAATGCCAGTACTAATGCGCACCGCAGTCCGACTCCAAGGCCTCCAACCCCATGCGGGAGCTCCGCATCCAGAAGCTCGTCCTCAACATCTCTGTTGGCGAGTCTGGTGATCGTCTCACCCGTGCTGCGAAGGTGCTCGAACAGCTGAGCGGTCAAACTCCCGTCTACTCCAAGGCCCGCTACACCGTCCGTACTTTCGGTATCAGGAGGAACGAGAAGATCGCCGTCCACGTCACCGTCCGTGGCCCCAAGGCCGAGGAGATCCTCGAGCGTGGTCTCAAGGTCAAGGAGTACGAGCTCCGCAAGCGCAACTTCAGCGAGTCTGGCAACTTCGGTTTCGGTATCTCCGAGCACATCGACTTGGGCATCAAGTACGACCCTAGCATTGGGTATGTGGACTGTGAACTTGGATGAGCAGGCAGTGGCTAACAGGAGCAGTATCTACGGCATGGACTTCTACGTCTGCATGACCCGCCCCGGTGAGCGTGTCGCCAAGCGCAGGCGGTGCAAGAGCAGAATCGGCGCCTCCCACCGCGTCAACCAGGCCGAGACCGTCAAGTGGTACAAGAACCGATTCGAGGGCATTGTCCGATAAGCGCATCGCATGTCGGTGAAGAGGGAACGAATTGAAGATTCTGCACGACTACCAGCATTTCCAGGTTTCGGCGGGTATGGTCCTACGGAGTCCTGGGTGTACTTAACAAAAGAGCAAGCATTGAACTTGCGGCCTATCAATGGAGCTTGACCTGTCTCTGACGAGCGGGTCTTATCACATACATCAATGGAGGCTTCACTCGGGTGAACTTGCCGACTCAACCATTGAGTGATCAACTTGCTCGTTGCTGCCTGCTCGTGATGTGTTTGCTTGTGATGCTGTGATGGGCTTTTAGTAGTCGTCCTCATACTGACCACACGTCTCGTGCCGAGACGTCCAGCTTGTAGCGGATTCAGATCCACTGACCTCTAACTTGGAATTGTCTGCCCCTTATACTTTTGATTGCTCTATGAGCATTGATCCATATGATCATAATGGCTTACTGTCATGAGCCTTACCTCGATCTCTTTTCTGTCTATCACAGCGAAGCTGTTGTAGTATTCACTACTGGTGAACGAGCAATGTTCATGGCTGCCAACGGTACATCTCTCACAGCGCACCTTAGGAAAGTCCATAGCTTCTCCAAGCTTCGAAATGCGGTGTGCCCTAGAAAATTCAAGCCTGGTCTCGCATCATCGATGCAAGGAAGACAATCTAGAATATCTTCACTCGAATCGTAATCAATCCTTAGCAGCACTTTCCACCATACCTCTACCAATATCACCAACGTCTCCATCTCCAAATCCATCTTTCCATACATGTTCCATTCTGCAAAGTGCTCTACTTTGATCGCACAACTCCACCACCCATATATGAAGCGGTGAGCTCCGTACCACCACACGCCCATCTGAATTAAGTCACACGTGCATGTACCACCACCCACCATCGACCCACATGTACGCCATGACCCAACATCCGGCCCGAAACGCGTGACGTCCTCCCTTACTCTTGGGATGGGGTGTGACCACGCGTTCACGCGCCCGTGGCAGCGGCTAGCGAGAGTGGGCGGCTCGCTGGGTTCCAGGGTCGATCGCATGATGATGACGCGATGAATGAGTGTGACGGGTTGTGGGCGAGACGCTGGAGAAAGCGTTGAATGGTTGAAGGATATCGAGGACTGAGTATCGTGGGTAAGCAAGACAGACATGTTGGAGAAAGAACCACGATTTTTAGCAGAAGAGAGAATATGTGTAAAGTGTAATCTTTTGTGTGTCTTTGTCTTATGATAGGTATCTGCCATCTCAATCTTTATCACATCTGCATCCGTATGCGTATCCAAACAACACACCCCAGGCAATCCATTCTCGTCAAAAAATAGTGAGAGACGTGTGTGTCAAGGTATCTCAAGGAAAATCAACCAAACACCCGTAAGCGATCGGAACGAAAGCACAGCCCAAAGGCCAGCTTCTCAAACAACAATAGGAAAAATGTACAAGTTTCTGTGCACCCAAGGAATCCCAGATCCAACAAAAGAAGAAGAGAAAGAACAACGACGCTAATGCAACAAATAACGATACAACAAGATCATCCACTCTCTAGCGGCCGGTCACGTTGGGACCAAAGTCAAAGCCCGCCGGTTGCTGTTGCGGCGGCGGGTATGACGGTGAAGCCAGAGGCGTGTACGCGCCCGGGATGGGTACCGAGGCGTATTGTTGCTCGCCCGGAGCGGCGTTGACGTGGTCGTTGTGTCGTTCCTGGAAGCCAGGGGAGACAGGCGGGAGAGGGGGAGATGCAGTGCCCATTCGCGCGGGGGCATCGAAGCCGTCCTGTCCAAGCTTGGGTGTAGCACCAGTGACTTTGATGGGAGGAGCGCCGAGGGTGAAGGGCTGGGGTTGCACGATCTCGCGGACAGAGGCGTATTGCACTTTGTCGCTCTCGCCAGCTTCCGCGGCAGAGTGCGCGTCAGTGTGCATGGGGTGGCCTGGGGGTGGGCGCCAGCCGCCGGAGCGAGGGGAGAGTGGTCCGAAGCCGGGTGTGTTGGGAGCGGATTGCGAGCGGAGCTGGGCGAGGTAGAGATCTGAGCGGGCGCGGTCGCGCATAGCCATGGACTTCCTGAGCTTGCGCTTGGACCAGAAGCGGTAGAAGACGATGCCGTAGATGATGACACAGAGGAGCTCGACAACGACTTCAATGATGCAGCAGACAAGTGCCCAGTTCTGGTAGATTGTTAATTTGTGTTTAGAGAGTGCGGTGTTGGGAAGAACATACCTGAAGACGGCAGACGAGCGCATAGGAGATATCATCCTCAAAGAGATGTCGTCGCTTGTTATCCACGCAAGACCAGCCCCACATGTCCTTGTTGTTGTTATTCGCTTTACTCTGGTTGAGGATCGCGGCTCCAACGGCCCACATGATAATGCTGAAGACGAAGAACCCGACGGCGAAGACAGTGTAGTAGGCAGCTACTTTCTCGGCTCGGTTGTGACCGCCTCTAAAGTAGGCAACCATGACGACAATTGACATGACGAGTGAGACACAGGCGATAGACAGGATAACGACTTGAGGCCAGATCTTCGTGTTTTCGGCCCATGGTGGAAGGTTGTTTCGTGGTGCGAGAGTCTTTGTGGCGTTGAAGATAGCGAAGGCAGTTGCGACCATGGAGAGGACGATCAGACTGCAAGCAAAGTTGATGCCACGCAAGAATATCTTTGCTATTCTTACCCGGACCTTGATTTTCTGCTTATTGTTAGACCCATGCTGACAGACATACTGCTGTCTAAACTTACCAAGTCTTTTGCTTGCTCCTTCTCGGTGAAGGCCTCATGCTTCTCGAGCTTCTGCTCTTCCCTGAAGGTAGGACTCAGGATGCTCGCAGCGCCTGGTGTCCGTGGTGGTGCACCAGGCGACTTCATTGCACTCTTGAGCGCACCCTGAGTGCGGGGCGTTGGTGGAGGAAGATATCTTCGGTCGGTTTCTTCCATCTCGACGGCTGATACGTAGGATAGACCTACGTCGGAAACTTGAGGCTGAGGTTTGTAGTGGTTGGTGGGGTAGTCGAAGGGTGTCTTCGGTCCGTCAACAGGTGAGTAGACTGAAGTAGCTTCGGCGAAGCGTGCTGTGCGAGGAGTCTTGTTGGTGTCGGAGTCGTCGGTATTCCGTCTTTCAATCGTAACTGTGAGATTCTTCTTATTGTTGGTTGCCATTCTACAACTTTCCGAGAGTCACACCAAGGCACGAAGCTCTCATCAAGCGGGGGCAGTGAAGGAGATGGGGAATGCTGTGAGGATGGCGACTATAATCCAGACCAGCTTAGACCAGTCGATGAAGGTGCAGATGCAGGATGACAGAAGGCAAAAGACACACGAAGTATTACAATAAGAGACCTGCTGGAGAGAAGAAAGGAGCAGAGGCAATGGAGCGAAGCGCCAGCCTTTTGTCTCCGGGCGCTTCGAGGGCGGCGAGCGCGAGGATTGGATAGAGCCGAGCACGGTCGAGAGTGGAGAGAGATGGGATGGGAAAGCGGGCGGGTACTTACAACGTTCTAAATGTATGGCGCCAAAGGCTGGCAGCTTGCACCACTGCAGGTTCCCGTCTGATAGGCTAACGGGGGAGACGAGGTAGTGGAATGGCGCGCAGTGGGAGGAGGGGAGTAATAGGCCCAGAAATAGACGCCCGGGAGAAGTCGATAAACGATTTGCAAACGAAGCGCATCCAGACCAAGAAAGTGCAGCGCGAAGAGCTTGGTAATGTGTAATCTGACAAGGTGTGCTTATCCCGGCCGTCAGCGTGCGTGTAAGATGGCCTAGGCGAGCGTAATATAGCTCCAAGCTCGTGGTCGCACGTCTGTCTCTCGTGCGCCTCGCAGTACAAAGGTGCCTCAAGAGAGAGGAAGAGCCAGCAGACGGGTACATCGTTACTCCTCGTACGCCTCGGAAGCGGAGCTCTGCCCAGACTGCGGGCGCTCTAATGCTTGGACAGAGGCTTTGAACGACACCCAATTGCTGCGAGCTGTTTGACGCCTGCAAAACGCGACATGGTCGTTGAGGGTGGTGAGTGGTTGGGGATTACAGGGACTGTGCATAAAACCCAGGCGGGCTAGTCGATTTAAGCTACGGGAAGCGCCCATCCCATCTAGTCCCAGCCAATCGCAGCGGGTAGCTGCCGTGAGACGCTGAGGAAGGCGCCTCCCGGCCCACACCAGTCATTAGGCCAGCGTGAAGTCGAGTCCCAACCAAGACAGCACAGAATGCGTCTTCGAGTCCGCTGTCTCAGAGTATCGCCGTGTCGAGCCTCCCTCGCAGAAACGATAAGAGTCTCCGCTTGCCCGCGCGAGAAAATTCATCGCCTCCATCAGCCGCACTGTATGGATTAATCTGCACGTCTCGTCGCTGGTCAGCTTGGTCAGTGCCGGCATGTGACTGATCTGCATGTCTGCATGCCATGCGAAAGCAACTAATCGCGAATCACAGCCCAGCATCTGCACGCTAATTTGCCACACAAGCATACATTTAACTTGATTTAAAGTCGGGCACGCTAGCCATGTCAGGCCAAATCCGTTTCGTTTCCATGCACGGTTATTTTTGGTGTCTTTTGCTGCATCGTGGGGTGACACGAGCGACGTGCTGACGATCCGTCACGAACAGGCAACATGGGTGCGACACCTTCGACAGTCGTCCACGTTGTCAGTAACATGTAGTGATGTATGCGCTTTTTCAACGCTCACCTATGGCTGATTTGGCCGCATGCTCACTCCCACGCCATGCGCAATGGGACGGCCCTTCCGTCGCTGCTGGCAATGAACATGGCCCGGCGAACATAAGGCGCAGCCAAACCACGCCGCACAGCCATCCCGAATCGTGCATCTCTCGAGGCACATTTTCGAGAGGCTGGTGTGCAGTTCACCGGTTCATCGGTTCCTTCCCTTGCCGCATAATCCTCCCAAAAAGCCAAATCGCCACTCCCAGCCTCTGACCCTCTATCCCAAAATAACCCTCGCATTCCCCGCTATCCATCTCACTCGCATCCCGTTGCCTGAGACATACATGTGTACTGCCAGACCAGGCGTTCGCTCCGCACCCAAGGCAGATCCACCCGCTCCGTTTCGAAACATCTCCCGTGCGAACATAAACATTTTAACCCACATTTAGCCTCGCCCGACCATTGCCCATGTCGGTTTTATATTGTCATGCAGGATAGGTACCTGGATGTGTACATATTTGCGTCGTTAGGGCTGAGCTCAACAATGTTGGGGAGTACGCCTGATGGGCGGGCGAGAGCTAATTGTAGACGCTAGCGTGGTGATATTGCAGACTGATATATATGCTTGAAGCGGCAATTGAAGAATCTTGAGCATGGTGGGGAATGCAGGTACTGAGAAGGATTCGAATCGTCCGATGAACGTGTGAGCGGCGGGGATCGTCAGAGAATGCAGGTACCCACATGGAGCAATAATGGAAACAATGTTTCGAACCGTGAATGGAGAGATGATGCCTGAGCATGCAGTGACTGGATCGAAATAGGAATGAAGGAGATACTGCGAAGTGAGTGATGCGCATGGTAGTGCTTGTGGGAGACAAATTTGCACGAAGAACTCAAAAGTGCATAGCGCAAGGATTTGTTCGAAAAGGATATTCATTTGTTCTACAGCATTCAGCTGTTCTTATTTTTCTATGCTGATTGGTGACCAAGATCCTCACGATGTTGTTGACGCAGTTGAACATTTCGTTGGCGCGGTTCAGGGCTCTGCATCTCTTCCCACCTCTGCTTCTCCAGACCCAAAGGACTGATTGATATCAAGGAAGCTGGAATCGGCAAGGTAGCCTATCGCGATCAGTTAGGACACAAGGCAGTGTTGATGCAATAGGTGAAGAGCATTTTATGTCACTGTGTAGCCGTGCAAGAAGCGATGCAGGTAATGAGAGCAACACTAGGTCTGGGTTGTCTACGTGTGAGTTGTGTCCGTTTAACTTGGAGAGTGCCTCGAAGCATACGAAAGATCTGCCCAGGGCTGAACCATCAATGCGAGTGAGGGAGAGGCCGAAGAGACCAGAAGAGCCTTCGCGTCCTTTTAAACACCTATCACACCTATATTCTATGATCTACTTGCCCCAGTGCAAGTACTGATCCACTCACACGCCTGGTCACAACGTTCATATGAACTCTCCTGCTGCTTGAAAGATGCAAAAGCACATTCTCTATGCGTCTTTTAAAGCTCCGAGGTACCAAAAGTTTCAGCCTCGTTGAGTTCTTAGGCAGCGACGTTCCACCATACGCTATTCTTTCGCACACCTGGGGACCGAGCAACTAAGAAGTCACGTACCAGTATTTGGAGAACGATACAGGGAAGGCGAAAACCGGGTACCGTAAGCTCACATTCTGCGGGGAGTAAGCTGCAAGAGATGGCCTCAGTCACTTCTGGATCGACACCTGTTGCATCGGGATGTCGCCCAGGTTACAATGCCCTACAAAATTGGAGGCGAGTGCCATTAAAAAGGGCAGGTGCACCGTTAAAGTCTAGTTTGCTACAGCCCGCGCTAAAATCAGGCTGGTGCTGGCCTAGATATGGATCTTCTGGCATCGACTCACGCCTCTCTACATAGTGCGGCTGTAAATTCCGCAAGAAACAGACTAATTAGGTGTCCTTTTTCTTCAACCCCTGGTTGATACGTTCATCAGAGAGGTAGGCAAGCTAATTCTTGTACTCAGACTAGGTCGAACATAATTTCCCCGTTGCTTTCCCCTGTATACTCGCCCTTCATCATACCCTGGATGTATGCAGGACCTAAAAGCTTGTACTGGATTCCTTCCTTGGGCCTTACGATGAAAGGCACTTGTGCACCGGCAAAGATGACTACGAGATCAGCTGTCTGCGCGGGCTCCGGCACATATCCAAGATACTCTTATACGGAGGCGCATGCTCTCATATTCTGCGCTTTATCCTCAATTTCCAGCTCTTGAGGTTCTTAAACTACACTCGAATAGAGCCCCGCTAGTTCTCTTTTCAATGGGTCGAGATAATGCCCTACTTCCGATGTCCAGTCAGCTGCTCACGAAGGCAAGCGAAGATTGTTCAGGTGTGGCCGACAGTATGAGAGCAATTCCATATGGCCGGACCGCAGTACTGCAGATGTGACTTCAGTGTAAACTTGAGCACAAGTGAGATTGTAATCTGGTTGTAGTTCTGTATTATCCTTGGCAAAACTGAGGAGGGCGAAGACTCTGTCTCGTGGATCTGTGGCATCGACTAAATACCTTTTTTTTATCGTACAATGTTCCCATCAGGCTCATCAGGGAAGGCGCTTCATTATGGGAAGAACTCCTCATGCTAAGGAGATAGAGAGCCTGATCCCCTGGACGAGTCTCTATGAGCGTTTTCATGTAGATGGCAGCGTTCGGATCTCGTGCAACATCTCTACCAATCAGGTAATTAGAGTAGCCAAGATAAATGTCGACAGCATAAGTGAAGTCTGGTTCCGGGACCCTCGTATGTCCGCAAATGAAGGTGGCCGTCGTTGCCATGAGAAACTCTTGCAAAACCCACACGCGAGCCCACCAACTCCGCGTTAATAAATCTTTCACACCGGAAGGTGGGAAGATACCCACACCTGTGCTTGTGGCTCTTCCTGAGATTCTGTCAAGGAGGTTTCTTGTCGCCTGACCTTGCTTGTCAACGTGTTCCGTTTCCCCCCAAGTTTTGACCGAAGTGAGCTTGAAGAACAAGTATGTTTGGCTGTCGTAACCTAGCCTTATATTGGTTAAGAGAATTCGACCCGCTTCCGCACCAATGCTGTAGAATATGTCCATTGTAGCATCGCTAGACTATTTGTATCGTTTAGAAAAAGTCGAGATCTGGTGTTATTCATGCATGATCCACATGGTTAAAGTGGAACTTTTCGATGGATGATGCAGCATCACACCGATCAGCGAAGGGTATTGCTTCCTTATTGTGACACGGCATTCTCTTGAGCTCCGCACATGGATCGAAATTCTTCTCGCGGATGTCCTACGCTCAGAAACTCCCAAAGCTGCAGGCAACCGCGGGTTATGATGCTTCATCCGCAGCGCTGAGAATATACTTCGCATCGCCGCTCGTCGAAAGCCTCAACGCGGGCTGTACTTGTACGCATGATCCGAATATGCATCGCTGCATAGAAGGCTGCATGGATTCGGCAGATTCGCAGCGCTTGAACGCAAATCAAAGTCGGGTCCAAAGCCAAGCGGGCGGGGATCTGAACCGCCACATTCAATCTTTGCTGTATCTGCCTCGCGTCTCGAAATGGCTTTGTATAAGATGTGACTCAACCCGCCAGTAAAAGATTACAATCGCGACATCTGTCGTTCTTCGATTCATCCAGCACGATGCATCTCCATGGCACTGCAGCGATCGCATTGTTGGGAATAGTTGCTGCCTTCAAGATCACCGAGCACGACAAATTGGCGGCGGAGGGATTAGCCAAGGTGGTCGACGACGTGGCGACACATGGCTATCCGAAACCAGGGACATGTACGCTCCAGACAGCTCATGTGCGGAAAGAATGGTGCGTATTTTACACTAATGTGCATTAGAACTAGAACTTAGTCGAGTCCACCAGGTCGCAGCTTACCACGCCCGAGAAGCTGAACTACATCGACGCCATCAAGTGCATTCACAGTAAACCCGCTCTGACACCGTCTTCAGTGGCTTCCGGGGCCAAGAATCGATACGATGATTTCGTCGTGACGCACATACTGCAGACATGCTCTGTGCACGGAACAGTATATACTCCCCACTATTTCGCATCTCACTCTCATTGACGTCGGCAGGCCAACTTTCTCGCATGGCATCGGTACTTCATATACGCCTATGAGCAGCTTCTGCGCACCGAATGTGGTCTCGAAGGCTATCTGCCATATTACAATTGGGCATGGTGGCACGAAGATCCTGCAAATTCACCACTTTTCGACGGTAGTGCCACAAGTATCGGAAGCGGTGGGACCTACGTCCCAGGAAGAAATTATACCTGTATTCCCAACGATCAACCATTGGGATGTCCCATCAAGCTTCCGCCGGGAAGTGGTGGCGGTTGTATCATCGGTCCTCTCGCAAAGTAAGTAACACCGCCGCAGTTCGTATTCCTAAGGCTGATCGCAATACAGCTGGACAATGAGCTTGGGGCCTATCCAGAGCACATTTGAAGGAGTCAAGCCGAACCCTCAAGCCGACGGTCTAGGCTACAATCCGCGCTGTCTCAGTCGCGACGTGAGCAAGGATGCTGCGTATGGTTCGAGAGACGAGGAGATTATGGCATTAATCACAGGAAACAACAACATTCTCGACTTCCAGAACAGAATGCAAGGCGACTTCGCCAACAAGTACATTGGCGTTCATACCGCTGGTCACTACACAATTGGTGGAGACGCTGGCTCAGACTTCTTCAATTCTCCATCGGATCCAGTGAGTGTTCTTCCCGAACCAGAGTGCGCTTTGCATACTTATCATGCTATAGGCTTTCTTCTTCCATCACGCCATGATCGATCGCGTTTGGTGGATATGGCAGAATCAGAACCTGGAGACAAGACGAGAGCAGCTCATGGGTACTATCACCTTTCTCAACACGCCACCAAGCCGAAACGGTACTTTGGAGGACGTGCTCAGTCTTGGACCAATGTTCGAGCAACAGTTTCCCAACGTTACGAACGCGGATGCGATGAGCACAATTGGCGGGCCTTTCTGTTACTTGTACGGCTAGTGATTCGTGGTCATGAAAAGGGAATTGACCCACGACCGACATGCAAATTACCAAGCAGAAACGCTATGAAAAAACAGTTGAGATTATAATTTATGCCGCACTGCGCACATAGACATTTTACGAAGTAGGTAGATTACATAGCTTTTCATGTTATTCGGTTCGTTCTGCGCTGTAATCGCAAAGTCACATGCATGAACTCTTATTGCTTATTAAAGAAGGCTAGGACGCTAATATAATGCTGGATGACGATGTGACGCTGCTTAGTGCAACATCGCTTGTAGCATAAGCAGCATCGCTGGTCGACATTAGCGAGAGGGTACTCGAGGGTACGTCTGTAGAAGAAGACATTGTGGTAGGACTGTCAACCACGATAGAAGGGAATATGCATAGCGTGGAGCTGGCTGAGGACAAAGATGATATGTTGGACGTTGACGACACCTTCGTTGAGATTTGCGATAATAACCTATCAGATGAAATTGCTACGGGACTCGCTCTTCGTGGATGATAGTGTAAAACTCGAATTGTTCACAAGAGCGACTTAGCAGATGTCGTTAATGACTAGATAGGCGAGCAGCTGCTCTATCCTAGCTAACAGCTAGTAGCACAGTAAGCTACTATACTTCTATAGCATTTGTATCTGTTTAAAAGTTAGCATAGAAAATATTAGTCTAGCTACATTGTGCCTACTGCGAGCAATAATTACTCTGTCTAGAGTTTAAGCAGCTTTGCCTACGACTACTCGCTTTAATACTATTCCAGTAGCTGCAGCGAGCATCTTTTAAGAGCTTTCTAATGCTTAATAGAATTGGAGGAGACGTTAAAGTTGTAGGCTGGACGCTTGTGCGCAGTGTTAACGCGATAGGGGAACATGCGCTGAAAGCTAAGTTGTATCTAGTTTTATAGTAGTCTCGCAAGCTACTATACTGATTATTGAGTAAATTACAGTTTCTAAAGCAGAATCTAAAGCATGTCTTACTATTGCTTCTGCATGTGCTGTTAGTAGAGACTAAGCTCTTAGGCAGCAATAAAGATATTGTATGTAAGCTGTAACTGCCTTGACAGCTAGCACTGTAATAGATAGAAGTATCTTTATACTATCTATATCTAGAATTAATCAGGTCTTTTACATCAGATTGTCCAGGTATCAGCACTTACTGCGAGCAGCAGCGTCTGAAGATACTTATCGTGGAGGTTAAATATCCTTAGCTTAAATCACAGCGCCCGGTCCTAGTGACTGACTGTGCAGTGACGGCAACAGCTGCCGTGAGGGCCCAAAGGATGACGGTTCGCATGGTGCAGTAACACAAGAGAGTGTTTTCCACGTGTGACGATACTGAACGATGGCAAAGACGTGACCACAAGACAAGTGACACAGGCAGAAAAGTACTCACGAAGGAATGAAAGGGACAGGTACCAGTCTCGCAAGCATAACAGCGCGACGGCTATCCCAGCGCATCGAAGGATGTGGACGCCCTCCAGCCACATTTGCTGGTCTGCGTGCATCGCGTAGAACATTTCTACCGTACCTGCATGAGTCTAGATTGGAAAATCACCGTTTCCGTCGATAGGAGCAGCGCAGGCTCTCCAAAGAAGGTTTAATTGGGCGGTTGAGGCTTGCAAGGCTGCTCAGCTACGGCGTCGCAACGCTTCAAGCAATGGGTCTGTAGCCACAAGCGCCACGGAAATTTGCGCCATCCATTGGGGATTAGAAACGGCTACTGCATCTCGATATGCAGCTTCGCGCACTCAAGACTTCAAGTTTGAAGTCAGACACGGTACGTCGCATTGGAGTCTGACGCAGAACTAATGCCCCTCGAACCACTGTGGTGAGTGTGGGCGGAGGCCTGGTTCTGCAGCCTAGAGATTGCGACTCTCCCGTGTCACAGGCGAACAGTAGTATGTGCAGGTTGATATTCTACACGGAATTTGGACACCACAGCAACACGACAAAGTCTACAGGTTTCAGCGCTCCACTCTCACAACAAAGGTCGGCAAGCCTGTTGGAATTCTTAAGCCAGTTAAGCTCAGCTCAGCTGACTAGCAAGTCGTCAACTCATATTTCTAAAGTCCTAGAACCCTACGGTGTCTTCTACGAGATGATGGTTTTGTATCGATGCTCAGATAACTCCTCTTCACTAGCGTTTAAACATTAGACTCGCCACGACAGAATATTACACATATTCAGCAACACGATCCCTCTTGTCCTTCTTCTTCTGTCTGCTGTGCGCTGACGCCGCGCTAAATAACGACCTGATCTGCCCATAGCCTTGCAAGTAAAACCAAGAGCAAACATAGATGAAGACAAAGTTGAACAAAACGTATGCGCCGAAGATGCGGAAATCTTTCCAGAAATTGCGTTCGAAGACGTTGAAGGCGACTCCCTAGAGAGCAGGCATTAGTACTGGTTTGCTGAACATACGTGTGCACACTTACAAATTGGTCACCGTTTGCAAACTGACAATATCCGCAGAAGCCGTCGTCCAAGGTCTGCACATAGCCCCCAGCCTGCATTACATATGAGCTCATGTACTCGTGGCAAGTCGACCCGGGCGGAGGTTGAATGATGGCCAGCTCGTCCCGCGAGCAGATGACGGGAACCTTGTGTATGACCAAACCGAGCATGGCTTCCAGCAAGTAGGTGAATGGGGTGACGTGGTACATCCACTTCCAGAAATCGGGCAGGGCGAAGAAGGGCACCGCGATGCCACAAAACGAGATGACGAACATGAAGAAGAGGGGAATGAAAAAGGACGCGAGGGCCTCGGATGCGGAAAAGGCGGCTATGCCTTGGCCGAGCCCCAGGTAGAAGAGCTCGTACAAGACGATGAGCATCCAGATCTTGAAGGGGACCAGGTCGCCTCGCGGGAACCCGATGCCAAAGTACCAGCACATCCAGTACAGGGTTCCCGCGAGGATGCGGTAGGGAATCTCCGAGACGACGGCACCCGTGACAAAGGCAAACCAGCTGTAGATCTTGGCCTTGGCCTCGCGCGAGGCGTACAGGTTGCGCGCCTCGAGGAAGCGTGGCTGGAGCTGCTGCATGAGCGGCGGCGCGATGATGAGCGTCATGAAGACGGTAAAGAGACGAGACTGCATGTCGACCTGCGAATTGCCCAGCATCCAGAAGCTGGCGGTGCTGAAGAGGCCGACGAAGATGTGCAGGACCAGGATGCCCATCACGTAGTCTCGGCTGCGCCACATGGAGCTGAAGGAGCGCTGGACGACGGTGCCGATCTGGACCTGCAGGGGCATGGCGTACTCGGCAGCATCCTCGACGCGGGGGCGGGACGAGCCGCTGATGCGAACAATGTCTTGGATCTCGCGCGTCAGGCTGTCGTTCTCTGGCGACCGACTCCAAATGTCGGCCCAGTCGCTGCCCTTGTGGTCCGGGTTCCCCGCGCCGATGGCGTCGAGCATGTACTCGGCGGGATTCGCGGTGGACGGGCACGGGGGCGCGCCGTTTTTTTCGAGGTAGTTGATCAGCACGCGGCTGCCGGGGCCCAGGTCGCCGAAATACACCATGCGGCCTCCCCGCTTGAGCAGAAGAAGCATGTCGAAATACTCAAAGAGCAGGGCCGACGGCTGATGGATCGTGCACAGTATGGCCTGGCCTGCGTCGGCCAGCTTGCGCAGCAGCCGCACGATGTTGGTCGCGGCCAGCGAGTCGAGCCCAGAGGTTGGCTCGTCGAGGAAGATGAGCAGCTGCGGCTTGCTCGCCAGCTCCACCGCGATGGTCAACCGCTTGCGCTGCTCCTGATTGAGGCTCGTTCCATGCGCGCCAATCACGGCGCCTGCAATGTCCCGCATCTCGAGCAGGTCAATCACCTCCTCGCAGTACCGGTACTTCTCCGCGATTGACACGTGCCGCGGTTGACGGAGCTTGGCCGAGAAACGAAGCGCCTCTCGAACCGTCTGCGTCGGCTCGTGGATGTCCATCTGCTCAGCAAATCCAGAAGAGCGCTGAAACGAGCTGGGCAGCTCGTGTCCGTCCACGCGGAACTCACCCGTCACGACGCCAAACCGGATTCGCTGCGCGAGGACGTTGAGGAGCGTCGTCTTGCCCGCGCCCGACGACCCCATGAGCGCCGTCAGCTTGCCCGGCATCACATAGCCTTGGACGTTGTGCAACAGCCGTCTTGTTCCCTCGTCATAGGGAATCGTGTACTCGACGTTCTGCCACGTAAACGTCGACTGCGCATTGGCGTCTGTAGATGGAGGACGCGCAGTCTCTGCGAATTCCTTGCTGTGCGCCTTTTCGCTCAGGTCGACTTCGGAGCGTTCGTCATCGGAGCGGCCATCATCAGAGTCCTCGTCTTCTTCCGCGTCCTCTAGCAGTATCCTCTTCTTCTTGCGCGGGGCCTCGTCTCGTTTGAAGATGGTGATCCCGCTGCTTCCCTTGCTCGGACCCTGCATCTCCATGCCCAAGGCCGTCACACCAACGAAGAAGAAGAGAAACGCGAAGATGATGCCCAAGTTGCGCCAAAGATGGGACTTGCGGAAACCAAACGAGACTTCCAGATAGTCTCTGCCGCTGACCGAGGACTGTCCCGGCCTGCTTCCCTGCACCGTGCAGGACTGGAATTGAGGGTCCACCGAGCGCCCGGCGGGGATCAGGTTCGGAGCCACGCAACCAATGTCCAAACCGTCGAATTCGTTCACCATGAGCGATTCGAAGCAGTACTGGATGGGATTCACCCAACGCAACCATGCGAGCGAGGCTTTCATCTTCTTCGGCGGAATGATGTAGTCGGTGTAGACGACCAGGGCCTGCATGCCCAAGCCTGTCAGGCGCGTCGCCGCGTCCAGCGAGGGCGCTGTCGCTCCAATGGCCCGAAATGCTGCGTACACCGTCATGGTAAGCAGGTACAGGAACAGATTGGCAATGAAGAATCGTGCCACCGTCCGTTGAAGTCCCGACATGAAGTACACGATCAAGTTGAATATCGTGACCTGAATGAACAAGAGAGGGATGTCGAGTAACGTCTGCGCAATGGCGTATGCGGCTGGACGATAGAAGGAAAAGCTCTTGTGCTTGATCAGAAGCGGACGCGCCTCGAACGCGGCTGCGATGCTACGTTAGCCACATCAATGACAGGAGGGGTTGAGAGTAACGTACGAGTCAACTCCGCGAGCGCGAGCAGAGCGTTGAAGAGAAGCATGAAGAATAGCACGCCTCCACGAAGGAAAATGCCGTCCGACGTTTTCGGCATGTCGAAGAAGAGGGAGCCGATGATAACGGCTTCGAACACCACACCTCCCCACTTTGCAGCTGTTCACGTCAGTACAATCTTCAGCAAGAAAACTTGGGGCCTACCTACCAAGCGTTTGGGGGTCGCCTTTGAGGACCAAGGCCTGACGATGGGCGAGTATCCAGACCTGTTTCCAGAAAGGCAGCGCATAGTTCTTGGTCCTGGTGGCGCTCGATTGCGCGTCTCTTCTCTTCTCCATCATTCCATACAGCCTGGATTCAAACTGCGTAATCTCCATGAGATTGCTGGATCGCTGGTCGCTGGCCCGGAACGCCTCCGCGAACTCTGACGGGTTCCGTGGGATCCAGTCCTCGAACCCGGGACGTATCTTTCGCTGGTGCTCGCTCGACAGCGATGTCAAAAAGTCCGCGCTGGTCGACCGTTCGGGCATCTCGAATCCCAAGTCCTTGAAGTACTGCACGGCGGAATGGGTAGGGCCGAAGTAGCAACACTCGCCCCCGTCGATGAGCAGGACCTTGTCGAAGTGGTCCCACATGTCCTCGCTTGCTTGGTACAGGCCCACGGCGGTGGACATGCGTGCAGTGTTTGTCATCGACCGCAAGATGCGGACGTACTCGAGCGCGGCACTCGAATCGAGACCCCGAGTCGGATCATCCCAGCATTGCGTGGTGGCCTTTGTGACCAAAGCTTCCGCAATCGACACTCGCTTCTTTTCACCCCCCGACACACCTCTCTTGAACTCGTTCCCGACGATAGTTTCCATGGTGTGTTCGATCCAGAAGACCTTGGTGGCCATCTGGAAGAACTCTCGGACGTAGTCCTCTTGTGTCTCACCGTCCGTTCGAGAATGCGGCGCCGGAGCCCGAGATCGGAGCGCGAATTGCAGCGTGTCCTTGACCTTGAGCGTGGCGTAGTGCAGGTCCGCCTCAGGATTGTACAGGATCTCGCTGCGAAATCCGGACGCCATCGTCTCCGAACTCTCACCACCGTACGTGACCTTGCCTTCCACCCTTTCGAACCCGTTTCGCTGGTTCCCAATCACCTTCAAGAACGTGGAAACGCCCGCTCCCGGTCTTCCCAGCACGAGGAGCATTTCCCCAGGCTTTATGCAACCAGTGAACTTGTTCAGGATGGTCTTCGTGGACGGAGATGCCTCGGTGGCTCCGCGTTCAAAAATGCCCGCGAGCGCTCGAGGAATTCCGAGAAAGACGTCTCCCATTGTTGCCTGGATCGCGTCTCCCAGCACCTGGCCTTTGACGGTCACATTCTTGAAGATCACGCCGAGATGTCTCGTCCTTTCCTCTTCTGATTGCTTCTGTCGGGCTCGACCAAAGATCTTCGCCATACGCTTGTCGAGCCCTCTCACGTTGTATCCCTTCTGATCGGTCATGGAGCTGACCTCGGTGGCGCTGCTGGACTTTCGTTGATGCATCGTCAGCAGCTGCGTCGTGTCGTCATAGGCTGTCCCTTTGCTGAAGGAGGGCCCGGATCGTGAATGGAGCGTCATACTGGACGACGAGCTCGAGACGGATCTTGCGGTTCGCCTGGTATTCGGCCTCGCCCATCTTGGTGGACGGATGGGGAGCGTGGGTGTCGTTGGTTCGCTATCTGACGCCATTTCGGCCTCGTGAGTGAACATGGCGCTCTTACTCGGCAACGATTCCGTTTCGTTCCCATCCACATCCAGCGCCTGAGGAGGCGTAGTGGCGTACGGAACTGTTGCGTTTAGTCCTCTAGCATCATCCCATCGGGTACTGGATGTATCTATCGTGGAGACATCCGAGTCCACACTTGGCCAACGCCTTTGACCGTTCCAGGTCCGACGCTGAGTGGACATGGTATCGAATTCAGACGTGGGAAATTAGGTATAGAAAGGACTTTTAAGCCGGGCAAACCAAAAGCGTAGTGTACATATTAACAAGAAAAGAAATCAGTATGCAGGTATTGTGTGGTCGGAGTGAGGATACTATGGGATGCTTTTACATCATACCTCGCACGGTTTCAGCGAGGAATCGCCATCAAACGACGAGTGGAGGCCCGCGAAGAACCAGCACGGGAGTCCCCGACTGCCCAACTGTGGTGCGAGCGTCACCTTGTTCCAATGCTCCTTGTTTCACTAGGAAGACCGTTTCTTCGTCCCTAGTCGTGTCGCTACCCGTAAACACTTCTCGAGTAGCTCGCGACTCGGAGAGATGAATAATTTTCCGGCATAGACCAATCAAGCATCACGGTGGACCCGGCCTCTTTTTCCCGTGCTTCACCTGTCTTCCCCCCGCGCGGCAATCGAAACATTCTGGTTCGGAATAAGCTCTTAGAAGCCACGATGCACCCTGGAGTGACGGACGCACGTGTCTCACGTTCGAGGCGGATCCGTGTACACGGACTTGGTTCGATTACCACAGTTGGATTAAGTCGGCCCCACAGCAACCCGTCCTCCCGCGACGCTTGGGGAAACGGTTCTGGCCGAAGTCTGACCGTCTTACCAAGCGCCGGCAACGGTAGTTTCAAGTGCTCGTAAACGGGGTGACCAACAACAGAAGCTAAGATGAAAGCGATTGGAAAATTCACGCGATGCATGGGATTCTTCGTAACCGCGTAGATCATGTCTAAGCACTATGTCTATCTAATGCTTGATAGTGCGTAGCAAGTAGATGAAGATTAAAGGTAAAGTTTAGATCTCATATAATCTAACTTGACCATAATTCAACTTACAATCTGAACATCTTATACTCGTGTAATAAGAAATAATCAGTGTATAATTCGTATTGCATGCAAGTATTCTCGGGGCAGGGTACGCGAGTGCCTAATTGGGAAGAACCAGAGGTCGAGATCACGGTGCAGTCTCCGATGAAACCGCCCCAAACGGTGTTTAAGAACATTCCAGATGTGTCGCACCCACACGCTGGTCTTCTTAGGGACGCCGGGTACTGCTGCTGACGATCTCCGCGCCTGCACATGCAATTTTTGCCGCTTTCGCCTATAGTGCAGCCGCAGCTGCGACGGCCTCTGGGCGTTTTCGAGTCCCATTTGCTGAGCGAGTACACATCGTGGCTCCTGTTTCACGATTTGTCGTCGCCACTAGGTGTGCACATGGATCTACAAGCGGATGCATGGCGTCCGAAAGCCTACGCTGAGCCCTTGCGACGTCGGACGGAGCAGGCGATGTTTGAATTGGCTGAGTTTTCTGAGCAGCATTGTGCGATCTATGAGATGATACTCCTTTGGGGGTGTATGTGTCGCGCGCGCCGGATCGTGTAGTCTGGCTATGGGTGTAGGGGAAGCCAGATGCATTCGTCGGAGAACGAAGAGGGGGGCTGGCTGGGATGGTCGTACATACATACACATTGCGTGGGATTCCAAGGGTCTAGGGATCGAACTGCTGGGTTATATGGTATATTATTGTGCCAAACAATGTTTGCCAAGAACGATTTCGTGCGCGGTGTGTGTTGCTACTTCGGAAGTGAGAGTACCGTCTTGTAGTGGTCGTATTGTCCACCACGCTTAGTGTAAGCTCCGTCTTCCAAAAGATCGTCGTCCACCTTCACATCGTCACCGTCCTTATGCCTCGGTTTTTCAGGTTCGGAAGTAGCTCCAAATCTTCAGATGCGGCAATCCATGCGATTTCTGACTCGGAAGGACCAAGCATGGATAAGAACTCTGGCTCCAAAAAACTGAGCATAGACCACGACAACATCATAGAACATGACCCATCTTGTTCGCCGAAAAGTTAGGTGCTTCTACTTAAGGCTTTCGAAATGTGTTCAGATGATGTCCAACGCGAACGCGCACAATAAATTGATCCGATCGACCGCAGACTCTCCTCTCTCGGACTTGGTGGATCGTCTGCACAAGGTTTTCAGCTTTCAAGGATCCCCTGTTACCTAAGCAGAAGCCGTCACTCCGCCTCCATAAAATGCATGAACATGTTAATTATGTGACAGAGAGCGAGCACGGAATGTTGGATACTGGTTGAATTTGGATTATTATGACTACGGAACGAGAACCCCTCTCGACCTAATTATACCTCCACAGCAGTGGCCTGCACCGCGATTTCTCCTAGCTTGTTTGAATTTGGCTAATTATGACGACGAAACGAAAACTCCTCTTGGCCTGACTACACCTCCACGGCAGTGACCTGCACCGCGATTCCTCCTAGTTTGTTTGCTTTCACCTCCTCCACTACCTTGCTTTGTAGTGCTTTGGGCTCTGCGGGTGTCAAATCGTAGAGCTTGCCTTGGGAATCCCTCACTTCGATGTCGGTAAGCTTGTACCTCTTCTGGTTCAGGTACCAAGCTATGTACCCACGGAAGAACTCGTCTACCGAATCTTTCATCTCAGGGTAATCTTTCAGCACCTTGCGGACCGTAAGGACGTTTTCCGTAACGTTCTCGCACACCAGCTTCAGCGCATCGGAAGCACTGAGCCCATGTGTATTGGCAATGTTGCAGACATAGTTCAACCGCTCGTCTCCGACGACAGACTCCTTGTAGAAGGAGAGGATGTCGTTGGCGTAGCTGATGAACTCGATGAGGTCCTGAATGCACGGCATGTAGACGTGTAAGAACTCCTTCTCGGGGCACGTCGCTTCCGGGAAGCAAAAGTGTGCATAGGGCTCCGTGTAGCCTGTCTTCTCCCGAAAGTAGCCAGGGAACTTCTTCGCGCCGACCGGCGGCACGACTTTTCCGTCGTAATCCCGTTCCATGATGCAACCGCAAATGAATTCGATTGTCGCCTTGGTGTTCATGGCCGCGGCATAGGGTCCCATGTAGGTACTGTTGTCGAGCAGGAAATGGACCAAGGATTGTAGGATCGGCGACTTTTGCGGCTTGCCGCTCACGAGGCGAGATTCAAACTCGTCCAGAGCATCCCCGAGCTCGTGGATGATGTCGTCGATGAAGAGGACATAGGTGGCGTGGATGCCGTATGCGATTTGAATATCCTTCTTGGCGAATGGGTAGCACATGCCGAGGCCGGTGGACATCCACTTGGCCATGTAGACGGCCTTTGCTGTGAGGTGAGAAGGCCAGTTGGGCTGCCTGGCAAAGTAGGCCATGACCGGCTCTTCGAGAGAGAAGTCATACTCGGCAGGCGGCATGTAGAAGTCGACATCCGAGAGGAACTTCGACAGGATTTTGCCATACTCTTCGTTGGAGACATCTCCCAGTGTGGAGAGCTGGGAGGCAGCGGAGTCGTGGCGGGAATGGGACATTTTGAATTACTAAGAGTACTGCAGGAGGAGGCACAAGTTGTTGGAATAGATTGTTTTTAGAAGCTGGAACGGCATCTCTCTGAGTTTAAATCTCTCTTTGCACCTACGATTTTTCCAAGTGCTCCTAGTACGGACCTCGAAGAAGCGCAGTGGAGTCGATTCTACAGAGGCTATGAGACATCGTTCGCAACATTGTTCGCAACATCGTTATGATGCAGAAAATTCAGACATGTTTTGCGTGAAGGCGTAATGAAACCAACGCTGCGAGCCGCTTGAATGGAGGCCAAGAGCACTGGAGTCGACGGATAGCGAGTTCATCGACTTGACAGTCTCTCGAGACCGTTTCAATCGAGTCACAATCTTCCAAAGCCGTCTCAATCTAGTCACAATCCTCCGCGTCCGTTTCAATCGAGCAACGATCTTTCAAGACCGTTTCAATTAAGTCACAATATTCCCCGCCCGTTTCAATAAACAGTGCGAACCCAATCCGGCAAGCTCAGTGATCGGACCACGCTTGGAGTGGCCAGCGGCTGCTCGACTTTGCCACCACTTGAGTTTATCTTACCACAAAGTTCCTACACCTCTATGACCTCGTCACGTCTCATATGCGCCCGTAGCTTGTAACTGTTTTGGAACAGGACATGCCGCGAGAGAGAGACAGAATGGAAATACGGTGCTGAGTGAATCGCGTACGAATAAACTAGATGCTACCTGCCTTGGCAAGGACTTTTCGATCCCCGTGGTTTCCGACTTCTATCGGCTGCTGTGTTAATACTGCTCACGGCTGTTCTATACGAACAGCGCAACGTCTCTGCAAGGATGGTGGAGTGTTGATGCGAGGTCAGCCTGACGCGCTTGGCTCAGGATGAATACCTGAAAGTACTAGAGGTCCGTAGTTTAACTTGAACACATAGTCGTACTCTCATGACCGCTTATCATTGATTAGTGGGACAGAAGGACAAGGAATTCGCTCGGGTAAGAAATGTGGTAGATGGAGTCAAGAACGTTAGCATATTGGTAGAAATTACAGTGTTATGAATTGGTAACACGACAAAACGCTACTACAATTTAACACCATGAACCATAGTCGTAACGCACGTTTTTTCAACGAGCTAAATCCTTCCCACTCCTACCTTCCGATACAAGTCTGTCTGCACTAGTCCGCGCGCTGCGCGATATCCTCTCCGGCGATCTTGAACCTCACCCTGAAGCCTCCCTTTGGCCTTAGCGTCAAATAGTTCTCCAGCACCAGCTTTCCTTCCACAGCCTCGAATGTGTACTTCCTCACGATATCCACGAGGAGAGACTTGAACTCCAGCATCGCCAGCCCTTTTCCGATGCACACTCTGGGCCCGCTACTGAAGGCCTGGAACGCGTACGGGGAAGCCGACTCCGGTGGGAGCGAGTCCCAGCGGTCTGGTTCGAACGCTGTGGCAGAAGAGCCCCAAATTTCAGGGTGGGATTGAGACACTTGGGGCGAGACGATGACGTTGGTCCCTGCGGGAATGTAGGTGTTTTCAATGATCACCGCTTCCGCTGCTTGACGCCATATCATGACGGCTAGGGCCCGCGTTAGCAACGTATCAAACAAGAGGAATCAGGAATGGTACCGGGAGCATAGACGCGCAGGACTTCGCGGCAGAAGTTGTGGAGATAGCGGAGCCCTTCCAACTGCGTGTAGTCCGGCTCTCCGCAACTGGGAAGGGTCATGATCTCATTCCGAAGTCTTGTTTGGATATCAGGACGGGTAGACAGGACATGGACCGCCCAAGTGAGTGTGGTTGCCGACGTTTCATGACCTGGAAGCGATTAGCTGCGTCCGTGTAAACGATAACGTGATTACTACCTGCGGACATGAAGTTTAAGAGCTATAACCATTAGTGGAAGAAACCAGTTGATGGAATGGAGACGTACATAGCCGAGGAGCTCGTCTTCGGTCCATTGCTGCTGGCGCGAGGGTGGCGCTTCGAGCAAGTACATGAGGACATCGCGGCTGATGGGCAAAGACGACTTCTTCACCGATGTCCTAGCCGTGGCGATTTCTTTCTGCCGTAGTCGAATCTGCTGTCGGAGGATGCGTTTGACCTCATCATTCGCCGTGACGAAGGATCGGTTCGCTTCGAGTGGAAGCCAACTCCGCAAGGGAATGTACGTATTCACGGCGGTGATGATGGCACTGAGCGAGGATTGGTTGAAGATCAGGTCGTAGCATTCGTGGAATGTTGGTTTCGCGGTGAAGCAGTCGAGCTCTTTTCCCAGAGTGATGAGACCAATGATGTCGAGGGTGGCTTTCGAGAACAACGAAACGACTAGTCACTGTCAGCGACAACACATGCCTTTTGGCAGCACAGCACTTACCCTCCACCACGGCAGAAGATTCGGAGCCGATGCGCTGGTCGATCGTCTCGGTGAGGCGTTTGCCATGCCGCTGCACGACCGGCAGTAGTTTTTTCATGTTGGGCGTGGAAAAGATGCCTGAAGAGATGAGCCACGAGACTAAGAGGATTCGGGGAGCGTACCGTTCAACATTTTTCTCTGCCTCTTGTGGTCTTCACCCTCTGCGAACACCAGGCCCATCCCCGTCACCTCGCCCACGATCCTTGCGAAGAAGGGCGGCTTCACGAACGAGTAGCATTTCGTCGACAGCACTTCTTGATGCGCCCGCAAGCTGTTCACTAAAAGGGTCTCCGTGTTGGCAAAGGAAATATACCGAATAAAGGGTGCCGTGGGCCACTGGCGACTCCACGAGAGGTACAGCTCATAAGGTCCGTTGGCGCGAAACTGATTGAGGGCGTGGCCAATGAAAAAGTGGTGGTTTTTCGGTCCTGGCATGTAGCGCAGGGAGGAGACGTAGAAGGGGAAGATAAAAGTGTAGTACAGGTTGATGGAAGCGTACTGAAGGGAGAATAGAACGAGATAGGAGCAAACGACATTATACATTGATGGAACGCCATGCATGAGCATAAGCATACAGAGCTCGGCCAGCGAGAGGGCTGCACACGTTTCTAGATACATGGTGATAACGTTTGACGAGCTCTTGCGATGTCGAGGGTCGACATCTTGTTATACCGTAATCGACCCTGGCACATGTCCATATTACGATGTGGCTCGGAAGAATGATTGTCTGGCCTATCCAATGTTTGAACCGTGTCATCGGATGTTTCTTGTTCTTTCTTGTTCTGTTTGGGTTCGAGATGTGATGTGGAATTGGGTGCTACATTGCATGAATGCGGCCCCGATCCGTGGCTGCTGGTGCGTTCGGAAGATTTGATCCCGCTGGGAGCATTCGGAGGTTTTCTTCCACGTACGCTTCCCAATCCCAAGCGTGTTTCCATTTAGTGATGGGGAACTCTTGTTCTCTAGTCCTCCGTGTGAAGAAGGTAACAGGTTGAAAATGTTTCAAAATTTGAAAACGTGTTTCAGTGTATTCGTCTCATAGCCGTATCATCCCGGGATTGTCGGCCAACCACCGAGAACGTCTACAGGAACCTTGTATGATGAAACAAAACAGCGGCCTCTGATAGGCCAATGCGGAGTAAGTTCCGGGACTAGACCACTCGTTATGCCAATATAATTCTACAAGTTATAAACAGACGACGTCTGTTCGATATCAATTCATAACTCTACTTCTCAAGCATCTATATCAATTCACACCTCTACTTCTCAACCATATATATCATCATGTTAGACAAGATGCGGTTCCTGGAGCGAAATCGCACAGTCAGCGAATCCAGTGATGGCTTGCCCGTGGAGGACGCTGAGGCATCTCGGGCGGTGTCTAATGCCTCGACCCGAAAGCTTCAGCTGTCCAACAAGATGATCGATCGCGCATGCGCCTACAGCGGTCTTTTGTACACCACCTTCTCCTTCGTCTTCTTTATCGCCTCGGGGAATTTCCCTCCCGCCGCTCCCACCCTCAATGCCCAGCAAGTCGTGAAGCATTACGAGGACCACAGCATCGGCTACAAAGTGGGCGCGTCCTTCTTCGTTCTCGCTGGCGCTTTCTACGGTTCTTTCACGGCGGCCATGTCGCAGCAGATGAAGCGTATCCCTGGTGTGGGTCACACCCTCATCTCGGCGCAAGAGGTGTCTGGCGCCTGGGCCTGCATCACATTTTCCGTGCCCGCCATCTTCTTCGCGACGACTGTCTATCGGCTGGACCGACCGGCAGAGATTACGCAAGCGCTAAACGACTTGAGCTGGATGATGACGTTCATGCCCTTTGCGCCTTTCATCGTGCAGAATTGGGCTTTTGCTTTTGCAGTGTTCATGGACCAGCGACCGAAGCCATTGTTTCCCATGTTTGTCGGATGGGTCAACTTCATATCGCCCGTTCTCTTGGGATCGGGTATCGCAATGCATTGCGTGAAGAGCGGACCATTCGCGTGGAATGGGGCGTTGACGTTCTGGTTAACTGCCGTGGTGTTCGGGATTCAGAGCATTGTTAATATCGTGTGGACCGTGTTTGCGATTGAGAAAGATCTAGATTAGATATGCATATGCGAGTAAGCAATTAGCTATGTAGAAGTGCTAACTCTAATACGATCATCTGATAGAATAGAGTCTATTCTAATACTTTATCTATGCAATTTTTATTTTTAGTATAGGTAGTCAAGTCTATTCTATTCTTTTTAAAGTCTGTATTTTACTCGCTCTATACTTATCGAGGCACTGGGCTAGCTCCACTTGACCCAGGACGGATCATAACAGCCCTTGACGTCCGCTTGCGTCCTCTATCAGCACTACTGCCTATCAACAACGAGCTATAGCAGTAGCAAATCCCAAGCAATACTCTTAAACTAGTTAGACGTCATGCTGCACGCGAAGAGAACAAAGCATACTCATTATTAGGCATATTTGACGCTAGTATGCTCTCGAACTATGGCGAAGAGATAAAGAGCGCCTTCAAGTGTCTACAAAAAGAGGCTGGAGAGGCATTAGTGGAGCAAGACCCTTTATTGCGGGAGGAGCGGAGACAGACGCTGCTGAATTCGTTGCGATTTGACCGAGTGAGTGCACGCTAGACGACTATTAAGAGCGCACATGCTAGAACACGTAGATGGATACTAAAAAGCCCCGAGTATATTGATTAGCTCGATTTCAGTAGACGGCACAAGCACCACGGCTTATTATGGATCAAGGGGGAAAAGTCTGGGGCAGAAAAGTCTACGCTAATGAAATGCGCTTTGCTTAACGCGCACAGGGCAAAGACAGCTACTTGCTCTCCTTCTTCTTCAACGCACGTGGCGAGGATATAGAGAAGTTGATGATCGGAACATACAAGTCGTTACAAAAACAACTATTCAAGCAAATTCCAGCGCTTGATATCGACTTTGACTAGCTCGTCAATCGGTCTCGAAGCTCAGTTCAAACGATGAGTGGAACATCGAATCGCTCAAGGTACTACTAGCGCAAGCCATACGTGCGCTCGGGGAGGCTTCTGTAGTATGTTTAATCTACGCACTAGACGAATGCGAAGAAGATCCAATCCGAGATATGATACATTTCTTTCAAAAGATCAGCGAGCTAGCCATTTTGAATAGGTTCGCTTTCAATTCTGTCTGTCAAGGAAACATTATCTACACATCGCGATCTAGACAGGGATCATTATGGTACTAGAAGGGCAAGAGGGGCATAGCCAGAAAATTATCAGCTACGCAGAGAGCGAGTAAAAGATCGGACAAAGCCAGATCGCGAAGCAGATCGGAAACGAACTCCAAGAGAAAGCATCAAGCGTCTTCATATGGGTCATTCTGGTCGTAAGCATCTGGAATAAAGAGTACGACTATGGTCGGATCTAGGCGCTTCGACGGAGACTCCAGGAAATTCCATACGACCTACACGATCTATCTAATCTATAGTTTAGAATGTCGGTCTCACTGCGCAGCGGTCCCGAAGAGCTAGTAGCTATCCCGAAGGGACCGTCTAATTCGCCCCTACTAGAATATCTAACTCTAGAGGAAAAATATCCTCTATAGCCCTCGCCGTTGCTGTGCAAAGACAACGTTTTTCATCTATGCTTATAGTTTTAATGTTCCTTGCTATTGATAAGATAGCCTAAGCGCGTTACGTAAGGAGTTATAAGGATCTATTTACAGCCCCTAGCCCGTTAAAGCCCCTAGCCCGCTAAAGCCCCTAGCCTATTAAAAACATATCTCCTCGTTAAAGTAAGTCTTATTAATAGCCTAGGTCCTCGTTAATAGCCTAGCTCCTCGTTAATTACGTGCACGTCTAATTCCCTATTACTCTAGAGTCCTTAGTAATTTAGCCTAACAAGAAGCCTTCTGCTTATTAGCTAATCACTAGGCTGTTAAAAATATATCTTCTCGTTAAAGTAAGTCTTCTCGTTAATAGCCTAGCTCCTTATTAATGGGCCTAGCTCCTCGTTAATTACGTGCACGTCTGATTCTAGAGTCCTTAGTGATTTAGCCCAACAAGAAGCCTTCTGCTCATTGGCCAATCACTAGGCATTTCGCGATAGCCTACCACGCGACTCCTACAACAAAGATGAGCTAGTGCTTTGCATCCAATGGGTGCTCTTTCACCTGATGAGTCCGCCCACACTCAGACTTCGCCAGATCGTAATCGCCCGTAGGTGGACAAGCGTATTGAGGCAATTAGGCTTACCAGGCCCACCGCCTGTGCGTTGGAAAACTGTGGCGTTCAAATTCGGCATCGACAGTTGCAAGGGATTACCATGCTGAAGAGCAATTTCAGCTATATAAAAATGTAGAGGTTTGTTGAAAACGTTGCAATGGCATACCATCTTCTGTCAGGACACAGGTCTGCACCCACTGCGCCAGCATGCCAAAAAGGTAACAATGATCAATCTCAACATTGATCATGCTGTGCAGAATAGTATATATCGTACAGGCCTGCCGCGCGGCCTTACATCTTCGTTCACTTATCTTGCAGACCTCAGTTCTGTTGCATGCAATGTTCTCAATGTAGTCGTTGAGCAGGAATCTTTCCATATGCTATGCTATTATCTAATTATTTTTTCATCATCATCATGCCGTGGGTCTCTTGTACTCGTTACACTGATCTCCTCAGTCTTATATATCTTGCTAGGCTCATGCTCCGTCAGTTCCACCTCACTGCCGTAGATGTTTGGCACATGTGTGTTTGAATATATCGCATGTGATCCCTTCAGCAGAGTGCTGGTGTGGCCGGTTCTCCGTTTGCCGATTGTTACGCCAGTGAGATTACCATTTGAGCAAGGCAAGTCAGAGTGACCAGTCGAGGTCCAAGTGTGAATCTTGCGGAGCAACGGTCGAAGGCTGATGAGGGATGGGATCATAATGGAGACGGTGAATTCGGTCGTGGCAAGGATATCTGCAACGGTTAGAAATGCTCCGCTAGTAATCATAGAGTGGCAGTATTACAGATGGCAATGTTGTTCGCGACCATTAGCATAGCAATAAATCGGGCAGCGCTGACGGCAATGGTGATAGCGCCTAGCAGAAAGAGTACCAAAAGACCAGCTCGCTCTCGCTTGCGCGGAATCTTTAGGTTGCGGATAATCGGCAAGGGCAGAACGAATACTATTAGGATATTAGATGGAGTAATAAATCGTAGGCTTGTGTTCATACTTAGCACCTCCGAAATGATATTCAAAGACCAATTAAGTTTTACTAAAGTCATTGCAGTGAATGCGGCGCATCCACCTTCCTGTAACCGCCTTCACCATATACGTTAGTCGCATTTTCATGTACTGTAGTGAACACATACCAGTTAACAGCGGGATTAGGGCCACACCAAAATGTATCCCCAAAAAAGGTTATGATAGTCGACAATACGACGAAAACAGTTAAAACATGCAACGCCGTCCGAGTTTCTGGCGCTGATATGGGGATGATCATGTAGTAGAACGCCAGTATGCTGAACTTCGGAAAGTATAGACCAACGTCGAAAACGTAGTTTGTAGCAAACCTGACCTGTAAGGCGTCAGCACGTACACGAACTAACTTGAATTTAGTGAGGCTAACCTTGAGGATGGAGACTCTCGGGTCTGTGAAGTTGGACATCGCCCCAGCCTTGTATGTGAGGATATCACAGATGACCAGCCCCATGCAAGCTAACGTAGCGAGAAGCAAGAAGGCGTCAGAGAGGAGCAGAGCCTTCATGCGCATCTGGATGTGCACCATACATCGTGCGCTAAACAGAACGACCGTTAGAGCAAAGAGCAACCCTTCGGCCACCTGTGAATGTTAATAGGACCGCTTTTCGGAGTGACTCGGCGCTTCTTGACGTACTATGACACCCTTTGGAGAGATCATTTTGTGGTGTTTCCGCGCAAAGTCTAAACGCAGACCCCTAAATCGCTAAATAACCGGCTCTGCGATTTTGAGACATAAACGTGTCTTGTGTCGATGCCGCCGCTGCAACCTGTGCGACTTTCGCGTATAGGAGATGGAACTTTCCAAAGGAGTTTTTTGTTAGGACGAGTGTGATCTGGGATTTTGGGAACCAGGCGATTCGCGTCTTCTGGGTACATCCCGATCCTAAATCAATCAGTATGGAGCCTCCTGGGTACCAAGCCGCGGAACGTCCTCGGCAAAGCCGCAAAGCCCCAGATCACCAAAGCTAGATGCTCCTCCTAAGCCTATTGCGGCTTCGCCAATCTCTTGCTTCCGATTATTGGCTGATCGCTAACGCCTGCTAGCGCATAATTGATCCGGAGCTCTCTCGAACAGAGAACGCCTCAAACCTTCTTCAGACCCTAAATGCGCTGACGCGAATAACATGGCCATCTTCATTGTGAAAGCTCAGCGCCACGCGAAAACTCGGATGAGGCACCCAGTCGCCGACACAGTAGTTCACCGGGTGCGGCATGGTCGGACCGAGGAGCACACGGACGGGGAGACGGGTTTGAACCGCCTCACAGCTGGAGAGCGAGTCATAATGGTAGGCGAGCTTGGGCACACCCTTGCAGCTGAGGAGCCGATTGGACATTTTGCAACGATATCCAGGGCTGAATGCTTTTCCAGGAACGAGCCCTTATGTTTATAAGAGCCCTCATAACTACCGGTATGCGCATGGGCAAGAACTTGAGCGGGCTTGGAGTGTAGGTATTGAGGCTTGGATCCGGACGCCAGGTCTGGGTACCGGCTTGGGAATTGTTGGTTGCTTGGCATGTCATGCATTCATCGACGGTGCAGGTGTGCCGAGTGTGGCGATACACCCTTAGAGTCTAGACATCCCTATAAGCAAAGTACATGCACACATTATTGCATAGTAAGTTGAACTTGAACTTGAACTTGGGAAAAGCCTGTAGTTTGATTCACTTGGTTGTATATCTTACTTTGCCTTAGATGATTTCATTGATGCCATAATGAAATGGTTGTGACGAGTAATGCAGGTCTAGATGCTGAACAATTAGCGACCAAGATGGTCATGCGACTAAACATAAGAGACATGGTCTAACGAACAACTTGACGTAAAGGAGAAGAAGAGAACAACAAAGAAATAGCGAGTCAAAGAAAAATGCAAGCCACGCCTGCCGCACTGGGTTGGCCAGTATGCACAACGATCAAAGGAAAGCCTTAGCTCGCAGACTGATCCGACGGCTTGAGGGTATACGCGACTTCATCGAGGCCACCCCTGAATCATGCTCACTGACGTCGTCTTCGTCATGAGTGCGTATCAAGGGCCGCCTCCAGTCGTCTTCCCTATGGGTGAGTATCACGCCAAATGCAGCGATCTCAAGCATACCTCCCCTTCCCACCTCCACTCCCACTTCCACTCCCCCTCTCATCCCGATACTCATCTAGCACCTCTAGCACCGGCACATAAAACCGCGTATCCCTAACCTCTCTATCCCCACCCCTCGTTCCCGAAAACAACGGCTCAGGCCTCAACCCATCCCTCTCCGCCAAGCCCTCCACGCCCACACACCCAAAACTCGTCTCACTATCATGTCTCTTCTTCTCCAGCCACTGAAATATTGGACCTTGACTCTGCTTCTGCTTTCCCCGCGCTTTCTCGCTCATGTGTCCGTATGCGCCGGGTCCGCCGACGCCCCCGTGTGAGGGCGCGACGTTGACTGTGCGTCCGTTTTGCAGGGCGGTGATGGGGCGGGGGCGTGAGATTTTCGCGTCTTTGGTGGGTGGGATGTAGGATTCTGAGGTTTTGTCTGCGAGCGTGCGCCACCAGTGGGTGGGTTTGGAGTCTTTTAGTTTGGAGGGTGGAGAGTGATTAGGGTGAGGAGTTGAGGGGAGAGGAGGGTAGGGGACTAAGGGGAGGGGTTTGAAGGGTGGCTTCGATGGGGCAAGGTGATGTGTGTCGGAGGAATCTTGCTTGCGTGACTTGGGTGCTGGTTGTAGGCTTGGGAATGCTGGGAGGGGTTTCGAGCGGGAAGCATATTGCTCGATGCTGGAATCGATTCTGATGGGTACCTCGTATGAGGTGTTTGAGGTGTTTGAGATGTCTGAGTGCTTGCGAGGGAAGATGTGTTCGTTGACAGGTAAAGCTATCCTAGGCGGTATACGGACTTCTGAAGGCGGAGGCCGTACTGGTTGTTGGGCTGGGGTTGCCGGATGTGCTGAGAGCCCAAGTGCGTCAGATGGGCGTCTACCCTGTGGTATGTCTATGTTTTTCAGAGGCTGCCGTGGGATCTCGCTGATCGCGTTGCGGCTCTGCTTGACTTTGCGCGTTATCTGGTAACTTTTCCATAGTTTCTGTCCTTCACCTTTTGGGCCAGCTGCGTATATTGCTTTGGCTGAGTGGTAGACACCATCAGGCTTGCGTGGACCCTGCGTGGGCTTAGTTTTCTTCGGCTTGTCCTCTGTCTGCTTGATAGTATACGGGAAGTTGGGAAAGACCGTGACATGAGACTCCTGCCTTTCCTTCTCATCGAGTTCACGGCTGTTGCTGTCAACAGCAGAAACAGCACTATCTCGCCAGGCAACAGGCTCGTTGCTGAGAGGAGACACAGGCGGCTCTCCACGCATCCTTTGAGAAGGCATCGACGTCCTCGGAGAGACATCTTCTTCCGGTTCATCACGCACACTGGGTCTCAAACTACCCCAAGATCGTACTGTAGGTCGCCGCTTCTGTGTATCTGGTAGGTATTGTAAGTCTGAAGGGTCATAGATAGCAGCGGTCAACATTGGGGGCGGTGATAGTTCGCCCTCATGGTGGACCTCGCGCACAGGAGCTGAATGGCTTTGGTTTCGTGACTGATGCATCTGGAGAGCTGCAGTCTTACCTGGACTCGCTCGTTGCGCCGTGGTGTGTTCGCCCTCTGCTGCTACCCATTTTGGGCCTCTAGCGTTGCGCTTCAGCTGTGTGTTCTTCGTAAATGGATTTGGGATTGTTCGTGGATCAGCCATAACGCGAGTGGAATGATATTGTGTATGTCGGAGTACCAGTGTTGGAATGTAACGTTGCTGTCTAACCGCGGAAGCAGTAACTTGGATTTGATTAGGTGGTCAATGTGAATGGAAAGTTGAACTGAAAGCGACGTCCTTTGAATATTTGGGTACATTTTGGAGAGGGCCGAGACCTGGTGTGGTGCTTCTTGCGACAGTCAAAGACATTCGGAGAGCGAAAGAGAACACAGTGGACAATGAGACAATGAAAGTCACTGGAGCAATGACATCGAATCAGAATATAGACTGAGAGACAAAGAGACCTACATTGTGCAGGATGTTTGAGGGCACAAACCTCGCGTGAGGTCAGCGGACCTGCAGTGGTGTGTGCCTTGGGGGTCATACTGTCTTTAGTTGTTCTGCATTCGTTTACGCACAGCAAAGGGCTGTATTCTGAGGGTTTGTTCTCCGTGCAGGGAAATAGCTAGGTTCATGACGCAGCTGGGACAAGACGTTTAGTATGAAGGAGTGAGATGGAGTGAGATGGAGTGAGAAAAGAAAAGTCATCGACAGTGCAGAGGCATGGCAGTTGTTGGAGATCTGATTTGCTTTTCCTTGCGAACGTCTCTTGGATATCTTTGCAGCTGTTTTTCGTCGTGCTTCATCTCGTCATTGTCTTGCATTTCTTTAATCTAGTGAACCGTTTGCGTTATAACGGCAACTTTACAAGTTGATGGCAGTACGGAAGTTCTGTCCGGCGTAGATGGCGTTGTCACCGAGTTCCTCCTCGATGCGGAGGATCTGGTTGAGCTTAGCCAGACGCTCAGACCGTGCTGGGGCACCGGTCTTGATCTGTCCAGCGCGGAGACCAACGACGATGTCAGCAATGGTCACATCCTCGGTCTCACCAGAGCGGTGAGAAACCATGACACCCCATCCAGCACCAAATGCGTCCTTGGCAGCCTGGATAGCCTCGGTGATGGTACCGATCTGGTTAACCTTCAGCAGAAGTGCGTTGCAGGACTTGAGCTCGATGGCCTTCTTGATGAACTCGGGGTTGGTGACAGTCAGGTCGTCACTGTGGAACTGTTAGCGCAGACTTTTACAAGAAAGGTTAAGATAGCTTACCCAACAATCTGGAAGTCGGAGGTCTTGAAGAAGTACGACCAGGCCTCCCAGTCATCCTCGGCGAAGGGGTCCTCAATGCTGACAATGGGGTACTTCTGGGCGAGGGACTTGTACAGCTCAGCGAGTTGCTCGTATGAGAGCCACTTGCTCTTGTCGCTGTCGGGGTTCTTGAAGTCCAGGTCGTACTTCTTCTCCTCGGTCTTGTAGAACTCGCTGGAAGCGACGTCCATGGCGATCTTGATCTTGCCAGTGTAGCCAGCCTCCTCGATAGCATCGGTGATGAGGTCAAGGGCCTCCTCGGGGGTCTGGATATCGGGAGCGACACCACCCTCGTCACCGACATTGCCGGCGGATTGTCCGTACCTCTTCTTAGCGAGGCTCTTGAGCTTCTGGTAGACCTCGGCACCCTGGCGCATGGCCTCCGAGAAGGTAGGGGCTTCTCTGCGTTATGTTAGTCGGGCTCCAAACTGGATATTGGTAGCCTGCTTACGAAGGAACAATCATAAACTCCTGGAAGGCAAGACGGCCACCAGCGTGGGAACCACCGTTCAGGACATTTTGGACTACAGAGTCAGCCCTGGCTAAGACATGAATGCGCAGGTTCTCTTACAGGGTACAGGGAGAACGTAGGGCTTCTTGGTGCCGGCCAAGTCGGAGATGTGTGCGTAGAGAGGAACACCCTTCTCAGCAGCCGCAGCCTTTGCAATGGCCATGGAGACACCGAGAATGGCGTTGGCGCCGAGCTTCTCCTTGTTCTTGGTTCCGTCGAGCTTGTTCAGGAAGGCATCGACAGCGGACTGGTCCTTGACGTCGATGGCCTCCTTGATGAGGGCTGGGGCAATGGTGTCGTTGACGTTGGCAACAGCCTTGGTCACACCCTTACCACCCCACTTGGTCTTGTCGCCATCGCGGAGTTCGCAGGCCTCGTGGGAGCCAGTGGAAGCGCCGGATGGGACGATGGCACGGTGCAGACCGGTCTCGGTGACAATGTCGACCTCGACGGTCGGGTTGCCCTAATACTGTGAGCATGGGCGATGAAGCTATGGGGCGGCGCAAACATACACGAGAGTCGTAGACGGAACGGGCGTGGATCTTGGTGATAGCCATGATGTCGTTTGAAGCTGAGGTTGGGCAGTGTCAGCAACTTGAAGTGGTGATGGAGTATTCAATTGAGAAACGGGCAGATCCACGGGGAGACACTAGCATATATAGGCGTGGTCCAGCCCTATGGTGAGGAATTCAATGCGAGGCCGCAAAAGCAGAAACGCTCAACCATTTGCGTCAGGCTTCTTCTGTCCGAGCCCGGTGGGACCTCAAACAGGGCGGCGGAGGCGCGGGATGACGAATTCGGCCGCGGATCTGAGCGAAAGGAAAGATTCTGACTTACCAGCTGGACAATGACTTTTGTGGTGTTGAGTCGTGGAGTCTTCAATGTTTTGTTTGGGTGGGGTTATCAAGCTTTAAACAGTTGAGGAGGGGCAGGTCGTCCTTTCCTCAGCAGATCGGAGCCCCGCCATGCCGTGAAATTATTGGTCGTGGCGGCGTCTCTCGTAAGGGCTGCATTAAGAGTATCGCAAAAGCATAGACGTGGGTGTCAGACCAGGTTTCAATAATGGTGTCAACTGTCGAGATAAGATCCGCGCGTGTCAATTGACGGTGCATGTCCTTTAGACATGCAGATCTACGAGGGTCCTCAATGGCATCATATGTCAAGCACACAGCACGTGGGAGCTTGAGAGGTATTTGCATGTAAGCCGGGGATATTTGGAGATGAAACAGGTGATTACACGTGAGATGCAGATAGTATGCGTGAATAAGAAAGCCGTCCATCGAGTTGGTGAAGGCTGTGGTGATGTTGCTTAGGGTGGGCAAACACGCCAAGCCGGAGCTTGAGCTTGAGCCTCGCCGCGACGCTCAGAGCTGCCTTCACGTCCAGGTACTGAACACATCAACTCTCTGCACCAAAGAATCCTCGGCACACTGCACCTATCGTGTAGACTCTAAGCGTCTAGAAGTCTCCCACGGCCTCAGTGAAATTCCGCCACATATCACCATCGACTTCACGACGCTAGCAACTACACAACGTCAAGACCGTCAACATGTAAGCTATACGCAGGGGAAAACGGAGCTTTCTATTGACACATCGACAGGGAGGTTCTACTAGGAATCACGGGTAAAGACTTCACCCTCATCGCCTCGTCGAAAGCCGCCATGCGAGGCGCCACCATCCTCAAAGCCGAAGACGACAAGACCCGCGCTCTGAACACACACACCCTCATGACCTTTTCTGGTGAAGCTGGTGACACTGGTATGGATTGATAGCAACGAATATCTGAGTTCCCCCCCCCCTGACCTGCGTATAGTGCAATTCGCGGAGTTCATCCAGGCCAACATCCAGCTGTACTCGATGCGCAATGGCATGGAGCTGTCACCCGCCGCCACCGCCAACTTTGTCCGAGGAGAGCTAGCAACTGCCCTGCGATCACGGAGACCGTACACGGTGAACCTGTTGCTGGGAGGTTATGACAGCATTGCGGACAAGCCTACGCTGTACTGGATCGATTACTTGGCGAGTTTGGCGCCGGTACCATATGCCGCCCACGGGTATGCACAGTATGTAATCCTCGCGAAGAGCGATGCCATATCCGCGTGAACATCGAGCTAATGTCTCGCTTCCCAGGTACTACTGCCTCTCGCTGCTAGACAAGCACCACCACCCCGACATCGACTACGAGCAAGGTATCAAGATCATGCGCATGTGTACGGAGGAGCTCAAGCGCCGTCTCCCGATCGACTTCAAGGGCGTCTTCGTCAAGGTGATCACAAAGGATGGCATCAAGGATGTCGAATACGAGGACGATGGCAAGATTTCCGTACCGTGAGCTGACACTAAGTCGGAGGAAGCATGCTAGGCTTGTAGTAGCCTGGGCGATACTTGTGCCATACCTTTAGCAAGCAGGCAGGGCACATAGATATCTATGTCAAGTGCAGTATGGGTTCACGAGGTTATGCCTTAATGATAACATGGGAATCAAAGACCTTTCCCAAGCAGCCTGCAATCGCTGCAACAAAAAATGAGCCCAATCAAAGTAAAATTCAGTGGTTAAAACATGTGCTGTGGTGGTCTATGAAGCCATGCCTACTTTGTCCCGTTGTTATCTGAAAGCAAGGCCAAGAGATATACACAGCCTGATCGAACGAGTCCATGTTTCTAGAGCCTGGTTTGCTGTCCCCCCTGAGACTGTCTAGCAAAGCTGTATTCTGCAGAATAGGAAGACATGAAGGTCTTGCACTGTTCTTGCCTGTTTCTGAGTGTCCACGCTCCAGCCTCGTTGCCGCGGCACGCTATGACCACCACCCGGCTGAGTAAGCACCAAAATTTCTCCGCAGTATATATTCACCCTCTCCCTCGTGCTCCTTCCTGTTCATCATCAAAAAGTTCCCGGGACAGCCACGAGTACAGCGCGAATCTACCGCTACTACTTGCCAGTCACAATTGTGACGACGTTCCGCAGAAAAACACTCCTTTAGGAAGCTGGTGCCTCGTTGGGTCGTCTTTAGTGATGGCGATGGGGCAGCGGTGTCGAATTATCGGGAGAACATACCTTTGCAAGTGATTTAAGAGTTGAAATACTTGCGATCAATCGATCGCAGTGCTGCTTGTTCAAGCGTATATGAATTTGCACCTACCGCGTCGCGCTTGCCGTGTTCGCGAGCAGGTTGGCTCAAACACGTGCAGAGCCTTCCGCAGCAAGTGCGAACATCGTGAGCCTCACATCCGCCGTGACCAGCCGTCCACCACCATCGCATGCGATGTCGCTGCTGGGCGGCCTTTTTTTCCAAACAGCACGAAACATGAACGCCGAAATGCTCATCATTTGCGACCCGCACATTGTGCAGACATGCTTGCCTCGTCGATAGCGCACATCCAGCCCAGTGCTCAGGCGACTGCAAACTTTCGGGGCCTTGAACAATCAGACGCAGTCTTGTCTACTAAGTGCTTCACTCGCGTGATGCAGTCAATCATCGTTCAGATCTCACGTAGCAGGTATGGGTCGATATAGAGTAGTGATCACAAACTTGATTCATTAAGAAGCTAACAGCTACAAGCTGATACGGACGGCGCACCGAATCTTCGGTGTTACCACCACCGCAAGTTTTATCATGTTTCTACACATGCTCATTCTTAGTTCTTGTGACCATTGGGGTATCCGTTGGCAATGTCCTTCAGACCATTTGGTGTGTGTCCGTTGGCGGCGCCATTGCTCATACCGTTTGCGACCTTGGGGTTCTTCAACGCCTCCTCGACTGGCACATCGTTCAAAGTGTAGCCAGTATCACTGGCGTCGACGTAAGCATCAAGACCGGCACCCTCTCGTGGGTAGCCCTTCATCAGCTCCTTGTGCTTTTTCAGCGCAGCGTTCATCTCCTTAGCGGACACATCGTTCAAGAAGACGCATGTTCCGATAGGGTTGGGTACGGCGGCACGGAGCAGACCATCTCGGGTCTTGAGGATAGCTGTGGTGGCCTTCTCGAGCATGTCCTCGTCGAACATCTCGTGGTCCATGGACAGACCTGCTCTTGAGAAGAGGTTCAACAAACGCTTGTGTTCCTCATCGCTGAGTAGGACCGCGCTGGTTGGCCAGTGTGGCTGAGTATGCCATGTCGATGGAGATGGCGTGACCGTGGCGGAGGGGGACCTTAGGAGAGAGCTGTAACATGGTGAGCTAATGATCATAGCAGTTGCTACCAGTATACATACCTCGTGGAGAGGACTCCAGGTATGGCCGTAAGCAATGACACGGTCCAGACCAATCTCGTGGAGGTTAGGTGTCTCAAGCTTCAACATCTCAAAGATACCGGCACGGTTTATCTCATCCGCTGCCTGTCGGATCTCGGGATCGACGTTGTCACGACCGAAGCGCGAGGAGATCAACTTCTCACAGTACTTGTCGAGAAGCTCGAAAGTTGGCCTGTGACCACATGTGGAGATCTTGATCAACTCTGCAAAGCCGTTTCTGACTTGTGCTTCTGGGAGTGTCTTCAGGAAAGAGAAGTCGAGGAATGTGTGCATTGGGGCGTGGTAAGCTCCAAGTCGGTTCTTGTAGTTGCCGTAGTTGACGGCGACCTTGATACTGACACTGGCGTCGATCAGGCCAATGACAGTGGTTGGGATACGAATGTAGTTGGTGGTCCTTCGGTAGGCCGCGCAAGCAAATCTAAACTGGAGTTAACACTGTACAGGGAACGCTTTCCGGCCAGAGTGCCTTAGAGTCTTATTTTACCCAGCAACATCAGTCACCAAACCTCCACCCTACATTTCGTTAGCATTTCGTTCGCTTGCGGGATGGGTTCGAAAATACATACCCACTACCCAGAACCAGGCTCCTTTCGGGATGATACCAAAACTCGGGTCATGGAGTCGACAATGCTCAGAAAGAGTGTCCCATGGACTTGGCCTTCTCCACCAATCATGGTCTTGTGGATCGTCAACGGGAGTGTTGTAGTGGTCGAAGTACGCCTTGCATGTCCTTGCCATAGATGTTGAAGATGTTCAGATCCATAACGGCAAGGCAGCGGCCCCAGCGCTCATAGCAGCTGGCGAGGTTGTTGTTCTTGGGGTCGAAGATCCCATCAAGGAAAGAGAAGTCATATTCAATCTTCTCATAACCCTCGACATGGAAGCCGTTCTTGGTCTCGACAACGGAAGCTTTGAGGTCTGACATGATGAATGTATCTGGAAGAGAGAAGTGAGATACGTTGAGTTCTACTGAGCCAAAGTACGGGGACCTGTGGGCTATATAACGGTTCTCAACTGGTGTCCTCTTCGGCTGGAAACAGACTTTCCTTTGGCACGGTCTTACTCAATTGGTTCACACATGCCGGCAACGCTTCCAAGGAAACGTCAACCATACGCAGAATTATCGTTCATGATGCGACGGTTCGAGGATCCCTTGTTGCAAAGACTTGGTAATGCTCTGCTCAATGAGAGACTAGGCTGTTACTGGCTGCCCATGATGAAATGACTTGCTGGCCAGAGCTGTTCTGACGGTAGAAGCCGGGTGCAGTACATGGGATTTACAACTCCCCATGCAGACATGGGCTTTTGCACGCATGGACAAAGGCCGAGCTCCCGTAGTTGCATTCGGCCAGGGACAGTTCTGGTATAGCACCAACCGCTAAGCGACGTGGTGGGGAATACGGAGTGCTTGCCGATGGTTAATCGTAAACATCATGGCGGAGCAAACATCGGATCCACTACAATATGATCTAGCAAGTTCATCGCTCAATCCTAGCTGTTAAAGGTTTATGCTAACAGTGCAACGTCTCACAGACTTGATCGAACACGACAGTGCAATCTCGGATTGTGCAAAGCGTTTTCGGTTCCTGGATGGCTTCACCCGCGCGGCAGTTTACTACCCCTCACCAGGCGTAAGGACAAAATTTTGACAGTGACGTTCGTCCAGATCTCACCGTTTTAGTTCCCGCTTCGGGTAGATAAAGTTTAGATCATCATGGATCAGTGAGGTAAATTTCCTAGCACGGTTAGTACACGCAATCATGCCTTGTATGTTGTGGCACCGTAAGTGGCTGCACCGGTCTGCAACGCTCTAGAATCGTTGACGACAGGTACCTCGAGTGAACGTCAACACTCGTCAACACCAGCTTTCCACCAATCATTCGTCCCACACGGCAAGACACCCCGGCGTTGCATTTTCGCGTATCCACATGTGCTCGCGTCAAGCTTGCCGCAACCGGCTTGGAGACTGGACGCAATGCATGCCTTGGCTGTGAACAGGGGAACAAGACTGCATACTCATCCCGCTCCTACCAAGAGATTGACGTCGCAGGGAGTGCATTACAGAGTCTTTGTCGATGCTGTTGGCTAGCGACTGACGACGACATCGCCCCTGTGTAGTAAATACTGCAGTGCCTCGCACCACTGCAGACGCCCGATACCTGCACCCCACTGTCTCACAGGTTCCTGCGTTCGTTTTCGTCATCATCGTGCTGTAGCCCCGCACTAGGGTCCACGCGTTGAGGGGCATTGCTGCGTAGCTTCGGACGCGTCAAGCTCACGGCAGCCAGACATTTTTTGAATAGCAATTGAATAGCAACGACAATGGGAAGCTTCGATCAAAGCAAGGCGTACGCAGCACAGGAGACGGAAGGCCAGTTTTTCGACGATGGCCGTGAGGTAGAGCTTCTCCACTTTGTCTACGGACACAAGAACATCGAGAAAATACGCGGGTCGCCGCAGAATGTCCTGGCTGCTATTGACGAGTATGGAAGGACAAAGAAGTATCTCATGAACGTTGGAGAGGACAAGGGGCGCATAGTCACAGATCTGATCGCAGAAGTGAAGCCGAAAACAATGGTATGAACACCTCGAGCTCTACACTCCAAGTCTGACAGACAGACCAGGTCGAGCTCGGCGGCTACGTAGGCTACTCATGCATCCTCTTTGGAGAAGCCGTACGAAAAGCAGGCGGGCAGCGATACTTCAGCTTAGAGCGCGATCCCGCCTTCGCCGCAGTGATCATGTCCCTAGTCGACCTAGCCGGCCTTTCAGACACCGTCAAAGTGATCGTAGGCTCCAGCGACGAGTCAATCGCACGCTTAACCTCCTCTGGCCAGATCAAACACATCGACTTGATGTTCCTAGACCACTACAAGCCGGCCTACACCACGGACCTGAAACTCTGCGAAGAGCTGGGCTTGATTACGAAGGGCTCGGTGCTCGCGGCTGACAATGTCATCAAGCCTGGAAACCCGCCGTATCTGGAGTATGTACGGTCGAGTGTTGAGGAGAAGGTGAAGAAGGCGAAGCTGGGTGGGGATAGTCATACCAATGGCATTGCAGAGACAAATGTCAAGATGTATGAGTCGCGGTATGGAAAGGCGAATTTCAGCAACAGTAAGGGGAACCCGAACCTGGTGTATGAGAGCAAGTTGAACAATAGCTATGAGCCGACGGGCGAACCTGTAAGCTCTCTTTCAGACTATGGATATATGAGACTTTAGCTAACTTGAGGCAGGACGGTATCGAAATCACCAGATGCGTTGGTTAGAAATCGCACAAACACTTCTAGAACCGAAGTATCGTAGCGATGAGGGTCAATGGTTCTTGTGTTGGAGACGTTGGACAAAGCATAGGACATGTCACATCGAGAAGAGCATAAAGCTTGATAATTTCATAATACAATCATGAATACACAGCATGCGAGGAAAATCACTCAATCCAGTCGTAATTTTCTGTCGTATACTGATTCAGTGTCTTCTAGCACAAGGTCAGTTGCTGTGAGAATGAATACCACCGCGAAACACAGTGCAAAACTGTCTCTGCACTTTCAATGGCAGCCGATTTTCCGAGAAAAAAGTCCTCTGCTGCCCAAAATTCGTTCTCACCCACGGACGCTCAAAATCCCATTATTTTCGTCCCTGTCATCGAAACTCCCATTCCAGCCCACATCGCCCCCAAATAAACAAAACAACCCCACCCGTTGTCATCTCATTAGCAACACCTCCCCCGCCGATCACGGCCAGGAACATTTGGGCAAACCTGCAAGCTAGCGAAAACCTAGCTTACCCATGTCGCTCAGGGTCCACATTGAGAGATGGTGGTGCAATGATGACGTTAAGACTAAAAGGTGCACTCGGAGCAGCATTCCGTCGCACCAAACTTTGGGGAATGCATCAGGAAAAGTACTTGATGGCGTGATTTGCGCAGACATCTCCGAAAGTGCTGCTAGCTGAGAAAGAGCTGGGAATCTTGTTTTCGTGTTAGGCTACCTGGAATTGTGAATGGTGTAACCGTGGCAAGGAAGGGAGGGCTTGCTACACACGGAGGGAACGAAGTCACGTTTCTGAGCACGAGATTTTATTTCAGTTTGGAAGGATGGGTGAGGCAGTGGGTGAGAAGGCGTATGTGCCTTTTTACTACTCGCATTTCGGCAAGAATTTTCTTCTGCTGCTGCTCAGTCTGGTTACTGTGCCTGTCTCGGCTGCAATTGTTGTCGCCAGCCTGGCGATATCGTCGTTCAATGGCAAACCTAAACCCGTGCAGAAAGATGCATCGACAAAAACGAAGACGATCCTCGTTACTGGCGTCTCCATGACCAAAGGCCTTACCATTGCTCGCAGCCTGGCCCAACATACTCCCCACCGCGTCATCGGGGCCGACATATCTTCACTTTCTCCAGGCCGTTTCTCAAACTCGATATCGAAATACTACCGCCTGGACACACCCCACGGCGACGATGCAGAACCCTACATCGACTCCCTCCTATCCGTCATCCAGTCTGAATCCGTGGACCTCTGGATCTCCTGCTCCTCCGTCGTCGCCGCCGTCGAAGACGGCCAAGTCGTACGTCTCGCCAAAGCCTCCGCAAAAAAACACAACCGCGTCTTTGAAGCCATCCAATTCAGCGAAGACGTCGTCGAGAAATTCCACTCCAAGGATAAATTCATCGACTACATCGCATCCCTGAACCTGGCGATCCCAGAGTCCCACCGCTGCACCTCCGCCGACGAAGCACTGGCCGTCCTCCTCCGCAAGAACGAGTCGGGCAAGAAATTCCTCGCGAAACCGATTGGCGTCGATGACCGCGCTCGCGCTGCAATGATGACTCTCCTGCCCTTGCCCAGCGCGCAGGAAACTACCAACTATGTCAAGTCCCTCAACATATCACCCGCCAATCCCTTCCAACTCCAACAATTCATCGCAGGCAAGGAATACTGCACGCACGCACTCGTCATCCGCGGTCACGTCAAGGCATTCACATCCTGCCCTTCATCCGAGCTACTCATGCACTACGAGCCCCTGCCCGCCTATTCCAACTTGTCGCAGGAAATGCTCAAGTTCACCGAAAAAGTCGCGCAGGACGGGGGGGAATCGTTCACGGGGCATTTGAGCTTCGACTTCCTCGTTCAGAATGACGATGGAGGGGAGGTTTTCCTGTACCCGATTGAAAGTAATCCGCGCGCGCACACGGCTGTAGTCTTATTCGACGCCACGCCAGAAATGGCAGATGCGTATCTTAGTGTGTTTAGAGATGCGATTACGGATTACAACACCGAGACGCCTGTGTATCCCACGGCGCCGACGAAGAGTTATTTCTGGGCTGGGCACGATTTGGTGGAGTTTGGGATTCTGCCGGTGTTGGATGCGTTGAGTGGGAGAGGAGGGTGGGCGGATGTTATCACTGGGATCAAGGCGTTGGCGTATCATCTCATGTATTGGAGAGATGGGACGTTGACGATACGGGACCCGGTGCCGTTTTTGGTGCTGTATCATGCGTATTGGCCGGGGAAGTTTGTGGAGAGTTTGAGGATGGGCAAGGCGTGGAGTCGGATCAATGTTAGTACGACGAAGATGTTTGACGGATGAATGGAGTTGGTCGCATGTCTGAAATGATAGATCATATGATGGAAAAATGTGGATTAGAGAGCGGTCATAGAACTGGGTATTGTTTAGATAGTAGACCTAATACTTAGTCCACCATGATTACATCTCGGTTGAGGCCCTATTTGTGACGTGCCGTTTGTGATGGCCTTGATATCACCGACTTCGTCCATCTCTCTGAGCGTGGAAGTCGAGCAGGTAGCTCTCGTCCACTAAGCTCTTCTACCCTTCTTGTAGTGCCTCTCACTTGTACGCTCGGGATGGCATCCAAGGACATCCTTCCAAGCTGCCCTTTGCAGCAACCTTGCCTGCGGGTCTCAAGCCTGCCAATCTAGATGCTGGGTACGATTTGACAACTGTCCACAAAATCTTCTGCGCAATGGGTGCGGTCCGGACATTGGTGTTCCAATCGCGCAGGCGTAGGAGAAGCTTGTACAGCTGCTCGTCTGCAAGGTTGCCTAGTACATCGTCGACGGCAGCAAGACCAGTCATGCTTCCCTCATCTGGCTTCTCAGTCTCGATTACACTCTTAAACAGCGAGAGCAAGCGGCCAGGTTGGTCCATCTGTAGCGCAAGAACGATGGCCTCGCGGTAGTTACCCGCATACGCAAAGTTCTGTAATTTCTGATCAAGCTCTACACGCTCCATTTCAGCGGTTGTCGCTGCTTCTAGTGTTGCACTCGTCGTGTCTTGCCAGAAAGTGATGACACTGTCACCACCTCCCGAGACTAGTGAGCCTGTAGTAGGGTGTGCCACTAGCGCCCATACACGATCGGTGTGGTTGTCAAGCGTCGACATGGTCTCGCCAGATTCTGAGTCCCAGACCTTAACGAGACCATCTCCAGCTGCAGAAGCGACTTGTGGGCCTCGCTTGTCTCTCGCATCGACTGGTCGGTAAGGTAGCCAGGCAAGCTTCAAGACACTGTTCGAATGACCCTCCAGGGTCAGAAGACAGCTGTAGTCTGTCAGACTCCAGATCTTGACCGTCTTGTCTCCACTTCCGGTAGCGATCAGGCCTTTACTGCCGGAGTTGGGTACCTGTGAATTCTTTGGCGCAAACTTGACAGTCCACACACCACGACGATGGCCTCTGAGCACACCAATGGCTTCTCCCTCGGTAGCAGAGTATATCTTGACTGTGCGATCTTGTGATGCAGAGGCGAAAAGTGTTCCTGACGGGTCGATATCGATGGCGTTGATGTCCTTGTCGTGTGCTTTACGTGTATACTTGGCTCGTAGCTTCTGCTTCATTTCCTTCGTAACGTCCCACCTCTTCACTGTCCGATCTTGCGATCCCGTAATGATATACGCTGGAGGGTGTGATAATGGATCCAAGTAAGCTGCCGAAGACTCCTGTGGTACAGTGTGTGGCAATGCAATAGCTCCAAGGGATTCGGCATGACCAGTGAGCACAGCGGCACACGTGTATGAGTCATTTTCGGGGTCCAATCTCCACAACCGTGCTGTGTTGTCCTTCGCGCCTGTCACAAGCCAGTGACCCGACCAGTCCACATCCAAGCAAATAACAATGTCCTCGTGGCCCTTCAACAATCCCACATCTGCGCCAAAGTATCGCCCTTGGGTCGCATCACCCGGTACAGTGGATTCGTTGAGGGTCACTATTCGGATGTCCTCTGAGTTGGTGTTCAGAGCAAGCATCGACTTGTCCCGACCAACATATGCCATGTCGATGACTTCGTCATGCGTGCCGGAAACGCGTCGAAAGATAGATAGGGGCTCGACAGTCGTGCTTGCGTCCAACGACTCGAATTCTGGTAGGGAATGAAAGTTCAGGACCTGATCTGCGTGGACTGAAATGAGGTACGGCAATGCAGCGTGATGCAGTACATCAACAATCGAATCAGTCTCGAAGCCTGCCTCTTGCTCTTGTGTGATTTCGCTTCCAGAGGTGACCGACCATAATCTCACGCAGCCGTTCTCGCCGCCAGAGTAGATGTAGTCGCCGTCGCCAATGAAGCCCGCACTTTCCACGCCTTCCAGAGCTGCAATCGTCCGTGAAACCTTCCATCGATCCGCGCTCCAGAGTATTACAGTTTTGTCTCTGCTTCCAGACACAAGCATCTGCGTTTTGGGCGAGTATTGCAGCGAGCGCACAACTGAGACATGAGAATCTAGGACTGCAGCGCTTTTGCGCTTGTGCAAATCCCAAACGCGAATCTTGCCGTCTTCCGCACCAGATGCTAGCCGGAACTCGATGCTGTATTCTCCTGCGCCTGCCACAGCCTGAGTCTCTTCTTGTTGTGACTTTGTTCGCTTCCTCTTCTTGCTGTTGTCTGATGTGTCGTCCTGTCGAGCTACTTGGACCTCAAAGAAATGCAAAGCCGAAACTACGCCCCCGTGCCCATGGAAGGTGTGCGTCGTATACCCAGCGCGAATGTCCCAGACTTTGACGATGCCATCTGCGCCACCAGTAGCAACCAATGTTCCAGTGCGGTCGACAGCCAGGGTTACGACAGGCGATGTGTGTGGTCGCAACGTCCGGAGGAGTTCGAGATCGAGGGTTCCTTCGTCGGTGTCTGAGGGAGCAACAGAGTATATGCGCATGGACAGCGATCGCGAACATATGATCAGGTGCGACGCGGACGGCGTCACTTGTTCAGTCAGATAGCGCGTCTTGATCGCGGAAAAGGGCACTCACAAGCCAATGAAGTAATGGCCTCGCCATCGCCTTCCACTCTCCCTAGCTCCTTGCCGTTTGTGAGGTCGGTGAAAAGTACATCCTCGCCCAAGCTTGCCGCCAGAATGCGCCCATCTTCGCTCAGCGACAGACTTCCGCCAGAATAAATTGGCTGCAACGTGCGCCCCACCTCGTAGGTAGTTTTTACGGCTGCTCTTTGCGCCATTGTTTGCAGAAGATGTTTGCGCTTCGGCTGGGTCGGCGGTGTTGAAAGTCGCGGGTGAAATTTTGGGAACTTTTCCTATCGATAACGATCTGCGCCGCGGGAAGGCGCGCTGACGTCTGGGGAAGTCGCGCCTGCGGTCAACAAGCCACAGCTCCAGCTCAAGTCCTATCAGCTCAACCATACTTGTCCTCTCGCAACAGGCCTTTCAGAGAGGCCAACTATCGCTTCCGCTCATAATGCTCATATATTACTAAACATGGGCCGTCAAGCCTACCTGGCGAAACTCGCTTTCGTTTGTCTCTCCCGCACCAGTCGCTGCGTATACACGGTGCTAACAAGTATACAGGGACGTTCGGCATTCGAGCCTACACAGGAGATTGTGCAGTCCGACGATTACATCCAACTTGATTCCCCTCAGGCACATCTTCCTCAGGCATACCAGGATTTCAACGGCAACAACTACCTCCAACTGTACGATGAACGCGGCAATCCCATCAACCCACGCTCTCGCGAATATGGAAAGAAGTTCAGAAATGCCCAAAACGATGTGCTCGCTGCCGTTGGAGTCGTCGAGAGGCGACAGTCGCCAGACGATGGTCTTCCTGGCTCTTATGAAGAGCGGCTAGACGAGCTGGATGTCGAGGACACCGTCGGCCTCGTGCTCGGAGCGACTTTCACCCTCTCCCAGAACCTATGCACTTGGTGGATAGGTACCATTCGAGATAGAATCCTAGTAAGTCTTGATTGTCTGAAGAAAAGACAACTCATTAATCAATTTAGACCTTCCGATTTCACGATGCCATGCCATTCGCACAGTTAGTTGCCTTGGAGCATGCCATCTCGGGTCTTTCAATTGTGTATGCAAGTTTTGTGCCCACAATGGTCGCAGCCATCTCCGCGCAAACTGTGGTGTACAACGCTAGCGTCTACCGTCCAATCGCTCGCTTGATGGACCTAACTCATGCAAGTTCGAGAGTGCGTTATCTGTACCGACTCTCCAAAAACATCTTTGGTTCTGGGTTAGCATTTTTCGATACATTCACGAGGTATCTGCTGACTCTTCAAGACTCCGCTTGGCTCTCGAAGCATTCTTCTATCCATTTTACTACCACGCAATTCTGCAAAGACTGGGTCTCGTTCCAGCTCTCCCATACTTGCCGCACCGCAGTTCCCTGAACCCATTTTCAACATCATCTCCTCTATGGCCGTTTTCAGTGTACCACGATGCATCTGCATCCTTTACTGAGTTTGCAAAAGCCGTTATCACCTCCCCCATGTTAGTCCTCTGTGGGGAGCACTTATTAGAGCGTTGGGTCTATGACATGATCAACGAGGCAGTAGACACGTCTGTCATCTGTCCTGACAATCCAGACATTGTCAGTGCTAGCACCGATGATAAACACAGGATTATGACGGCGCTCGGCCTGCGTAGAAAATCCCCGCCCTTTGTTAGAGCAGTCATAGAACGGATGATGATGGCAATAGGCTGGGGAACAGCATCTAAACTTAAAGACGGTGAATCACACCACTTGTCTGAAATTGCACTACCACATAGGCTGGCAGAGGGACAAACTGTCGATATAGCCGGTACCACAATTGCCAACGTCACCCCCCTGGACCTCACAGTCGCGCAACCGCCAAGTCTCGACAATGACGAAGTCCCGGCAGTGGATACCCTTGCCATGTCCGTTATAGCAGTCGACGAGATAGATCGTCCAAGAACACCAATGACTCCTCCGGCATTGGACCCACAGTACGACGATGACGACCCCAGAATTAGGATAACTAGTCGAGAAGATGTGGTTGAGATGGAGGTGCGACTTCCGCAACACATTCTGTCTGCGCACACCGAAGTCGCTGATGCTCTCGCTTCATCGCAGACGCAAAGAGACAGAGCCCTTACTCGACGCGGTCGCCCCCACCACCGTGTTTCCCACCTCTCTCTTGAGGCCTCAGACAAGATTAGTCACATTCTGAAGTCCCATCTCGTTGGGCTAGCGGTGCTGCCCTTCAAGATCGTTGCTTTGCGACTAGTTGCCTCTCACTATCTATCTGGAAACGGTCGAGATGCAAATCTCTCGCGAGTTGTAGTCCCGCTGCCTCGGTTCCATGAGTTGAGCTGGCAATCTGTCGGTATCCAAGCATCACGTCTTGCACTCTGCAGTATGCTCCATATAGCCGTGGACCTTAGTCTTTGGGGAGCACAGTACGTTACGTCTGTGTACATCGGAAAGAACCTCTTCGGGTGGGGCACTTTATGAGAACGTGCTACTCGGCGTGCGACATGGCTGTCAGCAGCGGCATTCCAGGCCTTCCCCAATGCCCTTCCGGGAGGCTTGCTTCCTGGAATGGCAGAACATCCATGCAAAGGCCTCGGAGTGGCACTACCAGCGGTTTGACATGCATGGAAAAGTTCCGAGGGGTGCTTTCAAGGATGCCTTCTCGTGGAATGTGCAACCGTGCACAGAATACTCGCACTGCTTTTGCTGCTCAAACCAGCAATGCGCCGCGAACATCGTTCCATCGCTGTTTTGCGCTACACGCGCACGCTATGGCTCAACCACACACCCGCAACTCTGTCTCAGCAACACATAGCTCAGGCCGTTGGTTCTCGGTGGACTTAGCAGCGGATGACAAGCCGACGGCACGTGCGCCTCTTCACTACCCCCAGTGTGTTCGGCTGCTGTGATTGGCAATGGAAGATCCATAGCCAACAATCATCGACAGTGGCGTTGTGACTCGGAAATTACAGCGAGTTCCGCATGCGCGACGGGCCATGTGAGAGTGAGCAGACATGGTTCGAGGGGTTATGCATTTGCAGCTGCGATATGATATGGAAGCTATGGCGCACGTTACAAGACCCCGCAGCTTGAGCATTCCTGGCTCGGTTATGTGATATGATCCGCAATTGCGTGCGAGATAGATTGTCGCATATTCTTCGCGAAGCAATACAAGCGAGTCACTTGCAGCACCGCGCTGCAGAAGGCTGCTGTCTTCCTGGCGAGGCTGAATAGCCGGACGCTACGCGAACGGGATAGCTAGGGCTAGGGTCGACTGGTCCGCGCATGTGCAGCGGCAAGCAGGGGCACGAGCCAGCATGGGTGTGATTCCAGCTGCAAAGACGCAGAAGGGTGTGCATATCGCGGACCCCTTATGAAGCCGAAGAAGCAGTAGTCTGATATCTTGGTGCGCGGTGAAGTTGCTTTTGTGCCTGCTCGCGCTCGTGCCGTCTCCACGTTCTCGCACCAGGGCGGCCCTTGCTATCGACTCGCTCTCGTTGCTCGTGCTGCTGCTGCTGCTGCCGTCGTCCATCGCGCCTTTGCCGGTTCGGTGTGGTAAGACCCCTATACGGCCCCTGCTCGAGTCGTTGTTCCCCTGCACCCTCTCGGACGCTTGTTGGGCTACCTATCACCACTTTGGCCAGCGCAGTTGCTCCTTTTACCCCCGCGAGGTTCTCTGGCCCAGAAAACCTGTCAGTGCTGCCATCTGCACTGTCACTTCCGCCAGGCCCCAGTGTCTCTCCTTCAAACGTCGCCCTTCACCCCTCGCGCACGGCGAGCAGACTTCAAACCTGGTATCGCGTCTCCGCTCCACGCGCTTGTGTCCGCCTCCAAGGTCCCACCCAGCACCACTGACACGGCGGAGCCTGCCAGCAGCCATACATTGTCCGACGCATCCCGGGATTCCGCCCCCGCATAACCTTCGAGTTCGGGAGTTTTGTCTACGACACCGGCGAACTTGCAACGGACATGATTCCGGAGCCATAGGGACCCACAAGAACGAAAGGCTGTCGGGTCGGCAGCGCGTCCTCTGCGCCCTCAAAGCCAGCCCCAGTAACTGCACAGTCCGCAGCTGGGAGCAATCATGTCGGGCAACTCGCTCCCTCGCCCGTCGCGGTCCTCAATCGCACCCCCCACTGGGCCTCTGCCTTCGCTACCGGTAGCGAAAACACGTCACTCCAACATCGGCATCGCCCAGCGCAGCAATTCGAGCTCGCTCCTCCCCAGTGCGACCGCAATTCGCGCCGTATCTTCCTCAGCACTACCCTGCCGACCGGGCTCGAAGCATGGCAACTCGCCGTCAGTCCCTACGCTGTCTGCAGATGGCGGGCCCGTAGGTTCGCTACCACCAGGGAAGTCCCTACGAAAAACCGTCAGCATTGGTGCATTTCCTCAGCCACCCAGACACAATGGTAGTGGCAAATCTTCTGCGCCAGGCAGTCCACTGTCCGCAAGCACAACTCTGGGTGGTGAATCAGTGGACCGCCGGCTATCATCTGTCTCCAAAGCTTCGGTACCATCAAGGAATAGCAGCTTGAAAAAGCCGAGGACGTCGAACATTGGGGGCGCGCGGGGTCTGCTGCCAAAATCGCCCTTGTCCCCTCCTAGCCTGCTGAATGCCAGTGCAGACTCTGTACCAGTCGACACCGCCCATCTCAGCCTACCTTCACCACCACAGAGCCGCAACTCGTCTCCACAGGGATCCTACGCAACAAGCGCTACTACATTTGAGGAAGGGGCAGAAGAAGACGCCCGAGGTCGAATGGACAGCAAGGGCGACAACAACCCATTGCCAAAAGACGGAAAAGGCAATGTGCTTGTCAGCGTGCGAGTACGGCCTGATGTTGGAGCAAAAGACAGCAAGCAAGAACTAGAGTGGGATGTCAACAACAAGCACGCTCTTATCTCATACAAGGGTCGCGAGGGCGGAGAGTACAACTACGGTGAGGTCACACATTGTTACGCAAGGCGCGATACATGCAGCTAACTCATGTCTGTACAGACAACGTCTTCGACACCCAGGACAACAACGCTCGCGTATACGACGCGGCCGCCAAGCGATTGGTACGACGGGTCATGGAGGGTTACCATGGTACCGTATTCGCCTATGGCATGACTGGAACTGGCAAGACCTTTTCCATGCAAGGTACTGCTACAAACCCTGGTGTCATACCATTGGCGATCACAGACATCTTTTCTTACATCCGAGAAACACCACACCGAGAGTTCCTTCTCAGAGTGAGCTACCTTGAAATCTACAACGAAAAGATCAACGACTTGCTGGCTGGGCCAATCGCTGGGACCAATGGCTTACCCGGACCACAAGAGGAGATCAAGCTTCGCGAGGATAGCAAACGCGGCGTTTATGCGACGCCACTGAAAGAGGAAATCGTGCAAAGTCCGACGCAGCTTCTGAGGGTTATCGCTCGTGGCGACAATGCCAGACGAGTAGCTGGGACACAGTTCAATGCGCGGAGTTCGCGAAGTCACGCCGTGGTGCAAATCGTTGTTGAGAGCAGAGAACGCGCACCAGCTCCCACCGGCAATCTGGCCAACAGCAAGCGGTCTGCTATCGTTCCTGGAGGTGTCCGCGTCTCTACACTCAGCCTGATCGACCTGGCAGGCTCTGAAAAGGCGGCCGACAACAAGGAGAGGCGCACGGAAGGATCGCACATCAACAAGAGTTTACTCACCCTTGGTACTGTTATTGCACGGCTGTCCAGTGACAAGGAGAAAGCCGAAAAGGACAAGGGCAAGGGCGACAAGCACTTGCCATACAGAGACAGCAAGTTGACCCGATTACTTCAGCCCGCTTTATCTGGAAATTCTTTGGTCAGCATTTTGTGCACAATCCAAATTGGCGCGAGCGGCAGTGCTGCACATGCGTCAAGCCATACTCTGGAGACCTTGAACACTCTCAAATTTGCGTCCCGGGCAAAGAACAATATCGTAAGCCACGCAAAGAAGGCCGATGACTCGCTGGGTGCAGGCGGCGACGCTGCAGGGCGTGCGCTACTGGACCGTTACCGGCTTGAGATCCAGGACCTCAAGAAACAGCTCGAGGAAAGCAAAGGCAAAGAGACCAAAGAAGAGGAAGAGGACGAGCTGAAGCGCGACCTGGAGGAAGAGAAGGAACGCGAGATTGCAGACAAACATCGCCATGAAGAACAGATGCTGGAGATGCAACTCGCACGAACGGCGCTGAAAGAGCGGATTGAGCATCTCAATAGGCTAATTCTCAGCTCGAAGTCCCTCGGTGTTAACAACGGCCGATCGTTTTCCTCCATGAGCTTCCAGCGTGGTTCCGTGCTCGGAAACCAGGTCGAAATGCGGCCATCGTCCCTTCGCTCGTCTACAAGTCATGCTACTCTTGAAGTGCCGGGTCGGCATAGCACGACAACACCCCTCCAAGCAGATGGTTCTGAAGAAGATGACTCTGTTGGGGAGAATGGAGACGGCTTTGCTACTCAAAGTGTGCAGATTCATTCATTGCAAGCAGACCTTGCAGACAAAAATCGCTATATTGCTACATTGGAAAAGCGCTTATTGCACGCCAGGAGATCTAGTCACTCCCGAGTTTCTATGTCACTGTCACACAAGATTGGGAGTAGCAGCGAGGACGGTGGGCTGATTGCAACCATCGCGGAGAAGGACTCTGAAATATCCAATCTGCGCGCCCAGTTGGAAGACAAGGAGCGGATGATCGCCGCACTCACCTCATCCCGCAAAAAGAGCGAGACCGCGCACGAGGTTGTCAGCGAAGGATCTCCTGGCAGTCGTCGAACCTCATCATTCAACCGCAACAGCGAACACAGCACCATCAGCTTCGCGTCCAAGGCACCGACCTCGCCAATAAGCCCCAAACCATTTTTGTCGGCCCCAATTGCGAGCAATGCAAGCAGCAAGAATATTGAAGAGATGACACGTATGCTGGATGAGATGATCGGCATGAAAGTGGACAAGGCGGCAAGGAGGAGCAGTTTGATGCCCGTCAGTGAGGGTCGATAGCATCCCACATAAAGACATGGAAGCCGCGCCACAATCGTGGTACATGGCGACACACATCGTCCGTACTACGCCGCAGAACCGAACCCATGAAGAGCCCACGAGTTTAACGTAATGAGGATGAGTCGTCAGCGTGGCGGAGCAATTATTTCAATCACACATAATGCGCAGGAAGCGCAGGCGTAACGGACAGGAATGGGAGCATTTCTCGATATACAGGATCATCGGACCGCAGGGCAACTTGCCTATACCTACCTACTCTGGACTACTGCGCCAACATATATCGCAGGGACACGGCATTTTCGCTTTTTTCTTTTGCTTTTTTTTCTTCGGTCTGCCGAGAAGGGCTTTCATCTGATACCCCGTTTTCCTGCAAGGTGTCTTGTCTAGTGACACTGTAGCAGCACAGCTTCCATCTCTGTATTAGTACGCCAAATGCCGAATGTTGTGCTTACTCGGCTTGGCACTACCCTGCTCCTAGAGCATATGAATAGTGAATTGGCCAACCTATGCGTGCATATCATGCCACTGTATATATGAGGCGGAGGTCTAAATAGGTGACCTCGGCGCTGACGACCGTTGCCAAATTAGCCGTGTGACGTGGCGCTAGCCAATGATCAGACCATGGTCGCCGCAGAGCTAAAATGAGCGCGGATCGCTGAGTGGTCTAATCCAAGACTGTTACACCAAGATGAAACGACTAGCCTGGTCACGACAGCGTCTGAGGTGCCCTTCTTTGCACCTACGGCAGCATGACTAGCCAAGGCGACCTTAATCTGGACTTCGCGTCTGCTTTTCTTGATCTCCTTCCTGGATGGGGCTTCGCACCGGGCGACGCATTGACTGTTAGATCTCACAAGTTCGATCCGCAATTTGCAACTTCCCGCTACTCACAAGGCAGCATTCTGTGCCCCTCGTCGGCCGACTCGTTAGCTCAGGCTCCTTGAGGGAGATCGTCTGTTCGTTTGGCAGCCGCTTGAAACTTGTTACGCTTTGAAGTGCTTCCTGCGGCAGCGTTCCCATTTCTCTCTGACCTGTTGCCGCTGACCCTTCTCATCTGGCATGACTTCATAGCCCCGAGGCTCGACGTCCTTTCTCCTACACTTACATTCTCTTCTGCTTGTTCCTTGTGTTACTTGTTGTTCGTTTCGCTACTCTCCTTGACGGCACGGCATCTTGACGCTTGCCTCGTCCCCTCTTTTTTTAACGTTACGCGGCACACCTGCAGGGACAGGTTGTCACTCGTGTTGGATCGGAGCTTCTTTCCTAGCATACCCACATACTCATTAACGGCGCGAACGCCTGTGCCTACAACTGCCCCGGAGCTGCCGATCGTTGCAAGAAAGACCGAAATTCGATTCCGGCAGTCCGAACATCGACATGCTCGGTCAAGCGACGAAGAAGCTGTCCAAGATGCATGCAAGAAGAAATCCAAACCTGTCGATCCAGTCGACGGCGACGTACTCACAACTTAGCCCATCTGTGCAATCTGCGACGTCTGGTGCTTTCCTGTCGCCTACGGTTGCGTCCCGACGTGGCCTGCTATCGGGACGTTCTCCACCTGCCTCCCCGAGTCTCCCATCACTCGTTCCGAGGCATGGCAAGAAACCTACGCAGCAATCACACACTCGACTTGTGAAGAGGATACTCGTTGGCTGCTGCGGAGTAGCATTCTTACTATGGATTGTTCTTCGCCAAATTTACTCAGACTCGCAGCAAGCTGTGAGTTACGTGGATGATGAGCAGGAATGGGAAATGGTTGGAGGTAGCTCGTTGCCCAAGGAACCTTCAGTGGTCGCGGTTCAGGATGCAAAGGGGAAGATGAAGTGGACGGTCTCAATCCCATCGAACTTGGACTTCCCGTTGAAGCCGGCACAGTACCTCGATATGTGCCATCAGTGTATGGAGCTGGCATCATCCGTTCGCCAAGAGGCAAAGTCAGGGAACATTGCCAAACGTATGCTCAACTACTATCAGCAAGATCAGTATTATGTCGATGTTCAGGAGGCGGAACAGCAGTCGCTACTACCACCATCAAAAGAGACCGGAAGGCCGAAGGGTTTTGTGGAGGACGAGTCGATTGTAGATGGTTTCTCGACGTCTGGACAGAAGGTCTGTGACAAGTCATTGACATATGTTATGGAGACAGACGACGCAGGCTTCGGTAACACGTTGATGCGTCTATGGATGTCGTACGGTCTAGCCAAAGCCGAGAACCGATCGTTCTTCATCGACGATACTCGCTGGTAAGTCCAATCTACACAAGACGAATCCCAAATACTAACTACCCTCCCAGGCCCTACGGCAAATACTCAACCTACTTCCAGCCCCCTCCCTCCACCAACTGCGCGCCACCCCCCAAATCCCACATCGTCCCCTGCCCGCACACCGCACGCCATCTCGTCGTCTCACACGCGACCGTCAAATCGACCTTCGGCCACGCCTTCAACGAAGAATACGAAGACGCGCGCAAAATGCGCATCGAGCGACAACACAAGATCTTCGCCCTGCTCCGCACCGGCTACGAAGCGCTCTTCAAGCTCAAAGGCGACGATGCCAAATACGTGCTCAACCGCGCGCTCGAACTCTACGGCGATATTAAACAACATGGTGGTATAAGTATCGGCATGCACGTGCGCCACGGCGACAAACACCCCATGGAGTACCAGTATCAGAAAGACTACATCCCGCTGGAGCGCTACGTTGATACCGCACGTGACATATACATCGACCTGGTCGAGAACGCTGGCGGGAAGGCTAAACGTAGCGATGGCGAAGGAGAAGCACTTTTCGCCCGCCACACGCCCTCGAAAATGATCATCGCCTCCGACGACCCGCTCGTCTACACCTCCCCGGAGATCGGCCTCAACTCGCTCCGCGCCCAAGACCGCATCGTCCTCGCTACAAAGGCCGCGCTCGAGGCCGCGCAGTCCTCCAAACACCCCTATCTCGACGAAATCACCGGCTGGGAGGGTGGCTTCTATAAAGACGTCTTCTTCAGTCTCGGCCAGGCGGGGAACAACGCTAAGGCAAACAATCATGAGGGCGAGGTTACCAAGGATGCCATGGGCTTAAGGGAGCTGGTGGGCAGGGCGTATCTTTTAGATATAGCGGTGCTGGGGAAAGCTGATACGGTGGTTTGCACGGTGTCGAGTACGACGTGTAGGTTGTTGGGGGTTATGTTGGGGTGGGATGCGATGGTGGGGAAGGAGGAGAAGAGGAGGTGGAGAAGTATCGATGGGAGTTTTCAGTGGAAGGGGATTATGTGGTGATTTGCGGTAGAGTTTGGCGTGTTTGCAATATGAAATGTGGTTCTTGCGAGCTACTCTCTTGTGTTTTTAAAATGTGCTGTTTGTTCTGCGTTGATACGCCTTTGGCGCAGCAAGAGGTCAGTCACAAGTGTCTTGAAATGCTACCAGGTCTTTGCAAAAAGCGATGGTTTTCGTCCCTTAGATACACGTACAGCGATTTGAACATGCCGCGAGATCTTGAATATCCTTCTTCGCGAACCTCGAAGTATGTACCCACGCCCACAAATGCCAATATTACAGTTTTTGAAGGTATCCCCACATATACAAACGCACTTGAATACTTGATAATCTTACACTCCATCACGCCTTGCCCTTCCACTTGGCCACCCCCTGCTGTCCCCTCCGTCTCTCCCAAACCATAACATACGCCTCCTTAGTAAACAGCGTCTCGCCCCTCTCCTTCTCCACAAACAAATCCTGAATCCCATACCACTCATCCCTCGCGCGATCCTTCAACTGCACTCTCCACACCTTACTTTCCTGCTCGCCCTCGACACTATCGTCCTTCTTCTTGACCGCCTCGTGCGTGATGTTGGCGACGAGATCGTACCATATCGGCTCGCCGGGCGGGTATTCTTTCGGATTCGGCTCGACGTACGGCGACATGTCGAGGCTGACTGTCGGAAATGTGACGATGGTAGGGTTGCGCTCGGAGACGAATTTGTTCTTGCTGAAGCGCTTGATGTTGAAGAGTAGGTAGGGGGGCAGAGGGTGTAAGAGGCGGTAGCGCACGCGGTTTTTCATCTTCTCTTGTGGGCGCATGCCGTCGTACTTGCCGAGTATAGTGGTCAGGGGAACTTGTGGAATGATGTTCTTTTCCAGCGCGTCTTGGAAGAGCGGAGCGGCGGGCAGGTCGAGGGTCAGGACGAGGAATTTGGAGATTTCGGTTTTCACGGCGGCGTCTTCGAAGCGGAGACGGTCGCCTGCGTCGGCGCGGGCGGTAATTTCTTGCGATTCGATTTTCAGGGAGCCTTGGAAGACTTTTTGGACAATGGAGGAGCCGGGTTTGGTTTTTGAGCCGCCGACTGCGAGGTGGAGATGGTTGAGGAACCAGGAGATGAAATCGACGGGGTCGGCTTGGTCGGTCAAGTTGAAGCGCTTCGAGGATCGCAGCGCAACTTCTTGGAGCAGCTCGTGCGGCGAAACGTGTGTCTTGAAAGCTCGCGGGTTCCATATCTTGCGGACTAGAGTGCTGAACCGCTGTGCAATTTGTGGTCGACTTGAAAGATCCTCCAACATAAAGTAGTTCCTCAGCGGCACGACATGTGACAATGCTTGTATTACCACATTGAAGTAGTCGTTTGCCTTGATGTTGTTCATGCCCACGAAACCAGGTATGTATTCTCGATTCGATAGATCCCAAGACACTTTTGGCTCCTTGTCCAGCCGCGCAACCTCTGCCTTGCTCATCCGTGGGTCCACGACGAACTTGAGATCGTCCAGCGACTTCGACTGGACCTCGTAGCCTTCCGGCAGCACGAAGACCTTCTTCGTCTCCATGTTGACGTAAACGTGATGACCCTCTTCCAGCGCGTGGAAGTATGCTTGCGACTTTGGACCTCGACCCTGGTAGTATTTCCCGCAGACGAGACAGGCGTATACGTTGATGTTCGACAGCGTAACTGAGCACAGTTTCTCAAAGTCGAAATCGAGCACCTTGCGGTTTATGGTGTCGAGGTACAGATCGGTGTATCCTGCTTCTGGCGCAGTCTGACGCTTCGGCGCAGCGATCGCGGGCTCGTTGTCGTCTTCATCGTCCAATGCGCCGGCCTCTTCAAGCTCCGCATGCTCTTCAGCATCTGCGCCTGCAATGTCGATCTTGCTTTCGTCTTTGAGTCGCGAGGGTATCATGTGTCCGTTGGTCGTGGTCCCGTTTGGCTCAGGGCTGTCCATCTCTTCGTCGTCGACTCTTGCGCGTTTTGAAGCTGGTGATGGCGCGTCGTAAACATCTTCGAGAGGCTCTAGCGCATGTCGCTTGACCATTTTGAGCGCCAGTAATTGATTCGTGTGATTTTGAACGGAGCGCTGGAGGTATCGCAGTGTCGCCCAAGAATTCAGATAGCAGATAGCAACTGTGGAGTGACAGAGGGTGGTCGAGGCAGCAGAGAGCCCCGTCGGCGAAACTTCGGTAAGCACTTCCGCGCGGGACAGCTTCGAAAAAAGTCGCGTCCAGGCACCGCAGCTACAACCCCACATCTTCTGCGATACCCCTCTGTTTCCACACCGGCAACAGATACCGGTCCAAGATGGTATGTCGAGATATACAATTATGAGTCGGGCCCTTCCTAACACGTGCTCCAGTCATACAACAACCCCACACAGATCTTTGCGGAGGACGTAACGGAGGAGAAGGGCGAGAATGCGCGTCTCTCAGCCTTCGTAGGCGCCATCGCCGTTGGCGACTTGGTCAAGAGCACACTGGGCCCCAAGGGCATGGACAAGATATTACAATCGGCGTATGCTTGTCACACCCCCATCTGTTTGGGCCACCGCTGACATGTTTGGCAGCTCCACTGGCGAAATTATGGTAACCAACGACGGCGCCACGATCCTGAAAGCCATTGCCCTCGACAACGCGGCCGCCAAGGTGCTTGTCAACATCTCAAAGGTGCAAGACGACGAAGTCGGTGACGGAACCACATCGGTCACAGTCCTTGCCGCTGAGCTCCTCCGCGAGGCCGAGAAGCTTGTAGACCAGAAAATTCACCCCCAGACCATCATCGAAGGATACAGGATAGCAAGCGTGGCGGCGCTGAAGGCTCTGGAGAAGATTGCGGTGGACCACAGCCAGGATGAGACTGCTTTCAGGCAAGACCTGGAATCGATTGCCCGCACAACCTTGAGCTCCAAGGTCCTGTCCCAAGACCGACAACAATTCGCGAAGCTCGCAGTAGACGCCGTGTTGAAGCTCGGCGGCTCGACCGACCTTACGCACATCCAGATCATCAAGAAGGCAGGAGGCAAGCTCAAGGACTCTTACCTGGACGAGGGGTTCATTTTGGACAAGAAGTTCGGTGTGAACCAGCCGAAGCGCATAGAGAACGCGAAGATCTTGGTTGCAAACACAGCCATGGACACGGACAAGATCAAGATCTTTGGCGCAAGAGTGAAGGTTGACTCGACCGGCAAGCTGGCCGAGTTGGAGAAGGCAGAGCGTGAGAAGATGAAGGCCAAGGTCGACCGTATCAAGGCGCACGGCATCAACTGCTTCGTCAACCGACAGCTCATCTACAATTGGCCAGAGCAGCTCTTTGCGGATGCCGGCATCTGCTCCATTGAGCACGCAGACTTTGACGGTGTCGAGCGGTTAGCGTTGGTCACTGGCGGAGAGATTACTTCGACATTCGACCACCCAGAAAACGTCAAGATTGGCCAGTGCGATCTGATTGAGGAAGTCATCATTGGAGAGGACACTTTGATTAGGTTTTCCGGTGTCAAGGCCGGCCGCGCATGCACAATCGTCCTTCGTGGCGCAACTGAGCAGCTCCTCGACGAAGCAGAGCGCTCGCTCCACGATGCTCTCGCCGTTCTCTCACAGACAGTCAAGGAGCCCCGCACTACGCTTGGTGGCGGATGTGCCGAGATGAACATGGCAAAGGCCGTCGCGGAGGCTGCACAGAACGTGGCTGGCAAGAAGGCCATTGCGGTCGAGTCCTTCTCCAAGGCACTCCAGCAGCTACCCACCATCCTGGCCGATAATGCAGGATTCGACTCGAGCGATCTAGTGACCCGCCTCCGAAAGGCAGTGTACTCGGGTCTTACCAGCTCAGGACTAGACCTCCTGACACCCGGTGGTGGTATTACAGACATGAGGGAGCTAGGCGTCATTGAGAGCTACAAGCTCAAGCGTGCGGTGGTCTCGTCGGCATCAGAAGCCGCAGAAGTAAGTTGTTCCCCAGGCAAACGGAGCACGCACACTAACGTTGTATAGTTGCTTTTGCGAGTAGACAACATCATCCGCAGCGCTCCTAGGAGACGCGACCGCATGTAAGCGGGAAACATGAAAGCAAGGACGCCAGATGTTGGTTTGGCAGGAGGCCTAGGTCGGACACGATGTCGATGAACAAGCAAGACTTGACTCTGGTACCAACACTGTGCTACCATATAACGACCTAATGCAGTCAAAGAGAGCTGAGAAGACGCATTTGATATGCAACGGATATTGAGCAAATGTTGAACTGGATCGTGAGGGTCTCGCTACCGAAAAGTAACCACGGCACACGCGCGTCGGACTTTTGTTAACTGCATAGCAATATACCACATCAAATGCAAATGGCAACCTCGCAGACTGTGCTGATCGTGCTGATGTCGTTACTAACACAAGCAAACTCTGAGTTCTAAGATCTAAGATGGAGCCCACTTGCTGTGTCACACCCCCAGGACGAACTGTTTCAAGTTTCAACGATCGGCCTAGCAAGGAATAACGCCGGCCATGCTATGTTTCATGTGCTGCAGGTGTTGTTTGAGGACAAGAGCCTCTACGACCTTCGAGTGAGTTCTAGGAGAATATGGCCCGATTGAGACGGTGTCGCTCCGATAGATTGCCCTGTCGCCACTTGCACGACACGCGACGCAGCACGGAGGGAGGACGCATGAGGGTGCCACGTCATGGAGCAGACTTCCTCTTTTGCCTGGAGGTCTAGACTAGAACGGCGACGGCACTTGGTGCAAGTGTGAGATGCGATGTTCCGCGGCGAGGGCAAGAAGATGGCTGGAGCAGGGCGTACTAGAGGCTTATACCGCGATGTTGGTACACGCCAACCGGCACAGTCAGTCATACAAGGGCCATGTGTTGAGAAGTAAGTGCAGACGCGATTGGCACGGCCAGGGCCGCGGCCGTAGGGGACCCAGGTGCTGTAAGGGCAGTGTATACAGCGTACCTGTAGTCGCGTGTAGGAGTAGCTCCCTGTCAAAGGAAGGAACGATGGAGATGCGTCGTGCCGCCGAACGGTCGCACAACAGGGCCGACCGAAAGTCTATCAACACCGAAGTCTGCCTCACTGCTGCAGGTCTGCGGCGGCCATAACTGCACCACAGCCCCTCGCTTCTCTATCTTCAGCATTTGTACCCGTAGGTGTACCTGCGCGGCGTCAGCCACCATTGCGCGCGCCAAGCAGGGGTCTATTTCAAGGGAAACCGACTGGAGCGAGCGTGTCAGGATCCAGTTAGAACGACAGGCCGCACCCCCAGGCCCACGCTCAGCTAATCCCCCGCCCGTTAATATCGAGCGACCAGCCCAAAATCACCGTCGCTGACCTGAGACTCCTTCACTCTCGACACTCCCGCCATCGCTTCCTGTCCATGATCCATCTCTCCTCCGCCTCTCGCCTGCCCCAGGCTTCCACCTAGACGACGCACTCGCCCGCAATGCCCCGTCCGCGCCGGCCGCCCGGTGCTGGCCCGGCGCTCACCATCCTCGCCCTGCTATTCTTCCCCTCGCTTCTCGTGGCCGCTCAGCAGCAGCAGCCTCTAGAACACCATGCCCGCAACAAGTCCCCCAGCGCGGGGGCACGCGTGGAGCATGCCCGCATCATACCACCACACCACCACAAGCCCAACCGGGATGGCAGCGTGTCCGACGCCGAGCGACGTCAGCAGTACACGCCCATCCTCGCCCAGAATGAGCGCGCCGTAGCAACCAAAGTCTCATCTGCTCCAGCCATCAGTGCTGTCAGAGCCCGTCACGGAGCGGGCGCTGCCTCGGGAGTCCTCGCCCCGAGTGCGCGCTCGCTCAATGACTGGGAAGTTGAGGACTTTGTTCTCTTGGCGACCGTCGACGGCCACATACACGCACGCGACAGATACAACGGAGAGGAGATTTGGGAGATCGCCGGAAAGCCCATGTTGGAGACCATATACAATGTCTCCGAGGGCCGCGTCAGCCTCCAGGACCAGCCTTTTAGTCGTGGATCGTTGAGCCCAGAGAGGAAGGAGCCCTCTACGTGCTCTTGCCTGGACCATATCCGGTGCTCCAAAGCCTGGGTCTGACTGTCAAGCAACTGACCGACATCGCTCCGTACGCGAGTGATGACCCGGAGCTTCCGGTTGTCTACAACGTTGAGAAGCGGACCTTCATGCTCAACGTGGACGCAGCCACTGGCCTCGTCAAGCAGAGCTTCAGCCCAAGCGGCACCTTCGGAAATAGCGACGACAGTTGTGCGTCTCCCGTCAAGAATGTCTTCAACGAGCGAGACTGCCGCGGAACATTTGAAATTGGGCAGACGGAGTACACCATCATCATACACAACAAGAAGACCAATGAGCATGTGTGTACCATCAAGTATGCCGAATGGGCTGCCAACAGCCGAGACATCGACCTCAAGTCCCAGTACACACGAACCATGGACGATCAGTACATCTATGGCAGGTTCAACGGTGAAGTCTTCTCGTACGATCACAAGCGGCCGCGACCCGCCCAACGCCCTCTTTTCCACCAGCATTTGCCATACCCAGTAGCACGCGTATTCGACGTCGCCCGACCTGCCAATGACGACAGCGCACAGGCACCCCTGGTACTCTTGCCGCAGCCTGCAGGACCCAAGGTGGTAGAGGAAAAGGCCAATCAGGTGTGGCTCAACACTACAGAATCGGGAGCCTGGTACGCTTTGTCCGAAATCAGCTACCCAGCCGTCACCGATGGTGCTCCAACAGCACCTTGCTACAATGAGAACGAGTTGCTCAGCTGGGACTCTACGCATTCACTCCCAGCCGACGAGAAGACCTTGGTCGGAGTGCACGTCTTAGACCATCGTGTGCATCCTTCTTCGAGGTTTCAAGCAATTGCTGCTCCTACTCAGTATCAGATTGAGAATGGCCAGGTTGTGTCGATCCCACCAACATCGTCGCCCATGGAGCGACCCACCATCGATCCTCCACCTGAGCCGTCGATGCACGCACAGCCCTATGCATTTGGCAACAAGGAGCTGGTGTTTATTTGCATCCTCATGATCATGTTCATTTCTTTCGGTAAATGGAAAGGACCTGGGAGGCTTGCACCCTACTGGGACTACTTAGCCAGCTTGACCTCGAGTCTGAAGCAGGCGAGCAAGGCCAACTCCTTTCCGCCGATCACCGTCCCATCACAAGCAGAAGTGACACCCACGAAAGAAGCAGAGGTGGTTGAAAAGATTGAAGATGTTGCCGCAACAGAGCAGCCTATCGAGCAGAGCACCGAGACTGTGCTAGAGGAACCTCAACTTCTCCCAGCTTTCGAGCCAGAGATCAAAGAAAAGAAAGTGGTATCGTTCGCTATTCCCGAGGATGAGGAGGACGATATGTCGCCCCTGTCTAGAACAACGACCGCTGAGCAAGGATCTCCGAGCCAGGAAGCAACGCTTACGATGACCAACTCCAATTCAGAGGCTTCTTCCAACGTGGAAGGGGGTGATAATGGTGCACAAGATCCATCAGCAACACCTGGTACACCAAAGAAGAAGAAGACACATCGTGGCAAGCGCGGTGGCCGCAAGCTGAACAAGAACCAGCAAAAGGATGAAGAGGAGCTGGGCCGTATCGTCGACGCTGCCAAGCAGCTTGATCCGTCGCCTAGCTTGCATCCTGATGAAATGACTCTGAACGGCGACGACATGCAGGATGTTACCAACATCAAGCGCATCGGTAAATTGACTATCGACCAAGATCGTCTCCTTGGCAACGGTAGTGGAGGTACTTTCGTCTTCGAAGGAAAGTGGAACGAACGTGAGGTGGCCATCAAACGAATGCTGCCTCAGTACTTTGGTCTGGCTGAGCAAGAAGTTAAGCTTCTACAAGAAAGCGACCTTCACCCAAACGTCATTCGCTATTTTGACGACGAGAAGGACGAAAATTTCCTGTACATTGCCGTCGAGCTCTGTCAGGCCAGTCTCTTCGATCTTTACAGGGACGGCAGGCCTGGTGAGGAGCTCACTGAGGCCCAGCAGAAGCTCTCCCTGGAGATCAGTCGCAACATTCCTCGCGTCTTGTATCAGCTGGCGTATGGACTCAACCATCTCCACAGTCTGAGGATCATTCATCGCGACATCAAGCCCCAAAACATTCTTATCGCCTACCCGTCAAGAAACCAGACGAATTGTCCACGACTTGTCATTTCCGACTTTGGGCTGTGTAAAACACTCCCTGACAACGTCAGCACTCTCATTGGGACAACTGGTAATGCGGGCACTGTCGGATGGAAGGCACCAGAGCTCATCTCCCAGCCTAAGGAGCTCATGAACAACGGCAGCTCGAATGGCATGTCCCGTGACTCTTCAAGCTCGACAGATCCTGTCGCACAAGGAGTGAAGCGCGCAGTCGATATCTTCTCGCTTGGTTGTGTCTTCTTCTACGTCCTGACCGGAGGGTGCCATCCCTATGATGACGACGAAGGTTGGATGCAGATTCGCGAGTACAACATCAAGAAGGAAAAGGCTAATCTAAAGCAACTGCGTCTCGGCGCCGACTCAGAAGAGCCCTACCACCTCATCCAGTGGATGCTCAAGACGCGACCTGAAGACAGACCCACGGCCGTTCAAGTCATGAACCATCCCTTCTTCTGGTCTGCTGAGAAGCGCCTCAACTTCCTCTGCGATTGTTCCGACCACTGGGAACGTGAACCGCGCGACCCACCATCCGAACACCTCTCCATCCTGGAAGAGTACAGCTACGAGGTCTTGGATTCTAAGAGAAACTTCCTGGCCAAGCTTGACACAGCCTTTATTAATAGTCTAGGCAAGCAACGCAAGTACACGGGCGACAGAATGCTGGATCTTTTGAGGGCGTTGAGAAACAAGAAGAACCACTACGAAGACATGGATGAAATTGTCAAGGCGAAGGTGGGACCGTTGCCAGATGGCTATCTGAGTTACTGGACTATCAAGTTTCCGCAGCTACTTATGGGGTGCTATCAGTGTGTCTTGGAGTGTGGACTTGAGGGCGAGCCGAGGTTCAGACCCTACTTCGAGGGCCAGACGATGTAGAGGGATGAGAGATGAAAAGTATTCGTAACATAGCATTAGGCGCATCGCCGGCGTTCAAGCTTTCAGCAATTCATTGTTATATATCTACCGCCGAGTGTAGCGTCACCTTGCCTTTGGTGAGGGTATCATTGCTTTCCTATCTCGATCTCACGCCTCGTCTTCAGCAGCGTCGCCCTCACCTTCTCCCTGCTTCTCCTGCCGCAGTGTACTCGTCGCGACCTGGCTGTCCTGCCCCGGCTTGCGGAAAACGGCCTGCATCCAGCACCGGTACATCTTCAGCCTCCTCTGCCTATTCACCAACATCCGTCTATCAACACCAATATGCGCGACCTCGAACGCCGGTCGCGGTCCTTGCGAGCTAGACACCGCTCCCTTCTCATCACCAATCTCCAACCCCTCCGTCTTCCCCACCAACGCATCCCCCTCACCCCCCTTTCCCCCACCCCAAATCCCCTCCAACTCCTCTTGCTCAAAGAAATAAACCCGCGTGCCATCCCCCCTCACATAGAAATTCTCCTCCATGCCACCGTCCCTTCTTGAACCGCACTTGCGCGAGATCCCCGCGCCCGTAGTCGCGAAACAGCACTTGTCCACCGGGCTTCAGCACACGCCAGATATTGCGCACCGCCTGGGTCCCACTGCTTCGGGTTGAGCGCCGAGAAGATGAAGATCATGAGCACGACGTCGACGCTATTCTCGCTGAGGCCGGGCGGGAGGCCGGCGTTGTCGGAGTCGGGCGAGGAGGCGACGTCCCAGACATCTGCCTGTATGTACCGCGGATCGTACAGTTCATTTTCGCGTATCAACTCGACGGCCTTCTTCGAGAAGTCGCACGCGTGGATTTTGAGGTTTTTATTGCTGCTGTTCTGCAAGATTGGGAACGCGCTATTTCCTGCCCCCGCGCCGACTTCCAACAACACCGCTGGCGGCGCATCTTCCTTGCCCACTTCGCCCAAAATCGGGAACTCCTGCGCCAGCCACTTGCGGTTCTTGAAGAAATTGCTCTTGTTGTTCTTGTAGAATACGTTCCACCATTTCTCGGGTTGCGCGTTGAACCGCGTGCGGTCGAAATCTGATACTGGGTCTGCGCGCTGCTTGCTGAATTGCTCCTCCGAGAAGGCTTGGTACGTCGAGTCGACGGTGACGTGGTCCCACGCGTTGAATTCGAAGATGTTGTCGCCTTCTTCGAGATAGCGCGAGCCGAAGGAGAAGGGGTCGGTGCGCTTTTGGTTATTGGCGGGGTCGTGGGAGCGGGAGGAAGGGGCGCGGATGGGGGCGATGGACGCGGGGACGCCGTATGCGTCGTTTTCGGGGGGAGGGGATTGTTGTTTTGTAGGGTCGGTGGGTGGTGTAGGAGTTGAGGCGTGAGGAATGGGGTCGACGGTTACTGCGAAGCGCATGTGCTCCATTGATTTTGAGAGTTGTTGTTTTGGTTGGGGCTTTGTGGATAGGCTGTTGTCTGTTTGGAATCTTGAATCTTCGGTTTGTTCGGGACTTGGTGCCCTGGGTTCTTCTGTATTTGAAGCCATGTTGGGAATATGTGGTGTGTCTTGCGACGAGGATCTGGAGGGGTCGAACAATTGAAGGTGGAGGGGAAATAATTCTCTATCGATAAGTCCTGGGACTAACTAAAAGTCGTATGGCCAGCCGCGGTCCCTGGCATGATTCATCGAGCCGCATCATTTAGCGCGAAAGATGATCGATGACCTAGCCACAGTCGCGATATACTTCAATCCACATGGAAACATGATACCAAGGTGACATTAGCATATCCCCCTCAATTCCACCCCTCTCTTCCACAATGGCGACCTGTTGCCCCACCCGCCCTCTCTTCCAAACTTCCAAACGCCTCTATCAATCCCAACGGCGAACCTTCCTCCCAAACCCCTTCGCCGACACATCCTCTCCGCCCCAAACCCTGCGCGCCCAACGCGTCCTCCCCTACCCCAGCGCGCCAATCTACTCCATAATCGCCGACGTGCCCTCGTACGCCTCGTTTCTGCCCTACTGCCAACGCAGCGACATCACGCACTGGTCCGCGCCCGACAAAACCTACGCCCGGCGCTGGCCCAGCGAGGGCAAATTGACGAGCGGCTTCGGCGGCATCACCGAGAGCTTTGTCTCGCGTGTATATTGCGTGCCGGGGAAGTACGTGGAGAGCGTGGGCGGGGACACGGAAACGAGTCTGGACAGAGATGAGATTGCGCACCACCTTGAAGCTGGTGGGAGCGGGAGTAGAGCTGGGGGTGATAATGGGCTGTTGAGGCATTTGCGGAGTAAATGGACGATTGAAGAGCTGGGGAAGGACAAGACGGGTGTCTCGTTGGCGCTGGAGTTTGCGTTTACGAACCCGTTTTATGCGGCGTTGAGTGGGGGTGTGGCGCCGAAGGTTGCGGATGTTATGATCAGGGCGTTCGAGCAGAGAGTTATGGCGCTGTTGAAGGAGAATCCCGAGATGGTGGGGGCGAGTTTAGCAGAGTTGGATGGGAGTAGGATGAAGAGGTAAGAGTGACATATCAAGAAGTTTTTTACAGCGCATATGCATGGCTGGCGTCTCGAAAGATCTACATGGTGGGATATCTTCAATCTACAAAATACATCTACGTGAAGCCGTTATTCATTGCCCACCAAAAATACTACACCACTCATGGATGTGCGGTCACCATCCTCCAAACCCGCGATTCCTCCTTCCACCAAAGTACAAGTCGTCATCATAATACCCAAGCCCTCTCTTCGGGTACGCACCAATGCCAAACCTCCCATGTCTACGCCTCCTTTGGTTCCCCCTCCACAAGTCTCTCCCAAGATACTTCAATTGGTTCGCAATATCACCTAGTCCCCTACCACAATACGAGTTCCGCCGATGAGCTCGCAGGACCATCTTGCTCAGCTTCTCCATGTCGCGCGACATGTCACAGTGGTCATAGCCCAGCATATATTGACCGTGGATAGTGTCGTAGAGTTGTGAAATGTGCGCGTGGTGGTAGGGGTCATGGTAGGAGAGGTTGGAGAGAAAGAGCGGGAGCTCAGGCTGAAGATTTGTTTAGAAAAGATGTCAACATTCTTGCGTTGTCGGACGGGATATCTTTTCAGTAGAAAATGAGTCATGGACAGAGTGGATCAGACGTACAATGGCTAAGATTGAAGAGCAAAGCGAGCAGCCAGGACATGATGAGTAAGATCCCGAGACCCAAAGAGGGGGATCATATGGCTCTACATTCCAACGATAGCTCCTGAATTCTAAATCGTCGTAAGGCCGAAGAGAAAGTTCGTTGTGGCAGCCCATGGGTCGCCCAAAAGGGCTTAAGGAACGTAACGGAACCATACTGCGCTCGCCATAATGAGACAACATTTTAGATGTGAAATCTGATCGTGGATTGAATGGCCCAAGTGATGAAGGCAGAAAACTGGAATTAGGTGCAAAAGACCTGCAAAGCAAGTGACAGAGGCGAGCCCTTTTACATTCAAATGCGCCCCGTTCTACTATTACACAATCAAAGAGATAGATCGCACAAGAAGTGACAGAGTATCCGCATGATACACCAGAGCCACCCAGACGTCGCATACAAACAGGGTTGGCGGTCAGAGAGTAGCGGTCGGGTACTGCAGCCGGAGCCGCATTCAGAAGGCATCGACCAGTCTTTTTGGCTGGATAAGAGAGCCGCTGGCTGTAATGAGTGACAAACAAACTTCTGGTCAGAGCATGTGCGAGCTCCTCACCGCCGCGTGGCACAGTGAATGCGTGCGCAGAAGGATACAAGTTTGTGTTATGGCTGGCCGCGGTGAGGCTGTTGAAGAGGCCGCGTGGTGCAAGTGTCAGGAATTGCCTGCTGCAGTTTGATCCTATTGAGGAAGTGACTGATGTGGTGCGCTACAGTGTTGAGGCTGGCGGTGGACTGATCCCATGGTGCGTTGGCTGCAAGTTCACCTCGTGGGCGCAATATCTCCTCATCAATCTCTTTCTCAACTACAGAATGCGTTGATTCGATTGTGATATGTTACCTAGATCGGAAACATGATTCCAGACCACCGTGTGTGCAGACCGCGTGTTCACATCGAACCATAATGGTGAGGGAGCGACAGGCCGGAGATGGATGCAAGCAATAAGATCCGTGCTACACCCGGCGTGCCCCGATAAACGACGCGACATGAGGTTCGCTCGAAGCAGTCGAAGGTCTCATACTATCCAGTCGTTCATAGCAGTCGTGGCTCGAGGTTAGAAAGTGAAGGGTGGCAGCACGTTGAGGACCGCGCTAGTCGGATGGGGCTGGTGGGCGCACCGACCACCGCGCTTTCCACTTTACGCGGTCGCGCCTGGTTAAGTCGCGTAGGTGCGGCCGACTCCTTCCTCATCTTCGTCACCCCACCCCATCGTGCCTTCCACACCACAAACCACCCATTGTACCTTCTGCACACTCTCGCAATGGCCTCCACTGTTCTTGGGAAGAGGACCCGCAGCTCTGCTACTGCAGACGCAAAAGGTAAGCGCTCCGGTCGTCCTTTCCCGGCCAACACGTCTCTAACGCGGTATGCAGATGCTGTCTCCACGCGATCAAAACGACGTGGACAGTTTGTCATTCTCGACGAAGCAGAGATTGAGAACCCTTTCGTCACGCCCAAGAGAAAGAATGTGCGCAACGTCGATGCGATGGAGGTGGACGAGGTCGAGGAGAAGACGTCTGCAAAGCGTGGAAAGAACGCTGGCACAACTCCTGCAAAACACGGCGCACCTGGATCACGACTTCCTCTTTCGACAGCAACAGAGAACTCACCGGCAAAAGCGCATGTCGCAGATCCCGAGAAGCCGTTCCGGACACCCTCGACACCACGGCACCGAGACGCGCTTGCCGGAAAGGTCGCGGTTACGCCAAGACACAGACTCATTGTCGCTGGACGACCATTAACACCACGCACACCACACACACCGGGAACTCCTCGACACTCTGCGCCTACCATCTACAATGAAGCGCGACAAGTCTTTGCGCGCGGCTCAGCACCAACGGCACTATACGGACGCGAGCAAGAGCGCAAAGAGCTCGAGAGCTTCATCTCAACGCGGTCAAAGGGCAAGAAGTCGGGATGCATATACGTCTCAGGACCACCCGGCACCGGAAAGAGCGCTTTTGTCAACGAAGTCTGCACTTCCGTATCATCAGAAGGATCCACAAAGACTGGTTACATCAACTGTATGAGCATCAAGAACGCGACAGACCTCTACAGGACACTTTTGGAGGAGTTTGTCGACATCACTGGGGTTGTTGAGGGCGACGAGATGGACGCGCTACACGAACTTTTCCAGCAACGAAAGACGTCATATGTCGTTACATTGGACGAAGTGGACCATCTCTTGGAACTGGACATCGATCTGTTATACAACATCTTCGACTGGTCAATGCAAAAGTCGTCCGGCCTTGTTCTTGTCGGCATTGCGAACGCTCTCGACTTCACTGATCGATTCCTTCCTAGGCTCAAGGCCCGCGGTCTGAAGCCACACCTACTTCCATTCCTCCCATACTCTGCCGCGCAGATCTCTTCAGTCATCACATCAAAGCTCAAGGCTTTACTTCCGGCAGGATCGGACCAACTTCCATTCATCCACCCCACGGCCATCATGTTCCTTTCCAAGAAGGTTGCGTCACAATCAGGCGACCTGCGCAAGGCATTCGACATCTGCCGTCGAGCCATCGATCTTATCGAGGCCGACACCCGCGACCAGCATGCGAAGAAGGCGACTGAGATCACACCATCACCAACCCCGTCGCCCACAAAGACACCCCTTGTGGACAACATCAATCTCTCGTCGCCAGTCGTCCGATCACCGTCAAAGCTCAACGCGCAAAAGGTGCTTTCCAACTCGCTCGCCCAGCTTACAGTCGCAACGGCCCCACGAGCGACGATTGCGCATGTTGCGAAGATTACTGCTACGGTGTTCAGCAACGGCACCTCGCAACGTCTCCGAAACCTCAACCTCCAACAAAAGGCAGTCCTCTGCTCCCTTGCAGCTATCGAGAAGAAGAAGCGCGCTTCAGCCGGAGAGAGCGTTCTCGCGACACCATCAAAATCACACAACACTGCACCCACCATCAAGGAGCTCTTCGAAGCATACACCGCACTCTGCAAGCGCGAGAACATACTTCATCCCCTCACAAGCACCGAGTTCCGCGACATTGTTGAGAGTCTCGAGACATTGTCGCTCGTTTCCGCGGTCGAGGGCAAGTCAGGATCGCTCGTGGCTGCAGGCACACCAAGCAGGCGCGGCAGAGGCAAGGCCAACGGCTTCGCTGGTGGGGTTGTAGTCGAGGATCGCCGCGTTGCCAGTGCTGTTGGCGACAAGGAGCTCTCAGATGCGTTGTCGGGACCGGGCATGACTATCCTGAGGGACATTCTGGAGAGCAGCAATTAAGCGGCGTTACACGCGAGACTTTCAGCACCACTTTGTTACATTTTTCTCTTTGTCATTACGGCGTTCAGCATACGGGGCTTTTGGGATACATGCGATTGCATAGGGCACAGCAGAGGCGTTTCATTTACTCTTGGTTTTGATTTTTGGCATAGCATGGCACGGCGCTCATAGTGCTTTCGCACTTTTGTTTAGTTAACAAAGAGTTTTGCATAGCGAGCGTAGCATAGTGCTGTCATGAGACCCTGTAGGATAGTTTACGCTTTGAAGAAGAAGTATTATAAAAAATCTGTTACTATGTGCGAGTGATGTAAGAACTCTTTATTGTGCATATGTAGCGAACGTCGCGTACAAGGTAAACAGCAAGAAGGTCGTTTTAACGCTACTATCTGCCTGCTTTTTGTCATGACAGTTCAGAGTGAGTAGTTAAGCTTTCTTGTCCCTTCTCGCAGAATCCAGTTCCCTTGTTTACAACCCTTTATCAAGCAGGGCGTACGAGCCTTCGTTGAGATCACGTCGTCGTCATAATATTAATCAGAACTGCATCGTTATCATGCTAGAAGTTAAGATATTCTTTGCAGCCTGTTCAGGTAAGTAGGTTGTATGTAATAAAGTGCAATGAAGAATTCAGCTCTAAAATACTCTACCTAATTCTATTAGAAATCTTTGAATATATATAAGCTATTTCTTTACCTCTTCTCGCTAGGGAAAGGCGGGCGTGAATTTTGCCGACACCTAGTAGTACAATTAGGTAGGCATTATAGTGACGACTTACTCTTAAGGCCTGCATGTGTAGATCTTCATCACATGTTAAGACTGATCGCATATCAAGGTTACTCGCAACTCAGATTCAGAACTCTGCAAGAAGCGAAACGATATCAAGATCGTCTCAAGCCTCAACATTGCGTAGAGAACATTGCTCCTGCATTTCAATTCTCCCCCAATGTGTACCACTGTGCCTTCTTCCCACACCTCCCCTTCTTCAAGCTACAACCATAAAAATGCCACGCTAGCCGCCCCAGCGACAACCGAAATCACCACACTTTCCCAATCCTCCCACCTCTACGTAGTCGGATTTAACCTACCCTGCGCCCCCCAGCACCTGATACGCCGCATAATACAGCGCCAAATCCACGGTGAAAAAAGCACTCCGCACGATTTTCTAGATCTCGCGGTCATACGTGTAGCGCAACAAGACGTCAGAACTGACAGCGAAACTCAGCATTGCGCCTCTGCGTTGCTGGAGAATCAGAATGTGGCCAACGTCTCGAGATCCGGGCCAGGTACGTGCGAGCTGAAGACGGTGGTTGGCATGAGGAAGTCCCTGGACGCGCAGAATATAGTGTCAATCTATTGGAAAAAAGGATGGCGCAGAAGTACGGGAAGGTTGTTCTGGGCGAAGTGAGGAGCGTAGTGGCGCTGTGGATGTGATAGTTAAGGTGCTTTATGTAGTGGCGTGAAGTTTAAGTTATGAACGACGGAAAAGATGGCCGGGACCGCACGGAGACCCTCCGGATCATCGAAGCTACTGCTCAGGGCTTCGGACTAAGCCATATACGCAGATAGATTACCGTTGGACGGGACCCAATGTCTCTAGTCCTCCCGATTGAAATCACCAAGTCACCTTTCAAGCCTGAACGGCTGCATCAAATAGACATCTGGAACCTTCTGTTTCCGAGCGAAGGCGCGAGACTCGGTCGGGGTTTGGGCTGATATCTTTGAACCATCAGATCATAGAAGCTTGTGTCTTCTTACATAGGTTCAAACGGAAAGTGGAAGAAATCTATTACCTAGGTATCGTCTCACGGTGAACAATCGGACATGTATGTACCTTTACGATATATGGCCGTATGAACGAACTTGAACTTCAGAGCTAGAACTACAAAGCAAGCAGATATCAAGTCTACACATGACGACAGCATCCAGAGTGTGCTTTCGGCAAGGTGCTGTGAATATCAATACCATGGCGATGGCAGCCGATGATGGAGGCGTTGTTGGATGATGCAAAGCATATTGATCGTCTTCGCTGCTCCCGGATTCCCAACACACTTAGAATAGTCCGGTAGCGCAACATGCAAGTAACGACTCAAAGGATACGGAGCTGGCTCCGAGGTGTAACGCACAATGCAGGGTCATGAAGTTTTGCATTTCAAGATGTCAATAGAGACATTGTAACAGACAGATTTTAAGGTGGAATTGAAGCGGCTCGACATAGCTCTCACATCTTTCAGTTCCTGGAATTTTCACATATAGATGTCTGCGACCCTATACCCAGGCGCTGCGGAGGTCTCTACATTTGTTTCCATCCAGGCAAAATTATGCGCTAGCAGGCACAAAACTTTACCAGAGGGTAAGGCCAGCCTCGGCCACGCGGGGAAGCTACGGATGTTGGTCATTGCGGGCTACCTAAATATCATCCTCGTTCATCTCGACTCTGTTAGGTGGCTGCTCGCACAAGCCTAGACTTCAATTGTTGAGCGAGAACGCACAAGACACGGAGCAGGACTCATATTTTCTATCTTTGAGCCGACACCTGGCTCAAAATGCATCTGTCTCTTATAGGTAGTGGGCAGTTGAGAATTCAATCACTATCAAGTTCCTGGCAGATCATTCGATCTTGCTTCCCATGTCTGGATTCGATCGACAGGAACGGAAAACCTTTTGCCGACGCCATAAACATGCATGTAGCGTATGTCAATATCAGATAATAAGGAAGCTCTTCGAGAAGGCGAATGGGCCATAAGCGTACCTAGGTACCTGGCGGATGCGAAGCTTCGCGCACCCCTTTCGGGCCTGGCTACGGCTACAGCCCGAAGCCCTTTGTTGTTTGGCCTTACACTAAAGCACAGGAGACCTGATGGCCATGAACCTTATGGCTTCACCAGAACTTTGGCAACTAGGGGTTGGAAAGGCGATTGATCCTGGGTACTTAATCTGAGCTGCCTCGTATCCATTCTTCGATGACTGTGCAGACCTCCAAACATGAAGCTCTCTCTCTTTATCACTGCACTGATTTTCTCCACACACGTTAAATATGCAGGGGCTCAAGATCCGAAAGCACTTCAGGCGCTCGGTAGCCTGTCCCCTTGTGCGGTAAGCACTGTCATCATTAGTTGCTCCTACCTAACATACTGACATTTGATACAGTTAGAATGTATTGCGAGCGCGCCAAGTACTCGGAACTGTAGTCCAATCAACTTTGCATGCGTGTGCGCAGATGCACCACTGCAGTTGGCTGTAGGAAAATGTCTGCTTTCCTCTTGCACGGTCAAAGAAAGCCTTACTGCGAGGAATGTTACGGCTTCACTATGCAACGAACCCACGCGCGACAAAAGCAATAGAATCAAAGCGTCCAACATCGCAATGGCGGTTTTGTGCGTCTGCATGGTACTCCTGCGATTCGCCCAAAAATTGTCGGGGCCTGCCGCAAATCGCTTTGCTATCGACGACGGTCTCATTATCATCTCGTTCCTCTGCCTCATCACCAACAATATCATCACTGAGATGAAACTCATAGGGAATGGTATGGGCAGGGACGTTTGGACGATACCGTTTGACCATATCACTGAGTTCTTGAAGTTCTACTGGATTGAAGAGATACTCTACTTTTTCACCTCCACGACGTTGAAGTTGTCTTTCCTCTTCTTCTATAAGCGTATTTTCCCAGCACGCAACGTGCAGCGTGTTATCTCGCTCACGATAATTTTCAACGTTCTGTGGGGTACTGCATTTGTGATCACTGCAGTGTTTCAGTGCTGGCCGGTATCACATCTCTGGGTGGCTTGGGACGGAGAGCATGCGGGCCATTGCATTAGCATCAACGCTGTGGCATGGTCAAACGCGGCTACGGGTATCTTTGTCGACTTATGGATGCTTGCGATACCCATATCGCAGCTGATCGATCTTAAACTTTCGAGGACAAAGAAGTGGGGGGTTATCTTGATGTTCTGCCTGGGAACGCTGTGAGTTATCTAAATCCTGTTGTTTTAAATACCTACTAATATGATTCACAGCGCTACCATCATATCAATCATTCGACTCCGTGCCCTCGTGGGGTTTGGTCAATCGACGAACCCGACTTACGACCAAACTGACACCGCGAAATGGTCAATCGTCGAACTTACCGTAGGACTAGTCTGTTCTTGTCTGCCCTCTGTACGCTCGGTCCTTGTCCAATCCCTGCCGTCCGTATTCGGTTCCACTCAAGACAAATCCACAGGCAATCAGTACGGAGGCTCACGCATCAAAGCGTCAAAGAACGGAATCTTCAATATGAAAAGCTCGAGTAAGGGCGGCGAAGATGACGTCGCTATCCATTGCACCACGAGTTTCGGGGCAACCCAAGACTCTAAGAGCGAAGACGAAGTGGAATTGGTGTATGTGAACAACCATGTCAAAGGTGGAGAAGGAAGCATGAGCACTTAGACTAAGAATTTCGGTCATCGTGTAAGTTAAATGACGCAGGTTAGCAGGTTTTTTTATGTAGACAGATAAATCTTTCGCAATCTCATCAACAGCCTAGTCACCATTGCATCAAATCTGGATCTCAATTTTATAAAACGGTATTACTTAACCACAGCTTAGGTTACCGGGCGCCATCAAAATCACTACCTGCCTTTTTCTAACGAGAAGAGATAAAGAGCTGGCCTGTATATATTCAAATATATCTACAGGGTAAAGTAGAGTATCTTGTAGCCGCGTATCCGTTCAGGCTCCTTCAAAACACTTATGACAAGCATAGGCCATGATATTATGTCTGCAGAGAAAACCCTTCGCGTGTAGTTAGGTAGCTGGATCTCTCGTTGGAGATGAAGTCGACTAGTCGAATGTCTCAAACTAAAATATATTGATCTTAACCCTCTTTTCCTAGACGATCTAGTACAGTGCTTATTTTTTTTGCATCTTCGGGGGTTCATTGGAGTTTTCGCTTTTCTATTTGTCACTCAATGTTTATACTTGTAGAGTGTTATAGCAGTCCAGGCGCAGAGTATCTGACTGGTGAGATACCGACAGTCTGTTGCTCTTCTATCGCGCTGAACGACTACAGGGGAGCGTTGCTACGAAACATTAGACTCGGTCCAAGCTTCTGAACCTCTGGAAAAGTTCCTTGATATCATCGGCAGTTTTATATCAATTCACCTCCGGCAAAATCCTCTCAGGTGGCTCTGGCATTTTTGATGTATGCTACAAGCTTCATAAATTAAGTCTCGGTGATTGGTAAGCACTTTTTATTTACAGGCATGGTGATCCATACGTCCTTAATAAGTGGCCATCACCCTTATTGATCGGTGTAAGGAGCGGCACAGCGATCATGCACAGCGGAGCTTCCATGCGGCTTACAAACGTGATGACATCCTTAGCTCCGTCCGGCTTAGAAATCTTACAAACGCTCGATTATACAGAATGTTTTGCGCAGTAAACGATGAAATACTCTTATATTCGATGAGGTGCCTTTGATACTAGTTGATCGGTAGTCCGCGCACTACATCTCCCTGGATACCTCTACCGCAATTCTTTCCTCTTAATCTTTCACCTCAACCATGTCTTTTGCCCAGCTTTCCACGCCCAACACTAGCCCAACACCTGGCCACCCAGGTCATTGGGTAGTCACAGAGTTTGGTACGCCCTCGGTTCTCAAGTGGGAGGCTTTTGATCCTCTACAAGAGCTGTCGGCCGAGCGCAATGTTCTCATCCGCATTATCGTTGGCGGTATCGCAGGCGTGGACAACATCATGCGAGCTGGTGGCTATCCCGAGCCAGAAGCCTCTCAGCCCGGTTTCACAACAGGTTACGATGTCGTCGGTGAGGTCATAGCTCTACATGAGTCGACTTGCGAAAGAGTGCGGATTGACTGTTGGAGACCGTGTCACGTCCCTGTGTAAATATGGCGGCCATGCTACGCATATTGTTCTCTCTTATCAGGACGTGATTCTTATCAGGCCTGATGAGCGACATGCTCAAGATCTGCACTCTTCCGCTCAACTACATGACCTCCTGGGGCATGCTAAAACACAGTGGCGTTCACCTGCCCCCGGGTTCTAGCATACTGTTGGGCTCCGCGAGTGGCGGGCTTGGTACGGCAGTGGCTCAGCTCAATACAGCTTTCAACATGGGTATACGAATAATCGGAACATGTTCACCGTCCAAGTTCAACTACGTCCGCTCCCTGGGCGTTGAGCCTATCGACCGCAACGCTCCGGACCTGGTGGATCAAGTTCGTAAGCTCACCAATGGAGAAGGCGTGGACGTTGCATACGACGGTATTTGTAGCGACAAGAGCGTACAGAACTTTCTCGCTGCCACGAAGAAGGATGTCGGCAAGGTCGTTGTGTTCGGTGTGAGTCGTCGCAGTAAGATATATTGATGGAACAACAAGCGCTGACTTCAATACTACCCATAGATCATGGGAGAGATCGAAGAAGACGGTAGCAAAATGCTCAGCAGCGTGGATAATATCTTTGCATCGCGCATCAAGCCGCCACGAATCAGCTTCTATGCGCTTGATACCGCCTTCCATCGTAAGCCTGAAGTTACAGAGCTTCATGCGATCATGGACAAGGTTCGTTCTGGGGAGCTTGATCCAGTTGTATCTAAGCTGCTCCCTTTGAGCAAGGCTGTGGAGGCACATAAATTGTTGATTTCCGGGAGTACGATCAAAGGAAAGATGCTTTTCGTTGCTGACGCAGCAATGGCTTCCGAGATTGGTCTCTAGAAATTAACCAGTACAGTACTGTAGCAAATCGACTGATTCAGTGTTGCTATCAAGCACATCAAGCCGAATGCAATTTCTCTCGAAATGATTAGGGATTGTCGAAAAACTATTTAGGTAGACGTACACGAGCGCACGACACAGCGATACCTACTGAAGTCCATCGGCTTACCGCCTATAGACCCATTATACAACAGGAGATACATTGATTGTCGAATCAAAATAGTGCTTTGCTCAAACCTGAACAAATACGGACCCATGTCCTGATCCCTACGGACGTACTCAACGCGAGTCCACTCCAACCACCTGGCTTGCTCAGGACAAACAAGCAAAATGTTTCAATAAAGGCTATATGTAAAAGAAAATCTGGTAGAAGATTGGCTCTTACTGTTTTCGGGATGCAAGTCCCTAGATCAGAAAAACCAGCAAAAAAACGCTCAGCTCGAACGAAGTACACCGCGACTTCTAGAACAACACCGACCCATTCCCGGCTAGAGACGACTTCAATCGTCAAGCTGATACCTACAGGGTGAAAGCTGTTTGTCATCACAGGCACCTAGGCAAACAACAAGAGCTCGGACTCAATATGTTCCCCCATCCGGGAAACTAAAACTCTCCCTCGGCTATATATTCTCTCTGTTCTCGAGCTACTTAACACCAAAGACTTTCTACTACGCCTGCACCTTCTCTTTACAACACCCAAGCCGCTCAACTATCAACACTCTTACATACAACAACTCACAACCTACCTATCTCGACATCAGATATGGCCTCCGAATCTTTGACACCTCGTTATCAGCTACGTGACAGGGCCATTACAAATATTCCGCCCACGCCTGTTACAGCCAGTAACCTCGTGGTTCAAGGCGCTGTTACACCGGCCAGGAGCTTTTTCGACCTGCCGCCTGAGCTACGATGCCAGATATACCATCAGATCTTCGTCACCAAGCCACCCTTCCAGCTCAAGCTCCCACGAAGCTCGGATAGAAGACGGTACGACCGGGGTATGAGCAAATTCAATGTCCAGTATGCGTTGGCTGATCCTATTTCCAACCCCATAGGCGCGGTGTCGACTCGACCAAAACCACCTATCTGGTTCCTCGCATGCAAGCAAATGTGCATAGAGGCCATTGGTCAGTTTCAGCGAGGCGCTATTTGGATATTGTCGAACATTGACTCCTTTACAACCCCGGAAGGACCGCAGTTTTCCGTCTGGAAGAACGCTGCAAGTGGGCGTACCCGACGAGTAGGACCGTTTCTGCTCACCCCCAGCGATGCGCAAGATATCAGGCTTATCAGTGGCCCGCTAATGCATGCATTTGGCGAGATCGACCATCGTGGCAAGCCCTTCAACCGAGTCACTTGGGGATGGGACAATGACATTGTGCAACGCTTGAGCTCGAGCGTGGCCACATCCACTAATTTGCGGAGCTTGACGGTGAACATCATCACCATGTCACCAAATGGCTGGAACTCTAAGGGTGGACCGGGAAATGCACCCTGCAAGGTCGACTACAAGTGGCTCGGAAACCTTGAGTTGCCACAGCTCCAGGACTTGAAGATCGAGATGCTCTATGATACAGCATTCGCCGCTGATAGGAGGATCATGGCCGCATTTGATGAAGCTACGATCGAGGTCGGCATGAAGTTGATTGGTGGGAAAGGCACATGGTCGTTCACTCGGACTGGTGGTTCTTGGGTTGCTCCCAGGACGCAGCGTCCCATATGCCTCCGGATTCCGTACACCTTCAAACGGGGTGAGAGCTAGATGGCGAACATCAAGACATCTTGGACTTGATCATACCGACGCGCAGCTTTCGCGAAGAGGCGCCATGCCACCTGGTCATGCCTCCGCCCAGACATGGCTTGCGCTAACTAGGTATAGAAATAAGCAAAGATGTTCTCTTAACTTGAGGGAATCGATTCACAATCAATTAACTCCAACATCTTCTCCTATATCTATAGACCCTTACTCTAAATTAACTCTACCTCTCAGCTAACTCTAACTCTAACTTACTTTCCCTAACCTTAAAGAAAACTAATACTAACCTTTAGTTCCTATGTTTTAACTAGAATCGATCTAGAATTGATTTAGAATTGATTCGGGTTTTAGCTATATAGTTAGCGCAGACCAGGTGGCCTGCTTCCTGTTTCGCGGAGACTGGAGATGGCAAGTCGTCTAATTAGTCATGGATTGCTGGAGATGAGAGGTCTTGGATTCATGACCAGCAAAGGGAGAGTAAGTGGATATTCGAAAGCCATCCAGGATATCATTACAATGCGATGAATAAACAGACATGCAGGCCATAGTGCCGTGACCCTAATCCTTCTTCGCTATGTGACGTGATGGCTTCGAACAGATCCAGCATGCAAATGCAAAAACATACCTCCGAGTCACGGTGGATCGCCACCAGGTATGAGTTGTTGCGGCATCTGGTCAGCAACATCGCGATGCCATCAGGTGCTGCAATAATTCGTGCGCGCTACACCCCACGATCCTGAGCACCTCTACGAAATGAGGGCCTCCATAACGCTTCGATCACTGTACATGAGAGAAAGCTAGCAACAGCTGTGTTACAATGACAAGACCGTGTTCGGAGTCAAAATCATGTCCGCACGAAAATAATGTCGAGGTTCGGAAACATTTCAGCCCGAAAAGCATTTTCGGCGAAATAAATCGTGTCCGCCAACACCAGCTCGTGACCGAACACCGTTTGAAACACCGAAATTCTGCGCTGCAATCCACAGTAAAATCGAAACCTTCCGCATTGGGTATATCGAGCGTCACACTTCTTCGCCGAAACGCCGGAGAAGTGCGAATAGAGTTTCTTTTCTCTCCGAGACTATAAATTATCACGACTCTAACAACGAGCGTAGTCAAACATCTTTGGCCGATACTGGCACGGCCTAGTCGTGGTTCGTTGGTGTTCGTTATGATTCGCGTGCAAAGTAGTTGCCGTGCTTGCTCGATGAGCGCGCCCGAGGCATCAAGAGGTGTTGCAATGATTCATGCGCGCTCTGTCTTGATTCAACTTACTATCAGACAGCGACCGATATCTTATATGCAAGCCTGAACAGACTTAACAGCTAATCAGGGCATTGCGCAGAGCTTAGACAACCTTGAAGTGAGACAGCTCAACTGAATTGATAATCATGCAACCGAGGCTACGATCTTTCAACGTGGCCTTTCCTGAAGCACCTATGGTATTTTTCCTTGGCAGCTCCACCCTCTAGACCATCTGACCAAAAGTCCGCAGCAACTCTACCGGCGTTCCACTTGCTCTAGTTGCACGTAGGATAAACAGGATAAACTCGCATTACCGGTGGCCCCCGCGTTTCCCCAGACTTTATGCCGGGACTCACCCTGCCATGCAATTTCCCGAAATTCTGTATATCATGACTTAGCCTACACCAAGCCCTCGTGGTCGTGCAGATCATCGGTCATTGATACTATACAGGGAGGAGCACTCTATCCTAAACAGGACGAGAGCAGGTCAAGACGGGTATTGTACTAAAGCACTCAGTAGGTTACCCGATCTGTGAACATGCGATCGAGACAATTCCTGGGAAGTGGAGTATATATAGATTGTGTTTCCTTGCGTTGTTGAGGAAGGATAGAACTCTTTTTTTTGGAACGTGCTTGCAATGCTGTTCACATCTTTCACCACCGCTCTGGCGCTTGCCAGCAGCGCGGCTGCTATTCCTACTTTTGGCCTCGAGCCTCGTCAGGCTGCGACCCTCAATGCTGCTATTGTTGCGCGAGGCCGCTCGTACATTGGTACTTCGTTGACGATCCGCAGCGACACCCAAGAGTCGAACATCATCAAGTCGGAATTCGGCTCAATCACACCAGAGAATTCTATGAAGTGGGACGCGACTGAGCCAAACCGTGGACAATTCACCTTCAATGGCGCTGACCAGGTTGCAAACTTCGCGACCCAGAACAACAAGCAGATGCGCTGCCATACACTGGTCTGGTACTCCCAATTGCCCAGCTGGGTCAACCAGATCAACAACAACGCCACATTGATGAGTGTCATGGAGAACCATATCAATACTGTCATGGGTCGTTACAAGGGCAAATGCACCCACTGGGATGTCGTGAATGAAGGTGAGTCCAGCTAGTATTCAACGAAAAAAGCAAAGCATTAACAATGGCGAAGCACTCAACGAAGACGGCACGAACCGTGACAACGTTTTCCTCCGCGTCATCGGCGAGCAATACATGCCCATCGCCTTCCGCATGGCCGCTGCTGCTGACCCAGCCGCCAAGCTCTACTACAACGACTACAACCTCGAGTACGGCGGTGCCAAGCACACGGGTGCTCTCCGCATCGTCAAGCTTGTTCAATCCTGGGGCGTTAAGATCGATGGTGTTGGTCTCCAGGCCCATCTGACCTCAGAGTCAACCGGAACACAGAACACTCCTACCCCCAGCGTCGCAGTCCTGACGAAGACGCTGCAAGACTATGCTGATCTCGGTGTTGACGTTGCGTACACTGAGCTCGACATTCGCTCCAACACACCGAGCAACTCGGGCAAGGAGACTGTTGCAGCTGCGGCTTGGGCTCGTGTTGCTCAGAGCTGCATCAATGTTTCGCGCTGTGTTGGTATTACAATCTGGGTACGTGCACCGTCTACGATTATTTGGGAAAGATGATGAAGCTAACTCTCTGTGTAGGGTGTCAAGGACGGATACAGCTGGGTCCCAGGAACGTTTCCCGGTGAGGGATCTGCTCTGCTCTGGAACGACAGCTACCAGAAGAAGCCTGCTTACACTGCTTTCCTCAACGTCCTGAACGGACAGAACGTCACTCTGGCCTAAAGTGGACGGACTTGAAGGACTGCTTACTTCACTGTATATATTCTCACTACCTTCGACTATGTACAAATGAAAATTAAATATGGCTTCTCGACTGTGTTCGAACTTGAACCACGACTAAAAAAAAGCTCTAATACCATGCACAAGCCTAGATAGACCCAACAGCGATTCCAAATAAGACAAATACTAAAACAAGGGCTAGAAATATACATCTTCAACCTAAGTACACTCACAAAGTGCTTAAGATTCAGAAATGTCGATCGCGCATGTATCACTGCAACACGTAGTAATCCGAGTCCGCGTCATACCAACACCAACCACTCAAACAATTCCCATTTTCCACCTAACATCTTTCTACAACGCCACCCACGTGCCCCCATTACCCCATCAAGTAACTTATCTTTCTACCGTCGATGTCTGCAATGCTTGAGGGTTCATCCATGCCGCCTACTTTAAACGAGGCTTTTCCAACATCACACGTCGACGCCGGCCAATCGCATCACGCCACACCGAATCTCGTGCATGAAAGTGGGTTTTTTTTGCCACGACTACTGGGTTTTTACTACCTCGGGCTTGGTGCATGAGATCTTAGTGGAAATATACCAATAGTGCCGGGAGTGGGATATCCAAATGCTAGGGAAGGTGAATTAGAGTATATGATAGCTCGGAAGCTATGCACGGTATTATCAGATTTGGAATTCGCCCGGTAAAGGTACCGTGTATAGCTTCAAGCTACTTATATTGAACTGCCTTGCTGCAGCGCTTCTAGCCGGTGTGCTGTCGTAATTGAAGGAAGTGGCAGTGTATTTTTTCGTAATTAATACCCCCAACTTCACAGCTTCGTTCACATCCCTTCGACAAAATGTTGCTCCCGGTAACTCTTCGTCCACCACAGATACCAAGGTACGATGTTCATCTTGATCACATGTCCCCACCACGGCGTATCCTGCACTGTCTTGACTACGCTTTGACTCTCATCGAACGCCGTGTCAATCCTCGCTCGCCGTAACTTCTCATACGCTTCAAACGCCTCTTTGACCGGCACACCTTCCTGTCGCCTAGTCTCCATCCACTTCGCCAAACACCGCGCAAACAAAACCCCATCTTCAAATACTATGCCCGTCGATTCGCCCTGTGGCGGCATCGCGTGCGCAGAGTCGCCGATCAGCATAGTCTTCTCAGTCGACCATTTTCCGCCTTTTGAAAGCGTGAAGACAGGCCAGAGGTATAAGTCCTCCGCATCCTCAATAACTCTCTCAATGAGAGGATTCGCCGCACCACTATACCTCTCCAACATATCCTCCCGAATCCTCTGCGCATCTTTACCCGCCGCTTTCCACCCATCGCGACTTTCAATTTCGGGGACTTGCATCAGCGCGCCCACGTATATCGAGTTGTGGGCAGCGTTGTGGAAGGATGTTAGCAGCATGCCTCTGCGGCCGAAGTTCATGCCCGAGACTTCAAAATGCGTGGGCTCGTAGAGACCAGTGGTTTTGTCGAGGCGCCGCGCGGAGAAGCCAAAGGCGTTGCAGATGCCTGAGTATTGGCTTTTCCGGGCGGGTTCGACGTGCTTGAGGCGCGCGACGGAGTGGATGCCGTCGCAGCCTACGAGGATGTCGCCATGCGCTGGAGTACCGTCTTCGAAGGTCAAGGTAACGCCTTCATTGTCCTCATTGATGGTGGTAGTCTTCTTCCCGCACTCGATCCGGATATTGGAACATTTTCCTACTGCTTCTAACACGCCTTTTAGTGCCTCTCCTCTTGTGATCCTCAACGCAGTAAATGGTGGTGTTCCTAGTCCCTTGCCGTCAGGTCCGCGAAAACTACTTTCGGCAATCTTCTTGTTTGTGTACAAGTCGAAGACCTCGACTGCGAGACATTCGGCGCCATACTGCTTGGCGCGGATCTCATCCAAGGCGCCTAGATGTGAGAGTAAACGGAGAGCATTTGGGGTGAGATTTACGGCGCCTCCGATTGTGGCAGGCTCAGGACGCAATTCAAAGATGGTGATGTCTGGCGGAGGAGAAGTGAACTTGGTGAGGGAGAGAGCGGTGGTCAGACCAGCGATACCAGCACCTAGAATCAGGATCTCCAAGGGTTCGAGATGAGTAGACATGGTGTCCCAAATTTTACTTCTTCTTCGGTTGCAGGTATTCAGCTAAGCTACAGTATGTGTTTGTAGTCTCGCTCAAGCAACTTATAAGTGTATACCAACATAGTCTTGGTGAGCTCATCGATTCTCTTGTTCTGGTATGCCTCACATGGTTAGTGCTGATAACGCGCGAATAGCTCTAGTGAACATCAAATCTCGGGAAGGATGGGGAACCGCTTCGGCTGCGCAATCATGTCTACTTGGGACTAATAAGTCGTCCGAACACCCCTAGTCAGAGACGTTGTACACCGAGTACAAGCCATGCAGCATCTATATTGTACGCTTGTAGGAGGTCCTCAGCGCAGGGTGGTGATGGTGACTTTGGTATCCACGGGTGGGCAAGACGACCGGAGTGATGTCTTCCGTGTGCGCTGTATTGTCATCGTTGCCGTTACTTGCAGAACCACTGGCTCGATTTTTCGAAGATGCTGGGCTTCCACAGCACCGCGGAGGGAGCTCCTTCGAGAACGCGGCTGGACTCGTCGTAGCTCCCACGTGCGCATGAGATCATGGCTGGGCACCTGGGTCGCCGAAGCCAATGCGAGTACCGCAGCACTGCAAGTATGCTTCACATCAGGCTTCCCTAGGTCTTCTGAATCAAAAGATCCTCGACATGCATCTTCCCGATTAACCTCACCTCATCAACTGTCTCCAGCCTCTCCCATCACATCCCTCCTCAACCAACGCCAAGCTGCCAGCCAGCCACCGGCCGCATATAAGGCCTCATGCACCACTCCCCCACATATCCCGTGATCACACTCCACTGCGGAACCCCCCGCGCCTAAGACAGTTCGCAGGCGATGCAGCAATCGACAGCCAGACCGCAAGGCTGGGGCTGATTACCGATTCCGGAAGGTTGCGGCTACGACTAGTGAAAAGTGCGCTTTGGAGTCGGGGGGAAATGTTGGAGTGCGACAAGGCTGGACGGCGAATCTTCGGAGGGATCGAGAGGTGAACGGGTGCTGATTCGCTGATGAGGAGAAGGGTTGTTTGGGGTGGTGAATGGGTGCGTGGCTTGGCGGTCGGGGGGAACTACCGAGGCATGAGTCGAGTCGAGTCGCGAGGTCCTGCGGGACGGCCTGTGATGTTGGACAATATTTCAATATTTCGAGGACAAACATAGCAACATACATCTTACAGAAATTTTACTCAAAGCTCCAACACTGCCCGACATCAAAATGGCGACCCCAAAATCTCTAAACAACACCTACCATGCCCCGACCGCCCCGTATCTCAGACCTATCATTATCTGCGGCGTCGTCATGGCGCTTGTCGCACGTCGCGAGGTCATTTCACCGGGCTCACCACTATACGATTACGTCCTGTCGAGATCGCCAAACGCCTTGAAAGCCGGTGTCTGGATCCAGAATGGACTATTCTACTTCCTCTACGGTGCTCATGCTATCGAGGCAGCTGTGTTCACCAAGCGATTGAGCAACCATGGTGTTAGCGTAATGAGTCTGGCATGGTGGAAGTGGATGGCGACGTGTTTCATTGGGGGCAAGTTTTGCTTTGAGCACTTCGACAAGGTGGTGGGAAAGAAGGCTGCTTAGATGAGTTGTGAGCATGAAAGGGTCGATGCGGGGAGTGATTCAATTCAATTCGGATTCACTGTATCCTCGCTGCATATATCGCTACAAATGGAAGCCAGATAACGCCTGTGCCTATGCTCTTACAAACCCTACGAAGGTACATGTACACTGATGTCAAACTCGAACCGTCGTCTACTGCTTCTTCTGCGCGTTCGGGCCCATCTCTTTGCTGAAGGCGAAGTATGATACCTCAAGGCTGGTGAGCGCCCTGATGCCGACGAGAAGGATGAGGAAAAGCGGGATGATGGCAACAAAACCCATGAACAGTCCGGGCGTGAAGTATTGGTATCGCTCGAAGAGACCGCCAGCGTTGGTCGCATTCGCGCGCTGCACGTGGGAAGAGAGGTCGCGCTTCAGTTCGAACTGCTCGTAGTTTCCAAAAGGATTCTCCATCTCGTATGGAGGGTGCTGGTTTTCCAGTTGTGCCTTGGCCACCTTCTCGTCTATTGGCGTCGTGATGTAGATGACGGTGTAGTCTTCAGATTGGGCGATGAGCTCATCGATCATGTCGTCTGCATATGTCAGCTGCTATCTCCATCCAAGTGATTTTCACACATACCGGCATCCTGCAGACTGCTCAGTCTCTGGTCCTTCTCCGCGCCCGGTGCTGCGACAGCTTTCAGACCCGCCTTGTGTCCACACCTTGACTGGAGATGCGATAAAATGGCATTTCCATCAACCTGACCAACCACATCTGGGACCGCGAAAGTTGTCCTGACCTGCTCCTGCTTGCCGCCCATGTACTGGCTCAGCACGGGTGCCGAGCGACCGTCTGCATAGTCGGCAGCGGAGACACCGCGCTGCTCAATAACAACATAGGACTCCGTGGGGCAGTCCTTCAGCGCGCCGAGAATGTCGGCAGTAGTCTGTGATGATTCCGCGATCGATGCGTCTGCGTTTGGGAGGAGCAAGCTGCAGTTGTTAGCTAAGAAGCTTCAGGGCAAGCTTCGGAGGCGCATACTCAGCCGTGGAGAAGAGGAAGAAGGGCGAGGTATTGCTGAATGCAAACGCAGAGGGCAACGCTGCCAGAGCGAGGGCGCCAACCAATGTCTTCGCCATGATGCAGTGATAGCTGGACGTGTGTTGTTGCTGGTGATGTTCACGTAACGGGAGCTGGCGTTGCGGCGATGCCTGCCACACTAGATCACCCGAAGATTTGCCGGATTCATGACGCGCAGTCCAAACTCCGAGCGAATTTCGTACAGTCAGAAGCGCGTTGCATGTGTAAACTGCGCCACCGCATCTGAAGAGTCTTTCCGAAAGCTGTCTGGAAGCTGACGCCTGTTTCACTGGCTGCTTATGAGTCATCAAACATCATTTTCTAAAATGTCGCGCTAGCAATACCACTGCCTCTGGCAAAGTGTATAACCTCGCTCGCCACTGTCACTGCAACAGTACAACCACACGCGCTTCAATTTTGTTCTTTCTTCACGTTCACCAGGCCGTACAAATACCAGTGCCTGCAAAATCAAATTCAGTTCCTCGGGACTCCGACACGGCCTTTGCGCCACCACAATCGCTATCACGTACATACCGGTCGATACTCAACTACGCACCATGTCGACCGCCACTGCAGCACCGCCAGCTACAGCAGGGACAAGTGATGCTTCAAGAGGCGCCAACAGGCGGAGACGCCCGCGGAGAAACCCCAACACACCAGCAGAGCAGCAAGCGGAGGGACAGGGACAGGGACAGGTTCACGCTTTGGTCCCGTCGCAAGTCATGTCGCAAAGAGGTGGGCGCAGTGGAAGGGGCCGTGGGGGCGCCAGAGGAGGGCATACAGAACCTGGGACCCCCACAGCACCACAGACGGAGGCCGCAAACCACGATGGTGCGCCTTCTACCAACCGCGGAGGCAGAGGCGGACGGGCGCGGGGCAGAGGACCCAGGTTTGGCCCACGACTGGCCGCTGGCGGGCGGCAATTTGGTGGACAGTTGACTGCCGAGGACAACGGTGCTTCAGAAGCAGATTCGCAGACAAGCTCGGGGCTACAGGCAGATGCTCCTGCATTCCAACCTGGCCAACCAATTGCTCCCCGCAAGCAGCGAGCGCCACGCGAAAAGAAGCCGCAACTACCGAAGTCGAATGCGCCAGATATCGCGACGCGAACACACGAGGACATAGACAATGGTCACTACGAATGTGCTATTTGCACGGAGGATGTTAAGAGGCACTCGCGAGGTGTCTGGTCATGTCGAACATGCTGGACCGTATTCCATCTGGGCTGTATCAAGAAGTGGTCCACAAACGAAGGCTCAGCAGCAGCTCGTCAGCAGGCTCAAGATGGTGAAATGCCACCCCCTAGGCAGTGGCGTTGTCCTGGATGCAACTTGCCCAAGGATACCCTACCCAAGAACTTCCACTGTTGGTGCGAGAAGGAGCTCGATCCCAAGGCCTTGCCAGGATTACCACCATTCTCGTGTGGTCAGACGTGTGCTCGACCCCGGGTGTTGCCAAAGAGTTGTCCCCACCCTTGTCCTGTGACCTGTCATGCTGGCCCTTGTCCGCCTTGTGGCCTTATGGGGCCGACTAAGCCTTGCTTCTGCGGTAAGAAGTCAATGACCCGACGCTGCGTCGATACCGATTACGAACACGGTTGGGGATGCGGCGAGGTTTGTGGCGAAGTCATGGCATGTGGAGAGCACCGGTGCTCGCGGCCGTGTCATGACGGTCCATGTGGTGCATGCGAAGTGCGAGTTCCTGCGCGATGCTACTGCGGTCAGATAGAGAAAGACATACTATGTCGCGACAGAGCTGAGGAGAAGCAGAGCAGACAATACCACACCGCAGCCGATGGTATTGCTGCCATGGAGGAGTGGATTGGCACGTTCGAATGTCCAAATGTGTGTAGTCGGCCTTTTGATTGCGGAAAACACATGTGCCAGAAGCTTTGCCATCAGCAGGACGCGAAGCCACCACATTGTCCTCGATCTCCCGATCTTGTGAGCTATTGCCCTTGCGGAAAGACTCTGCTGAAGGACATGACGAATGCCAACCGAACAACCTGCGAAGACCCGATACCGAATTGTGCAAAACCATGTCATAAGACACTAGCCTGCGGACATCCATGCGAGCAGCTGTGCCATCAAGGAGATTGCTCAGCCTGCTTCCAGAGAGTGTCCATTGCCTGTAGGTGTGGACGTACGACATCGACGTCGATCTGCCATCAAGGATCCGAAGAGTCTCCACAGTGTATGCGCATCTGCCGAGTGTCTCTGAATTGCGGACGACACGAATGCGGCGAGCGATGCTGTGCCGGCGAGCGTAAAGCTGCAGAGCGTCAATCTAATCGGCGCAAAGCGCGACCTTTGGATGCGGCACCCCGTCGACCAGGCGATAACTTTGAAGCTGAACATATTTGCACTCGTAGCTGTGGCCGCCAATTGAAGTGTGGCAATCCCGAACACCGCTGCCAGGAGCTCTGCCACAAAGGCCCATGTGGGACTTGTCGGGAAGCCATCTTCGACGAGCTCAGCTGCCAGTGTGGACGCACTGTATTACAACCTCCACTCCCTTGTGGTACTAAGCCACCTCCGTGTCGGTTTGCATGCGAGCGGTCGAAAGAGTGTGGACATCCGCAAATGGCTCACAATTGTCACGGGGACGAAGAGAATTGTCCCAAGTGCCCATTTCTGACGACCAAATCTTGTCTGTGTGGTAAGAACGTACTGAAGAATCAGCCATGTTGGCTCTCGGACGTTCGTTGCGGCGAGATTTGTGGGAAGACGCTCAGATGCGGTGCCCACAAGTGCCAGAAACAATGCCATCGTTCAGGCGAGTGCGACGAGCCCTGCAGACAGCCGTGCGGTAAGGAGCTCAGCATCTGTGGTCATCCATGCATGTCTCCTTGTCATTTCCCTGGGGTGTGCAAGGAAGAAAAGCCCTGTCAACAGAAGATCTTCGTCACTTGCGAATGCCAGAGGATCAAGCAGGAGGCCAAATGCGCTGCGTCGCGCCAAGGAGACGGAAACACGAAGAAGACCTTGAAGTGCGATGAAGAGTGTGCACGCCTGGAGCGCAACCACAAGCTTGCTCTCGCTTTGAATGTCGATCCCGAGCACCAAAGCGACCATGTTCCGTATTCCACCGAAACTTTGAACATGTATCAACAGAATTCGACATGGGCGGCTACTCAAGAGAAGCAGCTCAGACTGTTCGCTGCTGATCCTGAAGCGAAACGCTTCCGATTCAAGCCAATGCAGCGTCATCAGCGAGCTTTCGTGCATTCACTTGCCGAAGACTTTGGCTTTGACACGGAGAGCATGGACCCCGAGCCCCATCGTCATGTCGCCATCTTCAAGACACCTCGTTTCGTCATGGCACCTATGAAAACACTAGCAGAGTGTGCGCGGACCCGACCAGTCCAACGCCCTATACCTGCACCAGCAGCCACTGCGACATTGCGTCCTAAGCCAAGCAACACGACTGGCGATCCGTACAACGCTTTCCTCGTCACGAATCCGCGATTTGCCTTGACCATCGAAGAGGTCAGCACCGTCGTCAAGTCTGTATTGGCCAAGACATCCTTCAGTCTCGACCTCGAAGTCAACTTCCTCCCCAGTGAAGCCGTCACGCTCAAACCCCCGCTCGTCGCGCGTCTCAACACCGACGAACGCTCGATGCAGAAGCAGCTGGAATCCATACAAGAACCTCTCCAGCAAGCTTTCTTGGCTCAGAAGATTGGCAAGATCCAACTCGCGCGCCTAGATTCAAGTCTCAACATCCTACGCAAGGAATCAGACATTGGCCCTGGTAGCGGATGGAGCACCGTGGCTGCAGCGAAGGGCGCGCCATTGAGACAGGTTGCTAGGGGCACAGCGTTTGGCAACAAGGGTGGCTTTGCGGTGCTGAGCTTGAGCAATAAGAAGAAAAAGAAGGAGATCGAGGTTGTGGAGGACTGGGAGGCTGCGGAGGAGCAGGAAGAGGAGAAGGAGATGAAGGCTAGTGGAAGTGGTGCGAACAGTGGGGTTGTGAGTGAGAACGAGGGAGGTGCATCGTCACGGCCTGATAGTGCTGGTCCTGCGGTGGAGGGCTCTTCTGATGAGGCGATTGTTCCAATGACGCCAGGAACTGCTAGATGGGCGGATATGGAAGATGAATAGGACTTTTAGCTACGGCCATGCATGGGTCTTATAAGTTCCAGTATCGCCTACAGAAGAAGCAAATCTCAGTACAACTCACACAAGACTCGCGCTTGCGAACGTGGTTGAGCAATACGTGACGATACTAGGTATTCTTCGCCTCTCCCTCCCCACCCATCAAATAATATGCCCCATAGCCGCATACTGGTCCTTGACATTCGCAATCAACGCCGGTTTCAAAAACAAGATAAACATCCACACTCCGGGCAACGCACTCATAAACCCCGTCAAACACTTCGCCTTCGGATACTTCGCATACACCTCAAACCCGTCCAGAAACCCATTCACCAAATTCGTAAGACTCCACAACAACATGCTGACCGCAATCGCCCAATACGGCGCCGACGACAGGCCGTACGGGTTGTTTTTGAAATGCGCATTCGACCGCCGTAAGCAGTAGAGGATGGCGTCGTCGATGGGCGCGCCGGCGATGGTGCAGCGGCCGAGGAGCAGGCGGTGGGCGCGGGATTTGGCCCAGCGGCGCTCGAGGGCGTGGGTTTCTGTGCGCTCGAGGGAAAGTTGGCGGTCGCGGAGCCAGGTTTGGCATTCGGCGAGGGTGTAGTGCACAGCGTCGAGGAAGTCGAGTTGCATGGTTACTTTGCGAGTGGAGTCGATTGGGTAGGTTATTGAGACGGGGGAGCGGCTGGATGCGGATGTGGTTGTTGATGGTGTCGTGGAGGATAGGGTGGTGTGCTGGGAGGCGCGGTGGTGATGGAGCATGGTTGGAGTAATGCGTAAGACTTGTTGCGCGGTGGAGTGGTAAGAGAGATGTTGGGCAGAAGTTGGGATGATTTACGGGGGAGGTTTGAGGGAGGGAGGCAAGCAGTTTGGATAGAGCGATTGAGGGCGGCCGGCCATGTTTTCCGCTCTCTTCTTTCCTTCATACGAAGAGACGTTTAGATATGCCACATTATTTGCGAAGAAAGTAAGAGGTGTTTAGAACTCCATCAATAGCACGTGCCTCTACAGCGGTAAGACATGGGACTTAAGACGAAACGAAGAATTGATGGAAATAATGAATGAAAAGAGGATCACATTGAAGATAGAATGTAGCCTTCTACTAGATGAACTCTAAGATGCACCACTGCAATAAATCAAGACTTGTTGACCTAGAAAGAAAAGAATCCATCTGATGTGAGTCGAAGCGTTCATGACACCAAATCGCATGACTCGGTTGCGGTGCAGGTAAATACGATGAGATGGGGAACTAGTCTACGGCTGGCCTAAGCGGGCGGAGCCGAAGTCAACAATCGAGCGATGACGTCTGTCCCGCGGCCGCGGGTACCTGAGCGTTGCCATGCTTCGCGACTCCCATCGTCGATCAAACGGTTGCAGCTTCTGCTCATTTTCGCATCGCAGAGGGAAGCTGTCCCTCTATTCCCTCGAGCAGGAGGTCCGCAGCCGTGTTTATCATCTCGAGTGTCCTGCGATAGCTTGTATCCACTCCTCAACAACTTCATCCTCAACACCACCTGTTTTATCATCACGCCGCAGGATACCTATTGCATCTTTTCCCATTGTTTACCCGCCAGCTCACCGCACCAATGCAGTCCCTCGCTAACAAATTGGTCAACCTGGCCACGTCTGCGCCGTCGGATTCTCCCTCCGATCCGGCTTCGCAGACAGTGTACCTGCTGCCATTGACCGACTCCGGCGCGCCAGACGTGCCGGGCACATACATTTACCTGCCGCCTCCAACCGAGCCGGCATACTCTGTCCGCTTCCAGATCCAGGGTACCAGCTCGATATGTCGTAAAGGCAGTCTCTGGGTGAACATCCCGGCCAAGGGCGAGAAGTTCGACCGCAGCAAGTATCGCGAGTACAAGTGGGTCTCCCCATCAAATCCCCAAACTTCCCCACAACACATCACTAACGGTGGTTCGCAGGCTCAAGCCAGACTTCAACGGCACCACGGAAATCGACGTACCCGTATACGCTGCCAATGCCTTCTCATTCTACACAACCTACTCGCCGCTCCCACAATGGTCGTTCACCGACGTTGCATCACCAGAACCCACGCGAACATCCACATACTACATCGATGTATGTCCGAGACTCACCCTCCAGGGCAAGCAATTGCCCGTCGAGAGCGTCATTGTCTTCTCCACGCTGTCCAAATTCATGGGCGAGTACCCCACAGATTGGGATAACCATCTACGCGGCATTAGTCAACGCGGCTACAACATGGTTCATTTCACACCCCTCATGATCCGTGGCGAGTCGAATTCTCCCTACAGCATATATAGTCAGCTCGAATTTGACAAAGCTGTCTTTCCCAAGGGCGAAGCGGATGTCGCGGCCATGGTCGAGAAGATGCACACTGAGTTCAGCATGCTTGCCATGACCGACGTTGTGTGGAACCACACAGCTAACAACAGCAAATGGCTCGAAGAGCACCCAGAGTCAGGTTACAACGTCGATACTGCACCCCACCTGCAGCCAGCTCTCGAGCTGGACACGGCGCTCCTGAAATTCGGCAAGGAGCTGTCTTCGTACGGGCTTCCTACCAAATTCGAGAGTGAGGCCGACCTCGTCAAGGTCATGGAGAGCGTCAAAGAGAATGTGCTTAGCAAGCTCAAGCTGTGGGAATACTATGTTGTGGACGTGGAAAGGGACGCCCAGGCAATCATGGAGAAGTGGAAAGCCGGCCAAGCCACTTTCCCCGAAGGCAGCTTTAGTGAAGCTGGTCTTCGTGGCCTCGATGCCGTCAAAGGCTGGCCGCTGAAGCAGAAGGCCGACTGGCTCGTCGACCACGCGCTTCTCGGGGGCGACAGGATGGGCGAGCGGTTTAGGCGCCGCATCGACCCAGCTGCTGGAGCTGGTCTCCTGTGCGCTCTTTTCGGTCGCTTCGACAGCCGTACTAGTGATACCCCAGACGAGCGCGCTGCATCAGACGAGTGCACTCGCATCTTGCAAGAGCTCAATCTACCATTCTACAAGGAGTATGATGGAGACGCGAAGGAGATCATGGAGCAACTCTTCAACCGGATCAAGTATGTCCGGATAGATGCCCATGGTCCCAAGCTCGGTGAAGTCAACGAGAAGAACCCGCTGATCGAGACGTACTTCACCCGTCTGCCGCTCAACGATACCACCAAGAAGCACAACCCGGAAGCGCTCGCGCTTGTGAACAACGGCTGGGTCTGGGCCGCCGATGCCATGCGAGATAACGCTGGTCCCAAGTCGCGCGCATACCTAAGGAGAGAAGTCATTGTTTGGGGCGACTGTGTCAAGCTCCGATACGGATCTGGCCCAGAGGACAATCCTTTCCTTTGGGAGCACATGGCCAAGTACACCAGGCTGATGGCAAAGTACTTCCAAGGTTTCCGAATCGACAACTGCCACTCAACCCCCATCCATCTGGCCGAGTACATGCTCGACCAAGCCAGGCACGTCAACCCCAACCTCTTCGTCTGCGCAGAGCTGTTCTCTGGTTCCGAAGAGATGGACTACAAGTTTGTCATGCGCCTCGGCATTTCTTGTCTTATACGAGAGGCCATGCAGGCCTGGAGTACACAGGAGTTGAGCAGACTTGTACACCGTCATGGTGGTATTCCCATTGGCAGCTTCGAGACAGACGAGGTCCTCAATGCCGACCAAGACGGCACAAAGTCGCACGCTATTGTCAAGAAGATCAAACGTAGTCCTGTACATGCACTGTTCATGGATTGTACTCACGACAACGAGATGCCTGCACAGAAGCGCGACGCTCGTGACACGCTTCCGACTGCTGCTCTGGTCGCCATGTGCTCTTGCGCCACTGGGAGTGTGTTCGGCTTCGATGAAGTCTATCCCGAGCTCATTGAGCTTGTCCACGAGAAGCGACTCTATTCTTCGACCAACTCAACCGGCGGCCCCATTAAGGCGCAAGCTGGTGAGGGTGGTATTGGAGGTGTCCGGAAGATCATCAACGAAATCCATGTAAAAATGGGCCAAGAGGAGTACACTGAGACGTACATCCACCACGACCAGGAGTACATCACTGTCCATCGTGTCGACCCCCACACCAGGAAGGGCTACTTCTTGATTGCACACACTGCATTCCCTGGATATGGGAACGGTAATGGAGGCTTTGGTCAGACAAATCTGCCAGGCACGCAAGCAAAGCTCATCGGCGCTTGGAATCTGGATGTCGATAACAGCCAAGAGACCAGGGCTCGTGTCATTGGCGACAAGACTACACTGCGCGGCCTTCCTGCCAGGACGAACAACCTTCAAGGAGTGAAGATTGAGACTACCGGCGACTCGACCACGATCAGCATCCCAGACAAGTTCCCTCCTGGTAGCATTGCGCTCTTTGAGACTTCGGTAGCGAGCGCTGAGCACGCCGATGGCCTTGACAAGTATGTAACGACCGGAGCGAGGGCAGCCTTCAAGGACGTCAACTTGGCCGACCTCAACTTCATCCTGTACCGTTGCGACGCAGAGGAGCAGAATGACTCTGACGGCAAGGACGGAACCTACGACATCCCAGGTCATGGCAAGCTTGTATATGCCGGCTTGCAAGGCTGGTGGAGTCCACTGCGCGACATCGTCAACGACAACAACTTGGGCCACCCGATCTGCAAACATCTCCGCGAAGGTCAATGGGCCTTGGACTACTGCGTCGGACGTCTTGAGCGCGCTGGATCGAAGGGACAGTATTCCCGCGTTAAGGAACCCGCCAAATGGCTCAAAGAACGATTTGATGCTATCCGCAAGCTGCCGAGCTTCATGCTTCCGCGATACTTCGCGCTCGTTATCCAGGCTGCTTATAACGCCGCGATTGACCGTGCAATTGAGCTCATGGGCGAAAATGTACGCAACGGCAACAACTTCCTGAAGAGTCTCGCCCTCGTCAGCGTCCAAGTAACAGGTTACGTGAAAGGTGCTTCTATCTGGCCGGAGAAGAACGTACCCAGTATGGCTGCTGGCCTTCCTCACTTTGCAGTCAGCTGGGCCAGATGCTGGGGTCGTGATATCACGATCTCAGCCCGTGGTCTTTTCATGGCCACAGAAAGGTATGATGATGCCAAGGAGCACATTATGTGCTTCGCAAGTGTTCTCAAGCACGGCATGGTACCCAACCTCCTAGGATCTGGCGTGAACCCGCGATACAACTCCCGAGATTCGGTCTGGTGGTTCTTGCAGAACATTCAGGACTACACCAAGATTGTGCCGAACGGTCTTGATCTGCTCCAGGAGAAAGCTCCACGACGCTTCCTCCCTTACGATGACACCTGGTTCCCTCACAACGACAAGCGAGCTTACTCGGTACACTCCACGATCGAGGATGTGATCCAAGAAGCATTACAACGACACGCTTCCGGAATAGAATTCCGTGAGTACGATGCTGGCCCTAACATCGATAGCCAGATGAAGCCAGAGGGTTTCGATATCAAGATCTGGACCGACTGGGAGAATGGTCTCATCTTCGGCGGTAACCAGTGGAATTGTGGAACCTGGATGGACAAGATGGGCGAAAGCGAGAAGGCCAACAGCAAGGGTGTTCCTGGCACACCCCGTGACGGCGCACCTATTGAGATGATCGGCATGCTGTACAGCGCTGTCCGCTGGTGCTCCCAGCTGTACGAGCAGGGCAAGTTCAAGTATGAGGGTGTGACATTGCCCGATGGCAAGGAGACCATCACGTACAAAGCGTGGGCCGACAAGATCAAGGCAAACTTCGAGCGCGCCTTCTACGTTCCTCGGACTCCAGAAGAGGACAAGGACTACGATGTCAACACCAAGATCGTCAACCGTCGTGGCATCTACAAGGATCTGTACCGATCCGGAAAAGAGTATGAGGACTACCAGCTGCGGCCCAACTTCCCTGTCGCCATGGCGGTTGCTCCGGATATGTTCGATCCTGATCATGCTCGGTACGCACTGCAGATGGCCGATCGTGTTCTGCTCGGACCACAAGGCATGAAGACGCTGGATCCTTCTGATCTCAACTACCGCGGGTACTACATCAACAGCGAAGACTCGACCGACTTCCATACGTCCAAGGGCAGGAACTACCACCAAGGCCCTGAATGGCTCTGGCCAACAGGTTTCTTCCTCCGAGCCCTCCTCAAGTTTGACCTTCAACGACGGAAGACGCCTGAGGAGCGCGTCGAGAGCTACCAACAAGTCACACGCCGATTGGCTGGATGCATGAAGGCTATCCAGGAGAGTCCTTGGGCTGGACTGACAGAATTGACGCAGAAGGATGGTGACTTCTGCGGCGACTCGTCCCCAACACAGTCATGGTCTGCTAGTTGCATAATCGACTTGTTCCAAGATGCCCGCGAGTACGAGCTGGATAAGGCGTAGAGTTGATTGCGCAGCGCTGGGATGAAGTTTGTTGCAAAACGCTTTGTCGTCTGCAGTAGGCTGGTTTGCTGTAGACAATTGTGCATAGAATAAGAACCTCTGTTGATACCTTTTCAATTTGTAGCATTTTGACTAATTACTTTTCAATCCGTCAACTTTGCTCCTGAAATGACCAGTCGCATTTGACGTCTGGCATCCTTGCACGTCTGACATCAGCGGAGGTGACTACGCGTCTTAGCGTGTTTCTGCCCTACGGGAGCTAATCAAATAGTCCGCGCCCACCCGTTCGCGGGCAGTTTGTGGTTCCCAACTTTCAAGATTAGAAGGGCGTGTAATAGTTTGCAGCCGGTTGCGGCAGTTCCTCTATACCTCAGATCAAGATGCCTTCCAAACGTCCAGTCGAGACCATAGACCTCACTGACGACTCGCCTTTCCACTCATCGTCGCAGGGTGACGCGCATGCCTCAAGTTCGCAGGGCTACGCGCATTCGCACTCGCACTCTTCGCCCCACGTTCGCGCACCCAAACAGGCACGCACATCAACGTACAATCGCACATGGTCGGGCGCGTCGCAACAAGACCCCGTGTACATTCACGACGATGACGAGGAAGACGCGTCAGCCACGCAGGGCATAAATGAGCAGGAACACACCTGGACGCTATACGGCAACATGCACACCAACATTGTCGGGGTGAGATACTACAATGGGTATGCGACCGTTGGAGAGATGGTGGTGCCGAGGAGAGAGCCACACAACCAGTATGACCGCAATGCGATCCAGGTGCTCAATGTGCAGGGCGCACAGATTGGTCACATACCCCGGACTATCGCGAGCAAGCTAGCCAAGTACATGGACAATCGCAGCCTGCTCATCGAAGCTGTCATCACGGGCGAAAAGGGCGCGTTCGAATGTCCGCTCGAGCTCAAGTTCTATGGCACCAATGAGCCAGTGGAACGTGAGAATCTTATCAGCCAGATGCGCGCCGACAAATTGCCTGTGGGACACGCGGCAGATCGCAAGCGCAAAGAAGCTGCGGCTGCGAAGGAGAGGGAGAAGATGGCCAAGCAAGCCGCAAAGCAGGCGCAGAAGAAGGGCGGAGTTGTTGTTGGAGTGGGTGGCCAGAACCACGAGAACGACATGGCAGATTTCATGGCAGGATCATCGCAAGGCTTTGGTCCTGGGCCCAGTCTCGAAGACATTGTCGGTGGAAGTATTCGCTACGCCCCCAGAGTTGAGCAGATGGTCGAAGAGTTCGGTGTCAAGGAGACGGATCTGGCAACGATGCCCAAAGCTAAGCAACCGAGCGCTGTGCAGACCGAATTGCACCCCTTCCAACTACAAGGACTGCAGTGGATGCTCGACAAGGAGTCGCCTCAGCTTCCCGCCCAGGGCACCAAGGACGTGGTCCAACTGTGGCGGCGTCACCCGCGCATGCCGAATGCATTCACCAACCTCGCAACAAACTTCTCTGTCACTAATCCTGCACTTGCTTCTGGTGGTATTCTGGCCGACGACATGGGTCTCGGAAAGACAATCCAGACGATCTCGCTTATCATGGCTGATCGAGAGCTCGGTCGCAAGGCACCGGATGCCTGTGGTGCCACTCTTATCCTTGCGCCGGTCAGCGTCATGAGTAATTGGTCCTCCCAGATACAGAAACACCTGAAGCCCGAGCATGCTCTCCGAGTCATGTTCTGGCATGGCAATCGCAAGCAGCCTATCGATCCAAAGCAGATTGAAAACTACGACGTTGTCATCTCTACATATGACTCGGTGTCAGTGGAGTGGTACTCGCAGAAGTCGACCGACCTACCACGGAAGGCAGGTGTTTACTCCGTCAAGTGGCGCCGCATCATTCTCGATGAGGGCCACAGCATACGCAATCCCAAAGCGAAGAGGACTATTGCGGTCACCAACCTCATGGCTCAATCTCGCTGGGCACTGACAGGAACGCCTATCATCAACAATCTCAAAGACCTGTACAGTCTTATTCGCTTCCTTCGCCTATCTGGTGGTCTCGATAGATTCGACATCTTCCACACAGCGATCATGCGACCTGTGCTGCAAGGCGACATGCAAGGCAACCGAGCACTGCAAATGCTCATGTCGGGCATCTGTCTGCGTCGAAAGAAGGAAATGTCATTCATCGACCTGCGCTTGCCTGATCTGTCAGAGTATGTTCACAAGATCAAGCTGCATCCTCATGAGCAGGAGAAGTATGACGCGCTTGAGGCCCAGGCAAAAGGCACGCTCGACGTCTACCGCAAGAACATCGGTGGACAGAAGAGTGCAGATACATACCGTCATCTGTTGGAAGTATTGCTACGCATGCGCCAGCTCTGCAACCACTGGCAGCTCGTTGGTGAAGAGCGTCTTAGCTCTATCATGCAGCAGCTTGAAGCCGAGGGTGTTGTTGACCTGACTGAGGAAAACAAGGCGGCCCTGCAGAGTATGCTCCAGCTCATGATCGACTCCCAAGAAGACTGTCCGATCTGTCTCGACACCCTCAAAGAGCCTGTCATCACCAAATGCGCGCACACCTTCTGTACAGCCTGCATCGAGCGCGTCATCGAAGTCCAGAAGAAATGCCCCATGTGCCGCGCCGAGCTAGAATCCCTCTCCAGCACCACCGTCAAGCCCGCCGTGGAAACCACCGTCAAACCCGAGCTCACACAAGACCAACTCGCCGACGCCGCCTCGCTTGAGCAAAACACATCCAGCAAAGTCGAAGCACTCCTGGACATCTTAAAAGCCACGTCCCAAGACCCGTCCAACAAAACCATCGTCTTCAGCCAATGGACCTCCTTCCTCGACCTCCTAGAACCCCACCTTACCGCCGGCGGTCTCACCTTCACACGCATCGACGGCAGCATGACTGCGCCCCAACGAGACACCGCCCTTGACGCCCTCGAATCCAACCCCAATTGCACAATCATGCTCGCCTCTCTCGCCGTCTGCAGCGTGGGTCTCAACCTCGTCGCCGCCAATCACGTCATCATGGCCGACAGCTGGTGGGCGCCCGCTATCGAAGACCAGGCCGTCGATCGCGTGCATCGGCTCGGTCAGAAGCGGGAAACCAAGGTCTTCAGACTGGTTGTTGAGGAGAGTGTAGAGGAGCGCGTGTTGGGCATCCAGGAGGAGAAGAGGAGGTTGATGGGGCTGGCGTTTGCGGAGAAGGAGGGCGGCAAGAAGAAAAAGGCCGGTGGTGTCGCGGATTTGATGAGGCTGCTGGGGCAGTCGACGCAGGCAACGCAGGGGGAGGGACAGGGTGCGGAGCAAGGGGATGGGGGCGAGGTTCAGGTTGTGGCGCAGGCAACGAGAGGAAGGACCAGGAGATGAAGCCAGCGTGTCTCTGCGTTCCTTCACATCGGCACATTCTCAAATCGGCATTCTAACAAAAGGGAAGTGTTTTTTTTTGGCTATTCAGATGGCGGTCTTTTGCTTTCCCGGCGTTTCCATGCTAGATATACCCTCTCAAGCTGCGAAGCTACGAATCTATGACGCTTTTTCACAGACAGGATACGACTTCCTAGGGCTCGAACAGCGAAGCTGGTGCGGAATGACACAGCGAAGTATCATATTGCCACGTACGAACATCTGCTTTGGAGAAGACGCATCGACGTTATATGCAGGCACGAATTGCAACATTCACAAGTCACAAAATCTTCGTGTCAGACATGTATCACCGCTCCAGCAAACCTACCTACTAGCAATTCCACCCCTCTCATCCTCATGCCTTCCCACCAACCTCCCCGTCACCGTCACGCTGAAAAAAAGGCCCGAAGCGCACGGTCCCCCATGGGAGAAAAAAAAAGGCGGTAAAAAGCCCATATCTGGCACCGAGAACGGATGCAAGTTGTCAGTATTCTTCTCGACGCGCCGGGCTAACTTCGATGCGGCATGTCCCGCTAGAAGGGAGAGTGGCGTCCCTCGTCAGCGCCGTCGAAGTCGGTGAAAGTATTTTTGCCAGGCTGGGGGCTACGTGTGTAACTGACGCGTCTGGGGGGGGGCAAAGTCTTCCTGGCCAAGTGAACACATGTTGCACGTGTCTCTTTCCCACAGCTGGAGGTGTGTTCTTTAGGGCATGTATTTCCGCCCGCGAAAGAACTTGCGGCGCGGCTCGGTGTGTTATAGCGCCGTGTTGAGCAGTAGTGCGAAAATGTAACGTCGACCGGACCGTTGCCTCTTCTGTTCACTTCTCGCCGTGAGGCGGGCACACTTTTTGGCCACAGTGGGCAGTGGGCTGAGGGTTTGTTCTCGTGGGCTTCGTGGGGGGGTTGCGGTCGTGATTGGCTGCGGGCGAAGAGCGCCGGGCTGGGGTACACAAGAAGGCCCAGATCTTACTCCAGATGCCGGTATATGGATGTTTGTGTTACGGTGGGTTGGGGATTGTCGAGGACCATGGCTGACCGGGTAAATTGGGCACAAGAGCGTTTCGCCGCATGGAAGCCAGCTCAAGTTTACGAAAGCGTCGGATAATGGTGGTGCATGAGACTTGCGAGAATAATCAAGGAGACTCGGAAGGGTAAGGACTGTAGAAGCGCTTATTTCGCGTTTAGAGGATTGTGGGACCTGATGGATCGGGCTCTGTCTGCGACCTGAGAAAGGACTTCGGTGACGTGACCAATATGCACATGTGGATACTTCGGAAACCTTGCCATTAGGAGTACTGTTTTACACAGCAGATGGCCCACAACTCCATGCATGAGAAGGATATGTTACATTAGAAGACAATGGAAATGCTCGTAGAGATTACAACTAACAAGACATGAGCGGAGAGAGACCGCCCAATTACATTGATGCAAAGCTCTTCGCGTATGTCTTCGTATCATCTCTCAGACCAAAGACATCGTTGCGTCGTCGAGCTTCGGTTCGACTAGATGAAGGGTAACCGACCTGACCGGCAAGTCCAATAAGCTCTTAACCATTAAAAAGTGCATGTGCCACGTTTCCAATGCAAATCCTGAAGTAATGCATTTTCAAAACCCAATGCCATGCAAAAGTGCCCAACTCCGAGGAAAGTACATGCCTAGAATGGGCGCATATTAGGCATGCCAAGCTGTGGGTGCGGGGCCATCACAGCTGCTCCAGCGCCGGAAGGTCCAAGGCGGTGGAACATCTGGATCAAACGCTCGCCAACACTAGGCTCGAGTTCAGTGCCATCCCTTGCGATTTTGACTTCTCGGTTGGCGTTCCAGGGGTTACGAAGCCCACGCGTGCGGTAAAATGGTAGACGTTGGGTCGAGCACCACTCAATCTTGAATGGTTTGCCCCAGCTCTGTGCAACCACTTGATTGTCTCCGTCAACAGTTTTGTCATCTTTCTCAGGCATTTCTTCCTCCGCTTCCGTTTCGGAAAGTTCTGCTTCCCAGAAGATTGTGCCGCGGGCCGAATCGTCGATAATCTTGCCTCTGGGAGCCCACTCGGTTGCCGATGTAGGGATTGACTTAGGAACGTCAGGCGCATCAACGCTATTTTCGGGTTTGGGCGCCTCGCCAACGACCTGGGATCCATCCTCAAGAATGGGGGAGGTCATTCGGGCGTAGCCAAAGTACTCGCCGGACTTGTTCGCCGAGAAAATCAGGTAAACATTTTCAGTCGACTGCAATGAGTTAGTAGAGGTACAGCGTGCCCGAAAAAAACATGCTTACCCTGAAGGCTTTGTTTAGAACGTCTTCGTTGTGGGATTGTGTGGCCCATATTCCGTTGCGAACACTGAGCTCCAAGTCCTGAAGTGTCAGACTCTTGACGATGAAGTATTTGCTTGAAGGTGTAGAAGCTCCCGGAGCAGCATCTTTATCCTGGACAGGAAACTGTTCCGTGACGCCTCCTTTTGCTTCATCGGCTGTCTCGTCGCCAACTTGTGGACTATGTGGCGGTGACGCGTTGGCCTGCTGCGTGCCTACCATAGCTGATGGTCCTGTGGGTACTCCTGAGGCGGGCGCTGAACTGCGACGTAGCCGACAGACAAGGCGGACACCATTGAAGCGAGAGTCGTGGAACCGATGCATAGCGGCTGTGCATGAAGCCTCTGAACGATAGTTTACGAAGGCACAATTGCTCTTCGAGATCAAGAACAAACTCTCGATATCTTTGGTCGCTTCACGCGAGAAGTGGTCCTTGAGAGCCATAACCGTTGTACCCGGAGGGAGATTTCCAACCCAGAGCGCGTGGCCTGATTGTTTCGGTTTTCGGGGTGGTCCACGAGGTATCGAGCTGACAGGACCGGATTGGGTCATGCCTGTGAGCATGCTGTTAGTTAAGATCCTCGTTACAACGTGCCGTGTTCTCTGGTGTTGGAGAGAGTGTAACTTACCTTGTGCTCTCATAAAAGGCAAGCCCATTCCAGCTTGATCACCTTGCAGACCTATGGTACCTACACGCGTGCCTGGAAATCCTCCATCGACTTGTTGATAGTTCATGTGTTGTGGACTAGCCACTCCAGCGCCGATGTCTGTCATGCTTTCTCTTCTTCCATATAGCGCCTGGGTCTGCAATCCCTGTACGGGATACCCGTGATTGTACTGGCCTTGATGTCCGTACGGTGCTGAATAGTACATGTATTGTGAAGCTCCAGGGAAATTTTGGTAAGCTGGTTGCATTGAATTCGGGGGCATGCGCGCCTGGTTGGGACCAAATGGCACGTACGCATTGTGCTGAGGGCCCTGCGCGTAAGCCTGCTGCTGGTAAGGACCCGCAGCGTATCCATTGCCGTACGAGGAGTGATTAGGGCATACTGCTAGAGGCGTGTGGAGCCATCTGCATATTCTGACCCATCTGATAAACAACAGCCGATGTTGACGCGCCAGAGAGCGAGCGAGGTATGGCATGAGAGCCTTGAGGATTGACTGACACATCTTCGATTGAACCGTAATCAGGCAATGCGCCAGCCATCGAGGACATGTTCAAGGGTGACACGCCATGGTCCAGAGGTGGATACTGTGCTATTGGATGCCCCGAGGAACGATAGTCAGGTCGAGTTTGGCTTTGTGGGATGGCGCTTAGCTGCGAGTAGAACGGAGTACTGATTTCTGGTGATTTTTGGGAGGCAGTAGGAAGACTTTGGTTCCCATCACGCGCAAAACCGGTTGCTGCGTTGTCCAGAGCCTGTGGCCGAGAGGTAGGAGGTAGGTCGCCCATTGGTACTTGTCCTTCGCAAACGACTGGTAGCGCAAACCACTGTTGGACCCAAACAAAAGCCATGTTAGTCCATGTCAACGAGTTTCAAAGGATGCCTAAAAAAACGAATGTGTACTGAGCCCAAACAATGAACTGTATCCTCCATCACACTAAAAAAAAACATAACGTACCTACTACTATATCGAAACAGCCGTATAAGAGAGTGGCGAGCCGGATAGTATGAACACCGAAATGCAATCCTTCTCAAGGAGACGAGGTTCAGGGTATGCCAATAAGAGAAGGAGGCAGTGTGAGGATCGTGTGTAAAAAAAGAAGCGCGGAGTAGGTGAGACCGTACCAGGGAAGATTGACGGTTCCGGTTGAGTGACTACCTGCAAGACGCTCGCTTAAAGCGGGACGAAGATTGATGGACAGATGTGCGCGGCCACTCAGACAGCAGAAGCGATGTTCTCAAGCCTTATGAGGTTTGACAGCGTAACGGCAGGGACCGAGTACGTGCTTTTGTGGATGACGAGTAGTGGAAAGGGTTCCACGAGTTATTGATGGCTGGCCCGGCGAAGCGGGAAAGCCGCACTGGGGTTTTGAAAGCCTTCTGTGTCGATTGCCTCCGAATTGAGTGTCTTCTTGGGCCGTGATTGGGTCCGGTATCTAGACCCTGTGGCTGTCAGAATGGCTGTGGAGCAGCAACAGGGTCTAACCGAAACCACTGAAGGCAAAAAGATCACCAAAAGTCAACGAATCACAGGTGATTGGACGCCTCGAAGCAAGGACAGGGTTGGTAACAGGCATTGTGGAAGTTACAAATGCTCGTGTGGCGAGTGATACCGTTTCTAGATTCCTTGGGCCGATGGCGCTGATCCCGGAACCTGAGCGAAAGCTTAGCGATGTCTGCACCCCTAATACTGTAAGAGTTTAGTGAGAATCCTGTAGAAACGTGTCATAGATGCTGGAAAGGATAATTCAGTATACGTGGTTTCAATCTCGATGCACGATGCTTGCGGCCGCTTTTCGAACACTTCCTTCAAGTTCTGTCGAGCAAGAAAGATTACGGCCCATGACACAAGCGCCAGATGCAGCTTCCTTGCTAGGAAACCGCCTGTATAATTTTGGGCTAGCTCGACGTCATGAAGTAATTCTGAAGAAAGAACAAAGTCCTTCCGAGCGAACCCAGACGCAAATCTGGGCTGCTGACCAATGAACGGGTCCCTGGGCTGATTTATGGTCCACACAGCACATGCACGAACTTGACCACCAGGGGAGGTTCATGTCGCCTAGGGTTCGAAGTGGGCGCCGCGTGGCCGCTCGGAAGCTTCAACATGACATGGCCGAAGAACAAAGTATGGATGGACATGTACAGGGAGGCCCGGCACGACAAGAGCCCGAAAGACTGGTGATTGATTGTCTCGGCCCCGTGCATTCTGATAAGCCCTGCGATGGAAGCGCACTGGGAGGGAAGGGATGCAAGATGGGCTGCATGAGTGCGCTTGGGAACCGATATGCCGGTGCGACGCCAGAGCTGGCGCGACGGTCTTGTCGGCGGGTCCTACCAAATACAGCCCGTCTGTGCATAGGAATGGAGACAATGTTTCGGAGGCCAGCATTTTTTCCGTACTGAAGTGAACTTTGACTATCCGGGACGTTTACTCGCGACACTTTCCGGAGCCATGCGGCCAATCAGCGCTTGCGAAACGTCTTTGCCACAGTTCGGCCTGACCGCAGGGATCGACAATGCGCCGAGTACACAGCCGCAATTCATTCCTTGGGAGAAGATCATCCATGGTACAGGAACTCCTAGGACGATGTTTCGACAGTATCGACAATTGACCTGGCGCAACAAGTAGCTCTCGCGTCGTACATGTGCGGTATTTCTGCAAGGCAGGCCATGATGTCGCAGCAAGATGTCTGCAGCTGCGTGGAGAAGTGCATCGGATTCGGATTTCCCATCTCCTCTATGATGCGAAATTCAGGCTTTCCGGTCGCAGGTTCCATGGGGAATCTCAAGGTTTGCTGTCTTAGTCATCGGGTGGCGTGACATCGCTCGCGCCACAACGTCAACTCCCGGTGGACATTGAGCAACGAACGTGCCGAAGCCAATGCGCACTGTCATATCCTTCACAGCTTACAGCTTACGTTTCTAGACGTGGGCTGATACCTTCAAGCCCACATGCACGTATGTATGAGTTGTTCATTAAATTTTCGCCACATTCATGAACAGGGCACCTGCTAGGCTGAACACGGTATGGCTCATGTGTGACCATCCTTACTTCGACATGGGACGATTCTAATTGCGTAGCGGGCTGGAGAAATATCAAATTCTACCCGCGTCACTGAACTTGTGGAGATATTGGGGCAAAGGTTTGCGCTCAAGTCCATGGGTCGTTCGCGCCCACGTCGGCCCCCAAGCGCATACGAGGATGACTTACGAGAAGCGATTGTGGCTGTGTTGTAGATCTTCAACACATCTGATGTTCGAGAACGCCTCATTGTAAGGTCCAGACGATAAGCGGAGCCACCCCTGGCGATCTTTTACATCTCGTATTCGAGTCTGGCCCTGGCGCTCCCATTATTAGAGCATAGCGTCATGGTAACAGGCGTTCAAAAGACCGGGAGTTGTCTACAGGATTTTCGAGCCCGACACAACGTTCTACCAGCCAACACCCTTGCACGGAGGAGCCATTACACAAGCACACGATCGTGATGAAGACTATTCTTCATGCAGTCTGGCACGCACGATGGAATCTGCCGGGTATGATATCAATCCGTCCACTAGCTGGGTTCGTAGACCCTTGTCATGTTCCTTCGTCGGTGATACTCTACAGTAGTCGCTGCCAGCGAAGTGCCGAGCAACATGTGAGGCTCCTTTCTCGCCACCGGTAGTGACTATTCGTCTTCCACACTGAAACGCCTCGCTTCCGCCAACGACATGTCGCTCAATAAAATCATCAACCGACATCGTCCTTCGGATGCGCCGGATTGCATCGCTTGCGCGCTGCTAAGCATGCGCCCATCTGTGGAGAATGGGACTTAATCATTCCAGGCTTGCTTCATATGCATATGACGTGTCAAAAGGGATACGAAGCTGGTGGATCATCGCAATAGTCATCAGTAGCGGTAAGAGGTTTGCGTGAAGGGACAAGGATTGTTATGGCGCCTGATTCTCGCCTGTATCTATGCTGTTGCAGAGAGTGATATGCGGACGATCCACGCGGGTCTCCCATGGCTTCCAACGAAAGTTTTACTCGTCTACGAATTCGCGCAGGAAGTCGTCGATGTACTGGAAGTAGCGAGGCTCGGCAACAGTGTCGTTGTGACTTCCGTTCGGTAGTTCTCTCCAGACCTTGGGAGCTTTGCAGACTTGGAATAGTCGGGTCATATGTGAAGGCCTAGAGTCATTAGGATCGGGACAAACTGCTGGAGCTTAGGTACCTCAAGATACGTAGGAACTCACGGGATTATTTCATCTTTCAAACCACTCAGGAAGAGAATTGGAACTTTCGTTATCTGGGGTAATGTTGCTTCTGTAGGCCAGATCTGGTGGCAGAGTGGAGCGAGGAACCTAGCAGGAGGGAAGGCACTATGAGGGAGTCAACAGAGCTCCTCTGAGCACGCGACATGACTGACCTTGGAATGAGCTTCTTTAGCGAAGTGAATGTGTTTTCGAGGATTACACCGGCGATGTCACCATGTTTCTGATTGCGTGCAACCAGCCCAACCGAGACTGCGCCTCCAATGCTTTGCCCGTAGACGACGATCTTCGTGTTGCGAAGCTCCTGTCGTTGGCGGATGTAGTCCAACCCTGTTTGAGCATCGATCATGAGACCCTTCTCATTCGGGTTGCCTGAAGAAAGGCCATAGCCGCGGTACTGTAACATCAAGACATTGCACCGTAGCTCGTTCTCGAGGATCTTTGCAATGGGGAGCCGATAGCCAATGTTGCCGGCGTTGCCATGAAACATCAAGACGGTGACGTTGCGTGCATGCTGCTTATTCGCCCGGATGTAGAATGCGCTGAGCGACTCGCCATCTGGTGTGGGAATGAAAAGCTCTTCGAAGTCTGGAATGCCGAACTGGGGGGGACGAGGGACATTGGTACGGGCGTCGGGCGGGAAGCCCCGAGGATATATTAATTCACTGTGATATTTAGCGGGCTGATACAGTATAAAGGCAGACTACCTACTTCTGCTTGAAGTAGAGGAGACCGCTTATAACGGCTGCAAGACCCGAAGACGCCAGAACTGGGATCTTGAGGTACGACATGAAGGTATCGAGCGTGGAAGTCATGGTAGGGAAGGCGCAGGTCGACCCGAAGTCCAAAGCGCACAAAGATCTATACTAGACAGAAGGAAATCCGGAGCAGCTCGATCATGTCGTGACTCCCAAGTGCTACTTGACCGCCGCCTTCGGCCCTGGAACGAGACGTGATGCGCGACACCGACGGCGGCTAGCGACTAAAACCACTAGTGCAGCGCCAAGCATCGAGCTGCCGTTGCGTAGCTCATGTTGCCTGTCGCGGCATCAACCACACGACAACCCCCCGCCGCTCATACGACCCCGCGAAATCACTCGATAGCTTCTCCTCATTCCAATTCTTGCAAACGGATACCCTGCAAGCTTCGACCGTCACGATGATGACCACAGGCATGATCGGAGAAGGTAGACTTGCCTCCGCAATACACAAGCTACAAGCTTACACCAAACACAGATGGCATTCATGTCGACATGGATCATCTCAAGAAGGGTGAAGTCAAGTACGAAATACCATAAGGCTCCAGCTTCGAACCAAAGGCTAACAAACTGTACAGCCTAGGCACATCGATGTTCGTACTACCGCCTAGACCACAGCGACTTTGCAATTCTAACACCCGCTCAGCATGGCAATCAACTTCAAGGACGGCGTAATATTAGGCGCAGACAGCAGAACAACTACGGGCGCATACATCGCAAATCGAGTCACCGACAAGCTCACACAAGTCCACGACACGATCTGGTGCTGCAGATCTGGCTCAGCGGCGGACACACAGGCTGTTGCTGACATTGTTCACTACCATCTGGGAATGTACGGCATCACAAACGACGAGCCTCCGACGACACAGACTGCCGCAGCCATCTTCCAGGAGCTGTGTTACTCGAACAAGGACCAGTTATCGTGAGTCGGCAGTGCACTGCACTGTTGGTGTATTGCTAACACTTTGCAGTGCGGGAATGATCATTGCTGGGTGGGATCAGCGACATGGCGGCCAGGTCTACTCGATTCCTCTTGGAGGATCCCTACACAAGCAGTCGTACGCAATCGGCGGTTCGGGCTCCACATACATCTACGGTTACTGCGACGCCAACTGGAAGGAAGGCATGAGTGAGGAGGACGGCATCAGCTTCGTCAAGGGTGCGTTGGCAGAGGCCATCAAGTGGGACGGTAGCTCTGGAGGTGTGATCCGCATGGTGGTGCTTACAGCCAAGGGCGCCCAGCGACACTTGTATCTGCCGGACCAGAAGTACGATGGGCCTGGCAAGCAGTAGATGTGGAGGCAGCATGCTGTCAGGGAAGTGTGATGAGGATATTCTAGCACAAGACTTGCAGCGGTGCTCTGGCAGAAGCGAGCTTGGTGATGAATAACAAGCAAGCATGAATAAATGCACAGCTTAACAGAGCAAGGCCTGCCCACATGCTGGTCGCAACCAAGCCCGCTGTGCTTTCCTTGTCGGGACCTCAAGACTTAGTTTCGTGCTAGCAGCTGTTAGATACATGACTTGAGCAATCCACGTTGGAGGCTGTCAAGACGTCTGGCCAATCAGAACACGGTGTTTGAGCATCCCTCCCATGTGCGTGTCCATGATTTCTTTTGGCGCAGCGCGCTTGTCACGTGCAGACGTTGAGAAAACGCTGCATGATGCTTTCTGCCTTACTCATAAATGAACGAGTGTCGGGCAGTCCTTGAATAAACGGGCATGCATGTTGTCATTACGCAGGGTCCTTGATAGTCAATGTTCATGTGCAGCGGCCAAGGGTTCAAGATCAAGCCAGCAGCCGTATGACGACCGTTGGTCTGGGCGCACTCCCCACGCAATCTCAAACATCGACACCTCTTCACCCCAACACCACCGCAGCCTCGACTGCATTAACCCGCCCCCCTACACCCTCGAGACGCGTCGCCGTCCAATTCGCTTTGGGTACGGCAGGAAAGAGCTGGACATGCCATTCCTGAACTCGCGGTGAAGTGTATTTGAGTAGCCTCCCGCTTTCGCAGCGATAAGAGCTTCTACCACCGGCGAGGCACGTCCGACACTGCCCACCTCCTCCTCAGCGCCCAACTCAACCACACGCTCCTTCTCCCCAGCACTATCACCGTGCCCGCGCTCTCCTCTCCACGCCTGTCACCTACTCCTCTAGCCTTTTACCGGCCTGCATCGCGGAATGGGATCGATTGTAGTGAGCGACTTCGGTGGAAATCACTTCCACAGCACCATGTTTGGCGGCGGAAGTGGGCATGCGCAGGCGCAGACACAAGAGTCGCCCGCTGTGCACCACCCCGTGCGGCCGTCGCCCTCAGCAAACCCGCATCTACCATCGCGGGTAGCGGCGCCCCCTGCAGACGTTCCAATGGGCGGAACTGAAGCCCCACCAACCTCAACCACACCAGCACCACCTCCACCTCCACAGCAGCATGATGCCTCAGCGCCCACGTCGCATCTTCGCACGCCTCAGCACGCAGCAGGAGTCCCGCCTCCCAGCCCGCGCGTCCAGCCCCAATCACAGCAACCTACCCCGTCCGGCACCATCGCTCGACCAGGGTCCTCCGCGGCACCAGTTGCTGCACAGCCATCACCGGTGCAGTCGTTGCGTTCGTTAGCGGACTCCACTTCAGCCTCACCGCGGCGGATAAAAGTTAAGAGCTTGTCGCACATCCAGAGCTTCGCCATCGATGATGCAAGCCCCTTCTCCCAGACCAGGTCGCTCTCGCGGCGGCAGCGGAGAGACCCCGCAGACATTGGCCCCCAGTACGAGATCAGCGAAATGCCCGTTTCGGACATCATCGAAATGGTGGCTGGTCTGTTGACAAAGATCACTACCACAAACGATCGACAACACGACCATCTGCACCGCCAAATACCACCGCCAGAAGGCACTGCAGGGCTGAGCCAGCAAACGACAAGCGTCTTAGCTTTCCATGGCAAGAATGTGCCCAGCATATCAATTCTCAGCTATCTCAGCCGCATCCACAAATACTGCCCCACCACCTACGAGGTGTTCCTAAGCCTGCTCGTCTACTTTGACAGGATGACCGAGAGAGTGAACGCCGGGCCCATGCTGAGTCTGCGCCAAGCGAACCAGCAGTCCCTTGAACGTGTGAATGCTGCAGCATCCGCCACTTCAACTGCCACGGCGACACCACAGTCACGGCCCGTCTCGGTGCAAGCAGCTACACCACCACCCTCTGGCTCGCTAGGCAAACAGACTGATGCATCAGTGCAAGGCAGCCAACCCCCCTCTCCGCCCCAGCAAGATCTCGAGGCCGACCCATACAATCTCTCACACTTCTTCGTTGTCGATAGCTTCAACATTCATCGTCTTGTGATTGCGGGCGTCACCTGCGCGAGCAAATTCTTTTCCGATGTCTTTTACACCAATTCGAGATATGCCAAAGTATGTTGTTCTGCCCTGGGAACAGAGCCTGACTAACGCGCTACAGGTTGGTGGATTGCCCTTGGTAGAGCTGAACCACCTCGAACTGCAGTTCCTTTTGCTAAACGATTTCCGCCTCGCCGTACCGCTAGAAGAGATGGAAGCATACGGAACTATGCTCGTCGAGTTTTATGCTAGAGAGGTTGCCGAGCAACATGAACGCGACACCGGAGGCAGACACTGATCGCTTCGGTACCACGGAGAGAACATACTGTGATGAAGAACTCACATAATTGATGAAGAGACGAGCGAAGCGCCATGAAAGCCCTTGCTTCGTATCTGGACTGGGTACGCCCAAGCTGAACTTTGGCACTGTCACGGCCTACGGAACTTCTACATAATTGGACTGCTGCAGGCGGAGCAGTGATTTTGACTTATTGCTGGACCGACAACCCTTTTCTTTGAAGTACTTCTAGACTGGGATACCAATGCGGAGGATTTTCCAGTCACATTGCATTACAATTCCTGATGAGGTTACGACTGCTTCTTTTTTCTCGATGAGGGCGCACGCATCAATCGTTTTCTTATCATTCAAATTCCCCTTCTTGAAGACGTTTTAGTAGGGCAGTTTGAGGCGCTCATAGAGGTGTCTAGGGTTTCCTTTTCGGGGGCTTGCACTCGTTCTTCCCATCCTGCACTGAATGTACTTTTGCAAATACCTACTTGTTACGAAACCTCTTTTTCGCTGAAAACATATCCCATACGTGAGGCTAACAAGAATCCAGCGAACTGCAAATCCGGAGCAGCCTACATGTCATACAAGCCCTTTCATTATTGGCACTTTATCCCATCCGGTGTTGTGTTGTGACCATGACACCGACCCCTGTCCTCTTTGCGCGAAACAAGGGGCTTGAAACCGACAGCCAGCATAGACCACTTCGCGACCCATTTCTCTGCCCACATCAAATTATCGTCCCGACCTTGTTCGACCCGCCCACATCTAATCTAGACCCTTTTCTCCCTAAACGACGAGGGGAAGAAGAGGCGTAAAAGCAAAATGCATCTCCCATCCTGCGTCCCCTTTCCCTCTTTGTCCGTCTTTTGTCTTTCGTCCATGTTACTTTAGCGGCCCCATGCATTCCCCCTCGTCGTCTTTTTCTCTCAGCGCGTGTGTGCAGTATATTTTCTTCGCAGTCGTGGTATATGTACTGGCCGGTGCGCCGTTGAATTCCGTATTCAGCAATGGCGATACGGACTCGTATTCCGGCCCGCTGAATACGAGCGCGGATCAACTTCGCGATATCGTGATTCCCACTAAGAACCTAAGTTGTCCGGATCATGCGTACAAGGGCGTGCATGTGCTTAGTCGCGAGCCGTTGGTAGTCTACATCGAGGGGTTTCTGAGCGAGATGGAGAGGGGGGATGTTCTTGCTATGAGGTACCAATTCCCCCCCGCCCCCATACAACTACACCCACTTCACGTCAATGCTAACCCCACATCAGCGAGCCAAACTTCATCCCGTCAACAATCTTCTCCGCCGGCCACGAAACGCTAGACCCTCTCATCCGGCACTCCGAAAAATCACCCCTCCCACCCTCCTCCACCACAACGCAATGCATCGCCGACCGCGCACGCCGCTTCCAGGGCTGGCGCCCCTTCGTCTTCGTCGAAAAACTCTGGGCGCAGCGATATCACACGGGCGGGCATTACACATACCACTACGACTGGTCGACCGCGACGCCCAAGTCCGGGCGCGTGTCGAGCTTTATGGTGTACGTTGCTGCGAACTGCACGGGCGGGGGAACGCATTTTCCACGTTTACAGAAGCCGCGAGGGGAGGAGTGGTGTAGATTCATCGAGTGTGGGATTGAGGATGAGAGGTTGAAGGAGGGTGTGGTGTTCAAACCCGTCGCGGGCAATGCAGTGTATTGGGAGAATATGAGGGGTGATGGAAGTGGATACGCGGAGAGTTGGCATGCGGGGTTGCCGGTGGAGAGTGGGACGAAGGTTGGGTTGAATGTTTGGAGTTGGTTACAGGTTGGATATGTGCCGGGGGAGGTGGCTGAGGAAAAGGCGGAATTATAGATGCGGAAGGAATCAGGAGATGAGAGATGATAAGATGATGAGAAAGAGTGTGCCGTTTTCTTGCAAGCTGGGAGGGTCTCTTGACTTGCACGAAAAGCGAGATATAAAAATAACATCAGCAAGACGGCAGCAACGGCGTAAGAAATAAAGCGAAATCTTTAGACAAAGTCATGAAGTACTCTAGGAAGTCTTTTAGTTTTTCGCAAGATAGATAAAAAGTAGAACTTTCTATTTCAGGCTAGAAATGTATAGTATGCGCGGCAGTCGACCTTGAGGATGGCCAAACAGAGAATCACCTGTCATCGGACCAAATAGCCCGGCTCCTTCATCAGGTTGGAATTGCAGCTATCATCCCCGAACCCAAGCTACGCTATTGCCGAGTTCTTCAAACAGATCCTGGCCGCTCAAGAACTCTTGTGGGCGCATCCTCAATCCACTGGTGAATCACTTTCCAATCTACGAAGCAACGATATAGGAAATGCAATCGGACAGCTCACTATGTACAACTGTCCGTTGCGTTCCCATCCCTCGTGCCTTATGTTCCGGTAACGCGATGCGGGGTTCCGAAAGACGTGTACCGGTACAGGGCCTACATCGCCAGTGATGCTGTGGCACAGACATGTCTGACAACAACACAATCGATCTCGAATTACACCAGAACACGATGACTGGACCCAGCGCCCTCGACCATCTGGCAATAAGCAACGTTTTGTCGTGCTACTGCGAAGCCTTAGATACCAAGAACTTCGAGCTGCTGGAAGAGGTGTTCGTGAATGATGTCGTTGCGGACTATCCATTCAACTCAAACCTGGAAGGCGTCGGTAGTGTGAGCGAGGCAATACGAAACCGGTATGTATATAGTTTAACTCTTTTCATGCCATCGTGTCCGGTATGGCTAATGGAATCCAGCCTCGGACCTATTCGGACGCATCACAGCCTCACAACCCAGTCAGTTGTCTTTCGAGGGGATGGTAAAGGCGCAACAGCTGCGACGCACTTTGTCGGCGTGCACTTTGGGCAGGGTCCGCATGAAGGTAAGATGCTATCTGCATATGGACGCTATCTGGACGAGCTAGTTTTGCTTCCTGCAACGGAGGGTAATCTCGAGGGCGTGCCAGGCGCTAGCGGCATCTGGAGGATTAAGAAGAGAAAGGTCGTGTTTACGCAACGGATCGGAGATGAAAGTATCATGAAGGAGTTTTGAGGACCATCAGGTAGATTTGGCAGCAAAACTTGTGTTCGCTCTGTACATACATGACATGATCAAATAGTCTCAAGGAGCACGCTTATAAGTCTACAAAGGAGCCTGAATATATGCACTACTATAAGCTATCCTATATGGCGTTGCAAATTTTTTCGGGTAGATCTAGGCTATCACTTGACCACGTTTTTGCTGGCGCCTGGTGGGACTGTAGCGAGGCAGGAGCTGTGTGCTTTCCACCTTGACACACCACGTGGCTGTTTGTTAAGCTTAGGTACCACTTGGGCGCTGCTCTTGCTAGCTGATGCGCTCGGTACCAATACTACGATATCACTCTATCCCTCTCTTGCACATACGCTCCAGTTACTTCGCATATATTACCTTTATATCTCCTCACAGGCATCCACTATGGCGTCACCGCGTCCTCCATCAACGAAAATGCAGTCCCTTTTCGTCGAGTTCGGTCTTCCAGCTGAACCAAAATTAATCGACAAAGCCCTGGATTCGAAATGCTGCCAAATACATTTGACACAGTGAGGACTCATCACCTCCAGGAGACTGGTCAGCGCTGACGATCATAGATGCTGGGACCTTTGGCAATCTGTGAAATCTACAGTACATCCTCTCGACGAAGAATTCGAGCAGCTGCCGTATAAGAACTCAGATGGCCCAGATTTGGCAATGGACGAAGAATGTCGAGCCACCATAATTGTCTATATCACAGACTTGTTCGACGATGGGCGAGACTTTGCATACTACTTACCGAGCCAAGAAGATATCAGTACATTCAATGCTGGCATGAACGGGATGCAAGCGTACGGCGGACCTCTTGTCGCGACCCCCATTTTCATCGGCGACCATGTCAAGCTGCGCAAAAGTCATAAACTCGTAGGGAAACAGTCTTCGATGGACGTATCGAGGTGGAAGTATCTGTACGAGACGGCCAGGGTAGCATGGGGTAGGCTCATCATCGACCCTGAGAAGGTGTCACAGATCAAGAGCAGAAATGCTCACAGTTTAAGACTTGCACGCGCTGCCGCCGCTCAAGAGTCAAGTGCAGACTAGGAAGTGCACTCGGTGACCTCGACGGAGGCTGGAGAAATCCAGGCTGGCGCAAAAGCGGACGGTAAGGGTGAGATAAAATTCACATCGGTGGAAGAGCCTCCCACGCGTGCTCATTCACCCAGGAATGCTATTCGCGAGGCAAATGCTGCCACCCTATACAGCGCTTCCGAAGTGACCAGGAAAAGCAAAATCAGTTACCTGGAATCGACGTTTCAAGCCATCAAGAACACAGTCCGTGATGAGGAAGAAATACTTCAGAGATATATAAAGCTAATCACAAAAACTTGCGGAACAAGCCTTCATCCCGGCATGGACCCTCTCTCGAGCCATCGACAAAGACTGCTCGCAATGCTAAAAAAATGCCTGAAAGTACAACTAGACGAAGAAATATGTGTCACAAGAACGGGGAAGGTACACGACCCTGCAGAAAGCCTGAAAAAGGCTAGAGAAGACATATTTGGCGAGATGCTGGATCTTGAGCATGACCAGCGGCAACTCAATGAGGTCCAAGCAGCAAGTTCGGGATCTGCCAGCGGATCCAAACTGCGCAAGGTGCAAGAGCTTACGAGGGAACAAGAAGCCGAGCTGGAAAGTCTTGTGAGCATCATCGGTCAGCCAATAGCACGCGCACTACCATTTCTCACATCGAATGACTGGAATTTGGACGATGCAATATCGGCCTATTATCAGAGTCTTGATGACAAATATTCGGACGAGGACGAGGACGAGGACGAGGACGATTTCGACGAAGAAGAGATTGCCAGGGCGGTCAAGAATAGCCAGGATGATCTTCTGAAAGACGACTACTTCACGACAAGCCCAGGCGGGCCTGGTGGCGGCGGATCTCAGCCATCGAAGAGCACATGGTCGGCAAATCCTAACCAAGCAGGTTCCAGTGGTGTCAAGAAGTTGCCAAAACTCACAGAGCAAGAAGAGATGCTGGAGCTGCAGGCCGCGAGAGACAAATTGGATCGCCTCGTTCAGGAAGAACGACAGAGTGGCGGCAATAATGGCACCGGCAGAGAAGAGCGTGACAACGACAGCGACAACGAGTTCGGAGCCTCAAAAGACGTTATCGAGTTCCAGAAAGCAACAAACCCCGAGCTGATAGCTATCCAGGCACGCATCGTCAAGATGCAGCAAACGAACACAGAGGTCGAAAAGCGCAAGCAAAGCTTCAGCCCGATGTTAACAGAGTTTCTGCAACATATGCAGGAGAACAATCAATCTTTGAGCAACCCTCTCAAGGCTATCGAGCCGATCCGTGAATCTGTTGAGAGCGACGCAAGGACGCCTACGAAACGACCATCCCTCCAGACAGCACTTGACGTTATAAATAGCAAGAAACGCGTGAGCTCAGGCCATCCTCATGGTCAAAGTCCAACCAAGAAAAAAAGAGAAGGTCAGGATTACAGCAATTTCGGTGCCCAAGATACGTCTTGGGAGACGCCGCAGCCTTATTCTGGAACGGCAATGGCAGATAGACTCCCAACTGACGATTCTATGGACGAGCCTCTCGATTTCGACACCAAGTATTCAATACTCGTCTCCATGGACTTGGGCGATGAAGAGCTCTGCATGCAGCAGCTGTTGCAAAATGAGGGTGATCTGGAGCGGACTAAGACGCAACTACATTCACTGGCGTACTTGCACAAGTTGGATACAGGAGAACTGGAAGTGCCTGACGAAGTTAATCAGGACAAAGGCAAAGGCGTAGACGAGCAGCAGCCAGATGTGTTCCAAGCCGCGAACCACCTCGCCATCCTTCGATCCATGCATCTCGCCTCGGACAAGAGATGCCTGGAGGCTTTGCAAGTGACCCGAGGCGACTTGGCACGTGCAACTGACATTCTTCGTATGGAGGCAGCTGCAGCGATTAGTGGTCCGCCTCCACCCACCTCTCCCACGTCTCACCCATCCCGTCAACTCCCACCACCTGCCTCACGTCCCGCCCTCCCAAACCTCGATTACTTCGATTTGAACCAAGCTGATCCCGCCACTTTTGGCCAATCAGGAGAATCAAATATACAGCAGCCACACGGTGGTTCGAGCCAAATCTCAGATGAATGGCAGCGCACTCTGGACACCCTAAAGAGTAATATAGCTACGGCTCAGCGCCTCCTCACTCCATCGCCTCCACTCGTCAGCGAAGAAAGTCTCGCCACCTTACACGCCATGGGCTTCTACGACCATGAGAAAAATATCGAGATGTTGGAGGCGTGTGGCGGCGATGTTGGCATGACTGTTGAAGAGCTACTGAAACCCGACACAAGCCCCGAAGAAGAAAGGGCGTCATCGCAGCTGAACACCAACTTTACGAGAAGCGGGGAGAGGAAGAAGCAATCTGGCATCCATCTGGGTGGCTGGAATACCCAGCCTGTAGCGAACGAGCGGAGAACGAATTCCTTCCCACCGATGCCAGACACGGCAATTTTGCCGGAGCTGGCGTATGAGGGCAAGGGAAAAGGCAGGGCTGTTGACGCTGGAGGTGGTTTGGGTGGTCTTGGGCATGCCACGTCCTCGGCCGAGATCCGAAAAGATGAGAGGAAAGATAGCAAGAATGACGAAGAGAGTCAGTCCAGAAACGAGGAGGGTGGCGAGGGAGATGTCGAGATGCGGGGTTTAGGAGTAGAGTAGTTGCGAGAATGGCTCTGATGCTGATGGTGAGGGGGATGATGACGATGGTGCTATGATGGATATTGGCGGGTAGGGTATTCATACCAAGTACAATGCTTATGATCGAATGGATGTCAAGAGTTGTGGGCATCAGAGAGGTCTTTGGAAACATATATGCATAAGTGCTCGGAGTATTCTGCAAGTCGTGGAAGTGGTTCAGAAACACGGGACAAATGCGATACACCACTTAGACGTCTGCATAAAAGTCTAAGATGATTAAAGCGTGACTGCCCATGGTGAGCACCAGGTCGCGAACCCAACAGATCCATCACGCCATCGATCACCATCGAGCGCACACACATTGCGTAAGAAAGATCAATTCTACCGAAGCTCCTGTATTGAAAATACACATGATCGAAAGGCAGTCATACGTACAAGCCCACCTGCACCACTCCTGCCATCCATGCTCGCGAAGAAAGTGACATAGAAATGGCGAACATACAGTAGTTTCTGCAAATCGATCCAGTGCGCTGCTCCAGCAGTAGCATCATATTAGATTGTATCGGATGTTGTTAGTCGTTAGTCGTAGTTGATGTCGCGTAATATCATGTCGTGTGTGGAACATCAGGCAAAGGATAAAGTCGCGCGCGTGATATCGCCCACCGAACAAGTGTTAGCCAGAAGAAAGCGAAGCGGAAGGCGTTGATTGGGCACACGTAGTGGCAAATTGATGCCGAATAATATGAGTCGTTATGGTTAGTCGTGCGATCCTGACAAATAGTAAAAGCCGAACTGTCTACGAGGTTGCTAGTTTCTAGCTCATAGACGGCGAGGGCGGTGCGGTGATTGTTCGTTGATCATCGTCATCCTGGTGATTCTGTTGGTACATCTGATTACCGTTGTACATGTGGTCATTGTACTGGAAGGCGCGCTGGTCCTGGGCCAAGCCGTAAGCGTAGTTCTGTTGGTGGAAACCAGCGCCCTGATAGCCATGGTAGCTGCCGTAACCCTGTTGGGGGAATGCAGGTAGTGCATTCTCCTTATTGTCGTACTGATATCCTTCATTGAGTGCCTTGTATGAAGTGAATGCCGGTGCCGGTGATGGAGATGGTTGACGAGTAAAGCCAGAGGTGAGGTAGGTCATGCTCGCGGGCTGGCTGAAGGTGATTTCCTCTTCATCATCGTCTTGATAGACGCTGAAACCTCCGCGCTTACGCTTCGAGGCACGATCACTTTGAACATTGTCGAAGATTGAGCGACCACGATCTTCGTATTGGGTACGTGCGTGGAAGGGAAACATGGAGCGCGTCTGATGGCGTGGACGACGAGCATTCGCATCCAACCGTGCGAGTGCAGGCCGCGCCCTAGTTGGTTGAGGGCTCTCCGTCTTGATCTCGGTCTCCTCTTCATCATCGTACTCTGCGTTTGAGATCCGACGTTGCCGCTTGAAGGAGCCTCCTGGTGTGAAGATGAACTCCATGGCTTCGACATCCTGGGAGTTGAGCTCCAGTTGCGCGACAACAGAGCTGTCCTTCTTCTGGTTTCTCTTGCGTCGCATCTCGGGTGTAGCAGAGTCGAAGATGTCCATGCCTGGCCAGTAGACACCCTTTAGCTTGGTAGACTCACTGACGGCCATTGGATCTTCTGCAGCTTCGGCGGGATCGTCCTCGACGGCACACGAGTCGGCCGCATCATACCGATATCGACGGCGCTCGCCCGGGTCAGAGTATTCGCTTGATGTCTCATAGTCTGGGTTGGTGTAGCTGCGGGAGCTGGCACGCGACTCCGTAGCCCAGTACTGCATGTGAGGTGCGAAGGTGCGGTGGCGAAGTACCGGACCAGGCCGGGCACTGGGTGTAGGAGAGTCCAGAGGCTCAGTCTTGATGACTTGTTGGTCTGATAGCTGCGGGTCGACGAGATTGCCGACGGCGGCACGACGCGTGGTGCGTGGTGCAGGGGCTTCGACTGTGGGTACGGGGGCAGGACGCGCTGCAATGGTTATGGTCAGTCATGATCATGGGTCTGTAGCACGCGGAGAGGAGGCCATACCCATTGGCCTCGCTCGAGAGCGGCGTTTGTCCTTCTGATTCATACGCTCTGACATGAGCTGCTCGACGCCCCAGCTGGCATACCAGCGGTCGTAGGCATCGATGAGTTGACGAGAGGCCTCTTCATGTGACGAGCGGACCTTGACCTTGTAGTAGTTGGATAAATGGCCTTTGCTGGCAATGTGGGTGAGCAAGTGTGACACGTCGCTGAAGTTTGGTCGCTTGGGGCAAATGTTGCAGTGCAAAGGAATTGCCGTGCTGTTGGAAGCCATGGCGGTGTGGGAGTGGTAAGGAGCGTAAGTGAGCTGAAGAGCACAAAGTGAAAGCACTGTCTGTGCAGTGCGACGGTGAGGTACAGCAGTGCGAAAGGAGCGTACTGAAGGCGTGAAGAAGGCAGAGAGGTGGTGGGACAGCCCGAAGATAAGAGAGATGGTCACTGCCGCTTGTTCATGGCCCTTCCCCTGTCTAAAAGATGGGAGGAAAGTAGAGGTACGAAAACTTCTTAGTGAAGTGGAGAGGGGAAGGAAGCTCGTCCGTAGAGCAGGCGGAAGCATGTAGGTGCACCGCTCGATGGCAGCCAGCCCACGTGGAAGAAGCTCGGCTCAACGAAACAGGCAAGCACCTTTACTTTACTTTTCTCTGGCTTTGTATCTCGCGCCTCATTGCAGGAGACGCGAGTTATTAGATAGCGAGAGATTCTCATCAATGCGCAGATGAGACTAAACGGATACAAGTGAAGGCAAGAGAGCATGCGTGCATGGGTAAGTGAAGGCAAGAGATCGATCACCTGACGGTTGATGCTTCCGCATGACAGCACCGACATCGACAGGCCTCACAACAAGCACACACTACAGCACACCGTTTAAATGTATACCTACCCATGATCATTTACCTAGACATCTCTTCGTTACAGATCGTGGCATGCAACTGTGAAGTGTCAGTCGACGTGTTGGGCAGTCGCAGAGAGAACATACTACACAGGGTCCACTTCTTCCAGGCCCGGGTACTGTAGCAGACTCAGCCCGGCAATGCCAAAGTTGGTATGGAAGACATCGACCATATCACCAGGTCGGTCGGAGAGACCGCCCAACTCAGGATCCTACACACATCAGCATTGCCCTGGATGACTGACGCGCTTCACATACCTGGCACTGCAGTATGAACTGAGTCAACTTCTCGCCGTCGATCCAATGCAGCTTGCCGAGCATGGCCATGCTGCTCATCACCCACCAGCTGTAGCACACATCCTCCTTCTTCTCAGGTCTGCCATTGAGGCCGCCGTTCTTGAGTTGTCGTTCGCTTAGCCAGGCGCCGAGCTTTTCTGTGTTGACCAGGTCGATTCTCCCCGCGATGGTCAGTGCTGCGACACACGTAAACACCTGACCTGAGTGCGTCTCTGCGCCCGGACTCGTGCCATATCCGCCATCAAAATTGGCACACGAATGGACATGTTCAACTGCTTTCTCTACGTTCACGAGATGCAGCAACCCCATCAACGAGAGGGCATTCAGAGCGCCGTAAAGGAAGCGTGTGTCTCGTTCTCCCCATTCATCGCCTGCAAAGGTGCCTGTAACGGGATCCTGCAAGTTTGCAATATCTGCAGTCTGTGAGCACTGCTTGGTGATCAGAGAATCTGGCCACACGCACAGTTGCCGATCTTCAAGCGACCATCCTTTACGCGCTCATCAAGCTCGTCAAAGGCGTCGAGAGTGGCTAGTATCTGCACACCACTAACGGTGTACAGCATGTGAGCGTCGTGGCCCGGGGCTGCGCCGAAGCCGCCATTCTCATGCAGACACGAGAAGACAAATTCGAGCATCTCCCCGCGCGGCAGAGCGTCAGGATGGCCCAGGAGATGCAGCGCAGTCAACCCCCAGTACAGGCCGTTGAGGCGCAGATGCTCGGTGAGCCAGTACTCCAGCTCGTCTTTGCGCTGGGGGCGGGTCAGCGCGGGATCTTGGTGTTTGATGCTTGCGCGGCTACGAGGTACGCACTGTGTCGAGGCTCTGGATGTAGCGGACGTTCTTGTCGACGAAGAGTCGCAGCTCGCCGGGCATGGTGGCCATGCCGCCGATGCCTGGGCCCGCTGCCAGACTCATGTTATGAGGAGTCGGAGATGATGGTAGCAAGACACTCGACGATTGATGAGCATGCATCACGTCTCGGGCCTAGCGCGCTCGCTGCGAAACCCTCGACGTTCGCCCGAACGCTCACATGTTCGCAGAAGCGTTTGAGAATCTGAAACCGCACGCAACAGTGAATGCATCGTGTTGCACAAAGTGCCTCGGTAGTAACAGAGTTTTGTATTCACCGCGACTATTGCAGCCTAATTTCTCACTTGGGTGCTTCACTGCTCACACGTCGCCTTCACAGTGACTTTCAGACGTAAACGTGAGCCGGCGGACCAATCAGCCGCCCCCGCTCATTTCCAAGCTGCGCGCGTTTCTGAGGCGACAACCCTACCAACACGTCGCTTTTTGGCATCTGGCGCAACCGACGATAGTTTCTAACTTTTTAATCGACAGCAAAATAGGAGCAGCAGCGCCAACAGGCGTCGCACTTGTCTTCGGGCTGTGACCGAACGACCATCGTACTAACGCCTTCTTGTGTAGTTTCAGGAACAGGTGCGCACGCTTATGGCGCCCAAATAGCTCCACTCCACCCACTCGTCTATTCCGTACCGAATCCGCGCCCACCTCTCGCCGTGTCAGTTGGGCTGGTCTTTGTGGCAGACCCATTGTGGCACTTGCGATCTGGTAAGGCAATCCCGCCTTTGTTCGAGAGTGGTGTTGCCGTTGCACGACGTGCCACCCCTTAGCAGACACCGCTGACCGACTGCAATAGCTTGACCCTCTTGACATCCGAGCCGGGCCCCTCGACCGCCAGTTGCTGCTAGGGAGCTGCGGGCTATATTGAAGGCAGTCGCAGGTTGCACACGCCTAGTCTCCGTCTCAGCGGGCTCCTGCATCGAAGCCTCGCCCAGCCAGACAGCCGCCCAAGTCACGCTCCAGTGTCCCGATCCGCACCGACAACGTATCGGTGCACGCCTGCAGTCAGTGCTGGCCAGGACACACAACACCTCCCCTCACCAGGGTTCTACATGTTCGTACTACCCTTTGTGCCTTGATAACTCTTCGCAAGCCCCTCGTGGCCCCCACCCACACCCTCTGTGCGGACCCTCCGTCTTTGCTCGCGTACTCCTTTGCTGACAGCCATGCGGGATAGACACCGACTCTCAAAGCGCGCAACCACCCCCGAGCGTCCTCCCACAGCAACTGCGACCCATGCGCTGTCATTGCTGAAGTCAACAACACCCCCTACGTCCGCTTCGCCTCGCCTCTTGCAGCACGCACTTGCACGCCCCAGCCTCGAACCCGTACTAGAACACGCATTCACCGAGGTATATTGCCTGCGGATTCGGAGCCGCCGCTGGACAGACCCGTGCTGAGCATACATTAGTCTTGGACCCCGCCGCGGAAGCAACTGCGCAAGATGCCAAAGTCGACAACGCTGTCTCTCGCCATGCGCGGCAAGAACACAAAAGAAAACTCTAGCTCAAACACCCCCATGAGCCCAAAGAGCCCCACGTCACCGCAACACTTCAATAGTGCAGACTATGCATCACCAAAAGCACCGTTTCGCAACCAACCAGAGTCCCCCGCTTCACCGAAACTGCGCAAAGACTCCAAGAACATCTTCTCCCACTTCTCCGCCAACAAGTCCTCGTCGCGCCTGGTCAACCCGCAAGACGCCTCCATGCACTCATCGAGGAACCAGCCGTCGCCAGTCTACTCCAACGGACGAGGAGGCACATCAACGCCAGACCTTGGCCGTCCGGTCCAGACACCAAACTCAGACGGTAGGCGCACTGGCACTGACGGCCAAAGCAGCAAGCTAATATCCGCAGACAACCGTTCTGAGATCGTGCACCTCGACCACCGCACTGGCTCTGCCATGTCAAATGATACTGCCGAACGGGCCGACTCGTCTAAGCGTAACACCATAAAGCCGAAGAAGCAGGGTATGCTCTCCAGGTCAAGATCGCAAAAGGGTGAAGAAGGCTCCGGTACCCGTTCAAAGCTCAACAAAGCTCCTCCGCCGCAACTTTCACCAGATGTCGCAGCAACCTGGACGACGAATGGCGACACCTCTTTGAAGACAGCCCCACTGGAAAAGAACCAGTCATGGCGATCATTAGTCGGTCAGAATAAGATGCGCACACATTCTGCGGACGGACACGAAGGCAATCACCGAGAAGAAGAGCAGGGTGCACGACGTCTAGAGCGTGCCGAACAGAGCTCACAGGCATCGGGTTCCTACAACGACAACAGAGGTGCCAACTTGATGTCTAGCATCGGATTTGGCGCTCGCAAAGTTGGAGGCAAGATGGATTCGGCGCGAAAGGGCATCTTTGGGAAGCTTGGACGCAGTTCCAGCAACCACGAGACCCCAACCCTGGTCACCAATGAGCCATATGTCTGCAAGGTCATACATAAACCGCTCATTGAGCAGACAAGGTTGACGAGAATATCATCTCGATTGGAGCAGTCTAGAGACAAGACCGAGTTCTGGATGCCGGCCTTGCCATGGCGTTGCATTGAGTAAGTGCTGGGAATCATCCTGTCGACAAGTAACAATCCTAACACGAATGCAGCTACTTGAACATGCGCGGTTGTGAAGAAGAGGGTCTGTATCGAGTTCCAGGATCCGCCCAGCAGGTCCGCTACTACGAGCGAAAGTTCGACACTGGTAAGAACTGTTCTATCTTAGACTTGGCCCGCACTAACACTGTTCAGATGGAGATATTGATCTCATCAGTGATCCAAACCTCAATGACCCCAACGTCATTGGCTCTCTCTTCAAGGGCTGGCTACGACAACTACCGGATGAGATCTTCCCAAAAGAGATCCAGGCCAGGATCCAGCGAGAATGCCAGGGCTCCAAGACCACACCCCAGATGCTCAAAGACGAGCTCTCCAAGTTGCCGCCGTTCAACTACTACCTTCTCTTCGCAATCACCTGCCATATCAGCCTGCTGCACTCTTGTTCTGAGTTCAACAAGATGAACTACAACAACCTGTGCATTTGCTTCCAGCCTGCCATCAAGATCGATGCTTTCTGTTTCCAGTTCCTCATCCTGGATTGGCGCAACTGCTGGCAGGGCTGCTGGACTGAGAAGGACTATCTTGGAGAGGAGTTGGACTACTTGCAGTCCCTGGAAGAACAAGCCCATCAATCAGTGCCCAACCCTGATCGCAATGGACAGCAACAGACTGTGGGCAAATCCAAGCACTCCCTACCCTCACCCCACATTGGTCATGGCAAGAAGGCAGCCTCAACCCGAAGTGGATCTGTAGAGAGGACCAAGGTTTCTGCAAGAGACGTTTCCACCGACAGGAATGGTCGCGCTGCCTCACCGGGCGTCAAGTTCACTGTTTCCGAGTCTCCTCGTGAGATGGCGCAGCGCCCTCAGCACCTCGAGCGCGATTCATCCACTGAGCGCACGGTCTCCTCTTCAGACAGCCGTGAAGCCTACAGCAGCGCCCGTGGAACGCCCAAGCGCACTCCCCAGTCTGTGAGCACGAGGCCTTCCATCGACGACGATGCTTCCACCCCAACTCAAGCAAACCAGCATAGCCGCGGACCCTCTGACACGCAGTTCCGTCTCGACCTCAACAACCCACCCAGCTCACCGTTCAACATCAAGTTCTAAATTCCCTGCCATTTTGCTTCTTGCACACCAGGTCAGCAGCGAAGCACCGCCACAGGATTGTAAACGTCATCTTGAGCACACAGCAATTGCGTTTTCTACTATTCTCATGTTTGCAGAGCTGCCACGAGCATCGCGATACCCACTTCATGAGCTTATTTGGGCTTGTGGGCAGCCTCTTCACCTCTTTATTGCTCTTTCTTCTTTTATAACTACCAAGCGGCGGAGTTCAGTTTTGCGCATCTAGGGCCCTCAGCATGGTTGGGACTAAGAGGCGTTTTGCATTGGGCAGATACGTCGAATCGAGCATTTGAGCGGGTAGGATAGGTCACTCGAATCTTAGATTTTGTACGATATTGGGGGCGAGGTTTATGGAGATTGTGGTTGATCGGACGCGCTTGGAGTGGATGTGGATTGCACAATCTTGCCAAGACTCTCTATGGGTAGGCAGGCAGCATAGCACGACACCGGAAGTTTGCATAGATCTTGATCAATCTCATCGGCTTTTTTATATTGCATTGTCATCTCGCATGCGTATCGTGACTGTGAAACTTGTCGCATAATGTCTCCCCGTATACTTCATCCTCGTCGGAAGGTCCAAAAAAATCGCATTTAAGATACTTCATATCCCTCCATTATAACTATATAACAAGACTTACTCGTGCTTAGGATACAACAAGAACAAATGAACACATGGACCAGTACTGCAACCAGCAGCAAATCATACTGAGTTTGTTTGCTGACTGAATAGTCCAATGAGGGAATCATGATTTGACTGATATTTGCATACTGTACAAAAGATCAAGGTGGCAACATATTCCTGTAGGTTCTACTACATAGGGAAACAGAGGTCATACAAACGTGAGCCTGGGTCTTGCGTTTGCTTCATATTCGTACTGTGTCACATTTGCCTGGCAGCCCAAGATCGCGATGGTGTTCGCAACATACGCTTTCAATATACGTGTCAAGTCGAGCTGTAGCAGCGCACAAGGTTACTACTAAAACGTTCCGCAAGGTGAGGCTAGATCGAAGAAACACTAAATAGCCCTAAAGCTTTTTTTCAGAGTCCGCGAAGACAGACTAGAGTGAGACATTCCAGCAAAGAAAGTTCGTTGGTATATGAGAATACGAGACTGAGTTATCTGATATTTTTTCTGTAACTCAAGAGACACGGTCCTTTCCTTGTGACAAAGACGAACTGCCCCCGATGATCGGATTACCACTTACTTTGAACGTCGTCTTCCAACGGCTTCATCGTCTTCTGCAACTCCTCCGCTACCTTGTCGGCCTCCGCCCAGACCCTGAGCACATTGCGCCCAGCAACCTTTGCCGCGTCCTCGTCGCTGACTCCTTGCCTCAACAACTCGGCAATCAAGTCTGGGAATTTGGATACGTCTTCAAGTCCGGACGGGGTCTTGTCAATGCCATCGTAGTCCGTCCCAATACCCACGTGATCATACCCAATCAGCTCGCCAATGTGCATAATATGCTTGACCACCTGCTTCAGCGTCGCGTTCTCAGGAACGACCTCGGGCAGATCATCGGGTATCTTTCCAGGCTTGCACGACACAAACTCCGGCGCGAAGTTCACCATGACCACCGAGTTGCGCTTCTTCACCAGCTGCAGGATGTCGTCTGGAACATTGCGCGGGTGCGGGCATACAGCGTATGCAGAGCTGTGGCTGAAGATTGGGGGAGCGAGACTGCCGTTCCAGATCCCGTCGCCTTTGCCGACGAGGGCGTCTCTCATAGTGTCCTGGCTGACGTGGGAGAGATCGACGAGCATGCCCAGGCGGTTCATTTCTTTGAGGAGAGCGCGCCCGTCGGGGCTGAGGCCGTGCCAGTATGGTTTTGCGACTCTGGTCACGTAGTCGGAATCGGTTTGGAGAGCTGCGTCGGCGTACTTGTTGTGGCAATTCCATGTCAATGTTGCGTATCTGACGCCTAGCTGGTGGTAGAGGCGCAGTGTCGAGATTGAGTTGCCGATTTGGTGCAGGCCTTCGATAGCGGTGGGTGAGATTAGAAGTCCGTTGGCGAAAGCTTTGAGGGCTTGGGCACTGGTCCTGGAGGGGGTGAAGTACTTTGGATATTGCTGGCCCAGGCGGTGGAACAAGTCCAGCTGGCCAAGCGTAGCTTCGACGACTGTGAATGTCAATAACAATATTGAAGAACAAGGATACATGATACTCACTCGGAGCATACTTTTCAGTTGAGAAATCCGTCTCGTTGCCAGACGGACACGGCCAGAAAGCAGACCAAAAAGCCCCGCCTTGCATGCCTTTCTCGAGGCGGGGAATGTCCACGTGCTGTGGTAGTCCACCATTCTCAAATTTCTCTTGGAACTCGTTATCATAGATGTGGTTCTGGTATTTGCCTCGCATGAAGATCATCAAATCATTATGCCCGTCTGTTGACTGTCAGCACGTGCGAACTAAGTCATTGAGACATGTGACCGACCAATAAGAGGGTTCTCACTCAGAATCACTTTCGCGCGCTCCGCGATACTGAGTGGTACATGGTCTTTTGGCTCGAAGACTCCGGTCACACGGGCCAGACCCAAGCAAAGGATGATGATGAAGACCACGGTCCTGACTGCGCGGCTCGGGTTCTCTGCCATGGATGACCGCCGTTTCTCATCCTGCGATGCAATCGCACCATAATCCTCATTCACAGGTAAATCGTTATTCTTCTCCATGGCATCAATGATGATGTATATAGTACATCGACAGCTACATCCACCTGACAGCGATACGAGTAAGCACAGTCTTGGCATGAGAACGGAGATAAGCTTGACACGCCGGACATGACACGCGACGGACCCTTTTCACCACCAAAACCCTTAATTCCTGGTCATTCTCATATCAAAGACATATCGAAGCCGCAAAAATGGGGCTCATATCCGCAGGCGCCATGATCCGCAGCTTATCGCTGTTCCACATCACCCTCGCAGCAGTCCTGCTTCGCAACCCCCAGATGATTGCCAACCAGAGCATCGTCATGGTCCTGGGACAATCAATGCAGCTGGTATTTCACCCTTACCTTTCTTCATACATTTCAAGCGTCTAACACTCCCAGCCAACCCCCCGCGAATTCCTCAAACCCTCCGCATCCATCGCCTTCCTCGCCGTCCTCTTCGCCTTCCTCGGCCTCAGCGACCTGACCGCGATATCCATGTCCGAAGAGCTGTCAGATGAATATTGGGGCATTGCAACACCCGTGCGCCTCCTGTTTCTCTTCGCGCTGACCGCGTACACCTACACGTTCAAGGACGGCGGCATGTTTGCGCCCCGCTCAAACGACTACATGATGAGTTCTGGCAATACGAATCTCAACAACAGCATTGTCTTCACGTGGGGGTTCTGCGAGATGGCGGCATGGTTTTGGGTGTTTGTTACGCTGCGGGACGAGAGGAGGGAGAAGGTGAAGAAGGTTGTGGAGAAGAGGGCGGCGGAGGCGGATAGGCTGTAGAAGGTGGTTTACGGCTTTGGAGAGTTGCCGAACGAGGCTGGGCTTTGACTGCGGATGCGGCATACCTAGGTAGCCACTAGAGTGGGAGATTGTGTGGTGGGCATTGGCATTGGCCTTCGCAAGGCTTGAAGCACATTGCGGAGATTATCACACATGGAAACACCAGCATATGCTTGCAGTGCCGTCTACCGCGCACCGATCTGCTACAAGCTACGAGAACTTGTGGACATGCGTATTTTATATCGCAGGTCGCATATAACTGAGGTGGAAATAGAAGCTGCCTCGCTCACAAAGGGAAAAATGAAATCATTACCAACACGAAACCAGTAATGCAGAGCATTGCGATGGACTCTGCCGTACAATCTTTCCATGTGCTCTCTCACACATACAACCCCAACTGCCACCAGCGACATGTCTCCACATCAATAGGATCCTGAATCGGCCCAACATCATCATGACTCAGACCCTGAACACTCGCATTCTGCCCCCAGCTTGGAAAGAACGGAAGTCCCTCCCCATTCGGACTTCCATAATTTGCAAAGTTGATCCAATAATCCTGCATGATATGCGCCAGCGTAACGTTAATCGGTCTGAAGTATACATCCGTGGCCTGGCCGTTGTAGAATACGTAGTACAGATCTTGGCCATGTAGTGCCGGCGGCACGCTGAGGACGTATGCGTAGGTCCGGCCTTTGAAGGCGTCGTTGAAGAAGTGCGTGTTGCATTTGATCACGGTGTCGGATTGGAAGAGAGCTTGTCGGCCCTGGGGGTCGTTGTAGCTGGTGACAATGAGAGACTTGGAGGTTTCGGGGTCGTAATCTGATGGAATGGCTCCGGCGCTCGGGGCTTTGGGTGGATAGAGTACTTTTGTAATGTGGTCGAGCGCGGAAGTCGGGGCGTTGGGGAACAGGGTATTCATGGATGCTAGAGAGTGTTTAGTGAGTAAAAATGGATATCGATGGTTTGGATTGACTCACCATCAAATGCTGAGTCGTTTGCCACGGGGTATCCGAATCCTTCATTGCCGTTGTGGCCGACTAGCACGTCGATCGAATCGTCGTAACGGCCATGTGCTAACAACAGTGACGGCAAAGCTGGTATAATGTCACCATCAACTTGCGGTCCTAGTATTGATCGTCAGAGTGATCATAAGAAGGCTAACATGGAACAATTACCGTATGTCCACCCCTTTGTTCCAGTGCGTATCTGTAATTCGTTGGCAGCTTGAAGCACAATACTCGGCAAGGCCCTCGCCTCGCCCAAAGTAGAAACGTTCAACAAATCCAAGAACTTGCGGAAACTCTGCTCTTGTTCAAGGTTACCAGCCATCGGCGTCCATCCTGGGCTCTGTAGTATCGCTCGTTGGAAAGGCGTTTTGACTCGTCTACCGCCAAATGCTGTGGTCTGGAGGATAATCGAGCCTCCTCCGGCAGATTCGCCGAAAAGAGTAACTCGGCTGGGATCGCCCCCGAAGCGATGGATATTGTCTCTAACCCACTGCAGAGCAAGTCGCTGATCGTACAACCCGGCATTGGGAGTTCCATCTTTTGCAAATGTCGGACCTGACATCCAACCGAAAGCACCTCTGTGAACAGTCAGCCATCGGAAACAGCAATGACTTAGAGCCATACAGTCTGTAGTTAAGTGTGACATATATCACGCCTTCATTGTCGCCAATCTGGCTTCTGGAAATTAATCCCGCAGCAGGAGTGTCGTATTTCGACCCTGCACCAAATCCTCCACCGTGAAGCCACACCATCACAGCTGCTCCGGTCTTCGTTCTGTTCCGTCTCGATGGCCGAGCATGGAATATCTCCCGAGGCACCATGACGTCCAGGAACAGGCAGTCTTCTGTGGCTCGCGGATCTGAGGGAGTGTTCCGTGGGTAATCAAATCCTTGCGTTGCATTCTCAAAGCCAGCTATGCTCGTGTTGCCCGTCAAACTGTAGTAGGTGTTGTATCTTTCGTTCACACGACCGCCAGTAGGGTAAGCTTGGGGGCAGATACGTGCGATTGAGCCAGTGTCAACGGTGGTGTTGCGGCCTCTAGGCGATACGGGCAGTGCGAATCGCAAACTTCCTACTGGTGGCTCCGCATAGCGGATGTTAGAAAAGTTGTAGTAGTTCCCCTTTTTTTTTTTTTTTTGATGTCAGCATACTTGGAAGCCTTGGAAGTTATCTGCTGATGAGACATACGTTGAGAGACGCTTGGTAGCGCCCATATCCAACGTCTACAATTGGCAGGTGCCTTTCGTGATATGTCCAAGGGTAATCTGCATACGCTGCGGCACATGTGTAGACAAACAGAAAAACTTTGATGAAGTTCGCCATATTCGCAAACAAAAAACTTGTGATCCGTGAAAAGGATCTTTTGGATTAGTACTCGGGAAGAGGGTCTCTTTTGTTGAATAGGCTTTCCGTTTATTGTACCAGGAGCTCCCGAGACAGAGATACGGGGGCACTGAGAACTAATGCCACGAATTTAAGTCAATTCGTGGCTAGCTTTTGGCCAATTATGTGCAGGGTGAGGGTCTAGGGTGCATTGTCTCGGTTGGGGAGACACTAAACACTCTCAGTGCTTGTTGTCCTCGGGTTTGACTGCATTGCATTTGTTTGACTGCAAAGTCAGTATCCCTTCTCTAGTTACAGACAGAACCTTTTCTAGCTGCAGGCAGAATACCCATTGTATTAGCCCCAACCAGGGGAATCAGTGTCTCTTTATATACTTGCGAACAGCGTGCTGTATCCTCTCTTTGGATGTTAACACTCATTTGAATAATAGAAGATGTTCCGCGACCGATGGACCAGGTCAAGGGTTTGCAAAAGTTAAGCCACAGTAAATGAGGCAGGGCTGTAATGCCTGACTGTCATTGTTGCACGAGCGATGCCAGATGAGGCCTTTTAGTGAGAGAGAGAGGGAATTGTACGACTGTTGAAGAGGGGATTACGGATAAACAGTATGCGATATGCACGTCGATATGGCATGCCAGCATGTGCGACTTGATTGTAGCGTGCATCAAAGATAGAGTGTTGGTTTTCCGGAATCACATGTAGATTTGTTGTTTAAATGGTAATTGAGAAACCTTAGGTTTGTTATGATTTCTGAATCAAGCAGTCACACCAGCTCACCAGCAATCTGCCACATTCTGCTTGGTGAAATGAGCGGTGTCGGATTCGGGGAATTTGAGAGATCTTATGTACGACTGTGGCTGGAGTAGTGCTACACCCGCCCGGCAGGGCATTATCGTAATCCGCATGATGACGTCAAGGCGCAGTGGACTCGACAACCCGATGCTCCAGCCTAACATCAGTGGGGACATCGTCGCGAGAGCAGCGGCCATCAGGTATTGTGCCTTGTACTCAGAAAGAAACATACATTGGCTTCAGGAACTACATAAATCTACACACCTCTTGCCTGCAACGCCGCATTCAGTGCCTTTTGGAAGACCTCAATGTTCTCAGGCCTCAAAATCGTGAAATGGGTTCCTTCAACTGGATGATAACGCAAAGGCCCCTCAGACTCTTCGTTGTCAACGTCGCTTTGCTGCGCGCCTGTAACATGGTCTTTCCATTTCGCAAGCCAGTCGGAACGCCACTGTTGTTCAGTACAGTTGTACTGCGGTAGGGGCGGTACCCAAAAGATATCGTATTTCGAGACTGATCCCCTGGGCTTGTACGTCCTGGTGATGGTTTGCATGTTGTCGTTGATGCGTTGCCAGGCCTCAACTTTCGATACACTGAGATCGAGATTCTCAAGTGTCCCATCAGGGAAGCGAGCAAAGATTTCTTTGGTGAAGTCTTTGTCCGCAACCGTCTCCATGTCGATCTCCCACTGCATGGCTGTCTCGACATCGAGGAGTTGGAAGAAGTGGAGCAGATCAATGATAAAGTTCCGGGGCTTGTCGCGGACTTGGATGCGGTTGAGATCTGCAGGGTTATCGATGCCTCCACAGAAAGCGACCTCTTCACCTGCAGCTTCCAGTCTCTTACCAAGCTCGAATGCCAACATGCCACCAAAGCATAAGCCCAGTAGTACGTATGGACCTTTCGGTTGATACCTTCTGATGCCTTCCATATAGATTTCAAGCATCTCATCCAAGGTCTCGAATGGGGTTTCGTCTTTGTGGAAGCCGCGCACGCGCAGTGCATATACCGGGCGATCTGGTATGTATTTGAGTAGACCAAGCCATGTGAGAAACTCGCCGCCACCAGGATGGCATAAGATAATGGGCGCCTTGGAGCCGGATGAGACCAGAGGCACGATCGGGTCATACTCGGCCGTAGTAGTGCCCAAGGCTAGCAGCACATTGTCCATGTCGCCGATCGTTCGACAGGAAAGAAGAAAGGACATGGATATCGGCTCCTCAAGCTGGAGGATGTTCTCTAGCGACGACTTGATACGAAGATAGCCTAGACTATCGATATTCAAGTCGGCAAGGGCAATGTCCAGGTGAAGATCTGAGGATTTCAGTCCAGTCTCTTCACACAGAGCGACCGAAAGAGTTTGTTGAAGGGCTGTAGTGAGGGGAGGCCCTTGCTGGGTAAATGATCGTGGCACGCACTCCGAGAGCTTGAATTCATCGAAATGCCCGGCAAGTAGCGATTTCTTCAACTTTGCGCGCGACAGTTTCCCGATCGTTGATTTTGGTAGCTTCTGTTTTGGTAGAGGGATTACCATCACGGGCCGCTTGCGACAGAATCTTATGACAGCCTCATTGATACGAGATACCGTATCACGAAGTGTGGCCGTGTCCTCGAGATTGTCGTTGGTGGGGTTGAAGAGTATGACCACATCTTCACTTTCCGCATTGGCATCCTCCGTCCAAATGGAGAACGATGCGGTGAAGCTCTTGTTCAGTCCAGGGATATTCGAAGATTCAATGGCATGCTCCAATTCGAAGGAAGAGTAGTTTTGGCCATTGATGATGATGACTTCCTTGGTGCGGCCGACAATCCGCAGATTGCCTTCATCATCCAGCATCCCAAGATCGCCAGTGTCAAACCAACCATCCGGTGTCATACAAGCGCTAGTTGCTGATTCGTTGTTGAGGTAGCGCTTGAAGATCAACGGTCCTCGAACTTGGATTGCACCGGTCTGGCCGTCCTTGACATGAGCGCCAGTCTCGTCAACGAGTCGAAGCTCATGTTGTGGCAAAAGCTTTCCGACAGATGCGAAAACGTACTTTCGATCTATATCGTATGCTGGAGACTGCTGATTATAAAAGAAAGCTGAGCATGTCTACAGAAGAGTCAGGTGGGTGTTTTCACGGAAAATCTGGGATAGACAAACCTCACTAAGACCGTAACTCGCCTTGATGCTGCACCTTGGTGCTTTGTACTCAGTCAAGACCAACTCTGCAGCCTCCAGAGTAGCCGTCTTATTGGCCTCCCCACCACACATGATGACGCGCAGCTGACTGAAATCTAGGTGCAATTCTTGCCGTTCGCTCGGATCCAATTCGTTCAATGCACGTACTGCAGCGGCGATGAAGAAGTTCGGCGCAAAAGTGTAAGATATGCGATAGTCGCTCAGAGCCTTCCAGAAGCGAGCAGGGCTTTGAACAAAGTCCATTGCTGGGACCATCACCTGATTAGCTCCAGCATATACAGCGTGTAGGTGGTTTTCGCAGAGAGCAGCACTGTGATCGAAGCCTGCGAACTTGTGGTTAGCAAATTATCTTGGTAAGTATCGTCAGAAGGTCGTAGTACTTACTGACCCAAGACAGAAACGTCTTGCTGGAGTCCATCAGATGGAAATCGCATTTCAGCTTACTAGACGTCACCAACTGTGCGTGCGTGTATTCGACACCCTTCGCGAAACCCGTGCTGCCGCTTGTGAACAGAACTGTTGCAAGCTCGTCTTCGTGATCAAAACCTCCGTCTATTGGTTTCCACGCGCCATTCTCGTTTGATTTTGTCGTCGCAACCGATTCCGCGGTGATTGTGGTAAGAGTTGGAACCATGCGAAATGGCTTCGCCAATCGCTTGGAAGTCAAGATAGTGGGCCCATTGAAGAGCTTGCTGACATTGTCCAGCTCACCAGCAAGAGTAGCATCATTGCTTGACAAAGGGGAAAGTAATGCTGGTACACCGCCTGCCGCAACAACGGACCAAAACCAGATTACATTCTCGCGGTGTGTGTTGAAGTACAGGACTGTACATTGTTTTTGCTTGATCGTGCCATGCGCTCGAAGTTTGGTTGCGTTTGTCTGACGTACATCAGCGATGTTCTACCAACTCATTCAGTCGAAGACTTACCTCTGCTTGTCGTAACAGATCGACATAAGTTACAAAGTCCGAAACTTGGTCCCAGCCTTGATCCTTAAAAACGATGCCATGTGTCGGCCAGGCTCGGGCCGCACGCTGCAATAGTCCAAGCAGTGTCTTTGGTTCCTCGCCGGCGTGCTTCACCATTTCGTTTTGGACACCCAAGGACATCGATACCACATCCGTTGGGAGAGCCTGAGTCAGTTGAGACGTCATTGCGACAAGTCTGTGCCGTTCGCTGGTAGGTTCGTGGAAGGAAAAAACTATGAAGATGTTGGTGGAGTCAGGTCAGTCTGAGCCTGCTCATTTAAATCAACGAGTTGATACAGATCATCAGCCATTGCCTCAGGAATTCTGAAGCTCCGGCCCGTCTGTGCTACCTCCATATTGGGACCCTGACATCCCACATGCTCCGCAAACAGGGTGCCAATGGTGCAGCAAGACAACCTAGGTAGACTTGCGGCGACTTGTAGATTTCCATCACGCCGTTGGATTTGGTGCATGCGGCACCGAGGAAGTCAGGATTGGAAACTAATCTACAGCCTAGCTCATTTTAGCGCTGGAAGCTAATTTTCTTACTTCAAACCTTATTGCACACAGTATCGCACATGCGGTGAATGATAAGCCTCTCGCTTATTGGAATGCCCGGCCAACCACCCAGGGCATTCCGAGCCGAACGCAGGACCCTCACCCCTGAATATTCTCCCCAGATTCCAAGTCTTGCATGATATCTTTTGAACAACTATTACTTATGTTTCCGGTGCTTGGTGTAGGGAAGAAGTGCGGATGTTTGGTGGACTGCTTATGTTTCGCAAGATACTGTGAGTGTTCCACTTCCCGAGGTCGCCAATGGTACAGCGTCGCTGTCTAGGTACAAGATCCCGAGGATTTAATCAAGCACGTCTATTTCATGGCTCATCACATCATAATTACCTAGATATCAACGGTCCGAGGTCCTTGTCAAGCACGTGTATTGGCGCACGGCTCATCACATGTGCAAGTACTCCTTCTTCGGCACTGAACATCGTTTGACATCGGGAAAACGCACCACAGTTGATCATAATTTCAAAATGCTTGGTAGGCCGAAAGCGAATTTTGAAGTTGTTGAGATGGCTGGAGATGGTCGCGACGCTGAATGCGGACAATCCCGTAAGCCACTAGCCGACCCAGGACGTTGGTTACCTGCCAGGTACCATCAAGAATGGCGCGAGAAAATTTTGTCGACAAGGCGACTTGGAAATCTTGCGGAACAGGTTCTTTGATGGTCTAACTTTCGATACATGACAGGGTACCAACAGCATCATCGCAACCACGGTCCGTCAGATGGCAGAGCGCAAAACGAAGGCTGTTGACCAGTTATGCGACCAAGATTACAACACTTCTATGCCGAGTTGCTTATCACAGTAATGGCGTGGGAAAATCCCACTACCTGCCTGCATCGGAAGTGATCTCTGTTAGACTGAGTCAGGAATCCATTAATTACACCTGCTATGTAAGGTTCGAGCACTGTTTCTATTCGCGACGTGATGACGGGAAATGACAGTGAGCACACAGGTGGGCCGTCCAAAAGCATGAAGGCCATCACACCCAACAACCAGAGGTACCGTATCTCCGGAACACCTTCACTGGCCCCCGCTGTTACCGCTTTCAGCACTTCGTGTTGTTGACGTACCAAGTTCAGCAGATATGCTAACATGCCATGAACTTGCGGTCGTATTCTGTGAGCTCTACTTATTGCAGTCGGCCCCAAGGACGGCTCGAATCCCTGATTCTTAATTTCGCTCCCATCTCACTCAAAAGTTATTCTCGCTGTTCAGATACCTTCTTTTCACTACTTGTCATCATACCAGGATCGCTGGACGACTGCTGAACAATATACCCATTTAGCGATTGACAGAGTAGACCTCTCAACATGAATATCCAAAAGCCTCTCGACATTTTAATCTTCGGCACTGGAGGTGAGCATGCCACTTACCGTTCGGTGAAGAAGTACTGACCATTGCCACAGCTGTCGGCTCCACGCTGGGATGGAGGCTTGCACAGAACCCTAACGTTAGGCTTTCTGTTGTCTGCCGATCTAATTACGACATTGTAAAGCGGCAAGGGCTTCGCATGAGCACAGCCATGTGGGGTGATGGCATGTTTAGACCTCATCGCGTTGTTCGCTCAACGCGGGAGGTATCGCATGTACCTTTCGACTACGTGGTGTGCGCCAACAAAATCACAACGTCCGACTCCTCAAGAACAATCAACGAGCTGGTACCCGTTGTCTCTCCAAGAACCACTCTGGTATCAGCGCAAAACGGAGTCGGCGTCGAGGCACCCTTGGGCCGTGCATTCCAAAATAACAACATCTTATCTGCCGTGTGCTACATCAGTTGCCTACAGCCAATTCCCGGTATCGTCCAGCAAATCTCCAATATTCGGCCACATGCTTTCCACATTGGACATTACGACAAGCCCATGTTCGGCAGCACGATGGACAGGGCGCAGAAGCTGAAGGACTTTGTTGCCCTGGATAACCGATTCAAACAAATCAATGACGTGCAAGCCGAGCGCTGGACGAAGCAAATCTTCAATGGTGCCTGGAATCCAATGACTGCCATCACTGGTCTTGAAACTCATCCCCTGATTGCCTCGCCTTATCTTGACACGGTCCGACGGCTCGCTCAAGAGACCTTCAATGTCGCAACCGGACTTGGTGTCTCGCTCCCTGAAGACCTACCAGAGAAGACAATCGAATTCGCCAAGGCGAATCCCTCGATGGCACCGTCGATGCTACAGGATGCAAGGAAGAAGAGGCTTATGGAGGTAGATTCACTTTGTGGTTAGTAGCAGCTCCATGTCTATCCTTGTTGACAGTGACTGATTGTGATGCTAGGAAACATCATCAGGCAGGCCGAGCAAATCCGCGTGCCTGTGCCAACGGTAAAGATGGTGTACTACGCGCTGCAAGAGATGAACAGACAGATTTCGGAATCGACGCAACCACTACGCATCCCAGAGCACGATGCTCTTGCGAACGGAATCAGTTACTTGCAGCATTTTGCAGCGCAGCCACAAGTAATTATGACCAAGTAGAATTGCAATAGTAAAATTAATGTAATCATGTTACTCATGCAATAATGAACCGCCAAGTCTTTCATTCATTCCGGTATCAGATCAAGACATAACCCAACTCATTCAGAGCTTGCCCAGCACTTCCTTCGTCCCCTCAATCTCCACTGTAGCCACAATTTCAACGTGCGCAACCGACTGTCCAAAAGAGAAGTCATACAAGCCCTTGTCAACCTTCCACTTCTTCTCCGCCTCGTTAAAGTACGCAAAATCCTTGAGCCCAACTTCCAACTCCACACTCTTCTCCTGTCCCGGGTCAAGCGTCGTCTTCTTGAACGCAGCGAGCGTCTTGATCGGGTGCTCAGACGACTGCTCCTTTCTGCCGACATACAACTGGACGACAGTAGAACCAGCAGTTTTGCCAGTGTTCTTCACAGCGACGGTAGCTTTGAACAAGTCGGATGAGGTCTGCGCGACGTGTCCGCCGAACAGGGAGAAAGTGGTGTACGACAGACCGAAGCCGAATGGGAAGTGTACTTTATCTTTCGCGACGCGATCGTAGTGTCTGTATCCGACGAAGACGCCCTCTTCATAGCGCACGGTGAGTTGGCCGTCTTTCTTCTCGCCGGGGAAGTTGCCGTACGCGGGTGCGTCTTCGATGCGTTTGGGCCACGAGATGGGAAGTCTGCCCGAGGGGTTCACGGCGCCAGAGATGATGTCTGCAATGGCATTGCCGGCTTCTTGGCCAGGGAACCATGCTTGGACCAAGGCGGCGATGTTGGGGAGCCAGGGGAGGGCGATGGCGACACCGGTGCTGTTGATGACGATGGTTTTCTTGTTCGCGGCTGAGACTACTTCGACGAGTTTGTCTTGACTGCCATCGCGGGGGAGGTTGAAACTCAGTTGGTCTTGGCCTTCGGTCTCCCAGGCTGGGGTGTGTCCGGTGAAGACGAGTGCGATGTCGACTTCTTTCGCGAGGTCGCGCGCTTGTGTTACCATGTCTAGATCGTGCTCTGAAGCGTTCATGAAGCCCATGCGGAATCCGGGAAGGCCAGCGAGAATGCTCCATTCCTCGGGATTGCCGCCGGCTGGTGGCTTAGAATGGATCACGACCTTGTAAGACTTGCCTGCCTCGAAGGATACAGTAAACTCCTTTTCGGGGTTACCGCCAAGCAGGAAGCCCATAGGATCGGGTGAGTTGTGCTTCTGTTCGAATACCTGCTCACCGTTGATGGTGACGGTGGTAGGTCCGCAGCCTGAGCATCCAAGGTAATGTGAGCCAGACTCTGTTGGCACGAATGTTGCCGTGAGCCTGACCTCACGATCCTTCGCTTCGACGTCGAGGACGGGGCTGAACGCAGACTCCTTGATCTTGTGTGTTGTCTTGGTTGGCTTGTCTGTTTGACCGCTGCGGAATTGCTCCAGGGTCCAGCCAGAGTTGCCCTCTAGATCAGTGCAGTGATGTGCTAATGGGGGAAGTAGGCGATATGTGTGCGCGCCCTTTGCGAATTTGAACTCGACGTCGTTGCCGTAAGCAGCCTTGAGGCCTTCTTCGGGTGAAATACGGTAGTGCGCATTGAGACTTGCGCTGCCTCCGCCGTGAATGAGAGCTTCTTTTGCCAGACCAAAAAGACCAATCTTCTTGCCCTTGACATCCTCTTTTTTGAGAGGTAGAATATCGTTATCGTTCTTCAATCAGTGTGATACCTTGTCCGGCAACATCTCTAATGAGCTTGCTATGTGCTGGGTTCACAATAGACTGCTCTGGTGGAATGCTTGGGTCCTCAAATGCACCAACCTTCTCGATGAGCTTCAGCACGTTCTTCGCTCTCTCAGTGATGGTCTCCTCGGTGACCTCGCCTTTCTTGACGGCTGCCATGACAGCTTCAACGCTTCGGTGTCGTGTTGGTCCTGGCATCTCGAGGTCCAGTCCGGCATTCAACGCGTCGGCAGTAGAGTTTGTGCCGCCCCAGTCGCTCATCACCAGGCCGTCCCAGCCCCATTCTCCGCGGAGGACTTGCTTGAGCAAGAATTCGTGCGAATCTGCGTGTGTGCCGTTGATCTTGTTGTAGGCGGTCATTACACCCCACGGATTGGGCTTCCTTGACTGAGATCTCAAATGGCTTCATGTAGATTTCCCTCAGCGCACGTTCAGACACAACCTCGTCGACCGCCAGACGTTCCGTCTCTTGCTCGTTTGCTGCGAAATGCTTGATGGTGGCGGCAATCCCGCGCTCCTGGACTCCCTTGACAACATTGGCAGCCATTTTACCAGCCAGAAGGGGGTCTTCAGAGAAAGACTCAAAATTGCGGCCTCCAAGAGGGTGTCGATGGTTGCACATTGTGGGCGCAAGCAGGACTCTCGCACTCTTCGTCTTCGTTTCCTCGGCCAATGCATTGCCTATCTTTTGAGCATATTCTGGATTGAATGTTGCCGCTGAGCAGACTGCTGCTGGGAAACATGCTGCTCTCGTGCCTCCAGTGAAGACTTCCCCACGAGCGCCGTTTGGGCCATCGCTTGTCTAAGCAGAGTAAGCTGGATTCATCTGCCCACGTTGATGATGCGGGGCCATACCTTGATGGCAGGTACCCCTTTTCCAGGAATCGGAACGGTCTCCCAAAAGTCCTTGCCAGCAAGGAGAGCTATCTTCTCCTCCAAGGTCAGAGACTGGAGGGTAGCCTCAATGTTCACACCCATTGCTAATAGCCGATATGCCTAAAAAGACTAGTCAATTGCAAGACTCGGGCACAAATCACCCGTAAGATAAGATCGCAAAGTACGAAAGTTGTAAGAACAAGAAAGGGGTATCAGATTCTATATCTTCTCCTCTCGAGCGGGACTCTCCAGTACTTATGTACAATCCAAATCCCAGCATCGACTCCTGGCGGAGTAGCTCGCCGTAATGCCGGCAAATGCTCCTCTTGCCCAAGATGTCGCGGCATCGTGGGGTCGCGATGTGGAGAACAGAACAGTAATCATTGGCCGAACAGCGCGACCATCATCAAGCCTACAGTAAGCGTGCCGGAGTTCTGCCAGGACGGTGTCGTGATTCGCTGCGCCGTTGCTGGGCCGAGACGGGGCATCCGAAGTATTGCCAGATCGAAGGAAAGCTAAGGCTACGTGGATGTCAGCTGAATGCATCCATTATTCAGGCCGAGAGCGTTTCAAGACCTCGGCACTACACGATAGTCTGGGGAGATGCGTGCAAGAGTCGTGTTGCACATGAGATGCGGAGAGATGAGTCGGGCGTGGCTGGTGCGCCACGACCTTTCGGATCACCTCCGGAGAGCTAATGGCAGACCCACGTGCTTGGCTGGTGGATAGCCGTAAACGTACGTCACTCGGGGCAGCTGTCAGAATTTCTTGTTCAGATGTGTGCTTCCATACTTCAATCATAACTACATACCGCATAGAGTTGTTGTACAATTCAACCTCCTTCTCTTTTCTGTCTCTTTCGTACCTCCAAATGAGTGCTCAAGCAGCCAACAAGACGAGCCGGCGGCATCCGCTCCAGCGTTATGATTCTCCATCCAAAGGATTTTCAGGTGCTCTGCACGTAAGGACTTCGATTCAAGATGAACGGACTGCAGCTGATGTATCTAGGTTGCTGGTCTAATCAGTTTTTACCATTCTTTCAAATTGTAAGAACTCCAGCGCAAAAGCATTCCAACAGCAATTGACTTTACACATAGCTTGGCGGACAATCCGAATCAATTTGTAAATACCACACAAACAACCGAATCATTTAGATACTAACCCATCCTCAGAACGACTCTTTCGGCTGGCACCTCCAATTCCTCACCATCCTCGGGATCACAATCTGCACCGTCGGCTTCACCCTCGCCCTCCTCGCCGACATGACCAACAGTACATCCCTCTTCACCATCAAGAACTACATCTCCCTCGTCGCCGCCCCCATCGAAATCGTCATCTCAATCCTCTACTGGTCCCTCCGGCTCATCGACACATCCCTCGTCGTCCCGCCACACCTGCCCCTCCCACCTGCAATCTACGACCTAACATTCCACTTCTTCCCCGCGGTGCTGACGACGCTTGATACGTTGTTGCTATCCCCGCCGTGGCCCAGTTCGCCGATGAATCCGCAGGCGCCGCTGATTACACTGGTACTCAGCACAGCGGTCGCATTCCTGTATTGGTTCTGGATTGAGATTTGTTATGCCAGGAATGGGTTTTATCCGTATCCAATCTTTGAGATGCTCACGACATATCAGCGCGTGGGGCTGTTTGCACTGAGTGGCTCGATCATGTGGGTTGTGGGCGGGGCGTTGAGGGCGGCGTATGCATGGTGTAATGGGTATGAGGAGGTGGAGGAGTTTCAGAAGGTGAAGAGGGCGGTGAAGATGGGGAGGGAGGGGAAGTGGGAGTGAGAATGGGGTGGGGAGGGCTTGGATCGATGATGGTACGGATGAGGGCATTGGCTTCGAAAAGCACCGCCAGGTGTTGTAATAATTTGTGCGCGCCCTGTCTAAACTTGAACTGTCATCCGAGAAGAACAATCATCTCACATGCCAGTCTGACTAAAGTTAGGGCCCCTATAGCATTTTCTGATGTACAAAAAGTCCTTAAGGTTGTACAGCTTGTCTAGATGGCCTTTGCATGTTGCTCAGAGATTTTTGAGACACAGCGCGCATGAATTGTTGTTGGTACGGTCAAGGACTTGTAAAGATCATGCATTTCATAGCATTCTCATGAGATATCGTGCTAAGATGCTAGCAGTATGATTGATTCCATATGATGCAGGGGTATTCACCACCGAGGTGGTATAATGAAATGTCGAGATCTAAGCACTCTAAGCCATGTGACAGGGTTGATCTCCACCTAATTACAATTCGAGCCCAGCTTCACCTCCATGACACAACAGATGCGCCTACTCAGTGAACTCTACCATGACACTAGCGCTCTTGAGCCCAACCTCCTCAATAGAGGAGTCCAGGTGTTCGATCAGGTTCTTGCCCATGAAAGCGAGGTCGAACTCAGCACCCTCCTTACCTTCCCAAGGGTGGTCGGACTTGATCCATTCGTATATGCGACGGACTGGGTCGGAGAGGTTGAAGCGTCGCACAATAGGGCGACCTGAAGGGCCGCGAAATTGTATGCGCGTGGTGATCTTGGGGTCATTGACGGTAGGCTCGGTGTGTGGGGCTTGTGCCGAGATGGCCGCGAACACGGGATTTGAAGAGCCATTGGACTCTTCTTGTTCTGGCTCAGGTTCCGGCGCTGCCTGCTGTGCTGGCGCCTTGCCCTTGATGTTGTCGAAGGACTTTGTGAGCGCGTCTGGATCGTCGTCCTGGGGACCCTTGCCATTTTCTAGGCTGTTTTGCAGAGCCATCTCAAGCATCTCCTCCTCGGTCATGCGGCCCACATCCTTTGACTTGCTCTCTGGTTTCCGCTTCGCGACTGGGTTCTTTGCGTTGACGTTCAGGCTGTAGCGGTCGAGGAACTCGTGCAGCTGGGCGTGGAACTCAACGGGCTCGGGGATGGGTGGGCCAGACCATACCTTGACCTGCTCACCTGTCCGCGGATCGACGATGGCGATGTGGGGGTATGCGTCTGAGCTATCGCGTGCGTGGAAGTAGTAGTTGATGTACTGCTGGCCACGCGGGTCATCTTTGGCATACTGCATGAAGATGAAGTTCTCGCGGACCGTCGCCTTGATGTCGTCGTTCTTCCAGATGTCCCGATTGAGGCGCTGACAGTCGAATATGGCAGGATCCTGGATGTTCACTATGAGCCACTTCTCCTCCTCCTTGCCCTCGTCTCGTGCCTTTTCCCATGCACCTTGGTACATGATCTCAAATGGCGGTCGGAACAGTTCTGCGAGCATGTTCATCTTCGAAGACTGCTCTGAAGCACCGCCCGTAGCCGTTGCTAGCTCACGCCGCCGCGCGCTGGAGTCTGCGGAGTTGTCCCAGACATTGTTTTGGGTGGGTCGCTGGTTGAAGATGCCGGTGCGGCCTAGATCGCCTTGGTTAGCTTGTGCAAAAGAAGGCAGATGGTGGTTTGAGAGGGATGGCATACCTGCTCGCCGACGAGCTAGCTGCTCCTGTACCAGAGCATCCACATCATCGTCATCGTCCGCTGGGCCCCAGTTTGAGCCTGGGCCGATCAACGTCTCCGTCGTGCGCTGCATAGGGGCGCGGACCTCCTCCTCACCAGCCGGGCCTCCAGCGCCGTACATCTCCTCTTGTAACCGCCGCGCCATGGCCTCGTCGTCTTCCACTGCTGGTGGTGGTCGAGCCGATGCGTTCGATGTGTGTGCGGTGGGGTCAAAATCTGACATGTCATCGTCTGAGTCAATGGTAATTGGGTTCCGCGAGGCCGAAGGAGCAGTCTGTGCCGGGGCTGAGGGTGTTGCGCCGCCAAGGTCGAGATTGGGGCTGTCGAAAAAAAGCTGGATGGCTTGTTCGAAGTTTCCCTCAGTCAAGCGCAGATATTGGGCCGCCTTCTCAGGCTCGCAAGACGTGATGCTCACGAAATTGACAATGTTCTCGTCCTCCATGTTGGGCAGCTGTAGGGTGTGGCTTGCTCGGTGGTTGAGAGCTGTGTGGAGTTGCGGTGTAGTACCGTGGGGGCGCGGGGGCGCGGGTTGGCCGTTGAGATTGCAGGCAGAGTTTTTGTTCTGCTGAGAGGTTATTGGCCTTGTTATAGCACTCGTGGTAAGAGTTGCGGGCGTGAGGAAAGGTGCGTCGATTGCTCGGTGGCGGGTGGTGGGTGGGTTGGACGGCGGCGGGGCAGTTATGTACCCATCGAAAGCGGGCAAACAAGCGTGATAGTGCGTGTACAATAGGCGGGCGTTGCTGTTGTGAGCGGAACAAGCAGGCGAGCGGGTGAAGTGACGAGACGAGGTGAGTGCTAGGTGTGATTGTCCAACTGTGGTTACACGAAACCGTCGACGAGGTTCCGATGGCGCTTCGCGTGCTCGGAACGGCGAGTGCAGCGGCTCTGGGCGACGAGGACTCGGTGTGAGGTTGTATCCGGAAGGCGCGACGGGCGGCGAATGTGCAGTCAACACAAAAACACCGTGTTTCTGAGGCCGAGGCTGTCGACAGAGGCAGAATCACGTCGAAGACGCGGTGCATTTGTTGCAGGCAGACGGTGCTGCGTCACTTTTGTCCGTGCACAGCATCCCTGTCTGGTGTCGCCTCCGAGTGAAAGCAATCACCAGCAGCGAAGGCGTGACGTGCTCCAAACATAGCTGCACCGCCCTGATTCGCCCGAGCCACCATCCTCTCACCAGCTGATGGGCCACATCATCTCCGTCTGCCTGTGGCGCTCACCTTAATATCGCGGATCGCAACTTGGTGATATCGACTGACATTTTGCTTCTCTGCACCACGCCTGATACAAGCACTTCAACATGGCGGACGCACAGGCGGTCGAGGCCAAGGAGCTCTCTCTAGTCGGCAAAGTCGAGATGCGCATCGCCTTAGCCAGCTCAGAAAAGAAACTAGAAGACTTGCTGAAGACATACCTTGCCCCGCTACTCTTGAAACTCGGCTCAGACCATGTAGCTGTGAGGAACAAGGTAGGCATTTGATACCTTCGTAGACTTCATCAAACACACTCGCTCCTGCACTTTCCTCCTCTTGCGAACGCCGCTAATCGCGGTCTCTGTCTCAGGTCATCTCCATTTGCCAGCATATCAACACTCGCATCAAGTCACAGTACGCATTTTCACCCTTTCAGATCCACCCAAGGCTGCACGGACTAACCCTCTCTATAGAGACATCAAGCTTCCGGTTGGACCCCTTTTGAAGCAATACAAGGAGAATCCAGATGTTGCCTTGATCCGTCACTTCGACATTCTCTACATCCAGCAGGGCATTTCGCGACTAACCGTATCCGAACGGCTGGAGCTCCTTCCCATCCTTCTCCAAGGCATTGCAAACGATTTTGAAAAGTCCACACAGCATGCCTCGCAGCTTTTCCACTTGATCCTACGGCTTCTTGTTCATTTCAAGCTCCCACTACGCGGCAGCAAGGATGATGATGAACTACGGGCTACTTTGGGCCTGAGCGACGAAGATGCTGCCTTTCTATCAACGTGGTTCGGGAAGCTACTGTTGTTCCAAATTGTACGGCCGAACACCCCAGAAGCGGCAGCCTCACTTCGATGCCCTGGATTGTCCGTAGAAGACTACAAGTTCCTTACACAACAAGGCAAGCCGGATGCGTGGGATCCGAGTTCTGACTCTGGCTTGAACTTGACTGAGTCAAAGGCGCTCGTGGTGCGCTTCCTGGCCAGTGGTTTGTTCAAGGAAGATGAGAAGTTCTATCCGGCATTGTTCGCTTCCTCGGACACAAATTCACGCATTTCCGAAGTCGGAGAAGACACCCTAAAGCGAGTTATCTTGACAAAGGATCTTGAGGATGCGAAGCTTGTAGAGACATTGCTCGAACTATACTTCGGCTCGTAAGTACAAGTCCGGTTTTCCATCGATCATGACTAACATGGTAGCTAGATCTGAGCCTGAAGGAAAGCTTCCAGTCAAGACACCGCTGAAGATACGAATTTTGGGTATACTCTCAAAATCGGTGAAATCTTCAGCATACCCACATAAGATTGCCAAAATCGTCGAAGAAGGACTTCTGTCAGCCGAACTGAATCCAATCAATAAGACCGCTGGACGAGAAGCTTCCCGATTTCGGCAAGCTATCTTTTCTCTCGTCAACTTTGTCGCACGGCGCGGAGCCCCAGCCGATCTTTCAGTCGTTGCAGTAGGGCTGGTGGACAACTTGAGAGCCTTTATACGGGACCAGGGCTGGCCTATCGCAGACAGAGACCAGGACATGGAACTCAGAGGATACGGCTATGAGACCATTGGTCTTCTTGCGAAGGCCGCCCCTGAGAAGATACTCATCGAACCATCTCTGGATCTGCTCGAATTCTTGTTCCGTTCACTCCGAGAAGATACTGCAGGAAAAGACGTCGCTGTCAGCATAGAAGAGGCGCTTTCCTCGGTGCTAGGCGCCTTCTCAAAATCGTTTGATCCGTCTGTCATGCCAGCTTTCCGAAGATTATTGCTCCGGTACGCCGCGCTGGGCCAAGTTACTACCCCGGCTTCCGATCGCTTCGTCAGAAGTACTCGCTATGTTGCAACCCGATTTGCGAATAGATGTCTCCCTTACGATGATGTCTTGGCGAGATGGATCGACATACTGGCTGTGAGTGGAGGCTCTGCAGAGAGACACGAAGTCGTAGAAGAAGGACAACGTGGACTTGATCCCTACTGGTTCAAGATGTCAAATACTCTCCCAGGCGCGATTGAAGAGCAGAAAGACCTAGTCTTCCCAGACTTTGACAAACTTGTCAGATTCATCTTCGTAGAGCAAGGCGAAGACGAAGACGCAATGGATGTCGATGAGCCTATCGACGTCCTAGGACAGGTCCAGCTATTTAGCCAACAACACCCGGAAGCGCTCAATACTGTAATAACCTACTGCTCTCAGATAGCTTTGCAGTCGGCATTGACTGAGCGAGGAATTGGGGATACTGTGGCGGAAGACTGGGGACGAAAGCTGGAGAGTCTGATGATTACAGATGCGCGTGCGCGTCAAGCGTTTCGTGCGTATGCCACCAACGAAGCACATGCAAAGTCCTTGGCCGCAATATTGAGAGCCAGCTTTGATCGCCTTGTCAAAGATGAGCTCAGCGATGTCGGCGATATCGGAACGACTTTTGTGCGATTGCTGTCTCTACTTCCTGAGCAACACTGGGTACTTGCACGACTCATACAAGACTTCACTGCTCTGCAGCCTTCTGTATTGGCGAACAACGTCAATCGCCGCGCTGCCGCTGCTCAAGCTTATGGCTTGCTTGCCTCACATAATGACTGCGACCAAGATGCTCTGCGCAAATCCCAGGCTCGGTTCTCCGACAAATTGAGCACATGGAAGGAGGCGGTAGGAGGCGAGATCAACCAAATTAGCGGTATCATCGCTGCCCTCGGTTACTACTTCAGTAGAGCATTCTGGAGAAGCACCGCCAGTTCAGACATCATCACAGAAGACCATCCGGTGCATAAACTCTTCCAGACTCTCATGGACATTCTGAAAGAGTCGAGAGATGCAACTCTAAAGGGAGCTGCTCACACGTGCCTGGACCAACTTGCCCTTTTCCACGTTATTACTCCTACCTCTATCTCCAAGTACTCCAAGGTCGAAGAGATTGCTCAACACGTGTATGACTCTGCCAAGACGGGCACGACAAGCGCGATTATCGCTCTGGGCCATCTTTCTATGATCACCGAAGAGCCGGCAGAGGGCGCCGAAGACGCGACTGATTACAAGTTCATCGGCGACAAATTACACGAGCTACACGAGGTCCGTGAAACAGAAGTCCAGTTCTCGGTGGGAGAAGCCTTGAGTTGTTTCGCATGTGGCTGGGAGTCGAAAGCTCTGATTGCTGAGCTCGATGTACTACACCCGGATCAAACACTAGATCCGTGGGACGCACCATTACAGACGCCGGCGGGTCCTAAGCGAGAGAGGACCCTAGGCGCAGTCCTAGAAAAGACATTGAAGGGCTGCCAACAATCCAAGCCTTCATTGAGAAAGGCCTCGGTCATCTGGCTCCTGTGCCTACTCCAATACTGCGGTCACAAGCCTGAGATACAGCAATACCTTGGTCCGTGTCAAGTTGCGTTCAAGAGTTGCCTGTCGGATCGCGATGAGGTTGTGCAAGAAGCAGCATCTCGAGGACTTGGATTGGTCTACGAGAAGGGGGATCGTCAGCTCAAAGATGATCTTGTTCGAGATCTGGTGGGCTCTTTCTCTGACAACAAGTCGAAGATCACCGGTAACGTTACCGAAGACACACAACTCTTTGAGCCAGGCGCACTGCCTACTGGCGATGGCTCGATCACAACATATAAGGATATATTGAACTTGGCAACTGACGTCGGCGACTCAAGTCTGGTGTATCGATTCATGTCGATGGCTTCGCACAACTCAATCTGGTCAAGCAGAGCGGCATTTGGCCGGTTTGGATTGAGCAACATCTTCTCTGACTCTAGTGTTGACGGGTATCTGGCGGAAAATCCCAAGCTCTACCCTAAGCTATTCAGATACAGGTACGCCCAGAACGTGCATTAAACGATCGATTGGGGACATGCTAACATGGTTTCAGATTCGATCCTAACACCAACGTTCAGCGATCCATGAACGACATTTGGAACTCTTTGGTCAAGGACTCTTCCGCTACCATTGACAAGCACTTTGATGCAATCATGGACGATCTGCTCGCTAGTATCCTAGGTAAGGAGTGGCGTGTACGTCAGGCCTGCTGCGCAGCCATTGGAGACTTGATTCAGGGACGTAGCATTGACAAGGTGAGAATTGCAGCCGTTGTGCATTCCGACCAGATACTGATTCGTAACAGTACGAGAAATACCTCACTCAGGTATGGGACAAGTGTTTCAAGGTCCTCGACGACATCAAGGAGACCGTCCGTGTTGCCGCTGCCTCCCTTGCCCGCGTTCTCACTACTATCCTCACTCGCAGTCTTGAGGCTGGAGATGCATCTGTCAAGTCCGCGACTGCTCAGCTTACGCGCGTCCTTCCTTTCCTCTTCTCGACTTCAGGCCTTGAATCCTCAGCCGAGGAAGTACGCCTCTTCTCTGTACAGACTTTACTCCAAATTGTCAAAAAGGCAAACGCCACGACACTGAACCCGCATGTGCCCGAACTTGTCGAGCGTCTTCTAGGCCTTCTAAGCAGCCTGGAACCAGAAGCCGTCAACTACCTCCACCTCAACGCAAAGAAATATAACCTCACCGAGCAAAAGATCGACGACATGCGCCTTCAATCCGTACGCTCCTCCCCCCTCACAGAATCCATCGAGCGCTGCCTCGACCTCGCCGACGCCCCCACCATGGCCCTGCTCGTCCCGCGCATCGAAGCCGCCATGAAATCCGCCGTCGGCCTCCCAAGCAAAGTAGGCTGTTCGCGAGTTCTCGTGACACTAGCTACCCGCCACCGCTTCGTCTTCAACCCCTACGCCGACGCCTTCCTCAAACTTATCCAGAAGACAATCCACGACCGCAACGAAACCGTCTCATCTTCGTACGCTGCAGCGGCGGGCTACCTCGCGCGCCTGGCGTCCGACAAACAACTCCTCGCCACCATCGGCTTCGCGCAGAAACTCTACTTCGCTGAGGATGACGCGTCAGAGAAATCCCGCCTCCTCGCGGGAGACGTGATTCGCGCTATCAGCCTGCATGCCACAGATCGCTTCACGGAGTTTTCGTCGTCTCTGCTGCCGTTCATTTACCTGGCTAAGCATGACAGCGACGAAGCCGTGCGCAAGTTGTTTACAGAGACTTGGGACGACCACGTCGCTGGCCCGCGTAGCGTATCTTTATACCTGCAAGAAATTCTCACCCTGTGTTCACAGCACCTCGACAGTCGCCAGTGGGCAATCAAGCACACGGCCGCCAAGACTGTCGCCAATGCCGTACTCGCGATCACGTCTGCGGTCGGCAGCGAGAATGTCGACACCGCGGCGGCGAAGAGTATCTGGCCGGTACTTGATAAAGCGCTGAGTGGGAAGAGCTGGGAGGGTAAGGAGGTTGTCCTGGAGGGATTTGTGCGATTTGTCGAGAGGAGTGAGGGGTGGTGGGGGGAGGATCAGGGTGTTGTGAGGGAGTTGGAGAAGGTGGCGGTTAGAGAAGCGAAGAGGCAGGAGGGGAAGAATGAGAAGGTTGTTGAGGGCGTTTTGGCAAAGTTGAGGAAACGCTTGGAGACATGATTGGGAGAAGAGGAAGAGCTTGAAAGGTGGGCTACGAGCTAGAACATAGATGAGAACAGAATGCGACATGCATATATTTTATGGGCTTTCATTTTGTGTCTTACAATAAATATCACTACCCTTATACCACACGATATCTGACAGGAACACTTCGAAACCTTAATTTATCGTACTATAGGTTCTAATTAAATTACAATGTTCTTGTTCGTGCATGTAGATCAGCGGACACGACTTCTTTTTTGCTATTTTATGTGTGTTTTACGTAGCAAGTTCGACCCTGTTATATACCACAGTTTTGATCTTTTCAGTTTTACTTCTTAAGATGACCGCTACTACCCTTGTGCCACAAGACATCACACCACCTGCAAAGCCAAGTCTTGGCAGCAAATCAAATATATAGGTAGTTGCTAACGTCGGTTTCTCTCTTGAATCAAGATCCAAAAAGGCTTTCGTACACAAATTAATTTCTTCTGCGCAAGAACTTTACATTGTTCTGTTGTTCGACATCTCACAACCCATCTACCCTGCAACCCAAACCATCACCCACCATGGACCAACCCAGACTCAAAACCACAATCGCCGTCATTGGCTGCGGCGACGTCGGCGCCACACTCGCCTATACCCTCATCCTCCAATCCATCTGCACCGAAGTCCTCCTCGTCGACCCCAAAACGTCCCTCCTCGACGGCCAAGTGCGCGACCTGAGCGACGCGACCTCGCGCAGCACCAAAGTGCGCTCTGGCACGCACCAGGAAGCCGGGCAAGCCGACATCGTCGTCATCACCGCGGGCGCGAAGCAAAAGACGGGAGAATCGCGACTGTCGCTACTCACGCGCAACCTGAATATTCTGAGCAGTATTTTTGACTCCATGAAACCGATTAGTGCGCATACGGTGCTGCTGTTGGTTGCGAACCCGGTGGATATCTTGGTGTATTTTGCGAGGATGATGAGTGGGTTGCCGGAGAATCAGGTGTTGGGTACGGGGACGAGTTTGGATTCGGCGAGGTTGAGGGGGGTTTTGGCGGGGAAGGCGGGGGTGAGTCCGAGTAGTATTGATGCTTATGTGCTGGGGGAACATGGGGATAGTCAGTTTGTAAGTTGTGCGGTTGAGGATGGATGAGGATGTGTGCTGATGACGGAATAGGTTGCTTGGTCGAGTGCGAGTATCGGAACGACACCATTGCGTCTTGCGCTCGGGGACGAGTTGACAGATGAGTTCAAAGAGGAGGTTGCGATGAAGACGCGTGGAGCAGCTGGTGCTATCATAGCTGCTAAAGGCTGTACGTCTTATGGCATCGGCAACGTTGCGGCGAGCATTTGCAGACACATCCTATTCGACTCGCGGACAGTGCGCCCATTGTCATTCTTCCAACCCGAGCTCGGCTGCTGTCTTTCAATGCCGGCTGTGTTAGGTCGCAGGGGTATTCTCAAGGCAATGCCAATCGAGCTGGATGCAAGCGAGAAGCAGGAGTTGGAAACGTGTGCGAGAGGTCTGAGGGCAGTTATTGAGGGCGCGGAGAAAGAGCTTAGTGCAGACAAGGAGCTGAAGAAGGCCCTGGAGATGGACAAGGGCACATGATAGGCATGACCTGGGCAAGCTTTGTTGGCGAAATAGTACAGGGTGCCATCTGGACATGTAGGGACGATTCTTCAAAGCCATGGCAGCCTCCAGGATACTCGAAGCTGAGAGCTGAGATTGGCCCGATTTTAGATGAGATGTGTCTTTCAAGGGCCGGGTGGTAAGGCACTATCATCAGTGTTGATCATTCTTGACGAATATCATGTTTCTGAGCCCCATTGCTAGTTTTTACTTTTCAATTGTATCCACACCCGAAGTCTCAACTGTCTCGTCAGATTGCAGACTTACAAGCTACATATTCCACAGTCAATGTTTTATTATAGCCAATCCTTACTACGTCGAGGATATATACCTTATCAAGAAGGCTTTCGAGGCGGAACCTTTTCTCGAATAGTATGTCATCAAATTCCCCAGTCGAGTCCTTCACTCATCTTTACGCACGGACACTGACGTAATCCGCGCTACTGGGCCTATGGCCTTTATCAAGTCGAGGGGGGTGAGAGCAATTGTTCTCCTCCACCACCCAACATCCACCGGTTTCGGGGTCTACCTCAACTCGAACTCAACGCCAGAGGTAAAGACATCTGTATCCACACAAGCCAGGGCGCTGAGAGCGCTCGATTTCTTCTAGCAAGAGCTTACAATCGCAGCAACCAAAGCCAACGTTAATGACGGGTACTCTCCACTGTACGCGATCAAATTTACCCGAGTCCTCAACACCATGGAGGAAGACATACCAAGCACAAGCCTAGCCGACATGACGATCTCAGAGACATCAACCGAACTGCCGCTCTTTTTCACTATACCACAAGAGCTGCGAGACATTGTGTACCATGAGTTGTGGAAATTGACACCTCGGACAGATCTTAACGTAATTTTAGGGGGCCGCCTTCAGCACATCACGATCCAGTATGGATGCTATGAAGCCAGTCCTTCCAGCAAAGGGCAGTTTTCAGGGTTGCCACAGTGGCTGCTATCAAACAACGCCTTCTTTGATGAGGGCTTTTGTCAGCTCTTTCAGAGGGCGGCCTGGACCGCAGGTGACGACTGGTATCCTAATGGCGGATGCCCAAAATCTAACCATCGCAACACCCTAGCTGGGATAATCGCAGCGACAAACCTGATCATCAGAATGGACATTTCAGCTTCTGAATATATATGGACTTCCGAACTAGATAACATACACAAGTCGAAACAGAAGGTCAATTTTTTCTGCAACTCCCGCCATTACCAGGACCTCACCGAGGACGAAATGCCGGATCTTAAGAGCCTCGAGATTGAGATGAAGTGCCCCAATACCACAGTTCTCGACAGACAAGGCTATGCTCTGGATCTGCGCTGTTTCAAGCCAAGCATGTATCCGCTAAATCTGGATCGCTTCCGCATCAAGCTCATCCTACAAGACGATTTCAAAACTCCTCCAAACGCAAGGCGCTTCCGCGAAGTGCTTCGACCTACCATCGAACTGGAAATGCTCCGTTTCGGCCCCGTCCTCGTCGGTAAAAACTACCGTCTAGACATCGACGAGCACTTACCCGCTATTCTACTGTCTACCGAGAACAACCAGACTAAGCAGCGAGGTGCAAATGACGAGATCTTCATCGCATGGACAATGTCTAGGAATCAGAAGACATTGGCAGACAGTAAGTAGTCCTGCGCACTCCGCGACTGGCTCCTCCGTGTAACTCGGCAACGGAAGCACGGCTGACTTGCGCTTAGTGCACCACTTCTCGACACTCGCCAATGCGTGAGGCTGGATCAACTAATCTTCTTTCGCTTATCGCGATCTATCGGTATCTTCCGCTCACGAGGTTTTGGAGGGGTATAAGTGATGGCCTGGAATCGAGGTACTGGAACGTTTCAAGACAGTCGGGCTCTTGCATGACTGTATTATCAGCACCCCCTCAAACACAGCGAACCAACGCAAGAGCTAGTTTGCCAGCGGCAATAGCAAATTCTAGCTTGTCTGTATCACACACAAGCCCATCAAGGGCACTGGGTATATAAATTCCGTTCGTTACAAGATGATCATCCAACTGCCTTTGGGTTGACCCCAACACGAGTCTCTACATCTGGGTTGACATACACCACGGCACCGAGGACATCAAGTTACGACTTAAAATCCAATTTCTTCCAGCAATGGCTCGCAATTGCAAGAAAGTAGCAAAGCCAAAGCTGGTTCCGAATCCCCTTCACTTTGAACGCATAGCCCGAGTCTTTGACGCTATGGAAACACTACACCTAACTCTAGCTACGAGGACGAAACGAAAGCTGTTGGACGAAGTTTCATTCTTCCTTACCTTACCACAAGAGCTGCGAGATATGGTGTACCATGAGTTGTGGAAAGCGAGACCCCAAAAATCGGAACAGCCTAGCCGGACCACTCGCTACCAGAAATTTGACCATTGTCAACATGGACATCTCAAACTACTTCTATAAGTCCTCTTCCACGGCCTGGGAAAGCAGCATACGACGCTCATCTACCCTAAGCACTACCCTAATCATCAGGGGCTCACCAGTAGCCCAATGCCGGATCTCAAAAGTCTTCAACTCCACATCGACTGTTCCGACATTACGGGCTTCACAAAACGTAATACTCTGGATCTGAGCTGTATCGATGCTACTGCTATGAATCTCGAGCGCTTTCGCATGACCTTCCCTCTCACGAAGTATCCTAGGCGTTCCCCTGAACTACGGCATTTCTACGAAGTGGTGCGACCTATTGTAGACAAGGAAGTGCTCCGTCTTGTTCGCGCCCTACTTGGAGCAGACCATCATCTGGAAATTGAGGAGAATCTACCCGCTATTTTGCTGTCTGCTGAGAACGAAGTGAGTTGGGTGTGTACAAGCAGCGAATTCTTCATTACGTGGACGTTCGTAAGGAAGGAGGAGGAGGAGGAGGAGGAGGAGGAGGAGGAGGAGGCATAAGCACTCAGCAAAACTGGGAAGTGTAGCCATACTTCACCACTAGCATCACTGAATACAGATGTCGTCAATTTTTTCATGGGAGTCATAATATATCATGTGCAGGGAGGGTACTTCTACATCACTCGATCGATGCATTGTCCTTGATACCTCACAAAGATCCAAAATTCAATTATCTCAAAAATCGTCCTCCACCTAATCGCAAAATTTGCACGTCTCACTCATGTAACTCGTCTTACTAACTAGCTGATGCATCTGTGCTAATACCAATACAACACGACGAAAAAAAGGCACAGTTAACTTCACAAAAGCCGGTCCTTTTTCGAAACTCGCATAACGCGGAAACAACACGTCCCCCTCTGCTCATCGCTAACACATGCTTTGCCGATATTACAGCCAACGACGTGGGTGGGCAAAGGCGATGTGCTAGAAACTATACAAGTGTATCAAAGGAGCTAGAGAAGTTCCGTGACAAGAGCGCTTAGGTATCGCAATCTGGGAAATGTTGTTAATGAAGTCACACAGGCTGCGCTATGGGCACACGATGCAATCGTATGGTTGTGGTACCTTTAGGATACACAGAGGTTACAAGATGCACATGAGAAGACAAAAACCGCGAGTGTTGATCATTGGACATGGCTTTTATTCTTACAAGTTCTGTCATTCAGGGATGCAGACTCAATAGCCACACGTGCCGTAATCTGTCCTATTTATCAACCCAATTCTTGCGTAGTCTATCGGACCATGTCCCGAATTGTTACCTGCGCAATCAATCTTTAGCCTTTCCCGTCGAATTTTCTTTGCTATTTCTTCACCCTTTTTCGTTCCTCACGAACGTCCACGCAACGAAGACTCCAGCGCGGGGAGCCAGACCTTCGACAGGTGACCAGTCGCACACATTCTCTTCAATATCGAGATGATGGTCTACTCCGACGAAGCTGCAACCGAGACGACAGGCTTCCTTGTCGATAATAGGTCGGAGCAACTTGGAGTCCATGTCTCGATCCATAGAGATGGAGATGCTGAAGCGCTTGAGATGAAGGATCGTCTCGATACAGCTCAGATCCAAGGTATACTTGTGATCTAGGTGTATAATCCAGGAGTACTCTAGCTTGATGTGGAGACTCGTCAAGTGCGGCATCGGAGTACCCATAAACTCTGCGTGTGCAGAACGTGTCCCAGGAAATATGAGTTTATGCTTGATCTTCTGCACAGCGTCCAGGCCGAGCCCAGAATTGGTGATGTCTATGACGATGATCAAACTCCTCGCGGTGATGATTCCGGCTTTAGTGTTGCGAACAATCTCTTTGCTGCATGGTGTGCGCCACTGCTGACTGTTCACCATCCATGTAGCCTTCCGAAAGAGCTGATTCAACCCTTCGTCAAGAAATGCCTTGTTTGACAGTAGCCATTGGGGCAGGCCAGAATGTAGACATTGCTTCAATTCCGAACGGGACGAATTGGCGGGTTTGGCTGCGCAATCCTCGTAGCGGATGACGAGGTGGTGGGTGGGGGTTGCCTCTTTTATGAGCACCATTAGGGTCATCGGAGCAGAAACCTTCCATAACTCATTATAAACCATATCCCTTAGTTCTCGCGGTAATACGAAGAACACTGGGAGTCTGTGCGCCGTTTCTGGGCTCGTTATGTCGGCTTGAGTGGCGTCTAATGTATCTTCTCCTTCCATGGTCACGCAGATTTGGGCCATACCGATCGCGCAGAGCGCCGTAAGGCAGTCGCTTCTAATCTTTGTGGTTGGATTTCAGCGATTATGAGCCTGCTGGTTGGCGAATATTTTGGGTCCGAAATTGCGAACCGACCTACCCCCATGTTGTGTCTTAGAGTGAGCTGAGCTCTGGCGACTTCGAGCGTCAAATGTAGGTTGATGTGGCTCACAGACTGGGTCAGCGGTATTTGAGAGAAATTCCTCTACTGTTAAAGCTCGTGGACGCAGTAGCGCACTTATCGTCACTGTCTGTGCGTAAACGCGAGTGAAAGAGCAGGAGCCCAGCACCTTACTTATAATCACTTATTGTTTCAGGAGAAAGTAGAGTCATGCTACGAGCAGCAGATAGATAAAATCATTCCAGGCCCTGGCTACACCTCCATCCATCAAAGGAGCTGTTATATAGAAGTGCCCCAGAGCCCAAGAATCCATCCCACCTGCAAAACCTCTCAATACCTCAACATAACCACCCCCGCCCTCTCCGGATCCAATTTCCCCATAACCTCTCCACACCTCTGCACCCCCAACGCCCCATTAATCACCAAACTCACCATCCTCCCCAGCACATCCACATAGCTCTTCTGCAGCGCGGGACTCACATGCGGCAAGCTGATAATCGTATCCAGGTATTCGCAAATCTGCTCGTGCTGCCACTCCGCCCGGTAGCCCGAGGCAGCGGGGTTGGTCATTTGCGAGAGCGTCCATGGCGACCACGCGGTTATCGGCGCGGCGGACGTTACGGGGATGACGAGCGCGGGACACCCGGAGGGCAGATGGAAGAGCAGCGTCGCGATGCCCGGGCGGCGGGACTGGGACCACTGAGGAGAGGGTTAGTGAAGCGATGCGTGTAGAGAGGAGGGAGGAGAGAGACGTACAACGCCCCTATACGGAGCCAGCCCAGTGAATAACACAAGCATGCGATTTGTGCCAATATCGACTTCGGGATTGGGCCTCACACAATGGGGAGTACGTGAAGTGTTTCCGCCAGCAGTTTCCTCGCAAGCAAATAATCCCCCGCGAGGAACGGCCCAAAAGCCTGCGCGACCGCAAAGTCGTTCGCACGCGGGATACTCGGCGTGCGCGCACTTGCGAATAAATATGGGCAAAACCAGCCTTTTTCACAGCGACTTGTGTCCGCAGCGGGATACACGCCTACAAACCGTACATCCGCATCGACGCCCATGAGTTTGTGTTTGATACCGATCTGCAGCGACTTCACCGACGTAGTGACAAGCATCGCGTCTTCCTCGGGGAGCAAGTGTTCCAGCACACCCTTATCAATCGCCTGTTCCACGATTTGAAAGACGCCGTATTTCAACACCGTACTCGCAGCGATCGCGCCGGCGCCTGAGTTCACTATCTCGCTGACAAAGCTATCCGCGCCAAATGCACCCGTGACGCCGTCGGCGAGCCCGTCGACAAGCGGGCCGCCGATCGAAGGCGAAGGTGGTGAAGAGCGCAGCGTCGCGGTAGCGGATGTTGGGCAGGGTTACCGGGTTGTTGTCGCCCCATGGGGAGAGGGAAGAGGGGAGTTTGGAGATTGAGGTTGCGGTTTGGAGGGAGCTGCGGGCGACGCGGCCGACGAGGGTGTCGCCGAAGAAGCGCTTGACGGAGTCTGACTTTTGGGCGTCGGGCGGGCCGGATGGGGAGGGGTGGGATTTAGACTTTGAGCCGAAGAGGCCTGAGGGGGCGGTGGTGGTGTATTGGGGTTTTGAGGGGGTTTGTTGGACGGCAGGAGGGGATTGTAGGAGTGGAGCTTGTGGCGGCTGGTGGTACTGTGGTGGTATTTGTTGGAGCTGCTGCTGGACTAGTTGGAGCTTTTCTGGAGGATAGCTTTGGATGACTTGTTGGACTTGCTGAATCTGCTGTTGGGTCATGTTGGGGAGTCCTTGATAGGGCTGTTGCATTGGTTGTGGCGATTGCACATATTGGGGTTGTGGTGTCTGTCCTTGAGGCACCTGAGGTGATTGACCTTGCTGAGGCTGGAACTGTTGTTGAAATTGGCCTTGAGGATAGCCACTCTGCGGTGCAGGTTGGTTGAAAGGACTTGCTACCGGGGCCGGAGTTGGCGTTGGAAGCTGTGCTGGTTGCATGGTGTATGGGGGTGGAGGTGGCTGCTGAACGAAAGCCATGTTGATATCGAGCCTGGCCGTGTACCACAGGCTTTCCTTGTTTCTAGGATAGATCTTGGTTTGGCATCTGCAACATCAAATCGGTCTTCAAAAATTCAGCCTTGTTCGAGGTCGAAGGATCGTGGCTGTCTGCAGTGGCTGGAGAGTGATGCGAAGCATGAGAACAACATGGAAGCAGAGCAGAACGAACGAAAGACGTGATAGAGTACAGAAGAAAGAAAACTGGCTTGCATCGAAGATAAGAGGGGCATTCGGGATCTTTTCGTATCTGAAGTTGTAGCTGAGGTACCACCCTGACCGGTGGCTTCAGACCTTTCCGAGTCTGGAGCGGCGAAGCGAACGGTATGTACCAGATGGGCCGAGTTTGTCTGTACAGCCTTGTTGCAGATTGGGGGCCTCAGCCTGATGCAGTGTGTGCCGTCTTTCGTATATAATGGAGGCATTCCGTAGCGACTTCGCGACATTCATCTGGACCTATACCTTTAGTGCCTCTTCGAAAAGTGCGTAGATGCAAAGATAGCTCCGACAAGCCAAAGATCTTCTGCCGACGTCTGCAGGCTCACTGATGAAGCAAAGCAAGAGAGGATTCCTACGCGTCGCATTTGAAGAGGCATGAGAGCAAGCGAACACAAGCATCGTGGTCTGCTACGCGCACCATTACCACGGATACAGCAGACGCCAAAGCGCTTCCTGTCACTGCCACATGTCTTGGCTGACAGTGGCGCGGTAGGGCAGTCCTCGTGCAGGTGTGAAGGTCAAAGTGCCGGGCCGCTGCATGCGTGCATTTCGGCCCGCGTTAGGCGTGTGGATCGCAAAGACAGGAGACGGCGAGAGTGCATCAGATGAGCAGCGTTGCCACTCAGGTACGAGATATGCGCCCGCCAAGTGTGACCAGCGGTGGAAAAGACGGTCGCAGGCGCGTATAATGTCGCTGGCGGCCAATCACATGCCAGGGCGCGTCGAGGAAAGCATGGCCGGTCGAGTGTAGACCCGCCGCAGCCCAACTGGGGGCAAGGCCAGGGAACGGCTGCGTAAGTCAGTAGGCTGTTCATGAGGGCAGCAGTCAAGGTGAAATTTGCCGTCATCCGCTCTGGGCCTGGACATATAGGCTCACCGGCGCTGAAGGACACTGGGCAGACACATAAGTACATGCAGCTCAGCTCTTGCTCTTGCTTATGCGTCCTGGCACCCGCGTCATAACCAACACATTACCCCGCGAGCGACGACGTCTCCCACGGCTTTCGCAACCTGCGCTGTGAGCTAACCGGAGCCAAAAATAAGTCGACGCCTGTCATCGCCGGCGATCAGGCACGATACAGGTGCTGCAGCTGCAGAAGCAGAAGCAGAAGCAGAAACAGAAGCACATAGTCAGCGTCTTCCGCCATGGAGGGCCGCAAGCAGGGACGCCCCGAGGAGGAGCTCTTCTTGCGCCCTGCAGACAGCAACCCGCAGACGCCGACGGTTGGGCCCTTGAGGATACAAAAGGGTCGCGACGGCATGAGCCCGCCGCCGCGAACAGACTCGGCGGGCAGCTCCAGCCAGGCACAAAGCCAGCCCGCATTCTCGCGCCCGCCGCCCATGCCCTCGTTCCCCGCGCCGCCTACAGCACCGCCCACCGCCCCTCTGCCTTACCCCGACGACCGCCCGCCCAAGCAGCCGACGCTGGGCTCTGGACGCTACACGCCCCTCAGCGAGAGGGAGCGCGCGACCAAGAATGCGACGCCCCCGGAGGCAGACGGCCGGCGGCGGGGCTCCAATGCGACGGGCCCGAGTCCCACCTCCCCCAGCCAGCGCGCGCGATTTGAAGCTGGCGACCCGAACCGGCCGACGGTGGGAGGATACGGCGGCAGGAACGCAGACGGTAGCATCCAGCCCTCGAGGCTGGCGGAGCGCAGAGGCACTGCGCCCAAGCCGCTGCCCGAGTCGCCTGGCCCAGAGACGCCCGATAAAGAGGGCCTCTTTGCGAAACCACCCTCGAGACAGGCCAGCGAGCCCGCCGTGAACCCGTACCCCGACTACCACCAGCAGTACTGGCCACCGCCCAACGCCAATGCCCCCGCAGCGCCGTCCTCGAAGCCGCCGGAGCCCTCAGTGCTCAAGATACCGAACCCTGGGGGCGTCAACCGCCTAAGTTCGACCGCGTCCACCTCGACCGTGCGGGCGCAACGAGGCTCTCCCCCACCTCCCGAGACTCCCATCATTCCCCCGCCCGGCGGTGGCATCGAAGCGCGCTTTGCTGCAGCTGGCATTGCCGGGAACATCGACGTTGACCAACCTACAAGCACAGAGCGCACAGAATGCAGCAGCAGCGCAGCGGAAATCAGGTGTATGCGAACCAGCAGCCCCGCCCGAGCATCGTTTCGCCAGGCCCTGCCACAGCAGCAGCAACAGCCTGCGCGCAGGCCATGGACTCCCACCGAGCAGCCTGGCAGCAATCCCCATGGCCCTCCACAGGTATACCAGGGCATGGATACTGTCGGACCATCCAGTTCGCCTCCTCAGGGACCACTGCCACAAGCTCCCGTACAGCACTTCTCCCCGCCTCCCACCAATGTCCCGTCCAACATGCCTCCCGAGCACCCCATGAACCATGACATGGGTCGTCTGCACATCAGCGAGGAACCGCCGCCAGCATACTCGAGTCTGACTCAACCGCCTACAAATCAGGCCCAGAGCTACCCCAACGAGAAGGGACAGCAGCAGCCCGCGCAGGGCGTATCGTTGGCAGACCCGAACCAAGGCCATCCTGCATTTGCAAACGACCCACGACAGCAGGCAGGGCCATCACAGCCAGCAGCCGTTATCTCGCCAACGCCTACCACGAGTAATTTCCCGCAACAGGCCCAATCAGTTCAGCCAGGTCACACACCCAGTCCTGCGCCTGGCGCTGGCCCGGGACCGGGACCAGCGTCACCACCTCCCCTACCTGAAGGCTGGATAGCACATCTCGATCCGAGCTCTGGACAGTACTACTACATTCATCTTCCTACGCAGTCAACACAGTGGGAGTTCCCTAAAGGTCCAACGCCTCTGAACTTGAACGAGCCCATGTCGCCAACCGGGACCTTTGTCAATCCTCTGATGAGCCCTGTGGGTTTTGGCAAGGCTCCTATACAGTCACCTGGTTTCCAGCCTCAGACACCTGGCTTCTCCGGAGACTTTGGCATGGCACCACTCGCCACTCCTACCGCCGCAGGCTTCACGGGCCCACCACCGGTTGCTGGCGTAGACCAGTACAAGGTCAATCCTACGAATGGCGTCTACTTCGGCCCATACCTGCGATACACAAATATGGATCTTGAGCGTGGTCTCTGGCTTGGCTCGATTCTCCTCATCACCAACACACCTCACCCTCCCACGATCCACATCCATCAAAGCCAAGACCTGTCTCCCAACCCACGACAACTGAAGGCCAATCCAATCTACACCCACCAGACCTGGATCTTCTACCGCTACGACATTGATCTCAAGATGGACGAAGAGCACGCTGCGAAGTGGACGTATGCAATTACTTCGCATCTCGGCTGCACACGTTTCGAGTTCTTGGTTGCAGGACGTCACGAGACGAGCTGGCGCTTCATTGCGCATTCTGGCAACGACTTTGCGCTTAATGTCAATGCTAACGAGAGGACGAAGCTCGGCGGCATTGGCCTCATGTGGAAGGACATTCTGCAGAAGAACGCCGAGTGTGGTGGTTTCCATGTACAGCTAGGACTTGGTGGTCAAATCTACGCAGATCGACTGTGGAAAGAACTGCCTCTACTGAAGCAATGGACGGCTACGAGCGGTAAGGAGATCCGTAAGAATGCTCCCTGGACGGCAAAGCATGAGGAGGATGTCTGCCATGCATACTTCCACTACTACACCAGCCACTTTGACCAACCGCATCTGAGAGAAGCATTCGCTCAGATACCGCACATCCTTGCACTCGACGACCATGATATGTAAGTTTGGGATACTTCGCTCGTTGAATGCAGCACTAACATCGACCAGCTTCGATGGCTTTGGTTCATACCCAGAGTACATGCAGTTTTCCAACATGTTCAAGAATATTGGAAGACTCGGTATTGAGATGTACTTGCTTTTCCAGCATCACACCACTCTTGAAATCCTCCGCAATGTCAGCAACGACATGGATCTTTTCACCGTCACTGGCACTGGGTGGCACTTCATCAAGTACCTTGGTCCCTGTGTAACAGTCGTGGGGCCCGACTGCAGATCTGAGCGCAATCCTCATCAGGTCATGGCCGGGCCAACGTATCAAGGCATCTTCCCCAAGGTGGCGACCTTGCCACCAAGTGTCCAGCACTGCATATGGATGGTGCCTGTGCCCATTGTGTACCCTCGTTTGGAGTCTGTCGAGCACCTTGCACACTCCATGGCGACTGGCAAGAAGGTCGCTACCGGAACCTTCAACATGCTGGGCAAGGTCACTAGTTCTGTTGCTGGTGTTGTCGGCGCTAAGAGCGTAGTCGGAGATGGCTTCAGTTCCGTTAAGAAAGCACTGGGCAAATCTGGCCTCATGAGTGGTGTGCTTAGTCCGTTTGGAGACATTGATATCCTTGATGAGTTGAGGGACCAGTGGACGCATGACTCCAAGGTAAGCCACTTCATACGATAGAATCTGGGAACATGTATTGACATCTGCTCCAGGATCTCGAAAGGACATACCTTATCCGAACACTCCAAGGCATTGCACATAACAAATCGTTGCGGATGACCTTCTTCTCTGGAGCGGTCGATTGTTGCGGTGCCGGTCTTGTACACGACCCATCGCGACCACAAGACCACAAGACGATGTACCAGATCATCTCTGCGTCTGTCGTCAATGGTCCACCTGGAAGCTACACGCTCCGCCTCCTGCACAACAACCGCGCGCTATATGTCCCACAAAACGGGCACCGTAGCAACCACCAGCCAACTGATACCAAGGAAGACATGATGGAGATCTTTACCCAAGATGTCAATGGTCAGCCCCGTGAGTACAAGAGGTTGATGGGCCGAAGAAACTACGTTGCGTGCGTCATCTACGACCCGGAGATTGTCAGCGGCACTTTCGGACAAACGGTGTCCGGTCATGGAAGTGGGAAGCTCAGCCTGGCTGTTGACTTCATGGTCCAGAACGATGGTGGATACAGCGCGCCGATGAAGTACGGACCAGTCATTGTGCCAAGTCTGGAGTATGGGCGGTAGATGAGTGTTGAATCCCTGAGGCTTAGGCTTTTTCTGTACATCCTGTTGTTTTAGCGGTTGCTGTGCATAGCATGCGTTGTGCTGGTTGAGATTCTAGCGATTCACCGAACGAATGAAACAATACAACAACAACTCTCTCAAAGACTGAACACCTTTGGTCGGCACGTGATTATCTCTATTACTTTGGATGTTGTGATCAAAGCAAAACGAAGTCCGAAACCGGGGTAGAATGTATAAAAATGGCAAAGCAATGACATAACATTAACAATTGCATGTCTTGGCGAACTTCATGATCGAAGGTAGAATTTCCGTGCAGCCACCACATCTTCTACACGACAATGGCAACTTCTTCGATACAGGCAACGGCGGTGCCGCGATTCCTTCTACCGCAGTTTTCATGGTCAGCGAGGGCTGTCCGACCGACTGCGCTTGGTGCGCTTGAAGCACGGCGGCATAGGTCTTCACCTGCTCGCCAACATTGCGCCGCGGCACCGATCACCACAGCACTTCAGCAACAGCTTGCACGGCAATCGCTGAGGACAAAGCCACCATTTGTTACCGGCTGCGCGTCTCCTTTTGAGCTCCGTCGCCACTTCAGCGCGAGCGCCCCGCAGCAGAAAGACCACCACTTCGACACGCTCAAGTTTGTGCAGAGGTTGAAAGATGAGGGCTTCACGGAAGAGCAAGCGGAGGGTATGATGCGGATTCTCAGCGATGTCATTGAGGAGAGGTACGATCCATCCTACCTCGGTCAAGATGGATGGGACTAACTCCTCCAGCATTCAAAACCTCACACGAACCATGGTCCTCCGTGAAGACCAGGAGAAGGCGACCTACACCCAGAAAGTCGACTTTGCGAAGCTGCGGTCTGAGCTCATGACGGCCGACTCGACCGAATCCTCCCTGACCCGCGCATCCCACGAGCGTCTCACAAACGAGCTGGCGAAGCTCAACTCCAGATTACGCGACGAGATACAACGCACACAAGCATCTGTCCGGCTGGACCTGAATCTCGAGAAGGGCCGCATCAGGGAAGAGGCAAACGTGCAAGAGCTGAAGCTCAAGGAGACCGAGACCAGGATAGAACAGGAAACGGCGCAATTACGAGAGCGACTTGAGGCTGTCAAATTCTCGACATTGCAGTGGTTGATGTACGTCATTTTCTACCTGATGGCTGCCCAAGACACGACTAACAAGCTTCTAGGGGTGTTTGCACGGGTACCGCGGCGCTCATGCTCGGTGTCTGGCGTCTTCTGATGTGAAGCATCTATGCCGCCGTTTCAATAACAACAACGAGGCAATGCTGGACAGACTACAGGATGAGGCTGCTGCTGCATATCGCTCCAGTTTCATGCGCCTCACCACGATATCGACGAGCGAGAGGCGTGCTGGCCCATCCCTGCCAGCGCATAGTGAAGGTGTCACAGCGTCTGCACAGCCATCCGACTTGTCGCACAGCAGCAGTCGAACATGCAGCGGACGACCATCCGCAGAGTGTTTCCACGCGATAACATGCTGCAACGTTGGGGACGAGATGTTGCGGCTTGGGGGCTGCCACGCAGCAGTGTTGTTGTCGTTGTATGCTGCCGTCCCATTCAGGAAAACACAGGACAATAATGCGCTTTGATAGTAAGGGAGCTTCGGCCCCTCCTATGATGCAATGACTCTGCTGTCAGCCTGGCAGCCCAGCTGCCTGCTCAGCCAGTCCGACGTAGAATTGAAATGGTGATATTATTGGCACATGTGAAACACGGGCAAATCAAATCCACCATCTATCATAAAAGTGACACGACTCATTCACCGGAGGGGTCCTCCAGCGCTGGAACATGTCCAGGTTTTCTAGCTGGTTCCATGATTGGCCCCGGCTCGACATGGTTCAAGAGCCAACTCTAGCAAGCGGCCGCGCTCTGGAGCGTGACTGGTGTGACGGGCAGAGGCAGAGCAAACCTGGGCTGGAAGGCTATCATAGGCCCAACGTGTGCATGTTGTGAGCCAGACGACAAGTCGTGCTGTTGTTATCTTGGGCTGCGAGGTTGCTCACGTGCAGAGTAACCCCTCTTCAAGCATTGGCCGTGCTGGTACATGAGGAAAGGCGTGGGCGTGAAGGGCAAGGCGCGGCGGCATGGAGCAATCAGCCCCAGATTCGAATGGGACTGGAGCCATGTGCCGTTGAGGCTGGCCAGTTGGGGAAAGCGCGAATGTTGTCCACTTGTTGTCCCGCCAAGCCTTCCTAGAGGCAGCCGCTGGCTCTCGCTTCCTTTCAAAACACTCCACTCACCCAACCTTTGAACAACTCCGCCCTCCCTGTATCTTTCCGCATACCTGCACCCACATACCGTCACCCTCGACCACCACACCCACATACAAACCAAACATCACAATGGCGACTGAGGTACGTACTGCCCTATTGGCGCTGTCCCCCGCCGCTGCTGGCCGGCGACGTGCCCCTCGTCTGCACTGCGATAAACATGCTAACATGCCCCCAGCGCGAGAGGTACGATAGAGCTGCACACGGCGCAGCAAGACTTTCCAAATTGACACGGCAGCAGCAAGACTTTCCTCGCCCGGCTGTGCGAACAGGCTGAGCGTTACGATGGTGAGTCCCCGCGCAGCCCCAGCAACGGCCGCGCATGCTAATCGTATCCCAACAGAAATGGTTACGTACATGAAGGTTCGTCCCGACTAGAGAGACTGTCTTTTGCGCTCATACACTGACCATCCTGTAGGAAGTTGCCAAGGTATGCCGACCTGCACTGTTTGCTCTGAGGCAGCCGCCTGCAACGAGACGCAATCGGAGCGATAGGAACTAACGCAGTACAGATTGGCGGTGAGTTGACCGTCGACGAGCGCAACCTCCTGTCCGTCGCCTACAAGAACGTTGTCGGAACACGACGCGCGTCCTGGCGCATCATCTCCTCGATCGAGCAGAAGGAGGAGTCCAAGGGCACCGAGAAGCACGTTGGCACCATCCGCGACTACCGACAGAAGATCGAGACCGAGCTCGAGAAGGTCTGCCAGGATGTCCTCAACGTCCTCGACGACTCTCTTATCCCCAAGGCCGAGTCTGGCGAGTCCAAGGTCTTCTACCACAAGATGTGCGTTGTCTGAATCAAACCGCCTGCAACACGCAATGCTAATAGCTGTATAGGAAGGGCGACTACCACCGTTACCTTGCCGAGTTTGCGTCTGGAGAGAAGCGCAAGGTCGCTGCCACCGCTGCGCACGAGGCTTACAAGGTATGACGCAATCGGTCCACACACGCCCAGACAACACATAGCTAACCCCACCAAAACAGACGGCTACCGATGTCGCTCAGACTGAGCTGACCCCTACTCACCCCATCCGCCTCGGTCTTGCGTTGAACTTCTCAGTCTTCTACTACGAGATTTTGAACTCGCCCGACCGCGCCTGCCACCTTGCCAAGCAGGCATTTGACGATGCCATCGCCGAGCTCGACTCCCTGTCCGAGGAGTCTTACCGGGACAGCACCCTCATCATGCAGCTTCTCCGCGACAACCTGACCCTCTGGACATCATCGGATGGCGCCGAGGCTGAGCCTTCCACCACTGATGCGCCCAAGGAGGAGAAGGCCGCTGAGGAGGCCCCAGCTGCTGCCGCTTCCACCGAGGAGGCAAAGCCTGAGGAGCCAGCAGCACCCGCCGCTGCCCCCGCTGCTGCTTAAGCTCGCCCTTCGTCAGCCGGCCTCGTGTCCCCATAGCCGCCATCTTCTGTCCCAGCATAGTCGAAGGAAGCTGCCGTGGCAGCGAGCGTCTCACGGAGTTGTATGTGTCATATGATTTCAAAAATTGGCTTTTGTAGCGTTCGGATGGACGGATTCCCAATGACTGATGTATTTCCCTTTCCTCTCCCACAACCCACACAACCCCCACGAGTATGTCGCAAACCGCGAGCGCTAGCAAATTGGATCTGGTTCTCACGAGCTGATTTGATTGTTTTCGTGCAAGTGGAGGACCGATGTGGTGTCCCTCGATGCGATCCTCGAATTCCCCCTGTTTTCGTTTTGCCGTATATGATCACCCACCTGACAGCGGATTGGGTCGAATAGATCCTCTGGGCAGCATCTTTCAGACAGACGTCGATTTCAAGAATGACGGAGTAGGATCGTGAAGCTCCGGTGCATGTCATGTCTCCATCTGCACTCTTAGATAGGCCTAAGGAACCCTTATTTCAAACTCATGTTGCCACTCTAGTGATAAACGATGATCATTTTCGAAATCTGCAATCCCACTGCACTGCACCCACGCGCAGCAATCCCGAGCCCATGGAACATGGACTTTCGGCCCTTCAGCCATGTGCACGAGTCGGAGAGTTACCGTAGGCGCAAGCGCTCGCCTCGCCCCGCTGCCCCACTAAAACTTTCTCCATGGCTGCAGCTACAGATGCGTTCGCGCAAAGAAATCTTGACTCCACATTTACACATAGCACACACGAAGCGAAGCCTCAATTCTCACCACCGACCCTTGAACCCGAATACGCCGTCGCAGAATCAACCAACGCAAATCCAACGAATACCAAGCTACGAATCCTCGCGCCTACACCCATCGTAGTAGCAATGTCCTACACCAAAGACTACTACGCGACGCTCAACCTCCCCCTCCCGCGGCCCGGCTCCCCAACCACATCAACAGCCGACATCCGGCGCGCATACAAACTCGCGCTCCTCGGCGCACACCCGGACAAACAAACGGGCCAGGCGCGAAGCGCGCATACGGTCGATGAAGTCCGAGAAGCGTATGCGGTGTTGATGGATGCGGAGAAGAGGAGGGCATATGATGAGTGGGTGGTGCGGAATGGAGGGGTACTCGGCGGCGGCAGTGGGAATGTGGATGTGGGTGGTGGTGGTGGTGGTGGTGGTGGTGGAGTTAGTCAGGAATTCCTGGCTGGACTGGAAGTGTTGGATTTGAGTGATTTCTGCGTGTTGGATCCCCGGTTTGAGTTTGGGGAGGAAGGCGCAGAGGGGGGAGGGGGACAAGGAACGCGGGGATGATGAGGAGGGGCAAATGGAGTGGACACGCGCGTGTCGGTGTGGGGATGAGAACGGGTTCAGGATATTAGAGGAGGAGTTGGAGGATGCGGAACAGAGGGGCGAGGGGGAGGTGCTGGTGGGCTTGTGGGGGGTGTAGTTTGTGGGTGAGGGTCGGGTTTGGGAGGGAGGGGGAGTGAAGCCTGGGAGATGAGAGTGATTAGATGTGTTTGAGGCTTTGTCATGGCAAAGCTTCAAGAGTCTATGTATACACAACGACCCGAGCACGTCAAGCGTTTCTTGGGAAAGAGGTAAACACGAGTCTCCGAGCTTCATGTGGAGGCGAGGGTGAGTTCGCGAGGCTTTCGTGGCGCGGGAAAGTGTGTGTGGAATTGAGTTTGGTGTAGAGATGATGGGATACTCAAGGTTCTGCCACCACGGCTAGGGGAGCGTGATGATCGAATGCGTCTAGCGCAAAAGTGTTTTACACCAGCGCTGAAAAGGGCGATGATTCACGGTACTCTTCGATGGAAATCCACATGCAGAGGTTACGTACATTGGGATGCTGACTGTGTATTACTACCACTGCCTATCAGAGCTTAAGGTAGATTTTAGTGGACAACAGTTGCTAAGGACACAGCTTAGAAGTTCTTAGTCATATATTGTACATTGGAACTGTCGTCTTGTACACTGTCATGTTTGATTTCTTGCCTCCAGGCGTGCGGGAATGACCCCTCACATCTTGAGAGTCTTGATGTTAGGGCCGTGACTACTTGATGCAGAGACGTGCGGTTCTGAGGGAAAGGGACGTAATATTTCTTAGATGGGAAAGCAGTTAATCGGGCTCCATGAATACAATATGGGTCTCGCTTCGGGAGGGAGGCATTGTGGTAAGGTGAGGCTGCAGTGGAGTTGAATCCTTGGAGAGATAAAGAAAGGAGTGTTGAGTGGGAGGAAAGACTCTTTTGTGGAGGGGGATGTAGACTTGTATAGGCAGTAGAATGTAGGTTTTACACCAGGTGCAAGGTGGGCAAGGGGAAAGAAAATGTATGGCCAGCATGAACGTCATTCATATGGGTCAACGAAGGGGATTGTGTGGCCAAGTTTAGCTAGTACTTATCTTTCACAAACGATTTGCTCTTTACTGTCTGTTTCTTGCGCGGATGTGTCTCTACAAACACGTTATTTCACACAGTGATTAGCGTTTGACAGGCCGAGGGGAGAGCGAACTTGTTTCAGCATTAACAGGTCACTTTCGGGTATTAAAGATAGCGATCGGGGTCTTTGATTGAAGGGAATTCATTCATTTATAGAGAGTGGCCAGCCGAAGCTACTCCCAAAAGCTGGTCAATTCTTGGTCCAGTTGCGTCTTACGTCCCTGTCATCGTTGCCTAATAGCGTGCTTTCCCTACTTCTACTCACTCAAGGTCACCAGCCATTTCTTCTCGAAGAGCGAAAGGTCGTAATCCTCGTGAGCCCAAACCTTAGGCAACACTACTTCCTTGAGACCCGGCAGTCCCGCAGCGAGGAGGGCAGCGAGGAGGGCAGCGAGGAGGTCAAGATAGACCTGGAAGCGCAGGGGATCATGCTTGGTGAAGTGTCCTAGAGCATAGTCCTCCGCTACCTTGTAGAGCACGTCCATGGTAGGACGTCGGGTAGGAAGACCCTGTCTAATGTCAGTGCCTGCTGTCTACAACGCCTTTGGGGCATATACCTTGGCGAGGATCTTGATCTTGTAGTCGTTCAGGAACAGCATCACTCCCGAGTTTTCCTCGCTGTCGAGGAAGGGGTCGAATATGACCTGTTTGACCTGCGATAGGTCGTCGTTGTCGTTGCTGATGAGTTCAAGGAACTTGCCCAAGTCGTAGGTTGAGCTGGCTTTGTACGCCATGTCGTTGTTGGCGAGCGCAACCAGGTAGGCGTGGTCAGAGTTGATATATGACATCTTGGTAGTAGTGACCGATGGGTTTAGTGATGAAGTAGTCGAGTCGAGGGCTTGGTTGAGTCAAGTACTTGGTTGATTCGATTTGGAGAGTCTTTAGCGTGGGGGTAAGAAGGTTTATATATCCAGCGGAGAGATTTTATATGTCAAGGCGCGGTCCACTAGTCAAGTAAAAGGAAAAGGTTTTGGATTTTAAGGGCGCAGCTTTATGGTCAAGAACCAATGACAATTCGCTCTTGCGAACGACTGACCAGTTCAGAGTTTGCCTACAGTTTCCCTTCTCACGTGCTATAGATGATTCGTGTTGCAAAAGGATGGCTGGTGATCAATGCTTGCTGTATAAATGTTTTCGTAAGCCGAATTTGCCAGTGGTAATTGCGGCGGTGCCTGCGCAAGAGAATATCACGGCGCGGAAGAATGCTTGTAATTTCTCGCTAGATAGCATAAGTCTTAGAGAGAGAACTCGCGTGCAAAGCCATGAATATATTAGTGTTGTTCAAGTACTTGGTTACTGCAATTATTTCTTTTTATTACACACATTTGACTACAATTCACGCTCCATTTCACACCATCGCCGTCTATTACCTAGAAATAGCCTCGCTCCTGAGCTCTCTTGGCCGTCGAAGAAGGGGCCAGGGAAGACCTGGTCAAATAGTGATCGTTGAATTTGAAGCGGCGTTATTATTACCAGAGTAGCTGACAACCGAAAGCTATTTCATGAACGTAGTCGATCCTTGATCCAGTTGCTCTTCAAGATTCTTCCTCCCCATCGTCCAATAAGTTGTTTGTATATATTCCATCCTTAATCGGCCAAATAAACATCCCAGAGGTCTATATCCGCGAAGCGCGAGTCATTACACTCGTCGGCCCACACCTTAGGCAGAACTACCTGTTCGAGGGCGGGGAGACCAGCACTGAGAAGCGCGACGAGCATATCTAGGTAGTACCTAGGACTCAGTGGCTCGTCTTCCTCGAACGGTGACAGGGTGTAGTCGTCTGCAATGATGTCAAACTTGTGCGGGTTCTGTTTGGGCTTAGTATTAATCTTTAACACGGGACTCGAAGTAGACTTACGTTCGCATCGATCTTGTACTTCTCCACAAAGAACCTCGCGCCGGACTTGTTTTCGCCGTCGAAGAAAGGGTCGAAGACGACCTTCTTGATCTTGGAGATGAATTCTTCGTTGTTGTTATCGCGCACGAGCTTAAGGAGCTCAGCGAAGTCGTAGTCCGCCCTGGCTTTGTACGCCATCTCGCCGTTGGTGGATACGATGAGGTATGGGTAATCCTCGTGGGTGTAGGAGTTGATTGAAGGCATGTTGGAAGGCGTATACTGTCGTAGTGGAATTCAGAGGACGAGTTGAGTCGAATTGAGAGAAGCAGTGGTTGAGAAGTGGTTGGTCGAGTCGGAGAGTTTGTAGCGTGTAGGTAGAGGAGTCTATATACGCAGCGGGCAGGGTCTATATATCAGGGGGAGCGGTGCTCTAAGCAAGTAAAAGAGAAAGATTCGTCAGCGGTAGTAAATGAGTTTTGAAGAGAGAGTAAGTGCAGCTTTATAGCCAAGAGCGAACGTCAATCTGCTTCTGCAAACGAATGACTGGTCACGAGCTTGGCCATACTTCCATTTCCACGTGCCAAAGATAGGTTGTCTTCGCCGCGGGTGACCAAGCTTTGCTATGGATCGGCTTTTGCGAGCAGCTTACCAGAGGCGATTGTCAAGGTACCCACGTGTATCGAGATCATGGTGAGCAAGAAGCACTTGTGATGCCTTAAGCAAAGTTTAACTAAGTTCTCAGGAGGCGGAGGACATGTATCGCTGGGAATCGTGGTTCTTGATCCTCAAGATGGCCAAAATCAGTAGCCTTGTAGGAGAGTTTGTTGCCGGGATATCGGATCAGGAAGGGGTGCTCATGGCGATTCTCGGGTGTTCCATGAGGCATGTTTAGTATGTAATGTTTACAGGGAAGTGAGGAAAGGGGATTGATTGGCATAGCAGGATTCAATACGACTTTCAAAGAAAGGCTACAGCGCCCAACTTTTACTGCTAATTAACACAAAATCGACAACCGGCAATCTTTCCTTCAGCTTTGGTATGGCTGTGCTTGTGATCAACTCAGAGGACGTGATGATGTCCACAAGCTTTGAGAGCAATACGAAGTCTGGCAACTAGCAGCGAGGAGGTCATCAGTGACCCATCGCCTCAGCACAGCACCTTGAATGATAGCAGAATGTGCAGTGTCTCAAACATATCCGTGTATTCATTTCGACTAGTATCATCCCATTAACATCCATCAAGGTGACCTATCACATTTCTTATCCAAGTCTCCTCGCACACTCCTAAATATTTCTTTGCTGCGACACATTCCATCCCATTGAGCAGCTGATTACCTCGTTCTCCGAAAATACCACCAAAAGCTCTTCCAGCAACTTCTGGTACATGTCCTCCGTCGGTAGGCCATCAATCGGGTCATTCACGAGGCGCAAGTTCTCAGCGGCAGCCTCGAATGGGTCGTGAGAAGTGCTCGCGATCTGTTTCAAAGTAGCATCGCTCACACAACCAGTTCAAAAAACTTACCGGCACCTCATCGTCCTCGTTCTCATACTCCTCTTCGGTCTCGTCTTTAGAGTTGTCGGTGGCTGGGCTCGCACGCGGCGGCGGCGAACTCCAAGACGCCGGAGTCCGCCATGTTATCGAACTCTTCGCGGAGATGCGTTTGCTTGATCATCGGCAGGAGAGTCGAGTCTGCACGGACGGCTTCGAGGAAGAGGCGCAGGTCGCTGGGTTGAGTTGCGCGGTACTCGTACTCGTTTGTAGCGCGGAGGGTCAAGAAGGGGTAGACTGTGTGGAGTGTCTTTGAAGACATCGTAGATGTATCGGTGGCTTTTAGACGTGGTTGAATGGATGTTTTGGGATTGACGAGAAGAAGATGGACTTCGAGATCGAGTTGAAGATGGAGAGAAAGCTGCCGTTAACTAGAGTCTAGGAGATAGATTGGCCGAGGGGAGGCGTCATGTTCACCTTCATCTGTCTCTCACCGCGTCTGGAGAGGATTGACAGTCATGGCTCAGTAGCAGTAGATAGGCTAGCTACATATCACTACAAGAGATGCAAGGTCATAGACTACTAAGCGCAACTGAGTTGGTATCTAGTATAATTTTATGTCGAGTGACGAGGCTCAAACGCTTGTGTTGTTGGTTGCGCTGGCTGCTGGATGATTCCTGTCGAGTTTGCCATGGGCAAACGCTTATAGCATGATGCGGCCTGATACAGCGGGGCGAGACTTGTCTCGTTGGCATCGAAGCGATTATCTTAAGTGTTCGAGTCTCGTTAGGAGAAACCCTGGACTGTGCGGGCTCCCATAGTGACATGAACATCTTGAATGCACGTAGGATTGCTGGGTAATGCAGTTCAAGTGCTTAGGCCTTGGTCGTCCAGGCTCAAAGTTTGACTGAACATAATTCAAATAGTGTACATACTCTATGCATGCATCGAAAAAGACAAGTACACATAAACAATAGTCAAACAGTTTACCGCCTATGGTAGTCCGTAGACAGAACCAGACTCCAGCAAATTGCCGCCAACACCAAAACTCCAATAAACATCCGCCCATATCCTCTATGCCCCACCCTCCATGAGAGCATTCTCTACATTCTTTCTTCTCTTTTCTTCCAACTTTTCATCATCAGCCTTCTTCTGATCCGGATTCGCTTTGTAACGCTCCTCCTGAGCCTTTGCGTCGTCCTTTGCCGCCTGTTCCGCGTCCTTTACTCCCCTGGTCTTCTTGGCCTCTTGCTCTTCCTTCGTATCTTGGAATTCCAGCCACCACATATCTTTCTTTGCGCAGATGGTCGACTTGGGACGCGCCTCCTCCTTGGGAAACTCGGCGCATTTTCCCTTGCTACTGTCGAATCCTTTGAGGGCCATGAACTTCTTCAGAGCAGGAATGAGGTGATGGAAGCTGAACACATATGGAATGTTGTAGCGCTCGCATACCATTTCCACATTCCCCTGCTTCCAGTATCGCTGGTCACAGCACACAATGACTTTGCCGGAGGAGGCCCAGAGACCGAGCTCGAGCAGTGTGATGGGGCTTGATGTATTGCAGTCGAAAAAGAAAACGATCACATCCACCTTTGCGAGACTGTTGAGCTCCCAGTTGACTTGTTCATAGAAGTTGGGGTCTCCTTTCTTCGGCTGGATTTGAGGGTCCCATGTACCACGGCGGGGGTTGCAAATTGTGATAGGAAGATCCTCTAGGTGCTTAACCAAAAGCGTTTGCCACTGGATAGCGGCACCCATCTCAATACTGCCAGCAGTGAAGAGCGCGAACTTGTTGTTCCATTTTGGTTCGGTAGGAGGTAAGCAATGCTGGAAATCCTTGTGCCTCTTCAGAGGAGGATTCGGTGCCTTTGCGTTTGCGTTTGTGAGTTGCAACAATGTGTCTGGCACGTCGACGTCATTGAGGTTGCCTGCCTTCTTTTTCCTCTCGATCTCTTCTTCTGTCATTAACTTGTCTACCTTGCATATGGGACAGCGCTTGTAGCCATCTTTGCACTTGGCAAGCTCCGGGAGTCCGGTCTCGGGATCTATCGTTTCGACAGGCGCAATGGCTCCCGGTTTCTCCTCTCCATTCGGCGATGTTACAGTGTCATTTGCCATCTCTTCACTATCACCGGCCGTACTCGCTAGCGTGTTGCTTCTAGTAAGCTGTGCTGAAATCTGTCGCACACGGCCCAGCGCACTCGACTTTGCAGATTTCGGAAAAGTGAGGGATCTCGTAAAAGGGAAAGTGTATGCGCAAGAAGATTGATCGCTGCGGAATGGGTTGTTAGAAAGCGGAGGGCCCTGGGTGGGAGCTACTTATATAGCGGGGACGCACCTGGCCAATGACATGGTCTGTTTCCTTTGACTGCCGTTGTGAGTCTTGGGTTATTTGTTCGATGCTTGCGAACGGACAATGCGCGTGTGCAACAGAGACTGAAACGGAATATGTGAATGCGCTGGTAAATGTTGCTATGGTACAAGCTTCCTGTTTTTGATTGCGCTTTGTTGTCTTCTTATGTGTATTCTGTTGGTTTTACCGCTTGCATCGTGAGGCAGCGACAATCGAAACCTTGGTTGCTCAGCCCTGTGGCGCCTGGCGAATGACCGCCCAATATCTGCGCCACACAGTACATCCATCGTGTGCTCATGTCTTTCATTCTACACCGATTTTTCCTTATTGACGGGCGCCTAGGACTTAACTCTTTGAGACTGTAGTCTGTGGCTGGAGAGTTTTAGACCTGCTCGCCTATCATCTTTATTCGCTGAGGTTGACTCCACGGCGCACATTCCTCAGGCTGCACAGTTTTCAGCGCCTTGTCCTAAATTCTACATCAACGGGGCCATCCCGTACAACACCTTTGAGCTATACAACAAGCGCATTAATGTATCGGACCGTTGGCGGTCATTCATTGCTGAGTCGGACATGGCCGATGAGCTGATCCGAGTATGACTGCTGATGATGGACCTGGAGTATCATCATCAGCCGGCGTCAGCTATGCTTGGAAAAGCCGGGTATCAATCTCAATGAGGCGCGTAAGTATCATGCGGACTATTCATGATTGCTGGGTTTCGCACATGGCTACGAACTTGTGGGGTAAAATTGGATGCCTGAAGCGCGCGGCAATTCGAGGAGCATAAGGCGGAGTCAAATATCGCCCGAAGGATCCACTCAGCACATCCATGCACCGGTGTCATGGAGTATCGCCAGCCCGTGTCTGCTGCTTCCAGGGTCAACCTCAGGTGTACAGGTGGAATTCAAAGGCTCAGAAGATGATGTCAATCCAATATTCCAGAGAGTGTCAACATGGCAGGTGTCTTGCATCACAAGCTAAAGTACTGCACGAGACAATATAGACTGGCCTGAGGAGGATACATCGACTTCACAGGCTTGGATCATCATAGCGAAATAGCAGTCTCTATCACTTCAAGCCAACGAAGTACATGACACCATCATGCTATGTCAGCCCAATTGCACCCCAATAACACCCCCATCAGGCACATACATGTATCTCACGGGCTCAGATCATCATGCCAAAACAACAGTCATAATAGCTTTAATACAGCAAGTATACTGCATTATGCACAGCGAGATCATTGAGGCACCTCAGGCTACCATGAGAGCCTCATTTCAAACAGTAGATGAGAGGGTTCTCAGATACCCTTACATCTTCATACATCACATCATCACACAAGGCAGATCATCTCCAATATTGTTGGTAGTCTTCATTGAAGCTACATAGGACCCCAGGGAGACTTACGCATCATCTTTATGCTGCTCCCCGGGTGTCCACCAAACACCCCCAAACACCCCAGAACCCCAGACAGCAGCCGCCGGCCACCTTCATCCACGTCGCCCCTTCAGACCGGGTTGCCCATGAGCGGATTCGGGTGTCGAACACGCGAATCCGTATCGGCAAGGAGAGTCAAGATCTCCTTGCCAATGCCCTTGGCCCGGTCATCGGGGGTCGACGCGAACGTCGGCGCCTCCTTGACCACCTTCTCTTCCTCCTCCTCCACCTCCTCCACCAGCTGGAAGCCTAGGCAAGAGGTGCCGAGCACATTGCCGCACGAGCACTTGATGCCCGAGAAGAACACCAAGCAGGAGTCGGCCTGCTTGCCGTGCTCCTTCTCCATCTCGTTGGAGAGCTGCCTCAGGTTTGCTGAGGACTTGGCCAGCGAGGCCGAATCGCCACGCAGGTTGTGCATGGATTTGGCGCCCTTGACGGCGGCGCCCACCGCCGAGATCTTCTCCATCACCGTTGGAGCGGACTTGACAGGCTGCGCCCGCCACGAGAGGCCGCAGCCGGAGCAGAACACGCCGAACTTGATCTTCTCGTCCGTCTCCGAGAGCTGGACGGCGAACGGCTCGTGGACGGGCGTGTACAGCTTGATGGAACCGTACAGCGAGCAGTTCTCGCACGAGCGGTGGGGGCAGGCGCACAGCAGGGTACTAACCAGGTGCTCTCCCTCATCGTGCAGGTACAAATCTTGGATGTGGCCACACTGGCAGCAGCACCACTGTCCTATGACCTTCGGGGTGGGGGTGGCAGGCGACTTGGCCGAGCTGATGGAGGCGCCCGAGTAGATGGGCCTGTCGCGCTGGGCAGCGTAGTAGGAGGCAGGGACATCCGTATACTGGCGCACGGTGCGGTCGTTGGCGGAGGACTCACGGTTCATGCGCATGACATCGTCGAAGTTGATCAAGAGACCAAGGTGGCGGGCCTCGCGCTCAGCAGGAGTCGGGATGTGGAGGTTGCTGAAGTCAATCTCGAGACCAAGCTCACGGGCGGTCTTCTCAGCAGGAGACATGTAACGCTCAGGCTCGTCGGGCTGAGACAATGGACCTGAGTCACCTGACGGAGCATCTGCACTGTTGTCCTCGGGAGCCGAGATTGAGGCATCGTACCTAACGTCGTCCTCGTAGGCGTCCTCGTCGGTGATATAGTACTCGATGTCATCCTCATCGTAGCTATCGTCATCGTGATGCTCCATGGGAGGAGAAGAGGGCGACTGTGAAGTTGACGCCATGCCTTGATCGATGGAAGCCTCGTTGTTGAATCGAGCTCCGGACTGCTGAGTGGGTGAACCCGTGTCTTGTTCGAATGTAGCCTCATTCATGAACCGAGCTCTGGACTGCTGAACACCTGGCGGCGTGTCGACAGAGGCATCGCTCTTGGGTATAGCTGCGAAATGCTGATGAGTTGGAGACATAGCTTGTTCGACGGCAGTCTCATTCAGGAATCGACGTGCGGACTGCTCCAAGACGTGGAGCCGTGTCTCCGACCGTAAGAACGCTCATTCTGCATTCGAGGTGCGGACTGCCTCAGCACGCTGAGGCCATCCTCTTGATCAACGGAAAGCCGCGAACTCGTACTTAGCTCCGGGCATTGGACCAAGTGCCGGGCATCTCTTCATAGTCAGAGTCATCAGCCTCGGATCCAGACACGAAACTGCTGCTGATGTGAGGGCCATATCTTCATTGACGGGGCTCTCGTTGTTGGGACTAGGTCCAGACTGCTGAGTAGGCGACGACATATCTTGATTTTGAATTGAATGCTCGTACTTGGGTCCAGCTACAGTGCGATGTGAAATAGGTGAGTTGCTACTGATGTGCTGAAAGCCTTGACCAACATTAGCACTATCCATTTCACTCTCGACCATGCAATACATACCTTGGGGTGAACCAATTAGCGTCTTCGATACTGACTTGTGCTTGTCACGGCGAAAGAGGCTCTTGACACCGCCCTTGAACTTTTCGGCGAAGCTCTTCTTTCCGTCGAGGTTGCGGCGCAAGTTGGGAGTTGAGCGACTGCCGAATGGTGGCTCTACAGAGAAGAAGTTTGGGCTAGTGGGACTTGAGAATGTGCTTGATGGTTGCTGCTGTCGCGGCACTAGAAGGCTCGGAGTTGATGGGCTGGCGAACGATACTGACTCTGGCTGAGCTTGCGGAGGTTGCAAGGTTGGGCTGGAAGGACTAGCAGACGAGCTGAGGAACCCGAAGTTCGGAGTTGACGGGCTGAAGAATCGCCTCGACGACTGATGCAAATAGTAGTTCGGAGACAATGGACTGACAGGCGGCCTTGATGTGTTCTGCTGACGGGACTGTGAAAAGTCTGAAGTCGAACGATTGGCGGGCGACCTCGACAGTTGCTGGTGAGTCGAGATGTAGGGAGTTGAGGGGCTCGGTCGCAGGGGAGAGCGGGGAGAGGAACGTTCTTCAAGCTGGCGCGGTCTAGACAGAGGAGGGGTCAGTGATTGCTCCATGGTGAACGCTTTCTGTGAAAGTTTCGCAGAGAGGCGTTCCGAAGCGGTGGCGGGTGGGCGTGGAAGGTGAGCAGTACGTTTTCGTTAGACTCGAGTCGCCTGTGGTCGAGGCAGTCGTCTGATCACTCGAAAGCTTTTCCCGCGAGGGCGTGCTTGCGGAGCTCGATCGAGTTGTCTGAAAAGTGAATAGCCTGTCTAGTGACAGATAGCTCGTGGGGTGAGTAGATGCAGAAGCACCGTGAGCGAGCACAACGCCGTCGTGAAAGCTGATGGTGGGAGTTTGCAGTTTCTTGACAGGTTGGAAGTTTGTGCTTGAGGAGTCGGAGAGGTCGCTCGAGTGCGGTTGAGAGTAAACAGAGGGCGCGTCGTGCATGGCGACGGGACATGCATGAGCACAATAACAACAGCAAACGGCCGCAATCGCAGGTGAAGACGGAATCAGTGACTCAGAAGCAGATGAAACGCAAACGAAGGCTTCGTTGTAAACAATATATGCGAAAGCACATAGCAGCTAAGAGCGTACACCAGTGTGTGCAGTTGCTTGATTGCATGGTGAAATCTCTCCAATATTGTGACAGCACTGTCAACGCGCCTATCACAGTAAGAAGGTGACAGGGCAAGCAAAGAGCAACAACAGTCCTGCTCTTGCTGGTTGCTCCTGTCTTTCACCCCACAATCTGCATACATATAGTGGAAATACACTACCCGTTCATATGCGGGGAAATGGCGGGGAATAGGAGCGTGTATAGAGTTGGAGGTGGGCAAAACTCGATGGACTTGACTTTCATTACGACATTGAGACACCGAGAGGTTCATATGGAGAGAAACACAGACTGACTATAAGAAAATCACGTCTATGGTTTCTAAGAACAACTTTCCAAGTACACACAGCACTACACCTGGACAGTGGTTGACTGAGGAAAGTAATGAGAAGGACAATAAGATCGTCTATGATAGATAGAGTTAGAGATAGAAACATACAAAGGACTTTGACTAAAAGACTTCTTTACTTACCACATGGATGACAAGAGAACCACACGCAGCTGGAGGCAGGCAGAGACACGGACTGTAAAGAAGAATACGCCCAAGGTTTTGCGAACAACTCTCCCACACGAAGCACCACACATGGGCAGAGCCTACTGAGAAGAGCAATGAGCAGGGCTAGAAGATTACAGACGTTGGTAGACATGTAGATGCAGACGCCAATGTGGTACGGAAGTTCAAGCCGTAGTCCATCGGACATGTCGAGAAACTCACACTTTTGCTTGAATAGAGAGGAAGAGGGAGAAACGGCACGGGCTGCAAGGAAATGACATCTATAGTTTCTACGAATAACTTTTGAAAAGACACAAAAGCACTAAACCACGCGATCACTTTTCCATCTCATACTACGCCTCGCATACTTGGATAATTACATTCCCATGAGAGCCTTGGCACCAGGCTCGCTGCACACGTACACAACGTCGTGGCTGTCGGTGAAGCCGTTGAACTTGGTGGCAGAGCACTTTGTGTAAGCGCCCATGTCCTCAAAGTACAGCCAGTCGCCAACATCCAACAACTCGGGGAACGAGCAGCTGGAGGAGATGATGTCGATGCCATCGCAAGTGGGACCCCAGATAGAGTACTCCACCTGAGATGGAGTGTCGTAGCCCGAAGTACGAACATCGTACAAGACATCGTTCCCAGACTTCAGAACACGTGGCACAGGGTGCTGGTGGTCGAAGATGATGCTGGAGAAGTTGCCGTAGACACCGTCGTTCAGGTACAGCATGTAAGAGGTCGTGCCCAGAGTAGCATCGGCGACGGTGCGGCGAGCAATGACGTGGCATGCAATGGTGAAGGCAGTGGACACATAGTAGCGTCCCGGCTCGCCAATGACACGGATATGAGGAGGGAAGTACTCGTCCAAAGAGGCGGAAAGTACAGCGGCCATGGGCTCGAAGGTAATGTCACCCGTGAAGCCACCACCAACATCCAGCGTGTGCATGTCGAAGCCGAATGCAGCCGCCTGGTCAAAGACAAAGCGGGCGTCCTGAACCGCCTTAATGAAGGCTTTTGGGTCAGACGCTCCCGAGCCGACATGGAAGGCCACGCCCACGACATTGAGCTCCAACTTGTGTGCAAGCTCGAGCAATTCCGCGGTGGTGTCCAAAGAAGCACCAAACTTCTGGCTCAGGCGGCACAGGCTGCCAGAGTCATCCGTCAAGATGCGCAGGTACAGCTCAGCATCGGGGAAAAGCTGCTTTGTCTTGTAGAGCTCATCGGCGTTGTCAAAGGTCATCTGCTTGACGCCCGAGTTGGCAGCATAGCGGACGTAGGACTTGGTCTTGCAGGGTTGGGCGTAGATGATTCGGGCCGGGTCGACGCCCAATTTGAGCACAGTCTCAATCTCGTTCTTGGAGGCGCAGTCGAAGCCCATGCCCAGCTCGCTCATAAGGCGCAGGACCTGCGTGTCTGGGTTGCACTTCACAGCTAGTTGACGTCAGCGACAATATTCAGATGCAAATTCGCTGGGGAAAATACCATAGTGCGGCTTCACACGGGCCAAATTCTTCTTCCAGCGGAGGTGCTGGCGGTAGACCTCGCCCAGGTCGGCGATGAAAAAGGCATCTTCGTCGCCTACATCGCAGGAGTCATGATCAATAGCCTCGACACGGCTTTTCAGGGCCGATCCAATCAGCTGCTTGGATTTCCAGGCGCCATGATTTTCAACACTACCCAGTGTTTGGGAATTGAGCGACTGTAAGGAGTCTTTCAACGTCTGGTATTCTTCGGTAGTGGTGATAGCAGAAGGTGCCATGCCCTGGATAGAAATTCCCGGGTGGTTGATTGGTGGTATGTAGATTGGTTGCTTGATGCCGAAGGCTATCTTATGGGGGCTTGAAGGGCGCGAAGCCTAGGCTTTGGCAAGGTCTTCCCGACTCGGGAAGAACCACCTACAGTCGCAGTCAGTTGGAAGCTTCATTGTGGCGCATCGGAGGCGTCGCGTACAGAGAACGTGCTATGCGGCAGCTGGGTAGATGGAGCGTCCGGGGTTGGTGTTGGTGACAAAAAGAACAGGAGGTCGAGCTGCTCAAGAGGTCTGTCCACGAGGGGGAGGGATGTTGTTGGAGATGTGTGGCGTTGGTCGAGCAGATACGTCTTGAAGGTTCAGGAGAAAGTAGGCTGACGCCGTGGTGATATAGGTGCCTTGTGAATCGGCACCAGGGCGAGTGTGTTGAGGGTTTGAAGAATGAAGGCGCGGTGGTGGTGATGTTGAAGAGGAAAGGATTTCAGCAGAGGAGCGCCTCGGTGTGGGACCTAGCAGCGAACGCTACAACCAGAATTATGTCATCGGCACGAAAATACCGCGAATCGAAGCCATGCATCGCATCGGACACACTTCCTTTCGGCACAGCCACAGCCATCTGGCCGCTTCGCTTAGCAGAATTCGGCAGCCAATCTATTCTAGATAATCTGTCCACGTTCACACCCGTTTGAACTGTCGGCTTCAATTTCCTTGACTCTGTGAAGCAATCCAAGTCCTTTCCTCGAAGCTGCACACCGTCACTAGAGTAGATCCCGCTACCCAACTGCGAGATGTGGGGATGCGCCCAACTTACCGCTCTTTCCCATGGTTCGAGAGTTCATTGCTCCACTCACTAATTTGGACCCGGGCACTCAGCCGGTTTCTTACAAACAGCTGGCTGCATCTCATGCACGCGACTTTCACATGCTGGTCTTGTTGAATTGTTGTTTAGATTTGTATGCAGCTTACTGCGACGCACATGCATCAGCTATCAAATGCGGAAAGACGCCAGGTCCCCTTCCCAGCCCCGACCACCCATGAAAAATGCCGCGTATATGTACGTTGGGTATGTGTGTAAAAACGCCGCTGCACAATGCAAGGCTGCCCAAGATATAATGTAAAACGCCTTGAGATGTGCTCAAGTTATACGCGCTGCAACATGATGGGAACGTCCGACAAGTCGACGCCATATTGGTGCTTCCATTGCATGCTCTTGGAGCTCGCTTTGGAGTGGAGTGACCGTGTTCCTGCACTGCCACCCACACCGGTGCCACCACGGCCTTCATAGTTGTAGGCCAATCCGCCGCTAAATCTACCCCAGGCTGCCAGCTCCTCGCGATCTGGCAGCTTGTTTCGGGAGTTGACTGTGGAAGCAGAGGCTTCGCCAAAGCTTGCTTCAGTGCGTAGACCCTCTCCGATAGACTTGCGACGGTGGTTCCAGTGTTCTGTGTGCGCGTCCCAGTCCAAAATTTGCACTTGCATTGGAGGGTTTTGTGCGTGCTTGTCGTATTTTTCGACGAGCTCTGAGACCACCTCGCCTTTGGCTTGGGATCGAGGAATGAAGGTGCCATTGGTTTTGCGTTCAGTCTCCATCTCCATCTCCAACTGAGCCGGGTTAGATCCTCCGTGCTTCGCGATGTCAATGGTCGGCACGGGTGGGATGTCGTGGACCGATTGATAACGCCGCCTAGATACATTCGCCTCGTCAGCTTCCTTCAGAGTGTGGAAACTCTTCCTCCTGCGCTGCTGGCGCTGCTGTTGAGGCATTTCTTGCTCGGCGAGCGCTCGATCCTTGCTGCGGATACGCGCGAACTCAGCAGCTTCCCCAGAATCCATCCTAGACCTAGGTCGCGGCTGTGCGCCACCAAGCTGGTGAGGATGAGTAGGGGATGTGACTGTCTTCCGTAGTGGAACAGACATTGCAGCGTCGTACGGGGAATTACCAAGTGAAGACGCAATGGTTCCGAGATCGACAACGCCAACTGAGGCGTTTACATTGTTTTTGTTGGCGTCCTTATTTTCGACGGTCGACTTCCTGCGAAATAGCGATAGGCTCCTGTGCCGCTTGTGCACAGGCCGTGGAGTCTGTCCAGGCTCTATTTCCGCTAACTGTGCAAAGGCCTCTGACGGAAGCGGAGCAACAGTACTGACCTCCGATCCAGCTGTGAGGATGTGCTCTTTAGTAGGATAGGTATGTTCAAGACATTCTATTCCCGGTGTGTTTGACAGCCTGCGTGTGAACTTGGCTCGGACGTTGTCCGGGATGCCAGGAATTGTAGCTTCTGGAATAGACTGACACGATTGCACTGTAGGAAGCTCGGTCTGAGATGGTCGCCGCCTTTGCAAGCGGTTTTGGAACTTTGGGCTTGTGCTACCATCGATGGTGTTAAGGGAGAATCTTGATACCAGCGCATTGGGGCTGGGAAGACCGCGCGACGTTGAGGCCCGCTCAGATTGGCTGGAAACGTTCATATGCGCCGGTACACATCCCCCGTCTGCCTCATCTACATTGGCGAGGAGTTGATAGTCGTAGTGAGCAGAAGAGTCGCTCTCGCGTGGAAGCGAAGCTCTACTTGCCTGCTCCTCTTGAACGCTATTTTTGCTAGATCTTCCCGAGTCGGCGCTGTATCTGCCGTTGTGAGTTCGAAGGCTTCCACCAGACGAATAACCGGAATCAGAAGTGCGAGGCGCTGGGCGTTGTCTTGGCTGCATCGTTTGTTCTTCTGAGACAGACACGCGTGGAACAGCGGAAAATAAACTTGAGCCGGACGCTTCGATAGCAGTGATGGGGGCATCGAAGACAGTGCTTGCGAATACAGTACTCGCCTCGAAGGGACTGTGAGGAATCTCGGATTGATAGTCCTGTGCATATTCGCTGGCACCCTGGCTCACCGGCCTCTCACTGTTGTTCGTAACGCGCAGTGCCTTGTTTGACTTTTGGGGACGGGGTCCTTGTGGTATGCGGTCACTGTCTCTCGTACGGGGCCGCACGACCATCTCGTGTGCTCGGTTATTGTAGAGAGGAGGAACCGCAGGTACTGACAAAGACTTGCTTTTCATGTGTCCTCGCTGTCTCGCACTTTTCATCGTCAGAGGGCTATAGCCAGATTGTGCCGTAAAGTAGTCTAGTTCTCCACCAGCCGACTGCTTTGTGACCTTCATGCTAACAGCAGGTGACGGTTGACCATTGACGATGCTGAGTGTGCCTAGCTGAAGACTCCCAAGATGGCCATAATCAAGGTCACTCGGGGTTTGTGCTCTCACTGCAGAACCGTTCGGGCTAGCTTCCACTGTCTCCGGGACCGCTAAACGGTGCTTAGTGGTGCCCTTCGGTGTCGCAGCCCATTTTGCCTCCTCCTCAGGTGCAACTTGGGGTGGTTTCCATGAATTCCATGTTCTGCGGCGACCTTCGCCGGGTGAATTTCGGGTCGCAACACCAGGGGTCTGTACCAGGGAGCGACGTCTCGTCAGTGAAGAGCTGGAACCGTTCGCTGCCGATGTTCTGCGGCTGAGTGTCGGCTCCGAGGGCATGACTGTGTCCGTGGAACCTTCCCAAATTTCCTCTACACGGCATTAGTCTGGACACGATGTATGTGGTACGATTTAAAGGTGTTCGCGAAACCACTCCATGACGTTCGCTTCTGACAATTCTTTGAGTGCATTCAGTTCCTGCGCAGGAGAAATCTATGAGTGCAAGTGCAGAAAGAAAATATGCTTACGAAGAGCAGCCAGGTCATCTGGAGAAGCATTCTTCTTGACCTCCTGCAGCAACCGAATGGCTGCTTCCAAATCCAGCTGTGTGTTGGGAGCTCCATTGGGTTCAGAGAGGTCGTTCAGCCTTGCCGTGGAGCCATGTTTGCCCCCAAAGCAAGATAGCGAGTTTGATCTTGAGTTGGTGCGGGAGTTGGCTCGAGAGTTGGCCTTTGAGTTGGACCGTGATAACATCGACAAAGGCCGTCCACGAGAACGTGGTGCAAGCTCTCCAATCGCATCTTCCTCCCTCTTGGAAGACGGTGCTGAGCCGTCTTCTGTCTCAATAGGTGACAAGAGCGTCTCTTTGATATTGTATCGGCCCTTTGCACTCAGGTCTGCATATCTCGAATTAACGGACACCGGAGAGTCTGTGAGCAGCGTGGGTGCTGGCGAGTTCGTGTTCGTCTTTGGCTTTGCCAACCGATTGTGGTGGTGGGGAGTGCTTTGGTTGTTGCCCATGATGTCGAGGTGTGGAATGTTGGGGGAGCGGGAACGCCCAGTTTAGTGTGAAGAACGCATGGACGATGCACCTTGAAAGAGAAGGTCAGTTATGCAAAGCAGACGCGGGGATAACTTAGGTCGGCAGCATACCTATATGATACCACAAGACACTAGGACCTTCAATGTGGGGGGCTGGAGTCTTTCGAGCCACGGTTAGTGCTACCTGAACCTCACCTGAGGCTGTTGAGGCCGAACACTTATAACTCGGATGAGGCAGGTGGCTGCAGCGGAGAACCTGTTGTCGGTTGCAGGCTTTTCGATGCTAAGACGTACAATAGCCACCGTGCCATGTAACGGAGAGGAGAACAAAGCGAAGTAAACAACAAACTTGGAAGAAGGCTGAAGTGAAACCGGACGCATGCGCGAATGCAATGAATGCGCCAATTAGCGATCGCGATAAGTAGAGCTCCAAAGCCAATCAAGGTGGGGCGACGCGATGGATGCGCGGCATGCAGGCTTATCCCAGGCGACCATCTCGACTCCCTTGGACGTGCAACGGCTGATCGGCTCACTTTGGCATCCTCCTGATCGAGCATCCGTCAGCCACTTTGCGATTCCGATGTCTGATCGCTTGCCAGCATTCGCTCGGGGCACAAAAGGCGTGCACAGCCGTTTCAAGGGATTCCAGTCAAGGCATCGTTGTCCTGAGAAAATCTCCCTTCCTTGCTCTAGCCTTGTTGGTACCTGTCGTCACGTCCTCGTGATTTCGTGCACGTACGTGATAGCCAGGCCTTTACATGCATGCACGATTTGCGGCCCTTCAGTCACCGTGTAATAGTGACGGGGGCCTCGAGATGCAGAAGGTCGGCCGCAAGTCGGTGCAGACTCTGATTGCAAGGATTTGCATCCGATAGATGACCGATGGTAACAATGCTATCATTCCATTTGCCTTGTACTCCATGTCGACTTCGCCAAGTGCTCGAAGCGTCTCGATTGCTCAAGCTCACGGCAGTGGCCCTTGCTGCGTAGTAGACTGCCGGCCAAGGCGTTCAGTCTAGACACGATAGTCTCCGATGAGGATCGGTTTCAGCTGTAGATCCGTGCAGGTGTGCAAAAGACCAACAAGCGCCGTCGACCAGACTCGCCTCGGAGGATCTTGCTTGCTTAAAGCCATTGCCGTTCGGACGACGCGCCGGGTAAGTCGCAGAACTCGTGGAGACCAAGTATGAAGCTGTCGCAACGTGGCGGAGGATCTGGCGTCTATCCTTAATTCTGGATAAAGACCGCAGTCTCTCACACTTACCCCTACCGAAATGAGATGGATATGGGGCTTCGTCTGTAAGTGTTTGCGCGCGTTGCGCTGCAGTCCTTCACACTCCGAGTCAGACTTCGTGCCTCCCAGACTATCGAAAGAGTAAGCTGAACTTGGGTGCTGGTGTACTTCGGGCGTGGTTAGGTGCACTCATCTCCAGGGCAACCTTGGGAACGAAGTTGGCTTTATTGCTTTAGGTATTGAGGAGTCGATTAGCGCGTCTTCCATCAAATTGGGTCTTAGTCAGCGCGGCAGTGGCACATGTTCTGCTCCAAGAGCCGGTCAGCCTTTGCCTTCACAATCATCTCCGCGAAAGCCAAATTATTACACAGAATCTTGCAACGCATCGGACAGAAGTATGTCCTATTTCCAAATACCGTGCACCGATGACGTGGACGCCATGATCGTCGTAGTCCCGGGAGCTTGCGAAGCCTTTGAGGCTTGTTCAGGTGTGACATCATCGAGTCGCTGTGAGATTTGACTTTCGACATAGTCTCTTTAAGCGCGTGTTAACTTCGACCTTGCCGCCAGGCCTCCTTAAACATTTTGACTTTGCGCCTCTCACTCACACAGACATTGCTGACAGTCGGTGCGATTACTCTGAACAACCCAGTACTCCTGTCGCGTGCCTCCTTATCGAACGCGCCCTTCTCCGCATCTTCGCGACTCCTGTTCCTGGCAGCAGTCACATCAGCCTCCATCCGGAGACCTCACGGCCTCTGTTCTGCGTCGCAAAACATCAGCAGCCATGTTGGGAATATCGTACTGGGTCGTACCCATCTTTTCGTCGATAACATGGATAGCATGTCTTATTGCTATGATCGTATACTGGGCGACGACTGGGAGGCCGCACTATGTCACGATGAATGAGGGGCAGTATTTCCCGTATATTTCTGGTAAGTCATAGCATGGACATTGCATCTCATGATGTTCACAGGGACGCGCACTGACTCCACATAGATATCGGCGCAGACACGCTCAAGCCTATGTTCATCGCCCTGTCCGCAGTGAGCGTCGTTACATTCGACCTCGCCTTCATTTTCGAGCGATACCTAAGACACACGGGGAAGCTCACGCCCAACACTTCCGTATGGCAGAAGGTCTACTCGGGATGCGCCACTGTCGCGGCCATTGCTGGAGCAGCCGGCCTCATCCTGCTCACGATTTTCGACTGCAAGAACCATAACAGGCTGCATAACATCTTCCTGGCAGTGTTCATCATAGGCTACATCGTTTCAGCAATCTTCACTTGCTGGGAGTACCAGCGTCTAGGCATACGCTACCGCGAGCACTCCATCCTCCGCATCTCCTTCTGGGTCAAGCTTGTCTTCATCGGACTGGAGATCTGTCTGTGCATCGCCTTCGTTGTCTGCTCTAAGAAGCGCGTCTGGAACTACGCTGCCGGTCTCGAATGGGCAATCGCATTTGTCTACTGTTGTTACGTCATGAGCTTCTTCATCGACTTCTTGCCCGCAACCAGGACCAAGCACCACCAGAGCCACGAGACTGAGATGCAGGTTGCTGAGGAGGGTGGTATGCGCGGGATGGGTGATGGTGCTGCGGACAGCGGACAGTACTTCCGCGGTAACGCCGCGCCTGTCAATGGATATGCTGATGGCACTAACGGTGCAAATGGATTCACCAACGGAGCTACCAACGGCCACACGAATGGTGTCACTAACGGTTACACCAACGGACACACCAACGGCTACACAAATGGCAACGGCTACGTAAGCCACACTGCCGAAGGATACCCCAAGCCCGCCGAGCCAGCAGCGCTGACATCGCGGAACTTCTAAGCACTAATATCCACACTGCGCATACCCACTACTCTTCGTACATATATCCCCTTTTCCTGTACCTTTTTTACGACTAGAATGTTCCATTGTTTTGTCACGAGCGCTTTGCATATACCACGGTAGAGTAAAGGAGGGAGGGTAATCTGACCCGTAAACGCATCATGTACGAGTATGTTGGATTAGCATAATGTCTTATCTGCTGCGAGTTTGAGTAAATGTCAAAAGTCATTGTATGTCACCGTTTCCAAGGACTTGATGCACGGTGAAAGGTAGACGAAGACAGAGGGTATAAGAATGTCAATTGAATATCATGACTGTCATGCTATATACCACCTTACAAGTACAGCTCTATGCACACGTTTCAACCCGGCTGATATACTTGTTACATTGATTCAATCGTCAAGGAAAAAAGGCATGTCAAAGAGACGTGGCAAAAGGAAAACAGTTTGATCAAGCCAAGACGTGAGATTCTCTATGCCTTCTCCATCTGGTTGAGGATGGCGCGGGTGAACTCGTGCGTGGTGGAGTTGCCGCCCATGTCGCGTGTTCGTGCGGTGCTGTTTAGGAGTTAGCTTTGCTTGTTGTTTAATGTTGGTTGTGTGTAAACTCACCCGTCAGCAATGACCTTGTAGACAGACTGCGAGATGCGGTTGGCGTGGTCGTCAAGACCGATGTGGCGCAGCATCATGGCAGCAGACAGGATCAGCGCAGTGGGGTTAGCCTGGTCCTTGCCCTTGATGTCGAGACCGACGTGACGGCATCCAGGCTCGAAGAGAGCGACGTTGCGGCCCATGTTGCATCCGGGGACGATACCGGGACCACCGACCAGGCCAGCTCCGATGTTGGAGAGAATACCTCCGTACAAGTTAGGCATGACCATGACGTCGAATTGCTGTGGCCTGGAGACACACTGCATGGAGGCGTTGTCGACAATCATGTCGTTGGTCTCGAGTGTGGGGTAGTCCTCGCCGACCTTCTTGACGGTGTTACGGAACAGACCGTCAGCAAGCTTCATGATGTTGGCCTTGTGGATGCAGGTGACCTTCTTGCGGTTGTTGGCCAGCGCAAAGGCAAAAGCAAACTTGGCGATGCGCTCAGACTTCTCGCGGGTGATGATCTTGAGCGACTCGACGACGCCGTTGACCGACTGGTGCTCGAGACCAGAGTACTCGCCCTCGGTGTTCTCACGGATGATGCAGAAGTCGATGTTCTTGTGGCGCGTCTCGTAGCCGGGGATGTTCTTGAGGAGGACGATGGAAGCGTAGATGTCGAGTTCCTGGCGGAGAGCGACATTGAAGGAGCGGTGACCGGATCGCTCGACGGGCGTGTGGAGGATACCCTTGAGACCGAGCTTGTTGCGCTTGAGCGAAGCGATAGACTCGCGCAGAAGTTCCTCGGAGTGGATGTTGCCCGTCTCGACACCGGAGACGTCGACCTGCTCCCACTCAATGGGAACGTTGTCTGCCTTGAAGATCTCCTTGACCGACTCGGAGACCTCAGCACCGATACCGTCACCTGCGCATCGTTCAATATTATATTCGGCATTTGGGGCGGTTATCGCGCGTACCAGGAATCAAGGTAACGGTGTATTTGCCGCCGAACTTGGTGGGCTTGAAGATGTCCTGCCCGACGGTGGCCATTGCTACTCCGCGTCAGAATCCATATTTCCCCATGTTTTCGCATATCGACATACATCGCGAGACCATGGACGGGCCGCATCGAGCAGGCTTCGCGCCCCGCAGAAGGGTCTGGAGACGGCGCATTAGTATATCAATTCTCGTCGTGGGGGTTCAATCGCCGGTGCATGGGCAGCTCCGTACCTGCGCGGTTCGTTGAGAGGTCCTCGACAGCATGGTGATTGGCGGTGTTGGTGCTAGTAGCTGGTGGTGAGGGATTTGAGGCAGAGGAACAAGCTGGACGAAGCTACCGACGCCGAAAAAGCAACCCGGAGAAACCGCGCTTGGCAGTGACCGCATCCGTCTTTCCGCCGCGGCCGATGAACCATCTTCAACCTCAACGCCGATTTATTATCTGCGGCACGAAACTGCGCTCTTGGCTTGATCAACAACGACTATTTCGACTGTTCTTGGGCGACATGGTGCGCTCACGCTATGTACAGCGGAGACCTTCCGCACGATCTGACATGTGACGAATTCCAGAGCCTCGTGTCGAGCTCGAGCAACAAATATGCAGCACCTGTTACACGACGCCGGATACTCGAATATGGGAAAGCGCAGAGTCCTTCGTTAACTACCATCATGTAGAATGCTACATCAATAGGAATGCCTGGAGTGCTTTAAACGTTTTGGACACGCGGCGATTGAGATCACATACGGTAGGTTGTGCTTCTTCAAAGTATTTCATCTCAGAGACTACATTTGTAGCGACCTTCTTCGAAAGGGTGCATACATGAATGCTCTACATGCTGTGCATAGTGCAGTTTTAGACGTCTTTCCAGGCACTAATCTGGAGACATGCTTTGCAGCAATGCTCTGTTCACGGCCTTTCAAGTGCGCAGCTCGACCTCACCTTCACCTCGAGCTGTAGAACGTCAGCAACCCCGGGTAGACATACACTTTACCACCTCTTCTTTCCTTCTCCGCTAAAACCCACCAACCTGAATATCGGGTACTGTCCTTCGGTTCACATCCCTTTATTGTCTGTCTCATCCTGCAACACACCTAGGCAGTCAAAGAACAACCCAAAGATCCTCGCGCTTGACGTCCTTGAGCCCGGACCTTGGTTCTCTCACCTGCACTAGCGCCGAGAGTGCGATTCATGACAGTGACGAGGCTCTGCCTTCTCAGATACTTCGACTTATCAGCACCAACTTCGGCACTGGTAGCGAAGCAGCAACTACTTGTTTACGGGCGTCTTAAGTCCACCTTCATCCTGTCCAACTTCCGTCACTTTTCTCTCGCTGTCAACCTGCACAGGAAGTCCGCAAGCTATCGGACGCGGCAATTGCAAAGCTTCCCCGCCCAGGCTTCTCTTCCAGCCCAAACTCGTGCCCTAGACTCACCGCAAGGGGCGACGATATTCCAAGGCGACACTGACCTCCTACTCAATTATCCTTACTCAACAGAGCCCTGTACGGGTCGGAAACACGCGGTCATGAGGGTCATGGAGAAAGTTACGGACCGCATGGCTGACATCCACGTGCATGTGGAAGGTCAAGTCGATGCCCTGGAAGAGTATGGGGAATATGTTGATGCCACCGACAAGGCTGTTTGCTGTTATGTACCCGTTGACGAAGGGCATAAGGTGAGGGTATTCGGCAGGTTCAACGGCACAGTGAGTTGCTCTCGGATTTTCTTCCTAAACGATAGGTGCTGACACAACAGACCATGGTCATTGCATACGATGTCATCGTAGATGGCATTCTCCGCAAGGCTTCTTCCTACACCGCCAAGAGCGTCTATTTCCAGAAGCACAAAAAGCTTGACGCGGAAAAGTTTCTCTACAAATCTGGCAAGGACGTCATCGATACGGATATGCTTGTTGCTCCGATCTCAGGGGTGACCGCGATTTCAGTAGAAGGCAAGGAGACCGTCGGCACTATGGAGCTGCGGCTCTATGTGACTCGGCAACTAGGTGTAACTCATGCTCCCGTTAGGTACGAGAAGTATGACCGCATCAGTGAGAACTCCGAAGACGACGAGGTGCCCAAATATGCTACCTACAAGCTGATTGCCCCTACATACCAGATGGATTTCGAGAAGAACGCAGCACCACTCGAGGATGGGGAGCTGAAACGAGAGCACCGGAAGATGAATACGAAGCGCCCAGGCACCGAACCATGGGCAATCTTTCGCTTTCACTACCGAAGCAAAGGTAACACCTTACTTTTTGTTCGATACGCCACAGCTAACATGCATACAGACACGATCATTGAACACAAGCTGGGTCGGACATACGACCCCAGGAGCAAGGACAAACCAGAGCCCTATACCCTGAATCTCGAGCCGGTCCCTCCGCTATCCGTCGGCATAAAGCCACAGAAGGATGACGGGACTAGCTCAACGCACACGTCTTCACCAGCCCCTGACGTACCACTTACCCCAACAAATGCTCCGCAGAAAGGTCCAGTCGCAAAGGTAAGAGACAGTTTTGCTTTTACCTTGATCTCACGGTGATTCAGGGTCACTGCGACTTGTCGCTAGCGTTATATAAACCAATTTTTTTTTCATGCTAACACCTTCCAGTCTCCTACACTTCTCAAGAAACAACTGCTCAAACCTACGACAACACCACCTACAACACCCAAGATGGCTTCTTCGACTACGAAGAAAGACTCTACCAAGACTCCCGATACGACTCTTGATCCTGAAGTACGGGGTGAGGTCAACGAAGATGTTCTCAATCGTGTGTTCACCAAGACCTCGCCAGCACCACACTCTCCTGAGACCTCCTTCACGCCTATCAACAAGGCTGCCGCAACTGGAGACAATACCAGCGTTGCCTCGGCTACCTCTGTTGATGGCGAGGTCGATAAGGCCGCCTCCGCCTCCAAGAACAACATGGTTAACAGCGGCACAAAAGATACGGGCGGCAGCGATGTAGTCAAGAATGCCGCTGGAAAGTCCTCTGACAAGGCCATTGACAAGCCTATCAAAAGGGGCAAGACTATCGTGAAGGAGCCCGCTGAGAAGCCTGTCGAACAGGAAGAGATGGCTGCCAAAGAAGTCGCTAAGAAGCCCGCAACGAAGGAGGACCCGGTCACCAGTGACACAATCGCCGTCATTGGACCCAAGCGAAAGACCACCTCCACCAAGGAAGGTGGTACCGCAAAACCCGCCGGCCTCCCTCAAAAGGTCGCAAAACCTGCCAACGGCAACGCCAAGAAGCCAGCCAGCTCAGTCAAGACAGCAGGCAAAAAGGAGCCGCAGGTCGTTATCCCGCCCAAGAAGTCTCCCGTCGTGCCAGTGAACACTGTCCCCACATCCCCGTCGACGCCCAAGAGGCCCGCTCCCGAGGCACCCGTCACACCGGAGGATCAAGTTCATGTCGGTCTCATTGATGGCTCCAAATCCCACAGCAAGCGCCCCAAATTTACTCCCAGCCCACTCACCCCGACCTCAACTACGATCGTGCCGCGTATCCCTTCAGGCACCTCTAGCCCACGCCTCATGAGCGTTGAGCGCAAGGTCGCCGAACAGCGCAAGAAGCTCGAAGCTATACGTCAGATGCGTCTCGAGACGGCCAAGAAGCAGGAAGTGCTCGACAAGAAGATGGAGCCTTACAAAAAGCGCATGGAAGAGGAGCTGGAGCGTCTCAACAGGGAGATGATGGAGGAAGAGGCTGCGGCTGCTGAGGATGAGGAGCACTTCAAGGCGAGTGAGGAGATGCTGAAGGAGTTTGAGACGGTGGAGTATGACTTGGGTTGTGTGTTTGGAGAAGAACAGGCGAGAAAAGGTGGTTTTTAGGGGTATGGAGTATGGAGTTTGGGTGGGATAGTGTGGGCTGGATGTCCTCAAGGATGGTTTGGATTGGCGTTTGGATTGGCGATGATCGGGCTGGACAACTACCGTGGTGTGATCCCAGAGATCGAAACTCTCAGTATGGAACTTGGGGTCGACCTGCAAGGTAGGACGAGATTCTGTAGCGTCTCATACTGTTCTACATTCTCGAGATGTAAGCAGTGAGTTTGGGGTCGATTGGCGAGATGACCTTCGCTGTCGCTTGTTCCTAGAGCAAGGAATCCACACTCTTCTTTATTCTAGACCCACATGCTATATCAAATACAAAAGTATTAAATCAACATCCCAGCGTATGCCCGAAAACAGTTTGGCACATGGAGGAAGCAATGATTGATCGCAAAGTGACATGACGCGCAGTTATCCAAATGTACTAGGATTATGTACAGGGGGTATCAGGAAACAATCTCCGCAAAAGCAATTTCACATAACATTATAGCCACCTAAAGCAAATCCCTTGAACTTCGAACGAGTGTTGAGCCTATGCCGTTTCGTTGTCTCGTAGTGGAGTCCGCTCTCGGGCTACTCTCATGTTGGCCTTGATCCGCTCTAGGAGCTCTGCGGTTGTTGCTAGAGCAGATGGATGTAGGTTCCGCTGTACCTCATATTAGCACAACAGATCTGTAAAGTCCAATACATGCCGACTTACGTTATTGAGCCAGGTCACACATTGCTCGTGAGTCCAGGTGTCTGGGTCTGCACCGTGTATCAGCGCAACTCATATGTCCATTTCAGAAGACCACACTTACCGCCGGTAGGATCACGGCTAGGAAAGAGATCTTGACCCCAGATGCTCCATGCTGCGACACCCGTAATAACGGCAGCGAAGGCAAAGAATGGACCCTAGTGCATTGTCAGCACACAGCTGTTCGTTCGAAAGAGACACCTTACGATGATAAAGTAGTTCCAAGGTATCGATTGGGCACTTACACGTTGGCTGACTGCACGGTCGATTGGGGTAGGCATACTGAATGCTGGAGGATGGCTACCAAGGATGTGATATAATTCGAGTTCGTGTGGCTTACGACCTGTGTGTCTAAGAATGCGCAGGTGATTTCTCAGGGCTTTAAGAATTTATGTAGGTCCAAGGCATCTCGCAACCATCTCCTCATCCACGTTCGCGCCACAGACGTCGTCACCCCACCATCCCGCTTCCGGCCTCGCGCAACACCGCCCTTCAGCGGCCCGTGCGTAGCGAGCAGTCCACTCCACACGCCAAATTGCCTGGGCCACGAAAGTTCACGATCACGACCGAAACGAACAATCCGAACCGACTCGTCAAAATCAGCCAATATGCCTTCCGAAGTCTCCGACATCAAGCAGTTCATCGAGATCTGCAGGCGCAAGGACGCTAAGTGTACGTCTACCACACAATCCCGAGGAGGTCGCATGTCGCAAGAGGAGGAAATATTGATGGACCAATTGAGGACGGCAGATGACTGCGACTGAGGGGGACCATGTGCAGTGAGAGGATGAGACTGACAGTACGACAGCTGCCCGCATAAAGAAGAACAAGAAGGTCAACAACATCAAGTTCAAGGTCCGATGCTCAAAGAACGTCTACACCCTCGTTCTTAAGGACACCGACAAGGCCGAGAAGCTGAAGCAGAGTCTGCCCCCGGGTACGCACACCCCTACACAATCTCTCTAGACCCTACATATCACGGGCAGCAGCTCGTATGAACAGGAGCAATGGCTAACACAGATTTATAGGTCTTACCATCTCCGACGTTGGCAAGAAGAACCCCAAGGGCAAGCACGCCGCATAAATGGAGCCACGACGGTGAGGAGGCAGATGAGGAAACTGAGTGCGAGGTGAAGAAGTCAGCGCACGAAGTACGACTGGCATGGCATGAGCGGACGGGCGTCAAACGGATAACCTTTCTTCAATGGCATACCGAACCTCGTAAAAGAGAGTTCACCAGGAATGAAAAAGTCAAACTTCACATTGCGCCTCACAACTTGCTGGATTTCGCTTTGATTGGTGCATTTCTTACACATTTTCGAGACCAGGGCTTTCTACAAGGCCTCCACTTTCTTCCCTTGTCTAACATTGAACTTGAACTGATCTTTCCGATCTAGATACACCACCTTGGAGTCCAACCCCGCCGCATGCACCGCCTTTTTGAAGTCGTACAACGGACTCAAGAACACATCATAGTCGTCGTAATGGATCGGGATCGTAAGGTCGGGATTGATCAGCTGCATGAGCTGTACTCCCTGCTTTGCATCCATGGTAACCATCAGCAACGGCATCTTCGGCCCTGGAATCGTCGTGCCACCCAGATGGACCAGCATGAGGTCGATATTCTGGTCCTTGTACCGCTCGGGAATCTCCTTGAGCTCGTCGACCATCAGCGTGTCGCCTGAGATGTAGATCCTATATCCGTTCTCGAAGGAGTCGTCAGATACTGGAGCTGAGTAGCCCAGTTCAATCATCCACCCATTCGTCGGCGGTACGGCTCCAAGTATGTCATTCGCTACGTTCAAAGGTCCCGGTGGAACATGCTTGCCTGGCACTCCGGTGATCTTGAGGCCTGGTTTCTTCCCCTTTTGCTCCTCGCCTTCAACTTCCAATACCAACGTCTCCCAAAAGTCCAGCGCGTGGACGTTCGTGAAGCTATCCTCGCCTTTGCTCGTCAAACACTCCTTTGCATGTGGCGTCGTAATGATGGGGATGCTCTTCGCCAGTTTCTCCTCGACTTCTCTATCGAAGTGGTCTTCATGGTAATGCGATAGGAAGATGACGTCGATACGAGGTAATTCTTCCAAGTCGATGGCTGGGTTGGTACGACGGGTGCCAGAGACACCAGGACCCAGATGCACATGATCACCGGCGTGGAGGAAGTTGGGGTCTGTAAGGATGCGCAGGCCAGCCCATTCGATTATCGTCGTAGCGGTGCCGACAAAGAAGAGCGATGCGTTTGTAGAATCTGACGGCGCATTTGTAGGATGTATCTTCGTCTCCTTGGCATCTGGGAGGGCAGAGGGCACGGAAGTTTGATCCTTGACCGGAGCGCCTGAGCTAGAAGGCTTGATAGTTAAATGTTTCATGATTGCTGCTGCTCTTCTCTCAATCGGCTTCTTCGTGGGCCTGCGTGCGAAATAGTCGATGTAGCAGTATCTTTTGACTTTCGGCAGGAATATATGGGAAAGCAAGAAAACAGTGCGAAGAATAGGAATCGCAGCTTGTCTGCATCGTAGGAAGGCATTTCTGTAATACTGGTGACGACACAACGCCGTAATGATGAGGGTTCAAGGTCGCAGGGTGTGCGGTGATCATGCGAACAACGGTTGCTACTGTGTGAATGCCTTTGGACGCTCATGTTATACGTTGTCATATTCTTGACCCTTTCTAAGACCGATGAGGCGGAGTCACGACGTCTTGCGCGTCTTGTATCACAAAAGGCAGTTATGGAGGGCTGTGTGGTGGAGCTCTCTCCCGTTGACGCTCCGCCAGCAGGTGCCACAAACTGACATGTGGCTGCGAGATGCGCGCGGAGCTTGGATCCCTGCCGATCCATTGCTCAAGTAACAATGAACACCTGGTCGGAACCGTGAGACGTGAGGATTGGCGGCGCAGGTCCTCTCCGTGAATCCCCGCAGCACTTTTCAAGTAAATATATCCAAGTTGCGAAATAACCTTGCCGCTGTGAATTGGAAATGTGAAGTCCCCCTCTCGTCGACATCTTTAAGCTTTCTAGGCGCGTTCGATGAACTCGACACGCGACCCGTTCAACCTCCGATCCAAAGCCACCCCGGCAGCATTTTCCCTCCTCCAAGCCGCCGCGCAAAAGACAGCGCACTCGTCCGCGCAAGCCCTCGCCTCGACTAGACAGGCTGTCGAGGCCACCACCCAGGCGCTCAGGGACTCAGATATGTCCTTCGCTGTCCCGCGCAACGTGCCGAATTTCGAAAACGCCCAGCGTCGCTTTGAAGATAATGTCTGGAATAAGTTCTCGGGGACTGAGAAGGGATTGCCAATGTACAAAGATAAACCGGAGGGGAAAAGTCATGCGTATGGGGTCAAGGGGCGGAGGGGTTTTTTGAGGAGTAGGAGGGGTGTGGGCGTGGTTGCATTGGTGCTGCTGGCGCTGGTGTATTGGTTTGGGTGGAGCAGTGCGCCGGCTGAGGCGGCGGATAAGACGAAGGAGAAGGGCGCGAGTTGGGGCGCCATTGGGGGCGGCGCGAAGAAGAGCAATGTTGATTGGGAGAAGAGGAGGGAGGATGTCAAGAATGCGTTCTTGCTGAGCTGGCACGCGTATGAGAAGCATGGATGGGGGTACGATGAATACCACCCAGTGTCGAGGAAGGGCAGGTACATGGCAGAACCGAATGGCATGGGCTGGATCATCGTGGATGCGCTGGACACGCTGATGCTCATGAACCTCACGACGGAGCTGAAGCATGCGAGGGAATGGGTGTCGACGACTTTGGACTACAACAAGGACCAGGATGTCAACACTTTCGAGACGACGATTCGGATGCTGGGTGGACTCCTCTCTGCGCATTACTTGCAAGAGACGCTACCGGGCATGAAGCCAGACAACCAAAAAGAGGAAGACTTGTTCCTGGAGAAGGCAGACGACCTCGCCGACCGTCTGATGGGCGCATACGAATCCCCATCTGGCGTCCCCTGGGCCAGCGTCATCCTTAAAGACGGCAAAGGCGAGGCCTCCCACGCAGACGGCGGCGCATCCTCCACCGCCGAAGCAACCTCACTCCAGCTCGAAATGAAGTACCTAGCCTACATAACTGGCGAAGGCCACTACTGGGAGAAAGCTGAGAAAGTCATGGAAGTCGTCGACAACAACGGTGCCAAAGACGGCCTTCTCCCCATCTTCATCTACGCCGACCGCGGCTCCTTCCGCGGCAACGAAATCCGTCTCGGCAGCAGAGGCGACAGCTACTACGAATACCTCATCAAGCAGCATCTCCAGACCGGCGAGTCCATCTACCGCGACATGTGGGACGAGTCCCTCGCAGGCGTGAAGAAGCACCTCCTCACATACACCAAGAACAGCCACTTCACCGTCCTCGCCGAGCGCCCATCCGGTCTCGACGGCCATCTGCACCCCAAAATGGACCATCTCGTCTGCTTCTACCCCGGCACCATCGCGCTCGCCGCCACCGGCGGCCTCTCCGTCTCCGAAGCACGAAAATTGCCCTCTTGGGGCAAACAGCAGGAAGAAGACCTGATCCTCGCCCGCGAACTCACCAAGACATGCATGGGCATGTACCGCGTAACCCCCACGGGCCTCGCGCCCGAAATCGCACACTTCGAGCTCGCCGACCCGCCGCGCATGTACGCCGACGGCGTACTCGAGTCTACATCGCCCATGGCCGTCGAGCCCCCCGCAGATGATCACTGGAAAGACGACTTCACCATCAAGCCCGCGGACGCACACAACCTGCAGCGCCCCGAGACGGTCGAGTCGCTGTTCTACATGTGGCGCATCACGGGCGACGAGCTGTACCGCGAGTGGGGCTGGGAAATGTTCGAGGCGTTTGTCAAGCACACGCTTGTGGAGAATGGAGGGGGATTTACGAGCGTCGGAGACGTTATGGAGGTGCCGCCACGAAGAGGGATATATGGAGAGTTTCTGGCTGGTAGTCTGCATCCTGGTTCGGGTTGGGCTTGTGCTAATGTTGACTGTGAATAGGCCGAGACGCTCAAGTACTTCTACTTGCTCTTCAGCCCGAATGATTTGTTGCCGCTCGATCAGATTGTGCTTAATACCGAGGCGCATCCGTTCCCGCGGTTCGATCCGAGTAAGAAGCGCTTCAAGACGAATTGGACGAGGCTGCCGAGGGATAAGGAGGGGAATGTGGTGCGTGAGAAGAAGGCGGAGGAAACTGCTGCACATCGTTGAGTTTCACGTGCCAAGGTTATATAACGGCATTACCGGCGTCGGTTTGCATATATCATAGATGTTCATAATTTATTCGACGTTGGCTGACCTAAACTCCTTGCTATGGGTGAATGCTTCGTCTCGGTTTCGTATGTACTGGGGAATCATATAAACATGAGGCTGTCATCTGTGATGTAGTCGTGTAGAAAGCAGCTGTACAGCATACCTGGCTCAAGTCGACCTGAGATCCTCGTTCTCCTCCCCAATCCTCGGCGGACTCTTGCTCTGCGAACTCTTCGGCCGATACGGCGAATGGCTCCGCGACCTCCTCCTCTCGCCTTCCTTCTTCCTGTCCTCAATAACCCTCAGCATCGTCCTCCTGCCATCCTTGGCCTGGACATGCGTATCCCTCATGCTCATGCTAATCTTGCGACTCGCATCCGCCCTCAGCAGCCTCTTGAGTAGCAAATGCCTCATCAACACACACACAAACACGCCGCAATCGCTCCCATTTTCCTGCTGCGGACTATCGTTCATGGGTATGTATCTCAGGCGCTTGCCGAGCAGTTGCTCGAGCTTCATAGTTGTGCTGCGCCCCTCGCGGTCGTTGGCGTTGGACATGGAGTCGTAGTGGAAGGCGACGCCGTCGATGATGGAGACGAGCAGGAGCGACCAGTGGGATCCGCCCTCGGCTTGTGTGACGTCGACGGCGTCATTGATGGGCAGGAAGATGTGTGTTGTGCCGTTGAAGTTTGGGAGGACTTCTTTGAGGGAGAGCGGGTTGGCCGAGTTCATGAGCATGTAGGACATGGAGGGGCGGAGCAGGACGATGGAGGCTTTGGGGTAGCCCGTGAGTTCTTCGCGTTCGAGGTATCTGGTAGGTGTTAGGATGAAGGGGGGCTTGGGGGCAGTAGACGCACTCTTGCCAGAATGCGATTGCCTGGGGTGTGTTAGCTGGGTGTCATGCGATCGTGGTGGGAGGACGTACATTATCCGTGAGCCAGTCGTCCTTGATGCTGTCGACATCTTCCCGTAATACTGCAGCTGTCAGTCCCCAATACTCCACAAGCCGGCGCGGGAACGAATATAGGGCGGCGCATACTCACACCTTACGTCGTGATCTACTCCAGTCAGGAACGATTCATCCGGCAGTATATGCACTCTTTGCACTCACATGAAAGGTACCCATCCTCCGGCTGCAAATTATCGCCCAAATGCTTCCTCGCGCCATTGACCAATCTTGAGAAACCGCCCGGCATGTCGTGCTTCGTCTACCGTTGTACTCGGTATTTCGGAGAATGGAACCGGACTTATGAGGCACACTCGCGGCTTTGTTCGCAAACAGTAAAGCAAGCAGATTGATCGTTGCGCAAGGCTGTAAAATAAGCAAGATATTGGGGACTGGTTTTTGGGAAATTGGTACGCAATCATGCATGTAAGAACATGGCAAAGACTTCTGCCTGGTCCCAAAGTCCGGACGCGTGCAGATGCTGGGGTTGTAGCGGGGCCAGAACCAAAGCCCGCGGCATGACGTCGGCGCTTTTCCGGATTGGTCGAATTCGAAAGGGAAGCTGGTGTCGCGAATCTTGCTGCAATGATGCAGAAATGAGATCGAATTTATCTTTCTGGGTGTAGATCATGCCTACATGTTCTTGAGAAAAGAAGGTGAAAAGGAGGCCTGTATATATTCAAAGATCTCTGATAGGACTAGGTAGAGTCTCTTAGAGCTGCGTATAGACTCAGGCTCCCCTAAGCTTATAGCGAGTATACCTCTAAAGACTGTTAGCTTGTGTCATGTAAATGCAGAGGAGAATATCGAACACCTTATACAATAGCCTGTATAGCTCCAAAGGTTAATCAGACTGTAACAAATTCCTAAAGAGACCTTAGTGATAAACAGCCTTAGCTGTATTGTTCGCTGTAGTGCGTGAGGACAGGCTTGAATTGTACCTAGTGTGCTTCGTATGATATGTACTCGGAATTAGCTACGGTCTCCAGCCTTGAATCAAGCACCATCGCCCATCGTCAGTGTCAATAGATTCTGATCCTCGGGATCCACTTCAGCGGGAAGGTACTTCGTCTTCGCCTCGGCCTGTATGGCCCAAACCAACTTCTCTTTGAATTCCGGCAGAGCATACAGGGCTTGGTTGATTATAGAAGACCATTTGGGATGAGAGATGCGGTCATAATCGTTACGCACCACGTGGAGAGCCAGCAGAGCCCTAATACCATCGATGGTCGTCCACTCGTCGAACTGGTTCTGAAAAAGGAGCTCCACAATCTTGACGAAATCGAAGGCTTCGAAATGGCTTATAAGCGACCTAAAGCGGCGAAAGAGGTTGGCTTCGAGCTGATAGTCACCGAACAGCGCGGCTATGGTAGCCATCTCAACCACTAAGAGTGGTTTATCGATAGCGGTCAGAGTAGTAGGCGCACTCGAGCCGTGCGTCCTGGCATATCTGATGCTGGCATCGGTTGTGACATGGTGCTCCCGAGTGTACCAGTATACCAAGACCTTCTCCATGGCCAAAGGAAATGGCGGGATGGTGATGAGCTTATGGTCGGGGTAATCAGTATCTTGCTGTGGATGTCAGTCCATGTTATTAATCAATATCAGCCTGTACTTACGGTTCCCATGGATTCGTGTAGAAGCAGGCCAATGCGATTGCACGTTATACGCAGCATGAAGTCATTGACGAGCCACTTGTAGCCACCAGATACGATGACAATCTGTTTTTGTTCACCGCTAGCTAGCACCGAAAGCCAGAGCCTAATCAGGAATTAGGTGCGGATGTACCAATGTCCACTAGAGAAATACGTACTGTACACCTTGCAACGGCACTGCATCATAGATGGGCGCAGGGAGCTCGTAGAGGGCGCGGAGGATATGAGGGCTGGCGTGCTCATGTGACTCTTCTACGCGCTGCCGCTTTCGTAGGGGTGGTCGCGTCACAGCGTCCTGCTGCAGGGTCGAGATTGACTTGCGATGCAAGTTGTGGCGGCGGCGGGGGAGAATAGAAGGGACAAGAGAGACAAATTAAGTCAAAAGCTGTGGCCTACTAGCGGCAGAGCCCTGCGCGTAAACAAACGGTGCCCGTCGCGTTTAAAAAGCTGTGGGATCGGAGCTTGCGCTAGTAAGTGAAAGCGCAGGTATATATTAGTGACACATTGCGAGCTCAATTCGCACTCCAAACACAGCGAAGTAGCACTCAGTATAAATTATCCATGTTCGAGTTGCCTCAATCTTTGGTGGAGCATGCTTCTCAGGCAAGGAGGCTCAAAATACAAATGATTCTTGCACCTCTAGAGCGAACGAACTTGATGGAAGCACCTGCTGGAGGGCCATGTTCTCGCTCGACGACGATAGCTGTTTTTTTTTATGAATCTGAGAGTCAATATCTAGGGTAAATAATCATATGTATATATACAAATTGGAGATTGTGAACGAAAACAAGAATCGTGTTTGGCAGTGACGGAGCCCGCTCACCACCTTGCAAACGGCGAGAGCCCCACCCACCTCCGACTGCGCACATCTTCTACACACACCCTCGAATACAATCGGGTATATATTTTGAATTAATGGCCAGAATCATACATCGAAATAGATGAGTAAGATGGTGTGAGTCCAAGGCGAAATAGTCGAAGATTCAAACAAACACCCACCGCGACGGCCAGTTGCAAGGATTAAGACTTCGATCCCGAGATAGGGAAAACATCGGACCTAACCTTTTGCTCTTTCTTTTTCCTCAGCTGTCACATGACTTGGCCGTCTTTCACTTGCAGCTCCCCCATTGTTAGACGAACCATTATTCTCAAAGACAAAGTCTGCGTTAGTGGACCGGGCCGTGGCCACCTTTCTTCAGACAGTCTAGAAACCTCTAATTCTAGCTGACTTTTTGTGCCAGAATATGCAAACGATCAGTTTCATTTGTGGACGGGCCTAGATACTGGTACGTTAGTCGTCATTCTTGCTAGTCGAACTCCGCAGATACGCTATACTCCAAGATTCCGCGTTATCTTAAGGTTGCCTACAAGTCTAGCTGATGCATAACCGTTGAGATATTCGAAAAACTTCTAGCGTCAATCTCTTAATGGCCTGACTATATCAAAGCTGTGTAGCAATGTAAGAAAATGCGTGTTTATGCTGTTTAAGGTCGTTGTACACCTCTGTTCCTTTACAGATTTTCAGCACGACACATGCAAAAATACCATTGCGTATATCGATGTTCTAGCAACATACAATAACAGACACTTGGGAGCTGGACGTACTGCTGATACATCCTAGCGTTTACTTGGGCTTCTTCCTAGGCATCCTGGCACATGTGTAGATACCAGGTACTGAACCCAGCGTTCTTACCTGCCCTCTCTTGGGTTCGGTCGAGACAAAAGATAGCTTCGCTTGACATCCCTTCAATAAAAGGTACATTCGAACTCGCTCTATCTCGAAGTAAAATTAGTTATGTCCACCTCCGTTATGATAGCTCAGGAACGCGGAGGCGGTCACTTGGATTTGATTGGGCTGTAGCTGGTCATACTTGTTCATTGCATGGCTCAATGGGAATGTACCTAGAAGCTGTTTATTTTGTCTACTAGCCTAGCTATTGCATGTACATATAGCTTCATGAGAAGCTTCCAGCGTTGATCTATACGCTACTTATGGTAGCTGGCCAACGGTGTGAGCACCATCCGGTTTGGTCTGGCCAAACTGTGCTGGTTTCTCGACTCTGAACAACCAGTTTTGCTTGTCTTCGATCTTGCCCTGTTGGATGCCCTTCAGAGTTGACAGAAGCTTAGCGCACGTTGGCGGCACCTCCTTCTGTGCTGCCTCGTAGGTGAACTTGTCACCTCGCGACTCCATGGTGATGGACTTGATGGGAACGAGTGCTGCGGCAGTACCGGCGGCAAGGACCTCATCGAAGCCTTTAACTTCATCATAGGCGATCTGTACATGGTTAGAACTGGATGTTTGGTCTTCCCCAGATTCTTCTTACTTCTCGTGATTCTGTCTCCCAGCCAAATGACTCGGCGATTTTAAGCACGCTGTCTCCGGTTACACTCTTGATGATGTTCTTGCTGCTCGAGGCGATAAGCTTGACCTTATCGCCGTCTTTCTTCACGCCGATGAATGCCGAAGTGGAGAACTCGTCTACTACGCTTCGGGTTTTGCTGTCCAGATGCAGGGTAATGCCGTATCCAGCCTTGTAGGCTTTCTCACTGTGTCGCAGCACTGGGGCGTAGTTACCACCCACCTTGGCGGAACCCGTGCCCTCTGGAGCAGCGCGGTCAAAATCCTCGAGGATGACGGCATCCACCGGGTTGGTTCCGTGGTAGACGCCGGTTGGGATACAGTACACCACGAATGTGTACTCCTGCGGTGGATTCAGCCCCAGCTGTGCTGAGCTGCCAAACAGCAGTGGCCTGATGTACATGGCACCGCCGGTCTCATGGGGCGGAACATATGCGGCGTTCATTCCAACGGCCAAGCTGCAGCACGCAAGGAAGTGGTCTGAAGGCACCTCGGGGATCGAGATGAAAGAGGCCGAATGCTGCATGCGTTCGGCGTTCTTGGTTGGCCTGAAAATGTTGATCGTGTTGTCTGGGGCACGGAAAGCCTTCATGCCCTCGTAACACTGCATGCCGTAGTTGAGTCCAGGCGCCATGCCGTGGATGCGCAGGAATGGGTCCTCGACAAAACTAGGCTCTGTCCATTTTCCGGTCTCGACTGAGTAATGCGATTCTACATGGCCGTTGACTGGTAGTTTGTCAGGTCTGGCTCATTAACAACGATGTGAAAGCAGAGCATCGAAATAATCTGTTCCTTCAATGACAACTCTTCCTTGCATTCAAATTCCTGGCTTGTCGCTAGGGCACAATTGCAATCATATGCAAGGTGAGATTGCTTACGAACCTTCTCGGATCTTGAAACCCATGTTGGCCCAGTCTGCAAGTTCAGTTAGCTCAAGTATTTCTTTGATGCTCAATAGAGCTACGCTCCAATTGACGTACCGATCGTGTCGACGGGCGGAGGAGGGAAGTCTGCCATTGTTGCTGCTGTGTCGCAAAGTAAGAAATGCGGCGTTGTGTTCTATATGACTTGTGCTGATGGCAACTTGGAATTTTGGTGCTGATGTTCTAGTCAGCTAAGCTAAGCTCGAAGCTATTGATTACTGAGTGCGATATCGGTGGGGCACGCGACGTCAGCCGCCGCTTTTATCCTTCAACATCCGTTTTGATATAGCAAAAGGTGCGCAGCGTTCTGCGATCAGATTGTAAGACCATAAGTGTGTTCCTATGTACGAGTTCTGTAAACTCGGAAGTGGCGTTCTCCATGGGGAAGTGATGCGATTATGCTTAAATCGGGATCAAAGCTTGGCGTGGTCCGAGGCAGCGATGACCTGAGGCAGTTCTCCGGACATCACGACATGTCTCATCCGACTAACTTACTTACCTTTCTTTGGTCAGGACTACCTTCCTTACGCTTGAACCACACACCGGAACTGCAGTCATGATACGAACCACTGACTTCAGAAGCCGCTTCGTTATCCTCGCCTTACTCGTGTTCGCCATCTTCGGATTTCTGCTCTACCAAGCACCTTTCAGCCACCTGTCACTTACGACACCACATGAGCAGCAACGGGATAACACAAGCGGCGCAGTACTCACGGGACATGCGATCGCACCAAAATTAGGAAACGCGACTGCAAAGTACGTCTACCAGGCGCATTTGTGCCTACTTGGCTGCGGACCCGGGAGGTGGACTGACACGGCTTGACAGGGCAGAACTTGGTCGCGCGGCATGGAAAGTCCTGCACACGACATTTGCTCGCTTTCCCGAAAAGCCTACAGATGAGGAGAAGGAAGCGCTCCGGTCATACGTACACCTGTTCCAGCGCTTGTATCCCTGGTACGTTCGCGCCACGCGCCGCCGCAGCTGCAGTCACGCACAAGCTAACATTTTTCGCAGTGGAGAATGCGCTGAACACTTTGGACAAATCCTTGCCAAATACCCACCCCAGGTATCTTCACGAACCGCAGCAGCGATGTGGGGTTGTCTCATTCACAACAAAGGTCCGTTTACAAACGTGTCCTGGCTTTATACTCAGGCCTCCAACAACTGACGTGAGATGGCAGTGAATGCAAGGCTTAAGAAAGATATTTTTGACTGCAAAAACATCGGCGTAAGTTCTAACGTGTTGCAGATCGGCACGTACAAGCGATTTTAACGGGAAGATGCACGAAGACTAGGGTTGGTCCATCTACTACTGGTAGTGACCAAGTTCAAGCCATCGTCGCTTGCATCTCCCTGTTGACATCACTTGTAGGCGACGATAAGCAGCTAAGATTTTCATCTGGACGAACTGCTGACGCACCAATAGGATGCATATGACTGCGGATGTGCAGATGACGAGCCAGTGAAAGACACATGAAGCGGCTAACACAGTGTCTCAATGGAGCAAGAACCATGGGCAGGCTTTCTACAGCGCCTCCTCAAGTCCAATGGCAGCGGCAGCACATATCAAGCAGTAATGCCGACGCTGCTTTGGGCATGTCCTGGGGGCCTACACAGTCCGAAGAGGGTACTATTCGTAGTTAGAGCGCTTTGCGAGGATCGCTAGGTCAAGTCGATGGCAGACGAGTTCGTCTTCTGATTCGCCAGTTTACTCTCGGGTTTGAGAATATGCTGTGGAGAGGCGCAGGCTAGGCGGATTTCTAAATACGCGCCGAACCAACGCGAACGCCGGACGGAGACTTGCATTCGGGAGAGCTGCAGGTACTTGGGCGCGTGCGCACCATGGCGCAGTCGTTCCTCAGAGAGTCCAACATGTCATCCAAGACATTGTCTACCTGCTGCGCACGGGATCCGTGCTTGTCGGCGATTGAAGGTCTGCCCAGAAACCTGGGCTGAAGTCGCAGCTGATACGTCGAAGCGTGAGTAGATCACCATTCGAAGGGTGTGGTGCCGGACTCGAGATTACGCGATCAGGCGTCTCACAGGAACAGCCCTGGAGGACAGCCACGCGCACAATCATGCATTCACGAAACAACCTCGTTATTATCGGTCTTATCATAAACGCGTTCCAGCTTACGAGTGTTCTCTTGTTTATTTGTGACATAGTGCTTATCGCCAGAATGTACCAACGCTGTCGCATCACGCCTCTTGCGGCGCGACCGTGGACTCCGCGACAAGATGATCGACCGACCAACACATTGGCACCACCAGTTCTGTGACGTTCCGGGCGCGTGGCTTTGTTACTGCAGCCAGTAAGCCCGAAATAAACTAAGATATCACCTGGCTGCATGATGTCCAGAAGTCTCAGCCGGGGGGGCATGACAACGACTAGAGCCAAAAGGGCCTTAGCTTGTTACGAACCTTGCGTCGTTGTTGTCAATTCGGGTTTTGATATCATCCTTTCTGCGCCGCGTTTCAGGGCTGCGATCAAAAGCACCCGACCCCGCTTCTCCTGCTTTCACCGCAACTTCGACTTCTTCTAACTGGCCTCGATATTCAATCAGCGGTGTGCGCTGGCAATTAAAAATGGTTTCGTTCTCATGCGTATGTCTCCCACTACCCTGGCCTTGCATACGCAGATATGCGTTGCATACCCATTGCACACAACAGAGCTAACAACGACCTCAGGAAGGATGTGGTGATGTGCTCACCAAGAAGAAGCTCGATGGACATGTCCGGCAGTGCTATGATGCGTCCTTCAGTTGCTTGGACTGTATGACCCAGTGAGTAAACATCGCTGGTGCCCAACCGAGCATCTGTTGACATGACGCAGTTTTCCGGGAAACACATACAGAACACATACCTCTTGCATCTCAGAGGATCAAAAGTATCAGGGAAAGCTCTACAAAGAGAAGAAGCCCAAGGGCCAACACCAGAAGAACGATAGCGCGCACCACCACAACTCGCAGGCCCTCACAGCGCCCGGCGCATACGTCGAAGATGTGCCGGAAGCAGACAACGCCGTCGCCCTTGTCGACGCCCCTCCGCGCGCGCCTACACCTCCACCTGCTGCGCACTCTCTAGGATACCATGAGCAGGCGGCGATTGAGGACGTCAACGTGTTTGACTTTTTCGAGGGCACGGAAACACCCAGCGCGCCCAGGGCACCCCCACCCATGAACGAGTCGCGCATGCTGGAGGATAGCCAGCCACCAGTATACGAACAGAACTATACTCCTGCGATTTCTGATGTTATGAAGTTCCAGCTTGCTGATGATGACGACACATTCGCCCAGACTGGCTTTTCCTATGGAGGCGAGCCTGTGCGACCTTCGAGTGAACGCTTCGACTCTTATACCACGCCTGCTCCCAAGTCCAAGCACTCCAGGACCAAGTCTCGCGACAGTGATGTCGAGACTACATCCAAGAAGACCGATCGCAAGCGAAAGCGCAACTCTCCCGCCGAGCTTGACATGTCTCTGGTCCGTGCCCAGGAAGAGAGGGACAATATGTTGGCTTCCGCGCCCCCTATGCTTCACTCTGGTCTCACTGGTGGCCTGAACCGATTGCTTGCGCGACCCGAGTTTCCTCCTTCCCCAGAGGACTCCGGCGAATATGCCAATTCACCACTAAGCCCCATGAAGCGTGCGAAGCAAGGAAATTCTACGGCCCTCATGCGCGCGCAGCGCGATTGGGAAGTACAACAGCAGAAGACACGTAAGGCAGACACCAAGGAGCAGCGCGAGCGCGACGAGAAGGAGAAGAAAAAGGAGAAGAAGTCAAAGGAGCGTGGCCGTGAACGCGATCGCAAGGAGCGCCATGCTAGCTCGACCCTGGTTAAAGTCCGCTCCAAGAAGAAGCGTGACGATTCTGGAAGCAAAGAGATCCGCAGAATACAACGCCGCCATTATTCGTCCTCGGTATCGCCCCCGCCCAAAGATCGTAAAGCTCTTAAGGCGATCGAGTACCATCCCTCCGGCTCCCGTTCAGCTTCACCAGATGGTAACGGCCAGCTCATCGTCCGTCCCCAATGGAGACCTTGCTATCCAACGACATCGTGACGGATCCTAGAGCGGGTCTGTTCATGTCGTTCATCACAAAGGGTCCGGATTCTGGACGCGGTATGAGCGTCCACAAAGCACTCAAGCGGTTCCACCGAGAGCGACAGGATGAGAAGCACCGCGCATCCAAGGCCGATGAGGAGAAGGAGCTCTGGAAGAACATGCGCCTCAAGCGAAACGACAGGGGCGAGATTGTCCTATTCTTCTCTTCGTCAGAGACTTCTTGACTAGACGAGGATCTCGACATCATCGCCAGGATGCGCGCATGGAGTTGCAGCGACCCTTCGCCTAGTCAGGAGTCGCCTGACATGTACGACTACAAAGAAGCAGCGCTGTTGCTGTAAAACAAAAGATGGGATTCGTTGGCGTCGGTGCGATGATACCCTTCTTACCTACACCATTATTCCTTCTGGATGATACCCGACTTCAGGTCAACATTGCTTCGGGATGGTTCGGGGCGCATGTTCTTGTACATGTTTACATTGGATCTCTTCTTTTCACATACCCGCATATCTTATCTTGTTCGGATACTTTCTGTAACGGTTACCTTTTTCTTAGACTTTCTCAGCAGTCATCTGCGTTCTGGTTTGGTTGTTTGCGTTTGTCCTGCGTCTGGTATCTTTTGGCCAGACCGCTTCCCCTAATACTCCTTGGGCTGGGCCCGTTCCCAGTTCCTTGGTGTTTAGGTCATGCGATTATGATTATGTCAATATTTGTACTCTCATCACGTACCACTTTCCAACATGCTTGAGTGAAGCTGCATGGGGTGTTGACCGGTTGCACATGTGGACAAAGATGGGCACCGATGAAACTCCTGCTGTGTTGGCAAAGGACCGAACTAACTTGCGCGGATGCGGGATCTCTTCCCAGTACGAGGTGCGGCCAGCTCCGATCTGACTGTACGAAGTAATCAAGCAACCAACAACAGTCAGCAATGAGCATCGCAGAGCCGCAATGACATGCGCACTCGAGGAATGAGGCTGGCTAGTTGGGTAGTCGCACAGCCGGGTGCTTTATCTGCAGTGACTAGTGCAGACGTGCGCTTATGCTTATGAGGTACTTTTTAGCGATGACGATGCTCGGCTGTCAAGGCACTTCGTCAGGCTGTATTTCCCATGCAGCATTCATAGGGCTCTCACGAGTCGCACCCTTGCGGCGTGTGTTAGCTTACCAGTTCTTTTGTGTCATTTGAACGGTTAAACGGAAACGGTCGTCAATATCGATGAAGGTATTGGACGCGCAGTTTGAAGTGGTACACCTACATGCAGCGATAGCCGAGGCATACCGCTGCGCAGCACAGGTTCGGACGGGGGAATTCATGAAGCTGTCCAAGACTTGCCAGCGAGTGACACCCTTGACATAGTATCGGCGAGAAACTTACACATCGTGTGGGAGTTCGGCAATCGTAGGCTTAACATGGTCGCTGCTGCCTTGCTCCGCTGTTCAGCTGTCGCCCTTTCCCAAACTCTATCGTGGCCCTCCTCAATCACCACTTACACAGTGATGTCCTTCTCACATGAAGAGAACAACTGTAGACGACCACAATCCCACGATACAAGCGAGACCAGTCGGGAATAACCTTACTAGTTGCATCACTCCATAGCCACCACAGGGCGAAGTCTTCCAGAAGCCTTCCGCTTACAGCGTTGGTATCGAAATGCCGCACATGTAATATCTACTTCGAACCGATAGAACGGTTCTACGTAACACACATTCTCCCCACAGGACGATCTGATTTGCTGTCCTGACGCATCGTTGCGCTAGTTGGCCGTGCTCAGCCCCAAAGGTTGACCGGCCGCAATCCTGGTCAGATGCACGCCCACTGACTCCACTCGACGCCCTGATGGAGGAGGACAGCCCGACTCAGGACTATCCGCCTACGGCCTTTCAGAGGACAGCAGCTGTAATCGACGAATCAAAATGAACAACGTGATAGAACGATAGGTCAATTGCCCTGTTGGAGGGCCGCATAGTTCAAGCTGTCAGCCGCAAGCGAATGCATATCGCTAGGTCAGAGCAAAGGTATATGTTCACAGCACTTCAGCCTGGAATGCACTTCATCGCTATCGCTGGCTCACAACATCCTCCTTTGGTTTTCGTCTCTCCCTCCGCTGTATAGTTCAACTCTTATGGTCCCCCTTGGCCTGGGGTTCGTCTTCAAAGCAGTTCAATCTTCACTGAATTGAACCAATCCACCTACAAAACCTCTGTTCAGCCTCACAAACCGTTGCGCAAAACACCGAGATGGCTCAGCCAAGCTACGCCACCCCGCCGACAGAAGATTGGCGAGACTTTGTTGCTTGGGATGGCGACATGTGCGATCCGATGTTCGATGGCGACAATGGGTTCACTGGGCTGCAAGGACACGCTCTCACTCCAGACTACCGCTTGTCGGAAAGCCTTGAATCCGAGCAGCCGTACTTGGTATCTGCACCCCCGTCACTTGCAGGTGGCCTCCCATCGCTCGAATATACAGTCTCGGAGCCACCATCTATTCTGGGGGAGTCGTCTTCGTACGGGCAGATGTACTGCACCTCTCCGTCCTTCGGGAACACAACGACCTCTCCATTGATAGGCTATGGGGATAGTCGCTATTTTGGGTCATTCGACGCATCCGATAGTGCTCATTCGCCGCTTTCTTATCCCCAAGAGTCACCCATCCTCGACACTCGGTACGAGCGCATTCCAGATAATGTCCCGATCACTGGGTCATACGAGTCGCCCACAGAAACTGTCTTCAATCCGTATGTGACAGGCTCTTCACACTCGTTCAGTGGACTGGATGTCAGAGCCTCCCAGATGCTCAACGTTGGAACATGGGTAGATCAGCCTCAGATCATTGAGCCCATCGCCGAAGCGGACGAATGTAATACGGATGCGATCCCAATATCCATCCCTTACCCTCAGTCACAGAGCTTCAACGAAGCTTTCACGTCTTATCCAAGGTCTGAAGAGCGCACTCGGGCTGTGGCCATTCCGCAGACAAGCCGCCGACCTGCGAGCTACAATACTGCTCTTGCCCAATCCCAATGGACCCACAGGGTGCCTCCCGTCTTGTCTGTATCTCCAGTCTCATATCGCCGTCCTCGTAGTGCTACTTTATCGAGGAGCAACTCACGCACATCGTCGCGTCGTGGGGTTGTCACACCGTCGCCTACATCTGAAGGTCTTGGATGGGTTGCATATCAGATGAACACAAGCACAAATCGTCTGGCTCCGACTACCATGGAAGGTGCGCAAGGCCGGAATCCAAGGGGACGTAAGAAGGGCCTCACCACCGAGCAGAGGACCCATGCGGCATTGATGCGAATCATTGGGGCGTGCGCAAATTGCCAGAAGCGTAAAGAGAAATGCGATCCGGGTACACCTTGCAGGTCCTGTTTGGATCATTACAAAGGAGATCTTGTAAACCATCCTTGCCGAGACCGCGTCTTGAGTGACCAGGCAAGTGCATTCTTGTCCGAAGGCCTTGGATGGCATCCTACTGCACGAACACTGGAGTCGTTTCTAGCACCCAGAAGCTACCAAATACTGTCTAATGTGACACACACTATCCCTTTATACTTTGGATTTGGTCCCGAATTGTCAGTACCAGTTCATCCACTACATATCGAAGTTGGTCAGCAGTACCTGCACGAGCATTCCATCTACACATGGCCACCAACAGTCAGTACGTCGATGATGCACAAACACGCTGTGCTCCCAGCGGTTATGACCAGAGATGCTATGTCTCATCTCACACAAACTCTGGATACCCATCTCTCGCTGTTAGTGATGCATCATTTCCGGGAGTTTCCACTATTCTGTTCCCCACTCAAGATCCTTCGCGACGTTTACCTCTACTTTCGCTCGCTTCCCAATGGATCTACAAAGTCCCGAACTCTTCGACAAGCCCTCAAGCTACTCGTGCTTGTTCATATCGGTGGCGACATTTCCGTGCCATCGCCAAACACGCATCCTATCCTGCATCAATTCGCCCAAGGAACAGCAGACATCGCCGACGACTACACACTGACGCCCTGTTACATTCGCTCTCAATTCGGCAGCGTCATGCCCGACCTAGCCTTCAACATGATGAAAGAAGTGCTCTCATCTCTCGAGCAACTCCTCCTCAACCGCGACTGCGAAGACTGGCCCATGACTCTCGCAGTCATCATCACCGTCCTTATGACCATCGAGTCAATCCACTACCACGCTGCCAAACTCCCGTATCACAGCAGTCTCGATGGACCCAGACCGCTTACGCTCGACGAGGGCGCGGGCATCAATGAAGAAGGGGTTAAGACGCTTCTCGCTTTTTATACAGCGTGTTTCGCGGGCTGCCATGCGAGGCTTAGACCAGATTGGGAAGGCGAGTCTATGACATCGCAGAGCGCTTCATCGCCGGATGATGTTTTTGTGCAGAGTGTGCGGAAGAGCATTGGGAGGGCGAGTGTGGATGGATATTTGTCGCGGAAAGCTACGCAGGCGAGGCAGGGCGATGACATGGAGTTTTTCTTCGATCGACTTGTTGCGAGGTTGCTCTTGTCGAAGCCTTGAGTGGTGTTTTGCCAAAGGCATTGGGCTCCTCTGATGACTTGAAGACATTTAGCCACTGCAATTAACGTTGGCGTATAGTATAGATTTCCTTTCTGTTTGGGGGAGTTTTGTTGCGCATTAGACAAGATCACGGCCGTCTTACGATGCGGAAGACGACTTTACGACCTTGCTATGATTTACGACCGAGCGGTTACTTTGCTTCGATAGATTCTCTTGTTCGGGGAGTTGTACGTTAGTGTAATTTCGTGCTGTGTATAGCATGGTGGGATAGAGAGGCAACTGGCCGCGCATTGTAGATACCAAATCGCTTTAAACATCACTTGGACGCGCACATATCTCAAGAGAGCGTGAGTTAGCATCTTCTTCATTCGTGCACTCTAGCCTCTATATCTACGTACAACAACATAAGAAAGTAAAAACGCCACATCCAATGCTCAACGCTACACGCTCACAAATGCTCAAAAACCACCATGTCCAGCTCCCTCCTAGTAGACCGAACAGCTCGTCTGCGCGCGATCCAACGCATGGGTAAACATAGTCTGCATGGCCATGTAGTGAAACACAATCCCGCCCAGCACAGCCACATGCCAGATATTATGGCTGCAGCCCACATAATCGAACCAGCCGGGGCAAAAGCGCTCGGGCACTTTACTCGCGTACAAGCATGCGCCGGTCATGTAGACGACCAGGCTCTTTGTGATGGGTGCGTAAAAGTACTGCGCCCACTCGATGCCGCGCGAATATGCGAGCTGGCCGAATGGCAGGAAGCCGGTCAATGCGAGGGAGCAGTAGAACAGGACGCGGAGCCAGGCCATGTCTGCGCGGTTGAAAGTCGGGTGCCAGGGGAGGATGACGCCGCCGATGCCGAGGCCGGCGGTGATGAGCATATATGTCCAGCGACTGGTGGGTTCGCAGTAGAACGCGGCGTATTCGGTGGTCATGATGCTGGCCGCAACGAGCAGGCTGATGCCGGTGTAGTCGACGCAAGCGAAGCGCTCAAGCAGGGTCTGGTGGGAGATGGAGTTCATGGTGTGCCAAATGGTGCTGCAGACCAGGCACTTGCAGGCGGCGAAGAAGAAGACGGCAGCGATGAAGATGTCTGTTTTGGTGGAGTTGCTGAAGTTGGCGCTGGTTGGGTAGAAGTAGAATGCGAGGGCGAGCACCATGATGAAGCCGAGGAGGTGCGTCCAGATGTTGATGAGTTCGTTGTGCAGGCCGAAGACGGAGCGTACGCAGGCCCATTTTCCCTCGGAGAAGCGGTAGCCCTTGAGGATGTGGGGATTCACGCGCCACGGCTCGGGGAGGTCGTCGTAGTGGATGAGGCCGTGTTCTTTGGCGCGGGCGAGGGCGTGCTGTACGCTGCGTTCGATGGTGAGTTCGATTGTTTCGCGGGCGCGCCGAGCTTTGTCGAGGCCGCCGTCTACGACGCCTTTTGCTATCCCGAATCCTTCGTCCATTTTGCGGAGACCCTCCTCGTACATTCCGTGCGCGTAGGTGCCGATTGTGCCATCCTTGAGGGTGTATGCGCGCGTTTCGAAGTCAGTGAGGTAGTTGTCCATGAGTATTATTCCTTCGAGGACCTTTTCTCCCAGTGTCTCTTTGCGCTCGAGGGCGTCCTTGTAGCGCCCTTCCAGAGTCTCGACAAATACAGCAGCGCGCCGCCGGCCGGCTTCGAGTGCGCCATCCGAGATCTTGGAGCATGAGTCGCGAACATTGACGAGAGTCGTCCAGGCATATTCGACGCCAGCATCGTACTTGAGAGAGCCGTAGGATTCGAGAAAGTCTAGTCTGCAATTGAGTTCGGCGAGGAAGTTCCGTAGCTATGTCATAGTTAGCACCGAGTATGCGCCCGAGGAACGTTGTGTAACACACCAGGACCTGGAAGTTCTCCGCCTCCTGCATGCAAGGCCGAGTATGCCATGAGTGCCGCCGCTGTCGTCGAGGGTCAAAAGTACCGTAACCCCGGTGCGTAGGGCGGACGGGCTCCTCTTGCGAAGTCATGACGGCGGTGCTGAATCCGGTGCTCGAAAGAGAGCGCGGCATGAGGGGCATTGTACTATAAGAATGCGCCAGGTGCGCGGGGCTTGCTTGTGGGTGTGGCGATCCAGATCGTCTTGATTGAGTCGGCTCCAATCAGTGGGCGAAGGGTCCACGAGGGTCTTAGATGGGGACGCAGGTTTGTCGATTGGCTCAAGGGCGCATGTGCTCCAGGTAGGCCTCTGTGTGGTGAATTGTAGCTGAGGATGTTGGGGACCTATGAAGGGTGGGTCTTTTCTCCGCGAATTAATTCACTTAGGCGAAAGCGTGGTTCCGAAAGCGGCGACGGATTGGACAGGAGCGATATGCAGCGAGTTGGGCAGACGAATTACCAAATGCGTGACAGTTGACCACGAGGGTACTTCAATGACGGGCTAGAAGCTTGTGAAGGGGCTGGAGATAGTGAAGGTTGGGCGCAGTCGGCGCTCGTCACTCGTCGCTCATCATGGCGTCCTGCGCAAACCTCGGGAGGCGGCGAAATCAAAGACCTGGGCTTTCACCATCCCTGCTAAGCCCTGCATTTCAGCGGGTGCGCGGCTTTGAGATCCCTTGGCAAATCTGATAGACGGCATTGGTGGCATGGCACCGCTGCATGGTTCGCTATAGCAACAAACTGCACTGAAATTGCGAGACTTCAAACTATACTGTTGAACCTTGTGTTTGAGTACAGCTCAGAGACACAAAGCACGCCCTCGTAGTACCCCAATGCTGTCACCGCTCGATGCGGCTAACAGTCCGTTAGGCGGGCCAGCCCCGGCTTGTCACACCTGCCCACGTGCGCCTCCATCGTCATCTCGTCAGCTGTCACCTCGGTATACCTGAGCTACTGTAGAGCATGAGTACCATAGACTACATCTCAAACTAGAAGGTCGTTGTTTTGCTGCAGCATGGCTCTGACATTCGCAATATCCGATAAAACTTGTCCGTCCCCGTTTACTGCGCTGAATGCACTAAAACATACCCTTTGAGCTATTTGCCGCTTTGCGAGATTTGCGTGAAACTTTTCGTCTTGTTGTAGAAATATCCGACGAAAGAGTGCCCAAAATGTTCACTAGGACTTCTGTAATGGCTGGTCAAGCTAGTTACACGTGGTTGGTGTGGCGTCACCTGCAGAAGCTCAGATTGGGCAATCGCAACCCAACGGTCATATCTTGAAATTTCTTCTCAGACCCTCACAACATACCACAACAATCAAGATGGTGCTGCAAGCAATCAAATATACGAGAGGTCAACTTGAAATCCTCGACCAGCTGAAGCTGCCGCACGCAGAAGAATATGACCACATCTACTCCAGCACCGACGCATGGCATGCCATCAAGGAGATGCGCACTCGTGGTGCGCCGGCAATCGCCATTGTAGCCGCCTTATCCCTCGCAGTAGAGCTCACCAACATGAAATTATCCTCGATCGCAGAAGAAGTCCAAGTCTTCATCACGGAAAAGCTGGAATACCTGGTCACGAGTCGCCCAACTGCAGTCAACCTGGCAGATGCGGCAGGCAAGCTGAAAAAGATTACCGATGAAGCTGCGGCAAGAGAAGGAACAAGCGGAGAATCAGTCAGAGAGGCATATGTGCAGGCAGCCGAGCAGATGTTGATCGACGATGTGAGCGACAACAAGAACATCGGCAAGCACGGTGCAGAGTGGATTGTGAAGAACTCCGAGGCAGGGAAGAAGGGTCCAGTGAGTATGATGACGCATTGCAATACAGGGTAGGCATCTCCCAATGTCTGAATAAACTATGAACTAATTTCCCAGCTCACTGGCGACCGCAGGATATGGCACAGCACTAGGTGTGATCCGGTCACTACATGCTAGTGGAAACTTAAAGCACGCCTTCTGCTCAGAGACGCGACCATACAACCAAGGATCAAGATTGACAGCTTTCGAGCTTGTCCATGACAAGATTCCAGCCACTCTGATCACTGACTCCATGGCTGCGGCGCTGCTTCGACTACGACGCGGAAGCGAAAACATTGCTGGAATTGTTGTTGGTGCAGACCGTGTCGCTGCGAACGGAGACACTGCTAACAAGATCGGAACCTACTCACTGGCTATTCTTGCAAAGCATCATGGTGTCAAGTTTCTAGTTGCTGCACCCAGGACTACTATTGACTTGAAGACCAAGTCTGGCGCAGACATTGTCATCGAGGAGCGACCTGGCAAAGAAGTGACACTTGTCAAGGGACCACGACATGATGGAGTTACTCTGGATCTCGGAGTTGTGGAGACCATCAGTATCGCGGCCAACGGTATCAATGTGTGGAACCCGGCCTTCGACGTCACTCCTGCTGAGCTGATTGACGGTATCATCACGGAATTGGGAGTAGTGGAAAAGGACAGCAATGGCGTGTTCCATCTGGAAGAGGTGTTTAAGAAGGACGGCTCCGGTATAAAGCCATCGACTATCGGTGGATTGTGATCCGTATACCCAAAAGTCTCAGCAGTTTCGTGGTATACTCCAATGCACGCCACAGCAATACGCAGGCCTGCCATAGCAGACCAAATGAGAGCATCTTGTATTGGCTTTCATATGAGCCCGTTGCTAGCACACCTCTACACCACTGTCCGTTTCTTATCCTGTGCGATCATGACGTTCGTTGTACTCGTGAGATTGCGCTTCCGATCGTAGACGATCTTTACGAATAGAGATCTATGATACAGCTTCTTAAGCTGCCTATTATATCGCGAGTATTCCATGGACCGGGCGACTGGGACCGCGAGTCCGCACCGGTGAACCACTCCACATCACGACGTGCTCTTGCTGGTATCGTCCGTAGGCTTGTCGCTGGCATCTTTAGGGTCTGTCTTCAGCTCTTGATCGGCCTTCTCGGCTTGCGCCAGGAGTTCTTCAATCTTCTTCTCGAGCGAGTCGAGGTGACCCTCCAAAGCAGCCGCAGTCCGTTCGCCGCGTTGGAGCTCCTTCATTGCCTGCCTTGTGTGAGAACTTGATTCTGGGACAGCAGATAGCATGGGCGCACCTCGGCGAAGTCAGCCTCCGGACGCGCGCCATTTGTGTCTCCGTTCTGTTCTTTGGACATGTTGGTGGTGAGGTCAGACTCGTGTCGCGGTGGCTCATCGACTTCCCCAAACGCGAGATGACGACTAAGCTCCACTAGTGCGATTCACCCCGAGCAGCAGCACAGACGGACTTCCAACCTACACCTCCGCTTACCACCGCTCGCGCGTGCTCTCCGATATCTCTGTTCCTTGCATGCGCGCCGACCGAGCCTCAATTCCATCTGCGATTGCTCGCTCATCATGTTCTCCGGGTCCAACTCTTACCTAGGGGGCGGCAACAGCGCCCGACCTGGGCAGCCGCAGTATGGCCAGCAACAACAGCAACAGCAACAGCAGCCATATGGACAACCCCAGGGCTTTCAGGGTGGACTTGGACCTCAGCCGACTGGCTTTGGAGGAGGTCCAATGCAACCACAATTCACTGGCTACCCGGGCCAACCGCAGGGATTTGGGCAGCAGCAGCAACAGCCGCAACCTCAGCAGCCGCAGTACACAGGATATCCAGGGCAGCAGCAGAACCAGTTCCAGCAACAGGCACCGCAACAGCAGCCATTCCAGACTGGTGCTCCTCAGCAGCAGCAGCAACAACCTCCGGCCCAACCGCAACGACCGCAGCCCACGGGCATGACCTCGTCGCAGATGGCCGACTCGTTTCGGGGAAGCTCTTCGGCATCATCTGTCCCTCCACCCGTCCCAGCGAAGTCGAGCAAGATCCCAAGCATTAGGCTATCGTTCATTACGGCGCAAGACCAGGCCAAGTTTGAGCAATTGTTCAAGTCGGCTGTAGGCGATTCACATGCGCTATCAGGAGACCAGGCGCGGGATCTGTTGATGCGCTCGAAGCTGTCTGGGGATGCTCTGGGCCACATTTGGTTGGTCTGATATCGAGACTGGGAGTACACGAAGCTAACATTGTCAGGACGCTCTCCGATACGACCAAGTCCGGCCAGCTCCTGTTTCCCGAATTCGCCCTTGCTATGTATCTTTGCAACATTAAGTTGACGGGCAAGGACTTGCCGAACAGCTTGCCTGAGCGCGTCAAGAATGAAGTCTCCAGCATGGTCGACATCATCTCCTTCAACATTGGAGAGGATGGACCTAACCGCCAGACTCCGGCCAGCAATGCGCCCAAGTTCAACGAACAACCCACAATCCAGCAGCCACAGCCGCAGCAATCGAACAGCCAGTTGTTGAACACACTGGTCACACAGCCCACTGGCTTTGGGCAACAGCCTATGGTCATGCAACCTACAGGTATGCAGCCGCAGCAGACAGGTTTTGGACAAGCCCCCGGAGGATACACTGGCCCTCGTCCGTCCATGCCACCAATGCCGACAGGATACGGCTCAAACTTGGCACCCAACCAGACTGGCATGGCGCCTCTTAATGCTCAGCCAACAGGAATGCCTGGACAGTGGGGCTTGGTGAACAATCCCGCTAGTGGCCTTCCAAACATCGAGGCTTTAGCGGCGCGTATGATGCCCCAGACTGGACGTGAAGGGGGAAACCACACTACTGCTGGATTAACGGGCAATGCCACTATTCCGTGGGCGATCACCAAAGGAGAGAAGAAGCTCTACGATGACACCTTCAGGGCTTGGGACGGTATGAGCAAAGGCTACATCAGTGGAGCGCAAGCTCTTGAGATCTTTGGACAAAGTGGCCTTCCAAAGCCTGACCTGGAGCGCGTGTGGACATTGGCCGATTCCACTGACCGTGGCCGCCTTAATCTTGACGAGTTTGCTGTTGCTATGCATTTGATCTACCGTAAACTCAACGGATACCCCATCCCTGCGCGTCTGCCTCCTGAGCTGGTCCCACCATCCACACGCAACATTAATGACTCGATCGGTGCAATGAAGAACCTCCTTCGCGGAGATGCTGAAGACAGGAAGAACTCCGGCGCGTTTCTCCAACCACAGCGAACTGGCGTCAGCTACCTCAAGTCTCACTCATTCCGAGCTGGCAGTCCTGCAGCCGGAGGCCGCAAAGATGCCACGGTGTTCCGTAATAACGATGAAAATGTTGGGTACAAGTCAAGTGCTAGGCATCGTCTGGGAGGTGGTGGCCGATCTCCGTCACCAGCGCAACCCGCGTCGCCTTCATCTGAGCGGTCTGATGAAATGTCTCTTGACCAGTTGCGAAAGAGTGTCAAGGAGAAGCAGATTCTGCTTGACGCCATGGACACTCGTGACGAGAATGCCGCAGATGAGGAGGATGCACTTGACCGCCGAGACCGACGGGAAGCCGAAGATCTATACCGCCGCATCCGCAGGATTCAGGAAGACATCGATGCTCATCCAAAAGCTTCGCTTCGATCCAACGACTCGGATGCAGAGCGTCGTGCATTGAAGCGTCAGCTTCAAACTCTGACCGACCGCCTACCAGAGCTTGCATCTAACGTTCGCCGCACCGAGCGCGAGATCGCAGATGCCCAATTGGAGCTCTTCAGACTCAAAGATGCCAAAGCCCACCCCGGGTCATCTGCAACGATTGTTGGTACTGGCCCTGGCGGCGCTGTGACTGAGTCTGATCGCTTGAAGGCACGTGCCAGAGCTATGATGCAAGCACGTTCTGCCGCTTTGACTGGACGCCCTGCCCCAGCTGCAGATGATAGTGGGGCAGCAACGGAGCGCCTTGAGAAAGAGAACTCACGCATTCGATCTGAGAAGGAGAATAACGAGCGCATGATCCGCGATGTCGAAGATAGTGTGAAGGAGTACACCAAGAGTCTGGAGTCGAGCCTCAAAGAAGGCGGACATGATAACACCAGTGAGCATGAGCGACGCCGATGGGAGGAAGCTCTGGGAGTCGAGGACGAGGTCAAGGACTTCATCTTTGATCTTCAGAGGAGCAGTCGCGCTTCGCGTATCCGCAAGGAGGAGTAAGTGCAATTTCGAAACTGAGCCCGTTGTCCAGTGACTGACGTATCTTAGTACCTCACGCGACACCTACAGACCATCTGCTCGGTCTGAAGAAGCTCGACCTGCCGCATCCAGATATGACAGCCCATCAGCTAGTGCCGATGCCCCAGCTCGTACAGCGACTCCTAGTGGAGGATCGTACGCTTCCTACAAGACTCCTGAGGAGCGTGCTGCCTTCATCAAGCAGCAAGCTGAGCAGCGCATGGCTGAACGTCTCGCGGCACTGGGAATCAAGGCCCCTGCCAAGGCTGGTGAGACGCCACAACAACGCGCTGAGCGTGAGAAGAAGGAGCGCGAAGAAAAGCTTCGTCAGGCTGAGGAGGAGGACGCTCGCCGCGAGGAAGAGCGTCAAAGAAGACTGAACGATGAATCAACTGCGCCTCCCGCACCAGTTCAGGGAAGCGGCAAGAAGCCTGCACCTCCACCACCAGCCTCGCGCAAGAACAAGGCCGATGTTGCGCAGCATGATGTCAACCAAGCTGACGCTGAAGCTAAGAGGGCTGAGAACGAGATGGCGGAGAAGGCACTACGCGAGCAACAAGAAGCGCAAGAGGCCGAGACGAAGCGCTTGGAGTATGTATAGGCGCCTATTTAGATGTACTTTACTAACAGCTACACCAGGGATGAAGAGCGTAGACAAGAGAACGACCTAGCCACAGAGCGTGAAGCTGCTCAAGCTCGACTCCGTGCACTTGAAGAGCAAGTACAGCAAGGCAAGCTCAAGAAGGCGGAGGAGAAGAAGCGCAAAGCCGCGGCGCAGAAAGAGCAGAAGGAACAAGAAAGCCGACTTGCTGCGCAACGCGCCGAGATCGAGGCTGCCCGCGAGCGTGAGCGACAGCTTCAACTGCAGCTCGAAGCATTGGACGATGACGACTCATCTGACGATGAAGGCCCTCAGAACATCACTCCACAAGACACAACGCCTACTGCCAGCCAGGAACTGCCTCGAGAGTCAGCGCCTCCGCCTGCACCGCCGATGCCTGTTCACCAAAATACCCCGCCGTCCTCGGTCGCCAGCCCTCCAGCTTCGTCATTGACCAGCCCACACGCTGACACTGAAACCAAGAACCCATTCCTCAAGAAGATGGCTCTGAACAACCAGGAGAGCACGGCGACACCACCACCTCCACCAAGCAATACCAGCGAGGTGTCCACCAACCCGTTCCACCGCCTGACACAGGAGAATGCCAACAAGGCTGCCACTCCCACCTTTAACGAGCCGGCAGCGCCCTCCAGCCGCAGAATGGGTCGCCAGGAAGACGATGACTGGTCGGTCGTTGACTCTGACGACTCCTCGTCGGATGATGACGAGGGTCCAACTCAAGGTGGAGCCAAGCAGCTCGCCTCCATTCTCTTCGGCACCATGGCACCTCCCCGTCCTCTCTCTTCCATGGACAACAAGAGCCCTCGTGCCGAAAGCCCTGCCATTACTTCACCTCCGGCAGGTATCCCGCCGCCGCCACCAATGCCTTCAGGCTCTGCACCGCCGCCACCTCCAGGCCCACCCCCACCACCTGGTGGTGCGGCACCTCCACCCCCGCCTATGCCTAACATGAAGGCGCCGGGCGGTCCACCTAACCGAGGTGCGCTGCTTGGTGAGATTACCGCGGGCAAAGGATTGAGGAAGGTTGAGACGAAGGATAGGAGCACGGCTTCTACTGCGGGTCGTGTTTTGGGTTAAGCTTTAGTTTGTGGATGAAAGTTGCATTGTAGTATAGTAAACTTGCTTTTTGTACAGATCGGTAATGGATGTGTTCATACTATTTAGTTGGTGGTTTGCAATGTGATGTCCTAGTGTGCGGGTGAGGTGACGCATGTTGTTGTGCGCTAGGACTTGGTCGCCATACTCCTACAATTTACTTTCACAGCTGCTTCAAGCTATGGAGCAGGCCTGTTCTCAATCGCTTGGGCTCCTGTCGAACACGCTCTCATCAAAGGGCCAGGTGGTGTTGGGATGCGCCATGTCACTTGACGGGGTATCAACGATGATAAATCTACCGCCATAGTTCGAGCCGGCCTTCATTACTGAGGAGCATGACACACAGGGATGCACTCTTAATTGTGACGCAAGCTTGATCGAAATTGTCTTCGTTGCTTTGTCACACATCGAGTAGCTGATGCGAGACAGTATGTCTACATTTGCGTGCCACTGAAACATCATATCACAGCCTGGAGATAGCCAGCTCATGACCGAAATGTACATTTGATGTTCCCGCTCCTGGCATTCAGTGTTTTGGTGTTCGTACCCCACTTTTTGCATGATTTTGCCCGCTCGCGCTGCGGTTTCTCTTTCACCTCGTCCGCACCACCACCACACTGACCCGCCCGCCTCTGCCTACACCACCCGCGCTCACCTCATCGCCGCCACCGGTAGAACCACGGTAGAGCTAGTCTCGCTTAGCAGTCTGGGGCTCGTGCCCTGACCGTGCGCCCTCCGAGCGCCCGCCCAGAGGTATATAAAAGCTCCTGGACTCCCCCCTCCATAACTTTTACCCCCCACTCGAGTTTCAACTTTCAACTTTCCACCTCAACTGCCTATATCAACATGGCTCCAACACATCAAGTGCCTTGACAGGTCTGACACTTGTTCAAAGTCTTTCGACTTCAACATTCCTTCACTTGCCTCCATCAAGATGTCTTCACAACATCAACCGCCTTGGCAGGTCTGAGACACTTCTTCAATGGCTTTTGACTTCAACCTTCCACACCACATCGACATGGCTTCCTCACTTCAAGTCAATGACTTCCATTCTCAAGTCGTCCATCACTGCTATTCAACTCAATTACCTTGAGCATCAACCACCTTCACATCGCTTCATCAATCATGTCGAATGTCACCAAGGTCATGACCTGTCACTCACCTTCAACTCATTCTCATGGTCGTCGCCAGCATCTGGTCAGTCTCCCTGTTTCCCAATGTCTTCTTCGCTTACTGACTCTGAACAGCCCCCCCACCTTGCAACGCGACGACCTCGAACAAACTACTACACTTCTTCAGCAGTCTTGCAGGCGGCTTCGGCTCAGGTCAAACTGGACTGTTGATGGAGTGTCGGTTCAAAACCTCCGCTTCCGACCCTCCACAAGCTCCCGAGCTTCCAACTACACTTCTTCATCAGTCTTGCAGGCGGCTTCGGCTCAGGTCAAACTGGGCTGATGAAGAAGTGCCAGGTTCAACATTCGGCCTCCAAGCTCCCGAGCTTCCAACCGCACTTTCTCAGCAGTCTTGCAGGCGGCTTCGGCTCAGGTCAAACTGGACTGCTGAGAAGTGTTGGTCCAACATCACCACATCATCACATGGTCACACATCTTAAGGAGTTGAATTACAGTGAAGAGCTTTTGTTCCACTGCAGCGGGTTTTGCGATTAGATAGCTTGTTGGCTGGAATCATCATGGGTCTCAAGGACATTGGCTGGCTGCAACTTCATGGGTCCCAACGAACATTATCAAAACCTCACATCAATCAAACAAAATTTGACTCTCATACCATTGCTTCGTGCCGCTTTCATGATCTGTGATGCCTTGATCTCTTTCTTTATTCCTCACCTTCTTACTTGTACTATCTTTGCTCTTGGGCACAGTGAACTCGAGCGTGTTAGTCACGAAATCGTACTGCCGAAAGAGCACAGCAACACGACGCCTACTACAGCAGCTCAACTTCCAGTTGCTTATAAGGTGACACGTTGATCGGTGGCCTTAGGTCAAAAGTGTGGGTTGCCCGGCATTCTTGCAGATTGTGCACGGATTTACAGAGTGGGGCCTGAGATGTTGGAAGTGAAGTTGGGTTCACGTGTTGCGGCTGCCTGTGCATGCAGGGATCGGCATCCAAGTTTGATGTCACCGCGAACTTTACGAATTCTTGCCCGACAAGTTCGCGCCCATCCTCCACCACGCCCCACGCCGTCCCGCTTCTCAGATCCTCCAAGCAAGCCCGTACATTCAAACTCGTGACCCACCGCTTCGCGACGCGCGAATTCGCAACCACATCCGTCACATCGTAACGACACGACACGCGCATACCGATAGCAACCATGGCCGCCCCGAAGGAGGGCGGCTTTAAGATGTCGCTGGGCGGCCTGAAAGGCAAAGTCGGTCTGAAAGCTGCTCCCGCCAAGAAGGATGTCAAACGACCGCGATTGGCACTCGGCGACGACGAAGAGGACGACTCGGGCAAGCAGCAAGAGATCTCAGGCTGGGACGCAGCAGAGGGTGGCGCTGTCGATGTTGGCGGCCCAAAAGAGAAGGAAGCGCCTCGAGTAATCCCAGCGCTGCCGAATCGCAATTGGCGCGAAGATGCGCGGCGGCGACAGCTTGCGAAAGCACCGCATACAAAGGCGCAGAACACCGAGGTCACGGAGCAGATGGAGCAGCCGCAGATACAATACGGTCTCACCATCTTGAAGAAGGAGGACCAGCAGGACAATGCAGCGGAGGAAGAGCCTGCGCCTGCCGAGCCAATGGAGGATGTCCAGGACAATCTCACAGAGGAACAGCGCCTCGAGAAGAAAGCCCTCGACGCCCTAATCAACGGAAAACCCACTGACGAAGGCCTCGTCATCCCCCTCCACAATGACGAAGACGCCTTCCAATCCGACCTCCGCTCCGCCCCCGACGCACCCACCCTCGACGCCTACGAAGCAACCCCTATCGAAGGCTTCGGCGCCGCGCTGCTCCGCGGCATGGGATGGAAAGACAGCGACGCAGCCGGCAAAAACGGCGCCCCCGCGAAGATCAAACAAGTCAAGCCCCGCCCTGCGCTGCTTGGTATCGGCGCAAAGGAAGACGCTGCTGCGGGCGTCGAGTTGGGCGATTTCAAGGGCAACAGGGGGAAGGGCAAGAACAAGCAGCAGAGCTACAACCCGGTGGCACTGCGCAATAAGAAGACGGGCGAGGTTATCACCGAGGACGAATTGAAGGCGAAGCTGGAGCAGCAGGATATGGTGCAGGAGGAGCCGAAGCGGAAACGAGAGGATGAGCGGAGGAGCGATAAGGAGCGTGACCGACGGCGGGGGAAGGACGATTACGACGACAGGCGGGACAGGCGCAAGGATAAATACAGGGACGAGGAATACGATAGTGAGCGGAGGAGAGAGAAGCGCAGAGATCGAGACGATGATCATGACAGCGAGCGGAGGAGGGACAGGCGCAGAGATGAGGATTACGACAGCGAGCGGAGACGAGACAAGCGACGAGAGCGTAGCCGCAGCCCGAGCGACAAGAAGCGCGACAGGTACCGCAGTAGATCGCGAGACTCGAAGCGTGATCGCGACCGGCGGGATAGGAGTCGCGATCCAAAACGCAGACGAGAATATGACGACGACCGCGAGGAGAGGAGGAGGAGACATTAGCGTTAGCATTAACATCTGCATTGGCATTGGCATGGCCACGGCGTTTAGATAAGACAGAGGGATATGTGATGCCCTCTAAACGAGCTCGCAATAAGAGCTTTATTGATTGATCCATCACCCAGACTTGGCTTTATACATATGCTTCCCTTCCCAAAGGGCCATCAGGCTATCAAACACCGTTCCCAAAGCCGCCAACCATCTACCCATCCCATCCTATCCAAATCTCCAACTCACCTTCCCCCCTGCGGCTGTAAAACCTCCCACCCCCTCAACCCCGCACCCTCGTCCACATCATCGTCCAACAAATTCCTCCCGCCCGCACTCAACCCCGTCCCCGTGCGCGGCGGCAGCGGTGGTTTCGCACCTCCCTCATCATCCATGAAATTGGGCACCGGCCTACGCTCCGCCATACTCCTGCGCGGCGCCGGGTCGTCGCGATACTGACTCTGCGCAACGCTCTGCGCGCTGTTCTTACTCAGCAGTGCGGGCTTCTTGTTGGGGATTGGTGGCGCGGGTTTGCGTAAGACTTGCGGTCCTGTTCGCTGGGACTGGGGTTGCGAGGTGAAGGATCCTGGGCCGGGGCGTGTGGGTAGCGAACGTGTCGATGCGCTGGATTCGCTGCGACGTAGGTCGTTTAGGGCATCGCGAGAGCCGTCGAAGTTGGATGTTTGCGTGGAGTGAGTGGGGAAGGCTGGGACGATGAGTTTCCTTGCCTGAGAATTGGATTGTGGTGGATTGTTGAAGTCGACGGTTCGTGCTCGCTGGGAGCCGCGTGCTGGTGGTGGTTCAGGTCGGCCGCCCATGCGCTGGACATCGACCCAGTCTGGCTCTGGGCTAGGTGTGAAGGGGTTGCTGGGTCGTTTTGGATTGGGCATGTAGCCTTCTTGTGGCGGTTGGATGCGGGCTTTAGCTGGTAGACCTGTCCAGAATGAGTGCCCAGGCTACGATGGGGAAGAGAATATAAGTACCGTTGTCGAGCCACCATTTCCTACGGTCTGAGCTGGCTGGTGGTAGGCCGGGCTCTACGCTCTCATAGCCAATGAGATCTTCGTCGTCCGTGTCGTCATTGTCAACACCTGCGCGAGTGTCGCCGACAACCTCTCGGCGTCGGCTGTATAATTCAGCTTTGAGGGCATCTTTCTTCCTTTCATCTACTCTTTGTACAAGAACTTGGAACGTGGCATAGACGGGACGATGGTCAGAGAACCGGAGCGGTGCAGCATCGTAGTGTATCTGGCGAATATTGTCGCCTTTGCGTAGGACACGATCGCACCAGGCGGGAATTCGTGCTTTCTCGGACGTATCGTAGGTATCAGAGTTGAGGTCGTATTTGTAGGTAGGTGGGAAGGTGATGCGTGCCTCAGAGTAGTATGGGAACGTCAATCCAGCAACCATTTGCAGATTGAGCTGTACGCGTTAGTTTGTCGGTTCTAGGCCGGAACTGAAGGTCAAAAACTTACCTGGTCGTTCTCATACAACGTCTCGAGGTCGCCGACATGGCATAACTTTTGCACTTTCTCATTGCTAAGGCCGATTCGGTAGTTGAAATCACCGAACCAGATGACTGTGTCATGGTCTTCGATCGACCTGTTTCGCTGGAATTTCAGTCCGTGGCTGATGGTCTTGTAGTCGCGATTGCGTTCTTCGTAGTTCGAAAAGCCAGCTGCCAAATGAGCAGTGACGAGGCATATCGAAGTGTTGCCATACTCTATTCGAATGGCGACAGCTCCTTTGTTACCTGCCATCCCAGACATGCCGGTCTACGTAGTTGTTAGCTTGTTTCGTCAAACTGTCTTTTAAATTGGTTACCTTCTTCAGGCTGCCTTCCACATTCTTGATATGCTTCAGGCAATCACCTCTCACAAAGACCGACAAGCTCGCACCAACAAGCTGTCCACCTCTCAATAAGACATACTCCTCCCTTCCATGCTTCTCTGCGTTCCTGTTCAATGTATTCTTCACAGCACGTTCCCACAGTTCTCTCCTGTCAGGATCTGTAGCCATGATTTGCTGGGGGCTCAGCTCAACAATCTCCTGAAATCCAACAGCCACGATCTCAGGACATTGCTGCGATGGGTCGACGTCGGGGCAAAGCCATGGTGACAAGTCTGCGGTGATTCCGTTCGTCTTGCCGTTGAGATTGAAGGTGCCGACGAGGATGTTGATCATTTCTGTCTCTGAGTACTCTGCCGCACGTCGCTGGAGCTCCGCTACAACGAAATCATTGACGGGATCGTACAAATGAACGGGTACTTGACCCATGAGTCGGCCAAGCAGCATGTCGATGGTGTTCTGTCGACCTTTGTCTGCAAAGTTGTTGATGTACATGCGCGTTGCGCTCTTTCGTGCATCTGCCAGCGCGCCTGCAAGCGACATCTTTCCATGTCGCGTAAACGAGGATTTCAGCGCTCCAGTGCCTGCGTAAATCCTGGACAAGGCATCGCCGTTATCTGCCCACATGCTCGAGTGCCGCATCCAGAAGTCCTGGTTTGCACGAAGGCCTTTGTGGCTTAGAAAAACTTCAAGTGCCATCTTGCTGATAATGGTTTGTACAAGGTTTGTCCTATCCAGGCAATCGAGACAATTGGTGCGGAAGATACCTTCTTGCTGCAAGATGGTCATTGATCGTCTGATGATGCGATCCTCTCCTTGTATCCTTGCACGCTCGTCGACCTCTTCCGAGAGATAATACCCAAAAGAATCCGCGGATCCCTGTATCCAACGTGCAATCATGCTGGCCGCCTCATACCCACCAGGTCCCCTCGTCTCGGCGTGAAAATCATATTCCGTCAACTTCAGCAGTTCGTGTTCCCTGTGGTTTTGATCGACACCATAGTTTAGCGGGCTACTCTTGATGTGACTTCTATACTTTTGCGATAGCTCAACCTCCTGTGGTTTCTCGTGACTCAATAAATTAACCACGTGTATAGCGCCGTAGCTAATCTCCAGGTTCTCAAAGTGCTTGTCGAACGCTGGCTGCGTCGCTTCCGCCGACCTTGTGATGGTGATCTTCTGCTGTCCAGGGAGGAGTCCAGACTGTTGTTCCCAGAAGATTGGGACACTGCCACGTACCTGGACATACGAGAAGCAGACTCCAGTGGGTGTCCAGTATATTGTCTCCGACTCTACATAGTTGGCTACATTCCCGTCGTCGTCGATACCACGGGAATTAAACCGTGTGCCGGCTCTTCTGCAGGACAATCGCGATATGAGTGTCATGGACGATGGCATTCCCGATCCTGTCGATTTTATAGGCGCAGAAGACGTGGGGATGGTGATTGTGAGTGCAAATCCCCGGATCGCAGACGTCAATATGCCCGACTTATCCAGCGCTTCCTTGTCCCTAGGCGCAAGCCTGCTCCTAAAGTCCACAAGCGGTTGTATCATGTACGAATTCCACAAAAAGCCAGCGTCCAGACTGTCAATGGACACCGTCGCTGCATCCGTCGTTCGATGCTGTAGTCTCCTCGTGAGATCAAAATCAGAGCTGTAGTAAAAGGTCCCGCTGCTCAAGATCTTCTTCAGCGCCAGACACGGATGTTCCAACGGGCTCTGCTCCTTCTTTCCGCCAAAGCCCATTTCATACCCCTCATCATCGATGGTGTCGGTCGGGTATGGATTGACCTCGTCGTTGAGCATCGCATCGTAGCTCGAGCTGGTCAAGCAGAAGAAGCCGACTGAATGTATCCTCTGCACCGTCTCGCCCGGGCGCACCGTGGCTACTTTACTCGCGCCGTTGACGACGACGAGGAAGACATTGTTGTCTACTGTGATCAGGCCTAGCGTACCGTGCACATTCACAGAATGCAGGCCGCGGTAATCGCTCAGGTCCACCTCTTCCACGCGCGAGAACTCGACCATGCAGCGCGCTGCGCTGGGGCCATTGCTCCCCAACGACGTCGAGGACGCATTGTTGTTCCCATTGTTCTCGGTCGACGAGGAGCTGTGTCGCAGGACGAGGGCGTGGGTCGGGGTCGCGAGTGCGATGGCTCGGTGCGGATAGTCTTTGATCAGGACGCGGATAGACATGGTCGACGGCAGCGGCGGGCAAGAGCGAATTTCGGCGTATCAAGCATGTCAAACGACTCGTGGCATTTCCGAGTGCGATTTACTGTGCATGCACAGGGGTGTATGGGTGTGGTAATGGTAAGCACGTGTCTTTGTGGCGGTCACTTTCAGCTGCTCGAATAAAGTTGGCCTTGGACCTGATGATGGCACACTCTGGAGATCCCAACCACACCGCCGGTGCCCGGTGTATTGCAAGGGGATCCCTGACCGGACTCGTGCAGTACAAACTTGGACTCGAAAGTCAATTGGCAATTTCAACAACGTTTGACATCTTTGGCGTACAGGCAGTACCCGGGTCAGCGTACTCAGGCTGCGTGTTGCTATGGGTTTGATTTCCTGAGGCAGGCAATGACCTCATCGCTGCATACGACGGAACTAATACGCCTACCAACATGACACTATGATCCGATTTCACAGGCGAATTATAACGGAGCTGAACAGTTCAAAATCATGCACGGCAAATAGGAATATATTACGCTCAAGAACCTCTACAAAACGCGAACACTCATCTCACACTTCAAAATGCTAACAGAGCGCCCAATCATTCCAATCATCCAGCCCAAGAAACCCTCCCAGAAAACTCGCAAAGCAAACACCCCAAGTCCCCAACACCGCCTACCTATAATCCCTCCTCCTCCCACCCCCACCCCTCTCATCCTCAATAACAATCCTCGTCCTCTCCTCCCTAAAACTGCCCCTCGGATCCTCATAGCCGCCACGACTCATACTCCTCTGTCTGCTCCGACTGCGCGCATACCCCACCTCACTCTCGCTCCTCTGCGGCTCCACATATCTGTAATGATCATACTGCGGCCCCGTCTCCCTCTCCCTCCTAATCTCCCTCTCACGGTACACGTATTCCGAGCGCGGCGGCGAGCTCGAGCGCGACGAGATGGAGCTGCGCGGCGAGACTTCAACGTAGTGCGCGGCGCCGTGGTGCGACGATGGCGGCGGGGGCGGTGCAGGCGCGGGAATGGGCGCGGGGGGCGGTTGGACAAAGACGGGGACGGGTTGGGGAGCAGGAATCGGGAGGGGTTTGGGAGCTGGAACGGCGACGTAGGATGCTGATGGGCGGGGGGATTCCTGGTGCACGATTTCGGTGCGCGAGTAGCGGCGCTGCGACTGGTGGGAGGTGCGGCGCCGCGAGTTGTGGCGGTCGACGACGCGGTAAGGGACGACGTGCTCTTCTGTTTCTTTGACGCGGACGAGACACATGCTGGGCGATGCGACGCTGCGAGTCGATGCGATCGTGATGTGATTCGTGCGCCGATCAATGTGGGGTTGCGAGATGGGTGAGCCGAAGAAGGTGAACGACGCTTCAATGCGACAGAGGGCAAAAGTCACGGCGATGCACTTGGGCGCGGGAATTGGAAAGGGCAGCTGATGGGTTAATCAAGGCTCTAAGCTCGCGGGCGTGAGATCTTGCGGTTGGGCGGCTCATGCGGCAGCCCAGCCACACTCAGCGGCCCCCATGTCGACTTCAGCTGCCTCCGCCTTGGAACTGGAAGTTCTGCCTGGTGACGATGTGGGCTAGCCAGACCTGGGGTGCCCTGGTTTTTAGCTTCAGGTACGGGCCGAACTCGACCGTTTTAAGATTCTGTCATTTATTGGACAGCCGTCTGGAATACTGGTATATGAGATTTGTTGTATGCTGTCTTGGAGCTGTGTCCATGGAGATAGTATCTTCGTCATCTCATTGCCTGTCGATTTCAAAGTACATAACATAGAAAAGCCCGCCAAATCGCTATACCAAGTATGCTTACAGCACGCACATGCAAAACACCTCTCTGATGTCCTGATTTCCCCATTCTTGACAGTTCGTTGCCTCACCCTGAAGGCTGCTAGTCTAGTAACACATTCGCTTCCTCAATTATCCTGTGTGCGCATTATCATGATTTCTTTTGTCATGTGGCCGTAAAGGTTCGTTTCGGTGTGCCTGGCGGAGGTAAAAGTCCATAAGACCACTAGTCGTCCATGGGCTTATCCTCGAGCGTAACACCTCTGGGAGCTCCGTCTTCGGCCCTCAAGCTGCCCGTGGAGTCGCGGTTGCCCCTTGTCAGGCCACCAGCTGGTTTCCTTGGGAAAGGAACACGCGTGCTGGACGGTGCCGGGTGTTCTACAGGCGTAGAGGCAACTGGCGCAGCTTCAGTGGTTCCGTTGGTCGTCGTCTCGTCGTCTGCGGGGCTGTCCGGGTTTGCGGGCACCTCGAGAGAGCTCCGGTTCAACGTACTCCTTCGGCTCTCTGTGGGCGATGAGGTGTTGACGGGGAAGCGAGTTTGGCTGCGGTCGCGACGGTGGGATCCACTCGCACGGTTGGGGCCGGGTGAGACCGCACGGGGGGAGCGCTGGGCAGCAATGGCCCTTTGACGCTCTTCCATGTTCGCACGACGGTTGCTCTCGTCAGTGGAGATGGCACGAGGACGCTGAGCCCCGGACGCCGAGTGTGTGAGAGTACTGGCCCGCTTCAACTCTCCAAAGATGGCATCCTTGTGAGCAAAGAGATCGCGCACAAGACGGTAGTTGTAACGCTCATTCATGCTCAAGGTCGACTCTTGTCGTGGGCGGAGAATACATGGTGCAAGCGCATTCGCAAGAGCGGTAACGTAGGCCTCGTCGGCTGATGTTAGCTCGATAAGACGAGTGAAGTGGGTGCAGATGGCGTCCAGCGTGGCAATGTTTGCGAGACGCAGCTGCCCGAGTGTAGATTGCAGTACCGAAACGCGTGTCTCTTCGGACACGTCGGTGGCAGTGGTGCTGTAGATGGTCTTGACGATCTCATATACATGTGAGGAGACGAGGGAATCTACTGCATGTTAGCTAGGACTTACTAAGAAGGATGGAGGCCATACCAGGGAGCTCGAGAAGGTAGAGTTTCAGTGCACTAGCAACAATGGGTACATCGTACTTCTCCAATACCTCGTCAGAGAATCGCTTGCCAGTGTTGATGGTGTTACGCAAGTTGTGAGTCTGCGCTAAAGGTACGTCCACCAACCAAATACCACGGCGAGCTTCGTCACCCTCTAGGTCGGGGTAGTGGTTGTCTAGGAAAGTGAGGATTGTGGTGATCAGAACTGGTACGCGCTTCTTGTCTGAACGGGCGCGGGCTTCGAGGTCGACACCAAACGTTTGTTCTATCCAGTGTTAGTGTTAGTCACGCGTGGTCGGTGAGTTCATGCATACCATCAACAGAGTTGTAATAGTTCTCGTACGTCGTGACCCGGGGAACAAAAGGTCCGGTCCTGTAGTTCTCGAGCATGTAGCGGAGATCACCCAACGGCTGGACGGTCTCCTGGAACAGCATCATCTTGTCAACTGTGCTCTGCAAGCTGGGGATCACGTTGCTGACAGCTCCAGAGAAGTCCAGAATGACTGCCTTGATGGCCTTTAGCCTGTCAAGTTCGCAGCGCTCCATGAACTTGAGGTGGTCGATCATGGCCTCCTCCAAATTGCAGCGCAGCGAGTCGAGCTTCTTGACGGACGCCTTGTAGCGCTCGTCTGACTCGCGGGCCTCACGGCGCAGTCTCTCGGCAGGCGTCTCATTGGGGTACTGGTTGTTGAGAGGATTCCATCCTGAAAGGTACTCTCCGACAACGCCGACTGGAGAATCGGGGACACTGTCGTTCGATGCTATGGACATTCCGGTGCTAGAGCGACCAAGCGGTTGCTTCTTCTCGGGAAGTCCGGTGACAGTGAAAGCCTTGGTCTTCCACTGGTAGTTCATCCTTGAGCTGTTTGCGAAGGCGTTGCCGACATTGCCGACCAGACGCAGAAAGCCGTTGTCTACGATGTCCTGACCGATTCTCTCCGCATAGCTGACGCTGGTGGCTCCCAAATGCTTCTGAATGTACTCGGTGATGTCCGCGCCATTGGAGCAGTTTTGGTATGTTCCAAGAATCGGGACCTTGACTTCACCGAGCTTGATGGTGTTCAGCATGTGGGTCAGGATCTTCTTGATCTGCTCAGGCTGGTATGTCTCGTCGCCAAGGTCAATAGGGTCGTCCTCGCTTTCCTCGGGCGCCGTCATCTGGATGGTCGGAACCTTGGCCTTGGGGCTGCTGCTGGTGGACTCTTTCTCGGGGTCCTGGAAAGCCAGCTTGTCCTCCTCCTCCAGGTCCTCGACCAGCCGGCACTTGTTGTAGTACTGCGAGCGGAACTTGCGCACGGCATCGGCTTGTCGGTCGTGGATCTTGATACGCGACTGGAGATCGTCTTGGGAGTTCTGCACGCGCGAAGCATGTGCATCGCACCAGCGGCCGAAAGGGTTCACCACGAGTTCCCGGATGTTGGACGCGATCTTCTTGTGATTCGACGCGGCTGCCTCCATCTCTGCCTTGACACCCTCGTATGCCTGAAAACTGTCAGCGCCCCTCCTTCCCAAAATTGCCGAAGCAGCCACCCACCTTTCGCACACTGGCGCCCTCGTCTCTGTTGAAGCCGCCATTTATGCGATCGGTCGCGGGCCCAATGTTGGCCAAGCTGTTTCCGTAGACCTCTTCGGCATCGGCGCGCATGCGGGCTACGGTGAGGATCTGCTGGTTCTCCTGCACTCCCTGCTGGAGCTTGCCAAAGAGGACGCCGAGACCTGTGCGTGTTAGTCGGGGTGTAGCACGAGGGCCGGCCGTCTGGGATGCGTACCTCCCGCATAGTCGCTGGACCAGAAGGATGTCGCGAAGCCCGTGGCCATGGTGAAGGAGATGCCGGGCGAGCTGTTCTCGGTGGTGGGCGTGTGTGGAAAAATCGGGCTGACACAATATGACAGCGGGAGCGAGCGTGGAGAAGTGTACGGGAGGAGTATGGGGAACACGCAAGCGCAGCTGCGGCGGGTTTCGTAATGTCGTTGCTGTGTCGTGGCCTGCGCTCGACGAAGTTTCCTGGATCCTGGCGCTGCGCAGTTGCCCGGATGACACCGAAATTAAACAAGGTGCGACGGGATCGGCGTGTCCTAGGGGTGCAGAAAACACGAAGCTCAGGAGAATTACACTGTCTGGCTGTGGCTCCCAAGCTGTTGGCAGCTGAGGTTCAGGCCTAACCCTGCATGACACCGCCCGACAGGCTCCCGCGATTCGCTAGCAACGTGCGGCGATAAAAATATCCCAACGTCTATTCACCTCCCGAAGTCATGCCCTGCAGGGTCTAGCCTAGCCTCGACTACTGCTCAGTCTATGCATCATAGCGGCATCCGAGCATAGTCAACACCACAATCTGCGCCCACGAGACCTGACATCATGCTCGGGCAAAAGTCTTGAGGTCAGCAGCCCGTGCCACACCCCACTCCCGCACTTCACGCAGCGCAGCGCAGTCTGCTCTCGGTGCAGCTTGATCCCGGCTATATTAACCAAACCGTCTGTGTACATGCCAGTTGCTGATCATCTATCTATTTCGCAGCAGGAACGACTTGGCCCTACCGCCCCACCATAAGATTCTCGTCATTAGGCTGGAATCCACTCGGGAGGAGCCCGCTGCCACGGTTCACGGTCCACGCTTTCCCAAAATGGCCCCAACTCTGCCTGATCAGACGCAGTTGAATTACCCTCGACACATCAAGTACTGGAGACGTAATCTGAAAACCCTACTGCCACACTTTTACACCAGCAATGATTCCAACCGCATGCTGCTGGCCCTGTTCACAGTGTCCGCGCTGGACATCCTAGGAGATCTGGATTCTGCCTTGTCAGATGAAGAGCGACAAGGCCATATCGACTGGGTCTACAGATGTCAAGTATCGAGCGGTGGCTTCCGACCATGGCCAGGGTCCGATTTTGGGCAGATGAGTAACGAAGAAAACAAGAAATGGGATCCTCCTCATATACCAGGCACGTTTTTCGCACTCCTCACGCTGGTCGTACTTGGGGATGATCTTGAGAAGGTGAAGCGACGGGAGATTCTCGAGTGGCTACTCCGAATGCAGCGGCCGGAAGGGAGTTTTGGAGAAAACTGTGGGTGACGACGGCTATGTGCATGGTGGTAACGACTCGAGATTTGGCTTCATGGCCACTGCCATCCGCTGGATATTGCGCGGCGATCTGGAGGGTCCTTGCGAAGGCGTTCCGGACATCGATGTCGACAGCTTTGTTACCTGTGTACGCGCCGCGGAAAGTTACGATGGAGGCATATCGGAAGCGCCTTATCACGAGGCGCATGGTGGGTTCACCTGTTGTGCTGTTGCCGCTCTGTACTTTCTCGACCGCCTACCTTTACCGCCGTCTCAGAAACCGGATGGAGTCGTTCGCGGTATTTCCAACCTCCCACACACTCTCAAGTGGCTCGTCTCTCGACAAACGGCTACATTGGACAGCGATGATGGCCTCGATACACTGAATGACGAGACCGATACATCAGAAACGTGTCATGACGCACATTCATTCGTCAAACTGGGTTCTTTCATATCGACACAGGGGGAGTCGAACATGAAGGGACAGCCGCACCCGCATTTTGAGCTCCAGTGGGTCGGCGTGAACGGGCGATGTAACAAGGTTGCCGACACTTGTTATGCATACTGGGTGTCAGCGCCGCTGAAGCTGCTTGGCTATATGGACATCATAGAACAGAAGCCCATCAGGAAGTGGTTGCTTGACAAGACGCAACACATTGTCGGAGGATTTGGAAAGGTGACGGGAGATCCACCGGATATGTATCACTCATTCCTGGGCCTCATGGTGCTGGCCATGTTTGGCGAGCCTGGCCTGCAGAGTGTCGACGAGGCGTTGTGCATCACGACTAGAGCGAAGACGCATCTCGAGTCGTTGTCGTGGCGGAGGAAGATCCTAAGCCAGGCAGAGGCAGACAGAAGTCTAGTAGATCTTGTCAGCGACAAGATGTAAATCGGACAATAGACAGTGTTGTTACCTTGATGAAATTTGTCATGCTTCCAAAGCAAGGTGCATCGTCTGAAGTTCAGTCGACATTTCTGGGCACATGTCAGCTCGGCTAAACCTTCCAGGGTCGGAGGCCCGCTTGAGCCCCAGATCCCTGCAACAATTTTCCAGTCCCGAATCGCAACCTGCGTTACGCCGCAACTGCAACATTCTCACCAGCACAAAAGTTGAACCCTACCGCACAATCTTCGATCATGGGGCCACCCACGAAGAAGCGCAAGATCGCCGTCACCATCCCCGAGAAAATCGAGTTCGACTTCAGCGCCCGCGAAGAATACCTCACCGGCTTCCACAAGCGCAAAGTCGCGCGCCAAAAGTTCGCACAGGACGAAGCTGCAAAGCGCGAGAAAGAGGAGAAGCTGCGGTTCAGGAAAGAAGTCAGATTCACTCTCTCCCAGTGCCATGGAAGATGCTAACGAGCGCCCCTCACAGCTCCGCCAACAGCGCAAAATCGACCTCGAGAAGCACGTCGAGGAAGTAAACCGGCTGGTCAAGCAGGCCAACGGCGAAATAACGGGTCTCACGGACGCGGAATCAGGCAGTGAGGATGAGGATGATGATGACGACGAGGAAGAATTCACAGGCTTCCAAGACCCAGAGCCTATCAACCAGGAAGACGAATATATCGACGAGGACAAATACACAACCGTCACCATCGAATCTGTGAACATATCGCGCGACGGCTTCAGCAAGCCCGGCGAAGACGATGACGACGCCGTAACGAAGAAAGTCGACGCAAAGGAGGACGGCGAAGTCGTGGGCAAAGATGGGAAGAAGGAAATCCAGAGAGACGAAAACGGGAAGAGGATATGGACCAAGGAGCGCCCGAGGACCGAGTGGCCCAAGAAGAAGAAGAAGAAGTTTCGGTATGAGAGTAAGGCGGATCGCAAGGTTACGAGGTACAAGGAGGGCGCGAAGAAGAGGAAGCAGAAGGCAAGCAGGGAGAAGGAGTAGATGCTGTGGCTAGATTACATGGGTATGGGAGGAACATCACGACTCTGTCTTTCTGATACCCTGTGTTATGAGGATGATGAAAATAGCTTGAAATGCTTGTGCAAATTGAACAGTACATTGTACTGCAGGTTATCAACATTACAGAAAGACCCTGTGTCGTTAGCTGCTTGTATTCCCCACCCCCTCAAACATCCCCATTCCTCCTCTTCGCCTCCTCCAACGCCGCCTTCAACCTCCTCTCCCTCTGCGCATCCTCACTCCCCTTCCTCTCCACCAGTCCCTCCACCTCCTCCCTATCCTGCTCAATGACCCTTACCCTCCTCTCAAACTCCTCCAGAAACTTGCTTTCGCCCTTCCTCTTCTCCTCCTCCAATTTCGCTACATCCCCGCCCTCCATTCGCGCCTGCGCAATCTCCGCATCCAGCACCGCCGCATTGTGCCGAATCTCCAAATCGTTGAAGAGCTTGAGCGTGGCCTTGGAGCTGGCTTTCAGGCGGGATAGTGTCTCAGTGGTCTTGCTCAGGTCTGCGGATCCGTCGTCGAGGTTTCGCAAAGCCGAGATGATGCGTTCGATTTCGCGCTGTTCGACGCCCACAGCGCTGACGACTATGTCTTCAAACGCAGCTACCAGCTCGCCCACGCGCCCTGCCTTGTCACGCAGCGCGCGGACGTGCGCCGTCTTTTCTGCGGCGTCGAAGTGCTTTTCGACCGCCTTCATCTTGGCGATGTCACCGCGGGCGTAGAGCGGCGAGATTTCAGTTTTCTTGTAGCGTTTATCGCGCTCGGCAACGGTGTGGACGACTTTGTCTTGGAGGTCGAGGATCGCAGTGTGGATTTCTTGAAGCAGTTCGAGGGTTGCGAGGGTGTTGAGTGAATCTGGTTCGAGGGCTGCGACGCCGGATTGTGAGGTATGTGCCAGGTTCTCTGCCTCGACGTAGAGATCCATCAGGCTCTTGATGTCGGATTGCAGAGCCTCGTAGACAGGATCGAAGACGGCTTCGACATAGGATGCATATTCGGCGCGGTCTTCTTGCGCTTTGAGGTCGTTTTCTTTCTGCTTGAATTCCTGTTCGATGATGTTGAGGTCCGCGTATGAGATTTCTTCATTGTTGAAGGCATCGCTATTGTCTTCTTCCTGTTCTTCTTCACGCTTGCGGCGGGCGACGTCGTTCTTCTTCCGCGTGACGGTTGCCGTCACATCCCATTTCTTGGTGAGATCTTCGATGTCAGCTGTGTCTTGTTTCACGTGCGAGAGCTTAGCCCTGAGTTCTTCGATCAATGCATTTGGCGTGGCAGGTGCAATTTCAGTAGGTAGCAAATCAGCGAGCGCTTCCAAAGGATCTTTCCTGGACGGCGGTGCAGTGGACAAAGGTCGGTTGGAGCCGAAAGCCAGAGGTGCCGGGATTGGGACATCAGGCGTAGCACTATCGCTGCTTGCAGGCCTGCTTGACCCTCGCGACGCGTCCTCTCCAGAAGCACCAAAGAATATCTCATCATGATGTTTGCCGGTACCTGTGCGCACGGTGATGGGTCTTGTCTCAAAGGATTTTGTGCCAGAAGCTATAGATGAAGCAGGAGCCGGAACAGCAGACATTGATTGCCTGGGCATGGACTGAGCAGAAATGCTCGAAACAAGACCAGGTGGTACATAGGCTTTATACGCTGGCTGTGATTGATCTTCGGATGCTGATTGAACCGGGGTCTTATTTGAATCGTCATCAACGGAGCTCGTAGGCGTCAGTATAGTTGTCGATTGGGCTGATGAATGGAAGGGTTGAACGGCCGAAGTTTGCTCATTCGAGGTTGTTTTCTTAGATTTCAGCACAGGTCGACCTCCAGGACTGTAATCATAGTCGTCTTCATCCGATGGTACATGCGGTGCTGTTGGTACCTGCACATTCAGATCATCTCTGGTCAGAGCAGGCTTAGACACATTTGAAGCATAGCGTGCGGGTGGTTCCTCAATCGGTGGCTTTGGGACGTGAGGATTCAATGCAGGTCGACCACCGGGACTGAACTGAAATTCTTCATCATCTGGCGACTCTCGTTGCGGCTCTGCTACTTGCACAGTCATATCATCCCTGCTCAGGACAGGCTTGGACACGTTCGAAGCTTTAGAATCCGGTACTGGCAAAATGGCTTCCGTTGTCGATACTGGTGGTGGAGCATCATAAAACTCGATACCCCTGATGCCTGATTCAGCTTTCATGAATGTTCTGAACGTCTTGATCTTGTTTTCCAATTGCGGCTCGCCTGCCTCAGCACGAAGCATCGTAATGTACCTCTCCAGTGAGCCAGCGTACCAAGGATCGAGGTCCGGAATGAGGTCAGCCACAGTAGGAGTGATCTTGATTGGCTCTTTCGACTTCTCAGCTTCAAGTTGGCGCCTAAGATCTGCAATGATGGTATCGCGTTCTTCAATGTTGTGTTCCTTGCCCTCGACGTCCTCCTTCATGCGTTCAATGGTTAGCTCTTTCTCTTTGGCCGCGGCGTCAGTGAGAGACTTTGCTTGGTTTACGTCTAGCTTCATATCCGCAACCTGCTTCTGTAAAGCTTCTGCAGCTTCGGAAGTTTGAGCTTTTGTAGTATCAATTACAGTTTTCAGCTTTGTTATCTCATTGTTCAAGTTGACCTTTTCGTTCTCTGTATCTCTTCGTAGACGCTCCAAGGCCTCGTCTTTGGTTCTTAGCTCCGCAGCATGCTGTTCGACAAGGTCAAGGTCTCGAGTTTTTGTATACTGCGTCGGTGTTCTCTGGGATATTTCATCCCCCATGACAAAGCTCGTCGTCACTGGTGGTGGTTGCTGCGGTTGCTGACTTGGAGTCTGTTGTCGTGATCGAGAGGTCGAAGACTGTGCACCCCATCCTCCATCGTCCACCACGAAGCTCTGTTGAGCTGGTGGTGGTTGATGATGTACCTGCTGCTGAGCTGGTGTACCCTGCTTTGGTGGTTGCCAAGCTCCATCATCCACCTGGAACGACTGCTGCGTAGAAGGTAGTCTTGAATTGCTACTTGGCTTCGGAGAGATACTCAGAGGGGCAGGACCCGCATCTCCCGGAACGAAATTCTGCTGCGGTGCCGTCCGATCAACAAGCGTAGCCACTACAGGCGGAGGCGTGGGCTGATAGGTATCCTGCCTTGAAGCAGATGCAGGTGGACTAGGCCAACCATGCGTCGAAGGAGGAGACGGTCCAGAGCGTGGTTCTGGCTCATTGGCGATTACTTCCGAGCTGTCCAACTCAGCAGGACGAGGCTTTTTCGCAAAGATCTCCTCATCGTCAATCTCAGCATCGGCACCAAAGTGTTCCCAATCCGAAGGGCCGCCAGAACCAAGGGCGCTGAACTTCGACTTGTCATCCCGGGGAGGAGGTGGTGTAGGAAGCTTGGGAGGTGGTGGCTTGGGAGAAACGGTCCTGTTCCCGTCCCGCTGGGCATGTAGGTTAGCAAGGGCGATAGAACTTATTGAATCAGTACGTCCAACGTGTCCAGGGGTGAAGCTCATGCTCTGCCGGTTGTTCACAGGTGATACTGGTTGACTTTGTAGGCTGGGCTGAGAGAAAAAGTCGGAGGAAGCAGTGTCAGTCCGAGCAAGAGGCTTTGGAGCTTGGATGTTCTCTTCAGGTGTCGGAGCGTATGGCTGACTTATCATCGAGCTTTGCGATGCTTGGGCTTGATGTTGGTTTGGTTGATTTTGAGGCTGTGCATACACGTTCTGCTCTTGCAGTTTTTGCTGGTATTGATCCCGATGTCTGTCCCGCTGGTGCTGGAGCTTGTGCGGGTATGTCCCACTGATTCACTGGCTTAGAGACATTGGATGCCCCAAAGCGATGTGGTTCCGGCGTGCCGGTTTGTGCTGGACGGATTTCCCACTCGTTCTGAGGCTTCGACATATTCGACAGCCATTTGCGGAGGCGGAGGCGGAGGCTGGTTGGGCTGCGAATACTGGCCAGGGTGCTGTAACTGTTGAGCTTGCGCATTGGGACCATAAGGCGATGAGTACGTTGGCTGGTGCGAGACTTGCCCGGGCTGCGGTGCATTTTGTCCATATGCTGGTTGCTGTCCGTATGCATACTGTGGCTGCTGTTGATGAGGAGGCTGTTGCGGCACCTGTCCTTGCGACACGTAGTGACCTGACGGTGGGGGAGGTCCAGGAGGCTGTTGCGGATGCGGAACTCCCGTTGTAGATTGATCATATGGTTTTGGTGGGACTGGAGGTTGCTGGGACTGTGTACCTTGATAGCCCTGAGCATAGAACCCAGGATCTACAGTGGGTTTTGTATATCTGAACTTCTTGCCTCCACCCTGCAGAGGCGCATGCTGAGCTTGCTGCCAAGCCGGGACATCTGGAGGTGGCGGTACATACACGCCTGGCATAGGGTTCGTATTCGCTGGCATATATGCCTGTACGCCCTGTCCAGTCAACGAAGGTGGGATGTATGCCGGCTGCTGTTCGTTCGGGCTCATGACAGAAGGCGGTTGCGGTGGTACATGCTGAGGCGTGTTGGCGAACGAGCCCGCTTGGTTCGCACCGTATACAGAGCCAGGTCTTCCTCCTTGCGCTGGTGGAAAGTATGAGGCTCCAGGTGTCGCCGAAGGTGGGGGCGGAGCGGCTTGATTGTATGATTGCTGATTCTGAGTACCGCCCGGTACTGGGTATCCTCCATGTTGTTGTGGTGTGTTGCTGGTAGGATGCTGCGACTGCTGAGGCCAATTTTGGTTCTGTTGTTGCTGGACTGCCGCTGCAAAACCATACGGCTTTGGGGGAGGGGGAGGTGGTTGATCATGCTGCTGTGGAGGATATGCCTGCGGCTTGAACAGATCAGCTCTTGTACCCATATCGTCCTTACTCCATTATGTTTACCTGTTGCACACCAGGCATAGCCCCATATGTGCCCGTGTTGTATCCGCTTGCTGCCTGCTGCTGCGGTTGACCCCATTGTTGATTCTGGCCCTGATGCTGGGCTGGCGGAGCCCATTGGTTCTGATTCGGTGGTGCGGTGGACTGATATCCTAGATCATTTCGTCAGATACTTGACTCTTTTACTCTGATTTGCAATATATGAGTGCATACCTCCGTACCCTGGTGGCGGTGGAGCTGGTTGCTGCTGCCCCGCGAAGGCTCCTGCGCTTCCTGGCGGCTGGTAGCCAGGCTGTTGGCCGTAATTCTGCATCCTTATATATGCTGCTTTTTCTGATCAAACTGGATCGTTGTTGCGACAGCAAACCCGGGGTCTTTGGCCGTTCGACTATTCGTTCGACTATTCGTTCGACTATTCGTTCGTATGCACGCGGTCGCGGAGCTGTACCTCGATATTAATAAGTTGCTGCGTCAGACACAAAAGCACAACCAGGGCGCAAGATCAAATGTGCATATGGTGACAGAACAGGATGTTATTAAAGGTAGATACATAGAAAAGAAGGAGATGCAGCAGCGCAAGCGTGTCGTGATCCAGTACGAGGCTGAGGGCTGAAGATCCGCCTGCTCGAACCGATGCGGCGGCCTGGGTCCACAGCCACGGCTTCATCCCGCTTGTCTTTACCCAATGCACCTTAGTTTGGCCAACTCATAATTTGAGCACTTGCAACCCCATCTGAAGAATGCGAATCATGCAGAATAATTATCTCCAATAAGGTGTTGAAGTCCCAAACTTCTACTACTCTAAAGTTTAAGCATACAAGGTTTTCACAACAGCTCTTGACCAGTTCATCACCCTGTCCCGCTCCCATGTGCACACGACTTCCCATCCTACCCAGTCGCTCCCGCACTTCTTCGCTCCGCCCTCCTTCTCTTCTTAATCTCATCAAGCACATATTTGACATCCTCCGCCACTGCATTCAGCGTCTCCTTCCTTCTCGTACTCCACGGTGCAATCTTCGTGATGCCTTTTGCATCACTTTTTGTCATCATATCCCACCGATGCTCTCCCTCGGCTGATCCCTCACATAATCTCTCCAAACTCACGTACACGCCCTCTGTGAATTTGTTGCCGTTTTGCTTCTTCTGCCTGTCAGTGGCGCCAGAGTTGTTGTACTTTAGGGAAGTCGGATTGATGTGACTTTTTGACGTTATGGAGGAGATGGATGCGAAGGATGCAAAGTTGATGGGTAGTTGGAGGGTGTGAGATAGGGAGAGTGAATTTGATGGAGACGTTGAATGGGCGGTTATGCAGAGGACATGGAAGACTCTGTTTTGGAGAAGGGAGAGGCCAAGAGCTTTTGGCATTTCGTGAAACATCTGGTAGACTGCAGGAGGTCAGATGACATGTCCGTCAAATTCGGAAGACTGTCTGCTGGTCGATTACAGCGTTGTCTCGTGATGATTCAAAGTAATATGGTATGCTGAAGAGATCATCACTTACTGGACATTTGGACCGATCCCACTTTCCACTCAGGTTTCAATTCCGCGACGGCCTTCTCCAAATCTTCCGCACTCCACTTCAAAATTTCGTTCGCCTCGAGCACACTTGGCGTATACTCGGCTTCTTTACGGCAATGGTCCTGGGCCAACAGCGTGTCCAATTCAGAGCATTGTATGTCGAGTGCTGAGTGGTTTGACTTCCTAGCCAACCAAGCAGAGCTATCTTTGCCCGATGCTCTTTTGTCAACATGAAGTAGTACGTTTATGTCAGGATCCGACGCCGTTCCTGAGAATGGCGGCATCTTGACGTAGTCGGGTCGAGCACCTGGCCAGCGGCCGTGAGATATCCATTCATCACCATCAAGATTGATCTCAAAAGCTTCAGTGAGCACAGAGTTGAGGAAAGCAGAAAGCGTGAGTCCTGATTTTGTACTTTCAGCGGGTATACCAGCATGTGGTGGTAGCTCGTTTAGATGAATAGGCTGCAGATCCATCCAGCGGAGGGCATTAGATCTAGGTTCTACCACTAAAGGTACCCCGGTGGCTGAAGCCATGGCGGAAGGGTTAGCGGAGTTCAGCGGAACTCTTGGAATTTTCTGCGTTCGCCCTCGTTCGATATGGTGGAACGGTGGAACGTCTAACGCTCAACGCAGGGGGACGGCTGGACAGTCTAGACCACGACTGCAATCAAGTAACAACTCGTCTGCAGCCTCGAAGATTTGTTGGCGGTAGAGTTTCCAGGATGATGCTTCTTGTCGTACGCTACAACTGCAACGGTCGCTCTATGGGGTTGTGGCAGCTGACAGTAAAGAGCGGTACGGTGTATGTCACCCCGAGCAAAGTACCGCCGAAAGGCCTTGAAGGATGGGAATCGTCACCACAGGAAAGTCCGCGTATTAGTCTATGACGACCAGCAGGCTGATGAGCATTCGAGTGATGTCGATGCAAGATGTGGTGTGTAGGCACGAATCATGAAGGACCGAAACAGCACATCGACCAACTACGTAGTCGTCGAAAGCGCCCGCATTCAATTGGTCGGCTTGCCACGGTGATAATCGCCGGCAACGAACTGATCCGCGTGCTTCAAGGAGCTTGAAAGGGAAGCGCGCCTGACGACTCGAACACCTCGGTGTGTGTCGCAATGTGGTTTGCAGGGTAGTCATCGTCGATGATCCTGGTGTTGATGATGGCCTCGGCCTTCAGGCAGGCAAAAATGCATGCGTTCGCAGGCTGCAGATGACTGCATGGGCTGATTTTGCTCTCGAAGATACGCAGGCTAAGCCTAGACTATCTTGTATCTCCGACGAGTTTTCCGCGTCCCGTAACCGTTTGCGCGCAGTCTCACGTTGCGTACAGTTGGCGGAGGGTTGGCCGACAGGCACGAAGATCGTCAGGCACCACTTGGTTTCATACTGTAATATTACATGCATTAGATAACACCTGACTAAAGGCCCGATAGGGTATTCTCAACGGCGATTGTCCCACCCACCCGATTCCATACTTCGTACTCGATCTTTAAGAATATTAAAAATTAGCGTGCATCGAACAGCTGGTCAACGTGCTCGCGGGCCCTTGAATGCGAAGCGAAACGTTGCTTGAGTCCCTTTCGGCCGACCTACCTATATTTTCACCAGCGTTGGGCTTTTCATGGTTTGCCCATGGTATGATGTGGTGCTATGTGGCAATTGCCTGTGGTATCCCATGAGCAAGTTTGCTGCATGTTCTCTTTCAGCTGCAAGCACCTCCCTCAACCTTGTTCTGCATTCTAGTCCTTGCTACTCTTTGGGAAATTCGTTTCGAATTCCAAAATCTGAAGCAAGCTGTCGCACACCTCGGGATTAATACCCGTCAAGGATACGTATGAGAGGTCCAATGAACGGAAAGCTGCAGTAGCCTGTGATCCCGCCCACAGGTGGGCTGACGCTGTGCAACGTCGTTCCACAGCAACAGTTCCGCGCAAGCAAGTAGTGCAGGGTGTGTGATTGCTCATTATGACAGCCATGCGCTTTGGGGGAAATGCCATATCATCTCAAGGCGGCAATAAAGATGACAGGGCCCAGACCGTTGTTATGCATGTTTTGTGTTTGCGCTAAGTAATGAGGCTTGAGCACACAAAATGCGCTCCAACACTTTCTAGATCCTTGATGCAGCCTTGAAAACTGCGGTGAGTCGTTCGCTTCATAGCAATGTCATGTTTCCAGGTCATCCGTCACGTCACAATTTGGCACAACCTGTGCGACGTACCGTTACGGAGTGTGTCTTTGGCGCTGTGTACATGTAACACTAATTACATCGGATAGGCTCTCAATTGTCTTTTGCAGAGGCAAACAATGTGCTAATGCCACATTTGCACAAGGGCTGACTGTACTGCCGTAGTAATTAATACTTGGAATATGTACAAAGCTCATGTAAACTGAAGAACCGTCGCTTGAGGTGAACTAGGGGTATATTGATGCGAATAGTACTGTGCGTGTATATGATGGCTGCGCAATTTGGCCAAATGGCAGGTAATGCCTGCGATGGGTGCTTTCATGTGCACGGCGGGATACAAGCTGTGACAGATAAAAATGCTGACACAGACAGTAGATGTGTCTTGTTGGTATCGTATTGGCTAACAGTAAGCGCCATTGGCCATGCAAGCTATCCCCTACATCGTGATCTTGTATGCTGTCTCGGATTTCAAATGCCGTAGATTTGAGCAAGCTTGTTACATTCACAGAGCGGCCGTGTGACGGTCATTTTGCCTTGCCAGATTCGCCTTGCGACGGCCCAGAATTGTGCGAAGCGGCTGGTGATCCTTGCTCGGCTGATTCGCAGTGGGATTGTGCCGAGACTAGAATATGACACTGAGTCCGACACTGGCAGTGTTGTTCTCCGATGGCCTGGCTGCTCTACTACTCAATTTCGGCAGGACTCGGGACAGGTGAAATCGATTTTGACTACATGTCGTGAAGTACTCTTGAGTACCCGAAATGGTTGCCAAGGTAAATATCGATTGAACGCTAGTGATCTTCTCCTTCAGGGAGATATCGAGGAGCCCTCTACGTCCATTGCCTCTTCATCTGCAACCCTAGCTGCCAGTTCCCCAGCTCTGACGAGTGCGGCAAGGGACCCCTGCGTGCGGTAATCCGATGGGTGTCCTGAGAGCTGTGCAAGTTGGGCAGGTGGCGGCCGATCCAATGATGCTGATGGTCCGATACTGGGTACAGGCTGTGGTAACATTCGCATCGTCTTTTGAGGATCCAATGGAAGTACAGATCCAGGAAATAAGGAAGGGGTGATGCTGTATCCACTTCCGCTATGGCCGCTTTCCGAAGACCACGTGGTATCTTCACGAGAAAGCGGTGGGAGTCGTGTAGGCTCGCGCATAGATCGTCTTGACGGCAAATCTACTGGAGCTTGGTAGCGAGTGGTCGATGGATGTGAAGGTGGGGTCGTGGATGCAGGTTGTTGCATAGGAGGGTGAGAGTAGGCAGATGGAAGATATGGGTAATTCGCATCTGGCGGGCCTCGTGAATCACGTGGTGGGATGGCGGATGATATGTCGAAAAGAGAAGATCGGGGAGATGCAGATATAGGCGAGTAGTGGTCGATCGTCCTAGGAGAGTTCAAGGTTGCATGTGAGGCCGGTGATGTAGGTTTCGATAGGAATGTGGACCCTGGTGGTAACCGGCCAGGAACAGTTGGCGGACTAGCTCCATTTCCATGGATCCCTATTGCAGAAGGATCCGGTTGGACTGAACTGAGCCTTCTATTCGAAGCACGTTCATGTTGATCGTGGCTACTGCTTCGCGTTGATGTGCTGGTCTCGGTTTCAAGCTTCGAACGTTTACCTTCTAGCCCGGTCAATTCAGTAATGGAAAGAGACATGGAGTGGTTATACGGACCCTTGGTAGGCACGGCATGCTTCGCCTTGAAATCTTCCAAATATTTCTGGTAAGCTTCGTACTGCGGCGTTTTCTTGTAATCAGCCAATTCCGCGTAGTACTTTTCCTTTGCAGTATTGGCTTGTCGTTCGCAGGTTTCCCGCTCTTCAGTAGGCAAGACCTGCCATCTTTCGCCGACAACCTTGGCGATTTCAGTGAAGGACAGTTCTTGGCTCCTTTAAGAGCTCTCTAATTTCTGCAAGCAAGTTAGCTAGACAAATCGCGCGGATAGATTGATCTTACGATTCGAGAAAATGACATATGCAGAAGGGGGCCGCTCCGGTGCATGTTCGTCAGGCTGTATGATAGATCAGCATGCGAATGATTAGGCTGAGAGGACACCAGGCTTACTTTTGGATGTCGACGATACTTTCGCTTGGTGGCCGTACCCTTGACTCCTGCACCATTTGTATTTGTCTCGCCCTGTTTGCGATTGGTCTCGGTAGCAGATTCGTCACCGCTTCGATAGGAGGCTTCGGCACTTCCAGCTCTTCCAAGGGATATGGGGAGTGGCCGATCGGAGGTCTGTCCTCGGGTTTCGGCAATGGCCCTCTGGAGTTTCTATGCCAAAGTTAGCCTTGCTTTGGAACTTCACCACCGAGCATAACTATGGGCAACGTACCCTTCTATGCCCAAGCTTGACGTTGAGGAGGCTCCTAAGTTGCTGTCAGCCTCCACTCCTACCCGACTCTAGAAGGAAGTCGGTCTTACAGGTCTGACTCGGTAATGTCAAGCACAGTCTCCCATGTGTCGAAGCCTTCGGCGGTAAATGCATCGAGGTATTGGGACAGTCCCAGTCGCGCTAACCTCTGTTTCAAGTCGCTCATGTAGACAGGCGCGAATTCCACACACAGACGGGTAGTGTGGAAGAGGTCGTCAAGTTGTCGTGGGTCGGATATCGATAAGCCGCGAAGGTATGGAGATTGTATCAGATCGGGCCGTCCAGGGTCATATAGGCTGGATCCGAAGTCTGTTTTGAAATTATGGACGACTAGTGGCGAGGGATTGCGATGATGCAGCGTATGTATGGCGAAATAGTTTACAGAGCAAGGACGAAATAGGAAATGGTAAGCTTGGTTCTTCGGATACTGATTGGCGCGGCTAGGGTGGTGGCGGCGACCGTCTCGTAACGAAAATCTGGTAGGGATCAAGTATTGCTGGGCGCAGAAGCGCAAAGAAGAGTAAAGGGTGGAGTAAGAGTTGACGCCTAGTAGTCCATAGGGTCCTGGGAGTCAACGTGGGAATGGGGAAAGGTGGGTCCCGGGCGGATTAGCAGAGATGTGCAGATGTGCTGTGCTACCACCGAGGTGTAACGAACGATGCGTGGATGCGCTCGCGGGAAGGGGGATGGAGACTCGTATAGGCGCGGCCAGAGCGACGGCCAACGAGGGTCAGAAGACAACCGGGGAGCATTTGGCGCATTCGCGGGAAGAAGGCGCGACTGAGTAGAGATGTTCACAGCGAGCGGTTTCTGGTGTAGAGGCGAGAGGGAGAGTTTGAGGTCCCCAGGGTGCGCGCAGCTGGTTGCAGACCTTGAAGCTGGGACAAGGCTACTGCTCAGACAAGGCTAGCACACAAGACTGGGCGCATGCATGGCAGGCATAAGTCGCGGCAGTGGATTGATTAGACGTCAGGCCGTGGTGCCGTAAAGGGTAAGAAATTTGGACGGGCAATGGCTTTGCGCGCCGTGTGGGGGGCACTGGCAGTGAGGGCAGAGCGATCGGCGGGCGACGGCGCAACTCAGCACGACAGGGACTCGAATCTGTGTACGGCCAGGGCGGTGCACGACCCCGAAGAACAAGAGAGCGCGGAGCGTTGCTCTGTACTGGTCTGATTGGGTCTTGTGCTCGAGCTGCTCGTGGGTGACGCGGGACATGTTCGCAGAAAATCGCAAACAAAGGACGCGATCGGCTGTTGACACAGGCCGCCAGTCGCAAGGCATGGGAATGCTACTAAACTCAGTTGGTGACCTTCCGGCAGTCAACATTAATAGCAGACCACCAAAGGCCCGAAGAGTGTTGCCGAGTTCCACCTGGCGAGCATGCAGCGGCCCATCCCAGAGCTTCACCTGCACTTCTGCCCAGACGACTCGAAATCAGAAACCGGAATTCGGCTCTAAAATGACTTCACACCGTACGAGTGGCCCGCGCGGAGATGAGCTTCTTCGAGGGACACCAGGCCACATCACGATGACATCGAGCAAAATTCCTTTGCAGTGATTTACCTATGCCCTGGGTGGGCGCGAGACACAGCCAGGGGCACACGTTTCGATCCGCGATGAGCTGCAGTAGGCCGGGCAGTGACCCACCTGCCTGCGCCCTTATGCCGTGTGCTAATCCGTTCCAACCTCGGAATGGCTGCGCTGTCTCCCCACATTTCATCACCATAGCCACAAAAAGTCCCCATTATGTGCACGCTGCATCGGATCAGCAGGATCATCGCAGCGGAGAGGAGGTCTGGGCAGCTCAGTTCCGCCGTGGACTGCCCAAGCATCGAATAAGCGTGCGCGGCGCGTCGCATGGGTGAACATTGCGAGCGGGGCGGATTCGTTCTCCTTGGCACGATTGGACAGTTCGTTGGGAGATCAACATCGATATTAACGGACGCTTTTGTGGATTGTCCCATGAGGCCATCATGGGAATCTGCAGATGCATTTTTGCTCATGGTGATGTCAGCAAGCAAGTCCCATCTCCAAAAAGATGGTACTGACCGCATGATTGTGGTTCAAGGACGTCACTTGCATCAGCCGCGGTGGCTGTGACGACGGACTGGGTATAACGCACATAAAAATTGGCATTGGTATTGATCGTCGGAAGAATGTCCGGTATAGGACTGGTCCATGTTGGATTCAGCTGTCGTCACGTGGAACTGTATGCACTTTTCGTGAATTACGACACGGCAAAGAACGACAGCGTTTGACAACGTGACCTGTATTGTAGTTTGTGTTTGTGGTATCGAGGAGAGGCGACGTCGCATGCGCTAACGTCGTCTGGCAGCGCGACATTCGCAGCCGTCTGGCTGGCTCGCAATTCGCTTCCACTCATCATCGCCCACAGGTTGTTCTTCAAACTTCAGGCAAATACCGGTCCTGGCGAGCACAGAGGGAATGAGCTCCTTCTGGGGCGTTTCAAATCACATGTTCGCCGTTTCCTTACTCGTCCTCCAGAACCGTCTGTCCGTCTCCGCCTGGTACCATCTGCACTCCTGTTAGTACAGTGTTCTGGATTGTGGGCTTCGTTTAGTACCATGCAGATGTTGTTGCCGTTGAGGAGGATTTTCGGCAACTTCACGTTACCCTCCGCAGGGTCGCTGCATTCTTTGTCAGCCTTCAGACACAGACCACGTTGGGCTTTTTATGTCTGCTACGCACATCTCGGTCACCTCTTCGAGAACCATGTCTGCGCGTTGATCAGTACCAATGTCTGAAATGTATCACGCTGAGCTTACGCACTGACGTAGTCATCAAATCCTACAAGTTTGCCGGTGAATTCTGTAGGACGTCAGAATATAACTTCTGGGAGCGCAATTAACAACACACCCTTTCCGCCGTTCATAATGACCCATATTTGCGATCCAACACATTTGTCGATGAGTTCTGTTAGATGTGAGCTAAGGCACGAGCAGCGCAGACGGACTCGTCCTCACCGAGGGGGAGAAGGTTCTCTGTTGCCATGGCGAAAGTCTTGTGATGATGCCGTTTGCCTGACTTTGGGCAGCGTGCTTGGTGTGGAAGATGAGGTCGTGACAGTTTGATCTCTTGGCATCGGTCGCCGCGCTAGTTCAAAGTTCGCGTGTGCTAGGGTCTAACCGCCAATTCACAGGCAGACAACGCCACACTCTCTCTTCGACCATTCCCAGCCTATCGTGCATGTCTGGTGCCTAGCGGAAGCACTACCATGGAGGGACATGCTCTGCAGACGACGCGCCAACACCTCGAGCGCGTCGTGCCTCCACCGATGCGTCGGCCGTGATACAGTGGCAACCTATGTGTATGCGCTCACACATCACGCCTTCACCAAGTCAGCTACAATCTCGGCAGTGCGCATTCGTATGATCATCAGGTATAGCACTTCACGAAGTCACTTGCGGTCCTTGGCTGCCACTAAGCACAGAGCAATGCAATGCAATACCCCATCACCAACTCCACCCACTTCCCCCACGTCGACCTGCAAATGGAAGCGCGCCCGACCTGTCTATGCGCCATATGGCAGCACGAAGTCCATGGTTACTTCTATCTCGACTCCACCGCGCCCATCATTACCTTCCCCGATTGTGGCACACACGAGTTTCTCAGGCAGTCATGTGCTACGTCGCTACGTCTCCACCGGACAACGCGCAGTGTCTGCTGAAGATGCAGAAGCCGAAGTATCCATCAGTGAAGCGCTCTATCGCACGAGCCTCGAAGATCCACCACAACGTATGCTCTTGACGGCAACAACTAGCATACAAGGACAACACGGCACGTCTACGGTCAATGACCCTGAGACTCTCCCAGATCATGTCGATCCTGCGATCCCGCCACAAGAGAGCCACGATATGAGCCAGGCAAGCAATTCGGACTACGTGCCTAGCCAGGAAGAAGAGATGATTGCCAACGAACAGCTGCAGGAGGAGAAGGAGGACGAAGATGCATCTGAAGTAGAGGAACACATCGATCTCGACTTTCAGATTCCAAAGGAGACTTTGCGTGCTGCGATGTTGGCATCGCCTCAAACACGAGCCAGTTTTTGGAGCGCCAAGATGTACCGTGGGCCTGAAGATCAGTCGTTGTCTACTCACTACTGTCGGTCTTTGGAAGTTTCTGAACGTGTTGCTCAACACTTTCTCAAAGAAAAGGTTTTGGGTTTCGACATCGAGTGGCGGCCCTTTGGCAGCCCAAATAGTATCAAGCTATAATGCGTCCTTGATTCAGCTCGCCTGCGAGGACCGTATCGCACTTTTTCACATCTCTCAATTTACGGGTGCCACAGCTGAAGAGCTCATGCCGCCTACATTGAAAAAGATTTTGGAGACGCCAGACATCCTCAAAGTCGGAGTGGCTGTGAAAGGCGATTTCACAAGGCTCGAAAGGTATCTAAACATACAACCACAAGGAGTGTTCGAGTTGAGCCGGCTGCATAACCTTGTGGAAGGTAACATCACGAGTGCTCAACAAGTGTCGAATAAGCTAGTTGGACTGGCCGCACAAGTGCTCCAACATCTTCAATTGCCCCTGTACAAGGGCGAGCAATTGGCGGACGATCCAGCGGATACTGCGAGCGTTCGTGAGAGCGATTGGAGCAAACCACTGGATCTGCAACAGATTCAATATGCTGCAGCAGATGCGTATGCCGGTTTTAGACTCTACGACATACTGGAATACAAAAGGAAGCAAATGCGGCCCACTCCACCCACTCGCGGGCTCTGCGATTATGATTCGAAACGTGCTCCCAAGCCGAAAACGACCACGAAAAAGACTGCCAAAAAGGCTAAAATCCCTGTCCCTGCAACCTCTGTGGAAGGCACATCTAGCATCGAACAAGATGTAGACCAGCAAATACAGCAAGAGCCGATAGAGGTAGATGGAAGCGAGGAAGAGGAGGGCTATGAGACTGCACCCGAAGATCTCCTAGACAGTCACGAACTTGAAGATCCTGCTCAAGCATCCGCTTCTCAAGAAGAAACACATGTGCTTCACGAGGGCAACACGGTCATGGCAAATGAAGCAAAACAGAAACGCGTTGGACGCGTGAATTTTCAATGGCTGAGAGGTCCTGATCCGGAATATCCACAACTTCCACAGCACCCAGAGGATTGTGATATTCCTGTGGCATCGGCCTCGTCAGATCCCTCCTTCGAATCTAGCGCGACCAACCAACAAGTGGCTGACATGTCTAACGCGAAGTGGCCTGAGCCGAGTGCAATTGAAGACTTCGACGAGTTCGCCGATCCTGAGCTCGAAGAGGCTCTCCAGGTCCTTGACATAGACGAAGACGGAAAACTCATAGACGCCCCAGTACCAACAGCCTGCACCGTTAAAGCCAAGCGTACGAGAAAGGTGCCAAGTACATCGCGTCATCCTGAGCCAGACCCCATTTCTCAAGCAGAAGTACCCAAGGATCTCGACCTGTCTGATTACAACCCCATCAGTCTCGACACCCAGGAACCCCTCGCGACCTCGTCGCCAAACACTATTCCTCTCCCAGTAACGGCTGATGAACCATCCCATTCCTCCGAATTCGGCTACGCAGTATCCTGGGCACAAACATACCTCGAGTCCACCGTCCCATCGCCATCTTCAACAGCACCGTCACGCATCCGCGCTACTATTCCGCATCTCCGTGCTTACCATCTTTGGCACCACCAGAGTCTCTCGATAGACGAAGTCGCTGGTCACCTGCGCGATCCGCCACTTTCGCACAGCACGGTCACGGGGTACATTCTGCAGGCTGTTGCACTAGAGCGCTTCGAGTACGATCATGATAAGTTACGGGACATTATGATGGGCTTACCGGTTGGGATGAGGAAGGGGAGGTTTAAGTGGATTGCGGAGAAGGTTGGGCTATGACGTGAGGTGGTAAATATGCGCTTGTGTAGGTACGTGTAGATAGATGTGTTACGAAGTTATGAATGATACACGTTTCTAGTCTTGAGTTGCATACGAATCTGCGTGTTGCTTCGTCTTTGCCGTGAATCAGGACTATGCAAGATTATGCCATGTATTAAGGGGACCATTACAATAGGCCTGTAAACTATGATCCATTCATGTACAGAGCTTATGCGCCTCAATTGATGCCTAACCTAAAGACTACGCCCCCATCCAACCCAGCCCATGTACACAATACTGTCAAGTGAAGAAATAACACCCACCAAAAAAAGGAATGACCAGCAACGCTCTGCAAATGCCACACGTTGCCTGATTTTCGCCTGATTTTCGCCGTTGCCGCCAACCTGATAACGCCGCGCAAGAGTCGAATGGAGATAGTGCGTATAGTCGAAAAATTACAGAGTTGATCAGTCCCAGAGTGAGGTAAACAGCGTCAGATCAGAGAGAAATGGATCTGTCTCGCATGCGTCGGACTCAGGAGCCGCGGGCGGATTGGAGATGGGCGACAGAGGTTCCATGAGTGAGTCTCGGCGAGCTGGATTTATGATGATTCCAGCATCGTGTTCTTCCGTGTCCACGGTCACAGGGTCGTATTTTTCCTTGTCCGCAATCACAGGGTCGTCCAAAGGTGAATATGGAAGCACATATCTGACGATAGCTTCTTCAGTTTGGGTCGATTTGGATGATAGTTTATTGTTGACTGCTCATCAAGTTAGCACATCTCACTTGTGTTATCGGGATGGGGCTAGGCAGCACGTTAATGCCTACCATACTCATCTGCATCGAATTCGTCCTGGTTCGCGACCTTGGGACCATCTTTGCGGATAGGGATCTTGATACCCTGTCCTGCAAAGCACTTGCTGAGCGGCGTAGACTCTATCACACCCGGAAACTTCTTGGCCGAGTAGACAGTGAAGGGCTCAGAAAAGCTGGTTGCAAGTACGGGACATTTGCCATTCGAAACAACGGCATTGGCGCCTTGCCCGCTGCCCACGTCGCACATGCTTAGTTTGAGTCTTGGGACGTTAGCACATGTCTGATAGATATGCAAAGCGTGATTGACATACCTGAAGTTGCCTTCGGTTCGCACTGATAGATCTTGAAGAACAAACCAGAACCCAAGCTTGCCTTCTGGGTCGTTGAGTCGGCATGCGTTGACAGCATTCATTCCAATGAGATTCCGCGTGTGGTTCTGGTTGAGAGTCGGAGCTGGGATGGACAAGGGGATTGGCTGCTGATTTGGAGCATACCCGTTCTGCGACCCATACGAAGAATAAGCTGGGTTGTTAGGATTGGCTTGATAGTTATACTGTTGGGGCATCCCTTGCTGTGGGTAGTGAGCAGGGGGCGCTACTTGTCGACCGGTCGCTGGATCCCATTGAGGCGGCATCATAGCAGTAGCCAGGTACATAGTACGCTCTGGCGGTGGAGGATAACTTGCGACTGTGCTGCTAGAGATCGAAACCGTGGGCGCTGCGCTGCTGTGCCTCACTAGATTTACAGCACGACTACTGTCTTCGTGCCACAGGTCGACCATGAGAACGAAGAAAGTACTGTCGACATCATTTGGGTCAATCTCCTCGCCCGTCTTGTTGTCCAAGACAATCAAGCGGATGCAAGGTGGAGGAGTAATAGGTCGTCGATCCTGTAAGTGGTCACATGTCTCAGTGCTGTACCGGAGAGATGGGCAGCGGGCTGTCTTACCTTGTCGCCAAAACCGCACATTCGGGCTCTGATGGGCTGTTGCTCGACTACCAACCTGCGGTGTGTTAGCTATCTGAAGCCAACAGGGCACGTGAGTCTTACCTGTAGGTCCGATCATGTCTAATACCTACAAAGTCACCACGGTTTTCACCGTGCTCATAGGATAGCTGGGGTTGTTGTTGTTGTTGCACAGGGGCGTGTTGGTGTTGTTGATGTTGCTGTAATTGCTGACGCTGTTGCATGTGTTGCGGCGGCAGCTGGTGGTGTGGCGGCAGCGCATGCTGCTGTTGGTGTGGTATTTGATGCTGCATCATGACTACTTTGGTCAAAGCTTGGAGGTGCGATGGTGGATCTTCAAGTGAGGGCTGAAGACGATTAAGATAAAGAGATTTTGGACTTTCCTGCTTTAGGCAGCAACCTAGGCCTATCGCAGTAGCCATGGTTCAATGAGGGGTAACGGCTGCTAGGCGAATCAAGACGCAGAAGGAACATAAGAGGACCCAACAGGAGCTCTTCGTCCAATAATTCCACGGAATGCACAGCATTGCGCTCGGGAACTAACGCGCAATAACGCGGGTAATCCGACGGAACGGGCGTTGGCGCCAACGAGGCTACCGTGCGCTGCAGCAATCCGGCGTCAACAGCCACCGTCTTCGTCGTGTACCAAGGTACTTCGATATTTGTGCCTGCTTAGCGCACTACTGTACGTAAAATTCTACGTGAACCGCCTGGTCATCTGGCATGCGGATCCCCAAACGGCCGGCATCACCACCTTGAACGCTTCGCTGATGCTTTCTAGGGACAATTTGCCTGAATACCATGGTTCTTATCGCGAGTCCATACCCCTGCCCATGATGTGACCGCTTACATAGCACATTCACTGGTTCTCACTAGAATTTGACTACGTAGAATTCCATCTCAGCCCCACTGGAACAGCGTCTGTTTTTTGCCCTTGTTACCCTTCTTTTTGCCCACTCCATCGTCCTCCACGGCAGGCGTCGTCGCACCGCTAGCACCCCCCGAAGGGCCAGCCCATGGATTGCTAACAGGAGTGTTCCGCCCACTGTTATCTCGCCGTAGTCCATGTCCAGTATAGCCCGGGCTAAAGATCGTGCTAGTAGGCTTCGCGGCTGCTGGCAGCGCAGGGAATGCATCCGCTGCAACATTCGGCTTCTTGTTCAAGGCTGCTGAAGAAGTGTTGCGAGACGGGAGTGGTGATGTACGTGCACTTGCTGCAGCAGAGGATGAGGAAGCCCAGGGCGTCTGCCCAGGCTTCGCCCCAATACGGTTCGCGGAGGCAGCTGGCAGAGCAGGAAAAGGATTGCTCGACGATGGGGAGGACCAGCTTGCCTTCTGATTGGCTGTCGATCGTGATGACTGTGCTGTTGAGCTCTTAAGCTTTAGTACTCGTGAGCCGCCATGCGCAGGACCACTGCCATTTAGTGCGGAAGATCCTGGTAGAGACGGATAGTCTTCGTTGATCGCCTTCCAGTCATTCCAGGCCTTCAGCAGGCCTTCACGCTTCGCGGGAATCTCAAAAATGTCAGCGAGTTCCTTGATGAGTTTGCCAATCTCTTTTGAGTTGGTATCGAACAGCGCAAAGAAGCCCTCGATCAGCTGCGTTGCCGACGTCTTCGAGTTTCGATACGCCGAGATTGATGATCGGAATTCCTGAAGCTTTGGTGCATCGTTGCGTAGCAGACCAGTCGCTCGTTCTATGACTGCGTTGTGACGAAGTAAACGTGCTTGCTCCTGGGGTGTCTGTGGCGCGGAAGCTGTTGACTGAGCGTTGAGACTGAGCTGACCGACGCCATTCGCAAGATCACTGCCAACAGGGGGACGCGATGCTGTGACTGTAGGCGGCTCAGATGCATTAGGTGGTGGTCTGGCTGCGAATGCCTCGCCTGGCGTAGGCGCTGTGAGCTGGCCACCAAAAGCTCTTGTTGTTCCAGTTGTAGAGTTCTGAGCTTCCATTTGCCGCTGGTAAGCAAGTTCGGCTCGGCTCAAAGTTTGAGCTGAAGATGCAGGGAGAGGCTCCGCGTTTGGGTCTCGGCCTCGTCCACGACCCCTTCCACCTTCACGTCTGCGGTCATCTCGTCTACCACCATTATCCTGCTCGTGTGGCGCACGGAACTGGAAGCCGGACATGTCGACCCGTCTGGCATCCCGCAGAGCATCCTTCGTAAGACCGTTAGGATGAGATTCGATCTGGTGTGCCTTCAGATCCATTTCTGAATCGAAAACGACAAACTTCTTGTCCAAGCACTCGCGGTCGGGGCAGAGGAAGTGGTCTTTCTTGAAGTGCACTTCCAGCGAATCATAGTTGACGTAGTACTGTTGTTTCCTGCTACCATCACGTCGATCGCAAATGTGACAGCGTTCGTGCTTGTCTCGGCAATGAGTGTAAAGCTCGTCGTCTCCATAAAAGCGCTCGCGGCAAAAGCCACATTCAGGATGTCCCCTGAACCCGCTCTGATCCACGGAACCGGGGTTGTCATCGCCGAACTTTTGATGTTTTCGTAACTCCGGATGTGTAAAAAGCTCGTGTTCGTGTGTGAAGACTTTCTTATTTCGTGTACACAAATCGCTATGGGAGATTAGCCGTCATGCTTCAGGGGTGTGTGCGAGGGGGAGACTTACCACATGACCTTGCTATGCGCCGTCTTGACATGACGATGCAGGTCTGGCCAGCCAAGGCACGCAACATCACAGTCGCCCTCGGGGCAGTTGTATTGCAACAACAACCGTGTATCATCAAAGGCCTGTGGGTTCTCGAAATGTATGCCTAGGCTGTCGTTTGATTGGAAGAAGTCGGCCGCGTCGAAGCTCTCGTAGTTCTTTTCGGTGTCGTCTGTGAGGATAACGTGGTCGGACTCAGTCCTACAGTGGGCGCAAGCCTTGGTCTTGTACAACGCTCGCATTCGAATGGAGCAAATGTGGCATGTTCGGTGGTTGCAAGGAGCGACGGCGGTGTGCTGAACGGGCGAGGCGCAAATGAAGCAAACTTCAGCATCGTCGTCGTCGTCCTGCGGGAGGACGACCTTGGGCACTGTGGCAAGTATCTGGCCTTGCTGCTCTGTCTCTGCTACCGGCGCCTTGCCTTTGTCTGTGGTATGTCCCCCTCGGTTGTTTGCGCCGTCTCGCTGGCCTCGTCCGCGCCCACGCCCATTGTGAGAGTCGCCCCTGCCTCTGCCTCGGCCACCAGCATGCTCAGGTCGGTCTTCTGATCCAGCAGGACCTCCTCTTCCACGTCCTCGGCCACCTCTACCGCGCCGTTGTGGACTCGCAGGGATACGCGGTTGTTCCTGCGCTCCAGTTGCAGTGCCAGTTTCTCCAGCAGCAGCCATCGCGGGGTATTGAATTTTGATTTGAGGCGGTTTTTGTACAGCAAATCGCTACAGAGTTGGTTGGTGGGGGAGCGTACAATAAGTACAATTGAATAGAAAGGGAAGGAAACAAGCGTGAGGCGGCGAGGCCTATTATATTCGAGCCAGCGTTGGGTGGTTGTTTGTCAAAGTTACTATGACGATGTGCTGGAAGCAATTGAGCGCTACTGGAACGCGTGCGCGGGTCTAAGCTCCAGCCGCATTGCCGCATTGAGTAGCGTCCGAGCCACAGTCATACAATGACTCTGTCTCTTTGGTCATTAGCGGTGAAGACTGGGTGATTCGAAATGGCTCATAAAAGCACCGCCACACAACCTCCTTAATTGCTACAGGGTACACGTTCACTCATGGGCCTGCAAACGAGTTGCAACCTACGTGCATTTGACGTCTAGGTCTAAAACAACATGCGACGACATGCTACACCGACGTTGCATGTGGTTTTGGTGTACGAAGCAGCCCCCTGCACTCCCTGTTCGGACCGTACAGATGTGACTCTGCTCCATCCCTATAACTCACGTAATCCACCTTCCTCCTCGTCATATTCGTCTCCATAGAGCATCTTGAGGACAACCTCCAAATCCGCGGGGGCCATGATGCCCTGCTTCTTGATCCAGCTCTCCATGCTGTAAATCTGATCCGTGAAATTGTATGCGCTTCATCGCGTGCTTTCTGAGTCTCTGCTGCCTTCTTCTCGACTTCTACCGGATCTTGCTCGCTGTATGCAGCCAGTTCAGTCCGCAGCTTGTCCAACTCCTTGGTCAAGTCACCATGTTTGGTGATGAGTGTCTTGCGGTCACCCCCTAGATACGTCAGTCGATGCCATATGGGCAGAAGCTGAGACACTCACCGGTCTCCGTAAGGACGTCTTCGTCTTCAGCGCGTGCAGCACCTGCCTCATCAACCTTGGCTTGGAGCTCGGCAACCGTCACGTTGATCTTGTTGTACTCTTCCTGGGCCTTACTGAGCATGGCATCCTTGGCCTTCTTCTCGTCGCTGATGAAGCTCCAGTACCAGTTGCCGCTGCCAATCTTCTCCACACGGATCTTGTTGTCGTCTGAGAGCGCTTGCAAGTAGTCCTTGACATGCATGCCGCTGATAGCTCCGACCTGAGGCAGCGTCTTCTCCAGGTCCTTGATGCTATGAGCTTGCGCTGTCTTGTGGAACCATGCGAGAATGGTGGCCGCCTTCTGCGGATTGGCTTGAATTTTGGGCTAGGTGAGGTCAGCAGGGTTGCAGCCAAGATTGAGGCAGGACATTACCATGATGTGTAAAGATGCAGCTGTCAGTGAGAGTTGACCGGCAATGCAGAGAAAGAGGAATTAGGTGATGAGGAAGAAAATAAATCTTCAGAGTGTTGAGGTGACGCGGTACGTGTGCCTTCCTCCTTTGAAGTGGACGGCTCTCAAAGGGGAAGGCACCACCCACCACGACCATGGATTGTGCCCTACCCACACCGAACAATGTTCTCTTTTCAAAGACTCTGAGCCCTAAAGTATGTGCCCCGGAGTATACTTCGCTCGATTCATTCGGAGGCCTCTGTAGAGTACTCTGATGCATCGTCTTCTGATGACAACAAACCAGGCCGTTGCTCTTCCTCTTTTTCTGGGGCTGCTGTTGCAGATCGCTGCGCACTCTTCCCCTGTCCGTCGGCTTGATCCTCGTGGCCCATTTCTTGCTCCTCTACTTCAACAGCTGCCTCCGTGAAGGCCAGATCACCTGTCTCGCCAAGCATCTCATTCCCCATCTCTTCCATCAAGATACCAAAAGCGATCAGTGCTGTCTCGTCCATGCATCTCCAGGCTTTCTCCATCTCAGGACATTCATTTCTTGAATACAGCTTCGACACATAGGCGTGCAAAGCACTTAACATATCACCAGAAGGCAGTTTCTGCCCTCCGGGTAGTCGCTCATGGGCGAAGTAGTAGTCCGTCTCCTCGTAGCGAATCGGCGCATTGCTTTGTTTAAAGAGTACTTCATCCGGGCGTAGCGGCTGTCGAGATGCTTTGGCGTCTGTAATATTGCCAATGATACCCGCCTGGGTTACCTTGCCTTCACAGAAATCAGTCAGAGGTTATGGCAGGGCTTTGCAAATGTTGTTTACCCGCTACAGCATCGTAAAGGTTTGCTTTTCGAGCCTTGCGTGGCCTTTTTAGGTTGACAGCCTCTTCGTCGCCACTAGATGGCTCCGAGGGCGGGCGCTCAGTAAAAGTCCCGTAGAACTTTCGTCGCCGAATCATGCTGCGTGTTGAAGATTGTTGCACGTGAGTGGGGAATGAACGTGTTGCGCCTACCATAAACAATGGTCATAGCTTTCAGGTGAGCGTACGTCATATCCTCGCCTACCATGGGCGCCTTGCTTTCGAGTCCTCTTACAAGTCACACCAAAGCATGTAGCTGCATATGAACCACCAACATTTGATCGACCGCGCGTACGGTACCATCTCCAAAGATGCTCTTAGACGTGCGACCGCGTCGAGCCTCATCCACGCGATTCAGCCTTCCACCCTGAACTTCAGTCAACGCCTGCCTGGTAAGGACGATCCGCACGAGCGCGTACCGGCGCACATATCAGGCGTCAATGCCATCACAATCGACAAGTTCGAAGGCAGATACTTGCTCTCTGGAGGCGCCGATTCATCGGTTGCAATATGGGACCTAGAGGCGCAAGCCGCCGCGACTGAAGCCGGTGATACGCACTTGCCTCTCTCTGCCGTGAAGAAAACCACAGAGGAGCACAAACTAGGAATCACGCAATTGTGCTTCTATCCTTTCGACTCCCTCGCCTTCCTCACATCTTCGTATGATCATACAGTCAAGCTCTACTCCAGCGAGACGCTCGCTCCGTCAGCAGTGTTCGACCTCGATGCTGTTGTTTATAATATTGCACTATCGCCCATTGCCGACCATTTGCTCGTCGCATGCGCCACGCAGGCACCCAACGTACGCCTCGTAGACCTCAGGTCTGGCGCAAATACCCACAGCTTAGCGGGCCACACAGGCGCGGTCCTGTCAACAGCATGGAGCCCAGTTCGCGAACACATCCTTGCCAGCGGTGCTACAGACGGCAGTGTACGGTTTTGGGACATTCGGCGGAGCGTAGGCGAGTTAGGTGTTCTCGATCTCGAAGACTCGATTGGCACACAAGGCAAGACAACGTCTTCATTCTCGCGCAACTCGTCGCGAGGACAGGCACACAGGGGACCTGTCAACGGCATCGTGTGGACCGGAGATGGCCACCATCTGGTAACGTGTGGCCACGACCAACGCATCCGAGTATGGGACACAGATACAGCCGCCAACACGCTCGCGAACTTTGGCCCAATGGTCAAGAACAACGGCCTCGCCCCCTGCATTCCTGTCTTGCCGCCTGCGCACAATTTCCAGCCAGGCGCAGATCTTATGTTCTACCCCAACGGCCACGAAGTTCTTGCTTATGAGCTCTTCGATGGGAAGCTGTTGCGCCGTCTTCGCCGCCAGGAGCAGCAAAAGCGCCTGCCAGATGTGCCTGCAGCTGGAAAAGGAGATCGGAACGCGAAAGACAGGATCACGGCACTGGCGTGGCGGGCGCATGACGTCGAAATGTACTCAGCGCATGCAGATGGGAGCATAGTGGCGTGGAAACCACGGACCGAGGAAGACGCGGAACTGGACGAAGAAGAGGAGGAAGAGAGGCGTGGGAAGGAGGAGGGAAAGAAGAGGAAGAGAGGCGTGCTGGATGAGATATATGGGAGCTTGATGAAGAAGCCCATCACTTTTGGGAGCATGGGATTTTGATTATACATCCTGAATTGATATCATTATAACCGTAAGCAAAGGCGACTTCGCCGAATGCTAGATACGCGCAACATTCATCTATATGCGCGCTCTCATTACACGTGTCTACCACCACATACATTTTACTTCTCTCACTTAAAGTTGGGCAATCGTGCCGGCACAAACTCCTCATCCTCCTGCCCCTCCCTCGTCTCATCCCTGATTGATAAAGGCCTCTGGGGCGTAGGCGCCATGCTACTATAATCGCTCTCATCGACATAGAAATTGCTGCTCTCCGGCATACTCTGCACATCCACGAAGCTCGGAAACGGCACCAGCTCCGAGTGCTGTGGTGGATACTCACTCGCAGGAGACCTGACCAGCGGCGAGGCAGTCGATTGTACGGTAGCCATAGGCTGCGGCGACGGCGAGCGGGTGCGCGAGACTGGCGGAGTCTTGAGCTGGCGCTCCTGATCGGCGACGAGGCCGCGCTGCACAGCGAGATGCTGAGCTTCCTGGCGCTTTCTGTAGACTTCTTGCTCCTCCTCGATGCGCAGGCGCTCTTCTTCTTTTTGCAGCTCGTCCATGGTGGGCATGTCGAGTTCCTCGATCGTTTCGGATGTGGAGTGTAGTGCGGCTTCCTCTGACTTTCGCGTACTGCGGGACGAAGCAGAGCGCGTGGATACGCGGGTGCCGGACGGGCGCTTGCTCTTTTTCTTGTTGCTGTTGGTGTTGCTGCTTGCGTCGTTCCATTGGCTGGTGGTTCTGCGCTCAAGGACGAGGGTGAATTCGTCGTCGAGGGGGACTGCGTCGTCGAGCTCGTCTTCGCTGGGGAAGATATCGCCGCGTGAGCTTAGGGAATCGGTTGTGTGGCCTGAGGTGTGTGTGTCGCTTCGCTGTCTGCGGTGAGTTTTCTGCTCGCTGCGATCGAAGGCGTCTTCCTCGCTGTCTTCAATCAAGGGCTGTTCCTCTTCCATGCTTCGTCGCGATGTGCCGGGGTGGTCTATGAGATCTGCTGCGCTCGGCTTGTAGCGCAGGCCCTTGCCGCCAATCTTGAAAGGCAGCCGTCCTAGAAAGCCAAAGTAGGAGGAACTTGGGATAATGGTCGGATCTTGGCCTGCTACATCTCTGGCCTGCTGCGCGTTGCTCTTTCTCCGTGCCGTGTTGAATCTCGGGTCTCGGTTCCGCTGTCCATAGCTCATTGCGCGCTGGCGACCAGGCTGACTCGTTGTCCCATATGTGCTTGCGCTGCCCAAGAATCTATCCAGATTCTCAGAACCCCAGCCCAGCAGCCCGTCGCTCTCGTCTTCTTCCCAATCATCGTAGAAATCGAAACTCGACTCGGCGCGGCCGCGTGCTGAACGATGACGCCGGCGGTCGTTTTGCGCTGGAAAACATGGCGCGGTGCAAACGTTGACGCATTGGGTGATAGATGATAGACATGGGTTCACATAGCGCTGTGTGAAGCCATAGATGTTCTCTTGCGCAGATTCGTTCGCATGTTCTATGTTCGAGGTCAGGTGCTGCAGCGTGCGATTCCATCGAGGATCACTGCGCCGGTACATGTCGAGGTTGCCTTTGGGCTTTGGGCTTTGGGCGATGACGATGAGGCTGGGATAGGTGGCTATGGATCGCTGCTCTCGCGCGCTTCTTCGCGACGGCGCATTGAGCTCAGAAGGGGTGAGTGCGCATGTGCTATGCAGCCGCGGAATGCGTCGGGTCGATGTTGTGCGATGATGTGTTGAATGAGGGCATGCAGCTAAGAGATTGTGTTCAAAGGGTCCCAAGGTTCCCGTGGTTCCCCAGCCGCCGCCGCCCCCACATTCACCATCCTAGTCGGGTACCGAGAGCGGCGCCTTCCTTCTTCGCGCCCCCACTCAAACTCTCATTTTCGCCAACTCAACTCCAAATGCACCCATGCGATATATTCGGTTTCTCAAGCCGCCTCGCGTTGTCACGGTGAAAGGCACATCGAAGCAAGAGATATCATGTCTGGTTACCATCACGTCTGACTTGGGCGATACATTTCTACCACATGACATACAGTTGTCGGCAGAGCTTCTTTCTGATCCCTCAGAAAAGATAGTGGTATGGAGAATAGTACAATGGAGTGCTGGTATGCGAACTCTGCCTGTCACATTCCCACTGGTCAAAACGCGAACATCATCAAAACTTCGCGTGCGAGTGGGATTCGGGTCGAAGCTAGGACGTGACGAATACAACTTGCTATCTGAGGATGGAGCATGTGGAGTAGTATCTGCCTGGAGCTCAATCTTTGAAGTTTCTGTGCCAACAAGCGAAGCTGAGAAGCTCGTCCAGAGACGTTTCCGGCTCCCAGATGGATCCATTGTGGTCATATACGAGGAAACGGGGGAGAGCATTGCTCGACATCTTTGGTAGCACAACAACACAAATTGCCATCACATAGATGCTGAACGATTCCAGGGATGCAGGCATTACTTTATCTTGTCACCTCAGCGACCTCTGCAATAGCGAAAGCCCGCTTACGAAAGCATTACTGCCCTCTGGACGACCTGCCCAATGCCAGATCTTAGAACTCGGAACCGGTTGTGGAATGGTTGGTATCACTATCGCCCAACTCCTCCCGGGAGCAGAGGTCCGCCTCACTGATCTTCCCGAAGCCCAAGAAATTGTAAAGCGCAATATCCATCAGGCCCGGCCCGCTGAAGGCTCTTCACTCGAGTTCCAAACCTTGGATTGGGATGCCGAGCTGCCGCTAGACCTACAGCGTCCAACTTCGCCTATGGACTTGGTCATTGCTGCAGATTGCACATACAACTCAGACAGCAGGTACGACATGTGTAAATACTCTTGGCATTGGCCAACACTAACGTGAATACGCCAGCCCAGCACTGGTCGAGACACTGAGTCGACTGGCCAAAGTCTCACCGAAGGTCCTTGTAGCCATAGCAATGAAAATGCGACATCCAAGCGAGGAGATCTTCTTCGACCTCATGGCTGCAGCGGGATTTCAACCGACCGCGAGGCTTGACTACCCATTGCCGGGCGACCTTGGAATTGGAGAAGAGATGGTATACCTACACGTCTACCAACACAAGCCCAGGCTGTAAGATGCAAAAGTTACAATTCTTTGCATCCAACTCATCAAAACTTAATTTCATGACTGGGTTGATCTCTGCAAAATTGTCGTGATAAGGCCGTTGCGGACCGATTGGTGGATTGGCATTCGTTTCAGTGTTGATGTCAATGGTCAGCAATTGCACTTTCCAACGCGTGGCGTAAATTCATGCTCACGGATCGGCCGGATCGATGTATGATGAGACGGATAGTACCGCGCTGATGTTCTTAAATGGGGCTCCTCGCGCCCGGCGTCGCGTGCTTACTCTTGATCCTTTTCTACGTGACTGCGGTGGTACACCGCTTCGTCTACCTTGAATGAACCATAGAACTTGTCACCATGATACACGTATGGTAGTCTAGCAATATCGAGGCTTCTGTAATCATGGCTTACATTACTCGAAAGTATCTTGAGGGTGCAAGGCCAGTCCGAGACCGATAACGAATTATTGCTGGACATGGCAGGATACTCTACTCACTTCACTTAAACTTTCAATATTTCCTTTAAAGTCATGGATTGCAGGTGGTCTAGCATTTCCTGTTCTTCATCTCTCAGTCATCCCCCGACAAAAGAAACATCCAATTGCTAACCATCTTTCGGATATGTTGCGCAGACCCATGTTCAACCACTGACGAGATTCCTTCTTCCAGCCCACGTCATCCAGGAAGAGTCATGATGGTGTATGACTCTCAGAAGGATTCCATGGCCACAATCAATCAGCGCTACTTGATGCACGGAGCTAGAGACGGTCAGCGGCCAACTTCAGGTTTCGCGTTCTACAAGGCGTGGCAGATGAGCTGTGGACCGAGCGAAATCCTACTCCCCTGGTATGAAGGTATGCAAACACATCAAGGGCTCATGACGGACTGTAGTTGCGCCACGACATGTGCGCAACGATCCTGGAAGAACAAAGCAGAAAGAGCAAGGACTGTCTGACTAGACATAAGATGGAACCAAAGACGACTTATCGGTGTGTTATGTATGACTCCACCGTGAGGTATCTACATGCACGACGCTGCACAATGTCCGGTCAACATATGCGAGCCGGAAATATCGGGCCAACTTCAAGCTTTGCGCCCGCTTCCAGCCAAGCGATGCGCCCCACACATCCCGATCCGAGGCACGTTTGGTCTGCGTGGTTGATTGTTTTCAGCTTGACGCGCAACATGGAAACCGAGGACCATGGCTCTTCTTAGCAGCTGTCAAGTAATCATGGTGTTTGCGAGATGGTTTTCGCACTTCGCGGTTGCTGCCAGATTAGTAATTGTTGACCGTTTGGTGTCAAAGTTGCCTGCGGCGTGACCAAACTGGAGGATCGGCTCGTCGGAGCGGATTAGACACCGAAGGCGAAAAACCGCCCTTTGATGCTCAGCAACCCCAGGTTATGCACCACTCTCGCGTCATCAATGATTGGCGAAACTTATGTCCGTTTCGCCCGGATGCCACTAGTGGCTGCGGCTTGCAGTGAAATCACCATTCAGTATTTGATGTCCTCGGGCGCCTGCTGCCAGTGACACTGACAACTGTTTCGCTGTTGCCAGCGCCATTCACTTCTCCGTCTCATAGCCGACGCTTTTGGACGTTGCAACTGTCGCTTTTAGTGGACAAAGCAGCCAGGGACATTGACCTGTACCCAAATCTCGGCTCTGCGCACTTTTCACTTTTTGGCATAGCGCCTGTGAACGGCTGAATTGAACTCCGACCATGTCGAACTCATCGACATCGCTGGATGAGAACGAGAAAGAGAAGGAGTTTGGACTGGTGGATCCCCAGGCTGCAGTGCAAGACCCGACAGATGAGGAATCACGTGACGACGCGCGATATGAGCCCATCAAGACAGAGAAGGGCATAAAAGATCTGGAGAAAAACTCCGACAGTCACAGCAAACGAGGCGATTTATCAAGAACGCAGAGCGGAACGAGCGCATACACAGACATTAGCGATGACTCAGATGCGAAGAGTTCCTTGAAACGACGAAAGTGGTACAAGACGAACCCTCTGAAATGGGGACCTGTGCCGCCTGTGCCGAAGACGCGAGAAGTTTCTCCTGAGTATACCGCAAGCATTTTCAGTCTTTTGACCTGGCAATGGATGCAGCCTCTGATGAATGTCGGGTATAAGCGACCCTTGGAAAAGAATGACCTTTATGAAGTCAATCCCAGGCGCAGCGCCGACGTGCTGGCGACGAAGCTGGACACCGCGTTCCGGCTGCGATTAGAGCAGAAGCACAAACGGCCGTTGCTGAGAGCTATGTTTGATACTTTTGTAAGCCTGATCGATCAATCATACTGGAAATAGAAAGACTAACCACCCAATCAGAAATGGGAGTTCATAATAGGAGGTCTATGCCAATTATCTGCGTCCGTCATCCAAGCAGTAGCACCCTTCGTTCTTCGTTATCTCATCAGCTTCGCCGTACGAGCTTACGTTGCCCAGCGTAGCGATGCGCCTGCACCCAATCTAGGAGAGGGCTTTGGTCTTGTCGTCGCCATCACGGTCCTGCAATTCTTCCAAAGTTTGGCCACCAACCATTTCATGTACCGCGGTATGATGATTGGTGGGGAAGCACGAGGAGTCCTCATCGCGCTCATCTTTAACAAAGCCATGAAATTATCAGGCAGAGCTAAAGCTGGTGGTATAGCTATTGCTGAAGCTGCACCACCATCAAATATCAAACCAGGCAGCGACGAACATGTCAAATGGTACAAGAAGATGCTCAAGAAGAACCGGAAAGATGGAAAGAAGGCACCCGCTGGGGCCGCAGGCGTAGCTGGTGATGGTGAAGGCTGGGGCAACGGTCGCATTGTTAACCTCATGTCAACGGACACGTACCGTATTGACCAAGCCAGCGGTTTCTTCCACATGATCTGGACTGCTCCTATCGGTATTCTGATCACCACGGCTCTCCTCCTTATCAATTTGACCTACAGTGCTCTTCCTGGTCTCGGACTCATCCTGATCGCCATGCCTCTCCTCGGACATGCCGTCAAGGTTCTCTTCCGCCGCCGTGTCGCCATCAACAAGATCACCGACCAACGTGTCGGCTTGACCCAGGAGATCCTGCAGGGTGTCCGCTTCGTCAAGTACTTTGGCTGGGAAACAAGTTTCTTGCAACGCATCCAGAGCATCAGGAAGAAAGAGATCAAGGCGATCCAGGTTCTCCTTACCATCCGTAACGCTATCCTCGCAGTGGGTATGTCAATGCCTGTTTTCGCTAGTATGGTCAGTTTTATCACCTACTCGCAAGTCAACAAAGGTCTCGAGCCCGCACGGATTTTCTCGTCCCTCGCCCTCTTCAACTCGATGCGTATTCCGCTCAACTTCCTCCCGCTCGTTATTGGTCAGGTAATCGATGCAAACGCTTCCGTCAAACGCATTCAAGAATTCTTGCTCGCTGAGGAGGCAGAGGAAACTGCTACATGGGACTACAATGCCAAAGACGCGGTAACCATCAAGAAGGCAGACTTCACATGGGAGCGCCATCCAACGCAGGACAGCGAGGATACAGTATCCGGCCCTGGCGGAGCCGCAGGCAAGAAGCCTACCAAGCAGGAGAAGAAAGACACCAAGAGAGCAAGCGCTCAATCCGCCAAAGAAAGCAGCGGCGCCACCACCCCATCCGATACAACCGCAATCGAAGAAGAAAAACCATTTGAAATCAAAAACATCGACCTCTCCTTCGGCCGCAACGAACTCGTCGCCATAATCGGCAGCGTCGGCTCCGGCAAAAGCTCCCTCCTCGCCGCCCTCGCCGGCGACATGCGCAAAACCTCTGGTGAAGTCGTCATCGGCGCCTCCCGCGCCTTCTGCCCCCAATACGCATGGATCCAAAACGCCTCCGTCCGCGAGAACATCATCTTCGGCAAGCCCTTCGACCAGGCGTGGTACGACGAGGTCGTCGACGCGTGCGCCCTGCGCGCCGATGTCGACATGCTGCCTGCCGGCGACAAGACGGAGATTGGCGAGCGCGGCATTACGGTCTCGGGAGGGCAGAAGCAGCGGATGAACATTGCGAGGGCGATTTATTTCAACGCGGATATCATACTTATGGATGATCCGCTGAGTGCAGTCGATGCGCATGTGGGACGGCATATCATGGATAACGCAATTTGCGGGCTGCTTAAAGACAAGTGCCGTATTCTTGCGACTCATCAACTTCATGTGCTGGACCGGTGTGATCGCATCATCTGGGTGGAGGACGGGAGGGTGCATGCTGTCGATACGTTCGAGGCGCTGATGGCAGGCAACGAGGGCTTTCAGCAACTCATGAAGAGCACGAAGAAGGAAGAGGAACAGGACGACGATGAGGATGAGGATGATGCGGAAGAGGTCGTGGCGGAAGTCATTGATGGCAAGAAGGAGGCGAAGAAGACGGCGAGGCGGCAGAAGAAGGCTGTGGCGCTCATGCAAGTTGAAGACCGCGCGACGAAGAGTGTTTCCTGGGGTGTTTGGATTGCGTACATCAAGGCTGGTGGTGGGATTTGGGTTGGGCCTCTCGTCTTCATCCTGCTCGTTCTGTCGCAGGGCGCCAATATCGTCACTTCGCTCTGGCTATCTTACTGGACCTCGGACAAGTTTGGTTACAGTGAAGGAGCGTACATCGGCGCGTATGCGTCTTTCGGATTTAGTCAGGCACTGTTCATGTTCTTGTTCTCCTGGTCGGTTGCCGTGTTTGGCACGGAAGCGGGCAAGACCATGTTGCATCGTGCGATCACGAGGGTGCTGAGGGCGCCGATGAGTTTCTTCGACACCACGCCGCTGGGCCGCATCACGAACCGGTTTAGTAAGGATATTGATGTCTTGGACAACACCATCACGGATTCGATGCGTATGTACTTTCTCACACTGGCGATGATCATCAGGTAAGTCTACATTTCCTTGCTCAAAAGATTCAGAGCCTGTGCTAATCGACCTTGTAGTGTCTTTATTTTGATCGTCTCGTACTATTACTACTACGCTATCGCCCTTGGTCCGCTCTTCCTGATTTTCCTGTTCTCGGCCGCTTACTACCGCTCGTCAGCCCGCGAAGTCAAGCGCCACGAAGCTGTCCTGCGCAGCACCGTCTTCGCACGCTTCGGCGAGGCCGTCATGGGCACTGCCACCATCCGCGCCTACGGTCTGCAAGAGCAGTTTTCTCGCAGCGTCAAGGAGTCTGTCGACGACATGAACAGCGCGTACTACCTGACCTTCGCCAACCAGCGCTGGCTCAGCGTACGTCTCGATGTCGTGGGTATCCTGCTCGTCTTCACGACCGGTATTCTTGTTGTTACGTCTCGGTTCAGTGTCGACCCCAGTATCGCGGGCCTGGTGCTGAGTTACATCCTCACCATTGTGCAGATGATCCAATTCACAGTCCGCCAGCTTGCAGAGGTCGAGAACAACATGAACTCGACTGAGCGCATTCATCATTATGGAACGGAGCTGGAGGAAGAAGCACCACTGCACATGGGTGAGGTCAGACCTACATGGCCTGAGCATGGCGAGATCGTCTTCAACGACGTGCAAATGCGATATCGCGATGGTCTGCCTCTGGTGCTCAAGGGACTGGACATGCATGTTCGTGCTGGCGAGCGTATCGGCGTCGTCGGTCGCACCGGAGCGGGCAAATCGTCCATCATGTCGGCATTGTTCCGTCTTCAGGAACTCTCAGGAGGAAGCATCGTCATTGACGGTGTGGATATTGGCAAGATTGGTCTGCATGACCTGAGAAGTAAGCTGGCGATTATCCCGCAAGATCCCACACTCTTCAAGGGCACGATCAGGAGCAACTTGGATCCGTTCCACGAGCACTCGGATCTTGAGCTCTGGGGTGCATTGAGACAAGCGAACCTCGTTAGCAACGAGGCCACGATGCAAGACGAAACGCCAGGAAGGATCCATCTCGATGCGCAAGTCGACGAAGAGGGTCTCAACTTCAGCTTGGGCCAGCGCCAGCTGCTAGCTCTTGCCCGCGCGTTGGTTCGTGGATCGCAGATCATCGTCTGCGATGAGGCTACCAGTTCGGTCGACTTTGAGGTATGGTCCCGCCCTCGGCACATCAAGACTACGCTAATTTTTCCGCAGACGGACGCTTTGGTTCAGACAGCCATCAAAACAGGGTTTTTGGGCAAGACGCTGCTCTGTATCGCTCATCGTCTCAAGACCATCATCGACTATGACCGCATCTGTGTGATGGACCAGGGTCAGATTGCCGAACTCGACACACCTATCAATCTCTATAACCGCGGAGGCATCTTCAGAGGCATGTGCGAACGCAGCGGCATTCGACGAGAGGAGATTCTAGGCCAGCAGCTGAAGCAGTAGACTAGAGCGTTATCCGTCTTGGTGGTTAAAAAGGGCAAGATGGCGGTTACCGGCCCAATGGGTCTAGATAACCGCGATGTGATTGACGGGAGATCCCAGATGATCATACTTGCGATGCATGTCCACGGCGTTTCTAGCGGTCCTTTGCGGTGCATATACTTTCTAGCGTCGGATTGCGCATCTTTTTTTGACAGCAGCGTGACGGCACAGTTTGCGCTTGCTGCACGAGAAGCGGCCTGGAGGCGGGTTGAAGCTTATCTTTGGAGATGTCGATAGCTTGCTTCTCTTTGGGGTACCTGGTCGCACCGTTCAGCACGTTCTCCAATACAACGATATTAAAAAAGCATTGTAACTGTCACACATTCCGAGCACAAACGTTGACAAGGCCCGAGCTACGTGGCCTCGTGCCATCACGATTGCAAATATGCGCGGAGGGGCGACCGGTGCCAGAAAACGAAGAGGTTTTCAAACGTCCAACTCTCCCAGGCCCAGGCCCGCTGAGAACAGCAGGTCTGTCGGCTCGCGCATGCATTGACAGACGAGCTTGGGTCCAAGGCGAGCTCGGCCAGTGGCTCCGCGTGGCTAACGAGACTTCTGGCGGGCCCCCCAAGCAATTGTTCGCATGCACGCTTTAGCCGCAGCAAGCATGGGCCGAACAGCCAAGATCTCCCCGGGCCCATCACAAAGCGCACGGATTCTGGCCCCCGGTCCAGAGTAGCCCCGTTCGGCGCTGGTGCGTTTAATCGTCAGGGACGCGAGCGAGAAGACTCAATGGCGTGCAGGCGAGCAGTTGTTGGTGCAGGTGAGTTCAGCAGGTACCTTGGCGGGCTGGCCGTTTGCCACCCAAGCCCTTAGCACAGGAGCACTGCATGCCAGCAGCTGTGAAGCGCAAGACGTGTCGAGAGTGGCAGCGATTGCTCAGAGTCCGGCGTGGGCGAGCACAGTGCGACAAGATTATGGCCATGGGCCGTGGTGGTTTCGCGGGTGGTGCATATCGAATAAGAGTTTTGTGGCGCCATGTTCAACCCCCCGCCTCCTAAGGAACCGGGCCTAAGCTGGCCTAGCGCCGCTCCGATCCTCATCCAAGCCATCCAAGCCTGGAACTGAGCGATTCACGCCGGCCTAGCGAAGTAGCTCACATAGTCGACCCTCGCTCTCTCACCCGCGTCGTCGTCGCTCGTTTGCAGAGATAAGTTGATAACGCCTGCCGTGCCCAGCAGCCTCCTTCGTCTGCCCCTTCGATTCTACTGTCCAATTGCCGCAGCAGTGAAAGTGGTAGCTGAAGCACGCCGGTCGACCAGCTCCTTTCCGCTGTTACCATCGCTCTTTCCACGCCCTATCAGTGTCGCTCCTTCCCCCGTCACCACGCGGCAGTCGACAACGAACTGCGAACATCACCCCGTGCAATAGATGCAATAGTCCGCCGTCAATTCACTCACCGTCGCACCACGTCGGCCGGCCACTGCAGCTGCAGCATCCCGCACCGAAAAGGGTCCTCCTGACGTCCAGTCCCATTGCGGCCGCTGTCTTCACGCTCCACCCACCACCCACCACAGTCCTTTTGCGTGTGGAACTCCTCACACGCCGCCCTACGTCACAATGGCAGCAAACGAGAAGCACGAGCCCGTCACCTTTGGCGTCACCATTGAGAAGCCCTCGGCGAGCCCACAACCACAACCCACCCAGCCGCTGCTGCAATCTCCCCCGGCCCTGCGCTCACCCCCATCGAACGAGTCCACCATGTCGACCACCTCGGCCGACCTTGCACACAAAGAAATGGGCGTCGACAGCTCAAACCCCTACTCGGCCTTTTACAAGCACCCCGAGGCCCGCCGCTCCATGGACGCCAGCAGCGCGCCCCAGAGCAAAGTCCACCTCGACATCCACACGTTCGAGCGCGACCCCGAAGCCGGCCTGCCCCTCAGCGCCGCCACCACACAGCAGCCCAAGTCGTCGGTCGACGGCCGCGTCAAGGAGTGCACCATGTGGCCGTCGCGCCAGGCCGTCATGGACCAGCGCAAGACATACAAGCGCGCCCGTGGCTGCAATCTGTTCAAGAACTTGACTGGCAAGCAGAGACTGTGGGCTAAGATCATCATTGCTCTCGTCGTAGTCGCCGCTGCTGTGGGGTTGGGTGTGGGCATCTCGCGCGCTGTTGGCGGCGGTGTATGGGCCGGTCAGGGAAGGAGCAAGGAGATTCCTCACAACTGAGGTGTGTGTGACGGAGTGGCTTTACATCGGGTATGTTCTGCAACACCCTCTCTACACGACCAGTAACACTAACATACTCTAGACCCACTACACCGCACCGCTCTTGCAACGACGCCTACCCAAAACGTTTCTCCAGCATTCTACATTTTTCGATATCCCCTTTCTCCAGCTGTCCATTGCTTCTAGTCCCATGTAAATATCATTCAACTGTTTCTTTTCCTTTGCGTTGCGTCGTTCGCCCAATCACAGCATCTGGGACACATTACTTGGGTATTATCTTGCAAACGGCGTTTTTCTCTGTCGAACCATGAATGAAGGCATGAAATCGAGCCTCTGTCACCCTTGTTAGTGTACACGCATGGCGTCCGAACTTGTTTGTTTAGGGGGTTTCTGTCTTTCTTATCACAGAGCAAAGGGCTACATGTGTGCATCAAGGAGGCATTACCTTTGTGGCGGAATACAAGATTTAGGCAGTGAGCAATTGAAGTTGCTGAGCTTTTGGGCTGAGGGTTACTGCACCTAATCGTCGTTCTTTGCTGCTGATTTTTTGTGATGCGAAGTGATGCATTGACAGTACAGCCTCGTCATTGAAATCACTAACACAGCGACAGTTCAGCTTGTACAAACAGTCGCATACATGCTTTTCCCCGGCACGGTCCGCCACCCAATGCGAACCATTCTGCAGTCAGCAGAAATCCTTCAGCCTCGCGTTCTTCCGCCCCAATCAAGCCACCTAAAGCCAATCACGAAGGCCCCCCATCACACTCTTCTTCCTCCTAACAAGCCATCACACAAAGTCCAAAGCCTCTCAGCCGCACCTGAATAATCGAATCATGATCCGCTTCCCACGACTCAAGCACAAACGCGATGCGGCCGCGCTCATCCTCCTATGCCCGCCACGCCACCTTCGCCCTCTGAATCGCCTGCGACTCGGGAGATCGACTGCTTAGTTCCTGGCGCCGCGTAGCCTCAAAGCATGCTTTTGCGCCAACCACCAAACCAGTTCCAAACGCAGTGCCGCTGATTCTCGATCGATCGCACGTGGACACACACTACTGCGTTGCTTTTTTTTCTGTTGAACCGAAAACAAGCGCAGGTGCAAAGACTAGCAGATAGATTTTGGGGATTTCAGACGTTGTTTGTTGAGTGATGTCATTAGATGAGCACGACGTTGGCGCGCGGACAGGGTTGGGTTGGGCTGGGCTGGGGGCGGAGATGGAAACGTTATGGGTCCCAGCGTGGTTGGCTTCCGGGCATGGGATTGTGCGGTATCCACAGGTTGAATTTCGGATGTTCTGACGGTGGGATCCACAGGTTGGCTTAAGGGTGTTTTGGCCGTGTTCGTGGGCCATGTCTTAGGAGTGTGAACGGGTGTGTCTTGTCGCTTGCGGAGATGATTGGCACAGACTGTTAAGGGGCGATATTGGGAGAGTTGCGGAGATGAGTGTTATTAGATTTTGTGAACGATGGGATTAGGTGGGTGGTAGAATTGGGAGGATGCTAACTACTGCGTCTACTAGTACAGGACGAGCGCTTCGGCGACTGCATTTATGACGACCTTCCTTACATTTCGTCTGGATCTGGCACTGATCCCCACGTCTCTCTACGCTTGCCTTCTTCTCTTGTACACAATTGTCTGCTTGTCTAGCTGCGACGACACCCCGGGCTTTCCGACGGTTGGTGCACGGTGGTATAGGCTCTCCTCCATGTGTCACAGGCATTGCATTACGACCTCTTGTCGCGTCCGAATGCTCCCGGCACAGTCATGTCGTTGACTTACTGAATAGCCTGCTGAACTTTCACTGTGTGAAGCGACCGTGTTTCCTAGGTGTTTCCGGAATCACCTCGAGAGAATCGTCAACCATCGAGTGATTACGTTTGGCTCCGGTCGTGGGTTGCGTTTGGGCCCACCTTTGTGGAGCGGATGGCTCAAGCTTAACATCCACAGCAGGTTTCAAATCTAGGGCTACTTCCAAATCATCGCCATAGTCAGACAGATCAGATGCCGGTGATTCGGGTTCAGGCGAGCAGATGGGACTGAATTGTGTCGGACTCAGCATTGGCAGTGAGCTTGTGATCTCTTCCTTCTTGATGTCAGGTTCTGGAGTCTCGAAGCGTTGTTCAACTAGACGTGGTGGTGTGCGGCATTCGTGCTTGGACAAGAACTTGTGGCCTGATCTTTCTAGGTCCGCGTCAATAGGTCCTTTTCGAAGGTTCTGAAGTAGTGGTGCTAAGAACTCGTTCTTCAGCGCTTCTTGCATTGGAATCATATTGCCAGGTCTTTTCGTGTATTTGACAAACTCTCGCCAATGGTGAAACAGTTTTGGTTCTTGTTTGGCTCGGTTCGCGTCGATGAGGTTGATGATATTCACGAAAGGGCGCAGCTTGAGTGAGAGGAGACAGCCCTCGCTAGTTACTCCCACAAGCTTGTCTGTATGTCGGCACATCTCCTGGTATATCTGAAGTGTCTGGTCTGGTTTCAGTTCGATCTCGCCATTCTCATCTACCTGATCGATAGGAATTCCGCCGGGCAGATAGTACGAGATGAGTTCGTCGCGAATGGCCCCAACCCTGGCTACTCTTTTTTCAGGTTGTGAGAGGTTCTGCGACGATGCGAGCTGCTCGAACTGATCGTTGAAAGATGCAGAAGGATCGGGTTTGAAGTCTGGTCGTTCAGCAAAGTGCCGGCGGAAGAAGCGAATATCACACTCGGGCACTCCATGCTGCTGAATGTAGTCTCTAGCCAGGTGAAGTCGGTCGAAACCCTGGAATTGAGCCTTGCTAAATCTATCCACCTGCTCTCTTGCTCCACGCGGTCCGTCCCAAGCTTCATAGACGCCGGGTACTCTGCCGACCGCAACGGCATAAAACTTCGAAAACTCGCATTTGACATCTTGGCTGGAAATAGGCTCTCCTTCGTCCTTGATCGATTCTTGTATTCGTGCTGCAGGTTTCGCTAGACCGTCAGGCTGTTCAGGCTTCTCCCTCACTGGAGCACGTGAGGGCTGCTGCCACTGAGTCTGGACTAGGGGCTGTAGAGGCCATCGAGACAGGCTCGACAGCTGTGTCAACGCATTTTCAGGTTTATTTGTCAATTCGCGTCCCTTGATTGACCAGAAAGATGCCTCCTGGCGTGTGCCGAAACTTTTGTACTTGCTCAATTGGCCCTTGACACGCCACTGAACATCCTCCCAGTCGTTGTACACCCCACGATGTTCCGCTGGTAGGTGGATCGCGTACCATCTTGTCGGCATATTTTTTGTTTTGTGCTGTATGCCCCAGCGCACAAGGGTGATCTGCAAGATCAGGTCGCGTCCCGACGCGTCCCAGTAGCGAACCTTTTCAGCTCAAATGCTACGTCTGGCGGAACAAATCTCCCTAAGAAACTCCAGCATGCGAGAGTTTTCGTAATCCGATCAGGGATTTACTAGTGAGCGATACGAGATCAAGGAATGGTCCACGACCAAGGCACATATATTAGGGGCGGGACTATAAGAAGAACCGCGCTCTTGCTCTTTGCCCAGAGTTCACGACTGGCTTTTGCTCGAAGGTCCGAATTGATATCACGACAAGTCGCAAGTCGAGCCTTGAATGAGTTCTGATTGGGTAGACACAACGTTGTGGGTAGAGGTGGGTGCTAGTCGAACGCGCCCCGCGGAGCCCCTGAGTTGACATATTTCTACGCTAAGGATTAGTTCTCACACGCTGTCATGTGATCACTTTCAAGTCACCTCATCCACTGTGTTCAACGGAGCCATGAATTACCCTATTCCATATTTACATACATATGCAGCTGCCGCTGAAGGACTCGGGAATACGTGTAACTAAAAGTCTACAATTGTTGTCATACCAATTGATGCACAAGTAGACAAACACTACTGTCCAAGACTGAGGTCTTCTTACTGCATACCGGTACTACGCCAGTATTGAGGGTCTAAAGATATGCCTGATATCACGCTGTACTAGAGGAAGCTCAGGGTAAAAGGCGTAGTCCGTACTCGTGCCCAGACACGCCCTCTTCGCGGGCACCACAACCCGAGGCGAACTTGCGCGCGGACGTTTCCCAAGTGAAGAAGCCTTCGCTAGAGTCCTTGAACCAAGCCTGGGAGGTTGGCTTGGTTCATCGTCTTGAGTCAGATCGATCACCTGGGTAGCAGGTCTTGAGACAGGCGCCTCAGGAACAGCATCCGTCAAAGTGGCATCGCTTGGAGGAAGTATTGTAGGAGCTGGAGTCGACGTTGCCCCTTCGATTACGGGCATCTCGCGACTGGGAAGTGTATCGTAATCTGATAAAGGGGTGGAAAGCCGCGGCTCTATAGCAACAGAGCCAGAAACCGCGTTTGTTGTTGGTTCAGTTTCGATTCGTGCAGCGTCACAGTTCTCAGGCGAAGTTTGCGGAGTGGGCGAGGGAGATACAGACACATGGATTGGCGACGTAGGAGGCGACATATCCCCGTCCTGATCGGCTACTGATCGCAAAGTTTCACGCAAGGATTCAAGGCTCGGTACCGCGGAGCCACTTTCTTGCAACACCAGCGTCCGTTGCCTCAATGTTTCAGCTCTTGCAGTGACGAATTAGCGCCTAATTCTGCGTGAGTCAACTGCCATAGGACCTCTGCGGAAGTCTTGCAGCAAAGGGGCGAGGACCTCATTCTGGTTTGCCACCTCCATGTCCATCCGTCGTCCTCTGAGGGTATACCTCTTGAACTCATTCCAGTTGTCAAACGTGCAAATCGGCCTGCCTGTACGATACGTGTCGACTAAATCGAGGATGTTGACGTACGGGTTGTCCTTGAGTGTTATGAGGCATAGGTCAATGCGGTCGTAAATATTCTGGTCGGGCCTATCTCGGGTGGTTTTGCCTGCTTTTCGGTACATGGCCAGGTCTATCTCCAATGTCTGGTCGTCGTCGAGATCCATATAGCCATCGTCGTCGTCCTGCTCTGCACTGGTGCGTACGCCGTCTGGAAGGAAGTGTCCAATTGTTTCATCCCGAATAGCATCGACCCTAGCTCTACGAGCTTCTATTGCTGTCTATTGCTGCGAGCTCACTAGGCGCTTGAATTCTTTCTTGAATTTCGCCTTTGGGTTTGGCGTAAAGTTCGGCTGTGAAGTGAACGTCTTGCGGAACAGACGTATCTGGTTATCGGGGAGGCCGCTCGAACGGAGATATCTGACTGCAGACGCGCGGTTCCGGAACTTGTGGTACTCGGTGCTACTGAAGCCCTCGACCTGCTTCTTGGCCTCTTCCTAGTCGTCGTAAATGCCTGGTTTCCTGCCTCTTACCACAGCGTAGTACTGACCAAAGCTTTCGCCTGGTTCAGCACGCGCTGAGTGATCAATCTTTTCGAATTCGACAGTCTCTGTGCATTCCTTCCTTCTTCGTATCCATCTTTCCATTTGCACCTTGAGCAGTTCTTCTGCGCTGTCATGTTGTGATTCCACCTCACACCATACGCAAAGTGGCGGTCCACTATCTCTTATGTGCCCATGTACCATCAAGTACCATGCTTGCTCCAAGTCGAAAAATCCCTGATGTGTGGCTCCCAGCTCCAGTAAAGGCCTCTCGTTGACTAACACAGGGTACACATTCTGGAGCTTTGTAGGTTTATGGATGGCATAAACCCAGCGCCTTTCCTCTTCCGGATGAGATGCGTTCCCAGCCAACATTGTCGTGGTTCCGGAGGTGCGCTCCAACAACTCTCGGGCCGCATCCAGCCATGAGCTTCTATGTTCATTACGTTGAGTCTGTTGCGAACACTGCGTGTCCTTCTTCACTACGACATTCTCTTTCTCCTTCTCTTTCTCCTTGTAACACTCCCAACAACATCCTTTCTTGTGATCCTGTCCTTACTCATGCCCATGAACCGCGAAGTACTGAGCACTCAGCCGATCCTCGAATCTCTTATGCCATGCGCCATGTTGCCTTGCCATTGCGCTCACATCCGGCTCCCAGTAGTCATGATACATGCCCCTGTATAGCTCAGGCGGATTGATGAGGTAGAAGTGCTTTCGCCCGGCTTTCCCCATAATTGTGAAATGCCGCGTGAATGCTAAGTTTGAGTGAAGTAAATAAGTGCGGTGGCGATGGTTGGAAAGACGCGTCTGAACGCGTTCCCGTGTGACTAGGGCTACGGGTCGCAGCATGCAGGGTGTAGTAGGATCGACGGAATACCATCCCAACAGCCAAGAAGGAAAAAGCAAGATCGAAGAACATGCGGACGAAGCTAGGGGTGTCGAACATAGTCGTTGTTGGTATCTAAATCATCCTCGCAGCGGAAGCACATGCTGAACAAGACAACTCTGCCTGCACAGCGGACACTCGGGCTTCTCTCTCGCCCAGTCACTTATACAAGTCCAGCAGAACACATGCCCACATGTCGTCACACTCGGATCTTTCATCTCCTCCAGACAAAGCGTGCACTTCCTGTTTCCTCCGCCAATCCAGCCCATCGTTTCCTCATCGGTCAGCTCGTAGCGCGGCTTGTCCGCGGCAGGCGTATGCGTCCACTTCTGCAAATCTGAGGGCGCTGATGCAGGAGGTAACGTGGCATCGAATAGCAGCGCGTTGTTGGCGCTGTATGCGTTTGGGTCAAGGCTGACTTCTGCACCGCCTCCTACCATAGCTGATGTGCTCGTGGGAAGATCCGAAGTGACCCTATTAGGGGCACTGGTCATGGTGTTGTGCAGATGCAGGTAGCCCTGGACTGCCATCTGCAGGACTAGAAGCACGCCAAGTACTTCGTATCCTGCGCGCTGGTCGCTTTCTTGCACTTGTCTTGTGAAGATGTATCGTAGCCCCCAAATCCGTTTCGAGAGGTGGTAGTAGCTTCCGGAGAAGTAAAAGGTCGCTAGCGACAGCGCGTATATCGGTGATGGGGATGTGATTGTGTCGAGGTTCTGGAGGATGTAGTTCTGCAATCGCATGGCGATCGGGTTCGATATGCGCTTCGTGCTGCCGCTCTCCTTTGCCTGCTGTTGTGCGCGCGCCTGTTGTCGTGCATAGTATCTCAAATTTGCTTCCAGTTTCGCTCTTATCCGCCTCCTGAATGCTGGAAGTGCTCTTCCAAGCAAGTATGGTCCCAGTATGCAGCTCAATATGTATCCTGCTCTTCTCCCTAGCGCTGGTAACTGTCCGCTTTCGCTCTCAACTTGCACAATGTCGGTGTACTCTTCGCCCAAGGTCCGATTCCCTATTGCTGTCGTGAGGCCAAGATACAAAAGCTCTCCTATCACTCGTGTCTCTGATATGTATGTGTGTGCAAATCGTGCGCCATACAGTTTGCGCAAAAGGGTAGATAGCTGTTCCAGGAGTACACCGCTGAAGTATGCATCTTTCTGATGTGACCGGATGATGTCGGGCGACGATGCGAACGGATACGCGTAGCGCGCTGGAGTGGCCATGCTTGTGAGGGGCGTAGAGAGACTGCGACGAGTTGTTGGTGTTGATGGCTCGGGACGGGTGACGCGGTGGTTGACATTGACCGCGCTCGCGAACCTCGGCTTGTGATCGGATGGAAGCTCGGACTCCAACGTCTTTCTTCACGCAACTTCACACCACAGCATCGAAGATTGACGACATTAGCATAGGTAGCTTGCACTATGGTTCCACTGCTGTATCTATACGCGCTCTACGGAAATGTCTGTCCACCATTCTGCAGCGAATGCGACGTTGCCTAGCCCTGTACGTTCCTGAATTTTGCCATGTAACCAAGCCCTTTGCTTTGTGACCATAGCAAGAGCGCCATCCTGGCCAAATCCCACGCCAATCTCTCCATAATCCTCGATCCGATATGGCGGCTCACTGCAACAACTGCCTGTATAATTCCAATAATTAGCCATCACTTCGCCTCAATCAGTTACAAGATGGTTTGAGATACAGCCCAATCGCATGAGTCTCATATACACCCACTCCTACCTTTGCTTGCCTAATCGTGAGCGATAGTGGAAAGATGTACGAGTCCGATCCCTCAATCGGGACTATAATCGGCTCTGAACTTTTTGCAATTTTTGTAGGCTTTATGCTTTTGCCCAGTTCTTTCACTAGTTCGAGAGAGAACTTGGTTATTTATGTTCATTTGACTACTATCTATAAAACTTTGCTACATCATAAGGGTCGTCAGTCGTGATCCATCACATCCTGCCTGCATACCAGTAGTGTATCGTTACGCCGCATGTGCATGAAGACACCACAGCACGCTAGTAGATGTTCAAAAATGCTGTAGCCTCCGAAATTGAAACCTCACAATCGTGTTCACCACGATTGTCTTGCTCAGGACAACATGCCCGTCATGGTTGCCAACATCCACTTCGCCGCCATCCAAAACACAATCGAACCCACCACCAACATCACACACATGCCTAACATAACCTTCCCACTCATCTCAAATGCATCGCTAACTTCTAGCTTCACGACTTTCCTGATCTTCTTATTCAGATGCCATGTCTTCTTTTTCTTCTTCCCGCCTTCACTCTGTCCACCTTGACTTGGGCTTATTGCGTCATCCGGCCCTACGTGGGACGCGGCACCTCTCATGCCCCATCTCGAGTCGTCAGGGTCTTGATACGGTTCTGCGTCCCACCAACTCGACGGGTATAGGTACGTCAGGAGAGATGTGTTGGAGTGCGCGTATGTGCGATGTGCTCGGTCACGAAGGTTGACGAAGCTAAGAGAGAGGATGAAGGAGATGAAGAGAAAGGGCGTGAGGATTATCTGAGTCTGTTAGTAGGGAGCTACAGTTAGTCGAAGGTTTGTGCATACCTTTCGGAGGGATGAGTCTTCTTCATCGTCTGCGACAGGTCCATGTGTTGGAGATCCCGGCGGAGATGGTATTGGAGTATTGGCGAGCTTCTCGAAAGAGTCGTGTCTTTTTCTCTGTCTTCGACGTGTAGAGGGTGGTGATGGCGGTGGGCTTGGCGGAAGAAGTTGGCTGTTGTGGTGGTCGTGTGAGGTAGCTGTCGACATGTTGTGCTGTTGTGAAGCTCCTTTGCCAGAGCTCTCCAGTCTCTCAACCAAGTCGAGTAAGTTCCTTAGTATATCAGTTCCACAAGTTTCAGATTTATTCGCACGTCGACCGATTTCGAAGTATGTGTGCAACAACCGGCTTGCGTCGATTGTTTGATGATCGTCGCACGAAGCTATGCGGGCGCCTGCGGAACAGTGACGTTGTTTGGCGTATTTTGCTATTGTTAGGGTTGCTAGCTCAGATCGACCCACATTCCATGCAGGGACAGGGCTGGCAGTTTTGGAAAGTCAATGAATGCCAGAATTGCGCCCAACATTGCGTCTTTCCGATCCGACCTTATGTATAATGAATACGCGTATCTTTTGTACAAGGATCAACGACATCGGAGGGCGGAGTCCATGCAGGGCTCACTCTGCCCCGCCATTACACTCCTCCCGCCGTGGCACAGCGCGCAACAACGGCCTGATCGACAGGTGCCCAAGACATTTTCGCAAGCACTGCCTTTCTTCGCTTGATCAATCGGAGTCCCCATATGACTAGATGCCGGATAATGAGCTCGACTCCGATCGCAAGTACCTCACGGGCCGTACCGACTGGCGCATCACATGTTAAGCCTGAATCTAACATCGGTGATGACCAAAGTCGCATGCAAAGCCTGTCTGTTCTGTTCCCAGGGATGCGGCTGCGTTTCGAGTAAGCCATGAAGTGGTGGTGTTCGCAAAGACAGGGCAGTCTCGTGTCCACCATGCAGGATCCTCCTGAGTCGCAGTAGGTAGGTGCCATCTCTTACTGTTATACGCGTTTGAAGATCAAGAAAACTTGGGATTCTCTTGCTGGAACACTGCTGTTGAGACGCGGTGTCGGAGCCTGGTTGTATGCGACTGAGGTCCTTGGTTGTGTACGTCTTCATAACCGAATCAAGGAAATTGAGGAGGTACTGAAGAATTGTACAACGTTGTGACTAGGAACCCGAAAAGTCCAGATCTATTCTTTACGAGATGCAAATGTATGTACGGACATTGGATGGGAGTACGGTGCTCCAGAGAGGGCTTCAAAAAGTCCAGGCAGATCGGTGTTCGTCACATCGCGTACCACTATAGGCTATGCGGTAGGACATCATCTGGGAGATTGATGATGCGAATCTTTGGTGATTCGAATGACAAGGAAGAGGCCTTCACGTGCAGACGAAAGCACTTCCTCTTCGGCTCATAGCACTACGCGTTCGATACTGTGCCCTTGGTCAGAAGAGGTAGCAAAAGAGAGATGCCCCTGAGCTAGGGATCGAATTGACTCACCATACGAACGCTTCAGTGAACAGATTGCAGCAACTCGAGGAATTAGCTTCATTGAGGAACCATCGTGACCACAAGTTCAGGGTCCAGCCGGCTAGCCCGGCCAAATGTAGTTAAGGCAGGTACACCCCACGTCAAACTGCGGTGAGGATCGCCAATGGCTGCATGCCCCTCCAGATTTATATCTCCAAACATCAAATCCACCATTGCTCCCTTGCTTTGCTCAAAGACACCTGTTCGACTGTTTGAGCTACCAATTGATCTTTTCAGCCTATAAATTGGACTGGGAAACTTGATTCCAACACGAATAACGACATAACATCCACAATGGCTGCAGCGGCATCAATCTACCCTACGCTTGACCAGCGTCCGGTCAAGAACACCATCGTTCTCTTCGATGTGGATGACACACTCACAAAGCCTCGCCAGGTATGTCTCTCTACTTTCAGAACGGTGGAGACATACTGACAGCTACAACAGCTTGTCAAGCCCGAGATGCTCCAGCTGCTCTCAGAGCTCCGCCACAAGGTCGCCATTGGCTTCGTCGGCGGCTCCAACCTCGTCAAGCAGCAAGAACAGCTCGCGACCGCCAACGTAAACGTCACATCGCTTTTCGACTTCTGCTTCGCCGAGAACGGTCTGACCGCATACCGCCTCGGCGAGGAGCTGCCCAGCCAGAGCTTCATTTCCTGGATTGGCCAGGAGCAGTACAACAAGCTCGTAAAATGGTATGTCAAACTCCAAAGCTATCTGAGCAGCGCGTAGCTAACAACATCTCCCCCAGGATCCTGCACTACATCGCCGACCTCGACATCCCCGTCAAGCGCGGCACCTTCGTCGAGTTCCGCAACGGCATGATCAACGTCTCGCCCATCGGCCGCAACGCCTCCGTCCAAGAGCGCAACGACTACCAAGCCTACGACATCGAGCACAACATCCGCCCCACCATGGTCGCCGCGCTCAAGAAAGCCTTCCCCGACCTCGGCCTCACCTACTCCATCGGCGGACAAATCTCCTTCGACGTGTTCCCCACTGGCTGGGACAAGACGTACTGCTTGAAGCACGTTGCCGAGGAGAAGACGCGCAGTGGCGTTGTGTACGACAAGATTCACTTCTATGGTGATAAGGCGTATGAGGGCGGGAATGATTGGGAGATTTATAGCGATGAGAGGACGATTGGACACAAGGTCAAGAACCCGGAGGATACTTATGCGCAGTTGCAGGAGCTGCTTAAGAGCTTTCAATAGACGCAGAAGCAGTATGCGAGTAGGAGAGGTGTTGAAAAGGCTTCATAAGATATAGCAAGAAGGTAGAGCTAGTTGATATGCATAATGAAGGAATGAAACCTATTTCGTGATTCTATCATGTCCATTCCGGGATGTATCACTCTCAGGTTCTCGGCATCAGCTGCTGTTCTAGTGGCGATGATCTATGTTATTGCGCTACAGTCACGTTCAGATTGTATCCAACAAATATGCTCGTGATGTGCATTGCGTATGTGTTAAATGAATTATATTATGTATTAAGCGCCCCTATGAAGGGCCTTCCTAGATAAGTATTGTACTTGAGAAGTGAAAAGTCGTGTCCTTCGTAAAGTTCGTCATCATATCAACAAAGGCTCGCACAATCCCGTCGCATAACTAAAAACCCGAAATTCGAAGCCTCTCCATCGCTGTCGTGGCAACTTGTCGTCGTAAATATCTATGTCATGATTTGATATCGCAAGCGTGATCTAATGTGTATGCGCGGCTAGTGGACGCTGCCGATGCGCTTCCTCTCTGTTGCCAAAGCCGCGAGGGAAGTGCCCATCTCGTTCTTCAGGGCTGATTTGTTGCCGTTCATGTTGTTCCAGAGCTGCTTGCACTCGGTCTCCTGGCGCTGGAGGAGTTCGTTGACGTAGTGCTCGCCATCGTTGGCGTAGACGTCCGCGATGTCGGTTACAGCAGTCTCATTGTCGACGACATGGCGGAGCACACGCTTTGACACGCGCATAAGCAAGTCATGCATATCGCGCTGATGCGGCTGGAGCGTGGCCTCCCACTCCATTTCCTCGGCCTGAGAGCTACGGGGAGGAGTGCGTGGAGAAGGCTCATGTTCAGCAGACGTCGAGCTATGGCTGCTTGGTGTGCCCAACTCTGGTGGAGACGAGCGGAAATAGATGTTGGGGGGCGAATCCTTGTAGGTTGGCAGGTGCTCTTCTGAATCGTCGTTGACCAAGGTATCGTCGCCGTCGACCAAGGTATCATCGCCGTCGATCAAGGTATCATCGCCGTCCATGTCAACATCATCCTGAGCCTCGACATCATGCTGTGTCTGGGTATCGTCAACAGCTTGCTGTGGAGCCGCAAGGATTGAGTCGCCCATAGAGGGCTCCGGGAGGGGCTCGCTCCCAGCTCTGGCCGGAAAGATTAACTCGATAGGGGAGCTACGTGGTTCGTTCTCATCCCCAGCTTTCCACTGCCGTGGGGCGTGGATTGTGGACGGTTGCTCAACTGGCAAATCGTCTCCTGTCAAACGCCGGGTGAAGGAAGACCTCTTCAGTCCTTCGCGACGCTTCTTGAAGGGATCAGATTTCATGATTTGTATTTGTGCAGTCAACTTTTCGAGATCAATACCGAAGGAGTCAGCATGTCCAGAGATGGCAGTAGACTCTGCACGTGGAGATGCAGGTACAGCTTTACTGTTGCTGGAGAGAATCGCTATGTCGGTTGCGCCAGTCGGAGGGCCGTCATCTTCGTTGTCTCCAACGGGAGATATCAGTATTAAAGGAGCAGGCCTTCTCAGATTCTTACGTAGCTCCATGGGCGTGCGCGGCTGGCGGCCTGGCAGGGATCTGCGGCGGGGTGGCGTGGAAGGTGGAGGTGGAGCCAAGGACGGTGCTGACTTGGTGGCAGAGGGGTTCTGCAAGCCTAACAGACCTCCAATGAGTGACGTTCGCGAGGCCGCAGCCGATGAGTCGGACTTTACAATCTCTTTAGATCTACGTCGTTGTGTGGCCTTCTTCGAGTTTGTGTTGCCGGTAGTCGGCTCTGCAACAGAGTTTCGTTTTGGCGCGCTTTTCTTCACCATCTTCTGAGCATTTGGGACAAACGCGTCATCCTCTTCTGCTTTTCGCTTGTTGTTGGCCTTCTTTTGAGAGATGGTTGAACGACGTTGAGAAGCGGCGCTTGTTTTCCTGGTTCTGCGAGGCTCGGGCGCTGCTTCTGATGGCGAAGACATCTCTGCGCTCGAATCTTCCATGTCAACGTCCTCTGATGGCTTGTGTATCTGTTGAGAAGCTTTGATCTTTAGAGCTTGGGAGACCTTGGGTAGTTTGCCGTTGCCGTACGTTTTCTTGTTCGAGATGGGTTGGTCCAAGGTTAAACTGTCCAAGGCTGATGATACAGATTTGGGCGCATCAAGTTTTGGGGATCGCATTGGGGTCCGTACTGCGTCTATTGGTGTTTTGCCGAGCTGATCGGACGAGCTTTGTGATCGTTGGGATCTGGTGATTGCTATGGGACTGCTGCGACACACCGTACGTTGCGTGCCATGGCTTTGTTGAAGGTCCTCAATAGCCATTCCACAATGTTTAGCTGCATCTGCGTCTGTGAACATTATCGTAAGCTCGGTCGCGCTGCGCTGCGATGAGTTAAGGCGGAACGTCTCTGCATTGTGTTTGAGCGTTATGACGAGGTCCCAGGGTTGGTAGTCCGTCTGGCGCGATTGCGAATCATGGAGAGGTGCCGAGCGCTGGGTCTTTGTGCTGTTGATGTTGGCGACTGGCACGTCTAGGAACTGAACTTCCCTTTGGGACTCGTCGGGAAAGAGCATCGTGAGGTGGTCCTTCTGCGCGATAAGAACAGGCGCGCCTTTGCCGATGCAGCCCCATTGGAAGCCATCCGAGCCCACAACCGCTGCAGGGTAGGCCATATAAGGATCAGTGATGGGGTTGGCAAGATGCAGAACGCCTAATGTGTCGAGAAAGCTGTGGAACTTGCGCATCCACTGAGGTCCGGAAGTTCCAGGGAAGTTTGTTGCGCTGTTTCTCACTTTGTCTGACCGCCAGAAGCAGGAAAAGTCGATGTGTTGCTCAAGTGCTTGCCTCATGACAAGACCCGCGACAAATTTGGTCTCTTCGCGCTCTTTAGGGTTGAGAATGACGTCGCCCAGCCCTTGCAGTTGCTGTTCCACAGATTCCATGTGGCCGACCACTTCGGAAGACGCATCTAGCATAGCCGCCAGCGCCATTCCGATCCATCTTCGCCGTAAGTACGACAAGCTTGTATTACAGAAGGCGCGTAGATATTCCTCGGCGACAGCAGGTAATCCCTCATCGCTCTGAACGCCAGCTGTGACGAGCTCACACAGATGCACGCTCGACGCGTCGTTGTCGGGCGTCTGCAACGCAGTGTCGAAGTCCAGAGAAGTCATTAGTTGGATTGTTGTGTGAAGTGTTGTAAAATTAGACAGTAAGGAGTGCGCGACGAATGAGAGTCAGTATGGTAAAGACAGTAGGTAAAGACTGGAAAGCGTGCGCGTGTGGAGCGCAGCTACGAATCGCAATGAAGGAAAGCGCGATCGGATCGAGGAAGTTTGACGTCAAAGGAAAGCACGCGACAGGGTCGTGTTTAAGAAGCCCCAATCACCTCAAACATGGGGCACTAACACGCAGGCATCTTCAAACCTCACAAAAGGTTAAATATGAGGCTCAAAGAACAGTTCTTGAACGGCCGAAAGTATGCGAACACTGACCAGTATCTCCTCACACTTACTTTCGTAGCGCCACGTTTGATGAGGCGGCTGCTACCTCACCGTTGCGGGCCGCGTTGCATCGCAGAGAAGAAGGGCCAACGGCTGCCACTTCTTCACTATTTTCAACTCTACTGCACTGTGGCGCGCGACCAGCGGAGCGTCGAAGCGTGGCTCTCTCTGCTTCTTTGGGGAAAGAGTAGAGCCCCGATTGCCCTCGCGCGGAGCAGTCGAGGTCGCCAAATGTGTGCGGATCGCTGGGGTCCCATCCAGTGGGCTCCAAGACTAGAGCTCGAGTAGCTACTCCTTACAGAACGACCTCGATCGTTTCACCGCGCGTGCGATGACGCTGAAGATGTTCATGAAAAAGATGGAAGATGTTGATGCTTGTCGGAAAGTGATCGAGATGAGCAATTACGAACGCAGGGGCGGACAGATGGTCCTACCGCGATTCCGGCTCTCACTAGCGCACACCATCCGACTCGCCATTCACTCCCAACTCATCCTAACCAGCCCTAAATGACCTCCTGACAGGTGATACATGCAGCGTCTTCCTTGGTAACCGAACGCATGTGCAGCAAAAGATGTCATACCCGCGGTTTGGCGTCTTTGCCCTGCATGCTCATCAAACGTAACTAATCGTGAGGACGCGGCGCCTTCGCACGCACTCATCATCAGCTCACACTGGACGCTCTCGATATAGCTGTACCTTACGAAAACGATCGTGTCGTGTTGCCGAGAAAAATATCCAGATTCTTTCATTCTTCATAATCTGCATTACACGTTCTCGCTGCTCTCCTATCCTCTCTGCTTCAGTGTTTGTTTCGAGTTGGTATAAGCTGTACGCTAGCGCCCTTCATCGAACTTTCGCTTGAAGCGGGACAGCGCAAGTCATATTAGTGGACGATAATCTCCATGGTCGACAGCGATAGGAGTTCAACGGGGAACAGCCCTGTGGGGGTTGCAGCCGCAGCAGTGGTCCCAGACCACGGCCAATCCAGAAGGCACACGATCATTGCTTGAGTATGGCTTTGCCTATCTGTCCAAGCTCTTGACAGCTCAGTTGTGATGACGACTCTCATAAACGTCACAAGCAGCCTTGACGCTCGGGAGCAGGGATATTGGCTCGTGACAGCCTGCTTGTTGACATGCTACGGCTTTTCCAACTCAAGTGCTATGGTCTTTCTGATGTTTGCCATGTTCGTGGTATGTTATTGATCAGCTATCAAACCCAAAATATTATCCCTCATTCGGCAGATCCTGTTCATTTCAAGGCACCAACTGCTCGGGTCTTTGACCTCCGACTCGACCGTAGAGCTAGTAATGCCAGAGAAGATCGGCGTCTACTTGGGCATCATTCTGTGCTGGCCATGGCATATCTGCTTGGTCCTCTGCCAGGATGGAGCATACCAGACCGCACTACCTTGAGGTAGCTCTTCTTCATCAGGTACGTAATCACACGTGGGGTATGGCTTTCTCACTAACAATGCAGTGGCCCTGTCGTTGCCATCGCAATAGTCTTGGGCTCCATCTCATTACCACCTTGTAGCAACGGTAGGACGAACACGGAACGCATCCGTCACGTCGGTAAATATGCCGGGAAACCATACTTCAGCTTGCCTATGACGTTGAACTTTTCTGGAAGAGGTGGCAATTTCGCTAACTAAACCATGTCGTTCCTGTTGCCAACGCAAATTACGCCTTTCTGAACTTGGGAGGTTACAATGCATAGCTTTCTGGAGACACTCGCAGTCACATTGGAAGCCATGCGGCAGCAGCCATAATAAGTCGTCCCAAGTCGTGTTTGCCTTAGCTGCATTCATTGTTATCATTGCCATCATTTCTCTTCCCATGAATTTTCTCCTGAAAAGACTGGTGCGAATGCTCTGCCTACAAGCAATAATGAGGACTCTACAAATGCCGTGAAAAGAAGCAAGATGACTCGGATAAAGGTAGTGAACGAGGAGAAGCTAGTACTACAGCTAATATGTATTGCCTTCTGACCCAGGTCGAGATCAGATCATTGATACCTGCAAAAATTTGAGTGCGGTTTCTCAAACTCCTAGCTCTATCGCCCAATGACGCTCTAACTGTTATATACCACCAGCCCCGATAATAATCAGTGGTCGTCGAACAGTCAACGTGGATGCTTTTGCGGAATCTTGACGCGGGCAAAATAGATTTATAAAGCATTGAAGACTATCCAGTGATACTTTCGATTTATATTTAGTACTTAACATTGCACTAAAAATTCGGGTTATTGTATCGTCATATGAAAATCCCTGGGCGACCATTGATGATTGTTGCTAGGCCTGTTGACACCAGCCGGATTACATTCGTATATCAGTACTCTGTAAAGTCCTGAACAGCGCAGCCTTGCTTATTGCTAATAAACGGCCAGTAGTACTGGATTTGTAAACAAGCACGATTCGTCGCGCCATACTCCAGTGGTTCAAAGAAGCACGTCACAAGAGCACGCTACTTGGGGAGATCGCCCCGCACCCCCATTGGCAAGCAACCGAAGCATCACCAAGCCTCTCTGCTCGGCATCAAACCACCATGACGTGAGCAAATGGAATGCCCATATTTCTAGCCAAAAGTCGACGCTACGGCTCTAGAAGTATCATCCGATCCTTGCTGAACGGCAGCGGGCCATGCTGATTGATGTGATCGACACGCGCTAAGAAACGCTGGTGTGGAGTTACGCGGGGGGAATAGCAGAGTTGCTTTGGAAGGTGATAGGTTCTTGTATAGCCTCGGGCTGCCGGATGAAGGAACCCCGGGAGTGGATGAGATGGTATAGTGACGTTTTGTTGATGGGCGGGCTTAAGAGGGGTGTGCCATTCCCATGAACTAGCACTTTCGCCGACGCGACTTGACTTCAGTAATTCGACTCAACCGTCCGTCTGGAGTGATTCGAAATGGCTTCCGCAGCAGAAAGACTCAGCGACGGTGCGAGCGAAGAGAAGAAGATTGGAAGCGGACACGATCATGTGGAAGATCCAGGGCTGCGACATACGATTGAAAACTTACCGGATCCTGATGCTGGATTGAGTGAGGAAGAACGCGCTGCTCATGTACACCTTCTCTTCAATTTTTCTGGAAACGATACTGACACATCTCCAGGATCGCAAACTCCTCTGGAAACTCGACCTCAAGCTCCTCCCCTGGCTTTCCTTCTTGTACCTCATCTCCTTCCTCGATCGTACCAACATCGGCAATGCGAAACTCGACGGCTTGCAGCAAGACCTAAAAATGACTGATAGCCAGTACAACGAGAGCTTGACTATTTTTTTTGTCAGTTACTCGGTGTTTGAACCATTGACGAATGTACTCTTGAAACGGTATCGGCCGAGCATCTTCTTGCCGATTATTATGGTGCTTTGGGGGATTTGCATGACTTGTATGGGGCTGGTGCATAATTATGCGGGATTGATGACGGCGAGATGGTGGTTGGGTGTTGCTGAGGCTGGTAAGTGAGCCGTCTAGGATAACTTTTGCAAGATCAGAGCTGACGACGACTTCTAGGGCTATTCCCAGGTGTTAACTATATACTTTCATGCTGGTATAAACGATCCGAATTTGGCCTCCGTGCCGCAATCTTCTTCTCCGCAGCCGCACTCGCAGGATCATTCGGTGGTCTCCTCGCGGCAGGAATCGCTCGGATGGGCGGAGTTGGAGGAAAACCAGGTTGGGCATGGATCTTTGTACGTTCCGCTACACTACACTGCCCAGAATAAGCTCAGACTAATCTTCATTACAGATCCTGGAAGGCCTCGCTACAATATTAGTAGGCATAGTCTCATACTGGATGGTCCACGACTTCCCCGCCGAAGCCACCTTCCTCACCCCCGACGACCGCGCGCGTGTCCTCCGCCGTCTGCGCGCCGACAAGCAAGCCTCTGCATCCCACGAATCCTTCCAAACAAAGTACTTCTGGCAATCTGTCAAAGACTGGAAAACGCTCATGTTCGCCATCATCTACATGGGCGCCGACGGAGCTCTGTATGCCTTCTCGCTCTTCCTCCCCACCATCATCTCTCAGCTCGGATACAAAGCAACGACAGCAAATCTCTTGAGCGTACCACCTTATGCCGCTGCTGCTGTTGTGACAGTCTTCATTGGCTGGCTCGCCGACCGCACGCAACAGCGCGGTCTATGCAACATCGGCATCTCACTGCTCGGCATGATCGGTTTCTCAATGCTTCTCGGCTCCAATCGACCTGGCGTGCAGTACGCAGGCACGTTCCTCGGCGCAATGGGCATATACCCGTGCATTGCCAACACCATCTCGTGGGCCAGCAACAACGTTGAAGGTGTGTACAAGCGCGGCGTGACGCTCGGGTTCGTTATTGGGTGGGGCAACTTGAATGGCGTTGTGAGCTCGAATATCTACCGGCAAAAGGATAAGCCAAGGTTTTTTCTGGGGCACGGTGTTGTGTTGGCGTATTTGACGCTGTTTTTGTTTGGCGGGAGTATTGTGACGAGGACGCTTTTGGCGGCGGAGAATAGGAAGAGGAGGAGTGGGAAGAGGGATGGGTGGATGGAAGGGAAGAGTGAGGGGGAGGTGGCGGAGATGGGGGATAGGAGACCGGATTTCTTATATACGTTGTAGAAAAGGAGAAGAGGGATTGATGTTGCTAGGGAGATATTGTGTCTGCTTGAGGGTCTCTGGTACATTGTTGAACCCATGCAGTTCACCTCGAACACACAAAATCGATATTTGCTACACAGCATCTGAGCGTTGGAACTTGAAAATGGTGCATCTCGAGATCGTCGTGTGGCTTCTCTCCATATTTCCCAAGGTATCTTTTGCATTGGTTTGACAGCGAGGAAAAGAGTAGTTGGGAGCGAGACATTGATCATGAAGTTGTTTTTGTCCAAGAAAAAGTCAACCGCCCTCTAGAAACGAAAGGCGAAGCAGATCCGTGGCAAGCTTTTGAACCATATGCGCCACACGTACAATCTCAGGAACGCCGCCCAATGCAACCCACGAAACAGGATATCGCACATATTCACAGCTCATCCACCCTCTACGCAGCACCGTTCTTCCTCCCAGCCCTGTCGTTATTCCTCTGCTTCCTCTCATTCCTCTTCATCCGATCCTTGCGCTCCCTCCGGCTGTCCGCACGCGCATCATGTGCCTCGCCCGTCTTCGCCTCCTTGCTCTCATCCACCTCAACAAGCCAGTCGTTCTCGCCGTCCTTGTTCTTGCCCTTGTAGCCCCACTTGGGCACCCACTCGCCACTCGCATCGTCGTATACAAGCTTGCCGTCGCGCTTCTTGTCCTTGATGCCCTTCTTGGCGGCAAAGCGCTCCCATTTGGTGGCCTCTTTGACGGCGGGAATGGGCTTTTCGCGGGGAAGTGGGGTGCTGGGGGAGGGCAGGACGAGGTGCACGCCTTCCGCGCTGGACTTGATTTGGCAGGTTGAGAGCAGCTGGTTCACAAGGGCTTGGGCGGCGTCGCGGGCGGTGGAGCGCAAGACCTCTTCGTCTGCGTCGGCGGGGACGGGGTTTGGGCTCTGCTGTGGCGAGCAGGTTGCCGAGGTCGAATGTGAAAGGGAGTGGGCTTTTCGACGGTAATGGGCCTGGGGTATGTTAGTATGCGCTGATATTTGGAGCTTGTTGTTCTTACAGTCTACCGGAAAACGGTCGAGTCTGCGATCGATGCGGCTCCATTCAGCGTAGGTGACTTGACGTTCCATTGCGCCGGCTGTTAATTCTGTCGACGAGCTGGGAGTGTGTGTTGGATGCTCCGTTGAGCGCGACGCCGCCGTCCATTTTAGTGTCAGACATTTTGTGGTGCGTGGAATTGGTATTGTGAGATGTTCTCTCCAGCAGCCTCGAAGAAGTTGGCGATCCAAAATAATTTCGTGCCAAGACAAAAGTTCGGGATGTCAAGTTAGCGTTGCGGACCTCCGCCCGCGAATTTGGTGGCATCGCATGCTGCAAGAGTCTGCGATTCCCCATTCGCCGTTGTAGAGGCGGAAGAGCTTCACGTCGCCATCATGCCGCCCTCAATATGTCTACGCAGCTTCGCCCAGCTATCCATTGACGCCGCTGCGCGCCCAGCAATCGCACCACGAGCAGCTTTCTTCTCGACATCGTCCACACGATATGCCGGAGGTCCTACGAAGAAAGGCATGGCGGCAGCGCCCAAAAAGGGTCTCAAACAATTGAACACAAAGAAGGGAAAGAAGGCGGCTACAGGCGATACAGGCAAGCGGCCAGCACAGGGCGAACGCAAAGCAATGCGGAAGCGAATCATACTCAGCAACGACAACGCCTTGGAAGTTTCGTCGTTAAAGGATTTGAGCAAGGCCAATGCATTGGAAGAGAAAAACGAGGGTCTGGTCATGGGACTTCCAGTGGACACAGTAGACGCATTGAGGGCTATGGAAGCGTTCAAGACAAGCCAAGGATGGAGTCTTTTCCGACGACCAGCAGTCCTCATGCGCAAGGAAGCTGTCCAACTGGCGAAGCTATTCAAAGAAGCGGAAAGTTCGAAGAAGACACTGCGGCGGATACTGTCTGGGGAGAGGATGAGCGGAAAGTCAACACTGCTCCTTCAAGGCTTAGCTATGGGTCATCTGAGGGAGTGGTTCGTCATCAATCTTCCAGAAGGTAAGAATCAATGCCAGAATTGTGCAAAGAAACTAGACTGACACTTCCCAGCCCAAGACATCGTCAACGCGCATACCGACTACGCCCCTCTCCCCGGATCGGAACCAATGCAATACACCCAAGACACATACACATCGAACCTCCTCCAGCAAATCCAGCTCGCCAACGGCCCCTTCCTCGCCGCAACCAAGCTCTCCAAAACATACGATCTCCCCGTTCCGCTGTCCGCAGGAGCCTCGCTCAAAGAACTCGTTGCCCTCGGCCAAGCCAACCCCGAAGCCTCGTGGCCTGTCTTTGCTGCTCTCTGGAACGAACTCTCGCAGCCCGGCCGCCCACCCATCGTCCTCGCAATCGACAGCCTATCGCACATCATGCGCAACTCCGAGTACCTCTCCGCCGACGTCAAGCCCATCCACGCACACGACCTCACGCTAATCCGACACTTCATGGACCACCTCTCCGGCGCGAAGAAGCTCCCCAACGGCGGCGTCGTTCTAGGCGCAACTTCGCAATCCAACTCTCCCACTTCCCCCGCGCTCGACTTCTGCATCCAGGTCGCCGAGGCCCGACAAACTTCTCCCGACAACATACCGCAGTGGGAACCGTACAAGAAGTACGACGCGCGCGTTGTAGAGTCGCTCAAGGATCTCGTCTCCGAAAGCAAGGGTCTTGACGTGATCAAAGTCGGTGGGCTGACGAAGACCGAGGCCCGCGCGATCATGGAGTATTATGCTGAGAGCGGGCTGGTGAGGCATCAGGTCAACGAGAGCTTTGTGACTGAGAAGTGGAGCCTGGCGGGTATGGGGAATATTGGGGAGTTGGAGAGGACGGCTGTGAGGTTGAGGGTCTGAGATGGTGATTTTGTATCATATTTTAAATGTGTAGATTTATGTAGAGCAATTGCATCTTTGCATGTACAACTGACAAGCACGATTTATGGCACCATCGTGTTAGACGTCTCTTGTCGCATCAGAGCGAGCGGAACACTCAACCCAACGCATCCCCCGAGAGCTCCGATCCACATCAACAAATACTCTTCCGCAGTGATGGCTTTGTCGCCAACGCTGGCTTCCATCACCTCAGCCGTCTGGCAAGGATGAATGAAGAACACGGGACGGTTGGTAGCCGGATGATCGTTGATGGTGACGCCGCCCATGACGCCCGTGTTCTCAGCTTGGGCCTTGAATTGCGAGGGTATCAGATGCTCGTACAGCGTGGTCATGGTCGGTGGGTAGCGATGCTGCAGGTCTGATATGCCGAAGTAGAGGACTGGAACTTGGTAGACTGGCGATAGGAGGATATCGTACTGTATCAGTGCTGGAATCTTTCGAGGCGTATTAAGGACTTCATCATCGTCTTCTTCTACTTCGTCGTCTTCACTGTCAACATGAAATCCTGCATCGTGCTTTGCATCTTCGCGCAGCTCTTTGGCAATCCGCAGATAAGGCGTATCGGTGGAAGGAATGATTTCCACTGACTGCCAATCTCCTCTGCTGCTATCACGCTCGCGGTATCTTCGACGCAAGTCGGAACATGCTTGAGCAAACTCCTCTGCGGTCAAGTGTGGAAATGCGGAGAGCATGTCTGCCACTTATGCTGCAAGCCGAGTATTGCACCGATAGTCTCAACTTTGTGGAACGCGAATCTCGACCATTGTCCGGAGTAATGTCCTCGTACACAGTACGGTTCAGTCATGCGGTGCAGTCTGTATCAGCCACGCGCAGGAAGTCCGTCTTGCAAGTCGTTGCCGAAAGCGTCAAGATGTCAAACGTTGAAGCTACGTCAGAGTAATTTACGTATGCACGGTCAAAATCGCCGGCCCAGAGGTGCAGAGACGATTAGTAGTTGAGGATGGGGTCTGGTAGGGCAAGGGTTGGCGATCGAGGACTGAGATCACCGCCGCGGTGGCCCCGGTCGCAACTGCCTGGCTACTCAAGGCAACTCCACCTCCGAGGGTCTAGCTCCGCAACCTCCGCATCCGCAATTGTCTTCATCCTCTGGCATGCCTCTTGCGCCGCCTCGCACGTTCCCGTAATTTGCGTCCGCACCAATCTCCTTCCGCCTCAAACGCAACGCGAACTCCTTCACGATGCCGGCCCAGACGGAGAAAAGCCAGCTGAAGCGCGGTCGCGTATGTCATGAGCCATTCGCAACTATCAAGAAGAAGAACTAGGCGCTAACATGCTAATCGATAGCAATCCCAAGGTGAGCAGGTGGAGCCCAAGAAAGTCCGCCATTCGCGCCTGTCTCCAGGAGCACCTAGCCGTCTCAAGCAGGGACAGTTGCCTTCGCCCATCACCCAAAAGGACTCGACGGCGTCCGAAGACTTCAAAGAACCCACCGTTACGCCTCCCAATGAACGAACACAGCCATCGCAGAACTTCCGCAGCCCGAAAGGTCCCGGTCCCGGTGGCATCTCGCCTCCATCAGACACGCAGGCATTCTCGCAATTCGTATACCCCCCCGTAAACCGGACTTATGCTGTCGAGGATGAACAGTGGTGAAGGTGTATGGGGCTATCTGATACCCATGGACGATGATGCTAGCAAAGTGATGGTGTTGCGACGGAGAGAGGCTTGTCCAGTTCCGACGACCATCGTTGGCAGGACGACTGGTCGAGAGAAAGTGCCCAAGGGCGAATACAAGGCACAAGAGGAGGAGTACGAGAAAGAAAAGAGAGAGAATGGTGTGACTGCTGGTGGTTACTTGATTGGACGTCACCGTGAATGCGGTATGTGGTGGATGCGTACACGACCAAGCATTCGTGACTGACGTGCAACAGATCGAATACTCGAGTCGCCTACCGTATCAAATCGCCACTGTCTGCTCTTCACCGAGAAGAAGGGCGGAGACGTCATCGCAGTCCTCGAGGATCTCTCTGGAAACGGAACGTTTGTAAACGATACAATTGTTGGCCGGAACAAGCGACGAGAGCTAAAGGAAGGAGACGAGATTGCCATTTTGGACCAGGCCCGTTTCATTTTCCGATACCCATTGGTGCGGAACACGCATCGATTCCGACAACAATTCACGATGCAGGAGCAGCTGGGTAAGGGTCACTTTGCCTCGGTGTACCTATGCGTGGAGAAATCAACAGGTCTGCGATATGCTGTCAAGAAATTCGAGAAGCGGACAGGTCCCGGCGAAAAGTCCAAGGTCGATGGTCTGCAGCAAGAAATTGCCGTTCTCATGGGTGTCAGTCATCCCGCTCTGCTCTGCTTGAAGGATACATTCAACGAAGATGATGGCGTCTACCTCATTCTGGAATTGGCGACAGAGGGCGAATTGTTCAACTGGATCGTCATGAAGCAGAAGCTCACGGAGCCGGAAGCACGCAAGGTGTTTGTGCAGCTGTTTCAAGCCGTCAAATACTTGGTATGTTCATTTCGAGGGTCTTGACGAGTTGATGCTGACCATGGCTAGCATGACCGCAACATTGTACACCGCGACATCAAGCCAGAGAACATACTTCTAACCGACAAGGACCTGCACGTAAAGCTGGCCGACTTTGGTCTGGCGAAGATCATTGGCGAGGAGTCATTCACAACTACTTTATGCGGCACACCATCATGTAAGTCCCATGTCCACGCAAGCTACCGCAATAGCTAACAGTCTGCAGATGTGGCACCAGAGATTCTCGAGAATTCAAATCACCGAAGATACACTCGGGCCGTTGATGTGTGGTCGTTAGGTGTCGTCCTCTACATCTGCCTGTGCGGATTCCCGCCGTTCTCCGACGAGCTTTACAGTCCCGAGAATCCATACACGCTATCACAACAAATCAAAGCCGGTCGATTCGACTATCCATCGCCGTACTGGGACTCTGTTGGCGATCCTGCGCTCGATCTCATCGACCGCATGCTCACAGTTGATGTCGACAAGCGGATCTCCATCGATGAGTGCCTCGAGCATCCCTGGACAACGAAGGACACCATCAGCCTTACTGATAGTACAGACGGTTTGACGGGTGCCATCTCCAAGCTGGACTTCTCGAAGAGAAAGCTGCAACGAGAGCGTACTCTACTCAGCGACATCAACGATATTCAGGTCAGTCGGGTCATCAAGGGCAAAGAAGGACAGGATCCTGTGAAGGTATATGAGAAGAACCCAAGCCAGATGGTGCCAAAGCTGCACTTGACTCAAGAGGTGCGGCCGGATCATGAACGCAACCCAAAGGAGTTCGTTGAGATGGGCGGAAAGGGTGATGAGACTCTATACTCTGAAGAAGAAGGTGGGTCTCGATATGCTACAGACAAGAGCCTGGCATCAGCACCGAGCAAAGAGGCCTGAGGGGCTAGGCTTCAACATGTACAGCGCTCACAATTTCGTCTGGCGTATGGAAGTATCTGTTACTGGCTGGAGTTAAGGTTATGCGGGCTTGCTGTAGGAATATGGGGTTCAGATACGGGCAATTGCTTGTGGGTCAAAAGCTGCTAAGCATAGCAGACGCTAAATCATGAATTCATGGAGCGTTCACTTTTCCATCATGATGCTTTTAACAAGTCATCAGCCCATCGGTGATTCGACGAATGACGTGAGGCTGTCTACGAAGCGGGACTACTCCTATGGCGTGTTAGCGGAGGCACTGCAGGAAAGGACATTACGTCGTACTACGTCGTGCGTTAGTGGTCAGATTCCGGCGCGACAGACGGACCTGGTCCCTGCCAAGGCGCGCAACTGCCAGACCGCCTTCAGCGCGGAAGGAGTGCTGCCCTATTGGTGCACGCCCGCAACTCCACTAAAATATATCTATCCCAACGCGCCCCCTACAACATTGTGGTCACGCTTCACATTCCTTCGTTCGATCTCTGTTCAAGATGGGAATTCTCGCTGATGTCGCCGGACCCGTGGGGAACTTCACCTCTCAATCGTCCACCGCCACTCTCATTGCCGCGGGCTTCGCCTCCTTTATCGTCCTCTCCGTCGTTCTCAACGTTTTGAAGCAGCTGCTGTGGAAGGATCCCACTGCGCCCCCGGTCGTCTTCCACCTGTTCCCGATCATCGGAAGCACCGTCACGTACGGCATCGACCCGTACAAGTTCTTCTTCGCGCAGCAGAAGAAGGTGTGTCAGATTGAAGCTGGCAGAAGGCGCAAGCTAACAAGAGACAGTATGGCGATGTCTTCACCTTCATCCTTCTCGGCCGCAAGATGACCGTGTGTCTCGACACCAAGGGCAACAACCTCATCCTGAACGGAAAGCTCAAGGAGGTCAATGCCGAGGAGATCTACTCGCCGCTCACCACACCCGTCTTCGGCAAGGATGTCGTCTACGACTGCCCGAACTCGAAGCTCATGGAGCAGAAGAAGGTACACATTACTCCCCTCACAGATTTGAACTATGGCTAACACGAAGAACAGTTCGTCAAGTTTGGTCTGACCCAGGAAGCCCTCCGCTCCTACGTTGGCATCATCACCCAAGAATGCGAGGATTTTTTCAAGCGTCACAAGGCTTTCAAGGGACAAAAGGGCACTTTTGATGTGACCAAGGTCATGGCCGAGCTCACCATCTACACCGCCTCCCACTCTCTTCAGGGTAAGGAGATCCGCAAGTCGTTCGACTCCAAGTTTGCCGACCTTTACCACGATCTCGATATGGGCTTCTCTCCCGTCAACTTCATGCTGTCATGGGCCCCCCTTCCCCACAACCGCGCCCGCGACGTCGCTCGCGAGACAATGATCAAGCTATACTCCGAGATTGTGCGCAAGCGAAGGGCTGGCAACGTCAAGAAGGACTCGCATGACATGATCTGGCACTTGATGGACTGCAAGTACAAGGATGGCACACAGGTTCCTGAACACGAGATCGCTGGTATCATGATTGCGCTGCTGATGGCTGGACAACACTCCTCTTCCTCCACAATCGCCTGGATTATTCTCCGTCTGGCACAGTACCCTCACCTTCTCGAAGAGCTTCTTGCAGAGCAGAAGGCGGTCATGGGCGAGGACCTTCCAGCAGTCACCTACGAAGACCTCAACAAGCTGCCGCTACACGCCCAGGTTGTCAAGGAGACTCTTCGCATCCACGCTCCTATCCACTCAATCATGCGCACCGTCAAATCGCCTATCGTTGTTGAGGGAACAAACTACGTTATCCCCACTTCGCACAACCTCATGTCCTCCCCCGGCTACTCCGCACTCCTCGACAGCTACTTTGTCAACGCTGCAACCTGGGACCCACATCGATGGGACGCCGGCCAGCACAACTACGACGAGGCTGAGAACGACGACGACGAGAAGATCGACTATGGCTGGGGTGTTGTCTCCAAAGGCACAAACTCGCCTTACCTACCATTTGGTGCTGGAAGGCATCGATGCATTGGCGAGCAGTTCGCCTACCTGCAGCTCCAGACGATCCTCGTCGCATTTGTCAGGGAGTTCAAGTTCAGGAACGTTAACGGTAGCAAGGACATTGTTGGTACAGATTACACAAGTCTGTTCTCGAGACCGCTTGCACCTGGTACGGTCGAGTGGGAGCGCAGGGAATCATAGAGTGTGGGGTTTAATGAACGGTAATGATGTGCATAAGAAAACTTCTTGGAAGCACACTGGGAGAGTGCTATTAGACTTGGATATTATATACACTAATAATTATGGATCTTCAAAACTGATGGCTGGCCGATGATGTGGTCCGGCTACTTTTCCGACCAATACTAATAGCCGAGGAGATGTCCGATCTTGACTAATGATTCACCACCGACCGTTGCAAGCAAAGCAGAACACAAACGCTGTGGAAATCAATACAAGAGAAAGGACTGGAGCTACAAGTCAACTCAAGACCAGGGACGAGACAGTATCGAAAAAGAGACTCAAAAGAGAAGGAAGACCTAGGCAAAAGACCACACACAAGCACAATGAACAACATCCAAAGACTCAAGAAAGACTACCCATGGATTCAGACACCACTTGTCGTCGGCGCGCCTATGCGCCTCATCGCCCTAGCAGACATGGCTGTTGAGATATCAAAAGCAGGTACGTGAACTCTCCATCTCACCACGCGACATCCGCATCACGTGCCCACCACCCCTCCACCTCAACACCCCCTAACACGCCAGCAGGAGGCATAGGCTTCATTGGCGCCGGTACCGACGTCTCCGACCTACGTTCCCATCTCCAAAACGCAGTGCAATTACTCTCCTCCCACCCTTTGCCCACCCAAAACAACACGCTCCCCCTCGGCATCGGCTTCATCAACTGGGGCGCAGACCTCCCTACCGCCATCCCGCTCATCGCCTCCTTCAAGCCTGCAGCAGTGTGGTTCTTTGCGCCCTCGTCCCTGCCCAGCCTCGCGGACTGGTGCGCGCAAACGCGCGCCGCCAGCCCAGACACCAAGATATGGATTCAAATCGGGAGCGTGCGCGAGGCGAGGGGCGTGGTGGATGCAGTCAAGCCGGGATGTGCTGGTAGTTCAGGGGACGGAATGCAGGTGGCCATGGGTTGGAGGCGGGGCGCGGGGTTAGTCGCGCTTTTACCTGAGGTTGTGGATGTGTTGGGGAGTAGCAATGAAGCGCCCGGTGATTATTGCTGCGGGTGGGATATCGACGGCCACGGGGGCGCTGGCTTCGCTCGTGCTCGGCGCCTCGGGCGTGTGCATGGGAACGCGCTTTCTTGCGAGTCCCGAGGCGAATATCTCAGATGGGTATAGGAGGGAGGTCTTGCGTGCCAGTGATGGCGGGCAGACGACGCGGCGCACAAAGGTTTATGATAATCTGAGGGGCACGACGGGGTGGGGGGAGAGTCATAATGCGAGGGGCATTTTGAATAAGAGCTATTGGGATCATGTGGGGGGCATGAGTGAGGAGGAGAATAAGAGGTTGTATCAGGAGGAGATGGGGAAGGGGGATGAGGGGTGGGGGGAGGATAGGAGGATGACAGCATATGCTGGGAGTGGAGTTGGTCTGGTTAAGGAGGTTAAGGGTGCGGGGGATATTGTGAGAGAGATTAGGGAGGGGGTGAGGGAATTGGCTGGGGGCGTGCAGGCGTTGTTGTAATGCGCTTGGGAGGGTTGGAAGTGGAAAGTGGTCGTGGCTGATATATTCTCCTTGGTGTACTACACCAAGATCTATGTACCAAAATGTAATGAACCGGCCCTCGCACTCGTTTTGATTCATGCGAAAGCGCGCCAGCCGTTTAATCCAAAAAGCACTTCCAATGTCATGTCCAGTCATGCGTAAGAAGCTCGAAGCGTCATCTCGTTGTGGCCAATGCTGGTTCGAAGAGTAAGGGGAAAGGGTATCATGAGCTGAGGCGCATCTAGATCAGTTGTCTACCCCAATGTGCACGTTCTTCTCGCCTGGTGGCAGAATCTTCTCCTCCTTCTCTCCCTTCAAGTTGGGGAGCTCCAGCATTGCCTCCTTGAGGATGTTTAATGCAGACTCGATCTCTTCCTCGGTTATAACTAGTGGAGGCGCGAGGCGGATGATATTCTGGTGAGTGGGTTTGGCCTGTCCGTCCATGTTAGTACCGTCAACCTTCTTCATATGTGCAATCTTGAGGGCTCTTCCTACCAGCAATCCCTTCTCTTTGCAGAGCATGCAGAGATCCCACGCGCTGTGACCATTCGTTTTGGTCTCGTCGATGACGATGGCGTTCAGTAAACCCTTGCCACGGATAGTGGTGATCATGGGGTTGTTGATATCCTTGAGACCTTGACGGAACTTCTCGCCCAGAGTCTGCGCGCGCTCAACCATGTTCTCTTCTTGGATGAGTTCAAGAGCGCGAATGGCGATGGCGGAGCCAAGAGGGTTGCCCCCGTAGGTTGAGCCGTGTGTGCCAGGCTCAATGGTCAGCATTACCTCTTTTGAGCCTAACACGCATGAAACGGGGTACATGCCACCGGAAATAGCCTTTCCGAGTAGTACTAGATCAGGCTTGATACCGCTCCACTCATGGCAGAGCATCTTTCCAGTGCGCGCAATACCTGTTTGGATCTCGTCGCAGATAAGCAGAACGTTGTGCTTGTCACACAGCGCCCTGACTTCACGTAGATAGCTGTCATCGGGCACTACGATACCTGCCTCGCCCTGGATAGGCTCGACAAGGAACGCGGCAGTGTTTTTTCCATGTGTCTCGAGTACTTCGCGCAGGTCGTCGATGTTGTTGTACCGAATGGGCTTGTTTGTCACTGGGCAGACACTTCCGATGCCTGGCAGGTAAGGGCCGTAGTTGTCGCGTGACTCGGGGTCGGTCGACATGGTGATGGCAGCGAACTAAGCTTTGTCAGTCACTGTGCTTCTATCTCATAGTGTCCACTCACTGTTCGCCCGTGGAAGTTCTCGGTGACGGAGAAGACCAGTGCCTCATTCTGAGGTATTCCCTTGACCTTGTATCCCCATTTGCGCGCTACCTTGACAGCAGTCTCGACCGCCTCGGCTCCAGTGTTCATGGGTAGGATCATGTCAAAGCCAAACAGCTTTGTAGCATACTCGGCGAAACGTGGGAAGACATCGTTGTAGAAGGCGCGGCTACTGAGGGTCAGCCGTGATGCCTGCTCGGTCAACGCCTTGATGAGCTCGGGGTGGCAATGGCCTTGGTTCACGGCGGAGTATGCTGAGAGGAAGTCTAGGTAGTGTTTGCCCTCTGGATCCCAGACGCTTGTGCCACTTGCACGCGAGAAGACTAGAGGATGTCAGCTTCGGAGGATGTCTCGACTTGTGGCCACATACCGATTGGCAACGGGTGGTAGTTGTGCGCGGCGAACTCGGACTCTGCGTTGATTGCATTGGACGTTGATGAAGCATGGTACTTTGAGGGATCTGGGGTGCCTGCAGGGTGGAAAGAGCGCGCAGTGGGCTTGAGTGTGGTACCATTGCTGGCAGCAGTCTCTGGTTGAATTGCGCCTGGAGCCATGGTTGTTGTCGCGTTGTTGATCGTGGATGGTTATGCGGGGCAGAGTTGGTGGGGAAGATCCTCTGATATAGATAGAACGATGGAGGGCGTTGGGGCGACGGTTGCTCTTTATTTTGGCTCTCAGTTCACCTTCGTGCCGACTATAGCCAAATCCTTCTTATAGGACTCTGAACTTGCCCGGCATCGCTACCAACTGCACTTAGGGGACGAGGTAGGCGGCTGACCGCGGCCCATGTTATTAATTCGCCTGTCATTGGCTGGCGCGACAAGAGCCCCGCGACGTGCTGAGCAACATCGAACGGTGGGCGCGAGGCCGCAAAGTCATGTTGCAGAATACACGATGAAATGAAGAAGTTCGGGGAGTATCAATGTCGTCAAGTGTCGTAGGCGCGTGTAACCGGTAAAACTTACCTTGCGCTCTTCTTCTTGCCGATTTGAGGCGTGCGCGATATTACCGCTCGGCTGCACAGCCAATGCGACATCTGACTGACATCAGCATCCCACGTCGGCAGTACATCTTTCAGCCCCTAGCTCGGGAATCTCAGGAAAGGTAGTCTTATACCGACTGCATATAGGCCATTGTCTCAACGATTGACCCCCGGTCTCTCCGAGCTCATCAGAATCTCTCAAATCAGCCAAATCTGCATCATTCACCAGTCATTTCGGTCCTTTCTCACGTGTCTATCATATGTCGTTTCGTTTCTTGCTCTGGTCGTTGATACGTTATTTCCTAGCCTCACTTTTTAGCATATGCACACGTACAATACGTTGATCTTGACCTTGACCGAAAAGATACACACATTCTCACGTGCTGTCATGATACACCAAAGCTGCCTTTGTCTGATGTACATTGTGTCTAGCTATGCTCATCTCTCGTCTGATCCCCTAGAAGGCCATGATCTCAAACTTCATGTTGTCGCCGTGCTCAATGAGCTCCAGCAATGAAGTGAACTTCTCCAGGTGCAGGCAACGCGCTATAGTCCTACAACGAGACGGCAAGCTTCGTTGACTTGACCTGCATCAATCGAATAAGCCGCGTGTCGAGAACTGCCCGCTCTTGCCTTCCCCAGATCTGCACACCGCCTTCGCCCCATGGGGCAAACAGAAGGGAAGGCACAACCACCGTAACAGCCCCACTTATCTCCCCATACGGCAATCTATCAGAAATACAGAGTCACCGTCGAACTCTTTCGCGTTGCTGCCTTAGCGTGGTGCTCGCAAACGACCCCATGGTTTCCACGAGCTCCTCCTCTTCTTCTCCTTATCCTCGCCACTACGACAACGCGCGCTTCAACTTCGAAGTACGCCTGCTAAGACTACCCCTAGATCTCTTTCTCCTCCAAAGTGCTGATCAGCAAGACGTGTAACAGCCATGTCTGCAAACAAGGTCAGTCACTGCAATGCTTTCGTGCGTTCTGCTCTCCCCCAGCTCTTTGTTGACGATCCTCGAGTTGCGCATGCCTGCGCAAAGGCAACGCGAGCGGCTACGCAATGCATGAGACTTATGGTAATGCGGGTCGTGGCGGGCAAGCTATGCGCTTCAAGACGAGCAACCCATTCGCCGCTCTGGACGCTGCGGTAGAACTGCAGTCTGGTGGAAGCGGTTCGTCTGTCCCATCCAGCTTGTCTGAAGGCTCCACATCGCAGGACAGCTGGACTGCAGCAACTCTCGCAGCGGCACCTCGAGGATCTGTCCATGGCGGTCGGCCTTTGGAAGGACAACATCTCGTGCGCAAGCGTTGTTTCGGTGTCTTCTTACACAGTATACTGACATGAAGTCCAGAACTACAACGACAAGTCGTCCCAGCAGCCACGCAGGATGACCGCGGGCGGCAACAACGGATATGGCTTTCCAGCTCAGCGACGTGTGGCAACGGTCACAGACTTCAACGGCTCACCCCAGAGGATGGCCACGCCAGGTCGACCAATGATCAACAACCAGTTCACCGGAAGCCCACAGGGTGTGTCTATGGGTCAGCGCCGTGACTCCAACGTCGATCATGCTTCTCCGACTGCTCATCGTGGCTCTCGCATGGCCTTCAACAGCACCGAATCGCGCGCGCCCACCATGTCGCAAGTCCCCAAGGCTTCCTCGCTGACTGGCATCCCTCCGCTGCTCGCTGTCCAAGAGCTTGCATACCGTCAAGGCCAGAAGGACCATGGAGTCTCTCAAGACCGTCTCCCAGCCAGCCCATTTGCTAAGCAGTTCGACCAGGTCTGGAGCGAGTTCTACGCCCTTGGCAAAGCATGCGGCGGCAAGCCCATCTCGACCTCCAACGTCGATTCCTCTTCGGGACACCAGAACTTCCCCTGGCCTGTCCTCATTAACCCATATACTCAGGACCTCGAGCACCCGAACGGCAGCATCGACGCGGAGTACGCCCGCAAGATGTGCATCATGGCTCTCAACTGCATGGCTGCTCTCATCGGCATGGTCTGCAGGCGCCGGGGCGAGTGGCAGAAGACCATCTGCGACGTTCCGTTCCAGATCAAACACGCCCTCATGGGCTTCGAGGACCTGCGCAACCGCTACGAGACGCTCCAGCGCGACGCTGAGGAGGCTCGCCGCGGCGGTTTCCCCTATGGCTACTGAGACGGAATGCGTCTGCCTGGAGGTCCTTGGTAATTCCTATTGCTCTTCCTCTGAGGCTGCTGGCGCACCGTGTGCCTCCATGACATGATATTGTTCTTCTCTCTTCACGGCGTTGACGGCGCATGGATCATTGGGATACAAGGAGTTTGTGGGGTCATCTGGATCGCAATGTCTCTCCTTTGTTTATACCCATAGGACTTCAGATAGCTGGAAGAAGAGAAGCTCTTTCGGACTTTGGTGCCAATGTGTCTTGTGATGTGGTGATCTCGGACATTGATCACACCCTGGCTAATTAATTGCGGGTACTTCCTAGCTGGCCGATAGCGCGCATGCAGGTTGGATAATTCACGATTCACGAACGTGGTCGGAAGCTTTACTGAATGTCGGCGTGCTCCGATCGTAGCGGCGACGGGGACTTGCCGCCAGGGATGAGGAAAGCCTGTGTGATATGGCGAGTGTGAGTAAATGCTGTGCGAAGTGAAATGGTTAATTGCTGTCGGCAAAGACCTGGGGACGGAAAGTGCTCTAAACTCAGTGAGGCGCGCGACAGGGGAACAGCCAGGAACATGAATCGTACATGTGCATCACGCGAACACCAGGTTGCAGCAGCGCAGAGGCGCATTCAACAAGCGATCACAACGAATTCACCGCAGGTCGAAGTAATTTGGTTTTGTCTGACTGTCTTTCATTACTACCACGAACCCTTTCGTTGGCGTCCGAATTTTCTAGAGCGTCAATATAATCGAAAGAGACCGACGACTCTTAGTAGATCTGTCGGATTTGAAAAATGCTGAGCAAACACATTATACACAAATCGAGGTTCCCGTGTGTATGCAACTCTTCCACCTGTTTCCCTTCACATGCACATACACCGCCACCACATCTCTCGTCCGCTTATTGGCAAATCGTACATGTTCTCATCGCGCTTCCTTCGGGGGGTATCTTAAACGGCGGCGACTGGGCGTGCCTGTCTCTGTTGGGGTGTTAGTGAGGTGTTTTATCTTGCGTTGGGGAGGGATAGGGTGGACACGTACCCTCTTGTTGATGAACATGGCGGTGACGAGGATGAAGACCAAGAAGACAATGACGAGGACGACAATGACACCAGGCTCGCGCTGAGCCCAGTTCTTCTCGCGCTTCATCAGCTGGTGGACAGCGTATTCGCTGCGGGCGACGAGGGACATGTCGAAGGCGGCCATTGCGAATTGTTGAGATTCTGTTGGTAGAAGATGATTAGTCGAGGTTCGGATAATGTATGCGAAAAGGTTTTTGATGACAAGATTCCGGAGTTGGACTTGTCGCGATGCGAAACGCAACGGGCGCGTCGAAATGCTCGAGGTCGAGAGCGGCCGAGTCTAGCGCGAACGACGGAGCTTGGATTCGCAACGAGGCAGATGGATGCGGCTCAATTGCTCCAGGAAACCAGTGGGAAGCTTAACATTCACGAAGTAAATCTGTTCCGTGATGGAATGCGAC